CGAGGGCGCACACATGGGGGAGATTTCTGTGTTGCATAGGAACTGTCCTTCGAATGGCTTTTCAGGGAACGGTTGGACGACTTCTGCAGTGACTCGACAGGAAACTTGGGTGCCGCCAAGCTCTACATGGACGAGGCCGTAGCCTTCGCCAAAGGATATTTTGAGCGGGCGGAAAGCATCGGCTGCGCGTCGATCGAGCCGCAGGCCTTGTTGGAGCGCATCAAGCAGGAATGTCTGCTCTGCGAGGGATGGCTCCAGGTCACGCGGCATGGAGCACACGGACTTGCTGGGTCTGGCTACTGTTGTAGTCTTTTGTCTCTTGACTCGTTTCTGTCGCGTTTTGAAGCAAAATTTGACTTCAGATGGAAACGGCGCCAGCGCAGGAAGAGAGGCAGTAGGCTCCCTTGTCGGTGATGTACAGCATGCGCATGATGGAGACTTCACATGATTGTGCATGACGCAGCAAGCACTACGGCAGCCGCAGCGCCTGTCATGGCTGCTTTGTGGCTTTTGCTCAGGCCCCTCACAGGATTGCCATCCTCATCCAGCGCTGGTGGGACATGCATCCGCGTATCCCTGACACCATGCAGCTGATGTACACCCGGCCGATAGCTCATTGCGCTGTGCGGCTTGCTGGGCATCAGGAATGAACGCCTGCTGCCCTGAACGATGGGGTTCTCCGGGTGAGACCTGCTTGTACAAGCACGCACGGCATCTTCAAAAGGAGACTGCGCAGAGGGAGCAGGCAGTACAGCAGGTCGTTCAGAGAGATGTCTCGGTGGCGGCCGTAGCCTGGACGGCTCGAGCTGCCTAGAGCGCGTGTGGCGTGACTGATAGGGAGGAGCAGTGAGGGCTGCAGCGGCCTCGTAGTCTGGCAGCTGGGTCCTGATGCTCGCCGAGTCAGAGTCCATGACTGTGCATGGCAGGTTCTAGCAGCTATACAGTAAATTGTCTAGCCACTCTTGTAGTCCGTAGCTGAGAGCTTTTAGAGCAGTGAGAGCAGTGAGAGAGTCTTGAGTCTTGCTCTGAGCTTGATTTGCACAGTCACATTCTAGCAGCTATATCCATCATCGACCTCGTAGCAGTAGTATCATCACCCTCATCAACACGAATCTCATCTCCTTCTGCCTCTTGCCTTTCCCCATCCACTCCGGTGTTCCAGTGCTCCCTGCGTGACTGCTGCGTAAACACATTTTCGCCTGCGCCGACGACACCGCGACCACGACAAGACAAGACACAGCTCCCCCTTCCACGCACAGCCTAGACGACAGCCAAGGATGCAAATCTTCGTCAAGACCCTCACGGGCAAGACCATCACCCTCGAGGTCGAGTCCTCAGACACAATCGACAATGTCAAGTCGAAAATCCAGGACAAGGAAGGCATCCCGCCTGACCAGCAGCGTCTCATCTTTGCTGGCAAGCAGCTCGAGGACGGCCGCACGCTCGCAGACTACAACATCCAGAAGGAGTCGACTCTCCACCTCGTCCTCCGTCTCCGTGGAGGTATCATCGAGCCATCGCTCAAGGCGCTCGCTTCAAAGTTCAACTGCGACAAGATGATCTGCCGCAAGTGCTACGCCCGTCTTCCACCGCGAGCAACAAACTGCAGGAAGAAGAAGTGCGGACACACATCGCAGCTCCGTCCCAAGAAGAAGCTCAAGTAAACTTGTTGCCTACGCTTATGCTACTGGCAGCTCAATGGCCTATTTAGCAAAAACTCTATGCATGTCTATCGTTGCCCTTTGCTTGCTGATTTGAGTGAATATTGACTACAAGAAGAGACCCTTGGACTACAAGAAGAGACCCTTGATCCAGCTCATCCATGATCGAGTGCTTTGAAAGCCATGCATCACCCGCACCTCCATGACGCTCTCCCACTTACTGACGCTTTTACTGCCAGAATGCCGCTGATTCGGTGCAAAGGCCGTGACAGGCAACACAAGCACATCCTTGACTTGCTTGGGCCGCTGCAGGTTGTGAAAGGTAGAAGGCTCAACGCCCAAGTACTCCAGCACAGCCGTGGTAAAGACACCGGGTCCCGTGTTGCGCACAAGATCCAGCTTGCTCAACTCGAGTCGATTGAGCGGTGTTTTACGCTCTTCTGCCAATGCGCGCAATTGCTCAATAGCTAGCTCTGCCGCGCGTTCGAGTGCAGGATGACCAGGTCGTGCCATAATGGTCCATTGTACAAATTGGAAGTTGAGAGCCCATCCCCATTTCGCCACCTTGCTCTCATCGAACGTAGGCTCATCCACTTCAATACCAATAACAAGAGAGATGTCCCGCTCAGAAAACTCTTCGGGAATCCAGCCAGACACTGGACAAAGCGCAGTCGTGTCAATGTCAGTATAGACACCGCCAAGTTGGTGTAACACAAAGTAGCGAAAGAGATCTGCCCTGGCAACCGGCGACAGGAGCGACGTATACGCATCATAGGCATGGGAATAATGCTTTCGCACAAACTTGAGCGCTTCTGCATCGGTAAAGTGCTGGTGATCGTCTGCAGGATTGGCATAATACCAACTCAATACGGCAGGCGTCGCATCATTGTGCGGTGAAGTCTGGTAGATGACCTTTGGGAAGCTCAAATCAGGCTGCGTCGCCGTCCGGTGCGTGTCAATGACATTGGCTACACCGGTTGCGAGCTCTGGTTCTTTGGCCTTGCCAGTCTTGTCTAGCTTCTGCGGTGGGTTCGCATCGTGCGTCAGGTTCGTGCCGCCGGCCTTGGGCTTGGCAATATAAAAGATGAAAGCAAGAAGAGCAAGAAGGATGAGAGAAAGACCTCTTGGCGAGACACGCTTCCGTATCATAGATTACAAGCTTGTTGTGGTAGCAGGAAGACAATTTGGAACTTTGGCGCTATGGTGACACTGTTGTACACGACTCGCGGAAACGGGACTGCCACAGTAGCCAAGGCTCAGCCTTTATGAACATGTTCACGTATGCAAGGCTCAGATACTGGTCCATGGGAATGATAAAGCACCTTCGACGTTCGTCAAAGTTTAGCAAGCTCACGCTCAGCTACAGCTGCAGGCTGCAGCTCTTCAACCAGTCCTTTGTTCCATACCTCACATACCAACGGGAGCGATCCTACTGGCCCTGAAAGATCGCATCAGACTTTGTCATGCAATGTGAACACTGCAATCGACTTCTAGGCCGCAACCAATGCCAAATTGGGGCCATGCCGCCTTGGAAGCCCAAAGTCTTTTTCTTGAGTGATGACTGCACTTAGCAGTGAACATAGCAATAGTGGCAGAGCATAGCCTCCATGCTCAGACGGTGTCAAGACTCAAGCATAGACCTGACCTTGGTTGAGATGCCGTTGCCCGAATTTCCCGGAATTCAGTCCATATTTTAGGCTGCAAACTTCGCTCGAGCAGATCAACCTTGGCAGTTCTCCATGTTTGGTTGTGAATCAGGGTCGATGTGCTCCTGTCTCCTGGACCCTTCACCTCCTCCGCTATCGCTACTTTACTATCAAGCTGGCCAAAAGTGCCGTAGTTGAGTCAACTTCCAGTCTGCTGCTCAGTTCAATCGCGGCCCATGGCGTCTTTTAGCAAGGCCGACCTGCAGACCATCACAGCAGAGCTCGAGCTGTCGCATGTCGTATCCCGGCAAGGTAATGTCTTTGCCAACTCTCTGCCAGCGACGCCTAGTGCATCAATGCCGCAGTCTAGACGAGCCTCTTTCGATGAAAACTTGGAGCTCGTAGAGCCCAGCCCAGTGAATGATCCGATTGACGATGGCACGAAAAGACTGATCCAAGCAAGACCTGTCCAACTTCGCTCGCAAGCCCACGAAGTGCTCTTCATCTTGATTTGTGCATCAGGCTCTCTTCTCACAAACATCGCTTTTGGCAACATGACAGTCTCGTTGCTCGATGTCCAAAAATCACTTGATTTGGATGAAACTGAGCTTCCTTGGCTTCAGGGTGCGTATGCTTTGGCAAATGGCTCTTTTGTGCTTGTGTTTGGCGGCCTGGCAGACTCTCTCGGTGCAAAGCGTGTCTTCATCTGCGGCTGTCTGTGGCTAGCAATTTGGTCTCTAGTTGCCGGCCTAGCAAGCAGTCCCATCCAGCTATTTGTGTCGCGCGCCATGCAAGGCATCTCTGGTGGAGCACTCGTCCCTTCTGGTCTTGCACTCCTCGGATATGTCTACGAGCCTGGCCGTCGCAAGAACCGCGTCTTTTCCATTTACGGTGCAGCAGCACCCATTGGCTTCATCATTGGTGCAGCTGAGGCAGGCGTGTGCATTCAGGTCGCCAACTGGCGCTGGACATTCTACATCAACAGCATCCTCGTAACGCTTGTTGCCATTGCAGCATGGTTCAGTATTCCCCCAGATGAACATCCAGTCGGCAACTTGCGCCGTTTCGATTGGCTTGGCTCGGGTGTGGCCATCGCAGGCATTGTTCTGGTCGTCTTTGGTCTGACAGATGGTCCGGTTGCTCATTGGACACCCTATACCTACGGCCTCTTGATTGTTGGTGTGCTCCTGCTAGCACTCTTTGTTTGGATCGAAAAGAAGGTCTCAGACGACCCAGTCATGCCACTCGAGATGTGGTCTACTCCTAGCTTTGGCTGGTTGATGGCAGCCACTGTGCTTGGCTGGGGCGGATACGCTTGCTGGCAATTCTACGCTGGTCTCTTTTGGCTCAAAGTTACGCAAGCCTCTCCACTCCTGACTGCTGCCTACTTCTCCCCCAATGCCGTTTTTGGTGTTGTAGCCACCATGGTCTGTGCAAGCACGCTGCATATCCTACCGGGTCACTACATTTTTGGCATTTCGGGCATGTGCTTCTCTGTTGGTCCTGCCCTGTTTGTGCTACTCAGCTACAAGCCGCATTTGTCGTATTGGGCAGCTGGCTTTCCAGCACTCATTTTCACGACATTCGGGCCTGATCTCAGTTTCTCTTCAGCAAGCATCTTTGTTACAAGTCACGTTAAGCGCAAGTATCAAGGAAGTGCTGGATCCGTGCTCAATGCGATTTTGCAGGTAGCCATGTCGTTGGCTGTTGGGCTTGGTGGTATCGTCGAGTCGCAAGTGGTGCAGGCACGAAGAGACCCACTCAACCCGGATTGGCAGCCGAGTCTGGACGATGTTTTGGCATCTTATCGTGCTGTTTGGTGGTTTAGCCTGGCCTTGAGTCTAGCGAGCTTGCTCATGACTTTGCTTTTTGTACGCATCGAAAAGACGAGTGAGAAGAAGCACCTGGCTTGAGATTGCAGCTGAATGACGTAGATATCAGGAGCATTGATATAGACGACAGATACGTGTCTACACGAAGATGTAAGTCAGCTGCGGTTGAGATATGACGAGGTTGTGACGCAACACGACCGGATTCGAAAAGAAGCCGATGTCGTACTATGACCCGGAGTATGAGCTAAGACTGAGCAGGCTTGTAGAGTAGCAGTAGCTGTAGTAACGGCGGGCGGCCGGGTTGCCGAACCTACGACATTATATTGAGCTGATCTGCAGTTGACAAAGAAGGTGCTGAGAGCAATCACCTACGACGGCCTGAGACTAGCTGATCTGAGCCAGCCCCAGGCCTCAGCTTGCAGCCCCAGCCTGCCTGCAGCAGATGTTGTTTGTGGTGTTCGGCGTCGTCGGCCTGTGCTGCCGACTCCTCGCCGCCTGTTCTCCGCAACTCCACACCAGAGACCAAGCACATCCATATACAAAGCCTCGACCAAGCTTTTCTCTTGCTCAGTATGCCCGAACAGTCCCTGCCTCTTGTTCTCGAGCCTCTCTCCCCCTTCGGAGATGCGCTCGCAGGCTCCCTCGGCGCAGTCTTTGCCAATGCTGTGGTCTACCCACTCGACATCATCAAGACCAGGCTCCAGGTCCAGCGCAGAAGCGAAAAGGCCGCAGAGAATGACAAACGTGCAGATGGTGCGGAAGCAGTCATTGACGGAGACCACTACACCTCGGCCTTTGATGCATTCCAGAAGATGCTTAAGCGCGAGGGCGTCCGAGGCTTGTATGCCGGTATCGCGGGTGGCCTGGTTGGCACTGCCTCGCAGAACTTTGCCTACTTTTATTGGTATACCTTTGTGCGCGATACCTACACTGCGCGTATCCCTGTCATCTCAACGGCTATGGAATTAGTGCTTGGAGCGGTGGCAGGAGCCCTTGCAACCATTTTCACCATTCCCATCAGTGTCTGCACAACTCGCCAACAGACAGCCAGTACACTGCGTCGCAAGTCTCTCTTTGGCACAGCAGCAGAAGTTGTAGATGAGGATGGTATTGCAGGCCTTTGGCGCGGATTGAAGCCTTCCCTTATTTTGTGCGTCAACCCAGCCATCACCTATGGTCTCTTTGCAATTTTGAAGAAGCGCATTGTGGGCGAACTGGGCAAGCTGACGCCTGGGCAGGCATTCGGTATCGGAGCTCTCTCCAAGACCGTTGCAACGGTCGTAACTTACCCCTACATTATGGCCAAGGTGCGCATGCAGCACAAGAATGAAGACCCAAAAATCGCCGCTCAGCAGAGCAAGCTGAGTGCGCTTGGCATCCTTGGCAAGATCTTGAAGGAGGATGGCTTTATCGGGTTGTACAAGGGCATGGATACGCAAATATTCAAGGCCGTCTTGACGCAAGCAATTCTCTTCTACTTCAGGGAGTTGTTTACGCGGTACACGATGGTAGCCTATGCGCTCGGCAGGCGGCTGGCCCAGCAGCGGGCGTTGAAGAAGTAGAGGTAGATACTTGAGTAGATAGTGCGTCGGGAATAGATAAAGTGACACAAATATTGAGCAACCTCCCGTTTTCTACACCGCCGTCTACATCTACTTCTGCATCTACTTCTACATCTCGATACTGCTACTTGCACTTTAGCTCATGGCCCTGCGCCCATGTTCTCTCAGATCATAAATGACTACGGCGACCGCGAGTCCTGGCACAGGTCGCTGGTCGATTTGCGCCGGTCGCTGCCTCTGCTTGCTGCGCTGATTGCGCCGTTGTCTGTCCTGCTCGATATTCCTGCGCTCTCTCAGCCATGGTATGGCAGCGAGTCAAAGCGCATCACAGACGACAAGGTCAGCTTGATCCTCTCCGCCTTTTCCTTCTTCTTCAACCTCATTGCAAATGTCTTGCTCATGCTACGTTTCAGCGTCAAGACGGATCGCGCAGTCACCCTGGCGACCAACTGGTCCATTGTCTTCTGGATCCTCAAGCCAGTGATTGCGATTATCAACCTCGTCATCTTCGGCATCTACAGAAAGCAGACAGATGGAGCAGTTTACCTTGAGGGCTTCTGGTGCGCCGTCGTCTCTTGCGTCTTGGCAGCCTTATCTGCGCTTTGTCTCTTGATCAACTTTGGCTTTGAGTTCAACAAGCGCGTCCGTACGCTCAACAAGGAGACACGCAAGAAAGGTCGTGGCTTCATGATCAACGTGACGCTCTTTGTCTCAACCCTTGCTGTGCAAGCCCTTATCTTCTCGCGAATAGAAGGCTGGACTTATCTCTCTGGCATCTATTTCAGTACAGTTACAATCTTGACGGTTGGTTTTGGCGACCTCGTCCCGACACAAACATCCTCCAAGATTCTCCTATTCCCCATTGTTGTGATTGGCGTCGTCCACTTTGCGACGGTGGTCACTGGCATCATTTCCTACTTTCAAAGCAGAACAAAGCTCAGGCATAAGACCTCTCGCCGCAAGTATCGTCAGAAGCGTCTTGAGATGGAACGTGCTCCAGATACGCCAGACTTGATTGCAGAGATGGCGCTCCTTGAAGATCACCAGCGGCAAGAAGAGCGTGATGCCCAAATTGTCGACCTGTTCTACTCGCTCTTGACTTTTCTGACACTCTGGCTTATTGGTGCTGTCATCTTTTCCAAGCTAGAGGGCTGGACCTATGGCAACAGTCTCTACTTTGCAAGCGTCTTCTTCCTAACAATAGGGTTTGGCGACTTTGCACCCAAAACGAGCGCAGGCAGGGTGGCCTTTGTCATTTTTGCAGTGATTTCCGTTCCCGTTATCACCTCCTTCGTCGTTCAGACACTCAGCAGTTCTCTGGATCTGATGCGTGGCCAGTGGAAGACGCGCAAGAAGATTCAACAGCAGCCAGAGAAGCAGCCAACGCCACACGCGGTTCTTGTGCGACAGGCCAGCCATGAGATCCACTTGAAACGCAGCCGATCCTTTGCCGAGTCCAAAACGTCTAGCAAAGCCGAGCTCGGCAGCGATTTGATTGATTTGATGCTCAAGATGGATGTACAAACTAAGAAATTGCTGAATATGACATTATCTGGGCACGACAAGATTGTGTTGCGTGCGGATATATTCGTGCAGGCCAGGAACAGCGATCAGCCACATGACATTGCTGCTCGGATATTTGAGGCGGAAGATGTGTCTGCAGAGCTCAGCAACTACCGAAAATTGTTCGCCCAAGCGGTAGCGACGGCGAGTGCTCTAAAGGGTCTGACTGGCGAAGACCGTCGTGCATTCGAGCGTGTTGCTGAGTCATACGATGGAACAGAGCATTGGCATGATGTCGACTCCTCGCACGACATTTCGATCGAGTTTTCAAGTGAGGGCACACGCACCATCACCTTTCTGGATCCGTGAGCTTAGACAATCATATCCCCTGGCATCAACGGTCGCAGTTCTCTGACTGGCTGCTCGACTTGGTCGCGAGGGAAGAAGGAAATGACTTCGAGACAGCTGCGGTCTTCGCGCATGCACATGACTACTGCAATGTCGTCGCTGAAAGCAACACGCCAGACTTGTTGACTTTGTTCCGTGAGTTCCCGTACGAGTGCACCCGTTTCGAGGTCCCAGACTTTGGTCAAGCCGTCACTGGAACCGCTCACAATGCGATTGTCATCGAATTGTAGGGTTGTGACAGAGTTGTCGTGCCCAGCGAGGTGGTGAATACACTTCATCGAGTCGAGGTTCCATACACGAATACTCCCATCTGGTCCTCCGGTTACAAGCAACGGATGCCGCATCTGTAGCTGCCCAACCAAGCTTGTATGGCCGGAGAGCTTACCAAGGCACTCGCCCGTTTTGACGGACCAAACACGAATGGTGGCATCGAGCGAACCGGTTGCAATGATGCTGCCGTTGAAACCGATCGAGTAGATTTGCATGGCGTGTCCCGAAAAGGTGCGCAGTAGTGATCCGTCTGCCAAACTCCATAGCTTGCACGTCAAGTCGTAGCTGCCGGAAGCGACCATGTCGCCACTTACTTTAAGACATCTGACTGAATCTGTATGGCCAATGAGGACGTGCTTGCACAAGCCGGTATCGTAGTCCCAGACACGGATGGTTGCATCACGACTGCCGCTCACGACGAGGTGTTGACCAGACACGGCGGACGTGCTTGGTATGGCCTTGGCGATTTCGATGCAGCGAACTGTGGATGTATGACCACGCATGACGCGGAGGCATTTGCCAGAGGGCAGATCCCAGCTGCGTAATACTTTATCACATCCGCCAGAAACGAGGGTATCGCCAATGACATCGAGTGTCCAGACTCCCGATTCATGCCCGCTGAGTGTCCGTAGGAAGCGGCCATCTCTTGCAAAGACGTAGATTTTGGCATTATCCAAGCCAAGCACGATATAGTTGTCTGTCAACGTAGACCAAGTGACTGTTGCAAAGTCATCTGTAATGTGTCGAGCCAGAGTTGTGCCGCCGGACCGCCAGTTGGCGTCAATCATGTAGCGCTGCTTGAAGTGCGACTTGTACGAGGTGGGGATGGCCTTCCTATCCGCTGCTGCGCCCGTTGAGATGCGCGTTGTGGTCTGCAGGGGAATCACACCGAGGCCCTCTGGCGCGGAGAAGTACGGGCTCTCGCCTGTGAGTGTGGGTGTGCGCTTGATGCTGGGTGTGGGCAGGGACGAGAGGCGGCGGTATCGATGAAGCCTGCAGAGGCGCTTCCATGCGAGGTCGTCGTTGAGCAAGGCATGCCAGTATTTTGAGACCTGGGCGGAGCGTGCGAGTGTCTTTGGGTCGTCGATGTAGGTCAAGATGCGGAGTGCGAGCTCGACGGGGAGGCACTTGAGGAAGTCCTTCTTGAGGCGCGGGGAGACATAGGCCGCGACGGAAGCTAATTCATAAGATGTACATAAGTTAAGGAGCTCTGCGAGGTAGCGCTGGCGCTCGATGGACTTGAGGGCGGCGAAGTGCGCCCGTGTGTCGCGGAGGACTGGGTCTTCGGCGTCCTGCCAGAGGGGGATGCGGTCGACGGGAGCTGGGGATGCTGCGGGTGTCGGTGGTCTGAGGCCTGGGCGTATGACTGGGGATATGGGGGAGAGGCTTCCTTCCATGGTCTGTTTGGTGGTGTTGGTGCTAGATGTAGCTCACTTTCACCGCCATTTCGAGTGTTTGCCAGATCTTGCGCAACAGAAGCAGCGACCGACCACGCAGGAAGCGCAGACAAGCAGCAAGCACAAGCAGCAGCAGCATCACGGCACGCAGCAGGCGCATGTTGGGCAGGGCCAGGCGATCCAGCAGGCGCCGCACAGCTGAAACAGGGATGGCAGCAGCACGGGCCTTGTCTTGCGTGACAGATGTCTCATCGTCTGCGTCCTCAGGCCTAGTAGCAGCAGTAGCAGCAGGCTCTGTCGTCGTAGAGGCACTCCGCCCCTTGTTGCTGCTCCCAGCCGTACTCGCACCCTTGCGCTTCTTCCTCCGTCGCCGCTCCTCCTTCTCAAGCCGCACCCTCTCCTCCTCCTCCCTGAGTGCAGCAACCGACGCAGACACCTCTGCATCCTGAATGTCCCCGATCGCCTGTGTCCACGCATCCTTCTTCTCCTGCGCAATATCGCTCGAGGCAATGTACTCTAGCGCATAGTCCCACTCCTTGCACTTCGGCAGCACATGCAGCGCATACAGCTCCATCGTCTGTTCATACGCAGATGTCTCTGGCTCCAGCGTCGAGAGGTAGTCTTCGACGCGCCTCTGCAGCTGTGTAGGGTCTTGTAGATGACGCACACTCGACATGATCAAGCTCGCCATCACATCAAATGGCGGCTTCCCATCGAAGCGTGCATACGTCTCATCCCACAGCGTGCCTTCTTGCAACCGGGCCTGCACACTGCTTCCCTCCCTCCCAAATTGATCCTTCAACCCACTTGCATCCAGTGAGCAGGTCGAATCAAGGACAGCCATGTAGAGCAGCCATACTTTGCGCGCGTACTTGCCCTGTGGCTGCTGATGAGCCGTGCGCAAGGTTGCGACGGCTGAAGCAAAGTCGCGGTCGAGATACTCGTGAGTAGCTTTCGTATACAGCGCCTGTACTGCAGAATCATTCCTGAGGGAAGCTGGCTTGCTGGGAAGTACAGGCAGCGACGGCATCTTGAGCGTGTGGGCGTTGCACTTGCTGGAAGTGGAGTTGCTGGATGCGACCTCATGGACCAGGACTACTCAGCTACTCAGCTACTCTGCTACTCAGCTACTCTGCTACTCAGCTACTCAGCTACTCATCTACTCATCTACTCTGCTACGTACATACTCAGCTCGTGACTGCAGGCACATGCTGCTCCTCTGGCCACAAGCTCCCACAGAGGCCCTGGGCAAATTGTCTGACCGCTTTGCCAAGATACTGCAGGCTCAACACACAGCACGCTACAGCTTGGTCTACCGTGTCCTGCGCAGAGGCACCGACAAGCTACTCGCCCTCACAACTGGCGACGACAAGCTTCATCTGATGCGTGACGATGTCTACTGCGTCCTTGGCAGCGACTTTGGCAATATCCTAGCAAAGCTCAAGCTATGGACAGAACGCCAGACCTACAAGATTGAAGGCACCACATTTGTCCTGGACGGGCAGACACTCAAGCTCGGTCAGCTCAGCCAAGGACCCACGACCCGTGGCCTTGTTCTGGAGTACGATGGTGACATCGACAAACTGCTTGGTCCGCTCCGGTCATCCTTGTCGCGCGATGGCAAAGAAGCAATGCTCTCCAGCACACTCACATTTCCACAATCCTACCTCGACCTGCTTCAGCGATTGTAGAGCATGTCTGCCATCCTGACCGCTTCACGCATACTCTTGTCATGCACACGCACAATCCGTGCACCTTGCCGAATACTCTGTGCAACAGCCACCGCAGTGCCAATCTGTCGCTTGTCAGGCTCTGCTACGCCCGTAATTTTGCCAATGAAGCCCTTGCGACTTGCTCCTACCAGCCAGGGAATCTTGCCACCCAGTGGCGTCTGCATCAATTCAATGTTTTGTTCAAGAGTCTTGCTGAAGGACAAGCCAGGATCCAGCACAAGATTCCAGGAGCGGATACCAGCGGCAATGGCAGCTTGATAGCGTTGCATGAGTTCTCGCATGACTGTTTCTGCAACACCATCAGGATACTCGCACAGCTGCTGCATGGTCTCGGGTGTACCACGCATGTGCATCAAAATAATAGGACAGCCAAGTTGTGCAGCTGTTGGCAACATGCCAGGGTCAGCAACGCCGGCACTCACATCGTTGATGATGGTTGCACCCGCTTCATATGCCGCTCGTGCTACGGATGCATCGAATGTATCAATACTAATGGGCATTGTGACACCAGCTTGACGCAAAGCGCCAATGACTGGTACAACCCTGGAGATTTCTTCTTGCGGCGAAACGGGCACAGCACCCGGTCGGGTGGATTGTCCACCCACGTCAATCATGTCTATACCATCCAGATCTTGGCAAAAGTCAGCAACGCGATCGAGCGACTGCTGGCCGCCGTCAGAGAAGGAGTCGGGCGTGGCATTGTAGATGAGCATGAGGTTTGTCTTGGGTTTTAGCCAAGGTTGGTAGAGCGGCAGACTCGTCTCTGGCTGCTCGTACCCGTGGGCAGAGAGGTTCGTAATGCTACTGTTAGTCGTAGACTTGAAGAAGAGACATACTCCGATAACGGCACTTTGACAAAATCACGTTCAGCAATTCCAATGTGAGGGATGGTCAGGTCCTGCGTCTTGACAATGTCCTTGTCATACAACAAGACATCGAGATCAATCGTCCGTGCTCCTTTTTCTATAGTCTTGACTCTGCCAAGCTCCTTTTCGATCTGCTGGCATGCCTTCATGAGCTGGTGCGGCGACAAAGAAGTCAGCACACAAGCAGCTCCATTGAGAAACGCCGGCTGATTAGTCACGTACATGGGAGCAGATTCATACAACATGGATGTATTGATGACTTGAATGCCGCGGGCATCGAGCTGGTCTAGTGCTTGCTGGATATAGCGTTGCCTGTCTCCGAGATTGGAGCCCAGAGCGAGAAAGGCAGTGTGCAGCTGCGGCAGTGTACTCTGCTGCCGTACAAAGCGAGTGAAAATGCTTGAGCATGTAGCTTGGGATGTAGCAGGTCTCTTCAGAGTCTGCCTGAGCATTTTCTGGAGCAGCATCCTGGTAGAGTGGTTGGTCAGGGTCAGGGCCATGTCGTCGTGTCCTTATTACCAAGTCTACAGAGTACAGGAACACTCTACATTAGCAGCTATGGACTCGCCCTCAGTCTCACTCGATATCCAAGGCGCCTTGACATGCTCCAGACAGCGCTACCTCTTCCGCGGCATACGCAGACAGCACCAGACACTCAAGAACCTCGCCTTGCTCGACAAGCACGACAAGCGCATCACGGCCCTGCGCGAGGTGTGCCATTTCTTGCTGTAACTCAAGCTGATGCGTAGAGACTCGATGCAGCAGAGCAGGATCTCTTCAACCTGCGGCATGCGCTGCGTGAGGAGGAGCAAAAACCAGCTTGGCCATCATGGACCTGCAGCGACAAGACCTGGCACAAACCGTACGTGCAGCGTTCGCCGTCTCAGGTTTCGGTTGATGTAGGTGCATCATGTAGGATTGCTGTGCTGACGATAGTACACGATGGAATCACCCCGCGCACCCACACAAGTCTCACCAGCCAGACGTTCATGGACACCGCGGACATCGCCCCTCAAGCAGCAGACCAATCCCTTCTCTACACCAGACGTAGCAAGTGTGCCAACGTCGCCCGTCATTGTTAAAACCGAGCAGCTGCTTGATCCGTTTGCTCAACGAGCTCCACCGCCAAGACTGCATCTTCCTATCAAGACCGTTGCTGTTGCTGCAGTCCCAGTCGCTACGCCTATTGCAACATCGGCCATCAAGCAGAAACGTCATTCACTGCTTTTTGATAGCAAACAGCGTCTCAAACGCGTGCTGCGTCTCAAGGTGTCTTCTCCGGTTGCGTAAAACCTGTCAACGCGGTCCAGTCTACATCACCGCTTGTATCAAACAGAGAGTCTTCATTTGGATTGTAGTCAAACCGCGGTTGCGCTTGTCCGTTGAAGAAATCTTGATCCTTAGAAATGGCCGGCATTGTCTCAGTGTCCATAGCCAACGCGTCCTCTGTGTTGCCTTGTTCCTGCTTCACTATGGGAGCAAGCGGCATTGCCAGTGGAATAGGCTGCAACGTGGACGGCCCAGGCCGCATGTAAGGTTCCTTATCCATCGGCACAGGCAGTTTCATATTGCCCTCGTCATCATAGTCATCGATGCGCACACGTTCTGAATCTTCCAGCGTCTGGCATATTCCTTCCAGATTCTTGACAAGCGAAACAACATCTCCCTGAAGCTTTCGTGCACGCTCCCGGAATTCATCCTTGTGCTCCTGCGGCTTGTTGCGGCGTGTGAGGAGCGGCGAGATGAGGGCTGGAATTCCGCGACGCAAGTTTTGGATTTCATCTTGTATGGAGGCGAGCTTCTGGACGTGCGAATAGTGGAGCGAAGCTGTTTCTGAGGCAGATATAGACGGTGTATGCGTGCGACCCAGCCCTGGCTCCATGCCTCGACTGCGGCCCAAGTGCTCAGGCAATGTTTTGGTCTTGTTGTGGTGTTGAGTCGTGCTTGAGCCTTGACGACGACCACACTCAAGCTGCTCGTCCAGTGTTGATATAGCTGAGAACAGTGCTGGTTTACTGCTGTCTCAGCTGTCTTCTTGATGTCGACGTCCAAAGAGATACTCGCGGCTGCCAGTCAGCTGCACAAGTGGACGCTCAACGGCAACAAGCTCGAACGTCAGCTGTGCTTCAAGGACTTCAATATTGCTTTCGGCTTCATGACTAGGTCAATACCAGTCGGCTTTTAAATACCAAAGCTCATTACCAGGGTTGCTATGAAAGCAGAGCGTATGAACCACCATCCGGAATGGAGTAATGTCTACAACAAGGTCAATATACAGCTCACAACGCACGATACCTCTGGACTGACTCAGAAAGACATCAAGCTAGCACAGTTCATTGATCAAGCAGCAGCGGAAGTGATGTAGACGTCTAAAAAACAACAATCGCAAGGTTCTCTTGCGTCGAGTCTGTGAAGATGGCTCATTGCGGTTACCATGAACTCATTGCTGGGCCTCTACTCTGCAGGACTGTCTTGCGATGTATGCAACAGCACTGACTCTATGAATGGAGAGTATAAGGGAATACCGTCCACGTCTCTTCGCTTGGAAGCATGACTTGCTTGCTTAGACAACATCCATGGAATCACACGTCAGCCGGTGGCATCTTGACAGCTCTGTGTTTACAAGGTAAGTTGAAGTTCTCCATAAGTTTCAGCTTGACGGCTGACTTGGCAGATAGATTGATCACAGAAGCACAGCAATTCTATGGAAAAGGCAAAAGGCCGTGACGATCTTGAACTAACTCATGCGGTTGACCACGACATCTGTACGACATCTTGGAAGCACAAGTCCACTATCGTAGTAGTTAGTGGAGCAAGCGAAAGAGTTTTGACGAGTCTAAAGCCACTTGCCTGGCAAGGCTTGACCGGTCTTGATGTCCGAATGGATAACGAGGCTCACTTCCATGCACACCTGTGTTTCACTGACACCCGTGTAGCCTTTTTTCTTGATGTGGAGAAGCAGGAAGCCAGCATGTCCGACATCTGCATTTTGACTGCAAGCAACAATCACCAAGTCTCCCTCGGAGATGTCCAGAGTCGAGACGGACCCAGTCTTGCCATGTTTGACGAACCAGTTGTGGCCGTCTTTCTGTGCGGTAGCGTCGTCAGTATCATAAGCAAAGCGAAAGTCTTTATCGATGCTGATGCTCTGGTGATTCTGCGACGTCTGAAGTCCAAATTCAGCGAGCGAGACGCGGACGAAAGGAACAGGGCCATTCCAAGAGCCCTTGTCAGTGAGCACCTTCAAGGTTTCAGGCAGTCCCCTTGTCGGCGCAATGACGAGATGACCGTTGACGGGCACGATTGCACCATCTTCGAACTTGTTGACAAAGGGAGCAAGATCTGGGGAGTCCGTCGGAATCGAAGCAGTCAGCTTGAACGGGCCTCTATTGTCCAGCGAACCGGGTGGGATCAGCTGGCTGAAGGCAGTGTGCGTGGCCCAGAGGAACACGATAGTGGCAGGTGTGATCATATTTCGCGAGGTCGAATGATGTTTTGTACGGCTGATAAGGACTTCAGCTTGGATATGCACTGCCTTTATATGTGGAAAACCTGGGCGAGAATCAATCTGCTGACGTGTACTAAAGTCTAAGGATAGTACCATGTGGCTGTGCTGTCAGGCGGCCTATTGGCTAGGCCTGATGGCGAGCATGAACGCACCCGAATGTTGCACCTTAGCAGCGATGTAAATTTTGAAAAGCCAGGGGTATATGATTTCTGCTGCACTGGAATTTCTAGGGCAAGTAAATGCACGCGACCATGGTCTGCTGTCCACCGGAGTAGCCGTAGTAGACTCGCCAGACAACTTTGATGTCACGACGTGGTAGGCTGGCTGTCTCAACGAATGATCAGACTGGAAGAATGCTTATATTCATCATTTCTATCGATCGGACAGCAGGCCGTCAGCCATATTCGTGAATTATTTGCAGGCCCATCCACATGCTCATAGACGGAGCGTAGCTCACAGACCATGTGATTGAGTTGAGTCACTTTGTTGTCAACATACGATTCATGCTACCATGCGGTTGCCATGCTGTAGAGTTAGGTCTAGAACTACATGGCCACATGGCGGTATTACTTCACCTTGCCAAGCCATCAAATGCCTCAATGAGCCCATAAGCTGACAAGATGTGGTTCTAATAACTCTCAAGCTTCTTGCGCCAGCTGATGGGTATGGTTGATGAATACATTTTGCCGCTGAATCCAAATCTCGTTCAGCTGCTGTACCTTGAGAATTTTGTAAAAGAGCACAAACGGAAGGTGTGCATGTGCACGACAGCCACGAACAAGGCTCAAGGGCTTCTCACTGCTCGAGACGACGTCTGAAATCTTATCATCTTTACCCGTTTGTTCCCACCGAGCAGTCAAATTGAGAAAATGCTTGTAGAAGTCGTCCCACAAAAAAGCTGATTATGTTCAAGTCGTACCATACCAAGGTCAAGGTGACAAAATCACAGCTCGCAGTCAGGTCTATAGAGTTGAAAGATAAGAATGCGATGAGGTATGAAAGTAAAGATAGAAAGTTGGAGGAAAAGAATGCGTTTTGAGCGGCTATCAAGCCCGAACTGGTCTAGTCCCATTTTCGGGGTAATCTGTCACGATCATCCGACGAGTAGGTCAAAACGAGATCCACGGCAGAGCATTTAGAATTGCCGGTGCTTTGTGCTTCGAGGGGTGTCTTGAATTTGAGTGGCATGAAGTCGGGCTGGCCATCATGGGAGCCTTCAATGCAAGCAACAAGAAGGAGGTCGTTGTGCTTCTGTGTATTTGGTGTGAGATACCAGACATTTGTCTTCTTGTCCAACGAGGTCGTCCACGTCAAGTCCAGAATCGAAGCTTCAGAATCATCGTAATAAAGGCCGTTCTTTCCATTGGACGCATCATTGACTGCGTGAATGGTTTGCTGGGAGATATTGTGGGGTTTCTGTAAAGTGGGAAGACCAAGCTCAGCTGAAGAGCTCAGGACGAAAGGAACAAGCCCTGTCCATGTCCAACCCCCGTTAAAGGTGACCTGCAGCTTGCTGTTCTTCTTGGGTGCAAGAACAAGTTGTCCCTCATGAGGCACAACTTGCCAGCCTGAGAACACTTGACTGATGCCGTGGTCCACATCCACGGAAGACGAGTCCGGCTTGGAAATGAGGGAGGCTGCCAAAGTAAATGCGCTGTTACTTGGCGTAGGGGAAGAGGGCTTGCTGAGGACACTGTAAGCACCCAACGAAATGAGAATGGCGCTAGACTTGATCATGATGGCTGATTTGCGATGATGTGTCTTGATCTGCTGAGAAGATCACGACAAGAGCCTGGCTTTATAGACGAACGGTGCAGTGCTGCTGCAGGTCCTAAAATAGGCACGCTTGAGTCTTTTATACCGAATGAGACCAATTGTTTGGCGGTGCGGTCACATGCACACGATCATGGTGTTTCGTAGCAAGGGAACACCCATGGCCATGCTTCACGCGATAATCTTGTAGCCGATTGGCCCGGTCCAGCTGTGGCCATGAAGTCTGAAGTCCAGGCACCCCGTTCGCCTGAGAAAGAGGCATCATCCCCAGTTTACTGACGATAAGTTGAGAAGTTGTGCATGAGTGTGCGGCGGCTCTGCCGCGTTGCACCTGTGGGCAACTGTTGGAAAGCACTGAAAGCTCTTGCAATGGAGTTGAAATCAGCAACATACATAAGTAGCCTTGATCTTGTCAATTTCAGGAAACTTGACGAGTCGATTAGCTGAAGAAAAGCCTGCGTGGATAGTGGTAGCGCAGGGTGATGCATACCCGCGGCCGCATGCCTCGGAAATGAGGCAGACATGAATATATCACTCAGTTGTGGTTTTGTTTGTGAGCGCGGGTCTAGGCTTTAGTCTGGCCTCAACTCTAGAGTCTAGACAGCATGAGTGATCCGACGATACTACCTTGAACCTCCGAAGCATGACCCCTGAGTAGAGGGGCATTCGTGAAGGTGAATCTGATGCATATGGTGGCCCATATTGGTGGGTGCCAGCTAAAGTTTAACAGACCATGTGTCGATTTGGCAACTCACCAAGTCACGCTAGCCAGTGCTTGAGAGCGTTGGAAGACGCAAGCTCGAGCACTCACCTTGAGGTGCACCAGTTCGGAGCATGAGTGGAGCCAGTAGTGCAGTTGCAGATCATCCAGCTGAATCTCAATTGCAACACAACTCAGTGTAGCGTAGCTGCTGCGGCTGCTGCTCTATTCCGTGCCGAGCGTCTGCCTTCGCCTTGGTCTTAGTATCCGTGAGCTTGAGGAATCGTGTCAGGCTAGTGCGCGCTCTTGCAATCTTGCAATTGTTGTAGTGCTCGCTTTGACGTTGAGCGCGCCACCTGCTGCCTCGTCAACCTCAACTAGCAGCGCTGCTTGGCCGCTACTGCCGCTTGACATTCACTACTTCTAGAAGCCAAACTGTATAGCCGCTAGCTGTAAGCCTGGCAAGTCAAAGCAAAAGGTCAATTGACGGCAGTGTGCGACCTTCGTTGCAGGACTAACAAGGGCACAGCCTCCGACAGAGCTGACAGATGTTTGAAACTGGCTATCTACAGAAACTTACATTAGAACTGCATATACCCTAGATGACACCTGCCAAATCTTGTACTATGGTGGCGAAGAAGGACTGAAGACAGTCGTGGCCATGTAATGGTTGTAGTTGTACTTGGTGATGGTGTTGCTAATAGGTCCCGGTCCATTGAGAATCTGTCCATTAGGCAAGGTGATGAATGGTGTTCCTTCCTGGAAGTTGGTAAAAGCCAACTGCGACAGGCCTGCTGTGTTGACGGTGAAAGTCTGCACCTTGCTGCCGGAGGTGAGAGAAAACGAGAATGGCACATCGGTTGAGGTGGCGAGTACGGTGATGTATATGTTGTCTGCTAGGGCACAGCCCTCGGCTGGCGTATTACCCGGTTGTCCACAAGCTGGCTTTGGCAGTGAGTCACCAGATGCCACTGCGTTCATCGAGTGCGGCCTATATGAGAAGAAGATCCGATTGATGAACTGAGCAGGTGGCGATCCGTTCTTGTACGTCTGAATAAAGTACTGAGTGATGGGCCCAAGGGCTTGGTGATTCATGTTGGGCGTCAAGGTCCAGTCCCTGGCCGAGGAAGAACCTTCTTGGTAGTAGTCGCCAACTGTTGGATCCAATGAACCAATGTAGTGTGACTCGCCATAGTCGTTCCAAGAGACAATCTGAACCATATCGGGCATGGCTGTGATGATGTTCTGCCACCTGGCATTATAAAGGAAGTCGTCTCGGTAGATGAAGTTTTTGCTGCCGTAGTGTGTGAAGAAGAGAGGAGAAACGCCAGCCATGTGCACTTTGCCAGAGTAGTACGAGTATGGGTCATTGCCAAGCGTGCCGTACCTGACACTGGTGGAAGGGGATGCATTGTCTCGTAGGTACATGTAGTAATTGAGTGCATCGGTTGTCTTGGTCCACATCTCCCAGGTTGAGGCACCATCTAGAGCATCCCAACCTTGAACAGTGGCGCCACGCCCGGTGAATACAGGAACAAAGAAAATGCCAATATTTTTGGACAGCAGGTAGTTCTTGAAGTACAGCCAGAGGCGTGCAGGCTCTGTTTGTTGGCCACTTGAGTAATTCTCTCCGGTGAAGGTCGTGAGGTAGGAGCGGCCACCCATCTTGTACTGCGCGGGCGAGTTGGCAAATGGCACAATGAATGTATTCGCAAGTTGCTCGGGCGTAAATGAGTAGATGACGGCCATGTCGAGCGAGATGAAAACCTTGAATCCGAGATTTGACGCTGCTTGGTACATGGTGGCCACTCGAGCTGGCTGCCAGTCTTCAAAGCCTACATTGAGAATGAAACCGTCAATACCCATGCTTTGGGCAATCTGAATCTCCTGCTGGAACCAACTCAAACCTTGGCCGAACGTGTTGCCAATCATGAAATGAGCAAAGACTTGTCGGGTGTTGCGGGCAGCCACCACGGGCGTGTAAGGGCTTGCAAAGGCAACGGATGCTGCTGCTTGCGCCATGGTTGAGGATGTCGTGGGTGGACGTGTTGTTGTAGTTGTCGCTGGACGTGTTGTTGTGGTTGTTGCTGAGCGCGCTGAAGTCGTCGAAGTCGTCGCAGGACGTTGTCTCGCTGATGCGGGCGTTGTTGTGACTGGAAGTGGCCTAGCACTGGCAGGCTTTGTGACAATGGGAGCAGGAGGTGCACGCCGGAAGAGATGATTGCCATCAGCTCGGGCGCGAAGATAGTCAATCAGGCCTGCATCGGCCGTGGCTACGAGCAGGATGGTAGAAAAGAGCGTGGTGAGCTTCATGGCTCAGCTGGTAGCTGGTAGCTGATGGCTAGTAGACAGTAGCGAGCTAGTAGCTAAATAGAAAAGAGCGTCGGTGGTCGAGGAGACCGAAGGAGCAGAAGCTATCTTATAAACAATGAGCAGAGCTGCAGAGCATGTCGCATAGACCCGTCAACCGTAGCGCAAGTTTGGCCCGGTCGCGTCTCTTTTGTGGTCCGTTTGCGGCGCGTCTTTCCCGCTTCTTGTTGTGCGCTCCTGTGTAACCTGCAACTGGCCAATCCAAAGTCGCCGTCGGCCCGTCGCCAGTTCGCTTCAGAGATCAAATTCCTCGGCCAGATTCATGGACTCATCATTCTGATTCATTCATAGATGGGATGGGCCGATGCTTCCACTTCCGGATTGACACTGTACTTACAACTGGACTTGACTGACTCAGACTGTCAGACTGAGCTTGACGCCGGCCTGAATTCCCTGGCAGGAATAAATGTCTGAGAGAAGTGACTGCTATGAGACCAGCTATTGATACTACGGTCTTTCGTTGGCTATTGATATCCGCCTAATAGATGCCCGGAATCATCTTGTACTTGACGCGAGCACAGTACTCATCCCAGTACTTGCCATACTTGGCCTTGCACCTGTCCTCCGACCTCAGGATACGGTGGTTGAGCAAGATGAACATGTAAACCACATAGAAATACCCGAGCAGAGCGTTGTGCCCAGTACCACAGCACAAGCACATGGCAAGGGAGATGAGCAAGTCGCCAAAGTAGTTGATCTGGTGCGCCAACCCCCACCAGCCAGACACGAGAAGGAGCGACTTGTGAGACACACCGTCGGATGTCTTGTACGTAGTTCGGATCACTTCTGCTGGCTTGCCCCAAATGTTGCACTTGCCATCACTTGAACGAACAATGTCCTTTTGGTGGTTTGTAGCACGGAAGATGTAGTAACCAACTAATCCAATAGCCAAAATAGCAACGACAGCCCAGTTGGCAAGATCGAGAGGGTTGTAGTAGAGGTACTGCGCCTGCAAGGTGTACATGAGTGGCAGCCAAACAAGATCTCCCCAAGCAAGGTAAAAGCCCATGTGGTCGTGAGCAATGTCAATCGTTCGCAGATACCAATCCTCGTTCCAGAAGAAGTCAATCACATACAACGCGTGCAGGAAGATGACAATCCACATCGAGTTGGTCACATAGCCGATAGACTGGTACTGAGCAGCGGCAAAGGAAATGTCAATCATGGTCCAGGCAATGATGCCAGGACGTCCATTGAAGAAGAGCTTGAAGTCAAACATCTCGCCAATGCGAGGGTTGAACTCAATACCCATAAAGTAGTCGTAGATGGCGCTACCAGTGAATTTGCGGTCCTCGGCATGCGAAGGCGCGACGTAGGCCTTGATGTAGCAGAACGTAGTGAGGCCGTAGCCAGCCAAGTTAGCGAGCACAAACAGAGCAGACCAGTTGTCGGCAATAATGCTGAGCTTCCAGTAACCAAGGTAGGCACCACCCACAAACAACACGTGCGACAAGAGGTAACAGGAGAGACCATTGACATAGTAAGGAAGCAAGTGACCGGCGGGCGTACGCTGGCCATAGCCAATGGAGCCAGGCACCGTCACGTACAAGACTGCCTGAAAGACGAGCCATCCAGCGTAAATTTGAGCGGCCTTCCAGGTTGGCATGGGCAGCCACGTCGACAAGAGCTGCTTGATGTGTTGCCAAGAACCGGCCTTGGCCACTTCAAGAGGCATGGTGAACATGTTGCACTGGTAGTGCGTGCATGATGCCAAGAACCAATTCGTCATGAGCGGGCAGAGCATGAGCATGAAGACGGCGCCAAACGTGGTGCCCCAGCTCGTTGCACCCTGTCGTCCCCATGAACTGGTTGGGGATGAGGGCTTGCTTGCGGCTTTGGCAATCTCTGCTGGGCTGACTTCGACATTTGCCTTCTCAGGCGATGTCTGACTGCGGCGATTGACCACCATCAGAGAAGTGCTTCCAGTGGTGTTGTCAAAAGCTGGACGCGACTTTTGGACTGTTGGGCGTTTTGGTGCTGACTCAGGAGATCAGGCCACAAATGTGAACTATCTCAGCAGCACTCCTGATCAGCAAAAGGAGACACAATACATATGTCTACAAAGCATGCAGCGCTGAACTCAAGTACTACAATTTCAATCAATCGCTCTTCGCTTCCTATCCCTCAAGAATAGCCGGCAGCAAGTTGCTCCCGGACGACGAAGTCAGACTCCGGGCCTCTTCGTCAGTCACGTCCTCAATTTCCTCATCCGCAGCCCCAAACACATCGTGATATTGTAAAATCAAGTTCCGCATCACGGTCTGCACTTTGCCAAGGTCATTCATGCTATTGGCAAACGACATGGCAGAGGGCACCGGCTGCAAAACATTCGGCCCAAAGACAATGGCCAAATTGTGAGCATACATGTGGTTGGTAGACTCATAGTCCGTGATTTTCTGCAAGTGTTCAAGCAGCCGTCGCAGCAATGCAAAATTGGGGGCCGGCAACTTGTAAATCAAGTCTCTGAGTTTTGCGTGTTTGCCTGTTGGATCCTTGATGTCCACTGTTGCAAGGAAGTCGGCATACAAGTCATAAGTCATGACTGGCTCCGGCAGCTCGCGCAGCCACAGCTTGAATGCACCAGCGATGGCGTGTATGTCTGACCACTGCTCGTTTTCCAGTTCGACCGGCCTACCTGTATCGAAACACTGCTTGAGCCTATTGACTGTGGCAAGCGAACCAGATATGCGATAGATGCCAACCTCGTCAAGGCCTTTTCTCTCAATAGCGTCCATGAGTTGCAGCGCTATGCGCGGAATGGAACAGTCTTCGCGCGCACAAAGCACATCTAAATTGACGCCAAACATGGCTGTCGATACATTGAGCACTTGCGAGTTGCGTGGACTGAATTGCGGTACCTCAAATGGCCGTTTGCGGTCTTCCAGCATCATGCTCTGCCGCTTGCGAGCACCGTCGATGGATGCCCAAGTCAGCCTCTTGACCCATTCTTCTGCTTCATGCAGCGTAGGTGCTTGAACGTAGGTCTCGATGCCGTCCTCAGAACGAATCATAAAGGTGAAATCATACTTGCTGATTAGGCGAATATGCGCCTTGACGAGATCCGCAGTCAGCACGGGCTTGGTCCCCTCGCGTATACTGCAAGTCTCTGGCAATTCTGCAGGGGGTACAGTGCGTACAATCGGCATCTTTTCCGCCCATGATCCAGTAATGGCAACCGATAATGGCCGTACAGCACGTAGCAGGCTGTTCATGCCATAGCGAGAGCGTGTTGCCGAGGGTCGACGCGATGCTTCGAGCGAGCGTTGGAGTTCCATTTGCTTGCGCTGCGCCGCTCTGCGAGACTCTTTGAGCAGCCGCTCCACGATCTCTCGTTGCTTGAGATCTCGACGAATCTTTTCCTGTTCAAAGACAATCAAATTGCCAAAGACGCGGTGAAGCCGCTTTTGCTGATTCTCCTTATTGGCAGCATCGCGCACGGCACGTAGTTCGTGGCTCTCCACGGGTACAAGCAGAAACCTGAAGTCATTGCCAGTGTCGGGTCTTGAAGTGAAGGGTCCAAGCAAGTCCAGATTGGCGAGCAGATTGTAAATGTACTGCCTCTTGTCAAAGTTGAGCAAATGTGGGCTCGTGATGAGTGTATCTGGCAAGCAGCAAGCAATTTCGAGCATGCGCTCGGTCAACCAGCATGTACAAGGCACGAGCGGTCCGTCAGTTATTTCCACTTGCACGCGTGAGACGAGTTCCATGATGCTGCCGCAGTAGTCGCCATTGCCAAGCGTCTCTGAGATCTGTGACCAAGCAAGAGAGAAGGCGCGACTAGTGGGATGAACAAGTCCAGCAGCAATAGCAGAAGCTGCAAAGGAGGGAACAATTTGGATCTTTTGTTCTTCTGTGCCAGAGACAATGTCAAATGGTCGCATGCGAGCGCCACTAATGGCCAACATTTGCAAGAAAAAGGTTATTCGATTGCTGCGTAGAGCAGGTTCAATGGTCGGGTCCGTTACTTGGGCAACGACCCAGTCTCTCATATGCATGTGCACGTCAAACAGGACGCGGATTGGTGATGGGAAGAAATTCACAAGAGGCTCTTCTGTGCCAGACTTGTTGAGATGTTGTAGCAACGATGCGCAATCAGCAATCTGCAAGTCGTGACTGCCGGTGTAGTCGAGTGGCATAAAGAAGGCTTTGGGGTCGAGCGATTCGAATTCAAGCAATTCATAATAGCGCATCCAGTCGCCTAAGGTGGCCGTTTCCAGAACTGCCTCGATTAGAGAGTCAAGTGCAGTGAGTACTCTGGCAGCGTCGTCTGATGAAGATTCAAAAGTAATGTGAAATGGCGCTTCTGCTGGCTCAAGCCAAGGCCAGGCGCTGGGCGTGTGGTGTATTTTCAACAACTGCCTTCTAAGTTCTTTTGCGTCGTCTGCAGGCAGTGCTGCAAGCAGCGGCACAAAGGCATCCTGTACTGCGGTACTGAAAAAGTCGCTTGCAAAGTGTGTTTGCCAAGACGTGAGAACTTGGAAGACGCCGACTGGATGGAGACTTGCGCGTGCAGTGAGTTGCTGCATAAATTCATGAGGTGCACAATAAGAGCGCATCGAAGCGAGCAGCATCTTGATGTACTCCGCGCGATCCAAATATATTTGATCCAGGTTGATGGCAGGGCCAATCAGCGGCAGGAGTGTGACGTCCTTCAAATTCGTCAAGTCAGACACTGCCAGGTCAACGAGCATTGCAAGGGATGCCGCTTTAACCACGCATTCACGTTGTCCGCGTTTGCTGCCTGGACGACTGCCTGGCTCTTCCTCCATCAATAGTGAGCTGCGCCGCGAAATGATGGAATCGCGTTTGCGAGTCTCCATAATGATGCTTTGAGGCCTGACTTTTGCTGCACGCTTGCCTTGTGCAGCATTGCGCAAGATGAATGAATCATCAGAGGCTGTTAGCTGATTGTCTTGCACGCCCGTCAAATCCTTCAGGTGCCGTAGCATTTTCCAGTCGCTGTTGGAGGCAGCATGGCGCGCACGCGTCGTTTCGTCCAATGCATCAAGACCTGTCGTGTAGTGACCTGCACGCTGAGTGGGTGGAAAAGAGTTGAGACGGCGAAGACCGGTCGCTTTGCTGGGAAGCTTACGCGTCGGATCGCTGAATTGGAGCAAGTCGCTCGGATCAAACAGGCGGTAGGTCGGAAGCAGATCTGTAAAGAGCAGAGGAAGAAAGGCTGCCGTGCCAGGTCGGAGCTCACACAAAGTCTTTCTCTCGTGCAAGTCGTCAATTGCAAGATTAGGCTCGCATAGGAAGGATGTGTCAAGCAGTGCCGGACTGCAGAGGTCTCGGGTCTCCATGGGTAGCGTATTGAGCCGCTTAAAACACTCCTGGAAGCTTGCTAGTCTTGGCGTTGACGCTTTCAGGGCAACCTCATCTTGAAAGACTTGCCAATTGTCGAGCGCATCCGTCACTGCTTCGTACGCCGCGGCCACTTGATCGAGCTGAACATGCTCACCCTTTGCCTCGTCGCGAATTTTGTCTACTGCATCGCAGAGGTCGCCATAGAATGGGACAATCTCATGTGCAGCAGCAGTTGTATTGGCAGCACTCGGCGCCAAGACATGCGCACTGGCCATGTCTGCAAGCGTTCCGCCCAGTGTACGCCTGAAGAGATCGCGCACGACAGAGCCCCACTCCCTTTCGACCGTCATGCGCACACGCGCATCCATCTGTGTCCACATCTGCGTGAGACGCGCCACAGAAGGCGCACATATGGCCATGACAACCGCAAGCCAGCCCGTCATGTCGCCGGCTTTCTTTGAGGCAAGAGCGATTTTGATCCATTGCATACAAAGAGCAGCCCGCTGCTCTGTATCAATTAATGGGTCCAATAGTTGTTGAAGTACAATAAACGTAATGAAATGCATTTGCCGTGCACTAAACAAGAGTGGATTGCGTGTCAGCTGTGCGAAAAAGAGAGACTCATCGCTCGAGGGGTTCCAGGCTTCAAAGAAGAAGCGATGAAAGAGGTGCAGTTGCGTGGCAAAGATAGAGGGGTTAAGTGAGAGAACCACACTGATTGTCAAACCTTCCTGCAGATCAGCGGCGTCCGCTTGACACTCTGCCGACTCCATACTAATGACACTCAAGAGGTTGGCGCGTCTCTTCCATAGATCGTCAACGAGGGCTGTTTTTTGCGACGGCTCGCAGCGTTCAATGAGCTTTAGGATGCCTTCAACGCAAGGCGCGTCGAGCAAAACAGAGGATGCAAATTTGAGGATGCCCTGGACAAGAGCGGCAGGACTGCTCGTCATGTGCTTTCGAAACTCAGCCAAAATATCTTGTACAGGATGCCAGAATCCCATGGTTTGCAAGAGGAGTGTGGACTGCGGGTTGTCTGGATGCTCTAGTATATGCTTGCACAAAGCAGTGGGGGTGCCAGAGACAAGGGTGCCATCCTCAAAAAACAAGCCTTCTTTTGGCGAAAGGAGCATTGGTGCTGTTGCAGGTCGGGAGCTTTGTCTAATGGCTTGCTCAAATTCATTGATGAATTGTGTTGGGTTGAGATATTTGAAGCGTCGCGTCAAGTCTGCATAACGCAGCTGAAGAAGTTCGTCAAAGCCGGTACTGTATATGCTTGCTTCACAGTGCAAAACACTCATCCTCGTCTCTAGGGTCCAGCCCTCGAGGCGTTTGTGCACTGCCTTGTGGCAGAGGAGTAGTTCGCCGTCAACAATAAACGCTATGCGTGGACTGCCCTCTTCCTGCAGTCGATGGCTCGACGAGAAGCGCTGTGGTGTTGTAGACTTGAGATCAAAGAGGATGTTTCGAACGGATTCGTCAAAGTCTGCTGGATGGAGTTGCTCCTCCTGCGTGCCCATGAGGGCGGCTGATAGACCTGAGCGTTGGGACATGTGTACATCAAAGGCGCGAAACGGTACATCAGACGGCGGCTTGAAGAAGTAGAGCTTGCTCTCTCTCAGCTATTGTTAGTCGTGTTGCCAATAAGGGGCCATACATAGATGCGCGACAGTTTCCACTGCGCTTCCTTCTTGCTCGACTTGCGATTGACCCAGCCGGATTTGGTGATTGTATGGCCTGCAAAGGGCGTTTCCTCTACAGGCCGCAGAGTCTTGTCTTCTAGCACGTCGTCGCGACTGACGAGCTGCGTGAGGTCATTCATACTCCGTGACAAGGCTTTGTATTGTCGACTGGCAAGCGAGGTGCGCAGCGGGCTACTGGATATAGAGAGCGAGGCTCCAGGGACTGCAAGCGAGTCGCGCACAGAGCCAGACGATGAAGAGGGCTCAGGCGAGCCGGTTGCGACGCGCCGTTTGCGACCAAAGAAGGAGGTGAAGCCACCGCTGCCAGACGCGGCTTTCTCATCGAGCGAGCTGGATGTGAGGTCCTTCCTGCTCTTTGAGGATGGCATGAGGCCTGCGGTGGACCCTATGTAGTGACGGCAGGGGTATTATGCGGTGTTCATGACGATGATGCTGGTTGCTGCGGTGCTTTCGGGGTTTCGTGTTGTTGGCGACCTGTTCAGGGCAACTTAACCAGCTACAGCATGCTACATCGCCTACTCGTCGTTGTCCCAGCCCGCAGACTGCTGTGGCACCTTGGGCCCGCCTGCCACTTTGCTCATGATGATCTGGTCTACGCTCAGCACCGTCAACGCAGCCTCGGTCGCCAGTTTGATGGCCCATGCCTTGGCTGCCAACACATCCAGCACACCGGCCTTTTTCGCATCCACCATGCCCGTCTCGCTCTCTTCTACATCAAGCCCAATCAGACCATGCTCGTGCTTGTAATGCGCTGCATGCAGCCTTGCAAGCACTTCAGAAACATCCAAGCCGGCGTTTTCTGCCAATGTCCTGGGGATGATCTCAAAAGCTTGTGCATACTTTTTGATGCCATGCTGCAGCAGGCCAGGTGTTCGGTCGCCCAGTGCTTCGATCCGCTTGAGGAGTTCCATTTCTGTCGCACCAGCGCCAGGCACAAGCCGTGAATCTTTGACAAGTGCCTTGACTACATTGACGCCATCGTCAATAGCACGCTCGATATCATCCAGGTGATTTTGGGTCGCACCTCGAATCACAATCGTTGCCGTCTTGGTTTGTTCATTTTCCTGCCTGAACACAGTGACGCGGTCGCCGCCAATCTCAATCGTTTCAACCACATCTACCGTGCCCGTCTCTTCTGGCATGGGCGCGCCGACGCGTGCGAGGGGTGTAGCGCCAATCACGCGACACAGACGTCGCAAGTCGAACTTTGAGAGCACCTTGATCACGAAGATGCCGTATCGGTTGAGGTAGTGCAGCATGAGGTCACCCAGGGCAGATCCCGTCACCACAACGCGAATACCAGCATCGTACAATTCCTTGACAATCGCCTCGAGCTGATTCTCTTCTCCTTTTGTAAAATCCAGCATCTCCTTTGCGTTGTGAAGCAAGACTGTGCCTTTCGTCTCTGTTTGTGAAATGTCGAGTGGGCATGTAAAAACGGCAACCTTGGCCTTGGATGCCTTTTTGACGACACCTTCTGCTTCTCGTGGAAAGACCATACCTTTGATGACGCGAGATTGCTGCAGACTGGAACCGAGCACTTTGACGACACGAATCGAGTCGACATTAAAGTTGGCCGGGTTTTTGGGGAGGATAGCGAGGATTGCTTCACTCACAAGCTCACCGAGTAGCTCTTCGTTTCCATATTGCTTTGCACCGATAGCAGTTCTGACGGCTTTGGCGAGTTGCTTTTCATCGCGCAAATCACCAATATCGTCCACTGCCAGCTGCTCAATCGTCTCTTGACAAAATTTGCCGGCCACTTCAAAGCCTTGAATGACTTCTGAGGGATGCAGGCCAATTGTCAGCAGCTGACCAGCCTGGGCAAGCAATTCTCCGGCAAGAATGATGACGAGGTTGGTCGCGTCGCCCATTTCCGCCTCTTGCTGCTGGCTCGCCATCACCAGGAGTTTTGCTGCTGGGTGAATGACTTCGAGTTCACGCATAATGGTCGCTGCATCGGCCGTCAGGATGACCTTGGAGAGGTGGTTGATGATGATTTTATTGCGTCCATTCGGGCCAAAGGATGTACGCAAGATTTCAGTCAGTTCGTGTACGGCGGCAATGTTTCTCTGCACGGCATCCTCGACGCCCTGCGAGGAGCGATAGCCGTCTTTGAATAGCTGCTGGCCAGGAGGCCGCGGTACTTTGAGGGACATGATGCTCTATGGTCTACTGCTTGCTCAAGTTTTGAGTTGAAGAAATTCGCGTCCGCACGTGCACCCCTGAATGACTTAGATCCTCTAGTTATACATGTGTAGCATTATGTACGTGCTTGGGTGTTGGAACAATGAGCTGATCTGCTCTCCTCTTGTCTGCTGTATGCCATATGACTGTATGTCCAACCACATCACCGGTCGCGGGTGCCTATTGTCAATAACCTCCAATGATTCATCCACATACCTGCCGCACGATCCTCTATCGCCCTGAGATCATGAAAGAGATCACGCTGCTCCTCCCTCAGACGCGAACACTCATACTTGAGCGCTTGAATTTCTGCCTGTGTCCCTCGCTGTGCCATACTCGCCGCCAATAAACCCCCCGCCAACGATGACGCTCCAAGCGCTGTCACTTGAAGGCCTGCTTTCCGGACTGTTGCAAGAGCAAGGCGTGCCATGTTCCAGCGCGTTGACGGTGCTGGGAGAAGACTGCAGTCAATATACGAGTCCGAGTCGGTGTTTGGCGGAAGAACGCGGGATACAGGCGCCGGCTCCACAGCGTCTACGAGCAAAACGACAAGCAAGTACAGCAGAGACCACCACTGCATGAGACGGGCTCAGCTACTCGCAGCGCATAAACAAGCTGCTCAACCAGAGCATGTCACTGCCTTTCGAGCTGCTGAGAAAAAGTATAAATCAAGGGTCCCACCACCCGACTATAGCCAGATCATCGAAGTAGCTACGTTGCCTGGAGAAGCAATCCAAGTAAGCTGCGTGATTGATGGACAAGAGCTCTTTGGGCAAGACCTCAAAATATGCCTGCTATCAGGGCATCCCGGCATTGTCATTTTGCCAGGCGCTTTAAAACCAGAAGCACAGCGTTTGCTTGTCGAAAAGCTCCTCACCAACACTGCCAAGGCGCCGAATGCTTGCAATCTAGACACACATTATGTCATGCCTAAACGCGGGCTATGGGCTTGCTATCAAGATGCTTTGGACGGTCACGACATCCTGATCCAAGCCAAACATGAGCTGGAGCCCACCACCGAAAAGCTGCCAGACGGTCGTCGCTTGATCGACGGGACGCCAGACTTGTCCATGTCGGCGAAAAAGCCTGCTCCTCCATCGCAAACTGTGCAAAGCGAACTTGCTTCCACACTCATGGCCAAGCTACGTTGGACAAATCTTGGTCTCGAGTACCACTGGACCAGCAAGAGTTATCAACTTACTGATCCAATACCTGTGCCACAAGAATGGACAGACCTCTCTCGCGCAGTCGTCTCTGCTTTAGGCCTCGACTTTCAACCGGAATCCGGCATTGTCAACTACTACCAGCTCAAGTCAACACTCATGGCTCACGTGGATCAGTCGGAAGTCGCTCAACAGCCTCTCGTTTCTGTATCGCTTGGTCATTCTGCAGTCTTCTTGCTGGGTGGCGAATCGCGTGATGTGCCGCCCACCGCCCTCTACCTGCACTCTGGCGATGTCCTCGTCATGAGTGGCCCAGCTCGCCGCGCCTTTCATGGCATCCCACGCATCATTGAAGGTTCACTGCCTGCGCATTTTCAAAATTGGGGTCACTATACAACGTACCTGAGTACAACGCGTATCAATGTCAACATTCGTCAAGTTTTTTGACAAACTTGCGCCTGCGGAAACGACCAATCCATGAGATTCTGCGACAACAGGGACTCGGCACTCCAACCATTGTTGGGACTGCCTCCTTTGTCATTCACCTTTAAACTCCAAAATGCACCACCTGCCTGCTGTTCCCATAAACGTTGCTGAGTTTGCCAAATGGAAGACCGCCAAGCGTCTGTATTTTGGTAGGCGCCTCCCACAGACAAGCTATATTCGCCAATAAATACTGGCAGTTTTGATTTCGTCTTTGCTACAGCACATGCTTGTTGCACGGCCCGCTCAGAGTTGGACAAGGCGCCCGTGTAGTACTCGTGCACATCCAAGACCCAGTTGTCTTTATTGTTTTTGCCGTAATCTGACCAAGACTTGATGCCCTGGAAGCCATCGTGAAACATGATGGGCATGCTTGCGTTTGTTTTTTGCACAATTTGCTTGGCGGACTTGAGGTAGGCTTCATACGTTTTGCGGCGGTCTTTGGTTGTGATGTTGGGCTCATTGCACAGCTCAAGCGCAGCAACCGAGCCTCGATATGGGGATGCTTGAATGTAGCGCATGGCCGCCTGCACCACATCGAGACTTTTCTGCTGATTTGCTTTGCTAAACCATCCAATCTCGCCTTGATGACCTGAATGGTCCTTTGCATTTTGAGAGCCAGGGAGGCCATGCAAATCCAGCACCACATACAACCCATGCAACGACGCCTGCTCCATAATGCGCGTGACGTGGTCCATCTGGTTGCTCATGACATAGGGCTCATCGGCCGCAGGTGCAACAAGAGCCCAGTGTCCGATAGGTATCCGCAGCAAATTGATGCCCGCCTGCTGCAACGCTTGGATATCACTCGCTGTGACATAGGTTGTCCAATGCGCCTGCAGCTGCAATTCACAAGCTTCTTTTCCCAAGGTTGCACAGAATGACCATTCATCTGCCTGTGCACCGGGCGCCGCTTGTTGATAGTAGCCTGAGTCCATCCATTCTTCTAGAATGAGCCAGTTGCCGAGATTGACGCCGCGCGCTTTGAACGTCTGCCAGAATGGATTTGCCGCTGCGTGGACACTCGCAAGGAGCACGAAGCTAGAGAGGATGCGCATTGACCAAGGTGTAGTCTGCAGGCATCTTTCTGTCTGCAGCTGCCATGAGATGAAGGCATCCTGGTGGTGGTCGGCTCAACTGAGACACGCCCAGCCCCCGACGACCAAATGCGACGCAGGCATCAGATGGCAGGCCGCTTTGCTCAGCCATGGATTTAGCTTTGCCTAGTGCGCATCGGGTGGTCCTACTAGCTTGAGCATTCATCTTGTTCGTAATGTCAGGTGCGAATGGCGAATTGACTTCTTGCTGATGCATTTCGACCCCTTGCAAGTGGCAGTTGTCGCAGTGGGTCGTAGCGTCGAAAGGTATGATACTTGCTCGTATGGACTCTTTTGCCCATCAGGAGCAGCCCTTTATTGACTGCTCGGGTCATCTCAGCTTTGTCATGAGTGAAGAAAAACATGGATCCACACTGGGCGTCTGGGTGTCGCGCCTTACTCGTAAGCCAGAGCGGCTTATAGCTCGAGGTGAATTGTTTCGATTGACGTGGTTCTTCCTCGACGCTGTTGAAAGGGTCCTCCGTGTGAGCTCAACTGGCTATGAGGCAGACATCGAATACTGAAGCATTCTAATAGGACATCTTTTGTGGTAGCAGACGCAGCACGTCACGATGTCGGGTAAAATGTCGCTTAGCAGATGACAGCTCGATGACAGCAACCAACCACCCAACATGCCAGGACTCCTCTATGGCCTCATCTATGGCAACAAGTACACGGCCGACAAGATTCCTGACCAAACAGGCAAGACAGTCATCGTAACAGGTGGCAATACGGGCATTGGCTACGAGACGGCGCTTCAGATTGTATGCAGACACTCATTTGACAGATAAGCTGATACCAGGCTCTCCACGGTGCCAAAGTGTACATTGCTGCACGTTCAGAGTCTCGTGCTCAAGGAGCCATCGAGAAGATTCGTGCACAGAAACCAAGTGGCTCGGTCGAATGGCTCAAGCTGGATCTGCAAGATTTGGCGAGTGTTCAAGCAGCTGCCAAGGCATTTAGCAGCAAGGAGAGCAAGCTGGATGTGCTGTACAACAATGCAGGCATCATGGCATCACCTTATCAACTGACCAAGGACGGTATTGAGAGCCAATTCCAAACCAACCATATTGGTCCGTTCCTGTTCACCAATCTCCTACTGCCCAAGCTCAAGCAATCAACTGACGCCCGTATTGTCGTCACCTCTTCATCAGCACACAGTATGTATACTGCCAATGAAGATTCCTACACAAGTCTCGAGGAAGTCAACAGCCAGCACGGCTCTACCTGGACACGCTACGGTCAAAGCAAGCTCGCCAATGTCTTGTTTGCCATGGAGCTGGCCAACAAGTTTCCAGACATCAAGACGAACGCCTGCCATCCAGGTGTCATCAATACCGAGCTGAGTCGTGGTCCAGGCGCTTCGTATGGCAAAGTCGTGCAGAAAGTCATGGAGGGCACCATGTGGTTCGGCTCATCGGCTCTAGGTGCAGTTCTGTCGCCACCTCAGGGAGCCCTCACACAGCTCTTCCTGGGTACTGCATTGGAAGTCAAGAGCCAATCCATCTCTGGCAAATACTATCAGCCTATTGCAGTGGAGAAGAAGCCAGAAGCATCGGCCAATGCGGAGCAGGCTGCCAAATTGTGGAAGACGAGTGAAGCAATCTTGAAAGAGAAGGGTTTCAGCTTGACGCTATAATGAGGTATTGAGATTGCTATGATTGTACTATCTAGTAAAAAGGATTACGCATTGGGACTGCCGGCTTGTAACTTCCATGTAGCTTGGTTCCCGTTGACTGCCAGTCCGACTTTGGCCCAATTTCTTGTCTTACTGTTTTATGGGTTCTATCCCTAGTCGACCAAGATAAAATGATAGCCTTGTGCTGCTTCATTTTTACTTACCAAATGTGTGCTTTGGTAGGATCATCTACTTCTACCTCTTCTGTTGTCTAGTGTCTGCGAGGTCGACTCGCTCTGCCCTGCCTAGCCACTTCTCAGCCCAGTCGTTACACCGTGACTCCCGCATCTCGATCCTTTGATAGTGGCAAGTTTTGAGGTTTGCGACCAGGTAAAGGATGAACCAGCCTTTGGAACTTGCGAATATCAAAGAAAATTTTCCAAAGACAAATTGCGGATATATAGAGTCAAGGTATGCAAAAGTCATCCAGCTCGTGTAGCTCAGTTGGTTAGAGCGCGGGACTGTTAATCTCGAGGTCCCTGGTTCAAACCCAGGCGTGAGCGGGCAATCTTTTTCCTGAATGATCTTTTGAGCATTTCGACTTTCAGATGGAATACATTTATATGGTGTCTAGACTGGTGCCAGGCCATGCGACTAGCATGCACGCGAGAGAAGAGCCATCTCAGAACTGAATACTTATTGTGTAAAGCTACAGAGCAGGGGTATGACGACGTCGTCGTCCCGGCCGATTGATGAGCCTGCGTGCAAGCGCGTAACGTACCGTGTATAGTGGATGCTGGTCTGGCAGCGCGAAGACATCAAGAAATAATCGTTCAGCGGCAGCTTAGGAGAGAGAATTGATCGCATGTAGCTGGCATAACGTTGGTGGAGATACAGCGCGTTGGAGCCATTGCTGGAGAATACGCTATGTTGCTGAAGATGACAAAAATGTTGTATCCATTGCTTCAGAAGGCGAAGGGACGTGAGCCATGGTTTCCGGGTACATGTGGTTCTCTAGTGGCAGCAACATTCAGGGTTAATGCATAAGATGGCAGCAAAATTCAGGGTCAATGCATAAGATGACTTCTAAATGGTCGCAACTGTAAAATTGCGAAGATCACATGCTACATCAAGACGATGCTACACCACAGCTGACATATACTTCAATTGGTTGCAGATAAGTCTCGAGGTGATCACGAGATATGTTCATGCTGGATGAATCATCATCAATCAATTTTATGCACATTGACGCATTCACTTGTCTCAACACTCTTAGTCCTCCGCTCAGAGAAAGGAGCGTAGTCATCATCGTCGCCCTCTGGTTCTCCCAATCTCACTGTTAGCCTTGCTTCCTTATTGAGAGACGAGAATCAATAGCCTTAGGTGCTCACAATCATAGGAGAAAAGTGTGTTGTTGAGCCCTGCTGCAGATTACAGGCTTCTCAACAGCAAAGTCCATATTTACGATGTGAGAAATCAGGGGCAACCAACCATATGAGAGATGAACTGGTCACCCACCGCACAACGCTCTTCCAGACGCTTGACCTTGCCGTCGTAATGATATGCAGTATGCCATTCCGGAATTATTGCTTCGCTGTGGAGGGTCCGTACTCAAGATCAGGCGTCAGTGCTGCGTCTCTACGGGAATATCGCTGGTGAGGAGCGGTGCACACAAGTGACTCGCGGATGACTCGCAGGTGATGGACCGATGACGCTGGTGAAACCCTGGAGCAAGCCGGAACACCACTTCCAGATGCTGGTGGGGAACCGGGGATCTACGGAAGACAAATAGCGGACGCTAGTGATTACTGTTGCCTGCACTATAGCTATGCATATAAATAGCACGTCCATGTAGACACATACACTGGCATTTGCCCAGTCTATGCACAACGATAGAGATGGAAGCAATCCAATCCATGACATGTACCAAACCGCGTCGATCTGCATGGTCTGACTACCTGCAAATGGGTCCATCGTTCTGAATACGGTAGCCCTCTGCTATATAGCGAGAGCGGCCTTGTCTCTAAGGCTTCAGAAAGCAAGGAAGTCGAGCCGTCAGTGTGATGTGCTCAATGTGAAGTTGCAATAATCAGCTTTGCAAACACATCTTAAAACAATGAGCTCCGACAAGGACGTAGCTTGGTCTCTTGAGGGCGTAAATACACGCCTGCTGCAGCTAGGAGAGAGAATCCTCGGGCACGCAGTCAGTTAGACAATTTTTGACATCAGCAAGCAACGCAGGCTCAGACTCTTTCGAGTGCCATGTAAAGCGACGCAGGAGGCGCTTCAGAGGAGTCAACTTGATGCTTTGGCTGCTCTCAGGTGCCGCTACTGCTTGACTGACGGAGATGGCTTCCGACTCAAGGTCCGAGGCTCTTCTCTCGCGTGCACGCTGTCGCGTGGCGTGCTACCAAATTAGCGCGTGTACAAAAGAAGATAAGCTACCCATTGCTCAATACGCATAAAGGAATGTAAGCGCGTCTCTGACGAGCGATGATCAAGCGATGCGCAGAGAGTGCAAAGTTCAGCATCGCATTGTAGGCAGTAGAGTGCCGTTTCGTGCGGGCCTATTAGGACGTGCCGCGCTCGCAGACAAGCGTTGGCTGGTACATTCATCGACTGATGATAGAGTACATATCACAGCAATAGCAATAGCAGTAGCAGTAGCAGTACTCGGGGAGTAGGTATCCGACGGAAAGTTTTCCGGAGTTTACCTGAGGTCCTGAGCCAAACAGGGCATCACCGTGAGAAATTTTCCAAGCACAGCGGATTACCGGAGCCAACCGACTTCCAAACTTGCATACCGCAGGACTACCAGCGGTTATGAAGAAGCGGATCACTGAGCCACGCTGAAAGGCAGACAATACACAGTCAAACTCTATTATCAAGTGAGCAAGGGCCAACACTCGCTGATGATCAAGTTTAGAGGCTATTTATACTGGGTTCGATAGCCCTCAGCTGCCCCGAAGAGTGCTTCTGCTTTCATCGGCGCTGTTTTCGCTTATGCAGCTTGCCTGCTCTTTTCTTGTCGAGCTCTGTTCTCTCTATTAGGCCGATAGGTCCAAGCAGACGGCAAACTGGCACAATGACCTGCAATATATGTCCTTGCTCGCTGAGAGACATTGCGCCGCACGACAACTTGGTCTTCAAGACCCTGATATCGCAAAATGCCTGCCGTCGTGTTCAAACAGACAGAGAGCTTCCTCATAGCTCAATATCAGATTGTCGTCAACCTGAGGCGCTTCACGCGAGTGCTCACTGAACGCGACCTTGCTTCGTGAACGGAGGTCGTCCGAACTGCTTGTCGCAGCACACTTGACAATGAAGGTCCTTGTAGTGCCCTGACGACTAGCCAATTCGTATCTTTGCCATGATCAGTCAGCGTTTGTAGACACAAAACTGAAAGAGTCTAGCGCTAGGCTCTAGCGGATCTTGAGCTTCATTGACTTTGGCGCATTTCTCCCTTCCTGCAAGCCTTGTCGCTTCAGGACGAGATAGGATGACCAGCACCTGTATTTGCTTCACATCGTCTTGCTGCTTGTACACAACACCTCACTGCCCTTGAGCTTACATGTGCGAGCTTGTGGCATGTCACGCTGCTCGGTCACTCTTTTCAAGACATGTCGCCCTGCACTCGCGTAGGCAGTGCATGCTGCGAGCTCGATGCCTTTCATGGACCAAGACAGGAAGAGGAGTCTCCCAGAGACAGCCTGAACAGCTACAACAGGCGCGCAGAATCTATTGAGCGTATTATTACACCACTGAGATTCAAGCACACGGCGATTGACGTCTCTAGAGCCGATAACCCTTTTACAAAGACTCTACGACTCGCAATGGGCCTCCAACCACGAACGCCATTGCGCGACGCCACGTCAAATCCATCACTGCACATGCACGATACGTGATGGACACTCAGTAGATTGTGGTCGATGCGCAAGGCAAGACGGTCACACGGAATATTAAAGGCACCGTGTACGGCAAGCGGACCCGCCTGTACACTGCGCGCTAACGAGCGTCTTCCATGGACTCGTACAGGTATTTGAATTGCCAAAATCGATGGCTACAGGATCGAAATCTTGCGATTCATCATAAGCGAGCATCTCCCCTTCGCAGACCTCGAAATCGGCGTCAAAACCATAGACGCTGCTATTGTAGGCGAGATGGATTCGATTCCAAGCAAAGTGCTGTGATTGCTGGATGCGTGAAACTTGGTCGTGTATGCGTTGACAGAGGCCTCTGAGTGATTCTTTGCTCGTACTGACTCGCCGTCGGGCAGAACTTCGTCAGAGATAAGAGAGAAGGAGCAATCTGATCGGCGAAGAATAGATCACGAGCGTAAGGTTGAAAGAAGTCAGAAAGACCAAAAAGATGAGTCAACGATCAGTCTACGGCAAGCGTCTTCACTGATACATAAATATTGGCAATCATCGTCAGTACTTTCATCATATCCTAGTGCGCTCAATGAACAGCAAAGGAAGGCTTCAATCGACGCAGGCTTTCTGAAGGGCCTTCACTTCTCAAGGAGCATGAACAATGTGCCCCGTTCCACGCAGCAGCATATACGTACATTTGCTGCTACTACCGCTGTCTGCAGCTGAGCAATTGACACATGACGATGACTCTCAGAACGGATCAAATGAGGTAACATTGCATCACATGCATGCATGCGCCCATCATACATAACGATTGCAAGCTAAGAGCTGTTCTGTTGATCTTGCTACCCCCTCCTGAAGAAGACATCTTGCGAGTTTTTGCTCTTCACTTGACAACATCTGCGCCAAGACAGCCATTCGCGATACATCATGTTGCGCGTCAACTTGGGCGGCCGCTTCAGACCAGGCCTGTTGTTGGTCTTTGTGTTGCTCTTTCCATTATTCTCATCGTTCACGCCCAACTCTGGTTTGGTCGCTGCAGGAAGGCCAAAGGGCAGTAAAAATAAACCGAAGGAGCATGTTACCAATAATGCGCCCAAGAAATGCTATAGCATGAAGATGTCGGTCACGCAGACTATCAAGGAGGGAGTAACTGACTCGCAATCATGCAAAAATCAATGTCTAAATCGCTACAACCACTGGCGAAATCATCTTGGCCACCATCTGAAGGGGAATAGTAGGTGCTTGAAAGCGCGCCCATGTCTTGATGGCAGGGCCTTTTTGTTCGACTTCGGACTCAACACGGGCACATCATCCGGCGCCTGCCAATCGTCAAGCTGTCCTTCGCTGATTTGCTCTTGCTTTACACAAGCGACGTTTTGGCGAATTAAGCAGCCACTATCATTCTCGCTAGCGCCATGGGAACTCAGTATGGAGGCCGCTTTCGGTGACCCCGATAAATTTTCTGAGGAACTTTAAGAATGTTATCAACGACGGAAGAGGACTACTCACCTGTATGCCAAAGTTCTTGATTCCAGTCATGCTCGAATATTCCCCTTCTGCAACATGGCTTCGACGGCCAAATGCAATATTTACGACAAAGACGGACCTCTCTTGCGACGAACTAACGACCGATGAGAGAAATTGTGGGTGCCAAAAGGCCCTAGGACGCGATGACAGAGAAGGTGAAGCCAGCACAGCCTTACCTCACCCGTTTGATCTGAATCAGCCGGCACCTGGATCTAATCAAAGCGATTTAGATTTTGCGGCCCACTTCGATAGAGTCCGGGAGTCTACAGCAACTACCCAGCAATTGGAAACGCAATTCCGTACCGCTCTTCATCCTGGAAATGACCCAAACGGCCAGCAGGATTACCCGTATAACCGTGGTAGTCTCCAGTCGATGCAGCAGTATGCGCCTCAAACTGGCTCTGACTCTCCCTATGGACCAGCAGCCCATTTCAATTCGCATGTGGGTTACAATTCTGCACCAGGACAACACTCAAGTGGCTACGGAGATGACCCTCAGACCAGTTACCAGGAGTACTCCTATCAGGGCCAGAACTCAGGTCGCGATGACAACCCTAATCAGGATGTTCTGCCGGACCTTGATGCAGCATTCAATTCCGATCATCGGCAAAGTCCTGATTGCTACCGAGGGCCCGATGGCGGAGTGAACTGTGCTTTCGAGTAGCTTAGACTTTGTCGCCTAGTTACAAGCCCTTTGACTAGATACTGACTAGCTGCATAAGTCTCTAGTCCATTCATACGCATTCCATACTCCAATTTATTCCAAGCTTCTTTCAGCAACAAGATTCAATCCACCATTAGCTCGAGCATAATGATTGTACAGAGGAGACGAGCCAGAGAAAGAAGGCGCTTGTGATGAAGAGGGGACTTGGACAGAACTAGGTGTAGAGGATGAGATTGTTGCCTCAGGAACAAGACAGCTGCAGAACTCCGTCTTTTATTTCCATCGAACATGAGCGGAAGAATGACAGGAAAGAAGAAATAAGAAAACAAAGATCAATGCAAAGATTTCAGGCCTGCGATTAGGAAAGAGACGGAGTAGGAGACAGCGTGATGAATGTCGTCGAAGGCTACGCAAGAAAAGACAACGTGATAAGTGTTGTCGGAAGCGAGATGGTCAAGGGCACGAGTAAACACAGCGTGACAAAGATTGATGAGGGGCGGAAGGTGGAAGAACAAGAGTCAGTGTTGTGAGCTGCCAGAGCAATTGAAGAGGACTTGCCATTTGCCAGGTTGAAGACTGCGTGTTTATTTTAGACCCTTCCTATCAAGGCGCTGCGTCTCGAAGCGCAACTCTCGGAGTAGATAATTGGACGTTGAAAGGACCAGGAGCATCGGGGTGGCGAAGGTGGAGCTTCAAGACGATAAGCATCAGCGAAGGTCTTTTGACAGACTCGAGCATCCTTGAGATGGGCCTTGAATCCTTCTCAAACAAACTCGGGACGATGAGCCATGTCATAGCTAGAAGCACTGCGAATATCGGTAGTGGCGAAGTGAAGTCGGCGAAGAAAGGTGTTGTCTTGATGGGCGCATGAGCCGAGTTGTAGGCAAATCCGGCTCTTGGCAAGAGCTTGACCCAGTTGTCTTGGTCGACATGAGGAAGCTCTGAAGGTGTTGTGCTAGAGTGGTATTTTCTCGCTCTGCATACGTTTGAAATAGGCGTCGGACAGATGTGCTTTGACAACAGGGTCGAAATGACCAAGGAATACTTTACAGAACAAGGAGACAAAGACTGAGCGGCGGTCAGGATCGATTTCGAGTAGCATGCCCTGATGAATGAAGTTGCATTTTTTGAACACCGCTGCGAAGCCTGCTGCGTCGATTGCCTCATGATAAGGTGAAAAGCGTGCCATTTGGGGAGCCGATTGACAACAATGAGAATGGAGTCAAAAGAGTCAAAAAGTGGTGGCTTGACAACGAAGTACAGCGAAATAGACGACCACGGAGTGTCTGGAATAGGCAGAGGTTGCAAGAAGCCATGAGGCTTATGACGCAATACTTTGGCGCGAGCACATGTGTCGCAAGTTGCATTCACTTTGGACATATGCGCGCACCGACGGCCAGTAGTACTGCCGAGAGAAAAGGATCAAGGTCTTGGCAAGACACCGATCACCGAAGATAGGCAAGTCATGGTGTTGCTGGAGGAAAGCTAGCTCGAGAGCAGCGTCTGAAGGGCTGTACACACGACCTTTGTAAAACAGAAGACCGTTGTCAAGAAAACAAGGCTTTTCAGCAGTGTCACGTCTCAGAATGGGCAGGAAGAACGGCTTGACGTCGAAGGAGACTGCGAGTCCGAGATGTACGCTGCAATGATGCGAGCGCGAAAACGGTTGTCCGAGACACTGGGACTTGATGACAGAGTAATGACATGCCTTGAGGCTGGCAAGTTCCGAAGAGTGACAGTGGCAAGTGAAAATCTTCCTGGCGAACAAAAAGACATTGTGCCTTGTGCGTGTTGGATCGCGACGCCCGCGAAAGGCCTGAGTTCCTTGCGACGGCTGAGTGTAATGACCACGCAGATCTGATCACCTTAGCCCGCAGCTGTTACACTGCCTGGTTCGGTCTCGCTGGCAGTTCCCTGTGTCTTTGTTCTCTTTGTTCTCTTTGTTCTCGCTCGTACTCTCACGACGAACATCTCATCTCAACCTATCAGCTACGCTGCTCACATCTCGACCTATCAGCTACGCTGCCCACACGTCATCCAACCTGGTCTCATGCAGAGTTCTCTTGCTCTCGCTCTGCTCTCGTTATCTCGCTCTTCTCGCAATCCGCTCTCTCGCGTGAGCCTGATGGACATAAGACGACAGTTTTCTGCTGTCTTCTGCTCTTTAGTTTACAATTCATTATCTACCCTTAGTCCTCGTCAAAGTCCTGTCCTCAGCGCAAGCCATCTTCGTCCCTCATCACCTAGATCCTTACACTGAGTACATCAGGTCTGCCTTGCTGAGCACCAGGTCGATAAGTGATACTGTTATGAAATCTGTACATGAAGACAGACCAGTGGACTTGTCGTGAATTGAGAAGACGGTTGGTGTTGACGTCAGAGAGGTACCTTTCAGCTTTGATAAAGAGGTTGTGCTCGTCGAGAACTTTGAAAACAGAGAGAACATGCCCATTGTGGCCATCCTAGATGAGGACATCATCAAGATAGCAGACAACGAATTTCCCGACAAGGGTAGATGCGCCAGCTGGACTTCTGGAGACAGAGATGTTGCCGAGCTAGAATTGCTCATCAAATGTATTCCTAGGGAACCTGCGACTTCTGTGCACTCATAGAATGAAGTGCGTTCGCCGGAGGCGACCTGCCATCGTGGTCAAACTGTTATGGAGCTTCCACATAGCTCACTATCGCATTGTTGTCAACCTCAGGCGCCTCATGCGTCTGCTCACTGAACGCGATCTTGCTTCGTGAACGGGGGTCGTTCGAATTGCTTGTCGCAGCACACTTGACAATGACGGTTCTTTGTGATGCCTTGACGACTAGCCGCTTCGCATCTTTGCCATGATCAGTCAACGTTTGCAGGCTCAAAATTGAAAGAGTGTAGTGTTAGCGCATCTTGAGCTTCATTGACTTTGGCGTTTTGCTACTTTCCTGCCAGCCTTGTCGCTCCAGGACGAGATGGGATGACCAGCACACACATCTGCTCTGCTTCGTCTTGCTGCTTGTACACAACACCTCCACTGCGCTTGAGCTTACATGTTCGAGCTTGTGCCATGTCAAGCTGGTCGATCACTCTTCTCAATACATGTCGTGTAACGATCACGGCCTGACGAGACAAGGCGTACCGATGAAAACAGGTAGCGACCGAAGAGGTAGTTGGTTTCAGCGTCAGAGACTTGCAAAAACGGGCTAGTCCTCAACTGTGAATTGATGTTGCTGACAATGCTTCAAAGGTGCGAGAAGCGCTCCTTTTATACTTTGCCAGCCTCGAGCGAGGACATGACGAGAAAGAGGTGGGCGCGGACAAAGACGCTGTGAGCGTGGAGTGTTCGTGGAACGGAAATAGACATCCACAGCTGCGAGCGTGGTGTGTTTGTGATGGAACCAGACATTGATGCTTGAGAGCAGATGTTGGAGCGTAATCTACGAGACGAAGTTAGTGAGACGCTTGAGAGGCCCCATCAGAAAGGTGGATACGTCGGGCTGTTTGATAGTGCTGAGAGCGGGATTGAACCGTCGGGATGGAGAAGTGTCAGGAGTACTGGGAACTCAGGAGAGGTAGCGGTAGCCGAGAAGAGAGGACGACGAGATGGAGGCGCGGGAAGGTCAGTCCGTGACATGTTGCCCTCTACTCGCGTAGGCAGTGCACGCTGCAAGCTCGATGCCTTTGACTGACCTAGACAGGAAGAGGAGTCTCCCACAGACAGCCTGTACAGTTACAACAGGCTCGCAGAATCTGTTGAGCGTATCATTTTATACACTGAAATTCAAGCGCACGTCGAATGACGTCTCCAGAGCCGATTGTCCCTCTACCAAGACTCTACGACTCACAATGGGCCTCCGGCCTCAAACACCATTGCGCGACGCCACATAAAATCCATCACTACACATGCACGATACCTGATGGACACTCAACAGATTGTGGTCGATGCGCAAGGCAAAATGGTCACATGGAATATCAAAGGCACCTTGTACGGCAAACGGACCCCGCTGAACACTGCGCACTCCATAGAGCGTCTTCCGTGGACTCGTACAGGTATTTGATTTACCAAAACGATGGATACAGGATCATAATCTTGCGATTCATCATAGCCGAGGATCTCTCCTTATTGCGACCTAGGTAGATTCGCGCGCAAGCATAGTGCTGTGATTGCTGGATGCGTGAACCTTGGCCGTGTATGTGTTTACAGGGGGCTCTGAGTGCTTCCTTGCGTGTACTGACTCGCCGCCGGGCAAAATTGGAACAGAGATAAGGGAGATGGAGCATTTTGATTGCCGGAGAGCAGATCACGGCGCGGGCGTAAGGTCGAAAGAAGTCAGAAAAAGCAAAAAGGTGGGTCAACGATTAGTTTACTGCCAGCGTAATTGCTCATCTGTAGATACTAGCAGTCATTGCTAGTACTCTCATTACATCCCAGTGCGCTTCAATTGAAAGCACTTGAGTGCCTCACTTGTTAGGAATTCAAGTGCATCCCCTGATCACTTGCTTCCGCTGTTATCTCTCTGCCACGTCAGCGCTCATGCACGTGACCTTTAGTTTAGTCTTAGCTGGCAAGAGTGCTATACTCTTGTCCCCTATTCGAATCAAGTCTTATCTGCAGCTGCCCTGCGTGCCTGTGTCTATCACCTACGACTACAGCCTCGCATATCCGCCAATCTCGATTATCACTCGACGCAGGTTTTCTGGATGGGGGCCACTCCTCAAGGAGCATGAACAACGTGCCCCTTCCCATGAAGTAGCATAAGGGCATATCTGCGGCTACTATCGCTGTCTGCAGCTGGAACATGGACCAATGATATCGACAATTCAAGCGTATAAAATGAGGTTACAATGCGTCACATGCATGTATGCACCAATCATGCGTGACAATTGCAAGCTGAGTGCTGCTGTAATGACCATGATATTCCCTCCTGAAGAGGAGAGCACACCCTGCAAAAATTTGTTCTTTACTTGCTGGCTTGCAACATCTGCACCTACACATCCATTCGCGCTACAGTATGTTGCGCTTCAACTCAGGCGGGCGCTTCAAACCAGGCCTGTTGCTGGCCTTTGTATTGCTCTTCTCCTTACTCTCATCATTGACGCTCAATTCTGGTCTGGTCGCCGCAGGAAGGACGAAGGGCAGTAAAAATAAGGCGAAAGTAGCGACAGGCGAAGATCCTTGGTTAAGTGGTAGCAAGGATACCAAACAGGACAAGGCGGTTGCCCCCAAGAAGGGACCCTCAAAATGCTACAGTATGAAAATGTCAATCATGAACACGATGAAAGAGCAGGTTTCTGATCTACAAGACTGCCGCAAGATATGCCAAGACTACATCAACGATTGGCGCACTGATCTTGGGCGCCTCATGTCGGGGCGCATGCATTGCTTGCAAGAACTTCCATGTGTCAATGGCTGGAGCGTTTCTACCGACTTTGAGTCTAGCCACGTGAGGTTTGGCCTCAGCAATATGGCCTGCCAGTTGCCTGAATGCAGACTGCCTTGCACATGTCTTGTACAATCGGTGTTTTATCGAATAAGGCAACCATCAAAATTTGGAACGTACGCGACAATCCCGAGAGAGGTCATGTTCGGTGACCCCCTCACACATTATTTGGCTCTTGAACACGTTGCAAACGAAGGAGGTAACCTCGCCTGTATCCCAAAGTTTTTGTTCCCGAAACTTTTCGGAGCTGAAGGCTTTGACTCCATCGTTAACACCAGGCCAACATGGCATCGACAAGCACTACCCGAATTCTCGGTAGAGCTGGACCTCGATTGCAACCCAACTCATGCGGTGAGCACTTGTGAGTGCATAGGGACGCGAGAGGTGGGTGAAAATTGCCAAGCCAGTGGGGACAGGCAGGGCGCACATGATGCCGGTCAGTCCAGTCATGAGCCTGGACGCGACGCAGGCCGAAATTTCCCGTTTGATTTGAATGAGCTGGCACCCGAAAATGATCAAAGCTATCAGCGTATGGCAGATCACTTCGATGAAATCCGGGAATCTGAAGCATACAACCAGCAATTTCGTACGGAGATCCGCACCGCTTTTGATGCTGAGATCAACCTGAACGCTCAGCCGGGTGATCCTTACGCGTATCCCAGCAACTATTTCCAGCCCATGCAACAGCTGCAGTATTCACCTCGTCCTGGCCATCCCGCCCATTTTGACAATGTAGCCCATTTCGACTCGCATATGCATATGGGTGGCTACGAAAACGACCCTCAGACCAATTATGGGGAGTACTGGCGTCAGGACCAGTACACAGGTGGCAACGATGACTCATCTCGGCCTGCAGATGGGCAACAAGGTCTTGACCTAAATCAAATTCCCCCTTGCTACGACACACCCGATGGCAATCGAAACTGTGGGTACATGTAGCTTAGACTTCGTCGCCAAGTCACAAGCTCTTTTATCCAATACCGACTAGCTGTGTCAGTCTCTAGTCCATTCATACGCATTTCATACTCCAATTTAAGTTTCAGTTTTCTTTGACTGGCAAGTTCCAATCCATCATCAGCGCGAACACAGATATTGTAAGGAGTGGACGAGCCGGGAGAGACGGGGCTTGTAAAGAAGACAGGGCTTGAACAGAGGCATGTGTGGATGCTGAGGTTATCAACTGAGGAACAAGACAGCAGAAGGCCCCCTTAACATCTCTATCAAGCTTGAGCGAGGGAACTGACAGTGAATGGATACAAGCGAGCAGGAGCCGACGTAGAGACGTTAAATCTGCGAGATAGGAAGAAACGCAGCAGGAGACAATGTGGTGAATGTTGTCAACGAGTAAGAGCGGAAGATATGGTAAAGTGATAAATCTTGTCGTAAGCGAGACGGGAAAGAGCACGAGTGAACATCACGTGAGGAAGATTGCTGAGAAGCGGAAAGTAGAAGAGCAGAAGTCAGTGTGGTGGCTTGTCAGAGCAATTGGTGAGGAAATGCCGTGAGCGGGGTTCAAGAGTGCGTGTTCATGACAAAGCCTTCCTATCAAGGCGCTGCGTCTCGAAGCACATCTCTGTGGGTAGGCATTCGGAGTTAGAAGGGAACAGGAGCCTCGGAGTGGCGAAGGTAGCGCTTCAAGATGAGATCGATCAAAAAGAATCTCTTGAAAGGCTAGAGCAACCTTGAGATTGGCCTCAAATCCTTGTCGAACAAGCTTAGACGTTGAACCATGTCATAGCTAGAAGCACTGCGAATATCGGTAGTGGCGAAGTGAAGTCGGCGAAGAAAGGTGTTGTCTTGATGGGCGCATGAGCCGAGTTGTAGGCAAATCCGGCTCTTGGCAAGAGCTTGACCCAGTTGTCTTGGTCGACATGAGGAAGCTCTGAAGGTGTCGTGCTAGAGTGGCATTTGCTCGCTCTGCATCCGTTTGAAATAGGCGTTAAACAGATGTGCTTCGACAACCGACAACAGAATCAATATGCCCAAGGAATGCCTTCCAGAACAAGGAGTCAAAGACTGAGCGACGATCCGAGACGATTCCGAATGGCATGCCCCGGTAAGTGAAGTTTCTATCCATAAGCACCGCTGCGAAGTCTGCTGCATCGGATAATAATGAATAAAATGTGCCGTTTTGGAGCCGATTGACAACAACGAGGATAGTGTCAAAAGGGGCAGAAAGTGGTAGCTTGACATTGAAGCACAGCGAGATAGACGACCACGGAGTATCTGGTATAGGCAGAGGTTGCAAGAAGCCATAAGGCTTATGACGCGATACTTTGGCGCGAGCACACGTGTCGCGAGTCGCAATGTAACTTTGGACATATGCGAACATCGACGGCCGGTACTACTGCCGAGAGGAAAGGATCAAGGTCTTGGCAAGACACCGACCGGAGATAGGCGAGTCATGGTGTTGCTGGAGGAAAGCTAGCTTGAGAGCAGCGTCTGAAGGGCTGTACACACGATCTTTGTAGAAGAGAAGACCGTTGTCAAGAAAGCAAGGCTTTTCAGCAGTGTCACGTCTCAGCATGGGGAGGAGGGACGGCTTGACGTCGAAGATGACTGCTGAAGGGCGTGGAGAGCGTCTTGCACCAGCGAGTCCGAGAGGGACGCTGCAATGATGCGAGCGCAAAAGTCGTTGTCCGGGAAACTAAGACTTGACGACGAAGTAGTGACATGCCTTGAAGTTGGCGAGGTCCGAATATGTGACAGGGACAAGCGGAAATCGTCCTGGCGTGCAGAAAGACATTGCGCGTATTTGATCGCGACCCCGCGGAAGGCCGGAGATTATCACAACGACTGAGTACATCAGGTCTGCCTCGAGAGCACCAGGTCGAAGAACCATGTTGTTATCAGATCTGGACATGAAGACAGACCAGCGGACTTCTCGTGAACTGAGAAGGCGGTTGATGTTGACGTCAAAGAGGCACTTTTCAGCTTTGATGAAGAGGTTGTGCTCGTCGAGAACTATGAAAACAGAGAGAACATGCTCATTGTGGCCGTCCTAGTTGAAGACATCATCAAGAGAGCAGACAACGAATTTGTCGAAAAGGGCAGATGTGCCAGCTGGACTTTTGGAGACAGAGATGTTGCCGAGCTAGAATTGCTCATTCAAATGTATTCCTAGGGAACCTGCGACTTCTGTGCACTCATAGAATGAAGTGCGTTCGCCGGAGGCGACGTGTTTGGAAGCCGAGGAACTTGTGATCGTAGGAAGCATGGTCAAGAAGCGGGCAGCCTTGATCTTGGAGTAAAGAGGGAGATAGGCATGATATTTGCCAAGCAAATCTTGCCCGACGTCGTAGTAGCAGTCGAGACGTATCGCAAGTGAACTTAGTGAAGTAGTCTGGCGTGTTCTTGGCGTGCGACAACTCAAAAAAAGTCAAGAAGCGACAGAGCAAGCACAAGCACAAGCACCAGCTCCATCAGCACAACACCAGACATGGCCACCGTCCTTCCACCGCCCTCAAAACGGCAGAAGCGGGAAGCGCAAAACCCAGAGATCGATCTTCTCCCGCAAGACTTCCCCTCTGTCCAGATCTCATTCGAATCAGCCGATGGCCAGGCCTCAGAGACGCTGCTGGTGCCCGGCACAGCCTCGGTCGCGGACCTTGAGATGCTCATTAATATGCATGTTGCTCCGTCAGAGGATGGGCCGGTGCCGTATACCTTTAGCGTGGATCAAGTCAATCTGCAACGCGACTTGTACCATGACTTGTTCAAGACGGATCGACACACAACAGAAGATTTGCTCAAGGTGGTGTATACGCCTCAATCTGTCTTTCGCGTACGTCCCGTCACTCGCTGTACGGCAGAACTGCCTGGTCATGGTGGTAGTATTCTCGTGGCTGCCTTTGCACCGCACACATCATCGCTTTGTTGTACGGGCGCTGGTGATAATACCGCCAGAATATGGGATTGTGATACGGAAACGCCAAAGCATACACTCAAGGGCCATACAGGCTGGGTGATTGCTGCGAGTTGGGAGCCAGAAGGGACGTGTGTTGCAACAGGCTCGATGGATAATACTGTACGTGTATGGGATAGCAAGACGGGGACTGAGGTGGCTTGCCTCAAGCGGCATACCAAACCTATTCTATCACTCTGCTGGGAACCGCTCGTTTCAAATGCACGTCTAGCAACGGCGAGTAAAGATGCTACAATCAAAGTCTGGCATGTCGCCAACAAGACGGTCGATCTCAGCCTCTCTGGCCATAAAGGACCCGTGACGAGTGTGCGATGGGGAGGAAATGGTTGGCTCTACTCTGCTTCGTATGACCAGACCATCAAGATTTGGCAGGTTTTGCCAGGGCATACAGGGACGACGGGAGGTAATGGACAATTACTGCATACTTTGACGGGTCACGCTGCTCGCATCAATCACCTGGCACTCTCAACTGATCATATTCTACGAACGAGCTATGATCCAACCACAGGCAAGATCCTCACCTTGCAGGAACGACAAGCACGATGGCAACAACATATCGCTGCGTCTGCCGGTCAATGCGAACGTCTCGTCTCGTCGTCAGATGATTTACAAACAATCCTCTGGCAACCTCTTCGACAAACCTCCTCAAAAAGTGGGATCCGCCTGCATGGTCATCAAAAAGTCGTCAATCACGCTGCTTTTTCACCAGATGGCGCGTGCCTTGCAACGGCATCGTTTGATGGTTCCATTCGACTTTGGCATGCGACGACGGGTTCGTTTCTAGCAACCTTACGTGGTCATGTTGCTGCTGTGTATCAAGTGGCGTGGTCGTCTGATTCACGCCTGCTCGCATCCTGTTCTCACGATACGACCGTCAAAGTCTGGCAAATGAGTGATCGCTCCTTGAAAAGCGACATGGCGACGTCTGCCGGTGAGGTGTTTGCACTGGATTGGAGTTGTGATGGGAGAAAAGTCGTTTCTGGGGGTGCAGATAAAAAGGTCCGCTTGTTTAGTCACTAGTTCTAGTCTAAAAAAGTACAAAACCAGCAGTGAATGCAGCAATGAGACTGACAACAGCCAATGCACCGGATGCAGATCCCATCTTGAGTGCCGAGGAACGTGCCGTTGTGGAAGCACTCGAGGAGCCGGTGGCACGCGCAGAACCTGTTTGTTGCTGTAATGCGGATCCCGTGTTGGAACCAAACAAGCTAGCGAGGTTACCAACGGTGCCGGATGACGATGCTTGCGTGATTTGCTTGTTGGCAACGGCATTGCCATTCTGGTCGTTGATGGCGAGAGCGCCAGAGGTGGGCAAGGAAACAGGGGTGATGGTACCGGCGCGTGCAGACACACCTGAACGAATCAATCGGTTGACTTCTTCAAGGGATGGCAGTGTGCGTGAGCCATTGAGGTAGGTGTAGGCACTGGCTGGTGGACAGGTTGGGTAGGCTCCTTGCGTTGCTGGGATGCTTGTTGGTAGGCCTGTTGCTTGTGCGAGTTGCGAGGAAAAGGCAACATAGTCTGCACGGTAAGCGACTGCGCCATCAGACGAGACATTCACGAGTCCGTAGTTGTTGGCTTCTTGTGTGTACTCATACACGAGACCACCGGAAAACTTGGGCGTCATTTGAGAGCCATAGATGGCACCCACCTCGCCAAAGGACCGTGGACGCACTTCATTGCAACCGTACTCGGAAAAGAAGAGGGGCAGGGTGAAGTTGCTGAAGCCGGCAATGAGCTGATCGTAGCCAGAGGATTGGATGGTTTGCTGTCCGCACCACTGATACGAGTTGATGGCGTAAAAGTCATTGACACCATCCGAGTCTGTACCGCACGACATGTAGGTGGCGATTTCTTGACGGTACTTGATATCGTCAGCAGCCGAGTAACCTACAGGGATTGGACGCGTGAGGTGAGCACGGATATACGCCTTCATGTCGCGTGTGATGGCTTTGACATAGGGAGGTGATGCGAGGGCAGAGACATCGGAGTTGATGAGCTCATTGCCGGAGAAGAAGCCGAGGGTATTCCTGTATCCGCCAAAGACGGTGATGGTCTTGAAGACGTGTTCGGCGTAGATGGAGTTGTAGGTGATGTATGGGGTATCCCTGTTGAGGTACTGGCCTTCGAGGGGGGAGTTGACGTCGAGAATGAGATAGATGCCGGCTGCGTCGTACAGGGACATGCACGCGTCGTGGTTGAGTGCATTGTCGACTGAGTAGACGCGAACTGTGTTGAGACCTAGTTTTTGGAAGACGGCGACATCACGGAGACAGATGGAGATGTCTGAGAGTGGGTCTTTGCCTGCTTCGACGGCTGATGCGCCACCTGGCTGGTAGTCGACGCCCTTCATGAAGAAGCGCTGGTTTGTGGCTGCGTCATAGAATACATTGTCCCTGACGACAATTGGGTTGAGGGCAGCAACGGAGGCAACGAGAGTGAGGAGAGAGAGCATAGTAAGTATATATGAGGTATACTTCTGGTGTTGTGTAACTGTCTGTGTCACTTTCTGTGTTGTTGCGTCTCCTTTTATGTTTTTTTATTTTTCTGAGGCTGTGCACCCGCAGCACCACTAAATACGCTATCATTAGTATTCATCACTGTGTATACTGGACTATTTACAGCAGACGGGCCGGGAGCGCACAGGGGCCATCGACAGCGAGGGATTGCAGGGATTCAACCTGGTCGACGACTGTTGCACTGGTGGGGCAGTACTCTCACCACCAAACAAAGCCCGCCATCGCCTTCCCCAGCCAGAGTCAGACATAGTCCAATACTTATATATGGCGTCTGAGCCCATCCCATCGCTCCCTCTTCCATATGTTGAATATGCTTCCTCCCAATTTCAGTCGCGAAATCCCCGTCACGTGCACCATGAACAAAGACGCGACAACTTAGACAACTTAGACAACTTAGACAACTTAGACAACTTAGACAACTTAGACAACTTAGACAACAGCGACAGACAACAGCCCATGTAGCAGCATGGTCTACATCAAGCAAATCACTGTCCAGGGCTTCAAATCATACAAAGAACAAGTCGTCATCGATGGCTTCTCCCCAAAACACAACGTCGTCGTCGGCCGCAACGGCAGTGGCAAGAGTAACTTCTTCGCAGCCATTCGCTTCGTCCTGAGTGATGCGTACACCCATATGAACCGCGAAGAGCGGCAGGCATTGCTTCATGTATGTCTCTTATTGCACTGACGCGCTAATCAATAGGAAGGATCAGGCACAGCAGTCATGAGCGCGTATGTCGAAGTCATCTTTGACAACACCGACAACCGCTTCCCTACAGGCAAAGACGAAGTCATCCTACGTCGTACCATTGGTCTCAAAAAAGACGAGTATGCGCTCGATAAAAAGTCGGCCAGCAAAACAGATGTCATGAACTTGCTGGAAGCGGCTGGCTTTAGTCGCTCCAATCCCTACTACATTGTCCCACAAGGTCGCGTCACCATGCTGACGAATGCCAAGGACAGCGAACGTCTTGCCCTGCTCAAGGAAGTCGCCGGCACGCAAGTCTATGAGCAGCGCCGATCAGAGTCCCTCAAAATCATGGATGAAACCCTACAAAAGCAAACCAAAATCAATGACCTCCTCGAGTATATCGAAGAGAGACTCGGCGAATTGGAGGAAGAAAAGAAGGAACTCGGCGCGTTTCAAGAGCAAGACAAGATGCGCAGGTCACTCGAGTATACCATCTATGCGCGCGAACAAGATGAAATCAATCGCGCACTCGACCAACTCGATGCAAGTCGCGATCAAGGTCTGGGTAGTACGGAAGAACACGCGCAACACTTTGTCGCGCGTGAAGAGGAAATGATGGAAGCTGCTGCTGGTATCGCACGTTTGCAACAAGACATCTCGCTGTTACAGCGTGAACGACAAGAACTCATGCAACAACGACGTGAGGAAAACAGACGTCTTGCACATGCTGAAGTCTTGCTCGAACGTCTTGAACAAGCGCAACAGGCCTCTGCCCAACGACAACGTGAAATGGCGCAAGAACTCGATCGTCTCTTTCAAACAATCACGCAGAAAGAGCAGGAGCGTGACACAATCAAGCCTGCATTAGCACAAGCCTCTGCAGCGGAAGTACAAGCAAAGCAAGCGCTTGAAAAGGTCGAGACGGAAGCAGCACATCTCTCCAGCAAGCAAGGTCGTCATGCGCAATTCAAAACAAAGGCAGAGCGTGATCGCTTTCTACAAGCTGAAATGAAGGACTCGCAAGCAGCTCTCCATCAACGCCAGCAGATCGCCAAGCAAATCGCGGAAGAGACAGCAGCACTTCAAGCTGAACTTGCAAAAAATGCTACAGCCGTCTCGCAGAGTCGGGATGCCATGTCTGGCCGTGCGGGCCACCTGGAGCAACTTGCAAAAGAGATGAGTGAAGCCAAGACTGTACGTGATGCACTTCAAGATGAGCGCAAAACGTTGTGGCGCGATCAGCTCAAGTGGGAGTCCAATGAAAAACAGGCAAAGCACGAGCTCGACGCTGCAAGGCGGACACTGCAGTACACCATGGATCGATCCACGTCAATGGGTCTTGCCGCTGCTAAGCGCATTGTAGACGAGCGCAAGCTGACAGGCTACTATGGTCCTCTGTGCGACTTGTTTGAGGTGGAAGAACGCTACCGCACTGCAGTGGAAGTCACTGCCGGCAACAGTCTTTTTCACATTGTCGTTGATAATGACGATACAGCCAGTATCCTCTTGGATGGCATTAGCAAGCAAAAACAAGGTCGCGTGACATTTGTCCCACTCAACAGGATTCGCGTCAAGCCCACCACCTTTCCAGATGCTGCGGATGCTGTGCCCATGTTGAGCAAATTGCAGTATGATGCGCGTTACAAGTTGGCCATGGAGCAAGTCTTTGGCAAGAGCATCTTATGCCCCAACATTGAAGTTGCAAGTCGTTATGCTCGCAGCGAAGGGTTGAATGCCATTACCCTACAAGGTGACAAGTCTGATCGTAAAGGTGCATTGACGGGTGGTTTCCACGATCGTCGCAAGTCACGACTTCAGTGCGCACGCGCCGTTTCCGACTGGCAGGCAAAATTGGAAGAAGCAACCACCAAAGCACAAGGACTGCATCGTGCCATTCTCGTCAAGGAACAGGAAATCACGCGTGCTGAGTCTGATTTGCGAAAGTTGACGCTCCAACAAACGCAAGTCGAAGGAAATCGTGAGCCATTGCAGCAAAAGCTCGCTGCGCTTGCCAAGGAGGATGCCGCCATCAAGGCATCGCTTGCACGAAAGGAAGCAGCATCAGCAACGATTCAACTTGAGGAGACACGCCTCAAGGCAAGCATTCAAGCCATGTCTGCAGAACTCCAATCAAGCTTCACGCGTGACTTGACGCAAGCTGAGGAAGATCGCCTTGCACAGTTGACGAGTGACGGTGCAGCACTCCGCCTCAAACTCAATGAAGCCGCTGCACGCCGTGTTGCACTCGAGGCAGAGTGTGATGTGCTTGAATCCTTGTTGCGCGACAACTTGTACCTCAAGCGTGATGCACTCGTGAGTGGAAATTCTCTCGCGGATGTGGATGCAGAAGGCGGTCCTGCTGTTCAACAAGCAGCACGCACACAAGCACTGGCGCATATTACACAGCTTGCAAAGCGAATTGACGCGCTTGAAGCTGAGATTGAATCACGAGAGCATGAACAAAAAAGTCTACAAGAGCATCACTCTGCGTTGCAAGAAGAAAATCGACAAGCAGCCAAGCAGATTGAACACGAGAGCAAACGCCTCGAGAAGAGCATGCAGAAAAAAGCGTTGTTATTGCAAAAGAAGGAAGTCTGCAATCGCAACATTCGAGAGTTGGGTGTCTTGCCTGAAGCGGCCTTTAGCAAGTACGCATCGACTGCGTCTGAAACACTAGTGCGCAAGCTACACAAGGTCAATGAAAAGCTCAAGGGTTTCTCACATGTCAACAAAAAGGCATTCGACCAATACACCAGCTTTACCAAGCAAAAAGAGTCGCTGCTCAAGCGCAGGGATGATTTGGATGTCTCGCAAACCTCAATCCAAGAACTCATCGAAGTCTTGGATCAGCGCAAGGACGAAGCCATTGAGCGAACATTCAAGCAAGTGAGCAAAGCCTTTGCAGAGGTATTTGAGAAGCTTGTCCCATCTGGTCGTGGTCGTCTTGTGATACAACGCAAGATGGATCAAGACACGCAGGAGGAGGAAGGCGAAGAGGATGACGACGCAGAAACGCGCCGTCGTTCAGTGGAGAATTACGTTGGGGTGGCTATCAGCGTCTCCTTCAATGCACGCGATGCAGCGCCCTCGCAGCAGCAACGCATCCAGCAGCTCTCTGGTGGACAAAAATCATTGTGTGCGCTTGCCCTCATCTTTGCCATTCAAAAGTGCGACCCAGCCCCATTCTATTTGATGGATGAGGTGGATGCTGCATTGGACGCACAGTACCGTACGGCCGTTGCTGCGATGCTGCAGGAGATGAGTGAGGAGGGACAATTCATCTGCACCACCTTCCGGCCCGAGATGCTGGCTGAGGGAGACGAATTCTTTGGCGTGTTTTTCGAAAACAAGGTGTCGAGTGTCAAGCCCATCAGCAAGTCTGATGCTCTGCAGTTTATCGACAGCGAGGCCCCGAGGTAGGTCTAGAGTAGCAGCAGTAACGTACAGACTCAATACTCTCAGTAGCAGCAGTTCCCCTGAACACGTGAATCGACCGAAACTTTGACAGAGACACCCAAGAGCCAGGTGAAGAGCCAGGTGAAGAGTAGATCAAGAGCAGGTGAAGACCCAGACAGCCACAGACGCTCTTTACATACTGCAAGACGCATCATTGGGCTTCAAGTGCAGCGAGATGAACGGCACCGCAGCGATGCATGGCGAGACGGCACAAGATATCGCCGACATCCCATCGTAGGCTATCCCGTCTGCTGCACCAGCTAACAGCAGATACCTGTACAATCAAGGCTTCCGACGCGGTGCATTCAGTGATACACGACTCGTGCTGCACCCTTCACAACGCCTCCTGGCACAATTCCACACAACAGGTCAGCAACCACCTGCGTTTCCAGTCTACAGCCTGCATGCACTCTTACTAGCTCGCTCCCCGACGCTATTTGCATGCCTTGCACGACAGGGCAACCATCCTCCTCCGTATACGCTGCATCTAGAGTTTGACGATGCGCATCTGACGGTGGAGGGACTGGATGTGGCGTTGGGGACGTTGTATAGCGGTGGATCAGGACTACCTGGCGCTGTGCTCTTGCATGAACAAGACAGACCTGCAGCGACCACGTCAGTGTCGGTGTCTGGCTCACCGACTCCTTCACAGACGAGTAGCGGCTTGCATGTTGGATTGCTGGCTGCTGCTCAGCTACTTGGACTTCATGGACTCGCACAGCAGGCATGGCAGGCATGTACGACGCGTTGGCGAACAGAGGAAGGCGTCGCAGAGGGTATTCGCTATGCCTTGTCTATGGGATACTTGGACTCACCGGCGCCGGAAGCAGGTGCCGACACTGGAGGAAAACACGCTGGACGAGTGCTGCTGGATGACTTGCTAGAGCAGCTTGTTCGGGCATTGCCAAGTGCCGCTCTCGAAGGCGTCTTGGTGTCACTGCCCTTCCCACTTGTGAAGCAGAGTTTGGAGCATGAACAGCTGCAGCTCTCGAGCATGGACCGACACAACTTTGCACGTCGCATCGTTGAGCAGAGGAGACAGGCGGGTGTTTTGGCACCAGGCGTGGAGGAGTCGGTGGTGATGGCATTTGGCGGAGACTCGCGCAGTGGTGGCATTGAGATACTGAGGCGGGAGCGAGGTGCACGCAAGAAGCAGCTCTGGCGTGCGCCGCAGTGAGGTCCATGGCTATGTTCATGATCATGTCATGTCCATGTCCATGTCCATGTCTACAGCTACAGCTACAGCTACAGCTACAGCTACAGCTACAGCTACAGCTACAGCTACAGCTAGTCGATGATGTCTGGACGACGTAAAAGATAGAACACCAAGTACTAGCACGCAGCAACACCTCAAGACCAAGGCAGCAGACAAGGACGCACAGCTGAGGCATGCAAGATGGACAAGACTTTGTTCATCCAGACCGTAGAAGCGTCCCTGCCCTCGCCGCAGCCGTTGCAGACGTAGACAGCGTCAAGGACGAGGGGGGCTACAGACGAGCTGGGTCGCGTCGCTCGCCGCCTAGAGAGACGCGTAGACCATCTCAGTCGTATGGAGATCGCGACGATTACAGATACCGTCGAGACAGACGCAGGCAGTCACCCTCACCAGCACGCTCACATTCACGTACAAGGGACTACGCACGATCACGCAGTCCATCGCGTCGGTCTCCTCGACGCAGCCTCTCACCACGTCCAGCTCAGGCATCTCGAGCACGTCGTCGACCAGTACCAGAAGATGCCCAAGAAAAAACGCGTGGAAAGCGTCTCTTTGGATCACTACTCGGCACACTTGGCTCGGCGCAACGCCAGCTGAGCTCGACTGCCCAGCAAGCACGCCTTGCACAGCAGCAAGAGATCCAGCAACGACAGCAACAACGCCTTCAGGAAGAAGCAGACCTGCAGAAACAGCAAGCGCAAGAGGCACACGCGTATCGTGCTCAACAAGCAAGTCTCGAGGCAGACTATGCGAAACGCCGTCGTTTGGCGTACTATCTCTATACGGAAACGGAACCCGTCTTACGCTACTTGCCAAAGATGCTCTCGGATGAGCAGCAAGAGATCATCGCAAAACAGGTGGACCAGGTGGAGCAGGAACGAGCAGATGCATTGAGCGCATTCGAGCTGCGTTGGCAAGCGCAGCACATCTTGTCACCACAGCTGCAAGCAAAGGAAGCACCGTCTGCTGTGGATGTGCCATTGCAGGTGCCAAAGGCTGATTTGTGACTGTGTGTTGTGATGTCAGCACGTACAAGTCGTCGACGTCTCGATACTCTACATCCATGTCAAGTGCGCCGTCGCTGCTCATCTTTGGCGGGGCTGGATTCCTCGGTCAACGTGTGGCACAGTCTGCTATTGCAAAAGGCTGGCAAGTCACTTCCATCACCAGGTCAGGCGCACCGCCAGCTACAGGACAAGACTGGGATAAAGTGCGGTGGGTGCGCGGGGATGCATTCGAGCCGGCGAGCTATCAAGCAGAGATTGCAAAAGCAAATCACATCATCAGCACTATTGGCATTTTAGACTATCGCGGAATTCGCAAGCAAAAATCGTGGCGCTATCGTGTAGATGCGATAGGGTCGACTTTTTACGATGCAGTCAAAGACACGACAACCTCAGACGCTCTCAACATTTACGACCGACTGAATCGCGACAGTCTCAAAGCAATCGTTGATCAAGTATACAATGGCAAATCGGCAAATTTACAAAGCTTCGCGTACGTCAGCGCAGCAGATGGATTCCCTGGTATTCCAAAACGCTACATAGAGAGCAAGCGCCAGGCAGAGCAATACTTGCAGCAACAGTCAGCATCGGCTCCCTGGCGAACCATCATCTACCGACCTGGCTTTATGTATGCAGACTCGTCGCCGTTGTTGTCGACGCTTTCACGTGTCGTGGGCGTCACCTACGCACTCAACTCTTCTTTGGGCGTCAGCAACAAACTTGCAAGCCTAACGAACGGACGATTATCACTTGGTGCTGCTGGTGTCAAGCCATTACCCGTGACGCGCGTTGCTGATGCCTTGGTGGAAGGATGCGCACTCGCCGAGGGGACCTTAGATGTCTACAAGATTGAAGCCTTGGCGGATGTTCGCTGGCGTAATGACATGATCAAGTAGCTAATCCAACGATTGAGCACTCTGTATACTACTCCGTGACGTCTTTCGCCGAAACAAGGGCCGCTTGACGGCTTGCTGTGGAGTCACCGTCTCACCCACCATGACGAGCTCTTTCCCTCCACCAGGAACACTCCGCCACTCTCGTTTCGGCAAAGACACGGGCTTCTCGCGCTCTCTTGCAAACTTTTCTGAGATGCTCGTTGTGCTTCCTGTATCACTGCCGTTCAATAAGCCCGTTCGTGCTTTTGATGGCGAAAAAAGAACCTTGCTTGGGTCGATGGTGTCAAAGGTCGACTGGCTCAGCAGACTGGTGGAGCGCGTTCTCCCTGGTGCATTCACTGTTAACGTCTCCTCCACCACCTTGACCTCGACTTCGCTGTCACTGTCGCTAGGGCTATCGCTGCTTTCATGCACAACAGCCTCTGGCACCTCTGTGTCCGTTTCACTCGACTCCAAGCTCTCCGTACACTCTGCATTGCGAATCCACTTGCGTTTGCGCGTATACTTGCCATACTCTTCCTTAGCACTCGGCTTGCGCCATGCATTATCGAAATAGATCCAACCCTCAGCATCCCTACCCCTACCTTTTTCAACGCGCCACGTAGAATCAATCCATGCCCACGTCACGGTGCGCGCTTTACCATCCTCCCCAATTGTTGTCTTTGCCGATGGTAGACCATAATTTGGCGGCGCTGGACATGTCCGTTCATCAAGATCTGTGAATGGCGCCCGTTCATGCGGCAGTAAGGATGGTGTCCAGCCGAGTCCTAGCCAACGCCGTTGATTCTCAAGCACAGCGAGGGTTGTTGTGAAGCGTGATCCACCAGCCGTGACGATCGCAGGCTTCACCGTCGGCTCAAAGACAACAGAGACGGGCGATTTGCTGAGTTTGTCGAGCATTTCTGCCTCTCCTGGTAGCTGCTCAAGCCCGAGAATGGCAGAGACTGCCCAACGTACTGTGTTGAAGCGCCAGAACACTGTGCGAATGGTTTGAAACCACGGACTTGTAAAGGTGAGCAGCAATGTGCCAACCACAAGAATGATAGCACGCGGACCAAGGAGCCAGGTGAGAAGCAGGTAAATGGGCGTTGAAAACACGAGCCTCAAACCAATGACTGACGACCGCTGAGGGTTCTCCCATCGAAATAGACTCATGATTGGCTCAAGATGGCTGCCTAGTAGGTGAAAGCGCGCCCGCAGTACATCAATCTCGTAGAGTGTTGCGTCAATGACCCGTTGCGCATCGCCAATGGGCTCTTCAAACTCTTCGCCCTTTTCCAAAGCACGCATAACACGTTTTGTCGCCGTCTTCTTTTTGAGGTAGCCAATACCGAGAATGACTAGAACGGCCCAATTGGCTGCATATCTGCATACAAACTCGCCGTAGAGGACAACAAGCCACCACATGACGAGCATGAGAAAACTCGACCAGTGGTCTTCACTCGTCCATGTGATCCATCCAAGCGCTGTATTCAGACCACTGACTATCGGCGCCAATTGTGCTAGTGCAACAACAATACTCGGTGGTGTCTCCTTGAGTATATCTGCGCTTGGATGTTGAATATGTTGCGTCATGCCTGCCGGTGAAGACTTGCTATCGAAGGATGCATAGATGGCGCGCTTCTGAGTGCTGATTCTTGGCCCGGACATCTCTTCGAACGCCATGCAGGCGATAGAGTACTATCAATATAGACAGAGACAGTCGAGCTCTGCTCAGTTGGTCGTGCGCTCGATTTTCATGACGTTTGCGGAGACGGCGCCAGTCACATTTACTCTATTCATCTACACGCTCTTGTCGCCTATAGGGTCCCAGTCAGTGACTAGGTACTCATCCAGCCCGTCCAACTCTGCCATGGTTGCATCCGACAACTCAAAGTCCCAAAGTTGTGCATTCGACTTGATGCGCTCCACATGCGTCGACTTTGGCAAAGGGACATAGCCATGCTGTAAGCTCCACCTGAGTAGCACTTGTGCAGGTGAGCGTTCATACTCCTTGGCAATACTCTGTAGTGTCGGGTCCTGCCATCGCTCAGCACGCGCCAATGGGCCCCATGCCTGCAGCACAATATCATGCTCCTTGCAAAATTGAACAAGGCTTGTTCGAGTCATGAAGGGATGCAGGTCAATTTGATTGACGACAGGCTTGATCTTTGGATTGCTGTCAAAGAGCTCACGCAGGTGCCGCTCGCCAAAGTTGGAAACACCAATAGACTTGATGAGGCCAGACTCGACGCCGTCTTCGAGTGCTCGCCATGCATCAAGTCTAGCCTGCTTGTTTGGATATGGCCCGTGTAGGAGATACAAATCAATGTAGCCAAGTCCACATGCTTCAATTGATTTGCGAATATCCTTGCAACCCCGTTCAAAGTTTGTGTTGTGCATTAGCTTGCTTGTATAGAAGATGTCTTGTCTTGGGATGCCTGAAGCTCGGATGGAGTCACCGCACTCTGATTCATTGCCGTACCACTCTGCACTGTCAATGTGGCGATAGCCTGCTTCGAGTGCTTCTAGCACATTTTGGCGGCACTGCTGGCCAGAGACCATATAGACGCCAAAGCCAAGACGTGGCATGGACAAGCCATTATTGAGAGTCACTCTAGAGGTCAAGGATAGAGACATCGTGACAATAGCGTCAACAGCGTCAACAGCAACAGCTTACAAATTTGGTACAAGTGGAGAAAGTCAGCCGTTGCGGTTGCGATTGAGTCTTTAAATTCAGATGAAAAAGACATCTACTGAGAGTCTGTAATGGATTTTAGTTTATAGACAATGCGCGAAATGTAGAAGACATGTTCTTTTGGTAGGTCGACGGTGATTTGTATGATCTCAGCAACGCTCGTGTGAGGCCGACGCAGCCGTATGTCGGCAAGTTGAGCTTTGTGGACGCAGCATTCGAACAGTGCATGTTGCAGAGTTTCCACAACATCGCCGGTTGGCTTGCATGCCGAACAGGAGCGATCGGGCTCATTCCTGTGACAACTTTCCATGGTGCAACAGGTGTTGGGCTCTGCACCAGTCTGAACACCTACTGGACGGAGTTCTGCCAGAATTCAAAGACTCCAAGACACAAACCGCGAGCAGTGGACTTGAGGGGGGTGTGGCTGGGATCGACACACTTGTGAGAGGTGTTGAAATCACTGGAGGACCAGCACTAATGTTGTTCTTCGTGCAGATCGCCGTCTCCATCCGTGAAATTGATGCAAGCATCGCAGCAGTCTCGAGACTGGCCTCTCGCATGATTGCCTCGACATCACGTGTTGCTAAACGAAATGCGCCCACCTCAGCTTCCAATACCTGGGCGGTCACTGTAATCGCTTCTGTCTTGGTCGCCATTGTTGTTGTCTTTGTTTTGTTTTGTTTATGGCGCTGACTTGTTTTGTGCTGGTAAAGCGCATGAGATAGATACGGAGGCATTATGCATAGGACGCTTTCTGCGATGCCGTACGAGATCGTGCAGGCTTCCTAGGTCCTTCAGGCTCCACTTCCTTTGAGGGCATGTTGTGATGTGAGGCACGACGAGCCATATTTGTCTACTCTGATGCACATTCAGACCACAGCATACGCTGCCCCATGCATCCTGAAACATAACGGCCGCTGTTGCGACAATCTTTTGGACTACACACAATTCCAGTCGCAAAACTGTTTCGAGCCGTTTCTTCTTTGCCAACGGCTTGCATATCAAACCATGCGGATCGCTCAAACGCTGTCCACCTTGCAGTCATGGCTAAATTCAGTACTCTTGTTTTGTGCGCAGTCGCTGGCGTCTCTGCACACTCAGTCATCACTGCTGTATGTCTCCATCACCCAAGCAAACGCTGACCACAGGTCTTGACCGACAGCAAGATCCAGGGAATCGGACTTGGCGTGGATGCAACGTAAGTTTCTTCTTAGCTGGCCTCTCTAACGATAGAAACTTTCGCAACTGCGTACGGATATCCTTGGAGTCCACGAGCTAACAACAGATGGATGTCATTCCCTGCCAACAAGACTCTCCCATCATGCGCGACGCCGAGCTGGCAGCCAACAACTTCGGTTCCTGCGGACGTACCCAAGCCGGTGGCAATATCGACACGTCTACTGCCATTGAACAACACATTGATGCCAAAATGGTGCCGGAAGTGACGAAAGGCTCAACAGTAACGCTCCAAATGCATCAAGTCAACGGTGACGGCGCAGGCCCTTATCAGTGCGAGATTGACGAGACGGGTACTGGCTCAACATTCGTCAAGGTGAAGGTTCTCAAAGACGTGCCAGGCGCTGCAGGTCTGTCAGCCACGCGTCAGACATCGTATGACATGAAAATCCAGTTGCCGAGTGTGCTTGCGTGCCAAGGTGGCAGTACCGGCCGCGTGTGCGTCATGCGATGCAGGAACAGCGCGTTCGCAGGGCCCTTCGGTGGCTGCTTCGCAGTGTCCCAAACAGATACAGAGGGTCGCAAGGATATGTCGCCGAGTGGTGTCAAGACAAAAGCCAAGATTGAGGCGATTGAGAAGCAAAAAGTTGAAGCGGCAGCACAGCTTGGTGCAATGAAAATGACGAATCTTGTGGGTGTGCCCAAGGTCATGATGGCTGCTCGACAAAAGGATGGCCTGATGCGTATGCAACCCTTGGATGGCACTAGCTAACACATCAGAGCTCATGCCTGGACAAACAGTGCCTGAAGGCCACACTGCAGAGAAGACATCGCCAGCCTTCATCCCAGTCAACGTCCAGAACGTAAGTCGAGGCTAATTGCCAGTGCTTGATCCTTGGCGGTAATTCAACAGATGTTGACAATAAAGTAGATCCCAGATCCAGTGGATGGCAGAATGAGCGCTCAGCCAAGTCCAGACCAGCTGGCGGCCATGAAGAAGCAGAGCCCGTAGACTTGCTTAGCGCACAGGTATGCTGTTGTAACTTTGTTCTTGGTCTCGACGACGCTTCTCTAGAGTTGGCCGAACAATCATAGCGTATGCCAAGAGGCCGCCGCTTTCGTTAGCTTAGACTCTCACAAGGCCAGCTTACGTGATGAGTATAAAGCCAATAACGATCCCCTCGTCTTTGCGCGACTCTCGCTGGAAGCAAGATTGCGTAACTACAATGTCCGACTCGGTATCATCCACAGACGGGCACGAAGCAAGGCCTGATTTGGTCAAGCAAAAGATGCGAGTACAGTCAGTACAAGGCTTGGCAGGCGTTGCCAGGACATCTTCGGTGAGAGGCACGATAGCAGAGGATTTGCCGCATGTGCATTTACAGTAGCTGAACGTTAGAACAGATGTCGCTTGACATTGGCATACGAGAGTGGTTTTGCAGCGTAGACTGAGAGCAGTGCACAGCTGGTGAGCAGCAGGATAGATTTAAGAGCTAGCATAGTCAGCGGGCTACAGCTCAACACAGCAGCTGAAGTGGTCTGGTCGTTGCAGTTGTTGAAGCGTGCGACCTCAGGATTTAAAGCGCGACAGTAAACAGCATGCAAGGACTACTAGACTAGTATTCATTGTCCTACCCAAGGCCTGTTCCTCCAATGCCATGGCCCTGGCAGTCAGAGAGTGCTCCGGTTGATGGGAAAAAAGAAGCACTAGCTCAAGAGACCAATACTGTGCTCGACCCACGCACCTGGCTCGACACCAATGTGCTTGTGCCTGTCCTGCTTCTGACCTCTGCTTCACTAGGCGCCTACCACTTCTACAGACGCGGTCTCAGACGCTACCCGACCATTGATCACCTCCCTGCTCAAATATATGGCTCCAGCAACCCGAAAGCACGCTCTCGCAGTCTTCTTGGCTATGTGACCTCAGTTGGCGACGGCGATAATTTTCGCTTCTTTCACACACCTGGCGGGCGTTTGACTGGCTGGGGCTGGCTGAGATCTGTGCCCACCGACAAGAAGGCTCTGCGTAACCAGACCATTCATGTTCGTATTGCTGGGATTGACGCGCCAGAGCTGGCTCACTTTGGCAATCCTGCGCAACCATTCGGCAAGGAAGCGCTCGACTGGCTGGCTAGCACCGTCCTTCACAAGCGTGTGCGTGTTCGAATACATTCGCGTGATCGATTTGATCGTGTCGTCGGCAATCCAGAGATGCGTCAATGGCCCTTCATCTGGATCAAGCGCGATGTTGGTCTCGAACAAATTAAGGCTGGCATGGCAACAGTGTTTCGACAGGGCGGCGCAGAGTATGGTGGCTTGATGGATGCTATGGAACGTGCTGAAGGAGTAGCTAAAGCTGCCAAGAAGGGCATGTGGAGTCAGGGCAAGAAGCTTGAAACGCCTGCAGCATACAAGAAGCGGACGCGTGGAGAAGACCATGAAGTTGTCACGTCAAAGACACCCAAGATGGCAGCGCAGCAAAACAACAGCCTACTCGCCTGGCTCAAATGGTCGATTGGCAAGTGATGCTACTTCTTCAAATTGACAAACTTTTGGTAAAAGAAGGAGGGCGTTGATGGCTGCTTTCTTGCCTCTGACAATGACGGCACGTCTTTGCGTGATGCGCTGGATCCTGGCATCTCTTCAGGCTTGCTTAGTGTGCTTGACAAGCGCACAACGCCTGGAATCTTTGGAGGCTTGTGTTGCTTGATTTGCACAACCGGTGTTGGCGGCAAGGCAGTGGACGTGTACCAAGGTGGCTCAACCTGAGTCGTGTTTCTTGCATCGTCTGGCTCAACGTTTCGCAAGACTGGCTTTGACTCAAGAAATGCATTGATTGCCGCATCCATGCGCGTCACGGCGTCTGTCCAATCGGTCGACAATTGCATACAATCTGCGCCATGTTCGCCGTGCTGCTGCGTCAAGCCTTGTGTGGGCATGGGAACCGACACAATGCGTGGAAGCGTCCGAGAAGAGCGATACGTGGCAAGATCCTCCCTTGACAGGCTGAGTTGCGTAGATTGGCGACTCATCCGATCTTGCTCTCGGAAGCGGCGACTGCGCAGATCAAGGACTACAGTCGAATTCATGCTGCTTTTCCCCTGGTGCGAGCTCTGCTTACCCTGTGGCGTCGCCGTGTCTCGCTGAGATGGCTCAATAAATGCTGGCGACAGAGGAGTCTTTGACAACATCATCGAGTCTGGCATCGACAACACACTTGCTCTGGATCTCATTCCACACCTGCACACAGGGATACGCGACGCATCGAGCGGTGGGTTCTCCTCAAATCCAAGTCTACATGGTCCGAGCACCTCATGTCGTTTCAAGGTCTGTGTTTCAGGTGTATCATGAAGGCACCTCTGCGTCCGATGACGTCGGCTGTATCGTTTGTTCTGTGGTCTTACGCTCTGCTCACGCTACCGCTCCTTACAGGGCTTCACTTCAAAGCAATGACGCGGGTTTCATGTTCGTCCTGCTCGTTATTGAATGTAAGAGGAGTATAAAGGCCCCTCATTGGGCGAGTATGAAGGATAAGCTTGTACGTTCAGAGCGTCATTGTGCCGCACTCTTAGGTTGCATATTGCTCACGCGCAGACTGCCCAATTTATGACTCTGCTCTCAAGGCTTGGACGAAGTCTTTGTTTGGCAACATGATACTTGCTATCGATACTGTGGTAGAAGGAAACGTATCATGTAGACAAAGATAGATAATCTTGTCTTCATGATGAAAGGATGAAGAACTTTGAGATAAGTGCCCTAGGTATTCAGAGAAGGGAAGAAGGGCGCACGGCGCTGTTCAAAGAGGGGCAGCTCAAATGCTTGGACAATATGTAATCGAGATTGGCGGATATGCGAGGCTGTAGTCGTAGGTGACAGACACAGGCACGCAGGGCAGCTGCAGATAAGACTTGATTCGAATAGGGGACAAGAGTATAGCACTCTTGCCAGCTAAGACTAAACTAAAGGTCACGTGCATGAGCGCTGACGTGGCAGAGAGATAACAGCGGAAGCAAGTGATCAGGGGATGCACTTGAATTCCTAACACTCCCTCTATCTCGATAAAGCGAAGTGCTTAGACGAGGCCGAGAAGCAGTCGTTGCGTCTCCAATGCAGGACGTTGAAGGAGCTTGGTAAGGAGATCGGCTTTTTGCAGTTTTGTGCCGACGTAGTGTAGCTTGATCTTGCCTTGCTCAATCAGGGATCGAGTGTGATGGTACTTCACTTCGATGTGCTTACTCTTGGCGTGAAACACAGGATTGTGTGCCAACTTCAGCGCAGCCTGATTGTCCCCAAATAAATTGATGGAACCGTCGGAGTTGAGCACATTGCTGATCTTGATGCCGAGCATGAGCTCGCGCAGCCAGAGAGCCTCTTTTGACGCGTTGGAGAGGCCAATATATTCGGCTTCCATGGTCGATGTGGCAACAATGTTTTGGCGCTTTGACTGCCAGGTGATTGCAGCTCCCCCAAGCATGAACACATAGCCAGATGTGCTCTTCCTTGTATCCAGGCACCCTGAGTAGTCAGAGTCAGAGTACCCAGCAAACTCGTCGTTTCCGTCGTATCGCAGTCGCAAATTGCGAGTCGTGAACAGGTACGCGAGGACGCCACGAGCCAACTTCATGTGAGAAGTAGTCGGCTTGGCAGAGAAACGACCTAGAACACCGACAATATAGGCAACATCGGGTCTGGTCGAGATGGCTATCCACTGAAGCTCCCCAACAATGGATTGGTAAGCAGTTTTGTTGGCCGGCTGGTCGTCAGTCGGCTGGTGGGTAGTGCCGTCAGTGGTGAGAATGGTGCCGACACTGGCTGGCAGGTGCCTTGGATGGCAGTTGGCTAAGCCGTGGTCGGTGGCGATCGATTCAATATAGGTGGATTGATCGAGAGTGTATACGCCGTTGTTGTGTGAGACGCGCATGCCGAGAATGGAATTGGCAGGGCCGAGATCGGACAGCTCGTAGCGTTTGGTAAGAGCCTTGAGAAGATGCTCTTTGTGCGCGATGTCCGAGAAAGCCATCAGAATGTCGTCGACGTAGACGCAGAGCAAGGACGCGTTTGTCTGATGCTGATAGATGCCAAAGTCGTGCATCGAGCGTTCATAGCCAGCAGCAGTGAGGGTGACGTGCAAATCATCGTTCCAGGCTTTGCCAGCTTGTTTTAGACCGTAGAGAGCCTTCTTGAGCCTAACGAACGGGAAGTTCTCGTTGGAGAAACCTGGAGGAGCGATCATGAAAATCTCCTCAAACAGGTTTGCATTGAGGTAAGCGGTGGCAATGTCAATCTGGTGAAGATGAAGCTTGTAAATTGAAGCGAGTGCGATAAGCATGCGCACAGACTCCAGTCGAGTGACTGGAGCATACGTCTCGTTGTAGTCTACGCCAGCTTTCTGAGAGTAGCCCTTAGCGACAAGACGCGACTTGCGCTTGTCGAAAGTGCCATCAGCGAGGATCTTGTTCTTGAAGATCCAGCGTGCCCCAATGGCCTTTCGGCCTGGAGGTAGCTTAGCGACGTACTCAAAAACTCCTTTGCCTTCAAGAGAGGCGAGCTCGCGTTCCATAGAGGCACGCCATTCAGGTGCGTCAGAGCGGGATAAAGCTTGTTTGACAGTTACAGGAGCTGGGAGAACATCTTGAGCAGTAAGCATAAAAGCATATTCATCAAGCTCGTCATCATTAGTAGTAACGTCAAGACCGCTAGTAGCGATAGCTTCGAGCTGCTCGTCAGTAAATTCGACACTTGCAGCATTGCCGCTAGCTATAGCTTCGAGCTGAGCGTCTGTGAGCTGACGAGGATCGACATCCTTGTTGACAGACAGTTCTTTTGCCACAGCATGATCAAAAATGACCGAGTGGTTGAGAACAACTTTCCCAGTGGCAAGATCTAAGACTCGCCAAGCTCTGGAAGTATCACTGTAGCCCAAAAACATAGCTTTGTTGGCGCGCGCATCCCACTTGTCCTTGATTCGCGAGTTGTGTGACCAGCAAATGGTACCAGGAGTCCTCATATGCGAGCAATCTGGTCGTATGCCATACCACAGTTCGTATGGCGTCTTGTCGAGACCAGTATGAGGCGAACGATTGATGGCGTAGACGGCTGTGGAGGTCAACTCAGCCCATAAATTGCGCGGGAGAGGACCAACCGTCTCATCAAGAAGCGATGAGCGAGCCTTTTCGACAAACGTGCGAATGTGGCGCTCTGCAACACCATTCTGCTCAGGCGTATGCGGAACAGTTGTTTGGTGAGTGGTGCCTTGCGTAATGAGGTGCTGGCGAAAGCTCCCCTTGAACTCGTTACCTCCATCAGAGCGAACAATTTTGACTTTGTCGCCAACGTGATTGGTGGCAACAGTTTCCCAAGCTTTGTAGATGTTACAGACGGTGTCTGCAGTGACATCTTTCAGCATGTACGCCCAAACGTACTTGGAAAACCCGTCAACAATGATGAGAAAATATCGTGCATCATTGATAGAATTGGTGCGCATTGGTCCAGCAACATCAATGTGGACTATGTCAAGCCGCTGAGTGGCAGAATTTGCCACAGAGGGAAAGCTCGAGCGCTTGCTCTTTCCAGCTGCACAGCCAGAGCAATCGAAGTATTCCGGGTAGACCAGATCGTCGGGAAATCCGTCGACAAACTTCGAAAGTCGTTTCATGTCCTTGATGGACATATGGCAAAGTCGTCGGTGCCACTCAAGGGCATCCGTCGGTGCCTTTTCCTTTGTGAAAAGGCCAAACTCACTTGCCTGAGGCTGGACTTTAGCAATTGTGCCGTCTAGGACAAAGCCTTTACCGACACGCCTGCCAGTAGCGACGACAACACTGTCTTTGAGGAGGGCTGGTCCATGTTTGGCCGAGAACAGTACGTCAAAACCGTCCTCATTGAGTGCGCTCACTGATAAAAGATGTTCAGTGAGATTTGGCACATGCCAAACTTTGGACAAGGGCACCAAGCTGGTTTGATCTGGCACGGCAAATGCAGCATGCCCAAAACCAGCGGAGATCATCTCTTCGCCATTGGCGGACGTGATGCTAATGGAAGCATCATGAGAGAGATCAGAGATCAACTCTTGCGACGGTGTCATATGCGACGTGGCACCGGAGTCGATCACCCAGCTACGTTCAGCTAGGGTTGTTTCGCGAGCAAAGTATGCCGTGTTGGGATTTGGCTTGCCCTCAGACTGTGATTTTGATTCAGTTGGAGGGCTACTTTGCTTCGTCTCAGATGAAGGCTTGTGAAGAGAATGCCTTTTCCTCGGCTTCTTTGAAGACTTCTGCTTCAATTGAGACTTATGCTCTTGAGCGAGCATCCCTTTTTCCGTTGATGATTGGTAAAGGGTTTGGGAAGCGTCAGCGGCTGAGTCTGCCAGAGACTTGTGCTTGCCGTGCGTCTTGAGATAGTCATCCGACTGTATCTTGAAGCGCACTTGCTGCACAAAACTGCGGCTAGAGTGTGGTCCATCCGAGGAGAGTGTGTGCAGCGTGAGGTCCTGCAAATCGCCTGGGAGTTTGGCGTAGATCATGGCAATTTCCATGTCTTCGTCAAACGTCTTGCCGGTGGGATCAAGGCTGCGCAACTGGGCAATGGTGGCTTGAACGTCCACCATCAGGGTCTCAATAGCTGAAGATGTGGTATTGCCAGGAGGCAAAGAGAGCTTATTGAGCTTCGTGACCAATTGCAACTTTCGCAAAGTGTCAGGCTGCTTGTGTCGAGACAAGACAGTCTTGAAAGCAACGCAGGCGACTGCGATGTCTTTGATTGCTTCCAGGTCAGACCTGTCGAGACCTCCTTTCAGCAAGAAAAGCGCCTTGCTGTTCTTGTCCCAAGTTGGTTCAAGATGCGACCATTCTTCAAAGGTCGCAGGTGCAAGATACCCTTCAGAGTTGATGTAGCACGGACCAGTGTAAGGCTTTGTGCTTTCATCCTCGCTTGATTCCTCCTCCATCGATTTGGACTTGGAGCGAGTCGAGGGGGCGCTATAGGCTTTTGGAGCCTTAAGCTTGTCATCTTTCATGAGGGCTTCGAGAGCGGCGATACGGGCCTCAGCGTCTTCGTCGGCCTTCTGCATGGCGTCTGCGCAGCGTATTGCTGCTTTGACGCGGCGTGCGTGTATCTCCTGAAAGATGTAAGTCTCAGCGCCAGCCTGCTGAGCGACAAGCAGCAGCTCATCCTTCCAAGCACTTAGGCCATTGCTGATCCTCTTGGTGTTCCTTAACACCGCGTTGCTAGACGGGCCGGAACGTTGACCCGAAGCAGTAGCGTCTTGCTGCATAGCAACAGTGCTCATAACCTAATCGAGATTGGCGGATATGCGAGGCTGTAGTCGTAGGTGACAGACACAGGCACGCAGGGCAGCTGCAGATAAGACTTGATTCGAATAGGGGACAAGAGTATAGCACTCTTGCCAGCTAAGACTAAACTAAAGGTCACGTGCATGAGCGCTGACGTGGCAGAGAGATAACAGCGGAAGCAAGTGATCAGGGGATGCACTTGAATTCCTAACAATATGCCTTCAACTTGAATCGGTCTTGCCTGCAAACTGTCCGGCACTCGCTGACCACGAAGCCACTATAGTTAGCTGTTTTCATCCAGGGACGCTTCCTTTCAAAACACCAGGCTGGCCAGTTTAGGACGCAATCCAATCTCATCCAGCCTGGTTTCGCCAAAGATGACTCATCACCAGCCCAGAGATTCCATCCGCACACCATATCGGGGATCATAGCTTTTGGATGCGTGACTCCTTGACCTAGTGGGCCAGCAGCCTTGCAATAGACTGCCCCACGCCTATCATCAACACCTGGCGGGCCGGGGGTTTGGAACCATTGTTTATCAAAGCCTGGCAGATCAGCCTTGGCGACGAGATAGCAGAAAGCATTGCTGACCAGGTCCGAAAGATGGCGTCTATATGCCCCGTCGTTGTACCAACCTGGAATCATGTGCTTCTGGGCGCCCCCTGAAGTTTGAATTGTGTAAACTGGCAAGTTTAAAGGGTTCCCTGCAGAAGGCGCCTCTGCCAGCCTTACAGGTTCTACCTTAGCAAGCATAGTTCTTATGCTGCTATTCACGAATTTCGTGAAGAAGTAGGTTTGGTCCTTGAAATCGCCTGCTGGAGAGTACTGACTCCAGTAGTCCAGCAATGCATCTGCATCTGCAACTGCTGCTGATGCGACAGATGGTAGCAGTGACAGGCACAGCAGCTTCCAGCAAGCGACCAGGTAGAAGCAAGCGGCCATGTCTGTTGTCTTCGCGGCGATTGAGCTTCGCGTTGATAGGAATGGAGGAAAGATGCCAGCAAAGTGCGAAAGATGCGTCTTTATGCTACGTGGTCTCCAGCAAGACAAAACTCTTGCAGCAGTGCCCCTGAGCCCATGGTCAGCTGCTACCTTGGAAATGAGCAGACTGTAAGGGCTCGGCCTAGCTAGGCCACAGATTGAAAGTAGCTAGACTCTGCTTATTGCTCAGTGCAGCAGTTCTCCGCGGCCTAGGGAGTCAAGGCTACATGTGAATCTGTGAGTCTGTGAGCCTGTGAGGTATCGTCCTGGATGGAGCAGATGGGTGTACATGTACATATGTGGATGTCGTCGACGTTCGAATTCGCAAGTTGCCAGGTTCACGGACATTTGGGCAACCGACCGCGGGACCTGGCGGCCATCTATGTGCTCAATGCCAGAGACGACCTGGAAGTGGAACACAGACTCGACCTCATGGACGACCAGGATGCAGTGTGCATTGACATCAAGCTCAAGGAAGCCTCCAAGGCGATCACATTAGTTAATGTGTACAACCAGGTGCCAATGGGACAGGCTGAAGACGCCTCGCAAGCGATGGAAGCAAGCGAGTACACATTGAAAAGGATCTGGAGCGCGCTAAGAGACCTTCCAAGAGACGCTATCATCACGGGGGATATGAATGCGCATCACCCTCACTGGAACGAATTTACCCAGCGACCAAGGCTACATCAGGAACTCATGAGGCTTGTGAGCGAACGAGAGTTCGTTCTACAGAATGATGGTTCATTTACGAGACGTGGCAATGCAGGGCAAGTCGACACTATCATCGACCTGACGTTTGCGCGAGGTTGGGCCCTCTCAGGCATGGCAGGATGGCGAACCAGGCAAGACCTCACCACAGGATCCGACCACGAAGTGATCCATCTCATGGTTGACTTACCAAAGCCGATCTCCCGACACCGACTGGCAACGCAGCAAAACGGAGACCATCCACTCAGATACAACCTGAAGACTCTCAGCCCGAGAAGTCGAAGGAACTTGAGCAAAGCCTACGAGAAGCGCTGGTACATGACAGTCGGGGCTGGGACTTGGAGGCAGCAAGTGCAGAGGACATAGACGAGGCCGCTGCGCGTCTTGACCAGGCTATTGCAAAAGCACTCAGAACCACTTGCAGACCTACCTCGGCACTGAAGGGACGCAAGAGATGGTGGAACACAGAACTAGACCAACACCTTGCGGAGCTCCACACGAAGCGCAATAGGTCTCTGCAACATAGGGACCAGCCGACACGCCAAGATTACAAAAGAGCCCGCAACAAATGGAGAAGGCTGGTGCGCGACACAAAACGCAAGTGTTGGCAGGAGTTTGTAGAAGAGGAGACACCAAATCGGGCTTTCGAGGCACGGCGCTACTGTTTGGCAAAAGGTGGGACAAGCATCAATTGCCTCACCACAGAGGAAGGTGGCGAAATTCGTACAGCCGTGAGCTTCCAGGACAAGGAAGAGGTACTCTATCGACAACTGTTTCCACCGCCGCCACACACAGAAGCCTTCAGCCTCCCAGCTGGCTACACGACAGAGCACCACTGGGGAATGGTGACGGAACAGGAATTATCAACAGCGGTATACCAGAACTCCACTAGGAGCGCAGGGGGCCCAGATGGTTACAATCATGCTTTTATCCAACGGTATTATGATACCCTGAAGATTGCGCTTGCGCCGATCATCAGAGAGTGCGTCCGGATAGGACACCACCCAGAGACCTGGAAACAGTCCATCACGGTGGTCTTGAGAAAGCCCAACAAACCAGACTATAGCAAGCCAAGAGCCTACAGGCCTATAGCGCTGCTCAAATGTATCTCAAAAGTCTTGGAGAGACTACAAGCAACGAGGTTTCACACTATCATGGAGCAAGCGAACTGCTTTCATCCATACCAGATGGGAGCACGCAAGCACCGTTCAGCACTAGACGCCGTCCACCTACTAGTGAACGAAGCCGAGGTTGCAAGAAGCACAAAACAGAAATGCTCAACGCTGTTCATGGACGTGGCGGGGGCATTCGACCATGTGTCGAAAGACCAGCTTCTGAGACGAATGGCAGACAAAGGTCTCCCTGAAGAGATGATCCAGTACACGGCGGCCTTTCTCTCTGGTCGATCCACACGGATTTCTTTTGACGGGCGAACCGCTCCACAAAGGATGATCACTACAGGCATCCCACAAGGGTCGCCGCTCAGCCCGATACTCTTCACGCTGTATATTGGGCCAATATTTGCTAGCATTACGAGAGCATGCGAATCGGAAGTAGACGGCGAAGGCGCAAAGTTGACTTGCGGCAGCTTTATGGACGACATCAGAATTACCATCACGTCAGACACCTACGAAACAAACGCAGCTCTGTTAGCACTGGCGCAAAAAGAGGCTGTAGACTGGGGAAGAGCCAATGCAGTAGCATTTGACACCAGCAAGGAGGAAGTCATACACTTTTGGCAGAAGCCAAGGCGGGCAAGGCAAAGGGCAGTCCCATGTGCCACACAAGAGGATAGTCCGACAACGCAGCACAACGCAATACCAGAAGACACTCAGGTTGCGCCTAGGCAAGGGGCAGTGACAAGAAGCCTAGCAGCAAGAGCCGGTGAAACCGCGACCAGAGCGGAAGTCCCCTCGCAAGAGGGCTTCACGCACACGCAAACCAATGAACCACCCACTGAGGCGGTAGTCACCTCGGATGGAAGGTGCATCACCCCAGCACCTTGCATAAGATGGCTAGGAGTGTTCATCGATCAGCGCTTGAAGTTCGATCAGCACATCAAGATCAAGGGAGAAAAAGCGGACAAAGCATGGCTGGCAGTCTCTCGCCTAGTCAAAGCAGAATCGGGCTTGTCGGTGGCAGCAAGCAGGAAGCTGATCGTGACGTGCGTGCTACCAGTCATGGAGTACGGGTGCACGCTTTGGGCCACGAAGCGGCAGCCTAACCGAACCATGGAGAAGACGATCAACAAGGCAATCATCAAAACACTGGGAGCAACCAGAAGCACTCCCAGCAAAGTGCTACACCTTGACTGCAGAATTCCCACCTTAAAGGCACACACAAAGGACGCAGCCAGGAGGGATGCGGCGCGGTGGCACACTCTCCCCAAAAACCACCCGCTCAAGCAGATCGTCACAGGCCCGGCAGGTCAAAAAGGCTTGACCATAAAGAAGGCCGTTCACCAGCTGAAACAGATATGCGAGCCAAAGCATATCGAACGCTTCGACTATGAGGCACACCATTCAAGACTTCCTAGGCTGAACCCCGACTTGATCCAAGTCACGGTAGACAAGTCGATGTCCAAAGACGAACAAGCCAAAGCACACGTCATATGCGCTGCATACAAGCAGCCAGACACGCTGTCTCTATACAGCGACGGTTCATGCACTGACAAGGGATGTGGTGCGGCAGCGGCAGTAGCAGCATACTGCAACAACAGACTCATCTCGCAAAAAGTACAAACGCATCGGAGGGAGCTGATATCGTATGATACCGAACTGATTGGCTTGGAGATGGCAGCAAAGTTGGCCGCAGAACTGGTGGCGCGCAACACGGAGTTGGCCTCAATCTACATCTTTTCAGACAACCAGTCTGCGCTAGACTCCCTACAGAGCACAGCGCCAACAACGGGCCAGAGTCTCAGACTGAGGGCACAGAGGGCACTTGTCCAACTCAGCGCATGTGGGAGACCAACAAGACTAGTGTGGCTGCCGGGCCATTGCTCTATCCCAGGCAACGAGAAGGCAGACCAGCTGGCAAGGGAGGCGGCAGAAAGCAGTCCGACCATGCCAGACATTACGCGCAGTACAGATATCGGCATTTCGCTGTCATATGTCAAGGCCATGCGGAAAAAGAAGATGATGGAGGAATGGGCCAAAGAATTCCACGCATGCAAGAGAGATGGCATTACACCGAAAAGTGTTACAAGGTTTGACAAGTACAGCACCTTCGACGCGAAAAGCTTGAAGCTGCCCAGCTGGACAGCAAGGCCAAGACACGTCGTTGCACGCATAATAGGGTTGCGCAGCTGTGCAGGCTATTACGGCAAGGGCATGTGGACGAGAGCAGAGAGACGCTTACGGGTGTGCGACTGCAGACCCACACGCCCGCTACCAGAGACAAGGGAACACTTGCTGTACTTTTGCCCAAAATGGGCGCAAGCGAGAGCAGCTCACATTGACTCCGACCGAGCAAACAGATCGATCAAAAGACTCCTAAACGACCCAACACACATGGAATCCTTGGCGGACTTCCTACAAGACTGTAAAGCAGCAACTCGCAAGGAGCTTTTCAGACGAGACGCCACTCCAAGTGGCACAGGCGAACAAGCGAGGTGGAACCAGATCAGCTCAGACGCAGCCCACCAATACAGCGACATGGCAAGCGTACACGTCCCAAGCACGCCCATGGGCCCTCCGGACGCACCAGCCATCACCCTTAACCCCTCACCACGCTAGACGAGGTGACCACGTCGAACTGCCCCGAAGTAGGACAGCGAGACAGCGATGTTGCCCGCTATATAAACAAATATTGGCTTAGGCCAGATCGCCAACAATGACGGAGCAGGAAGTGCCGCAACCCATTGCGCGCGAGGACAAGTATTGGAAGAACCATACACGTGAGGCGTGTATCTTTCAAAGACAGAACAAGCGGCGGTGCCGCTGAGTTCCTATATAGGCCATAGAGTCCTGAGAGGAGTAGGTAAAAGTCTTCCACGTGATGCGAACCTCCAGATGGAGCGGCACGCTTTCACAAATGAAACACCACAAATACAAAGGCTAGTATTGCGGCCGGTGGTAATTCAAACTGATTCTAAGTCTGCTGGAGCTAAAACTACTGTCTAATCTATCTATAAATATCTGTTTAGAGGCGCTTATGCATTGGTTTCGAACTGAGGCGCCCAGATCGTGTGAAGGTGACATTTCCAGGCTCTGCACTCAAAGTCTTCCCCTCTACCATGAAACCCGCGGCTTCAGTCAATTTCGACCCTGGATTCTCTTCTTGATTGACCACAGCTGACTTGTAAGCCTGATTGGGCTTCTTTTGAGCTTGCTTCACAGCATGGCTGGCCAGAGAAACAGCCTTCTTTTCCGCTGCGGCGGCTTCCTTAGCAACTTTGGCTGCAGCGCGAGCCTCCCGTTTCTGTTGAGCCTCAGCTTCCTTGTCTGCCTTTTTGATAGCCCTGGCTGTCTTTTCAGCCGCCCTTTGCTCGACTAGCATGTCCCGTTCTTGTGCACGCTTAGCTTCAATGTCTCGTGCATGCTGGACCTCGATAGGGCCAACAAATAAAGCGCCTGTCCGTCCATCGGACCTCAGCTGCTCCCCAATCTTCAGCTGTCTTTTCTTCCTTGGCTGATTTCGCTTGGCAACAGCCTTTAGCTGCGAGTTCTCCAGCTTTACGGCTTCATACGCTGTTTGGACCTCAGAAAGCCGGTGCGCCAGGAATTGGAGGAACTTTTGCGATTTTTGATCAGCATTGGCAGTTGTCTGCACCAAGAACCGGCGCATCTTCGTTGGTCTGGACACAGTACATACTCCAGTTGGTGGTCTTGGACTATCGTGCTGTTGTTGGGCTTGAGCGGGTAATGGAGTCGCTGGCCTTTTGCGCAAAGGACCCAGGGCTATCTCCGGATTGAACGGCCAAATGCCAGTCTTTTCCCAGGCAGACTCGATAGTCTTCTTGACAAAGGTCTTCTGATAGGCCAGCCAAAAGATGGGAAAGAAATCTCGCTTCTTGATCGAGCACTGTCCTCCTGAATCTGTGACCATCTGATTGAGGCCTTGGCTATAGTAACTGGCCAAAGGGCTGAAGCAGCCAACATCCAAAGGTTGCAATCTATGCGTCGAGTGAGGCGGATAGAAGGCAAGGTAGATCTTCAGTTCAGTGCACTTGCTGATGAATTTTGTGTTCAGGTGCGAGCCGTGACCATCAAGAAATAAGAGTCTCCAGGAGCGTCTGGATTTGCGTCGCGACTCCTCGTCGAAAATGTCCACGAGCCAGTGCATGGCGAGCTCATCAGATGTCCACCCGTTGGGCGAGCTTGCAAAATAGCAATTGTGCTCATCTGTCTTGAAATCCTCGATCCAGGCATTTTGAATGTCGCCGGAGTCAGCCTTGTAGATAACAGCAGGCGATAAAGTCGTCCCATCAGCACAGATTGTCGCTAGAATAGTGACCCATTCTCGGTTACCATCCTGCCCAGCTCTGGGAAGCTCATCGAGCTCAGATTTCTGCTTAGCGAACACCCGGCGTGTCTTCTGCGAGACTCCAATCATGAACTCTTTCTCGTCCATATTGTACATGTTCTCCGCCGTGATGTTGTTTCTCTGAATAACAGCAGCCAAACCATTGAAGTAAGACTCATAGCTAGTGAGACTATCAGCCTTGTGACGAGCTAAGTCGATATTCTGAAGATATCGGCTGTCCAAAATATTGTTGTGGCGCTGAACAAAGCGGCTTGCCCAATTTTTTGAAAGCGGTCGGCCAGCCAATCTCGAAGCTAGCGAGGTTATAAAAGCTGGTGGGGGTGGAAGGCAAAGATCACTCAATTGCTTGATCTGATCTATGATCATTTTCTCCTGATGGTTGGAGAGCGCCTGCTTGTTTTCCTCCCTGCGGGCTTTGGAGGTGGATAGGCCATGAAATCGACGGCTGAGGGCTGGTCGACTAATTCCATGCTTTCTAGCTATCCTTGCTAATACAGGAGCGTCAAATGCGCGTGCCTCTGCAATTGCAAGCTCCATCTATTCTAAACCATGGATAAAATGCGTAAGTTGTGAGCCTATAATTGACTTTTTGACGCGTGCCGCAACCAATTAAAGTCCGCATCACGTGGAAGACTTTTATGTAAGACAACGGAACAAAAAAAAAAAAACCTGTAGAGTAAACGAGGTCGACGAAGCACTCGTAATCACTGGCTCCCCTCTACGGGCAAAATCCGAGCTCTTTCATAATTCTGCTGCGAGACGTATTAGGTCTACGGATATACTTCCTTTACCTTCAGATTTGCCATGCGTTCTGTCTTACTATCCACGCTTTCTTCTGAACGTGTTGCTCCTGCGCATCGCTCTTTCTATGCTTTATCTTGTTCTAGTGCACGTTGTCGATGCACATGGCCACTCTTCTTGTCTCGCAGGCCATTCAACGCAACTCATCGCACCAGAGCTGCCTCACTTTGGCGATCCTGAACGATGGTTTGGCAGAGAAGCGCTAGGCTGGCTGACTAGCACCGTACTTGACAAGCATGTGCGCGTTTGGACTCACTCGTGTGATCCATTTGGCCGTGTGGTCGGTAATCAAAAATGCATCAAAGGCCTTTCATCTGGTTGGCATGGCAACAGTGTTTCGACAGGGAGGTACAGAGTATGGCGGCTTGATGGATGCTATGGAACGTGCCGAAGGAGTAGCTAAAACTGCCAAGAAGGGCATGTGGAGTCAAGGCAAGAAACTTGAAACGCCTGCAGCATACAAGAAGCGAACGCGTGGAGAAGACCATGAAGTTGTCACGTCAAAGACACCCAAGATGGCAGCGCAGCAAAAGAACAGCTTACTTGCATGGCTCAAATGGTCGATTGGCAAGTGATGCTACTCCTCCCAATTGACAACACTTTGGGTGAACAAAGGATGGCGTTGAAGGCTGCTTCCTTGCCTCTACCAATGACGGCACGTCTTTGCGTGTTGTGCTGAATCCTGGCAACTCTTCAGGCTTGCTTCGTGTGCTTGGCAAGCGCACAACGTCTGGATTCTTTGAGGCTTGTGTTCCTTGATTTGCACACCAGGTATTAGTGGCAGTGCAGTGGATGTGTACCAATGTGGCTCAACCTGAGTCGTGTTTCTTGCATCTTTTGGCTGATCGTTTCGCACAACTGGCTTTGACTTAAGATATTTGTTGATCGCCGCATCCATGCGCGTCACAGTGTCTGTCCAACCGGTCGACAGTTACATACATTATGCACCACATTTGTCGTGCTGCTGTGACAAGCCTTTTGTGGGCATAGGAACCGACACAACGCGTTGAAGCGTCCGAGAAGAGCGGTGCCAAGATTCCCCTCTGACAGTTTAAGCTGCGTTTTCTGACAGTCATTTGATCTTGCTCTTGTCAGCGACGACTGCGTAAAGCAAGGACTACGGTTGCATCCATGCTGCTTTTCCCCTGGTGAGAGCTCTGCTCATGCTGTGGTGTCGCCCTATCTCGTTGAGATGACTCGATAAATGCTGTCAACAGAGGATTCCTTGATAATATCAATGCATGTGGCATCGACAACACACTTGCTCCAGATCTCATTCGACACCTGCTCATAGAGGACTGCGAAGCATCGAGCGATTGAGTCTCCTCAAGTCAAAGTCTACATGGTTCGAGCGCATCATGCCGTTGCAAGGCTTGCGGTTCGTGTGTCTCCGGGTTCAGGCACATCATGGATACACCTCTGCCACCTAGTTGAACCTTTCGCACTGTGGCCATGCTTCCTGCCAACGGCTGCCTTTATAGTTACGGCTTACAGGGCATTGATATATAAGGCATGTTCTCATGCTCATTGCTGGTCGTGTGACAGACATGCAGACGTCTGGACTGTGTCAGTGCTAGGACTAAGCATAAAGTTTCATACAGTTGGAGGAGTCGTTGCGTCGCAAGTTCTCAAATTTAGATGGGCAACTTGCCCTCTCTCAAGACCACTCACTCAAAAGTTGACACAAGAGGCTCGAACAGATCGCATGAGAATAATTGGAAATGCTATTGATACGGTGTATCGAATACGGTCCATCAGTTCAAAGACTTTGTCTACCTGAATATTGGTTGATCAGAAAGGCACAAGCGCCGACAGCACGACCACTGAATCTGATCCTCTTGCAGTCACTCTGCTGAAGTTCGTAGCAATGACGGTTGTGCGCACCATGATGAATCCCACCTTCGCAGGGTTTGGCAAGTTAGTGGCAATACCCGGGTAGCTTGTAGCTCTTGGGATGATTTGGGCAGTTCTTGACCATAATGTCGTCCTCACAAGGTATGAAGAGCCGTTCGGCAGGTTTTGAGTGCTGCTCGTCAGCTTTGAACGGTCGATGACAGCTGAAACCTGGCTTGGAGCTCAGAGTAAAATTGGCCCAACCATGTTGTTCGCACATCTGACATGTCAAGCAAGGTTTGTGCATCGGGTTCTTCAAAGATGTCAACACGCGACATAATTCTGGTTCGAAAAAACTCGGATCATCCAAGTGGGGGCAGTTCTGGAACCATGCAGGCATTTGTTGTTGCTTGATGTAGTTGCAGACTTGACTTGTGCAGACATCCTTGGGTTCTGTGTGTAATGAATTGAGAGTTTTCATCCAAGGCTGATCAGGATGCAAACACCACTTGTCCAAGTCATTGAAGCATGTCAATGTGAACCAGCCTTTCATCTTCTCGTTGCCTTGACCCACAACCTGCCATCCACACCGCGACATTGGAATCATATTCTTTGGATCCCCAGCCTCGCCATCTTTCGTTTTTGTGCAAAAAATTGCCCCTTTGAGTCCCTCGTAGTATGGCACCTCTGAGGGCCCGGGTGTCTGAAACCATTCATCGCCAAGGTTAACGTCAAGGTCGGCTTTAGAGACGAGATAGCAGACGGCATTCGAGTCCTGCAGCTCGTGACCGGGACCGTAATTGGAAAGACCTCCGAACCAGCCTGGAAGAACTTGAAGTTGAAAGTCACCTGGCAACTGCACCATGGGTAATGAAGGGCTTGTGAAACTGGCGAAACCCTCAGGGGGCGGAGTCACTACTTGTACTTTGGCTTCGATGATTTGTGGCTTGCCGCCGTTGAATCTCATGAAGAAGTAGTTTACGGTCGCATAGTCCTGTGCTATATAGCTATACCAGTAGCCGGGCAGTACGTCAGATGCAGCTGTTGCGTCAGCTGACATAACTGACAGTAGCAAAAGCCACAGCAGCTTCCAGCAGGTAAGAAGCAGGATGCCGGCAGACATGTCGCGTGAAATTGCAGCGGTTGGTGTGTGCAGCTGGGATGAGAATGCGATATTGAGCTGGAGCCCTGCGTCGAGAGAGTTGGAGCTGAGAGTGCTTTTGAAGAGCGGCAAAGGCGAATTTATGCCACGTACGCAGCAAAATTCAAATTTCCTATTGCCCCTGAACTCATGGTGAATAACGACTTCGGAAATTGGCCAAGACTCATGCGAGAGCTCGGGCTGCTTAAAGCAGCTAACTCAGGGAAGGAAGCGACCAACTTCTCTGGCGAATTCTGAGTCTAGACTCTAGACTAACATCCGTGCTCCTGAGAAGCGTGAGGTAGCAATCGGGTGAGTCTTTGCGATTGCAGACTTAGAGACTTGCCGACTTGTCTACGAAGCTCAGCGGTTGAATGTCATAGTTTTGAACAAACCTTAAACCCTGATACTGATCGACTTGGCAACTTCAGTTTGTTGGAAGGGAGTAGAACATCAAAGAGAACATGGCACTGGTTTTGTCGCGTACATCGGCAGACAAGTCCCACGACATGATTCTAGACCGTAAGGAGTGCAATATCTGAATGCTGTCTGCAAACATGCACGGCCTACCATTGCGCTCATGCTTGGCGCAGCTGCAAGATTCGCTCGTGGCCAGGCCCTACCCCTGAATTTATTTTGAGATGACACTACCAGGTGCTCATAGAAGATGGCAAGACGCAGAGAAGATGGTGGGACTTCTACAGCGGCAGTTGAGTATGCCCTTAACAGCTCTCATCACTGGATGTGTTGAACAAAATGCATTGTTGATACAAATTAAGCGTTTGGCGCCTTGTGCCGTCCAGCTAGTTTATCAACAGCCCGTTCTCTGCCTTGCCCCTCGACTGAAAATGAGGAGGTTCGCGAACTTGAAGTGAATGAGCTTGCTTGTCGTAATCGCAGGTTGCCCATGCCGTCATCCTTCTTGCTCCGCTTCTCCTTCAACTCCTTGAGACGATCGTCATCTTGCGCCAATGCATCAATATGCAACCCCTCGAAATTGTGCTCCAAGAACCGCTTTAGGTCGGGAAGTTTGGCTGCATCAGGCATAAACGTGCCGCTAGAGTTGTCAATCACCAAGGTAAAGTCAGAGACTTCATGCTTGTGACTTGAACCTGGCCGTACCTGGCCATTCTTGTTGAGTGCTTCATTGATTCTTTCCTGACGCGCTTCTTCACGCTTCTTTTTGGACGGCAGTTTGAGTGTTTCCGCGAGTGTTTTGCTGTGCTTGCGTTTTGAGAGGCTATTCATGACATCGACTTCACCCATCGACTGGATATTGGCTGTTCCTTGACGTATGTGTAGAACGAGTGATTCATCCTTAACGATTGTCTGTGGCATGACTGCAGACCCATCTTCGTCTTCCTGGCTCGATGACTGGTGATAGGCATGTTCCTGCGCGTTGGCGGCACTCTCTTCTTTTTGTAAAAAGAAGAATTCACCAGAATACACCACCTCTGTAGCGGCATTCGAGTGCATTGCATGCTTTGAGAGATGGTTGATGGCGAAACGCGGTCCAGTCTGTGTGAAATGCATCACGCCGTCGCCTGTGATGGCATAGGTGAATATGCCAACACCAGACCCAGCATTCGTCATTTCAAGGAATCGCGCAGCTGCATCTTTTGGATCGACACTACCGACAATCGTACGTGCATCAAATCCATAGATGGCGGCATGTTGAGATTGAAGTGCTCGACGGATAAGTTTACCGCGAACACCGGAACTGTACATCATGACAATTTCTTTACGCTTCTGTGTGTACTGGAAGCGCATGTCGGGTATGTCGCGAAGGTGAAGACGGTAGGCGAGAAAACAAGCGACTCTGGTTGTTTCATCCTTGGTACCTGCAAGACGCCCTAGTAGTGGAGAGAAGTGGATAGAATACCGGATTGGACCGACCAAGGCAGGTTTTGGCCGAGCTTCCTCGTCCTGTTTGACAGTCAACTTGATTTTGACAAGAGCAGATTTTGCCTTGAGATCTTGAAACAGACCAAAGGACCAGAGATAGGTCAGGATGTAGACTTTGGCGGATGCTTTGCGTTTCCGGACTTTGAGAACAATTTCTTGTGGTCCCTTATCGCACATCTCTGCCAGACCCTTCATTGCAAACGAAGCAACACCCAGTCTGTCATTGTTCATCTTGCGAGGATCCTCATCGAATACTCTGAGTTTGAGTTCACTGTCCTCTGCAATACCACCGACATGCCACGTATCTTGATCTTGCCAAGACGGGTTCCGCGTCGCACGGCAGGTACTTGTACGGTATTGTAGTTCATTGGCTGTCTTGTGGCCGAGGATGGCAATGATGTAAGGATCAGAATTGGCGCCCCAGATGTCGCCTATCGGTAGATTCTCGCCAGATACGAATTGTATCTGGCACTCGTAGGTAGGCGACATGTCAGCTTGTAGCGCTAGTGCTGGTCAACAGGCGTAAGGGGTCCAGCAGATGGAGACTGCAGAGTGTTCCTGCTGAGCTCAGGAGCAGTGATGCAGCTTGTTTCAGGAAGTACAAACAAGAGTCTATCTAGCAAACAGAGCAGCAGTCAAGCAGAGCCAGTAGAGCAAGTAGAGGCAGTACACTGAGTACAAGTAGTATGAGGACCAGCTCGAGTCTTTGATGGCTGGACAAGAAACGCCAAGACAAAGTGCACGTGACCCAGACAGCAACAGCTACAAATCTATAAGACTATAACTATTGACTATATCCAGGCCAACAAGCCATCCAGCGCCAGTCTCTTCAAGCGCCGCCATCAAACTACAACAAAAATGTCCTGTGGTGATTTCATCCTTCTGGTCATCAGTTTGATATTCCCTCCACTTCCTGTCGCCATCAAGCGCGGCCTCTGCTCCGTTGATCTCCTCATCAACCTACTCCTCTCCCTCCTCGGCTTCCTCCCGGGCCTCATCCATGCATTCTACATTGTGCTCAAGTATCCAGAACACCTGAATGGCGCGTCTGTCAGTGATCTAGAGCAGCAGCGACAAAGCGGCGCACATGTGCGTCATGTCTATCAGCCCGTCGTGTCAGGATCTGCACATACGCATCAAGGACAGCCACAGCAGGTGCATGGAAACATGCAAGGTGTCTATGGTACGCCTGGTGCACAACCAGCAAAGAAGCAGCAGCAGCAGCAACAGCCTGCGAATTATGGCGCAGTGCAAGGATCGAGTAGTACGCAAGCGCCACCTGCTTACACGCCAGGCACGGATAACGCACACTCTGCTGGTGATCGCAAGACATAATCGTTTTATAAACCTCGTTTCAATCATTTATTCATAAGAGAGCTTGCCCATTTCCCGTGCCAGGGAAGCTTCATGCGTATCGCGCTGTGTTGTGTCATCTGCTGTGTTGCGTAGCAGACCATGTACGCGTGGCCGCGTGCGTTCTTCGCGCCAGGCGAGGTCAAGCAACGTCGTCCATTTCGCAGCCATCAAACTACCACAACGATCTCCGAGCCGATCCAGACACGTCACCACCCATTTCCTTCCTACATGACTCTGCAAATGTCGACCAGCAATGAATAAGCAGCTAGAGAGGTAATCGAGTGTTGCAATATTGGTTGTGCTGCCTGCTGTCACGAGTGGCGCTGCGAGTTGGCAAAGCGTCATGGCTTGTTCGTGGATTTTGGCAAGTTGACCAGGCACGATACTCCGCTGTAGTCGTAAGATGAGTGTTTCTGCATAGAGGCAGTGAAGTAAGATGGCAGCATCACCCCCTGTTGCACACGTAAAGCCGTATACAAAACAATCTGTTGGAGTGTCAGTTGAGAAGGTCATGAGGGACAGTGGAAATTGCTGCCGCCAGGTCGCCAGCTGCGCATCAATCAGATCCAGCTGGTCGTCTGTAGCATGCGCCGTTAATCCTGCCAACATGACTTGGATCTTCATGAGCTGTGCAAGTAACATGCTCATCTTGCCATCGAGGCCGAGGAGATGTTGTGTATCGAGGAGGTTTGGATGCCAGAGCAAATCTTCCACATCCAACACACTAGGCGTCTCTCGCAACCATGCCGCCATGCGATCATGTCTGGCCACTGTCCAGAAGAAGAAGCGACCAACCGGATGGGATGAGTCCCAGCCTGCTTCACGCAACCATAGTTTTGCACTCAGAATCCGAGCCGTCCATTCTTCAACATTACCAGTGAGGTAATCAAAGACGAGCAAGCAGCATGTTGTTGCTAAACACATTTCAGTGTCTTCATTCTCTAGTACCGTACGATGCAACAGACGGCGTTCAGCATCTGCACGAAGCTTATACACCGCTTGTAATGTTTGCTGATCGAGTGCTTCAGGTGAGATGGGCGATAAGGCTGTACTGCGAAGATATTGAATACCAGAGACTGCCAAGATCGCTAGATGCAGTGCCGGAAAACTCACTGATTGTCGAAGTACAGTTTGTGACCAATACGTGACGTCGTCTTGCATGAGTACTGGGCTGCACAATAAGGACGAGACACAAGACTGCCAATGTGCCAGATACCGATGGCGTGTTTCGATTGAGATGCCAGAAATCTTGAGCAATGCAAGAAATGAGCGCATGAGAGAGCTCACCCCTGTTGTATCCACCAGCATGTTTTGAACACGTAGCAGGATAGGATGGTCAATGAGGTCAATTTCCATTTGCTCGCCTGGTGGTACATCAGAGAGCAGCGTTGCAATGAGCGCATGGGAGTTTTGTATTGTATGGCGGCGTCTGTGCCGTGCGTGCGCTGGCTTCTTGATGGAGAGGGCCGATAGAGATGCGGCGACATGATCTACAGAGTCTTTTGTCGGCTTGCCCATCTTGCGCCGAGTCAATCGGCAAGCAGAGACATGGACTTGGAGCACGAGCAGCTGAGTGAGTTGGCCAATGCCTAGCTAGAGTGTATGAGCAATATATCAGCAGTAGCAGCAGGTAGTAGAGCACTAGTAGTAGTCCGTTTAAGTCGCTACGTAGCGTCAACTCTCTCGCACGCTTTCAACTTCAACGCAAACAACTCGCGACCACCTCGACAACCTGCTCCAACAACCTAAGCATGGCTCCTGCACGCGCTACAAAGCGTAAAGCACCAAGCCCTGTACTCAGTCCCTCAGCAGCGAGAAAAGCAGACCGAGCAGCCCTCCTCGCAGCCTCTGCAAAAGGCCATCGAAAGCGAGACTCTGTCGCTTCTTCTCGTTCTTTCGCCTCTGCCCCGGCCCTCAATGCGCCGCCAGCTGCTATTGAGAGTAAAGCATTGCTGGATGTGTATGTCTTTGGAACAGGCAGTATGTGTGAATTAGGACTCGGTCCTGATGCGAAAAACAAGACTGTCAAGCGGCCACGATTGAATCCATTTCTAGCACAGGAAGAGGTGATTGATATTGCTGTGGGTGGTATGCATGCCGCTGCACTTCTTAAAAATGGCAAGATTATGACGTGGGGTGTGAATGATCAAGGTGCCCTGGGTCGCGATACGAGTTGGGATGGCGGTCTCGTGGATGCAGACATGGCGGATGATAGTGACAGTGAAGCGGATCAACTCAACCCCAAGGAATCGACACCCACAGTTGTTGAACATGCACAGACATTTGTGAAGCTTGCAGCGAGTGATTCGTTGACGGTCGCTATTGATGCGGATGGCCATTTATGGGCTTGGGGTACATTCAGGTGTTCTGATGGCATCTTGGGATTTGATGCGCATGCCAAAGTGGCTGCACGACCACAACGACTCGTGCTGCGAGAGACCTTTACAGATCTTGCTTGTGGCACCGATCACGTTCTCGCACTCAGTACCTCTGGCAAAGTGTTTGCTTGGGGCAACGGCCAGCAATTCCAGCTGGGTCGACGCGTTGTTGAGCGTACACGACTCAACGGTCTTGTGCCGCGTGAGTTTGGGCTCAAGAACATTGTGGCCATTGGTTGTGGCTCGTACCACTCGTTTGCAAAGGACAAGGACGGACGTGTGTTTGCGTGGGGTCTCAATCAATTTGGACAATGCGGTATCACCATGCAGGAACTTGGTGAAGATGGCGCTGTGATTGCTGTGCCAACGCTGATTGATGGCCTAGCAGGCATGGATATCAAGCAAATCACAGGCGGCGAGCATCATTCAGCTGCCATCACAACAGACGGTGCATTATTGGTTTGGGGACGCCTTGATGCGTGTCAATTGGGACTCAAGCGTGATGCACTCCCAAGCACAGCTGTGAGCGATGCCTCTGGCAAACCACGCTATATTCCTACCCCGACACCGCTTGTGTTTGATGGGACTACAAAAGCGGCTCACATTGCATGTGGCACGCACCACAATATCCTGGTGGATGAGCAGGGTCATGCCTGGTCCTGGGGATTCGGCGAGTCATACCAGGTCGGACAGGGCCCGCCGGGAGAGGATGTCGAGGTGCCGACTCGGATTGTGAATACGGCGACAGAGGGGAAACAGATGTGTCTGGCTGGTGCAGGTGGCCAGTTTTCGCTGCTGTGTGCACTTCGGCAGCCGTAGTGCTCGGCCTGCCATGCTATATTCCTGTATTCCATAGGATGCCTTCTCTTCTTGGCTGTATGAGCCTGTATCTTTGCTGTATGTGACTGTTGTTTCTCCTCCCTGCGTCATCGAATCTCCAAGCCAGAGACCAAGCAAGACCTGAACCTATCCCAAGGATAAGACTACACATCATGTACAAGGTCACAGCAGAAGACATCTCACTCGACGTGACCAAGGAGCAGGTCAAGCAGTTCTTTGCCTTCTGCGGCCGCATCGAGGATATTGAAATCACAAAGGGCGCCAACCACCAAACTGCCATTGTCACGTTCGAGCGTGCCAGTGCCGCCAAGACTGCACTGCTCCTCCAGCATGCCCAGCTCGGTATGTTTCTTTCTTCTGTATGAGGATGCATGCTAATAACAAGGCCTGAACCAGATCAAAGTCTCAACAGATGACCACAACCTGGACGACAGGGACTTGGCCGCACACGAGGAAGGCAGTGATGTTCCCCAGGAGCACAAGCCCCGTACAGCCATCCTTGCTGAAGTTCTCTCGCACGGCTATGTCCTCGGTGACACGGCCATTCAAAAGTCCATCGACTTTGATAAACAAAATGGCATTTCAGCAACCTTCAAGACGTACCTGTCGTCACTCCAGGAGAAGGCCTCGCAGCTTGACTCGCAATTCAAGGTCACTGATAAGGCAAAGCAGGTCGATGACAAGTTTGGCATCACCGACAAGACGAAATCGCAAGCAACGGGCATTCAAGCGACGTTGCAGCGATACTTTGATTCACTCACACAACACCCTGTTGCTGCAAAAGTACTCTCTTTCTACTCTGAGGGTGTGTCGTCTGCACAGGATATCCACAATGAAGCCAGGCGATTGGCAAATTTGAGGCAAGGCAATGAGGAAGGCAGTGGTGTCGCTGCCAAAGCTGGTGAGGTGATTCACGAGTCTAGAGAGAAGGCCGCTGATGCAGCTGCTGCCCATGTCCCTGAGGAGAAGGTGCCTAAACTCGGCTCGACTGCCTAGGCCTCTATCCTGCCTTAGATCTGTCCTGTAGCTTTCGTAGAATTTGAAATCCAAAAAAGACGACGCAACAGACGCGACCGACAAATACACACATGGGCGGCTACTTCTCGTCCTTCTTCAAGGGCCTTCTAGGGACGAAAGAGATTAGGGATTTGATGCACGTACGATTGTCGGTAGTGTCGATCCAAAAGATGCAGCTGCGCGATTCCTTGAAATGACGAATGCTGGGTCTGGTGTTGGGATCTTCACCTATGCCATTACAGGCGACGGCGTGATGCATTTCACACAGACTGGACCGCGTTTCGCCATCAACCATCTATCAAAGCATGCAATGCACTCAAATGCAGCTACAGAGGTGGTGTATTCTGTTGAATTCTTCTTCTTACAAAAAGAAGAGAGTGCCGCCAACGCGCAAGAACATGCCTACCACCAGTCATCGAGCCAGGAAGACGAAGATGGGTCTGCAGTCATGCCACAGACAATCGTCAAGGATGAATCACTTGTTCTACACATTCGTCAAGGAACAGCCAATATCCAGTCGATGGGTGAGAACGATGTCATGAACAGCCTCTCAAAACGCAAGCACAGCAAAACACTCGCGGAAACACTCAAACTGCCGTCCAAAAAGAAGCGTGAAGAAGCGCGTCAGGAAAGAATCAATGAAGCACTCAACAAGAATGGCCAGGTACGGCCAGGTTCAAGTCACAAGCATGAAGTCTCTGACTTTACCTTGGTGATTGACAACTCTAGCGGCACGTTCATGCCTGATGCAGCCAAACTTCCCGACCTAAAGCGGTTCCTGGAGCACAATTTCGAGGGGTTGCATATTGATGCATTGGCGCAAGATGACGATCGCCTCAAGGAGCTGAAGGAGAAGCGGAGCAAGAAGGATGACGGCATGGGCAATCTGCGATTACGACAAGCAAGCTCATTCACTTCAAGTTCGCGAAGCTCCTCATTTTCAGTCGGGGGGCAAGGCAGAGAACGGGCTGTTGATAAACTAGCTGGACGGCACACGGAGTCAAACGCTTAATTTGTATCAACAATGCATGTTGTTCAACACATCCAGTGATGAGAGCTGTTGAGGGCATACTCATCTGCAGCTGTAGAAGTCCCACCATCTCTGCATCTTCTACGACCACCTGGTAGTGTCATCTCAAAATAAATTCAGGGGTAGGGCCTGGCCACGAGCGATTCTTGCAGCTGCGCCAAACATGAGCGCAATGGTAAGCCGCGAATGTTTGCAGATAGCATACAGATATCGCACTCCTTACGGTCTAGAACCATGTCGTGGCTCGTGGCACTCGTCTGCCAATGTACGCGGCAAAACTAATGCCATGCTCTTTTGGGAACTTCCACTCCTTTCCACAAACTTAAGCAGCCAATTCGATCAGTACCAGAGTTCAAGGTGTGTTCAAAACTATCACTTTCAATCGCTGAGCTTCGTAGACAAGTCGGCAAGTCTCCGAGTCTGCAAGCGCAAACACTCACCCGATTGCTACCTCACGCTTCTCAGGAGCACGGATGTTAGTCTCGACTCAGGTTTCGCCAAAGAAGCTGGTCGTTTCCATCCCTGGTTTAGCTGCTTTGAGCAGCCCGAGCTCTCGCGTGAGTCTTGGCTAATTTCCGAAGTCGTTATTCACCATGAGTTCAGGGGCAATACGAAATTTGAGTACGTGGCATAAATTCGCCTTTGCCGCTCTTCAACAGCACTCTCAGCTCCAACTCTCTCAACGCAGGGCTCCAGCTCAATACCACATTTTCATCCCTGCTGCTCACACCAACCGCTGCAATTTTACGCGACATGTCTGCCGGCATCCTGCTTCTCGCCTGCTGGAAGCTGCTGTGGCTTTTGCTGTTGTCGGTTGTGTCAGCTGACGCACTGCCTGACTTCTGGTCTAGCTATGAACCACAGAACTATGCGACCGTAAACTACTTCTTCATGAGATTCAACGGCAGCAAGCCACAAATCATCGAAGCCAAAACACAAGAAGTGACTGCACCCCCTGAGCCTTTCACTGATCTCACAAACCCTTCATTACCCATGGTGCTGTTGCCAGGTGACTCTCAACTTCAAATTGTTCCAGGCTGGTTCGGGGGTTCCCACGATTACGGTTTCGGTCACGAGCTGCAGGACTCGAATGCCGTCTGCTATCTCGTCTCTCAAGCCGACCTTGACGTCAACCCTGGCGAGAAATGGTTTCAGACACGCGGGCCCCCAGGGGTGTCATACTACGAAAAACTCAAAGGGGCAATCTTTTGCACAAAAACGAAAGATGGCGAGGATGGGGACCCAAAGAATATGATTCCCATGTCGCGGTGTGGATGGCAGGTTGTAGGTCAAAGCAACGAAGCTTACAAAGGCTGGTTCACATTGACATGCTTCAATGACTTGGACAAGTGGTGTTTGCATCCTGATCAGCCCTGGATGATCACCCTCAGTTCAACACACACGAAACCCGAAGATTACTGCACAGGTCAAGTTTGCGACTACATCAGGCAACAACAACTAGCTGCTTCTGGGTGGTTCTCGCAATGCCGTCCTTTGGATGATCTATTCAATAATGGACCAGAGTTATTGTGTCGCGAGTTGGCATTTCTGAAGGATCCGATGCGATATCCGATTCGGGAGCAGCACCCTTGCTTGACATGTCAGATGTGCCAAAAGCATGATTGGGCCAATGTTCCTCTGATCTTCGAGCCAGGTTTCAGCTGTGATGGGCTCTCAAACGCTGGCAAGCAGCGCTCAAAACCTGCCGAGCTGCCTCACATACCTTGTAAGGATGACATTATGGTCAAGAACTGCCCAAATCATCCCAAGAATTACAAGCTACCCGGGTATTGCTACTACTGATTTGCCAGGTACTGCGGAGGTGGGACTTATCATGGTGCGAACAACCGTCATTGCTACGAACTTCGGCAGAGTGACTGCAAGAGAATCAGATTCAGTATACGTGCTGTCGGCGCTTGTGCCTTCCCAGCCACCCAATATTCAAATAGACAAAGTCTATAAACTCTCTCCTGCCTTAGACCTGTTTTGTAGCTCTCGTAGAATTTGAAATCCAAAAAAGACGACGCAACAGACGCGACCGGCAAATACACACATGGGCGGCTACTTCTCGTCCTTCTTCAAGGGCCTTCTAGGGACGAAAGAGATTAGAATACTCATTCTAGGGCTAGATGGAGGTACGTCTTCTTCAGCAACGAAGCGCATCGCTGTGCTTGTCGGTTCTGCCTTACATCCCATGCTAATACACTGCAGCCGGCAAGACAACCATTCTCTACAAGCTCTCTATAGGTGAAGTTGTCGATACGGTCCCCACGATTGGCTTCAACGTCGAAACCGTCACCTACAAGAATCTCAAATTCAATGTATGGGATCTCGGTGGCCAATCGAGTATTCGGCCTTACTGGCGGTGCTACTACGCTGATACACAAGCCGTCATCTATGTGATTGATGCAGCGGATACAGATCGCATCTCCATTGCAGGTGAAGAACTGGCAGCCATGTTGGGAGAAGAAGAACTGGCAGAGGCAAACTTGTTGGTGTTTGCGAATAAGCAGGATCAGCAAGGCGCGTTGACGCCTGCTGAAGTCACGACGCGGTTGGGATTACATTTGCTCAAGGATCGGAATTGGCGGATTGAAGGGTGTAGTGCCATTGAAGGGACAGGACTGGCAGAGGGTCTTGATTGGTTGGTAACGGTGATGAAGGAGGGAGGCTGAAGGGCTTCTTCTATGGCCCCAAATTATCTGCATCCCTCTTCTAGCATTGTATGCGTGTATCATCTGTTGAAGTACCTGGCGTCCCTGTCATAGCGACGCAGCAGCTGTGCTTTCATCGCGAAACGTATCCAGCGCCTGCTTTGCCCTACCTGAAGCAATACTCTCCCTGGCCAACCCAACAGCAGCTCGTTTATCTTTCGTGACGCCAGCAATCACCAAGAGTGCCGCACAATTCAACAAGACATAGTCCAAGATTGCATCCCCTGCCTCTCGCTTGCCATCCAAAATCTCAGCCAGCGTCGTTGCATTGTCCGCAGGTGAACCACCCGCCACGCTACTCAGCGGATGCCGACTCAAGCCAAATTGCTCAGGTGTCTGAATGTCCTGAACGATCCCCGACTCTGGCGTATAGATCCAACAATCCGTCTCTCCGGCCGGTGAGAGTTCATCGAGTCGTTCCCGACCGCACACAATCATGCAACGACCATGTGGATTGAGTTTTGCGAAACTCTCTGCAAAGACACGGCCAAGTTCCGGTGAGTGAACTCCAATGATGCGTGCGTCGATCGGTGCTGGATTGAGGAGTGGGCCGAGGATGTTGAAGATGGTTGGGTGCGTGAGGGTTTTCCTGACCGGTGCTACGCGCGCAAGCGCTGGGTGCCAAATAGAAGCTAGTAGAAACGTAAAAGGACTTGTGAGGGATGGGATATGCTGAGGCTGGAGGAGTAATTCACAACCATACGACTTGAGGACATCAGCTGATCCTGAAGTGGAGGTAGAAGCCTTGTTGCCGTGCTTGATGACACGAATTCCAGGGACACCTGCAGCAACAACAGCAGCAGTCGTGGAGACATTATACGTGTTATGACCATCCCCGCCAGTGCCGACAATATCCACACAGACTGGATGCTGCGTAGCTGTAGACAGAGCAGCGTCTTGATGAGCGAGCATCGCATCCACTGCATCTTTGCGTGTATGCGTGCTGTCAATATGCCACTTCAATGCAGCATCACGCAACACAAGAACAGCAGCGGCAATGACATCTGGATGCCTATCAAGCTTTGTCTCATGTAGCTTTGTGAGGAAATGAGCAATGAGATCCGGTGAAGCAGATGGATCTAAGATTTGTGTGAAGCAGCTGGAGATGAGGCCGGCTTCTGGTTTGGGGCCAGCGAGAAAGTCTTCCATGCGGCAGTCTATGCTCTGGCTTGATCAGCCTCCTTCTCAGAACAGCAGCACCGAGTGCTCGAGTAGTTGGTCGCAGAGTAGAACTACTAGAGATGACTTGTTCTCTCACGATTCTGCAGCAACCAAAAGCGAAGAAAATCAACAAACGCAACAACACACCAACCATGCCGGCAAAAGCGCGCAAGTTCGCGCAGCTCTCCCCTCAAAAGACGCGGCAATCGCCCGCAAAGTATGTCAAGCTCACTGAAGTCGACGATGCAGAAGAGCGACGCGAAAGAACCGCGTCTAAACTCGCCAAGACACAGCAACGGACACAATCCATCTTGAATGAATATGTTGGCCCAGCAGGCGCGTCATCGCCGTCCTCACGGAGACTATCAGGCTTCAATCCAGACGGAACTGTCTCTGCTATGCCAAGAATGCCTATTCTTGCCAATTTCGAGGAGTGGATGAAGTTGGCGACAGACAATAAAATCAATGCTGGCAACTCGTGGAATTTCGCGCTGATTGATTACTTTCATGAGATGTCTCTGCTGAAGGATGGCGACAACATTAACTTCCAAAAGGCCAGTGTCACGCTGGATGGGTGTGTCAAGATTTACACGAATCGCGTTGATTCCGTTGCTACAGAGACTGGCAAGCTTCTTTCTGGCTTGTCATCCGGCAAACAAGCCGCCGAATCGGCTGATGCAGACGGTGATGGTGAAGATGAGGATGCCGATGAGGATGAAGAAGGTGCCGCGCGTAAAGTCAAGAAGAAGGCCAAGTCTTCAGGCGGTAGCACACTCGTCAAGGACTTTAGCGCAATTCAAGCAAAGAAGCTTGATATGGAGTTCTTTGTTGATCCACTCTTCAAAAAGACATCTGCGGAATTCGACGAAGGTGGTGCAAAGGGTCTATTGCTCAATCACTTGAGCGTCGACCGCAATGGTCGTATCATCTTTGATGCATCAGACGCGTCAGATGAAGTGGTGGAAGAAACGGATGACCAAGTCTATGATGTGGATCTAAACGCACTCGGCCAGAAGTTCTTTCCAGAGCTGTTCGGCCATGAAGGCGACTCGACTGCCGATGCACTCGCTGATCTCCACCTCTGTCCATCCCTCAAGGGCTTCACAACAGACTCGACAGTCCTTGACATTCCCCTTCTTGCAAGTCTCGCAAGCGAGGCAGGACAGCATGCAATAGACAGTGACGCAAACGAACCTGATCATGACTATGGTGATGGCGGCTACGATGACGGCTTTGATGGCAATGATGGCATTTCTGGCATTGTCGATGTCTATGATACAAACGAAGAAGCTGAATTTGGTCAAGTCAATGAAGTCTTTTCTGAACAACTCACACATAATATGCCGGGTCGGATGCAAGCAACAAGCGAAACAGCCGTCTCTCATACAGGCCAATCGGATCAGCATCACATGTATGCACAATTCGACGACATGTTCAGCAAAAATTGGGCTGGACCTGCACACTGGAAGATTGCGCGACTCCAAGCTCAGAGCAGTGCTGCAGCAACGGGTAGTGTGGTCAAGAAACCACGCAAGGAGAAAGAAGTCACGACGGTTGACTTTCTCACTGCCGAGGGCGAGGTGGATGAAGAGGTCATTTTCACGTCAGGTGGTGCGACGACCATGCTACCGAAAACGCAATGGTCTAGCAAGACGCGAAATCTATTACCAGAAGACAAGCACTTCAACTCAGAAGCCCTGTTGAGCCTATTTATGAAGCCACAAGCCAAATTGTCCGCTAGGCAAACGATGCAACCAGCAGCAGAAGGTGAGTTTGTGGATATGGACGAGAACTTTTGGGCGCAAAGTGGACAGGAACCCGTACAACAAGGACAAGCGTTTGATGCGAATTTCTTCCAGGACGGCGAAGATGCTGGCCTTGGTGAGATGCATGGCCACTACGATGACGATGACGATGGTGGTGATGCATTTGCTGATGCAAAAGAGGATTTTGGACCCACGCCAGAGCCATTCTTGCAGGACGGTGAGCCTGGTGCAACGCAGCTGAGTGATGCTGCCGACTTTGGCAGTCAGTTGCAAGCACTAGGGAAACGCTCAAAGCCAGAGTACGTCAATTTCGCACGCACGGCAAAGAAAGTGGATGTGCATGTCCTTAAGACCAATATTTGGGACAAACTTGAGCTTGTTGGTGCAGATGAGACGCCTGCACCTGTTGACAAGCGAAAGACGACATCAGAGAGTGCAGTGGTAGGGGAGGAACGCAAGTTTACAGAGATTGTGCAGTCCCTGACATCTGTCTACCCGGAACGCCAGATGTCTGACATTTCAACCAGCTTCTGCTTCATCTGTTTGCTGCACCTTGCCAACGAGAAGGGCCTCGAGATTGTGGGCGAGGAAGGGATGCGGGAGCTGACTGTCCGACGTGACGAGACTGTTCAGATGGTGGAGGCCGTGTAGATTGGCTCGAAGCAGCCTTGCCGGTGTATCATATTGTAAGATCCATGTTCTATGTGAATGAACAGAGCTGTGCTTGTCTTCCAAGCTGTTACCAAGTGAACAAGAGCGTCTTCCAGCCTTGTCCAAGTTGTCCTGTGTCGACTTCGTGCGAATCTGAATTTGGGAAGCAGGAAGCAGCCCAAGAGCAACAGCTGTCAACACCACCAAATCAGGCCGGCCTACTCGTTTTGACTGGACCATGAGCAGCGGTACATCCATCCTTGCCCTTCATACTCGCAGCTCATCTTCCAGATTTCCGCACGCCAGATTCGCGTCGCCCGAGACCCGCAAAAGCGAGGACCGCATCTGATCCATATTCACGCGATGTAAGGCCCGCTCTCTTGCATGCTACGACCCTCTCTAACGCGTTCAGCAGGGCTCAAGTATCTCTTCTAGATTCGGCTCACATGGCAACCTACCACCCGGAGGACCGCGACGCTCCGCACCACCCTTGAGTATGGGCGACTTTCGAATGAAACCCTCCTACAGGCCTTCATCTGGCCTCGGCAGTGCCAATCCCCTATACGATCTCCTCGACTCGGATCGCAGGCCTGGCTCGAGACGGCGAGGACGATCACGTTCACGCTCCCCACCACCTTCGCGGAGAGGCGATCGTGACTTGATGTCGGAGTTGAGAATGCGTGATCCTCACAGCGGTGACTTGCTACGGCGTAATTCAGCACCTGCGAGGCAACTTGATCAGAATGATTTGTTGCGTTCATCACAGTCTGGACGGGTGGAATCAGCTGCGTCTCGACCTGCTGCAAAAGATGCTGTGCGGGAACCACCTAGAGGCACTGGCGGGCCTGCTGCATCGAAAGTAAGCAAGGTGAGCAATGCAAGTGCGGACAAGGGCGAGACGAAAGTATCCAGTTCCGTCTTGGCAGGTGCGAATGCACCGGTCTACTCGGCAAAGCCCATGAAGACCAAAACCTTGTCTATTCGCGGAGTGAGCTCAACGAGTGTGCAAATTCAAAATCTCGCACCGGGAACGACACTGCGGGATATACAATCTGCAATCAAGTCAGAGGTCGGGGTGGATGTGGACCCAAAGGACTGTCATGTGTTTGCAGTGAAGGGCGGTACGTTCTGCGTTGCAGAGATCAAGTTCCAGGATCGCAAGACGGCACTCAAGACGATTGATGCATTTGATAATGCAGTGGCAGATGGCTATAAACTGGAAGTCTCGTTGTTGCTGGATTCGCCCGAGTACGAAGCGGTCCGCAATATGTCCACCGTCTCAGGGACACAGCACGTCGGCGGTGGCCAGTCGGGTACTTGGTAGGCAGCTGATCATCGTAGAGCAGACTCAGGCAGCCGACGAGCAGATGCTCTTTGTACTTTGGTATCCTGATGGGCCTGTGCGTCTTCCTTAATCTCGCACCGCACAGACCACGATCACGACCCAACGACGCCCGTTTGTGCTTTCATGGCTCTTGCCAACATCAAAGCGATGGGCCCAGACAAGCTCCCTCTGCGCTTATACGCATGCTCTGTAAATCTCTAGCTGCAAGCCACTCGGCCAGCTGGCAAACACAATCATCCCGGTCTGTGCGAGAAGATGACCTCCTGACCATCTCCATCATGCTTTTCTGCGGCCGCTTCTCCTTATCTGGAGCTGGCCTCTTCTTCAACGTCTACCATCTTTCCCTGCTACCTAGATGGCTCAGTCAGACGTATTGACGACTCCAGGTCACTCTCCATCTGCCCCAGTTAGCAGTGGACCGATTCCGAGACCTACACTACCAAACAAGCCCCTCAGCAAAACTCAGCGCTTCTCAAAGTTGCTGAGTGGGAAGCCAGACTCCCTACGCTCAAAGTCTTCGGCATCGCCTATGCCAGATGGCTCCTCTACAGAGCAACTTCCTCTGCCGAAAACAAGCAACTCGAGCTTCTTCCGGCGTTTGTCGCGCAAATCCAACCTGAGTCGGCAGCATTGTCAAATTTGCGATGAATCACTGGGTCTCTTGGTCTCTGGCGAACGCGTTTTGACATTTTTGTACTGTCATCATTTGGTGCACGGTCATTGTTTGAAGGATCAAGACAAGTACTCGGAGAGCCTGGTGGAAGCGCCATGTCCACTGTGCTGCAAGATCAAGGACTCCATCAAGCTGGAACCGCCCATACAAACTTGGACGCCAAATACTGTCAGTTCCCTGCCAGTCTTGAGTCCTACCCGAAGTAGCACGGGGACAATTGGTTCCAAGTCTGTTGCTGCATCCATCAAAAGTGCCGATGCTGCCATGCCTTCATCAGGTGTGCCTCCTGTGCCAAAGACGCGTATGCCATCAACAACTCAGGAAATCAAGCGTGGTATGCGTGTGCCATTTCCCTATGTATCCATGGAACTTGCCATGACAGACTATAGGGATATGAAGCATGTGTCTGCCGATGCGACAACAACGCTCACAGAACTCATGCTCACAGTCGCGGTGCCTGAGAAGTGCGCCAATCTCGACAATAATGCCGTATTGACGCCACCATTGACTGCGCCTGGTCTCAATCCAATGCGCGTACACAGTCCTGGTACGGCACACTTCCCAATCGCTCTCACTATCATTGTACAGCTCGAAGATGGTGATCTTGATCAATGCTCGACCCTCAAGTCGACTTTACTAGACTTGTGCGAGCAACTATCACCGTTTGATGAGGTTGGTATCATTGCTTTCAATGCAGCAGAGGAGTATGCCCAGGTATGCAGCCTTGTTGGCTCGACTCATCTCACGGATCTCATTCGATGCATCAAGGGCATGGCGCCCTCTTCCAGTTTACGAGAAGGTCGAGAGGCTCACGGCCTTCCAGTTTCCGGCCAGTGGCAACGCGGTGATCTCAGCAAAGTCTTTGAAGTGGTTCTTTCTTGGTTCAAGCGAGACAAACGACCAGTCTTGCAGCAACAAATCTTCTTCATGTCCAACCTCGTCCCAAATCTGCAACCTGATGTGATGGGTAGAATCGCCCGCCAGCGCATCCACATGCACGTCTTTGCTATTGGTGTCCAGCATGATAGCTTGGCCATGTTTCAACTTGCACATCAGACTGGTGGCCAATTCATTGCGGTACCAACATTGCACCAGCTAGCGCAGCGTGCACTTGCCTTACTATTTGGCATCTTTTCACTCGCATACACACAGCTGGCAGTTGATGTGGAACTCTTAGACGAAGCCGGGCAGACTGTACCATGCTCTATGTCTTCTTCGCACATGCGTTTCGATACACGACTCGTTCATCAAGGTCTACGCATGCATTTTGGACCCATCTGCCATGGCGAGTCTCGTCAACTTTTTATCAAAGTCAACAGACCAGCCAACATCTTCTACTGTCAAATCACACTGCGTGGAAAATTCACCAATAAGCAACGTACTTGGACCGGGCTCAACCATGTCGTCTTGCCTGTACCCGTTGAGTGGAAGAAGCCGTCGCATGCATTCCAATTTCGAAAGCTGGAGGAAGTCGCTGGGGCTATGCTCTTTCATGCCGTTGACCTTGCTACGCAGGGTAAAGTTGATTTTGCAGAACGCGTTATGGATGAGACGCGTCGGGTATTGCTCAAACAAGCTGAAGCACACATTACTGCCGCCTTGGGAAATGAGCAAGGAACCGACACTGAAGGGGAAGAGGTGGCAGGCTTGATTTTGTCTCTTGAGGGCGACCTGGACGATTGGCTCAATCAATTCTCAGCGGCACAAGATGAGACGCCCTCTTCACAGCAACATCTTCTCGCGTTGGGCTTAGAGATGGGACGAACACTATTGTTGCAGCAAGCATGGACACTAGAAACAAACTTGAGTTCAGTCGCTCGGTCATACGCATGCAAAGTCAAGTTACTCAAGGACATGATTGATATGGCCGACTCTTGCTTCTGAAGTAATGGAATGCATTTGTAGCGCTAAACTTAATACAGAGGCTGACGGCTAGTTCATAATGAATATCATTGCTGCTTTATCTTAGTTCATGCTGTTGTTAGCTTCGATCAGTAGGTCTGGAAGACGTACGTGACTTCACCCGTGATGCAAGTCAGGGGTCGTTCGTCTGGCGTGAAGAATTGAGCAGTCATGGTGTAGCGACCTGCGGGGATACAATATGGCAAATCGACTTGAGTGAGCAAGAAGCGCTCGCCGGCTTTGATGGGGCACGTCAGCGTAGTTTTGCTGGCCAGTGCGCACAAGTCATAGGTCTTCTTGACAATGCGAGTGTGGTCAAGCAATACCATCACGTCCACAGTTGCACCACAACTAACGTCTTCCTTAAAGAAAGCGCTGAGACAGAAAGATACTGTGTCACCCGAGGAGGGATGCGTGGGTGTCACAATCAGGCGCTGGACAACCACAACCTGAGTGTCGACCAAGCTTGCTTCGCAGAGACGGAAAGGCGATCCACCGAGAATCAAGCCCTTCTCGGGACGTGGACAAGAAAGACAACGAAAATCAGCCGAAGCCGCGCACGCCAGGATGAGTAGAGAAAGCCTGACGGAAATGACCAAGATTGTCCAAGACATGCCTTCAATGAGAGGTGTGCTGTAGCAAGGGTCGCAGCTGCTATGGCTTGCAAGGACGAGAAGTCCATCAGGCGGCTATGTATGGAGACTCAAGCAGCGGGCATACGTCACTTCACCTGTTTGGAGGATCGAGCATCGATAGCAAACTTGAGGGTCTATGGCCAACAATCAATCGACAGTTGCTTCAGCTGATTCAGATCCAGCTAGCGTTCAGATGGCACAGCCGATCCTCCACACCAGCAGTACTACCCCGTGTCTTATATGCAAGCGGCAATATAACAAAGATCTGGACAGAAGGGAAAAGAAAGATTAGCTATGATGAACTTGAGAAGTGTTTGCCAGGACGTGATAGTCAGCGTCCTTCAACGAATGTGCCTCACTGTCGCTTGACATTTTTGCACGCATCCGGGAGCTCGACAAGCGGGGGGTTTGAATTCCAGTTTGCCAAAGGGTTTTGGCAGAAGAGCGCAAGGTTGGATTGGCAAAAGAGAGAAAATTGTATCTCTGTTCCCGGCGTGTCATCTATCCAACACCTAACTTCTGGGCCCACAGGCAGGGGGTCATACCATTCTTGAATAGACGAATGAGACGTGCAATACAGTCCAAGTGCCTGATCCTCATGCTCTGGAACCTTTAGACGAAACCACTCATCACCGGGAGCAAGAGATTGTGCAGTCTTTCGCAATTGAGGATTTCTTGCGATTTCATTAATGATGTTTTGACGATTAGTCAAGTAACAGAGCCCCGGATTCGACTTGTCCCCTTTTGGATTGTCCTTTGAGATTGGTCGTTCTACTGTTGGAATCTTGAGCTTATCAGAGCCTGTATAGCCAACTTTGATGAAGTGACCGCGATAATCGCTTGCGCGGGTGAGGAAATACATTTTCGTTACAAGATGAACAGGACCATGTTTCGCTGCATGAACGTTTCTTGGGAACTCAATAGCATACGGATACTTATATGTTGTGAAAAAAAGGGATTGACCAAAGACGGATGTCGATTGCAGATTCAAGCTGAGACAAAAGGCGAAGAAGTGAAGTGCCAGCGGGCGAGAGACGTGGTTCAACCAATGCATCCGGCTGCTTGTGGTGTGTATTGTTGCGGGTCAATTGTGTATCGATGGAAAATCGCCGTCTGTAGTTGCAATGAAAGTTGGCTGCAGCTCAAGAATTTATATCGACGTGGTGTTCGCGACTCCTCACGAGTGTATTTGCCGAAGCAGCACGGGACCCTATTGCTCCGTATTCATTTAGCCTTATCTTGCAGACTGCAAGTGTGAGCAAATGGTTGTGTCTTGCTGTAGCGCAGCAAACAACGCTTCCGAAGGCAAATGTGCATGCAAATAAAAATGCAAAGACACATACAAACACAAACACAAATGCGGAATCTAATGAGAATTGGCGGATATGCGATGCCAAATCCGTAGGTGATAGACACAGGCACGCAGGGAAGCTGCAGATATGACTTGAGGGGGATAGGGGATAAGAGTATATGCTCTTGCACGCTAAGACTAGACTGAAGGTCACGTACTTGAGCACTGATGTGGCAGAGAAATAACAGCGGAAGCAAGTGATCATGGGATGCACTTGAATTCTTAACAAAGTCTGCGAAAGCATTAGTACTGCTATGAAAACAATGGCAAACAATGCATTGATAATGGTCACCAGACATTTCTTCACACCTATAGCTACAATCACAGGCGATGATGGTCATATAAAATGGCGACAACATCGCATGGGGGTGACTTTGACGAATTCTCAAGCCAATAAACTTCAGGGCTTTACCATTTCTGGAAAGTCAATTGACACAGTTGCAACTTAGGCTTGCTGTGATTCAGGAGTCCTCCACCAAGGAACAGACATGTCAAGCGCTGCTTCTCTAGGCTGGCACGTAGAACGACAACTTTCTGTGTTCTCGGTTGCAACAATACAGAGACTATGTATTGATATGATAGGAGCTGATCATAAGCCATAGGCAAGTCATGAGGAACGTCTCTGGTGCCGTATAGGAAGACAGATAACCAAGCAAGTCTTATCTCGTGATTGAAGCCTTGTCCATTTCGCGCAAGAGGGCCTCGGCTCTGTCCGTAAAGAGCTCACAAAGTGTGGCTCGTTGAGCCATGGCCAATACTTGAGACGTTGAAATTGCTAGATCGGCAATCGAGTGCTCGGGTCAGGCTCTTTCGAGACCAGACTGGGTTAGACAAGAGCAACGCACTCAGGAAGGATGCCAGTGTCATAAGTGCTAAGCTTAGACGTGTATGCAAGAAGGCCGGCTCGAATCGTGGCTGTATATCATTTCTCGTCAGCCTGGTCTCGGCCAGCTGATTACCACCTGAACGAAGCATGTCATGGTCGGTGCTTGTACTGCTTCGTCAGGACTGGCAGGCTGCTCGAACGGCTCGTTCATCGTGGCTGAATCTTGTGAAGAAGAAATGGAAGATGATTCACTGGGTAAAGCGAAGCATCTCGCGGCAGAGTATCTGTTGTCAATTGTCAGTCTTGAATAGATAAGGTTGGCAGCTGGAAATCAAGCGCCCTTTGAGTTTTCGAATGGCAGAGGCGTAACAAGCTGAAGCTCTAGGGTCTGTTGTGCAGCGATGAGACTTTCCAGATAGCAGCCATAGTCAATGAAGCCGAGTCCGAGGATATTGCTAGTCAGAAAAAAAGAGAAAGCAAAACAAGAACCAGATCACTATAAATACAGGCGCTAGTGCTGAGCTGGTTGAAATCTGGGCCATGAACTTGTGTGGAGACTGTGCAACGACGCGCGAGCACTTCACGATGTGAATCTAGTGGTTAGCGACCTGCCAAGAAGGAAAAGAACACATACTGCACATGTGCTGAGAGACAAGTGATCTGCTCGCCATCTTCCGTGAAGACCTGTGCTTGCACCGAGTATTTGCCCGGTGGAATGACCTTTGGCAGCTCGACCACGCGTTCGAGCGCCAATGGACCTGCTTCGATAGGGCAAGCGAGATCAATCTTTTCTGTTTGTTCACACAAATCGAGTGTGGTATGGAGGAGTCTGATGAGTCCGTACTTGACGATGATGTCAACATAGGCGCCTTGCTGGATGTCTTCCTTGATGCTGCCTTCTGCGTAGATGGTGAGGTTTTGACCGCGCTCTGGTGGGTTGGGGGAGAGCTCGAGTCTGTCTATGCTGATGAGATCATCCTTGGGCGGTGGGACCTGGCAGTAGTCGATGGGTGAGTTGCCGGGGATGTAGGTGTGCAGCTCGTTGGCAGTGACTCTTGGTGTGCGCGCTGCGAGGGAGAGTGCAGGGAGAAGCGCTGCGACGAGGGAGAGTCTCATCGTGTGTCTTATCGTGTGCTATGAACTAGTCTACTGCTTAAGTGCTCTCTTGTAGTGTTGGTCTGGGGAGGAAATGGCACAGACTCACTCGCTCGCTCTCTCTGGTTGAGTTCCGTCACTGCATCACGTGCTGTCTGTATAGAAGCAACAACGCAACAAGACTCCATAGTGAATAGTCCATCCACCACCAGCATCAATGTCCTCAGACTTCCCGTCCCTCGACGAGTTCGAGCAAGGCAACACAGCAGCACGGCCACACACAGACTCACAACCACAACAAGACGACCTGGGCTTCTCCGACTTCACACACGGCCATGCATCTGCAACCTCCACCAAATTCCCAGATATCGGTGAGGCAGGCGACTTGCTCAATGCAGAGGAAGACTTTCAATCTGCCTTTCCACAGCTAGAGCAGCAACCGGCACCCTCAGGCATGATTTCAGCACCTACAGAACCCTATGTCCCCGGATTCCAAACTGCCGCTACAGCCGCACAACCCTCCTCAGACTTCACGAGTGGCGAGGAACCAGAGGTTGTTCGAGAATGGCGAGCTAGGCAGCAACAGCAGATCGAGCGACGCGATGCAGAATCAGCAAAGAAGAAGGAGAAGCAGATTGCTGATGCGCAAAAGCAAATTGATGACTTCTACGACCAGTACAATGCGAAGCGTGATAAATCTGTCGCTGCCATTAGAAAGGAGCAAGAGGCATTCTTGGCAAAGCGCGATGAGACGACGAGCGGTGGAACGAGTTGGGAGCGTATAGTCAAGTTGATTGATACAAAGGACAAGGCTGCCGTTCGAGGCAGCAGGGATGTGAGCAGGATGCGTGATTTGCTGCTAGATTTGCGCAAGGATGCGGATGCACCTTCAGCGGGACTGTAGTTGTCGCTTTGCGTCGCTTTGTAGATGCAAAGAGATGCTCAACTGCTGATGACTGGAGATGATGTTTATGTTGGTACAATGCTTTTGCTTTTGACATTACTGAAGAGGATTCCACTTCTCCTCTTCCTGCTTCGCCTTCTCCTCACCTGCTTCAGACCGTTCAGCCCTCTCCTCATCCTCAGGCTTCTTGCTCACTTCACCTTTGCTCGTGCCATACCCAGTCGATCGCTGAAACTCCATCAATGCACTGAATTCAGTACCAGGACGTGACAATTCCGCATACGTTCCTTCTTCAACAACCGTTCCATGCTGACCGAGCACAATAATCCGATCTGCCCGTCTAATGGTCGCAATTTTATGCGCAACAGTCAGCGTGGTGAGGGTTTCCGTTCGCATGAGGCCCTGAATCGCATGATCCACAGCCACTTCACTCTTCCCATCCAACGCACTCGTCGCTTCATCCAAGATCAAAATACTCGGATTCTTGAGCAATGCACGCGCAATGGCAATACGCTGTTTTTGTCCACCACTCAACTGTGCACCACGCGTCCCAACATTCGTTTCAAGACCTTCCGGGAAATCTGCCACAAATGAACAATTCGCCTTACGCGCCGCTTCAAGCACAGCACCGCGTGATGCAGAGGGATGCGCATACGCGATATTCTCTGCAATCGTGCCGGAAAAGAGAACGGGTTCTTGTGCAACAATAGCGATTTGCTTGCGTAGCCGTTTTAGGTTGTAATCACGCAAATCTGTCCCATCAATCCGAATGGCTCCTTGGGAAACATCATAGTACCGTAGTAGGAGTTGTGAGATTGTTGATTTACCACCACCAGAGGGACCACAGATTGCGATATTCGTGCCTGGCTTCACGCTGAAGGACAAGCCATCAAAGATCTTGATGGCTGGACGGGTTGGGTAAGCAAAGCTGACATTATCAAATTCAATGATTCCCTTGACGTGTGGTATTTGTTTGCCAACGGTGCTTTTGATGGAGGGTTCACGGTCGAGTAGCTCAAAGAGACGTGTTGCTGCACCCAGGCCTTTCATGAGTTCTGAGTAGAAGCCAGACATTCCAACGAGGGAAGAACCCACATACCCAGTATAGAGCAAGAAGGAAGAAAGCTCACCAATAGAAATAGCACCAGACGTCACCATCTGTCCACCAATAGATAGGATTGCTAGAATGGTGAGATTACCAGAAAGCCCCGTACTCCCGAAAAAGACACCACTTGCAATCGCTTCCTTCTTTGCGAGGTTGAAAATCTCTCGCACACGCTCGCTGTATCGTCGTACTTCCATCTGTTCTCCCGCAAATGCCTGTGCAGTACGGACGTTACCGAGTCGCTCTTCAGAGACTTTCGTCAAGTCACCCAGTGCTTCCTGAGTCTTTTTGGAGAGTTTCCGGACATACCGACCGTAAAAGATGGCGCCGAGGGCGATTGGTGGAACAATACACATCATGATGCCTGTGAGTTTAAGAGACACCCAAGCCATCATACTCAGACCCGCCGTGGCACTCACAACGGCACGCAAGCCATCACTGACATTCTGAGTGAGTGACTTGCCAACAATCGTGGTATCTGAAGAAAGTCTTGAAATCAAGTCACCATGTCGATTGGCATCAAAGAATTCACCATCCTGCGCCATGGTGCGTCTAAACAAACGCGTCCGTAGCTTTGCAACAATACGCTCGCCAATGATCCTGAGAAGCAAAACACGACCAAAGTTGGCCATACCACCCACCACGAAGACAACGCCAAGTGTACCGTAAAATTGCGTCATGGTGAGCCCGAAAATCATGGGATTCGGCTCTGTACTCGTTGCAAAGTCGAGAATCTTGCCAATGGTGAACGGAATGGACATACTGACACCGCTACTCATCAAAAGCAGCGATACTGCCGCTGTAAAGGGCAACGCCTCGCCTCTTGCTAATCCAAAGAATTCCTTTGCGCTCACCTTTTTCATTGCAGCTTCTTCATCGCGTGTACTCAGCTTGGCAGACAAATTGACTTTTGCAGCAGCTGCTGCTCGGTCTGTAGGTTTGAATTCGAGTTCATTCTGCTGCTGCCGCTTGTCACTCGCCTCTGTCGTGTCTTGTTGCGTTTGCTTCCATAATCTGGTCGTATGCCGAAAACCTCGCGTTTGTATAGACAGGACTGTACTTCTGCATGTTGCAACAGGTAACAGGGACGATTGACTTTGTAGCCGTGACGATGAGAGGCTTGCTATGCCTAGATGTCTGGCGCCATTGAGCCGAAGTTGGGCGGGGACACGACTTGCTCTGCGTATCATCGAGGGTATAGATGATTTTTTCTCGAGACGGTCAAGCGAGTGTGATGAGCTGTTACGAGGCCCTGTCTACCAGACGATGGATCCCGAGTGAGGATTGAGTGAGGATTGAGTGAGTAGATGGTCGTGGTTGTGTCTCGTCGGCTTCGAGATGTCATTTGGAACAGCAACGACCAACACGACGCAGACATTGTCAGACAAGTTGAGACAACAGCTCAGGATGGTCATGGACTACTCCAAGTGGGACAAGCTAGAGCTGAGCGATGACTCCGACATCGAAGTCCACCCAAATATCGACAAGAAGAGTACGGCCTCAGCGCATCCATCGCCACGACGCAGCTAATAAACAGGCTTCATCAAATGGAAGCAGCGCGATATTCATGAGAAGCGCGAGCAGAGAAAGCAGCAAATCGCGCTATATCGCTCAGAAGTCACAATGAATAGCGCATTGAAGGGGCATATTGAATCATTGATGCATGCGCTCAAGGAGCAAAGCAGCAAGGAAGCACCTGCAACCATTGTCGCTCAGTATATGCAGAGCCTGCCTTCAGAACCGCCATCGCCCGGCGCAACCAGCTATCGCGAGATGCTGGAGAACCTCCTCAAACAACTCGATGTGGAGGTGGCACCGATCCGCGAACAAGATCGCGCTTCCGCCCTTTCGCATAAACTCTCTATGCACCGTGACAAGTTGCTAGGTATTGTCTCTAAGCGTGAGGGTGAGATTCGCAAGTTGGAGGAAGAGGACAAGCATAAAATCACGTCAGAGGGACTACGCGATGGCTTCAACTATTCGAGTGTGACGAAAGTAGAGCCTGAAGCGCCCATCAAGGAGTCCTTCCTCAAGAAGCATCCAGTCAAGCAAAAGCCAGTAGAGAAAGGAAAAGAAAAAGCCAAGTTGCAAGCGATTGAGACGTTGAATCCACATGCGACTCCTGCAGATATTGCAAGAGATCAAGATGTGAGTGCAGGCTATGAAGCGGATTCAGATGTCGAAGTGGAGGATGCAGAAGACTTGCCGGATCATATCGAGCCTTCCGCTGTGGGTCGTGAGTTTGGCCAAATTGCCACAGGTGATTACGATGCATCGCTCAAGTTTATTGGCAAGCACAGCAATATCTTGCGTGATGAGACTGAAACGGATGGTCTACTCATTGATGCGTACTACGCAGAAATCAAGGGCAAGTCAGTACTGGCAAAGCAATACATTCATCAAGGCTTGCTCCTGCAATATTGCCGTCAACTGGGACGTGATGGGGTTGGGCTCTTCTTCTCAAGGATGAAGGATAAGCAGCACCGTGCATCAAAGCTCTTCTTAGATGATGTCGAGCAGACGTATGGCCGCATCAAGGTGCGTGCTCAAGAGGCCATTGAGGAAGACGCAAAACTTGCACAAGGTGGCGATCATGAGCCCGGTGTGCAGATACAGCTGCATGCCGTTGACCCAGGCACGCAAATCACGATCCAAGTACCGCCTGCAAATCACCCAGATGCAGATATCCAAGCGTGTCGTGCCATCTTTGAGAGTTTTCCGCCAAATTTGCAAAAAGCACTCGAGAGTGGCAAGCTGGCTGACATCAATAAAGTGCTGGGCACGATGCAAGTGGAAGAAGCAGAGCAAGTGGTCGAGTTGCTTGGAGAAGGTGGCATGCTGGCCATTGAGGAGGAGATTCTGGATGCCACCAAGCCAGACTTCAAGATGCCAGAGCGCATCGCGAACACGCAGGCTGGGGCTGATGCAGAGTCAAGCAAGACTGGAGGGGATACCGGCGTGAGTGCCGTGGACGACGTTGACTAGCATAACAGCGATGAGCTTACAAGAACTAACGGTAGCGCAACCACGAAAATAAGGGCTGCAGCTTTACTTGGCCATCATCATCTTGACAAACTCCTCGTAGTTGATGGTGCCGCTATTATCGACATCCGCCTCCCGAATCATCTCATTCACTTCCTCGTCTGTGAGCTTCTCGCCCAGGTTCATCATGACGTGCTTCAACTCTGCTGCTGAGATTTGACCATTGCCATCCGCATCAAACACCTTGAAGGCCTCCTTGATCTCTTCCTCGGAATCCGTGTCCTTCATCTTACGCGCCATCATTGTGAGGAATTCTGGGAAATCAATTGTGCCATTGCCATCGGCATCCACTTCATTCACCATGTCTTGCAGCTCTGCCTCTGTCGGGTTTTGACCTGTTTGTTAGTCTACGTGAGCGACCTGTAAGAAGAACGCGTACCGAGCGATCTCATGACTGTGCCGAGCTCTTTGGTGGTGATGTTGCCATCGCCATCCTTGTCAAACAGGCCTAGCGCGTTAGCTTTGTTCCTCTGGCCCCGACATGCGCGACAACAGAAATGCTCCTAGAAAGCGCCTGCCGCGTCGATGCAGTCAGAGGAGGAAGCGTGACGTACTAAAGGCTTCCTTGAACTCGCTGATTTGTTCTTCTGTGAGATTTTCGCTAGACTGTGTCATGTTAGCTGTATATCTGGATGATGATGAGGGATGGACCATGATGGGCAGAGTCTCTGGAACACTGGCACGCTGGCTTGTGTCTTGTTGCTGTGTTGTGTCGTGGATGCGGCCTTGGTTCGTGCTCTTGCGCCGTGGACTTGACACACAACGAGCAAGCAGTCTCAACTACAGCGACGACCACTTCCCATCTGCTCAAAAGACCATTCATGCTGCTCTGAATGACAATCATATGCTAGGCTCCTGCTCAATCTGATAGATTCCAATTCTGCTGCCTAGCTCATGGCGTCCCGAGACCGGACAGGCCTCTTTCTCTCCTTCAGAGCAGCTTATGACCATAATGCGTCCTCTGCTTTTCGCGGCTCTCGCTATAGTCTAGACCAAGATGAAGACAGGCAAACGCTCCTTGCTCAGTCTGGTCTAGACTCTCTCGCAAAATCAGATACAGTCATTGCAATGGATGTACTGCCACCACGCTGGGTCGACATGACCGACGAAGTCGATGAACATCTCGCCAAGATTCGCAAGATTCAGCAGCAGCAGCTCGAACCGCTCCATCGTAAGCACATGCTGCCTGGCTTTGACGATCGCACGGGGGAAGAACGCGAGATTGCAAAACTCACAACAGACATCACCCGCTTATTTGCACAATGCAGCAGGCTCATCAAGCAAGTCCAGCGACAAGCACAAGAACCTGACATACGCGATGTGGATCGCTTGATGGCACGTAACGTGACACAAGCACTCGCTGCGAAAGTGTCTGCTGAGAATGGAGAATTTCGCAGAGCGCAGAGTAAATATCTCGCTCGCATGCGTGGCCATATGCCTGCGCGCACGCTTGCCGTCGAACAAGATTCAAGGAGAAGAAGTGATGCCGAGTCGAGTGTCGGTCTGTCGAACCAACAACAGCAACAGCAGCAACGGCAAAAGGGCGGTCGAATCGATGCAGTCATATCGCAGCGTGAGCGCGAAATCGATGCGATTGCACAGGGCATCACTGAGATTAGCCAAATCTTTCAAGAGCTCAACAGTATGGTGATTCATCAAGGAACTTTGCTTGATCGGATCGACTACAATATCGACACGATGCATGTCAGTATGCAGCAGGCATCAAAGGAACTCGTTAAGGCAGAGGGCTATCAAGCGCGTTCAAGGAAACGCAAGCTTATGTTGCTTTTGGCATTGCTCATCCTTGCGGCCATCTTGGTACTCATCTACAAGCCTATTGCAAGACGGCGCGCCTCGCCACCCATCATTGAACCACCAAATGGTATTGAGCCAGAGGTACACTTCAAGTAGACACAGTCTAGTTTAATGCCATATCATGAATTCGTTCTGGCTCGAGCAATCGGTTTAGCTTGTAGAAATGTGCTAAGTTGCACGTCCATTCAATTCCTGAATCAAATGCAAGGCTGGCAGATGGAAGAGCAAGGAGCTGACCTGTTTCGCCGATGATGACCGGCAGTGTAAAGCGAAGCGCGCCACGAGCTCGTTTAAGCAGACGGTCAAGCTCAGCTTCCTTGTTCTGTGTCTTGGCCAAATGCCGCAGAGAAGTCATGTCGCTCTTCCTCAAGCATCGTAGACGCAGTCTTGAACCTTGTCCAGATATCCAAAAGCGACGATCCCATAGAATTGGTTCTTGAGTGAGATCGATCTCCTCTGATGCTTGCCACGGTTGTCTCCAAACTCGGCAGAGGTCGCCTTTTCGCTGCCAGACGAGACCAGCTGCAGTGACCTGACTTTCCTTGGCATCGCACAGCAATGTGAAAACGGCTTGCATACTTTCCAGCTTCACCGATGTTGAAGGTGTCACAATCTCTGCCAAACCTTGCAATGCAATAAGCACTGCATCCCTGCTAAGCCTGTTGAGCGCCGCGAACCGAAAAGAAAGCATGCCAATCTGCTCATCAACAGACACATCACAGCGACCTAGCACTTTAGCGATCCGCAGCTCGAGATCCCGTCGGTGTATTTGCAACTCGGAAGAGAGTCTGACCAAATTTGTTGGCTGCAGCGCGACAGGCAGTTGCATATTGGGCGTTTGAAGCAACTTCCGCACTGCATTCCGCATAGTGAGGCTCGTATCAGCATTACTGGCGTCTTCATACCATGCTTCTCCCATGGCCTCGCATGTTGCACGCAGTCTCGCTTTGGGTAATGTCAAGAATGGTCGGACCAGTCGAATACTGGACGCGCCATGAAGACTGCACCCGGAAGCAGGATTCCAAGCAAGTGGTCGAATGCCAGACATCCCACGCCAAGACGCGCCTTGTGCTAGTCGCATCAGCACCGTTTCTGCTTGATCATCAGCATGGTGAGCGAGAAACAAATGTTTGGCGTTGTGACGCAAACAGCCAGCCGTCAGCGCTTCGAAACGTCCTTGACGAGCCAGCTTCTCTACACCTTGACTTGTAGACTCGCGGGATCGTCTAGATAGGAGTGCTTCAGAGATTGTATCAGGTAGTTTCAGAACTTCATGCCGTATGCCGTGATGCTCCATACGAGCGTGTAGTTCTGCTGCTTCACTGCTCGACTCTGCTCTTAACGCATGGTCGACAGTCAATGCAACAACATCATCAAGTTGTTGCCGCTGCTTGTAAAGCTGTGAGAGGACTAGCAAGAGAGCGAGCGAGTCGACACCGCCTGAAAGGGCAAGCGCAATACGTGGAAGCTTTGTGGTCGGGCACAACTGGAGGATCGTTCGTATGCATTGGTCAATTTCAAGGGCTGATATACATGGAGCTTTGGAGTACATACAGCGAGCAGGCAGTACGCACCTCCTTAGTGAGCAGGGCCGATTCTGTGACAATAGAGAGGCATCAATTGTGGTTGTAGTACAACTTTGCGCAACTGGCACCATAACTGCAACAACCCGGCTTCTGCACACAGCTGCCTCTTCAATGTGCCAACAGAGGACCCACTTCATGGCAAGCGACTCCGGTCGTGTCTTCTCATGACTCTGGTCACTCACTTGCCCGTGAAATAGCCTGAAGCTGTGGCGCCCGCCAAAGGACGCCTCATTACTAGGAGCCTGTAAGGAGGTGTTGACTTGCGCTTGGAACGTATAGCGCAAATATCATCAAAAATGGCAGCCGTAGACACCCCGAATGCTGCTTGGCAAAGTTCAGGAGCTCCTTTATTTCACGCATCGCAGACGGGCATGTGCTTGAAGGCAAGTTCGCGTGAGTCGCGTCCTTCGTATGCAGAGCTCCCCCATTGGCTTCACTTGCTCTGCTGAAGCATGTTCTTCCTCGCATTGGGATCATCTCGCCGCGAATCTTGCATCGTCCCCTATCTTCCCTCGGCAAAAGCGCGAGCAATGCAAATAAACAAACCCCTGGTCAATCGCCAAAAACAGTCGCGGAGCTTCAGCTGAAGAAAGAGGCTCCGTGCTGTCGCACATTTGATCTCTGTTTGCCACTCAGTGCCAGCAGAGCAGGTTCCAGTCCTTCGATCTCCCATTTGCGCTCTTTGACCATTGACCACCACCGACGGCCTTTTACAACCAGACAGTATATCGATGGGTCGCCTCAGCCGTTTCACTCAAGTCCTAGATCGATTGACACTGCTCAATGCCTTCATCATTCGCGCAGGAATGGCTCCTCAAGTGCTTGGTAACCCTGTGTCTCAGCCAATTGCACAGACACGCAACAACGACATGCTACCTCAATATTTGGGTGCACAATTTGGACAAGAATTCTCAATGAACCTACCAGACCCAACGACTGCCACCTTCCTCGTCCGACAAAGCACAACAGAAGGATTCAGCATTGTGAGCCACAATAACTTTCAATGTGATAAAATCCCTACCTGTCTGTTCCGTCAGTGGTCGCTTGACAGAAGGAAAGTAGATTGGTATTATACTTATGGTGCTTGCACTTTGATTGCCAACAGGGGCCACCAGGCAGCTGGACTTCATTCGTCTTGGTTCCAGCTCTATTTTAAGCCATGGCGGACTCCGGTTGCTATTTATTGCACGAATTCCACCACACTTGTTGGTGCTGTGTCCCTCTGGCCTGAATTGCGATGCACCTGGGGTGCGGCACGTCGTAACAGTGTGTGTAAACCGACACAGTTCGAAACAGGCGTCACTTTCAAACTGGTGTGCAAGTTGGACATGGACGTCTGGTGTCTGGACTCTGCGCGATCATGGATGAAAGATGTTACAGTCTCGCCATCCCCACAGTGTCGAACGAGTGTCTGCGATGCTCGGTTCAAGAAAAGCAAGTACCCTAACTTGTTCTGCAGCCTATGCATAAACAGTCGCGACAAGAGTTCACAGTGCCGAGCTGCATTTGATAATCATGGCAGCTGTTTCTTTCTCAACAAATTCATAGGAAAGGGCTGCATCTGATACGGACGCCACGATCACTACGGCCGAAGCTTATCTATCACTTGAATGGAACGCTATTCAGGCGCTCGCTGTAGGGCTATTGGCCATACAATCAGGAAGCGTGCTTTTCGTAGCTGTCTATCATGGGACTCCTAAGCATTGCCGAAGCCGTTGTTTGACGGACGTATATTCTCCTTGCGGAAAGTACTTTCTCGCAGATTTGTCTAATGATTTCCTGAAAGTAGAATATGAGGACAAGCAGGTGGCAAACCTCGGCCTATCAAAACCTTGACTTCTCGTATACATAGCGAAAAGAAACAAACAAAGTTGTTTCTCGCAATATGAGGACAAACAGGTGGCAAACCTCGGCCTAGGAAACCCCTTGAATTCTCGTATACACAAGAGGAAAGAAACAAAGTTGTTTCTCTTTGTCGACCATCTGCCCCTGCCACGCCAGCAGCAGGTTAAAATGGCTCTTGCATCCTGTCTGCCCTCCATCACTTCTGACCATCACCAGCACAACATCTCAGCATCATGGGCAGCATCGTCGCCGTGACTCTGATCCTTGGCCGACTAGCCCTTCTCAATGTCTTCATCGATTCTGCAGTACTCTACACACCTCAAGTGCATTATTTTGCCACTCCACACGTGGCACCCATCTGAAGTTTGTCTTTTGCAACATTCTCCTGAAAATGTGAAATGAGAACAAACAATGGGCAAGCCTCGACCCAGGACACCCTCTTGATTTCGTATACACACGAGGATGAGGAAAAGTAATGTCGTTTTGTCACTCAAATGTTCTCCTAACGCGGCTGTGCAGCGAGCATCGAGTAACGAGTATCAAGAATTCTCTTGGCAGGAGTGGACTTGAGCGGCCGGCGGTCGCTCTAGCCTTTAGGGGTGTCTGCCCCTGCCACGTCAGCAGCAAGATAAATGGAGCTTGCATCCTGTCTGCCCTTCATTGCCTCTATCAACCAGCAGCAAAACAAATCAGCATCATGAGCAGCATCATCGTCGTGACTCTGATTCTTGGCCGACTAGCCCTTCTCAATGTCTTCATCAATTCGGCAGTACTCTACACACCTCAAGTGCTTGGCAATCCTCTTCCCCAAGTGGACCAATCCTACATTGTCGGTCAAGACTACACTGTTGTGAAGGATGCGTCTTTGGCATATTTCCTTTGGCGCAGCAACAACACAAGTCCTTTGCAAATTGCTGGCAAAGATGCTGGTTCGTGTCACTCTATCCCGGCCAGCGACTTCATGTACCTCGTGCCAGCGCCTCCGTCACTACCGACAAACGCCCAGGTTCACGAGGAATGGACTCCTGGTCAATGCACTTTGATTGCGAAGGACCAAGAGCCTGCTGCAGCCAATTCGCACCCGGAATGGTTCAAACTTTCGTTTGCTGACAAAACTGGCCTCGCTGTTTATTGCGTCCGTGGTATGCGAATGGATCTTACACCTGTCATTTCCAGATTGGATTGCAAGTGGATGGGTTCGAAAGAAGGCTACTGCAGTCATAATGATAAACTTGAGGAAGTGAAAAACAATCTGATCCACTTCAACCTTGACTGCAAAGTGGAAAAGAAACGCTGATGTCGACGTTGAGATCCAAAGCGACTTTGGATGCAGGCTCGTACAAAACCTTCTACATTGTTCTGCGGTAGATGAAGTTGTGAAAAACACTTGATGCAGCCGAGATAGGTCTTTTGACTTCCTCAATTACAGCTTTATAGAAAGTATTTTTAAGCCAAAGCCTTGCAAAGACCGCAGATGTTCAAGTGCAGGAATCACAAGCTGCAAATGCCGATGGATGCATTCACGTATGCATACTAGCTGCCAACCGAAACTTATCAAGCTTGATCTTGGGTCGCGTTTGTGAGCACTCAGTCTTCGTGAGTTTGAAGACAATTGCTCAGAGATGTGATTGCTATCAAGATATCGAAACTAGATTCAAACCAAAATGTGCCATGCCATGCTAATGCGTGATGTCCAACTGGATGTGCGAAGCACTTCCGTCTTTTGTGCAAACGTGCCATCCTACCTCGTCTTCCCTCAACAGCGACGCTTCGAGCATGTCTTTGCGTAGTGACCTGGACCATGACACAACCCGCACTTGCGTGTCTTGGGTCGGCCAGTCTGCTTGCTTGCTCGCTGCATGACAAAGTCAGGATCATGTCCATCAGAAGACGATTCTTGGACGGAGGTCCTGTGATGATCGATTTTTGAGCGCGTATGCTGATCCAGCTGATCCAGACTGAGCTCTTGTAAGGGTTTTCGTGGCTTCATGCTAGTTCTAGTCCTGGCGCGCTTGACTGAGAGTGCTTCAGCTGAGGGTGACGAGGAGCGCTGACGCCCTGACCGTGAGGATGAGGGTGATTGAGCGCGACCAGAGGTGATGTAGACGACTGGAAGTCTTTGAGAGAGGTATGGCTCTTCTCTGAGCTTTCCGAGGAAGGGCATGCTGGTCTGTGTTGTGTGTAGCTGTGGCTGTAGAAGAACGATGAGAGACAGAGTACTCAAGCAGCTGTAGAGAACGAGAGCAGGACGAGACTTGGAGGTGAGAGGTCAAGGGAGGACTATGCAGACTATGGCGGTCGCATCTCATTGCATCCTCTCCGTCGCAGCATCTTGTTGGAACTCATACGTCGTGCTCATTCAACGCAGGCGTGAGGAGCTCGAGCTCTGTACCTAGTCCATCAGCACTGACTCTGATCCTGCTGCGGCTAGCTTCTCGGTCAGTCACCGCCAAGCGCCTTGATCACCAGGATCTCTCAGTATCTGACCAGGCCAGGCAGTCTGCACGCATCCTGGGGGCTAAAAGCGTCACCCGTACAATGTACAGCTTGAGACGATGCGTCAGTCAATGACTCTACTCTCAAGCACGAGTCCCCATGGGATAAATCTATGAGCATCGAGACACTCTCCCTTCAGAGTCTCTCTCTACCTCGGCTCGTCCTCCGCAAAAGTCAAAAAAGATGAAAATTGACTTTGAGACGTCATTCTGCAACTCCACACCAGGCAGCCATCTCCATCGTCTGCTTCTCTCCAGAATACCAGCGAGACTCAGCAGGTATGGCAGAAGAATCAGTGCCGCCCATCATTCATGCACTCTCAGGCGCAGTTGCTTCCATCTTCTCCAATACGGCCGTGTATCCGCTCGATTTCGTCACCACACGACTCCAGACTCAGGAACAGGGTCCTGCTGCAGCCTTAGAGAAAGGACAGCCGCAAAAGCAATACACTGGCTTGCAGGATGCATTTGAACAGATCTATCAGAAGCATGGGCTGGCAGAGTTCTATCGGGGCCTTGGCGCAGACAATCTGTCCACGATGGCCTCGACATTCTGCTATCACTTTGCGTACAACTTTATCAGAGATCGCAGGGTTGCAGTCCATACGAAGCGTCGTGGTGGACACAAGCCCAGTGTCCTGTCTATGATGGAGGAACTGACCATTGGCGCTTCTGCTGGCGTCATCTCGAGGTTCGTGACCTCTCCAGCGAGCAATATCGTCACACGATCGCAGACGCAGGACGGTGGCACAGCGATGGACATCGTTCGTGACATTTACAATGAAAAGGGCATCACTGGTTTCTTCTCTGGCATGAAGGCATCTGTCATTTTAGCAGCAAACCCATCGATTGCCTATTACCTCTTTGAAGTACAAAAGGCATTGCTTTTGCCAAAGTCACGCAGAGCATCACCGAAAGCAGTGGAAATCTTCCTCATGTCAGCAACAGGCAAAGCGATTGCTACTCTATTGCTCTATCCAGTTATTCTTATCAAAGCACGCACGCAAGCACAACGCGTCAAAGTCGGCATCTTTGCCATGATTCGTCGTATCTTCACTAAGGAAGGCGGTCTTGCTGGCTTCTACAAAGGTGCACCGACACAAGTACTCAAGGGGTTCTTGTCACAAGGTATATTGATGTTGCTCAAGGATAAGATTGCAGCACTCATTGTTGCTGGATACCTAGCAGTGTCTCGAAGGAAGCATGTACCGACTGGAAGTGGACGTACACTTCACTTTGCCGATCCGCCCAAACAGGACGTCAATGGGCTTATCTTGGCAACCAAGGATATCATTGAGGAAGCAGTGGACAATGCAGTTGACAAGGCCAAGGAAGTCGCACATGATGTGGCAGAAATCACACACCTGGATCGTATAAGTGATTTGGCTGAAGCTGGACGTGAGAAGCTCGGCAAGACGCTTGAACACGCTGGTCAGATGATTGCTGGACACAGCACGGGACAGACTACTGGCACAGTCGCAGGAGATGGCGCATCGGGCCTGAAGGAAGGCGTTGAATGGGCGCAGCAGCAGCGAACGCGCAACATCGAGGGTATTGAGTGGTCCAAACAGACCAAAAAGCCTTGAAGCTTTGTGCCTCGCATATTTATTGTATGACCATCTGTTTAGCGTTACGGCCTTCCATCTTATACCTGATTACATCAATCGACACTCGTCTTGAGCTGAAGAGCGTGCATGTTTTTGATCTCCTCCTTCAAAATGCTGTTGACGAGCCGTTGCTGTTTGATGACATTGAGGCCTTCAAATTGCTTGCTAGAGACTTCGACGGCATAGGCGGATCCACAGCCGCCAGAGACATCCTTGACAGTCAGTCGAGTCGGCGATAGATGTTCTTGTAGCTTGGTGTAAATCTCTTGGTCAGCATCTTCTCTGTGGCAGGCAAAGCACATACTTGGCGTTCGCCTTGATCTGTCGGTACAGCAGAGTAGAATCGCCTCGCTGTAGCAGTGATTGTCCGTCTAAGCATCTTAGGAGCTAATTGAGCTTGATCTCCAGCTTTTGTCTGAGTGCATGAAGTCATCTTCAAGTCAAAAAGTCGCGACCAACTCAACAGCAGCACCTTCGCCACAACACAACACGCTATGTCAAAGCATCATCCAGACGTAACTTCCTCATCTCCTCCCTGGGTCACAGTCGCTAACACCAATAGCTTGTCATGTGTAAAAAACAACCCGGTATCGCGCTCGGTCGACTCTGTGCAAAATGCGACGGTAAATGTGTCGTCTGCGACTCTTATGTACGGCCACAGACACAAGTTCGGACATGCGACGAATGTGCCTTTGGTAGAGATGCAAACAAATGTCTCATTTGCGGCGGCGAGGGAATCTCAGATGCGTACTACTGTGCAGCTTGTACGAGGCTTGAAAATGATCGCAATGGATGTCCCAAGATTATCAACCTCAGTTCAAGTTCAAGAGACTTGTTTTACGAAAAGAAGAAGCGGCAAAAGAGTGCATATAGCTTTGCGTGAAGCGGCCTGCTGACAACGGATTTGCAAGGGAGATTGATTTATGTATGTACAAAGCATATCACTACCCACCCTCCTCAAATTCCTGCATTGCATCCTGGAAGGATTCAATCGACAACGCACCAGGCGATGTTGGACGTGCCAGAAAGTGAGCCAGCGAGACGACCTGGCCATGTGCAGCTCTGCCCTCACCAGGGCTCGAGGGACGATGACCCACATCAGGCCATATCCGTACACCATCGCCATGGCTATCCAGGGTCGGCGACACGGGCGACACGAGCGCAACAGGCGTCTGTACCACAGATACTTTCCGACCATGCAGCAAGAAGGGACCTGAACGCAAAGACGTTTGTGATGCCAAATTGGAACCCTCTGCGTTCTCTGCTGCACCACTCGCTTTGCTATCCTTGGATGCGCGTCGCTTGATCACTGGGAAGGGCGATCGATGTGGAATCTCGAGACTCAGCGTTGGTGCCGTTTGAGGTCTATTGCTGGGCTGTCCTTGACTTGTAGACTTGTCCATCCCGTCAGCCGACCCAGCCGAATGCACAGGCTGACCACGATGCCCATTGCCGAACCTGAAGGGCGACGTAGGATCAAGCACATCTGAACCGTCCATCAACACTGCATCTGCATCCGCCTCTGCTAAATCATTGCGAAGCCTCGTTGACGTACCGCCTCGTGCATCATGCGATGCGAATTGTCGATTCACACGTTTCAATGTATCTGTAGATGCTCGTCGTATCGTATGCCCGACTGAGCTCAACTTGACCTTACTCGGTGACAGAGACAGCGAAGCGCGTGAACCTGGCGCACCACCACTCGTCGTACTGCCTTGAACACTCCCATTCGGCGAGCCAGTACGCATAGGCACAGTAAACGCTTGCGCCTTCGGATCCAACTCTAGCTCGAGATCCTTGACGAGGATATCACGATGACACTGCGTCCGTAAAGTCTCTTGCCGCTGCCATGATATCTTGGCGGAACACGACGCGGCCGCTGAAATCAGATGCTGACGAGTTCGTGGTAGAATGGGCGTCAGGGTTGCCAGGCTGCGTGCATGTCTGTAGAATTGCTGTAGCTGGACTTCTCGCTCAATCAGCTGTGCATCCATCTCTGCAATCTTTTGCCGTATCAGATTTTGACGCGCTGCAACGACCTCAGGTAAACGATCGACGCTTCCTGGAAAGGGCTGAGCAATACTGTTGAGTGTGGACGAAGAGCCATGTCTTCGTGCGCGACGACCAGCTTTTGATTGTGCTTCAGCAGCGGCATTTGTCTCAATCCCACGAATCGTAATACCAGCCGTATGGAAGGCAGCCGTATAATTGATCTTAGCAATCCAATCATTCATCTCTTCCTCTGACGTTGCCGTCAATTCTGCCAGCTCCCCGCCACGCCCAAGAAAGGAGAAGTGCGTCTTCTTCTTGGCGTCATGGTCATGAAAGGCAACCGTATGGGCAGTTGGCATGTACGTGTCTGGCGAGTAATTGTGCACCGGTGGCGTCAACGTCAGCAATTCCTGTTTCTTGTGTTCAAGCGTTTGTTGCATATAATGCCGTACCCAGCCGAGATCTTTGAAAAACAAGAGTTGCGACGCTGTCAGCATGACACCCCATTCGCGATACACGGGTTTTGAGTTGGCGCGCTTCTGCTCCTTCTTTTTGAGCATACCAATCTTGGTGATTTTTACATCCACGAGACCCGGCTCTGTTGCGAGGGGATCTTGCTGGCCGTCTTCACTGATGTACGCTTCGGGTCTTGATCGCTCAGAGACGAGTTGAAGTCGTGCTGCATTGACAAATGCCGAATGGAGTTTCGCCACGTTGATGACGGGTAGGGTGCCAGTGTAAGAAAGCGTCATGGGCTTTGACAAGATGTCTGTCAACTGCGGCCGCAGCGACGACAAGTTCCTCTCCATAATCAGCGAATAGACATCAACGCTGCGCCGAGAGAAGCTTGTTGTTGAAGCTGGTAAACTGGTTACCGAGCCACCACGCAACGCACCAAATTCTGTCGGCGTCTTGGCTGATTCTGGCCCAGGCGAGGGACTCATATCATCTTCGACAAGGATGAAAGGCGTAGAAACGATATTGTCGTAGAAATAGTCGAGGATGTCTGAATTGACTTCATCCGTTTGATCTGACGTTGTGTTTTTGATGAATTGCTGTTTTGTCATCTTGTACTTATTGGCCTGGTTGAAGCGATCCGTGTGTAGCATGATGAGGGCAAACGTAAGAATATGCGGCGTCTCACGAGATCTGAACAATCGTGGATTGCAAATCTGGTAACGCTCGGAGAACGTATCAATCACGCGATCAATCTGCTGCGTCTCCCGAGGTAACTTGGTCTCCATCAAAAACTTGCGTAATGCCATATCCAAGGGATCTTGGCTAAAGTCGAACTTTTGCATGTACTGCTTGAGGCAAGCAAGGTGGAAGGCGTCATCAGACGAGGCTAGGACAGAAGCAATAACATTGTGATTCATTTGCCCTTCAAGCCTCTCCAAAAACGCATGCGGACTCTCTTCAGGAAGACGTAGCGGCATGACTGGTATTTGCGGCTTCTCCTCCAATGTTTTTGCAGGTGATAAAGGCGGCAACGGTGATGTTCCGCGCGAAACACCGCTTCCACCACCAACAATGGGCAGTGTCAGTGAGAACAACGGATCCTCAGCATCCCTACGCAACTTGCTCATTGAGAAGAACTTGGAGACGCGTGTACCGGATGATTTCCGTGCAGATGCTTGGCCGCCATACGTCAGACTTCGACCGCGAGACTTTCCATGCAGACTGCTACTACTACTCGTCGGCTCAATACCTTGTTCCAAAGCAGGTCCACTTCTAGACAATCTCGCTGGAGCAGGACTCGAGCGTGCTGACTTGAAGGAGGTCATGGATCGCATGGAGTGTTGACGTGTAAGTGATAATCGATCGAGTGGATTCGCCAACTCGAGTCTTGGCGAACCTTGTGCTGCCAATGTTGCTGAAGCAGCGACAAGTGCAGTAGCAGGCGCCTTTTGTGATGGTGCTGTGCGGAGTGAAGCTGCTGAAGAGCGTGTTGACATGTTGGGCCGTTTGATGGATTCGAATGTCGCTCGAATACCTTCAAACGTAAGTCGTGACGTCTCCCCACTAGCGCGTTGAAAGGAAGTTGAAGCATCTAGGGATTTCCGTAGAGGTAATGCATGCATTGCCTCTGCGCTATTTGCCGTACTCGCCTTTTTCCGTCTCGGTAAGCGGAAGAAGCTTGAGCGACGCGCGTGCGGTGCATCAGGAGACGTTCGCGCAAAAGAAGGCCGTTTTGAATCGAGTGAGGGCCGTTGCAGTGAATTGTTACCTGTCCGTACAGTAGCTTCCGAGCGACACTCATCTTGCTTGGGCGTTTCTGATGAGATGCGCGGTGAGGTTGCTGTTGTTGGGCGTGATTCGCCTGGGATGTGTAGCGCAATCTGCGGCGGAGTCTCAGAGACACGCGATCCTGGTATAGGCGATGAGGCACCCTGTCTATCAGACGCAGCAGCAGCGACACTCTGTCCTTCTTTCCGCTTGAACCAGCCAAACGCTGGTTTGTGTTGAGGCAAGGGTTGTGAGTCTGTCATGAAGCTCATGCATTATTTCATGATGGATTGCCAGAAATGAAGAAGAGCAGAGAGAGAGAAGGCCTGATTGATGCCGGCAAGCGCGTCGAGTATTGAATTGTGTCGCGCGATGTATCCAGCAGGTGGGTCTTGTTCGCGCCTCTCAGCTTTGTGGCTGTAGTACCAGTGTAGTCCTTCAGTTGCGTCTTACTGCTGGCCCCTGTTGCCCTTGCCTTTGCTTGTAGGCAGACACGTACGCGGTGATGGGTCTTGTTTGTCTGGCTCTCTCTCTCGTGTCGTTGAAGCTCCGAGACCAAGAGACCAAGACATTGACCAAGACACACAAACACAGGCGGCCAGACGATAGCATCAGCTCCAGACAGACCTGCAGCCTCGACGGCCCTCATCGCACTACTGAGGCGACCCTACTCATGGACTATGACAAGTGTTTCGCCATTGTCTACCTGATCGGCCTCGTCGCATCCTTCACCTGGCTCTCCTACCACTATGCCATCCCGCACTACCTGGCGGCCGCTCAAATAGGAACGCTCGTGCAGGCGACCTGCGCACTCACGCTCGGTTTCTCTTTCCTCATCTTCTTCCTGATATGGGCTGAATTTGGAGACTGGGTGCCGAGTATACGTGCATTGGCTTGGCAGTCCAGCATCGCCTGTTTGCTAGCGCTCATGGTCCTCATCCTACCTCTCCTCATGAACTATGGCTTTTTCTCTGAGGGGACAGGTGTCTCGGCGCGCTATCGCTATTTATGCACATTGCTTGCACTTGGCGCAGAACTCTACCTCTTCTACAGGCTCGGTGATTTCCTCCCCTCGCAAACAATCAGTCACAGTTTCTTGCAAGCTTGTGTGATTCGTGTGGGCATCTTGGGGATCCTGACCATGGCGCTGTTATCTGGGTTTGGTGCAGTCTCTGCAATTGAACAAGCAGTCTTACCAAGACGCGCCGTGACGGAGACAGAAGTGGCACGTCTACAAGAAGCTGTGCATATGGCAGAAGATCAACTTGAGATGAAGGTACGAGCTCTCGAGAAGCAAGAGGCTAGGGAGGCAGAAGCGCAGCATCGTGGGTTTGTTGCACGGTGGATGGGTGCTATTTCTCGGAACAGTGAAGTGGAGGAGATGCGACTGGGTGTGCTTGGGATGCAAGAACTCCTGGCATCATTACAGGCCGATGCAGCTACTGGACAAGCGACCTTGGATGATCAACAAGCTGCCAAGACGTGGCGTGGGAAGCTATTCAAAGTGCTGGATGTGCTCTTCAGTCTCTACTGCGTCTATCGGATTGCCTTTACACTGTACAATCTGACGCCGTGGAAGGGCCAAGCATTAGACCCTGTTTCGCGGGTGCTTGGCTTACTTGCAACACACTACGACGAAGACATTGATCGAGTGACCTTGACACGGCAGATTGGGTTTCTGCTGAGTGGTGTGGTGATTGCTGGTAGTTTACGGGCCTGCTTGATCAGTTTAGCCAGACTGAGCAAAGTCCTACCGCATGTCATCAACCAGCGATCCATGGCGCTTGGGTTTGCCAATATTCTGGGGTCTTACAATATTGCCACTGCGATCATGCTCTGTCGCAGTGTGCCGAGCGACTATGGCAAGACGATCTTGGGTAACTTGGGTGCTGCGCTGGATCAAAGCCAGTTTGAGGTGATCTTTGACCGGTGCTTCATCCTGGGTACGTTTGGGACGACGGTGATTTTGGTACTGCAGCGTAAAATGGGGGGTGTGAGCGGGGATTTGGAGGCTGGGGTTGAGAAGAGGCTATGAGGAAGTGTATACTGCTATAGAGATAGATGATGACGTACAGACAGCAGAGTATACTCAGTAGAGTAAGTATAGTAGAGTATAGTATAAGGCAGGGTTAGCTCAGCTCAATTTTCAACTTTTACCGCGAGCAAGAGACACACTCAAGACCCATTCCTTCCCCCCCATCCGGCCCAGAGTCATTCACGGTCTCGGGCACGTAGAGGGAAGTCCAGTCTAGCAGTATCCCATCGAGGGCACTTGCATCAGGTCTCACACCCACAAACAAGCGACACAACCACTCTCAATCCAGGGAGGAGACAGGGCCAGCGAGAAAAAAAAAGTTCCAACCCGAGCTCAAGCGTAAGAGGCCTTCTACCTCAGCGGCCTCTCTTCCTCTAGCTTGTACTCAAGGGAAGCAAGTCTCTCCTTCTGTATCCAAAAGGGACCGAGAGCATTTCCAGCAACAGAGACGCGCTTGACCGAATGAGCGACTCCAAGGCGTCTTCTGCACAAGACAAACCACGCACCCAGCAAAAAGCTGTCTTTAGCTATGCCAGAGCTGCACAGGGAAAGCAAACGGCTCAGGCGGCTCCAGTAGCTGCATCGCCTGCATCTGAGCAAGGTGCGAATGGTGGCAAATCAAACACGCCCAGTGCTGCTGCGCCGGCTGCTGTAGCGGCTCCTTCTCCAGCACAAGGAACACCACCTGCTGCATCTACGCCTGCCGCTGTAGACACAAAACCGGAATCAACGGCAGCAGCTTCGACCCCCGCAGCACGAGATTCAAAAGCGACGACCGGCCCAGCCTCAACCGGCGGCAGCGGCCACCAGAAGGGAGCGAGCAGTGGCGTGCACATGCCTCCTCGTAAGCAAGAATCAGGCACACCAGCGAGTGTCCAATTTGGTAACTTCTCAAATGCCGCTGGACCCGGCACACCTGGACCGGTCTCACAAGAGTCACCGGCACCTGGCAAAGCACAACCCGTTGCATCAGGAGGTGCACCGCCGCGTGTCGTTCAGAAGCAGGACATCCCTCAATTCGGCTCCTTTGAAAACAATGAGAATGTAAGAGAAAACCCCTGTCCCATCCTCCAGTACATGACTAACGCATATCAGAAGCCAGTGCATTCACGCACAAACTCTGAATCGTCTGAATTCAGGCCAAGCGGTATGCCCAACTACAACCAGGGCCCTCAGCAAGGCTACTACGGACAAGCACAACAAGGCAGCTACGGCTATCAATCAGGCTATTCACCAGCTATGCCAGGTTATCGTGGTCCTCACCGTGGTGGCATGAACCAATTCAACCAACCACGTCATACACCCGGCCGTCCTTCACAAGCAGGAGCACCTGGTGGCCCTGCCGGTAATAACGCAGCCATGGCATCTCCTCGTCCAGGCGGTGCAGCTGTCAATAGTCCACACTCAACACCACAACAGCAACATGCTCAAATGTCGGGCATGGGTTCACCCATGGGATCACCTATGTATGGCAATTACGCACAAATGCATGGACAAGGTATGTATGGCTACCCAAACTTTTCTCCTGCGTATTCCGGACAAGGCGGTTATGGCGGTTACCCACAATCCGGACATCTGCAAGGCGGACAACAACCAGGTGGTTATATGAATCAACAAGGCAGAGCTATGCCGTATGGCGGTCCACAAACACCGGGTGGTTCACAGCAAGGGAACCCCGGTGGCAACCAATACCAGAACCCAAACTTGCAATCACTTGTGCCGCGTGCTGGTGGTGGTGGTGCATCCTTGTCGGATAGGTCGACTGGCACACCTCAACAATCTACCGCACCAACCTTCACCACACCCCGCAAGTCTGCTGCTATTCGCATCACACGACCTGATACAAAGGAAGAAGTCATCTTACCCAAAGCTGAACCAAAACGTGCATCTGCTGCAACGCCTGCTACTGCTGCTATGACGGGTACGACTGTGCCTGCTGCATCAGCAAGTCCTGCACCTAGCAGCACGAAGACTGATCGTCCTGCGTCTTCTGCAAGTATCCCAAAGAGTTCAACACCGGCACCGGCTGTTGCCGTACAAGAAACACCAGAACAGATCAAGGCAAAGAATGAAGCAACTCGACTAGCATTCGCTGAAAAAGTGGCTGCACGACGTGCTGAGAGTTCTGCGAAGGTGGATGAAGCCGCTGCTGCCCAGAAGAAGGAGGAAGACTCAACAGCCGCTGCGGCTGCTACTGCTGCGGCTGCTTCTGCTCAAAAAGAAGCGGATGAGAAGAAGGTTGCTGAGAAGGAAGCTAAGGATAAGGCTGACAAGGAAGCTGCTGCTGCTGCGACGGCCGCAAAGGCAAAAGCAGATGCTGATGCGAAAGCTGAGGAAGAGGCGAAAGCCAAGACTAAAGCTGACGAAGAGGCTGTTGCCGCTGCTAAGAAGGCTGAAGAGGAAGAAGAAAAAGCCAAGAGTCAAGCTGCTTCCAAGTCTGCTGAGCCTGAATCGTCTGCCTCTGCTTCGCTCGATACGATTGCTGAGCCAGCTGCTGCGGATCAGACGTGTGATGTCGTGGAAACGAAGCATGTGGACGAGGATGCCAAAAAGCTCACTGTGGATACCGCCAAAGCCACTGAACCCGCTGCGCCTTCACAAATGCTCGCTTGTCTCGAAAAGTCAAGCAAGATTGATGACTTGAAGAGCGTCATATACCCAAGTGGCATCAATGCGCCACTTGCATCGCTCAATGCCAATGCCACGGGCGGCAAGTTCAAGTACGACAAGGAGTTTTTGCTGCAATTCCAAAAGGTCTACACAGACAAGCCCATGTCCAATTGGGATGAGCGGTTGAAGGAGACGATTGGCGATATGGATAGTCGTGGCGGTAAGCCTGGTATGGGTGGTCGTTCTGGCTCAAATCGTGGTACACCCACCACTGGCTCACCCTTCAGTGGTTCTGGCCTACCAAACTTCAACCCAAAGCCCCTCGGTAGCTCAGCAGACCGGTTTTCACAGTCTACCAAGATGTTGTCGAATGGTATTGATCCAAAGCTTGCATTGGGTACTCAGCCATTTGAGCGTGGCGCAACGTTCAAGCCCGGAATGGCGCGTACCAATACACTCCCTCCACCACGCGCAGATTCAAAGCGTGGCGGTAAGCCAGGTGCGATGGGTGGTCGTGTGCCAAGTAATCGACCAGACAAGAATCAAGTAGGCGCACCCACCATTGCTCCGGAAGATGTCAAGCCTCTCGCGAACTCTGGCAACAGGTGGCAACCGAAACGTGCGGCTGCCGAGTCTGAGCCTCTACCGGGTGGCGAGGATACACAAATGGCGCCAGAGATGGTACAGCGTAAAGTCAAAGGTCTCCTCAATAAGCTTACGGTGGACAACTTTGATCGTATCTCGGATCAGATTTTGGAGATTGCAAGTCAATCCAAGAATGAAACAGATGGACGGACGCTGCGTCAAGTGATTGCACTCACGTTCGAAAAGGCAACGGATGAGGCGCATTTCAGTAACATGTATGCTCGCTTCTGCCGCAAGATGATGGAGACGATTGATCCTTCCGTCAGTGATGACAGTCTCAAGAATAAAGACGGTGTGCCAATCACCGGAGGTGTCTTGTTCAGAAAGTATCTGCTCACGCGTTGTCAGGAAGACTTTGAGCGTGGTTGGAAGTCACAATTGCCGCCTAAGCCTGAGGGCGAGGCACAAACTGAAGAGGCAGCCATGTTGTCTGATGAGTACTACATTGAGGCTGCCGCAAAGCGTCGTGGTCTTGGTCTCGTTCGCTTCGTTGGAGAAGTCTACAAACTTGGCATGCTCAACGAGAAGATTATGCACCAAATTATCGTCAAGTTGCTCTCGAATGTCAAGGAGCCTGAGGAGGATGAGGTTGAGTCTGTTACAAAGCTCATCACTACAGTCGGTGCTTCATTCGATGCGTCAGAGCGCGGAGCTTCTTTGATGAATGCGTATGTTGTGCGTTTGGAGGAGATGGCGGAAAACAAAAACATTTCTTCTCGTCATCGCTTCATGCTCATGGATGTGCTTGATTTGCGCAAGGCCAAGTGGATCGGTGGTGCTGACACCAAGGGTCCAAAGACCATTCAAGAGATTCACGACGAAGCAGCGAGAGCGGCAGCTGCCAAGGAAGCTCAGCGTGGACCTTCACATCGGGGTGGACCTCCTGGTGGCGGTGGCGGTCGAATGGAGTTTGGTCGCGGGGATGTCCGTTCTGGCTCGAGACGTCAAGAATCACATGGCCCAACCATCACTACTTCTGCTGATGGATGGAAGTCTGTTCGTTCTGCGGGTGATCTCGCCTCATTTGGCAAGTTTGCCGATCGTTCTGCATCGAAGCAGTCGTCGTTTGGTCCTGGTGGCAGTTTGGCGCAGAATGCTAGAAATACGGCGCCTGGACGGAGTGCCGCTGGCTCAAGGAATCCATCGCATGCTGGTACTTCGAGGGAGGACTCGCGCACCATGTCGCAACAGCCTGCGAATGCGTTTGCTGTGCTGCAAGGTGATGATGGTGAGCCCAAGGATGAAGAAGAGACGGCTGCTGCGACAGAAGAGTCTTCTGCAGGTCGGCCGCGACTCAACTTGCTACCAAAGGGCGCGACGCCCGGTGAGGAGGATGGCGAGGCGACACCCACGGAGGATGGTTCAAGTCGGCCAAGACTCAGTTTGTTACCAAAGGGAGCTACGTCTGGTGAAGAGCCAGTCATGGCACCCAAGTCGACTGATGAAGGCTCCGAGAAGGACGACACGGAGGACGCAGAGAATGAGGATGAGCCAGCAGAGACGGATGAGGCTGATAATGAGCGCGACTAATGTTCATGGGAGGCTCGACAGCATTGACGTGTGTGGACAAGCATATTATTCACATCTTTCACCCGCAAAAGCGTGCCATCTCTCGCATTCAGCTGGTACGCAACTTAGACTATGCATAGCCTTTTGATTTGTTTTAAAGTATGCAAGGAATTCAATACATCATGTCGTGAGTGAGCACATGTTGTGCAGTTGCCAGGCCATGTTCTATCGGCCATTCTACATGCTGAGAGTAGAGCCAGCTGGTCGTTGCCTTCCCGTCGCGTCTTTGCAGCAATTTCAAAACTAGGAATGCGACAAAGACCGTTGACTGCCGTAGAACAAGCTCGGGATGAGCGCAGGGACGGCGCGTAAGGATACGAAGGGCGCAGAATTAGATGCAGAGGGCAACAAGGTCAACCCGCATATCCCGTCCTTCATCTCAAAAGCACCTTGGTATCTTGATACAGGTGCTAAATCATCCCTAAAACACCAGCGGCTCGATTCGGACGGCAGCCAGGGAGCAGCTCAGTCTGGCTGGTATGATCGGACACTCAAGACCACAGGTCCTGCTGCAACAAAGTATCGTAAAGGCGCTTGCGAGAATTGCGGCGCGTTGACACACAAGACGAAAGAGTGTCTTGAGCGGCCACGGAAACGAGGCGCGCGCTGGACAGGCGAGGATATACAACATGACGAGGTGATTCAAGAGGTCAAGATGACTTGGGATGGGAAACGCGATGTGGCGAATGGATATGATTTTGATTCCCATGCGCAAGTGCTCAAGGAACGGTTTGACCGTGTGGATGCAATGCGCAAGGAGAAGGGCCTTGAAGGTGCAGTCGACACGGCTGTTGGCTCAGATGAGCTGAATCCAACGAAGCTGACGGACGTGACAAAAGCAGCAACAAGCAATCACATGCGCCAGCGTGAAGACGTGGCCAAGTACCTGAAGCCAGACTATGATGTCGACAGTTACAATCCAAAGGCGAAGAAGGTACGGACAGAAGACGAGCGGCAGTCGGCTTTCACGCGAGCTGCAGACCGGACAGGCGATGTGGCAACGTTTGAGACGCTTCAGTCATTTGCATGGACGGGTGAGCATGCTGCAAACGCTGTGCATGCAAACAGTACACCGTCTCAGGCTGCTCTTCTATTCAAGAAGCAGCAGGAAGCGAGACGGATAGCGGCAGAAGCGCAGAAGGAGGTGCTTGCCGCACGTTATGGTAATGTCACACAAGCGCTGCCGAAGAATCTAGTTGAAGAAGAGGCTGCAAATGGGTCGATGAATGCGGATGGTACAGAAAAGGTCACGGTACGCAAGTCACGGTACCAGGAAGATGTGCTCAAGAACGGCCATTCATCTGTCTGGGGCTCTTGGTTTGATGCCAAGACATTTAGCTGGGGGTATCGATGCTGTCACAATACGCTCGAGAATGCGTATTGCACTGCGACAGAGTAGCAGCGTCTGCATCTACTAATGTACATGTATATTCACCGTCCATGCCTTCCTGCCCCTGGACTTTCTCAAATTTCAAATTTCAAATTCATCGCGCTGAAGACCACACCCGAATGTCTGACATCCATCTATCTGTCGCGTGAAGCGGGCCTGGAGCAGGATGGGCGTCAAACGCGCTCGTGAAGAGCCTCTTTCTGCAGGCGTACATCGAAAACGGCAGAGGAACAGAGACGCCCGAAGTATTGCAACACAGTCGGCTTCACAGTCACTGCGACAAGGCGCGCTCCCTATACAAGACTTTCTCAATGCTCGACGCTTTGAGATCCGTGCGCTGCGAGATTCTATGCGCAAATCACGAGAGTCTAGCGTGCAGCGAGCTTTCCAAAGTCTGCCACGCTACCTGAGACGACGTGCCGCAAGCCACAACCCGAAGCGTGTGCCAAAACGACTGCGATCGCGTGCGCGTGCAGAGATTGACGATGCCGATGGAGGTGCAAGTAAAAACAAGCGCGTGCCCTTCAAGCGCAAACGAGGACGTCGCGAGACCATTCGCAAACTTGCACAGCTCAGAGAACGCAAAGTGGAGGAGCAAACTGAGCGACTGGAAGGTACACCGTTGCCAGCATTCAAGGCAACCGAAGGCGGTCGCTTCTGCAAGCGTCAGAGAAACAAAACTTGGCTGCCGAGCCATCTATGGACAAGCAAGCGTGCACACATGCTCACACGCTGGGGATATGCATTGCCGCAGTCTCCGAATGAAAAGACGTATCGTTCAACACATCGTGCTTCCAAAGCTAAAGGCGTCATCATCTTCGATACATCGTACATGTGCACTCTGATACTACAAGGCAGAGCAGCCCACATTGCTTCGCTGCTGGACGATTTGACACGGTCCAAAGAAGCTGGTGGTTTGCGTGCACGTCGTGGTACCCGTGCTGTTGAGGCGCATGCATTCAATAAGACCTATTTGTGTCCAATTTCTGTTCTTTGGGATGGGTCATCAACAGATACGCACGCTCGTGTGCAACTTCGTCTCCATCCAACAGCCTTTGCATCCGTCTGGCAAGTACTGGTTCTTATGCGAAAAGAGAAACAGCTGTATCTCGTGCGCATCATTGATGCGCGCTTTTCTCTCGGGTCCATTGAGCTTGTTGGGCCCATGGCAATCAACACACTGCTTACGGTTCTCAAGTCAAATGCCGATGATGAACACACCCGTGTCTTCAAGTCTCTTCACGGTCTGCTCCCAAAGGAGGTACCAGCGAATGTTGTGTTGCCACTCCTTGTTCGAGACTCTCGCAGACAATTTCCGCCGCGACCCATTACTGAGCCGGCCAAGTCGCACAATAAGCACCTCAATGAGTGGCCTATTCAAGGACCAAGCTCGCAACTATTCCTTGTGGACCAGATTGACCAATGCAATCGTTCCCGCCCCTCGCAGAGCGACATTGACAAGAGCAAGTCTGAATTACCCAATGACACTATCCCAGTTTTGTTAACCCGCACTCGGCTTGGGTTTTGCTTACAAGCACCTTGGGCCACCATCACGGACTTTTGGTACTCATTCAATCATATCCCACATGTGCGTTTTGGCGGCGTTCAAGAATACAAGCAAGTTCACTACGAGTCATCCGTACCGCACTTTCCGACCGACTTCCCCGGTACACATGCTGGTAATGCAGAAGCGAAACATTTGCGTGATGAGCTACAAGTTGCTCACCTGCGTCGACCACCTGCCAAGCGCCAAAATTGGGACAAGTCTATCGATGGCAAGCCAGAGCTGGGCGATCCATTCGCGTGTGACTGGTACTTTCTGCTACAGCAACATGCCAATGCGCTCAAGGCATCAAAGGCTACGGCAGAGAAGAGCATGGAGGTGACCCACATTGACGCAACATTACTCCCTGTCTCTCAACCTGCCTTCTTAACTTATGTTGATGGCTCGACGAAGCAATTGTGCAGCTCGCCAGTCTCACAAACTGACACTGACAGCATGTACATGGAGGTTGATGCGGTATTGCCAGCAAGCATTCATGGTCAGCACACGCAGGTGGAAGATTCCTTCGCTAGTCGATCAATCACAGCGCCCTCGGCTCTCGCGAAAACGAATGTACCAGTCACCGTACTTTCACCTGTTCTCATTCATGCATGTGAGCTACCTATGCTTGTCGATGAAGGACGTTCACATCCACGTGGTATTGTTCAAGTCAAGATCACCCTCACAGGACGCGGCTGTCCGAGTGCGCGCGCACGTATCTACAGCGCTGTCGAGTGTTCCGGCTCCATCAAAAGCTACCAGCCTGGAGAGCTAATTGGCTTTTTGACCACTGGCAACTTTGATCTTGGAAAGGGCAAGGCTACGGGTCTGGGTTGTCTACTCCTAGATGCAGTGCTTAAGGCCTCTTCGGATGCACGGCAATTGCAGGGACGGTCCAGCCATGAAGCTCGTATCGCAAACGGCTCAAAGTCAGGGGTATGCCAAGGCCGCTGTTTTGTTAGAGATGTTGGAACGGGAAATTTCAGGGGGGCAACATGGGCGCTGACTAGTAGTTTCAAGCGAGCATAAGTCTAGGCCTGCTCTATTTGGTTCCTCCTATTTCGATACATGCCCGGAATTTGACAAGTGTTCAACATGCAGGTACTTGAACCACGTTCTTGTCCCTGAACAAAAGGCTTGGTCATCACCTGATCAGCTGCAGTCTCCTGTATATGCCGTCAGCTATAGAAGCCCAAATTGCTCTCTTGCCAAACCAAGACGCATACCATCCACTTCATCTTGAAGTCCCAATTGAAAACGTTCATTCAGGTCAGGTACGTAAAGTCCTGTCTCAGACCTCTTGTCCTTGTTCTAACTCCGGTAGTTCAAATCAAGACAACATGGTCAACACTGCTGTCAATTGGTTGCTGGTCATGGTGGCTCTTGCCACGGCCGAGACTTTGACCGGGTACACGCCAAATTGTGGGATGGTTCAGGTGGGTCAGACCATAGTCTTACGAGATGGACGAATCGGAAAAGTCACTCACCAGGCTTGCCAGGCTTCCGCCAGGTGCGCTTTCTCATCTGACGGGACCGAATGGTGTTCAGGATGGAAAGAGTCAAATCAAATGACCTACATCAAATGCATCCACTCCGCTACTGGACCTGGTATGCCTGAATGCAGTTGCTCTTGCAACTATTAGCGGTTCTGACAGCTGCAGCTGCAATCTAGTTAAACTCACTTGTGGCTAGAAAGAAATGTCGATGCTTTCACGTAGTTCAATCGTTACTATCAACGAGAGTCAACCATGAGATGAGCTTGGTAGTCTGGTGTTTCATATCTGCAGCTGGGTAGTGTCGGTGAGTGGAAGTGCAAACACGACTGAAGGTCAAATACTCCTTTGCCGCCGATTTGCCACTCCATTTGTCTTTGGCCTGATCTTCTATGGCCTGAGTTCTGGTCCGCCTTGGATCTCCTTGTCACCAGACTCTTGCACACGCGTAGCATCGGTGGCATGTCCCTCTGCGTCGGGCTTCAGGATACATTTGTCCTTCTTGAGGTCTTCTGGTAGTGGCAGTCCTGACGTGTCGACATTCGCACCAAATTGCTTTGTAGCCTTGAGCTCATTCTGGATCTTTGCATCTGACATCTTGATTGACTCTTGTGGGTGATGGAAGAAGAGGCCCTGGGGATGTCTCTCGTGTTATATATGCCACCCCGACTGTGTTGCCATCTCGTCATTGTTGCATCACTTTCACGTCATGAACCACGACCGAAGTATGCCCGAGACAGCGACCATGACATACTACCTCTACGACATCAATAACGTCGCCGGGAAGGACGGCAAAGCTATTTGCTGGTCTCCCAATACATACAAGCCGAGGCCGATTTTCCAAGTCAAAGGGCTCGACTATGAGACGCGCTGGATCTCTTACCCGGACATCAAGCCGCAGATCGGTCATCACGGTCAAGCAGACGCCGAAACACCCATTTGTCCAATTTTGCTGGACACAAGCACAGCATCAGGAGAGAGTGAAGGAACTTGGGTACCCGAGTCCTTTGAGATTGCGCAGTACTTGGAAGAGAAGCATCCCGAGCCGACCATCTTTCCAGGTGGCAAGGACGTCCACAAGCGGCTGCTAGACTACTGCGCAAAAGAAGTACTACCACATGCTCTGAAATGGATGCTTGACAAAATCCCACCAAAGCTGGATGAGCGTGGTGGTCGCTACTTTTCCGAAACGCGCTGCAAACGCTTCAATGTCGAGAGTCTTTCCGACATCTCCAAGAATCGTGACGCACACCTCGTAGGCTTGAGAGCCGGTCTGACTCCATTGTTTCATGCAATTCGCCAATCTGGAAAGTTCTTGACGGGTGAAGACTTTGGCTATGCAGATATCGTTCTGCTTGGCATCTGTCAATGGGTCGAGACAATCGTACCTGATGAGCTTGACATGTTTCTAAACATTGACGACAGTGGCAACTTCAAAGCTTGGCGAGAGCTTTGCAGACCCTTTGAGGGCAAAATGGATTGATGGATCGATGTAGGCTCAAACAATTCATTCAATTCTCTGTACATGTCAGATCTCTATAGCAGCTGCATGAACATCTCTCATCGTGCACTTTCCGCCTCCAAAATACGCTTCGACCAAGCCTTCAAGATAGGCGGTTGCTCCACCACCACCGTCAGCGCCTCCAACCACCTCTGCTTCTCCTCTGCATTGTCGGCATAGAAATCAATCACTTCACCATTGGCAAATCGTAAGCGGAATCCCTCAGCGACATACAAATGCCCCTCTTCACGTTCAGCAAAGCCTGATTTTCGACGCGTTTGACGATCTCCCTTGCCAACCACGACATCGGGCTCCGTCAATGCTGCTGCATCGGACGTAACATGTGTTGCTTTGGCGACATTGATGGTGGCTCGGATATGACCTGTTGAGCTGTGATAGGCTGTCAATTTGCTGCCAACGAGCTTGAATTGTCGTCTGCGCCAGTACGGACAATCACCACCTTGTTGAGACAGAAAGCCAGTACACGATTGAGTTGTGTGCCAGGCTGCATCACGCATATCACGAACCGCTTGACCCAAACTCGTTGGCAAAAATGGCAAGTCGTTGGCTTCCACGGGTGGGACGTACAGGACTTGTAACTCAATCTCACCAATCTTGTACGGTTTGCGACGACGTGTTGGTGTACCCTTGCTTGTACTCGCGAGACCTGTTGCTTCAATGGCCCATTCATTCAGAACCGGTACAACCATGGAGTGCGGCCTGCCATAAGCCTTGTTGACAAATGTTGAAAGTGCCAAGTATGCACGGGCAAACGAACCATCTGCAGCGACATACCCAGCCAATGACAGACTCGTCACACTGCCAGTCAACTTGTGCTTCCTAGGCGACTGCAGCAGCCTGCCGAGTGTAGAAGCTGGCTTCTTGGGAGACATGGGAGGCTCGTACTTCGCTTGCAGCGTCAAGATGAACTCGAGATCCGCATCGGCAATCAACTCAAATTCTTGCTGAATCTTGGCCTCCCCTGCCAATGTATGCCATGGTGTCGTGACGCAGTGTTTGCCATTATCCAGGGTACAGCAAAAGAAACTCTCCTCACCTTTTGGTATGGGCAAAGTCAAATTTTTCACTTGAACAACCTTGACGAATAATCGACCACCATCCTGCAGCGGCTGCAAGGGCATGGGCGTGCCGGCACCGTCAAGACGCGGTGTACCAGTCACATTGACAGGAACGCGTGAAGTCTGTCGTCTGTGCGCATTGTAATTCTCACTTGCCCTTGATTTAGAGGAAGCAGCACTTGCCGTTGTATACACTGAACTCGATTGTCGTGTATGACCCTTTGTAGGTGATGATGAACGTGTCGCTTCAACTGCATTCACTTGATCATCTCCATCGCGTGCATGAACGACGCGAGATTGCTGACGAACGACGTAGCCGCGTTTTTGTTTCTGCATGACGGTGTCAAAGGCTTTGTTGATATCACCAAACGACAAGTCTTCGGGTAGTGAATTGAGTACAGGCTGTAACATGGGCGCTGAGTGGGAATGCACTGAAGTCGATTGCGCAGCCAACATATCAGGTCGTTCATCTGTGGGTGTGATGCTTGCTGTGACACTACCATGGCGCACTCGACCAATAGTCGCATCAGCTTCAGTGATGGACGCTTCGAGATCAGCACTGACTTGACGACGACGAGTGGCAAGTTGTTGTGTCCCGGCAGGAGTTTGACTTGGTCGGGTCCTTAATCTTGCACCACGAGACGTGATCGTAGCCTGCTCTTCCTCCAACGACTCTTGCGACTCTGCCCAACGATCGAGTTTTGACGGTGTCGACTTGATTGGGCTCGATGGAACGACTGTGCGAGAGGTAATGGGTGTTTCGGGCCGTTTCTCTGGCGTCATGTATTCCTCGAGACCAAGAGATTCAGTATCATCCAAATCCAAACTCAATGAAAGTGGTTTGAGGTCCAGAAAGGTACTCTGTCGTGGCGTCGACGGTGCTGGTGAGACTGTCCCTTCAGATTCTGCAATACTAGCAGTCTCAACATCAGTCTGTGCGAGATCCGGTTGGAATTCTTGCGGAATGACAGCAGGTGTGGGCAAGGCATCAAAGTCTTGGCGTCTCGAGGCAGTCACCGTCTCTGTAGGCCGCATGGGCGAATATTGATGCACCACAATGTCTGGCTCAGAATCAACATCCGACTGACCATACTCATCACCATCATAGCTAATGGGCGTGGCAAACTTATTGTCGACCGCAGCAGCAGTTGAGGCATCTTTAACAATTGGCCGTTCAGGAATGAAGAGACGCTCGACAGGGACGCCGGGTGATTGCAAGTCTTCAGAGACTTTTCGTGGAAATTCGCCAAAATCATCACTAAGCGGACTCTCTGGTTCAACTGCAGGTGGCGATGTCGGCTGTGTTGGTGGTGCCAAGGACGAATGCGGTACCAGCGCAGGCAGCGGTGTTTCCTTCTTTGGCGACGCAGCAAGTAATGCCTTGCGCTGTGCAATTTTATTGCGAATCGATTCACGACTAATTGGATCTGGCGACAAGAATGGCGATGGCGCAGTCGGCGGCATGGGTGAGAGATTGGGTGTTGAGGTGACTGACTCTGACAAGTCTTCCACTTTGTACGATTGGACTGCGCTCTCCTCTTGATCCGACATGTCTGCCGAGATTCGCTCTGCATGAGGTCTGATTTGTACATGGTCAGCATCGAATGAGGCTGTTGACTGGGCGCGTGGAGCGTTGTGTAGGTGCAAGCCAAGACCCGCATACGCGTGACGTTGAGCCTCTTGCTCAGATGCCAGTACTTTCTGCTCTGGTTCGGAACGCTGTGCTGTTGGAAGAGTAGGAAGAGGCCGTGGTGGAAGGGGCACAGCAGGCAGTGAGCGTGAAGGTGTGCTCATCAAGTCTGCTGTTGAATGTGCAGCAGGACGCCAAGGCTGCGGGCGATCTTCCTCATCTGTGCTCACGTCGAGGTCACTATCGTAATCTCGACCTGCGCGTGTTGAAAAAGGGGAAGAGCCCGTGTCAAAGGAGCAGTCTGACATGTGCCGTACCTCGAGTGATTCATTGAATGTAACTGACTTTGAGCGCGTCAAATCTTGTCGTGCGAGCTGCGGATCAACAAGTGACGACTTTGTGGGAGATGCTGAACGCACACGGTTGACGTTGTTCGCGTCACTGTCCTGTGTTGTTGTTTTGACATCTGGGGAGATACGTGGCGATCTGCTTGACTGCACAAAGGGACTATTGGCGACCAACTTGTCCGGAAGCTCGATCGTCCGTGGTACTGCCGTCTCTCCACTCATACGCTGCTCGAGCTGCCGTTTCCGCTCCATTGTTGTCGCGAGATTGGTCATGGTTGGGGATTGTTTTGAGCGCGGCGATACTTGCGGGCTGCTTTCTTTCGCCTGCCAAAATGAGCGCACATTTCCAGGAGCAGACATAATGGCCGGATGAGTGTGCTGAGCGGGCCGGGCGAGGCCTTGCGCTCGAGGATGGATGTGGTTGATGAGGGAGTTGTGTCGTTGCGTTGCAGAGGAAAACAAAAACAAAAGAGAGCGTGAGATTTGTTGTAAAGCGACAGAATTCCCTTTATAGCGTCTACTCATCTACTCCTATACCTGAGCTGTCGTGGCTTCAATTGCTTGGCTTTCCTGCCTCATGTCTACTTCCTGTGTCATGAAAATATAAAGTAGCTCAAAGCGTGAGACTCCACGTCAAGCTGACAACATCGTCTAGCACCTCTAAAAGGCTCAATAGATACGGATGAATCATTCATAGCCAGCTCGACCACACTCCATGCCCAGTAGATAGAAGAGTCTAATCGAGATTGGCGGATATGCGAGGCTGTAGTCGTAGGTGATAGACACAGGCACGCAGGGCAGCTGCAGATAAGACTTGATTCGAATGGGGGACAAGAGTATAGCACTCTTGCCAGCTAAGACTAAACTAAAGGTCACGTGCATGAGCGCTGACGTGGCAGAGAGATAACAGCGGAAGCAAGTGATCAGGGGATGCACTTGAATTCCTAACAGAGTCCAGCCCTTTCAAGTCTCAAGTTCTCAGCGTTGATCCATCTTCCTGGCTAGCCCGACCGCGTGGCTGCTCTAGGTAACATCCAACATCGTGCTGCACAGGCGCCATGCTCCGCATGCGAAGCGCGACAAGACAAATGGAGATATCGGGTTCATTCGGCTTCCTCCGTGTTCATCGGCACAGTGCATTGTTCGATGCACTTCTAGCCTGGCCTATTAGTTATGTTCGAGCTCCGGGGTTCGATGAGATTGGCAGTCCGATACGTGAGATGTCCTCCAATCGGCAAAGACTTCTGCAAGCAGCCTAGGATTCAGGTTCATTGAGCTGCAGCATTGTCCTCTAGAAACTAGTTTTGTTCAGCTCAGGGGGTACACGATGCAATCTCCGAAATTGTGTCTGATGACAGGGCCTACCCCTGAAATTGCGAATATGTCTAGCTTTTTTTTCTGTGACATGAAAGTCATAGGTAGAGGCAGCGATGGAAGTTCGGCGACGCTTTCTGTAAGATAGAGCAAAGCCTCATCAAGCTTTCCAAGTGTGCTGCGCGAACACAGCTGCAGATGAGCAAATCCATCTCCACAAAGCCAGCAGGCATGTCAGCGGCCGCCATGTCACCCGATAGGAGAGTGGCCACGTTGCGTACTACTAGCCGTCAGAAAAACAGTGAAACATTGTGTTGCATGATAGCAACACATTTGCTGCACTCATGCTGCTGACAGCTCTGCCGCAGGTAACATCTAGACTTGTGATCCTTGCAGACCGCGCGCAAGTAACCACGCCAGAGCTATATATGTAAAGCTTGCGGATGCAGCGGACTGCCAGTCGCCTCACACCCAGATAGATACTGGGAAGGTCCATTCAAGTGCTGGGAATTCGAATGTTGTCAACATATGACCATACCTGAGCCCGATCGCCCAGGCGACCCACGAAGGCGCCCAGGCCATCCTGGGCACGGAGACCCTCGACAACCATGAGATTGCCTTTACAAACTTGGTTTTATGCTCCATTGCCAACCAGTCTGAAGCGATCATTTTTTGAGGACAAGAGCCAGCTTGACGAGTGCCCTTCTGTTAGTATTCATAGCTCATTTACGATCTATTCTCCTCTTCTCCTCTTTAGCATGTCTATTGTGTCTGGTGATTTGGTGTGGAAGTTGATTCGGTCATCAACTGCCAAAGTATTTCAACAGCCAACACCGATAGTGATTGACGTGTGCCACAGCATCGCTCACTGCTCAGCCATGACAGAGCCCGTCTTTAAGCTCCTAGGTGCATCACGGAAGCACAGTCGCACCGACTCGCTCTCCGCGGAAGCAGCCAAGAAACTCACACAACTCCAAATACCAACAACGTCCACCTCCGCCGCAGGTCGCGATGCATCGCCTGCGCCAGGCAGTGCAAGACCTGGTGCGAGTCGCGCACATAGTCGAGCGACGTCTGTAGGTGGAACGCCTGAACCCTCAAATGTACGCTTGAGTGCTGCCAGACGTGGGACAACGGCGGCTGGTTCAATTGCTGGTGAGACGGCGACGGCGCGTGGTGAAGAAGAAGCAGAGGAGAGTGACTTGGATGAAGGTGATTTCGGCAATGCAACAGCAGCAGCGGCTGTCAGTCAGCAAGAAGCGATTGCAGAGAAAATGAGGATGCGGATACTACTCGAGAGCTTTGATGAGCAGCAGATGGCGCGCTATGAAGTCTTCCGACGTGTGGGACTCAATAAGAATGCCGTCAAGCGGCTTGCGAACCATGTTCTGAATCAGTCGGTCACGCAGAACGTCGCTGTGGTCATTGCCGGTGCGAGCAAGGTGTTTGTTGGTGAGCTGGTGGAGCGTGCAAGAGCAGTACAGAAGCTACGAGGGGAGACGGGGCCCGTGTCGCCTGATTGTCTACGGGAGGCGTATCGACAGTACAAGCTGACGGGCCTTGTACCGCAGAGCAAACCGCCGAAGCGCCTGTTCCGGTAGGCCGATCCTGTTCGACGACATATCTCTTCCTCTTGTCTTTCAGCGACAGCGTCCATATCATACTTAGCATCCCATCATCCCATCTTGGCCTTTGAAAAGTCCATCTCTGGATGCTCCCGCTGAAACTTGGCCAGCATGTCCTGCTTCTTGAGGTCGTCACTCGATGGCTTGCCCATCTCCTTTTGGCGTTGGTCAAACATCATCTTCTCGACCATGGCGCGTGTATCGCCATCAAGATCCTCCAGCTTGCTGTTCTCCGGCTGGATCTTGGTTGTATCAATCTTGGCATGTCCCTGGATGACACACTCCCACCAGCTCGTGCCATTCAGCTTCTCTAAGTGAATCTGTACCTCGCGCTGGCTATCAATCGTCCATGTCGAGTCGTCCACCTTGACATCTTTGGCAAGACTCCCAGAAAACAAGACTTGTCCCTTGAGCTTGACACTCAGTTTAGAGGGCAAGATTTGGATATCAAGGTCCTTGCCACGCGTGCCTTGCGGAACAGGGACCGTGATGGAGACTTCTTTCAAGGTCTGTGACCAGCTGTATGTGCAGCCGTCAAGCTCGACTGTATGCACTGCACCTTGAGCAATCTCTGACATGGTCTAGCTTCTTCTCACACAGCAGCAGTATCAAGCAGCAGCCGTCCAAGTGCAATATTTTGTAAGTGTCCAGCTGCTGTCGTCGTCGTCGTCGTCGTCCAAATTTGCAGCGACCAAGACGACAAAAAGACAGAAACCATCTGTCCTGTCGCCTGTGTGAAGCAGGCATGGCTAGTCTAGCACTTCAGTCAAGCGCTTCTATATCTCGCAGCATCGTCACTCGTGTCGCATCCATCTGCTTCGACCGGCGGCCAACAGCAAGAGATCCATTGACACAAAGACATGCGAGACCCGCTTCTCTCGCGGCAGCACTCGCCCTCGGCATCTCTACAACGATTCTACACGACCTGTGGGATTCTGTCCTTCGCGCAGTCCCCAAGAAAAAGACGACACATAGCAAGACGCGCATGCGATCAGCTACAAAAGGGCTGAAGGATAAACTCAACATCAACAACTGCTCGGCGTGTGGACAACCTAAACTGGCGAATACATTGTGCGGATCTTGTTATCGGGAGGTACGGCATCGTTGGGCCAAAGAAGCTTCAGGCGCCGCGGGAATAGGGTCGGCGTAGTGCCAGTCAGTCTTGACACGGCAGTGTGAGACACAGTTCACTTGATGTGTGTCGAGAGGAACACAGAGGCGAAAGACAATGATACGCTATGCATGCTGATGGAAGCTTCGTAGCAGCTTCAAAACAAGGTCTATCTGTTAGTCAATTGAAACTGAATAAAGACAATCCTTACGCTCTCATCTCTGAGGAACTCGCCGAGATCAGTCTGATGGAAGGCAACAACGTCTGTCGGCTGCAACTTGCGAGAATCTACCGTTGACCGGGCCGTGACGCCAAAGCCAAGCGGCGCATCATTCATTGAGAAGATCACCACGCCTTGATGTTCAGGTGTATCTTCAGAGATGCGGCCAACGTGCGCCTTGAGAACATGATTGCCATAGAGATATGGCATCTCGCCGTTCGCCTTGACCCAGATTCTATACTTGGCATGTCGTGCGATCACATCCAGCGCCGTGACATGCAATCGAAACTTGCCAGTCTTTGTGAATTTGCCCAATGGTGTGCCCAGTGCCTACTGTCAGTCTTTCAGTTCTTGTTTACACGCATGCAACATACGACCAAGTTCTCCCTTGCGACACTCGTAGCGACCTTCATGATGCGCTCACTGACATAGTAGCATCGATCTTTTTGTATCCGGAAGCAATGTGGATCCTCCGGACGATCAATGAGGTGTGTGATATTGCGTCCAATGTACTGCGCAAGCTTTTCAAACAGCGTCCGTGTCTCTGTCTCTGTCAAAGGCCGCATGGCTGCTTCTTTGGGGTCGAGCGATGTCGCTGCTTGAGAGAGTGCAAGTTTCTTCACAATTTCGCGAGATGGACGGGCAGGCATGTCGCAAAGGTGCCAAAGGGTGGCAATGTCAATGCCCATTGCCGTTTACCATGAGATCTCCTTGCCTGCCCTAGACTCCACAAGGCAATGAATGAAGGCATATCACTACTGGCACTCGACGAAATTGAAATTGAAATTGTAAATATGCTGGTGAACTCTATCTCGCTTCTGGTCTTCGCATCCAACCAATCGTTGAACTCAAAGGTATGGCACAGGTGGTTGTCCATTGGGGTCTGTCCCGCAGGCCAGCTGCTGAGTATAATCATCCTGCATTCCTTCTTCTTCTTCAGCAGCAGCTTCATTCATATCTGGCACGTACCTTAGGCGAGTCAAACGGCATCCAGACCCGTCTGTGCCGTGTGTGCACGAACATTCGTTCTCATCAGGTTGCGGCACGCTGCAGAGAACGTTATGTTTGATCTCAATCTTATGATGGTTGGTGTCAAGTTTCCACTGCCCAGATATGCTTTTGATGAAATTGTGAGGAAGACAGTTATAAGTCAGTGATTTGACTTTCTCTGCATCGGCAGCCTCCAAGATGGGCTTGTAAGGCTCGTAGAACTTTTTCCTTGTCGCAAGATTCGGCAGCGTTGTTGCCGATAGTTGCCTTATTCGAGTCGCGACTAGTTGCGTGTAGCAGGTGCAAATTGTCCGTGCAGCTGGCTCGAGCCCAGCCGAGGAACATTGAGCTGAAGAATGTGGGCCTGCTGGACAAGTGCCGGATTTTGTCGCCTGTTCGGAACTGGTAACTTGGAAAAGCCTGTTTTGAAGGCACAGCTTCCCGAGTACGACACTTTTGTATTGTCCAGATGGATACATGGCAAGGAGAGTGCCCGATCTCCAGTTTTGAATTTCGGTGGAACATTTCGTTTCACAATCTTGCTTGGGCGTTAGGGAAAACACACGCTTGAACGGCACCGATAATCGATAGCAAAATGTACCACTTTTATCCAACGCGATAGCTGCGCCTTGGAATCTAGAAATCCTTTCTATCTCCCCTCCTTCCGGCGCGCCCTGAGCAGCACCACCAGATGCAGTCGCTTGCTCGGTGGCGGGAGATTTCGACTTAGATCCTCCACCTTTTGTCCTCACTGCACTGGCAGCGCCATCGAAGCATGGAGTTGGCAAGAGCAACAAGCAATAGAAGACAATGAATGAAGACCACTGAGCAAATGAATTGATGTGCGACATGAGGAAGCAAGCGATGATCAGGACTTCGATAGCTGTTGGCAATAGTTCAAACGTGTCCTTTGCGACAAAGCAGCAATCGCAATTGCGACAAATGAAGCATCCCGTGGGTGCAAAAAGCTGCGTGTGCAGTGCAATGAGCACAACATCCCGCAATTACAAAGAACTGCATGTGCAGTGCATTGAGCACACTTTGTCGTCACATGACACCCCTGAAAAGGCAATCACTGGCTCTCTCAAACTAAGACGCTTCAATTGCCAAACAGAATGAAACAAAGCACATCCCAGACCATGAAGCCTGCAGGAGAAGGGGCCCTGCTAGATATCTCAATGACTTTAAGTTAATTCAAAAAGAAGTCAGACTCTCAGAACTTGACGTTTTGCCAAGTTCATTCCAACCTTCTCCAACCTTTGGATTTGAGCGGCAATATTCTGAGTCAGCCTCAAGCCGTGCGCATCCTCGTAAGCTGCTGATTACTTAAGTCTCGATATCTTCTGTTATGGACACGCAGACTTGATCTCCTCATTTGGCAGCTCGCTACATTGCCTGCTTGTTCAGCTTTCTCAATCGCAAATTTCACTTCGACCTAACCCGCTCCTCACCACGATGTCGGATGCTCCATATCTATCTCATCTCGCAGCTCTGATCAACTTATGTCGACAACTATGGTCTTATCCCATTTCTTGCCATACGTTCTTCTGACCAAGCCTGGTAAACATAAGAAGAAAGCCTTGTGCTGTTTGTTGCTCAGTTTACAATCTGTCATCAACACCTGGATCACTATCCAAGTCTTGTCTGCAGCACAAGCAATCTCGCCACAGTTCTGCTCATTCATTCTTTACCTGTTGCAGCCTCAACAAAGCTTGCAGAGGAGACCGCAGTAAGTCCCTGCCCTAGTATTTTGCCCAATTCTTGGTTCTGACTGGGCAATCCAGATGCGGTCTTTTGTTCACAACTTTGAATCTTGACGCCAAGTGAAGTGAATAGGCGGACAGCAAGACAAAGGGAGTGATTCTGTTGTGTACAGGTCTTGAGTGGAGACGCAGGCGTAGATGATAAATTGTAAAACAACAATCAAAACAGCAGTAGGATGTCTTCTTGTGTCTACTAGGTCCGAGGAAGAGAGTGTCTTGCGAATAGTAGCCGGAGCACGCAAAAGCTTGAGGAAAAACACAGACAAAGAAGAGGGAAAGCAGAGCGAGGGTTTCAAACCTGGATTGATCAAAGCTGCGAGGCGAGGCCAATCGTTGAGCTTTGAACAGCGTGTGTGCGAGGGAAAGCTGAATAGCTGACAGGTAGATACAAAATACCGGAGTTGGGAGCAACTTTCGAATCAGCAGGCAATGAAGTGAGCTGCCAATCAGGAGCAAGTCCACATGTTCATCACATTGAGGAGCTCTTGTTCAAGCTTGACGACACGGCCGAGGATAATTACCCTACGCTTGCTCACTAGGTCGTCAAAGTGGAGTCATGCATCATCAGACGCACCACTCTTGAAACGCGAACACTTGAAGCGCGATCAATATCCTCTTTTTATCATTCTCAACGATGAGGAGCGGGCTTGACACCATCACTGTTCTGTCAGACCTATTCGGAGATCACATCGTATACTCTCTGAGCCAAAAGTGCCTAGTCACCTAGAGGACAACGCTGCAGCTCACCAAATCTCGACTTCTGGAGTGTTTCCTGAAGTCAGTGCCCATCAAGAGCCACATTCTGAGCCCGACATTGGACCCCGCAGGATCTCGAAGCTCATCTATATGCTGAAGGGGTGCGGGATTAGACGAAAGTCACAAATTCGAGGACTCCCAAAAATAGCCAAGCTTGAGACACTCCCTAGGAGCAATAGAGAATCTGTGGGCCGAGCCATTCAGGACTCTGAACTTCCTGTGCTGCTTCTGCCTTCTGTCTCCGTCTGTTTTCGACCTCTCCAGTGTCTCCACCTCCTGAGCCCCTCCTCTTTCGTCTCATCCGCAAAGCCTTCGGTTTCTTGCCAGTCACTATCTCCCCTGGAAAGCTCCCTTGACCCGTTTGCCCTTCTGGACTCCAGTGCTTCATGTTGCCTTCATCAGCGCAGCAAAGCAGCTTGTGTAAACCGAGGGTGCTTCTCATCCATATCCCTCGACAGCACGATCCAGCTGAGAGGCTCAATGAGTAAAGAAATTGAGTCTGCCTCTGAAAGTCACGCCTCCTCTCTGCATAGCCATCGGTTGTCATCAAGAATACCATCTCTTTGTCGTCGCAGAGCTCTGCGGCTTCGACCTCATACTCGGCACCATGTGACTTACAAAATACAATCCTGTCCTCGTCTGGCTTGCCTCCACCATCCAGTTTCCAGCCTCGTGTAAAGCACACATCGTTCAATCGCCTGATCTGCACAATGACGCTCCTCCAGATGGTGCCAACGTCATACAAATCGACATAATGTTGCTCAAATGTTCGAAATCTCAGCGAAGACTCTCGATCGACATTCTCAGCATCAAGCTCATCGAGATCTACTACGACCTCGAGTAGGATTCTTCAGGCGCGTTTCTTGGCAAATATCAGGTCTATCTTCCTTTTCAATCCAAGGTCAAGGCTTCGAATTCCCCAACCACGCCTCCGACGATCACGAGTTCTTCTACTTCCGATACCGTCGCCTCCAGCGAGCGCACTTCAATCTATGAGTGTACAGAAGTCGCAAGTCCTCAAGGAATACTTCAATGAACCATTGAAGCTCGCAGAATCCTTTGTCTCCAAGAGTCCAGTTAGCGCAACTGCCTTTTTTGTCGGGAAGAACAAGGAAGAATCCCTACACTTGTTCATCGACTATCGCAGCCTCAACGCCATTCTAATCAAAAATCGAGGTCCTCCTCCCTTCGTCATGTCAGATTCAACCACAACATCATTGATCGGCCTGGTGCTCAAAAAGGCAGACCTGATACACTCAGCCATCGCGAGGACCTTGTCAACTCCAAGGCATATCACTATTTTGTTGTCGAGTCCCAGGTTCCGGGACACTGTCTTTCGCGCTCGCATCATTGCAGCGTATCTCTCGGACGCGCTGATCCTAGACGTTTGTAACGACTTGGCATCTGTCAGTCCTTGCCAACGCTCTCAACGCTCTTGAGTAGTGTCCCTCGGCGTCAACCCGTCCTCTTTGTCTTTCGACTTCAAGCCGTTCGCCCTGATCAGCTCCTGGAACGTCAGATAATGCTGCTGAACAAACTTATTCTTTTGACAACGGTCTTCACTTTTACAAAAATGGTGTGAAAAGCACTTCAGACGCTGCTCTCAAACTAACTCTCTTCCAGCTGCACCACCATTTGCCTATGCTGGTCCTTGAAGTGTTGCCAAAATCTCCAACCTTCTCCCTCGAAGGTACTATTGGCCGTCGATGCGCGCTCATGTTGAGGTTTACATTGCGACTTGCGACACATGTGCTCTTACTAAAGCATCTAGCTAAAAGTCTTATGGCTTCTCGCAATCTTTGCCTATTCTAGAGACTCCTTGGTCTTCTATCTCGCTATTGCATCGTCCAGCTATCGCTTTCCAAATTTCTCGACTACAACCTCTTCGTCGTCGATCGCCTCACCAAGGCTCATAACCTGATTGACGGTAAGCGGATGACAGCTAACTGATTGCGATGTTTGCGTGATCGGGTCTAGCTCTTTCCATTTCTTATCATGAGGCAACCGACGGAGCAGGCTTCGCAGCGGTGTTCAAGGGAAGGACCTTCACCTACTATGGTAATCCACTCGATACTGTCTGTGACCGCAGCTCAGCCGTTGTCTGCTTGTTCTGAAAAGCATTTCTTGGCCACTTCGACCCCATTGTCAAAGCACGACCCTGTTGTCAAAGCGCAAATGTCTACCACCTATCACCCTTGAGTGGTTGGTCAAGCAGGGCGATCAAATGCAACTTTAGAGCAATGCTTCCGTCGTTCCACTAAAGCCGAGCAGGATACTTGGGTCTTGGGTCAAGCTCTTGCCCACAGCCGAATTTGCATACAACTCAATTTATGCGCTCATCAAGACAACGGCTTTCTTTGTCGACTGCTCTTCGCTAATATCAGTCATCGCAGTACTACTAGCTACGACATGGTTAAAGGCCAAAAGCCTAACCAAGCTTGTTTGACACGGATTCAAGGCTCATCTCAAGGATTTCCGAGCCTTTCGCCTTTCAGAAGATCTTCGCTGATCGTTATCGTCCTGAAGCTTCACTTTCGCCAAGTCAATGCCTCTACTCCCATCTACGTCCCATTGCCTGAACATAAAGGTGTACTTCCAGACGCAGCGCCTCGATGAGAAGAATCCGTAATGATCACGCAGTTCTGGACCACGCACACGGCAGCTTTTCTCGAATTGCTCTGGCGACCCACAACACTGACTTCCGTTCTTCTACCTTCCGCCTCTCAACAATTTCTGTCACGTTGCATTTCATCGAGCATTACCTGTCTCGCTTGCGCCAACACTCATCACGTTTTGTTCTCGTGCTCTTACTCGTTGACAACATTCACCATGCTGTCTCCTGCTGCATTTTTTTCACTATCTCACAAACCTGTTCTCTCTATGTCGGCTCCTGCTCTTCTGTTTCCCTTCACTGACAGTTCCCTCGCTCAAGCTAAATAAAGTTGGAAAAAGAGCCTTCGGCTGCCTTGTCTATCATCAACACCTACATCTGTTCAAATCCGGACTTTATTACAAGCGCCTTCCCTTTCTAGCTGTTCCTTTCTTCCAATATCTATGTTCGAGCTGATGATGGATTGCATTTTGTCATGAAAAGCAATCTGGAATATGAATTGGAGTTATAAATGCGTATGAATAAATTAGAGACTCGCGCGGCTAGTCAACATCTGGTCAAAGAGCTCATGACATGGCGACAAAGTCGAAACTACACGTATCCACAATTGCGTTTGCCATCGGGTGTGTCGTAGCAGAAGGGATATTGAGCTAGGTCAAGCGCTTGCTGACCAGGTGCGGGCCAGGATGAGTCATCGTCGCCATCCATGCACTGGGCCTGATGCGATTCTCCGCGTATTTGGTCTGAGGGTCGTTTTCGGAGCCACCCATATGCCAGTGGAAATGGGCTACATTGTCAAAGTGGGCGGGATGACCAGGACCAGCTGAATACTGTTGCATGGGCTCGAATCCCTGTTGATCGTTCAGGTCGTTCCGAGCACTAACAGCGGTGTGTAATGACGTATCAAGTCGTGAGTTGTTTGCTTCAGCTTCTCGGATTCCATCGAAGTGGTCTGCCATACCCTGGTAGCTTTGATTATCTTCACTGGCAGCTTATTGAGATCAAACGGGTGATTCCGGTCTGCGTTACGACAAGAATCCTGACTGTATTGATCGGCATGAGGTGCGTCCTGCTTCTCCGCACTGACTTTGCACCATCTGTCACCGCTCGTAGGCACGTCCTTCAGGCACGAGCAATCTTTCTCACCAGCGACTTCTGTGCAAGGGTGGTCCCTCAATATCGTAAACTGAGCATTTTTATTTCTGTCTCGCTGCCAAGGTGGATTGCCTTGATCGAGAAGCTTCGGAATCAAAAAAACTGGGAGACAATTGTAGAAGTTCCATATATTGTTGATTCCTTTGTGAAATTGGTCAGGGTCACCGAGAGCCACCTCTCGACTCACACCATACCTTGCCAAATCGTCCAGTCTATTCTCCGGTGGCTGCTTTATTCGTCAAAATGTCGCTTGTGCAGAACATGAGCAAATCAGCTTGGTGCAGCGCCACGATTGACAGGTGTCGGGATTAGTGCCCGTGCCAGGTGGGATCTTGGCAGAAAAACTCCTGCCATCAACACATGGAGGCGCTCTAACGCAACCTCCTGACGATGTTTTAATGTGACCTGAGATGCAACGCCGGTAAAGGTTCGAGCATTGATTGTCGCAATCCTTCCGCGTGGTAAAAGGCTGTTTGATTGTCTTCATGATTGAAATTTGCATTTGATAGCATTTTGGGAGCTCGTTGTCGGGAACACGCTGCTTGCGCTCCTTTCTCTTCTTGCTAACCTTCACCCAGATCTCTTTCGCCTAGAGCTGGCTTCACCCCACTTTTGCTGTCTTTTGGCCTTCCTGTAGCGACCCAGACCAGGCTTAGGCGTGAATGATGACAGTAAGGGGAAGAGCAATACGAAGACTAACAACAGGCCTGGTTTGAAGCGGCCGCCTGAGTTGAAGCGCAATATACTGTAGCGCGAATGGATGTAATGGTGCAAATGTTGCAAGGCAGTGCAAGTGAAGAGCAATTTTTTGCATAGTGTTCTTTTCAGGAGAGAAAAACAAGTCAACACGGCAGCTTCAAGCTTGCAATTGTCATGCACGATGGGCGCATATAGGCATGTGATGCGGCGTGAGCTCATTTTATAGGCCCTGAAAATTGATGTCATTGGTCCATTTATCAGCTGCAGACAGCGATAGTAGCCGCAAATGTGCGTATATGCTAGTTCGTGGGAAGGGGCACGTTGTTCATGCTCCTTGAGAAGTGACTCCCTTTCAGAGTGCGAGGATTCCCGAATGCATTGGTAGAAAGAATTCGGTTGACAGCCAGAGGCAAAGGGTCTACAAGCTGTAACTGCAGACACCTTGAAGCTCGACGATATGGCCGAGGGTGACTCCGTACGCTTGCTCAGCTTGTCGTTTAAGTAGAATTCCGCGTCATCAGACGCATCACTCCTGACTTGTGACAATATTGTTTCTTCATCAAGCTCATTGACGAGGTGCGGGTTCGATACTGGCCCTGCTCGACCCCTGGCTCCGCTCCGCTCAGCTGCAGAAGCGTGCGTCGAGATCAACGCCTGTGGCCCTGTGTGACGAGCTCTGCCCGTACTGTAGTGACAGTCACAGATCTAACTTCTTGCCAGTCACCATCTCCCATAATGAAGACTCTCTGAACTGGTTTGCCCGTCTGAACACCGGTGCTTTGAGTAGCTTCATAAGCGCAATTGTGATCCTCGACAGCGTGATCTGGTTAAAAGGCTATTCGGGTAAAGAAGTCGTGTCAGCCTCTCAAGACACGGCTCCTCCCTGCATGACCATCGGCGCGGTAGCCACCAAAAGAATCATATGCATCCCTTCATCGTCGCTGAGCTCTCTGGCTTCGACCTCATGATCAGCATCGTTTGGCTCGCCAAATACAGTCCTAGTATCGTCTGGCCTGCCTCCGTGATCCAGTTCCCGGCCTCGTACAAGGAGCACATAAGTCACTTGCCTGTTGAGCACAAAGCCGCTCCTCTAGACTCTGCCAACGTCATTTCGCGCATTTGTTTCGTTCACTTCACGAAGTCTCTCGATCGATGTTCTCAGCATCTAGCTCATCGACACCTGCTACAACGTCGTGCCAGTTTGTAACGAACACGCAGCCTGAACCTTCGCATCCGACTACTCCACACCACATGCTCTGGCAGCTCATCACGGCTCTATCACATCCCGCTCTTCAACTGCGCTTACTACCTTAGCACGTTGTCTATAACCACGCGCTCAGCTGAAAGGTCAAATTACACTGCTGAACAACCTTGTAATCTTGACAACGGTCTTCTGTGTTACAAAAATCGTGTGTACAGCCCTTCAAACGCTGCTCTCAAGCTAGCTTTCCTCCATTAACACCATACTCGCCTATCTCCGGTGATCGGTGTCCAGCCAAGACCTTCAACCGTCTCAACCTTTTCCCTCGAGCAATACTACCGGCCGTCGATGCGCGTTTATATCCGGGAATACATTGCGACCTGCGACACATGTGCTCGCACCAAAGTATCGCACCATAGGCATCATCGCTTCTTGCAAGCTCTGCCTATTCCAGAAAGCCGGCGGTCTTCTATCTCGCTGGAGTTCACTGTCAAGCTATAAGCCTCTGAATCTTGTGACTCCAACCTCGTTGTCGTTGGTCGCCTCACCAAAATGGCACATTTCATTCATTAGGCTCCGCAGCGGTGCTTATGGATAGAAATTACACTTACCAGCCCTACGGAAAATTTACCGGAGTGTACCAGAGCCAACCGGCGGATTACCGTGAGAAATTTTCCAAGCACGGCGGATTACCGGAGCCAACCGACTTCCAAACTTGCACACCGGAGGAAAACCAGCGGATATGGAGAGGCGGATCACTGAGCTACGCTAAAAGGCAGACAACACACAAGTCAATCACTGTTATCAAGTGAACAGAGGCCAACATCCGCTCATAATCAAATCTAGAAGCTATCTATACTGGATTCGATAGCCCTCAGCTATCCATAAAGAGTGCTTCTGCTCTCGTAAGCGTCGTTTTCGCTTAAGCAGCTTGCCCGCTCTTTTCTTGTCAAGCTCTGTTCTCCCAAATAGGCCAATTGGTCCAAGAAGACGGCAAAATGGCACAATGACCTGCAATATATGTCCTTGCTTGCTGAGAGACTTTGCGCCGCACGACAATCTGGTCTTCAAGACCTTGATGATCGCAAAATGCCTGCTATCGTGTTCAAACAGATAGAGAACTTCCCCATAGCTCACTATGGCATTGTCGTCAACCTCAGGGGCTTCATGCGTCGGCTCACTGAACGCGACCTTGCTTCGTGAACGGAAGTCTTTCGAACTGCTTGTTGCAGCACACTTGACGATGAAGGTCTTAGTGGTGCCCTGACGACTAGCCACTTCGCATCGTTCCCACATTTTGACTGAGTAGTCCGGACCAAGTGGTCGGGAACGTTGAGCAATGCCATTGTTGGTGTACCAATTTGCAAGCAGAGCCGTCTGTTGGCTATTTAGTGAACGCACCTTGGGTTGCCCTTTAATAATGACAGGGGGAACACTTGAAGAGATCTGAGCGGCGTCGTTGCCAAGTGCCTTTCCATTGTCCAGCAAGAGCACATACCTGAAAAGTTCCTGTTTTTCTAGGCAGTTTTGCAAGGTTACGAACGGTTTGCTTTTTGACGTGACCATGGCGTCCAGCGTGCCGATGAAGCGTCCAGTTGCAAATTGCCAGAAGACAAAAGTAGGTCCTGGCGAGCGTATATAGTGGGCCACGTGAAGAAGAGAATGCAGCTGCGAGGTGCACACGCTCAGAGATGTGCTGACATCCGAGAGGTACTCTACCTCGACATGCTCCACATATTGGCGAAAGAGCTCTTCAATTTCATCAATCTGCGACTGTTGGAGCCGAACTTTGAGAGACCGGCGCACAGCTTCAACAAAAACAAGCCAGCCATCAAGAAGAAATTGTGGTAGTCTGCCGTTCAGGAGAATGGGACTCCATATCAGAATGAAATCATACCATTGGGATGCTTTGAAACTCCGAAAGTGGGCAGAAATATCTCGCGGCTTGCGAGCAACCGCCACAGGCACTGAAGAGCCTGCATTGGCCATCTCTCTGCCGATCTGCTCAGCGTCTGACCTTGACAACAGTTCTGATTTCAACCAAAGAGACCACATGTGTCTGGCTTGATTGGAGAAAAGATGCATCACATCCAAGCCAAAGGAGTCAGAGAAATGTACTGTTGGTAAAGCGAGAAAAACAGATCTGCCCTTGATACCATGGTCCTTCTCAGTCTGATCATCGCGTGCGGAGTTGACAAGATCAATTTCCTTGCGTACATCGCGCCTCAATGCAATTTGGCGTGAGTGGTCGATAGTTGCGAATCGTGCTTTGACAAATTGGCGCTCTTTGAGGGGAAAGTACATGTGTCTACTCGCAGCCGTCTGATCCGCTTGAATTCGGCAAAGACGGCAGGGACTTCGCCCATTCGCGCCTTTGAATTGCATCATCTTGGCAATAGCTGGCATATCCCCAGTCACGATGGTAAGATGGGCCTTGAGAGTAAATGATTCCTCACGAAAACCATCCCAAGCCTCGACGCCATTTGACAAACATTGCAGCTCCTGAATCATGGGGTACCAAAACGAATGCATGTCGCGGGGTTCTTTTGGTCCAGGGATAAGAAACACAATCATAGGCTTTTGGAACCTGGTATTGGGCGGGTAATTGTTGTTGGTCACAACACCAGGCCAGATCGAATAATCTCTTTGCTTGGTCAAGTTTACGCCATCTGTGCTGAATGAAAGAGCCAGCTCTCGAGGGTCCCCAAAGTAGCCTGTCTTTCGCAAACGTTTAAAGTGCTTGGAGGACCAAAAGTCAAAAACTTGTCCACTATTTTGCCCGCCGGTAGCTTCAGCAGTATACTCTTGCATCTCTCGACTGCTGACCGAGCAAGCCATTTCAAGCAGTAGCCGATTTGTGAGAGGAAAGTAGAAGTAAGTTGCTACCGGTACCTGGACAGAATCGCCGTCAGCATTGACTTCCAACCGCCAAATTGACGCTGAACAACAAGGGCACAAGCCGTCTGCTGGAGTTCCAGTTTGCTGCGGAAAAGCCATGCAGTCATTGACACAGCAAGGCAACTTTTGTGGAGCGAGATGGACCAATTTGCGGAGCGCTTTGATCGTCCGGTACGGGCTCCAAACGAGCGACTCGCCAAGTACCTTTTGGTACTTCTGGTGATCATGCGAGATGTATGGCTTTCCTCGACTCAATACTGAAAGAGTGTAGCGCTAGTGGATCTTTGGAGTCGTTGACTTTGGCGTTTTGCTCCTTTCCTGCCTGCCTTGCCACTTCAGGACGAGATGGGATGACCAGCACACGCATCTGCCCTGCACCGTCTTGCTGCTTGTAGACAACACCTCACTGTCCTTGAGTTGACACACGCGCGAGCCTGTAGGATCTCAGACTGCTCCATCACTCTATCAAGACATGTCCTCCTCTACTCGCGTGAGCAGTGCACGCCACAAACTCGATACCTACGACTGACCTAGATAGGAAGAGGAGTCTCCCTCAGACAGTCTGGACGACTACAACATGCTCGCAGGATCAATTGAGCGAATCGCTATACCATTAAGATCCAAGCGCACGTCGCATGGTGTCTCTAGAACCGAAAGTCCCTCTACAAAGACACTACGACTCGCCATGGGACTCTGGCCACGAACGCCATTACGCGATGCCACATGGAACACCATCACGGCACACACACGGTACCTGATGAATACCCACCAGATCGTAGTCGATGCGCAAGGTAAGACGGTCACCTGGCGCCACCGCAACGTCGGGAAGCTTCAGACAGTCATCCACAAGTTGGAAAAGGCCTTCCCTGTCCTGGAACGAGCTCATGGACACTGGATTGCCTTGACCATCTGTCAGCACCACGCGAAGGTGGTGAATGAAGCGGTGAGAGTGTCCCTGTACCTTGCAAGCTCTTGACTGACGCACCCACAGACGCGCAAAGCGAAAGTCTACAGAGGGAAGACTACTGCTGCTGCTTCTTCCCAAGACGATGACCTCAGCAACGCGCACGACGTTGTCCATGGAGCGTCATCTGCTCGCGTCGATGACGAGAACACTCGCTGCGAGACACCCGCTTCCGTCCTCTCTGAAGACGATGATATTGACGAGGCTGCATCGAGAGTTGTGGGTTTCTCCTTTTGCCTGATGTACCTCACTAACATATACAGTTGCAGCCAACTTCGTCTCAGCACAATGTGGGCCTATCATGCGGAGAAAACATTGGCTAACAAGATGTAGCGTCAAGCAAACAAGAATGCGCATGTTCCCAAGGCAAGTCCGTCCCATCTTTGATGTTATAAGACTGACCAGTGGCCAGAAGTCAAGCAAAGATCGATCCACCTCCTCGTCTCGCAAGGTATGCACTTCTGCTATTCCTACCATGACATACTACCGATGCATTTCTAGTCTGGAAGAACATCAAAGCTATCACGCAGAGCACAGGACGCTGAGCAAGGCAGCACTACTATGACCAAGGCCAAGACTGCAGCATCACAAGCAAAAAAGGCGCGCAAGTCTGCCAAGAAGGCCAAGAAAGCGGCAGCACGTCTGTAGTGTGTCGTAGATGGTCTAGTTGCTACACCTACTGTCGCTACAGCATCTATTGAGCTCACCCGCTGGCAGGTGGTATCCTCTGGTAATCTTCCGGTTGACTCTGGTAAAGGCGTGCTTATTTCCGCCGGTAGTCTGCCGGTAGTCTGCTGGTAGTCTGCTGGTAATGCTGCGCCTGCGAGGTTAGGGATTTTCCGCCGGTATTCCGCTGGTATTCTTCTGGTAATTTCCGCCGGTAATCTGCCGGTCCAAATTTTCCGTAGGGCAGGGCATGCCATTTGAAACTGTCTCTGATCGTCACTCAGTCTTTGACTGCTTGCTCTGGAAGGCATTCCTTGGGCATATCGATTTTGTTGTCGAAGCACATCGGTCTAACGCCTATTTCAGAAAGATGCAGAGCGAGCAAATACCATTCCAGCACGACAAATACAGTGCTTCCTAACGTCTATCAAGACGACTGGGTCAAGCTCTTGTCCAGAGCCGAATATGTCTACGACTCGGTTCATGTGCCCGCCAACACATCACCTGTCTTTGCCGCAATCCTTCGCCAATGCCATTTCTCGCAGTGCTATGAGATCCAACATGGTTCATTGTCTAAGCCTGTTCGACAAGGATTCGAGGCCCATCTCAAAAATGCTTTAGCCCTTCAAGAGATCTGATCGTTCCCATCTTGAAGCGCTACCTTCGCCACTCCGAGGCTCCTGTTCCATTCTACATCCAACTGCCTACCCTCGGAGATGCTTTTTGAGACGCAGCGCCTTGATAAGAAGGCTTTATCATGAACACGCAGTCTTGAACCCCCCTCACGGCGTTTCTTCACCAGTTGCTCTGATAACCCTCCACACTGGCTTCTGCTCTTCTACTTTCCGCCTCTCAGCAATCTTTCCTACGTTGTGCTCACTCGTGCTCTTACCCGTCTCGCTTCCGACAACATTTAACACGTTATCATATCTTCCGCTCTCACTCGTTGACAACATTCACCAAGTGGTTTCCAGCTACGTTTCTCCTTATGTCGCAGACCTGACATCTCCACGTCGGCTCCTGTTCTCTTGTTTCCCTTCATTGACAGTTCTCTCGCTCAAGCTTGATAGAAATGTAAAGGGGGCCTTCTGCTGTCTTGTTCCTCAGTTGATAACTTTAGCGATAAAAACATGCCTCTGTTCAAGCCCTGTCTTCATTACAAGCTCCCTTTCTCCCCGATTCCTCCATTCCTTACAATATCTACGTTCGAGCTGATGATTGATTTGAACTCGTCAGTTAAAAAAAACTGAAATTTGACTTGGAGTATAAGATGCGTATGAATGGAATAGGAACTTGGACACCTGGTCAGCATTTGGTTAATGAGTTCGTGATTCGTCGACCAAGGCTTAGCTACCTGAATCCACAGTTCCGCCCACCATCGGGTGTGCGGTAGCAAGCGGGATATCCTTGCGGCCAACTCGGGTCAGCAAACGGTTCAAGATAGGGCAGCTGGTTCTCCGGGTCATTGGTCTGAGGGTCATTTCCGTAGCCACTCGAGGGTTGCCCTGGCGCAAAGTTGTACTGGCCCTGATGCAAGTATCCAGGGTAAGTGCTCTGAGGGTCGTTTCCGTAAACACCCATTTGCGAAGAGAAGTGGACTGCAGGTGCATATGGATAGGGGTCATGGCCAATTTGAGGCACATACTGTTCCATGGGCTCGAAATCCCTGCGGGTATACGGGTATCCCTGTTGATCGTTCGGGGCATTCCAAGACTGAAACGTGCTGCGTAACGACGTATCACGTTGTTGGTCGTATGCTCCAGCTTCTCGGATTGCGTCGAAGTGGTACGCCATACCCTGGTAGCTTTGATCATCTTCAAGTGGCGGCTGGTTCAGATCAAACGGAAGAATCCGGTTTGTGTCGCGGCCTGGCTCATGGCTGGACTGACCAGCATCATGTGCGCCCTGCCTGTCCTGTCTGGCACGGCAATCTTCACCGAGCCCTCGCGCCTGGCCGCACCCACAACTTACCTCCTCTGATGTTGGATCGCAAGAGAGATTCCACTCTGCCGTATACTCGGGTATTGGTAATCTGTGCCAAGAATCTGCGGGCACACCAGATCTGAGGATCGTCCACAACAGAAACTTTGGGATGCACTTGAATCGATCCCCGATGTTCTCGATGGGCTGAACATCATCCCAATGAAGCATAGGGTCACCGAACATGGCGTGCTTCGGGATTGACGCATAGTCTCCGAAATCCAATGGTTGCCGTATTCGCCAAAACATCGCTTGTACAATACATGTGCAAGGCAGTTTGCAGCCAGGCGATTGACATGCGCTTTTGCTCACGTCATACATAAGGTCGGTATTTGTCAAGTCGGTTGAAACGCTCCAGCCATTGACACATGGGAGTCCTAGCACACACGGCATGTGCTCTTTCTTCCCGAAACTCTCGCGCCATTTGTGAATGAAGGTTTGGCAGATCTCATGGCATTCGTCTGAGCCAGAAGTCTGCTCCTCCATTGTCTTAATGATTGCAATCTTCATTCTGTAGCATTTCTTGGGCCCCTTCTTGGAAGCAACCGCCTTGTCCTTTTTGGTATCCTGGCTACCACTTAACCAAGGATCTTCGCCTGTCGCTACTTTCGGCTTATTTTTACTGCCCTTTGGCCTTCCTGCGGCGACCAGACCAGAGTTGAGCGTGAATGATGAGAGCAAGGAAAAGAGCAATACGAAGACCAACAACAGGCCTGGTTTGAAGCGGCCGCCTGAGTTGAAGCGCAACATGCTGTAGCGCGAATGGTTGTATTGGTGCAGCTATTGCAAGGCAGCGCAAGTGATGAGCAAATTTTGGCAAGCCGTTCTTTTCAGGAGAGAAAAACAAAGTCAACACGGCAGCTTCAAGCTTGCAAATGTCATGCACGATGGGCGCATATAGGGATGTGATGCGGCGTGACCTCATTTCATACGCTCTAAAAGTCGATGTCATTGGTCCATTTCCCAGCTACAGTCCGCAATAGTAGCCGCAAATGTGCGTATATGCTACTTCGGGGGGAAAGGCACGTTGTTCATGCTCCTTGAGAGATGGCCCCCCTTCAGAAAGCCTGCGTCGAGTGAGGCTTTCCTTTGCTGTTGATTCGTGGCGACTAGGACATCATGAGCGTACTGACGGTTATTGTCAATATTTGTATATCAGCAACTACGCTTGCAGTAGAGTAATCGTTGACTCACCTTTTCGCTCTTTCTGACTGTCTTTCGACCTTTCCCCCGTGCTGACTCTCCGCCAATCAGATTGCTCTATTTTTCCTTATCTCTGTTCCGATTCTGCCCAGTGGCGGTCAGTACAAGAAAGCACTCGGCGGCCTGGATACACACACACACACGACCAAGGCTACGTATTCAGCAATCACAGCACTATGCTTGCGCGCGAATCTACCTCATCCAGCAACAGCAGCGTCTATGGTTTTGACGCCGATTTCGAGGTTTGCGAAGGGGAGATGCTCGACTATGATGAATCGCAAGATACCGAGCCTGTAGCCATCGATTTTGGTAATCCATTTACCTGTACGAGTCCACTGGAGACGCTGTTTGAAGCGCGCAGTGTACAGGCGAGTCCGTTTGCCGTACAAGGTGCTTTTGATACTCCCGGCAAGGGGAAGGGGAAAGCTGTCTCTGGATTGACGGCACAGGCGAGTGCAGCAACAGCAGCAGCTACGGCGACAGTATCCTATGCAGACCGTGATCAATATCACCCAGAGTCCGCGCGGCAGGAGATTGTCGAGCAAATCATGACACGGGGCGCTGGTTTGAGTGGACAGATTGCGGCGAAAACACTACAGCATTCATCAGAGCAGTGGAGCAACTATGCGGATGTCTGCAGGAGTGTTGCCGAAGTGCTCAGAGTGCAAGGATTCCCGAATGCACTGGTGGAGAGTGTGCGGTATGGCAGCGAGAGGCAGATTGTCTACGAGCTGTGATTGCAGGCCTCCCTGCTGCTACCGAGATGACGACTGATGATGATGCCTGGACTTACTTCTGGCAATGACTTATATACATAGTGCTATTGCGTTCTTCCTACGACTTGACACTTGACCAACTTGATCCTGTCTGGTTGCTCTTGACGACGACACAACACACAGTCGCTACATCCTAAATACTCCTTCTGCAGAGGCCATGGCTCCGGCCCGTGTCTCAAAGTGCAGCATCTACCGACCCATCCTCATAGGCAACACGGCCGAACCCCTCGGCGACCGTCGTAATCCAGCCTCCGACCATACCCATACCTGGACCATCGCCGTCAAGGGCCTCAACAACGCTGACCTCTCACCATTCATCAAGAAGGTCATTTTCAAGCTACACGATACCTACCCGAATGCAGCACGGTCGATTGAAGCGCCGCCGTTTGAAGTGACAGAGACAGGATGGGGTGAATTTGATATTCAGGTGAAAATCTTCTTTGTGCAGGAAGCGTCAGAGAAGCCAGTGACGCTGTATCATCGCTTGAAACTGCATCCCTATGGACCTGAGGTTGAACGGCTCAAAGCAGCAGATCAACCGATTCCACAGGGGATGTTGCATGTCTCTAGTTGGCAGTATGATGAAGTGGTGTTCAATGAACCAACGGAGCAGCTGTATGACATCCTCACACGCACAACGGGGCCTGGTGCTGGCGGCGGCGGTGCTCTCTTGCCGCTTGAAAAGTCCAAGGATAATGTCTTTTGCCAGCGCAGTGAACAAGAGGAACTCGATCGACTCGAGAGTGCCATCAGTAAAGTGGATGCACAGACACGTCTATACAGAGACAAGATCCTGGCCATGGAGAAGAAGTGAGATAGTTGATTGATGTATACATGCATGCATAGCGATGGCGTTCAAATAATGTAGAAAAACTCACTCATCCTCGTCTCTTTTCACTCTCGAGACGCTGATACAGCATGTACAGCGCCAGCTGATTCTGCTCTGCTGTTCCTTCAATCGTAATCAACCGTTCTGTGACACGCGCAGGGTCTGGTTCATTGACCTTGACATGTGATCCTGACAAGTTGCGGATCTCATTGATCTTAGACCCTTGCTTGCCAATAATGGCACCCACCATGTCATTGGGGATGTAGATCTGCTGTGTTACTTTTTCCTTTGACTTGGAAACACCTTTGCTCGTTGCTGTCGCTGACGCCGTGCCTGCTTGTGCGTCTGCTTGCGGTGGTGCAGCAAAGGTACTTGGTGGAATTCCATAAGGATTACTGGGCGTCATCATGGTATCGTTTGGCTCGATCCGTCGAAAAGACTCTGGATGTCCATAGATCCCACCGAGCGTGACTGGTTGATACGCTACCGTCATGGCAACATGAGAAGAAGCAAGACCCACCTGCATCGTCTCTGTGATTTGTTGAATCGCAAGACGAATAGCTTCTGCTGGACCACGCACCACCACGCACCGTTCAGAGGAGAGCGGCAGGTTGAATTCAGATGCTTGGATGTGTGCGCCCGTCGCAGACATGATTTCACGAATCCGTGCACCTTGCTTCCCAATAATGGCACCAAGATGCGCATGTGGGATAACAAGCCGTAGCGTGAATGGCTTGACAGTTTGATCAACAGGATTGACTTCGTCCTTGATGGATGTCGCTTGTGCTTCAGGACAAGCGGCAGCAGCTGCGTTTGCCTCTGCTTTCGCTTGTTCTGCTGCTGCAAGTGCTGCTTCAGCTTCAGCTTCTGCTTTCGCTTCTGCTGCTTTCGTCGCTGCAGACTTGCGACCTCCTTTCTTCTTTGGTGCAGGCTTAGCAGGTGCCTGCGATACTGCCTCTTCTACAGCGGGTTGCGTCTCTTCTGTCGCAGCAGTGGCAGGCTGGGCAGCAGGCGCTGTGGGTGAACTAGCAAGCGCTGGCTGCAACACCTCTACCAGCTGACGATAGGCATCCGCAATGACGCCAGGCGTTCCCGATACTGATACAACGCGCTCAATAGTCCCCTTGACGTGTTCAGACACCGATACACGCGCTGTTGTGCTTGTTCGAATGGCTGCAATGGTACCTCCTTCCTTCCCAATAAGACTGGCTGCTTCACGGTTTGAAATGAGGGCTTTGAGGGTGAGTGGAGGGCTTTGATCGGGTGAGTCCCGTTTTTGCCTGCGCGATGTGGACGCGTCTTGTGGGTCTTCTTCTGCGGGTCTTTTGGACATTTTGGGGGAATGGGTGCGTTGTGAGGGGGATGGACGTGGATGTGATGGTAGGACGGGGACTGGCTCCGACTGTGTAGTAGAGAGAGTAGAGAGAAGAGAGAGAGAGTAGAGAGAGTAGGGAGCGTGCTGTTGTTTGTTCCAGCGACACCACAAGCTACAACCAAGTACCACAACTAAGTATATACTGTCACTGTCAGTCTGTCACTGGCTCGCAGCTAGCCAGCATGGACAGGACAGACACCTTTCGTCAGTTTGCTGCTCTTCACGGCCGCAATACAGAGACACCAAAGCTCAAGCCAGACAGAGTACCCGATGCTTTCATCCGTGAAGCACAACGTCTCGTATGTCCCTTTCTACCGCTCTGCTACGAGCATACTGACTCTATGACCAGCTCGAATCGATGCGCGAGATTCAACACTACCTGACACGCATACGTCGTGCCTACCTGAGTGTATCAGACGACAAAGGCCATCACAAACCCTCACTCGCCTCCCTCTCCTCCGTCGCTTCATCCTCCACAGGCGAGATTCATCATCTCACAGACAAGCAGCGTGATGAAATTGATTATGAAGTCAAAACAAGTCTACGCGATGCTCTCAGTCGCGTTCAAGCGCTTGAGTCCGTTGAATCGAAACGTCGTGCACAACTGGAAGGTACCTCGCGTTTTGCAAGATGGTTGCGGGATCCAGATGTCGATGCACAGGCTGCTCAACTCGGTGCGCATCATGTCTCTATGACGTGGTATCTCAATCACTTCCTGGTAGGTCTCTCCAATCAGCATGCAGAGCAACGGACCATTCGCTTTGAACGGGAGGAAGAGAAGCGACGACTGGCAATGCCGTCTTCGAAGCGCTTTCAAGCGCCTGCGTACGGGTATACCCTTGATCCAGCAGAGCAAGCGGTCTCTGAGCAAGAAACAGAAGCTGCCTTACTAGAAACACTCTTGAGTCCTGCACAGCTACAGCAGTTTGAGGGAGAAAACACCAAGATGATGCAGGAGTTTGAGAATAGCTTACAGCAGATTCGCACAACGCAGGCGAAACTTGCAGAGATTGCGGAACTCTCGACAGAGTTGCAGCGACACTTGGAACAGCAAACAGATATGACGGATCGGCTGATGGAAGATGCGACATTCACGTCAATGACGGTGCGTCAGGGCAATGAACAGCTTGGCAAAGCAAGAAAACGAAATGCATGGTATACCAAGTTTGTGGTGACAATCTTGCTTGTCCTTAGCTTTGTCTTGCTCTTCTTGGACTATTATGCTTCATAATTCTGCTGCATCTTTGGCTAGTTGAGGTAGACGAGGCCAGCATTGAGGTATGTAGCAAATGAGACCCATGCCAAATTTGCCCATCCAACAAGACCGGCACGATCGTCCGCTTGCTGCCAATGACCCTGCAACGTCAACAACGTTCCCCACAAGGCCACGATATCCGCTAGAGCAAGCGAACGTTGCGCATATCCAAAGAACATGGGCATCCAAGCGAAATTCAACACAAGCGAGAGGGTATACAGTCCGCGTGCTTTGGAGTCATGGCGGGCCAGGTAAGAAGCGATGCCCATGCCTGCATACAAGGTCGTCCAGACAGGACCAAATAGCCATGCTGGGGGTTTGAGAGGTGGTTGACGGAGTGTGCCATATTGGTTCTTGGTCTCGGCTGCAGTGAAGAAGCCAATGGCACTACCAACAGCGATGGGGAAGCAGGTTGCCACGTAGGGGTTTTGGAAGAAGATGCTTGGAAGCTGGAAGGAATCGAGGAAGGACATGACGCGTTTGAGTGTAGGTGTTGCGTGTGTGATGAGTTGTCGATGCTCAAATCCGGGGCAACTTGGTAGAACTGGGCCACTCGATCTTTCCAGTGAATACAGCTAAGAATCGGCTATGAGGAGCGTCTGATAGGAAAGGCCCATCATGAGAGATGGCAGGAGGCAGTGTTTGAGCTATAAAGTTGACTATATGTCTAGGCTTCTTAGAACCACGGAAGCATCAACCATGGACGTGCTGTCCATGCCCCACAGCAGACTAGAGATCGATGAGCTGTGAAGGCCATATTTAGCTTGCCAAGTAGAGGACGCGAGTCCACGTCGATGTCGAGTGCGTCTCCTCAACCAGTTGTCGAATGCCTCTGCCCAGCTGCGACAGAGCCAGCACAGTCCTTTGTCGAGCACCGCTGGGCGATGACAAGACAGCTCTTAAACGCACCTGATGAAGATAAGGTCTCAAAGTCATTCCAAGTGCCAGCACTGACCCGGCAGACTCGACATTTGCAAACACGCCACGTCCATTTGCCGACGAGCATCTCGATCGCCCACTGTCGAGATGATTCCAGCCGCTGAGTGCAAGCTACCCATACAGCTGCTTTGTCATTGATCGGTGAGCTGCCTCACATGTTTGAGCAACTTTGTGGCACCTTGTGAGTGTGGGTGTTCGGGCCCGCACGTTTGTGATATGGGCAAAACGTGCGTTACCGAAGTGGCCGTGGTCCGTGGATGAAGGTTTTGATGCGCTTGATCTTGCAGACGAAGCGATTCATGGGCCATGACCGGCGATACCGTCTGCTCGAGGCGAGCAAGAGCTGCAAGACAGAGTCTGACAGACGCGTCTTTTGTCCCTATGAAGGGCTCGTCGGCCTGATTTGCGCGCGCTTTCACCAGGACATGTGCTCGTTCTTGAGGAACTCTGCGCGGCGCTTGACTTCCTTCTTGCTCTTGAAGTGGTTGTAGATATGGATGAATATGCAGCAGATCATTGCGTTGGTTGTCGATGGAGAGGAGGAAGAAGCAGGCTCCTTCTGTCTCTTCCTTTTCACGCTCTGCAGCAGTCTCGCCGTCTCTTCTTCTGCATCTTCGCTTCCTCTTCCTCCTTCGCCTTAAAACGGGCCATCCGCACTGATTCCGCAGCCGCACGCAAATGAAATCCCTGGCCCCACTTGAACCACTTCGGAGTTGTTTCTCGACGGCCAGCCTTCATCCAGCTAATTCAGCGAGGAAGTCGAATGTCTCAAAGTAAAAGTGTCGTAGACGAATATTATTCGAGATTGGCGGATATGCGAGGCTGTAGTCGTAGGTGACAGACACAGGCACGCAGGGCAGCTGCAGATAAGACTTGATTCGAATAGGGGACAAGAGTATAGCACTCTTGCCAGCTAAGACTAAACTAAAGGTCACGTGCATGAGTGCTGACGTGGCAGAGAGATAACAGCGGAAGCAAGTGATCAGGGGATGCACTTGAATTCCTAACAAATATATTATATCTCCAAGGCAACAGGCAGTAGGCGACAGCATCTGGTTACAAAATCCCCTGTGCAACCAGATCCTTGTACACCTTCTCGCTCATCACATTGCCACTCTCATCCTCCATCTCAACCGCAGCATCCATCTTCTTCCGCTCAGCGTCACGCACCTCCTCCAGCCGCTGTGCCAAGTTCAACGCATCCTGAATCTGCGTAATCTGGTCATACAGCAATCCTCCATTCTCAATACCCAAACACCGCAGACCATGCAAGTGCCGTGCTTCATTGAAATGCTTGTCAAACGCGCGGCGTCCAGCATACGTGTGATTGCCACAAATCTCACAACTGTACTCAACACCCAACCCATGTAATCGCCATAGCCAAAATGGAATCGGCTTACCATCCCATCCAAGCGGTAGCTTGAGTGGGTTATAAAACTTTTCCCCAGCATCTTCTGTTTCATCAACCTCTTGCATCGTCCCATCGGCGCCAACGTGCTGGCGTGCTGCAAGCGGCGCGTACAGAGCTTGCTCCTGCTCTTGTACCCATTCCCGATCTGTGAGTGTTTGTTTCCGTACAACGTTTGCGCGTGTCGCTTGCTTGTTGCTGCTAAACTTCACGGCAAGCTCATGAATCAGGTACTCGCGTTTCGCAACAGCCGTCTTGGTATCATCATACATGCCTGGTATACTGTCGCCTGTTGCTGTTGTATCAACCATCTTGCCCTGCTTGGCAAGCCCAGCTTGATGCTTCTTGGACTTGAGATGACCATCATACACTGTTTGTTTGGCATACCGCTTCTGACAAATCTCACACCAGATGCCTTCTTCTGCAGCAGGTTGTGTTGGTTGCAGACTGCCATTCACATGGCTTTCCTTGCGTGCTTCGTCAAAGGCCTTTTCCATCTCTCCAAGAACCTGCTCATGCACATCCAATGGCACGGCCCGTCGATAGAATGAAATGAGATAGCCTAGCAACGCTGCCAAGTACGCCGGGTACGTAGGATCCTGCTTCACCGCTGCAGGGAATGCCTCAAAATCATCAAACGTCTCCAAGTAACGCGTATAAGAAACAGGTCGATTGCGCTTGAGATTGCAAAACTGTGCATGCAAGGTGTTCAAGTCAAAGAAACGACCGAATCCCTCTTCACCGCTGAAGAGCCGTGATATCCGGTCTTCTGCGCCGTCTGCTTCGTCTTCAGCGTCGGGAAGTTTGATTGCATAGAGCGCGGCGAGGTCTTCGACGGGTTCGTTTGGGTAGCGCTTGTGGTATTCCTTCAATTGTGCATACTGCTCATAAAACCCTTCCAGGCCTGCACCTGGTTGTGTCGCTGCTTGCTTGGAGACACTCAATCGCGCGACCTCTCTTGACCGCGCACCATCCGTATCATCGTAGAGCGCCTTGAGCGTATGTGAACGCACTTGAATGAGTTGCAGGAAATCGGCGACTTCATGGTCGAGTTGCAGTTGGTCCTTGATGGTGCGTGGTTGATAGAGAAGACGATCGCAGATGGCTTGTTCAAGGCGTTCGAGCTCTTCGTGAAGATTACGCTGTTGCTCTATCGTCGAGTCCATCGGCAGCACGCGTATTGCATATGTCGTCTGGCTTGATGGATACAGTTTGCCTTGTCAACACATTCTACGGTTTCTTACACGAAGCAGCGGTAGAGAGGCATTGACATGATTGACTATACAAACTATGATAAACATCCTCCCAGTGTTCTTTTACGCGTACACTGTCTTGAGATGCAGAATACTCGAAAAAGAAAAGAGGGAAAGAAGTGATCAAGTCGCCGTGAGGAGACAAGAAGAAGGGTTTCCAAATATTGAGTGAATGGCATGATCGGCGCTACAAACGGATATCTTTGGTAAAAGGCAAAAGATATGTTCTTTTTGGCGCGCCGTGCCTGGGGGAGTGGTCAAGGGAGCGGGTCGTTGGGTCTTCTTATACTTTCAGCACAAGAATTAATCGCACGCTCAAGATGCTCAGGCAAGTCACATTTCACTCATTGTCACTGGCAGGACATGGCGTAGTTGCGGATAGAGTCTCAAGCAGCATTGGAGAGAATGATCGTGATGTGAATGATCTAGGTGCGCTGGATAGCCGGTCAACATCAGACTGACACTGACCGCTTCAGAACCAGTCGTATAGTATAATATCGTCTGTCTTTGCTCCATCTGCATCTGTACCGTCTTCAACCTCATAGCAAGATACAGAAGAGAGCAGCCTACTTCTCGGTGATTGACTCTCCTCGAGTCTTGCCGCGCAGCTGCCACTTTCCCTAGATAGTATTAGCATCGTCCTCAGCCTATCGCTACAAGCGCAACCATACCTCTGTCGCATAGGCGAGGTAGTAGAGAGCAACGGGGAAAGCAACGCCCCACATCGCTACCTGTCGTGTTGATTTGCTCGTCCACCGAAAGTTGCGGTATAGGTCGTGTCGCATCTCCACCCATCTTTCAATCGCGGGATCTAGTGTCAGCTGAAGCTCTTGATTGATGAGACAAGGCGACTCACCCTTCTTGAGTGTCTCGCCCATGCTTGCTAGCAGAGAGGAAGCAGACTAGAGCGGAGTTTGTGGTTGCAGGGCTGTTGCTTGTTGCACTCACAAAATAGCCGAGCCTGTTTCTTCTGTTTCTCGACTTCACGAGCACAAGTTTGAGTGACCTTGAACAATGCCCATTGTCCCTATGCCATGATAGAAACAGTCTTGCTACCTTCAGCACTGTCATATCACCGCTATACTCATGGCAGATCAAAAAGCCAACGCTAAGCATGCCAAGTACTTTGCTATGTGCAAACAGATGCTGCCGCATCAATATGTCTCCAACGACTTGAATCAAACAATGCTCTCTTTCTTCACCGCTGCATCTCTGCACTTGCTCAAGCAAGACGTTCAAAACCGTACAGAAGCTATTGACTGGGTCTATCTGCATCTGAGACACGGCGGCAAAGGCTTCCGAGGCGGACACAACGCTCAACTGCCCGCATCTAGTCCAGGTGCCTGCTATGACCCTTTCCATCTGCCGGCCACGTATTTTGCACTGCAACTGTTGCTCACCTTGGGCGATGACCTCTCACTTCTGGACGCTAGTGTTCTGATGTCTGAGGTCGCCGCTTTGCAGCTCGCTGATGGTTCCTTTCCATCAGCACAAGGCAACCTTGACGCAGACACAAGATTCACATACATGGCCTTTGCAATTCGCTATATCCTTCAACATCTCGTTAAGGAGCCTTCCACAATAGACTTCGATACTGAAAAAGCTCTCCTGTTCGTCAGCCACTGTCGCAACTATGACGGTGGTTTTGGAGGCTCTCCAGGCGCAGAATCACATGCCGGTCTGACATGGTGTGCACTTGCCGCCATTCATCTGCATGAACCGCACAGACCAATAGCACAAGACCCATCCTACACACAGACGATTCATTGGCTCCTTCAAAGACAAAATGCCGATGGCGGATTCAATGGCCGTTTCGGCAAAGTCAGTGATGTGTGTTACTGCTTCTGGGTCACTGCGAGCTGTTGCATCCTTGGCGTTGCAGACTTGCTAGACCAAGATGCACTCGACGCGTACCTCGAAACGTGTCAGACTCCCTATGGCGGGTTTGGGAAAGCAATTGGACAGCCACCGGATCTGTACCATGCGTATCTCGGGGTGTGCGTAGCGAGTCGCAGTATCTTCGACGCTTCTTCTATTGCTGTGGCACTGTCACTTTCTCAGGAAACGGTCGACAAGCATCGCTATGGTGTTTGAGCTCATCCCGCTGGCTAGTACGACTAAGCGAAGCAAAGGATTACCCTCTCGTTTACTCCCACTTGCAAATCCACTGTTTACATCATGCTCTATCGACGCTCCGTCCAGCGGCTTGTTGTGACAATCGCAGGCAACCCCTGCTCAAGAAGTCGACTGGACTTGGATCTTCCCGCGGAGTCCAATCAATAATGAGACTAGTGCTCATCTTGCAGCGCACACAACAAGGCACTACCATCAGCTGCATTGCTACATGATTGCTTTTATATCCACTTCGCCTCAGCCTCAGTCTGTCCCAATACTTTCGGGATTCTCATTGCAGCCCTTCTCGTTGTGAAATAACGCGATTTCGGCCAGCAGTGTAGAAGTGGAGTTCACCAGGGCACCATTTTGTGATTTCGTCAGGCACGCAAGTATCAGCATCTATTAGGACGGCCAATAATCCCATTTCTCCACCAAGACGGTTGCATGTCGTCCGAAATCTGCTTGCAATAGCATAGGTCCTGGTTTCGCTGCTTCCGATGGTCAAATTCACCTACAGCCCTTCTGTTTACAACCATTTCACTCCAACTGCAAAATTCTATAGTTGACCTTGCTACTTGCTCAACTGTCGACAACAATGCATACACTTTGCTATCGCGGCTTTTTGCTGCTGCCGCTACTGTGGGTATCAAGTACTCTAGCTACAAGAAATTGGCGGGCCAGTTTGGATACTGCTCGATATGTGGAATGTTTGTCTCAGCTTCGTTCCCGTCCATAACAATGGCGTTGGTGATTTGAGGGTTTTCGAGGCAGAAGCTTGCAGGTTGACTGAGACGGTGTGAGCTTTTTTTCCTTCGTAGCAATTTTTTCCTCCATGCGGTACAACTGCCCAAATTCGGCAAGGTACGCTGCGTGCCAGGTCTTGAAGATCATTTCAAGATCAATTCATCGAACAGTGCGAGCTGTGTAAGCTGAAACCAGTGGAGGGGCTTGGCATTCATACGCAACAAACCTGAGGATCTTGTCACTTCACTTTGAGTTTGTTCTCCCAAAGTCCAATCTTTGAGCTCTGAAGATGATGCCGTCACAAATGTCTTGCCGGCACAATTCTGCCAGGCAATTATCATGTAACAAAAGACTATCTGGGCAAAGACAGAAGACAGCATCTCGCACAGAGCTGAATGGTGCAGCGGCGATGTGAAAGCAAAGGACTACGGGTTGTAACGAACACGCAGCCTTGAACCTCGCATCCGACTATCCCGCACCGCATGCTCTGACAACTCATCACGGCTCTACTACCTTCCGCCCTTCAACGACGCTTACCTCCTTCTCACGTTGTCGATCGTCACGCGCTTAGCTTCCTCGCTTCCGGAAACGCTCTGTCACGTTGTCCTTACTCGCGCTCTTACTCGTCGATAACGTCCACCACAACGTCCCTTGTTCTGCCCCTTCCTTATCCTGCAACTCGGACATCTCATGCAATCTCGCTTCCCTTTTTGGTCCCCTTTCTGGTTGAAAGTCGGCTCCCGTGGGCTCTACCCACATCATCGCCCTCCACTCTCATGCTCGTACCTGGTAGACATAAGTAGGCAGCCTTCTGCTGTCTAGTTCCTTAGTTCAGAATTTCTATTTTTGTCACCTACATCTCGCCCAAGTCCTGTCTTCAACACAACATCCATTCCGTCCTTCTCGCGCTCCCTCACACAGGTGTCGTCCCTATTGAATGTGATGACAATCCCGAAGTACGGAAGGAATGCTCTTCCATGAAGCATAAAATGCATGTTGACGCTACATCAGCACGTGCGAATCAGGTTATCATGAATCACACTGCTACTGCACATAAGTGCTACAATTTTCAGCAAACGTAGTATCCCATGTGTTCCTCCATTACAGGCTCCTGTTCAGGTGAGTTTCAAAAGAATGCGCCCTTCTGCCACTGCTTGTGAACCTAAATACTGCTGACTGCAACATCTTCAAAGACATCGATCTCAGCTGCTTCTAAAATTCAGAATGCTTTCACGAACCTGCAAGAACGCTACTTCTCGAACCTTTTGGGAGGTCTTGTTGCAAATGGCAATTTTATTCCCTGCAGGATCGCGCTTGTTCGTCACCTACTTGAGCTTTCCCTGCGAAACATCAGCTGTCCATCGAAATCCAGTGAATTTGTTTGATTGGGTCAATCGATTTGACGATCAGATATTCAGAACAGCGAACCAGCAGAGTCTAGAGGATTGCTACGAGGCATCGTTTACTTTCATCAAAACAATCAGAGTGTTCGCATCGTGGAGTCCAAAAGACTGCTTTATGGCTTGTACAAATCATTTCTTGGAATTGAGCCAGGCTGTTGATCATCATGTGGACACGCCCAACGGTCGGTATTGTCTGGCTAGACTCGATATTTGCTACAAAGATTCTTCAGCTACTCTGATGAATGCTTGCTTAGCAGGAAATGAGCTGAATTATTGCCCGGAAACGCATTGCATTTGCACGACCAGTGTCTGGTTTGCAAGCATCGTCAAGCCCCTTAGATCACGGTCCGCCGATTTCCGAAGGACCCTCGTTGAGCCTCCTGAAGGCTATCGAACTGTGCCTATCTGCCATCCGGATGAAGTCGATCGAGTGTTGAGCATCGCAATCAATGGCTTTGATATCGATACGCGACCAGCAGAAGAACCTCTTTGGGTAAGTGTTGCTCAAGTAAAGAACTATAAAATTTTTTGCGATGCACACTCTGTGAGACGACAAAGTTCGGTCTACAAAGAACTTGAGGGAGTCCGCAGGGGGGAAGCCTCGATTTGCAGCTGCGTGCGCTTCGATCCGCAGGAAGAGCTTCCGTTCGGAAAATATCGGAACCACGAATGCTTTACAAGCTCGAAGGTGCGGGTCTTCTCCTCGAACGTCACGGTAACAACACCAGAAGATGCTGTGAAAGATATTCCACCTCTCATCGAATACATATTTGACGAGTCGTCCCAATGGATTCCTCAACATTACCTTTAGTACTGCTTGAAACAATAGCAGCATCTAATGAGATGTCGTAGAAACTTGAGCTTTACCAAGTTATTCTCTTTCACATTTGACAATTGTGCGCTCCAACTTTTGATTCCTGAACAGAACACACGCTTAAGCCCTGTTTGATTGCAGCCCATAAAGATCTTATCTGGCCGCATATTACAGGTGTGCGACCGCATTTGAGGCCTCGAGTAGGGCCTGGGTTTGGTCAATGCATGACTGTGATGAAGTGGCACAATACAGTAATTCTAGTCCACAGATGCGAACGGCCGTCTCCTGCGGTGAAAGGGCGCATGGGGTTTCGATCGCCCAGCCTGCCATTGTAGACGTCTCTTAGTACCCTGACCTCAAGGCATTGGTAGAAGCTTGACCACAGTAAAACTTCACTGTGCCCGCCAATCTGCGAGACCAATTATTCAAAACTGGTTCCATGTCAGCCATTCGCCATGTCTCGCCACCTGCTTTGACCGCGCTAGGACAGCTGGCCAGCATCGGACTGACACTGACTGCTCGAAACCAGTCGTATAGCATAGCCGAGCCTGTGCTGCTCTGTCTGGCATCTCCACCATCTGCATAGCAAGCTACACAAGTGAGCAGCCTACTTTTCAATTCCCGACTTTCCTCGAATGTTGCCGTGCAGCTACCACTTTCCCTTCACACCATTAGCCTCATTCTCAGCCTACAATCACAAGCGCAAGCATACCTCTGTCGCATAGCCGAGATGATAGAGAGCAAAGAGGAAAGAAGCGTCCTACATTGCTACGTATTGAGTTAATTTGCCCGTCCACCAAAAGTTGCGGTACAGATCGTGTCGCTCCTCCACCCAACGTTCAATCGCAGGATCCCATACTGTCAGCTAAAGTTCTAGATTATGGAGACTAGACGAATCACCCTTGTCGAGTGTTTCGCCTATGCTTCCTAGCAGAGAAGAAACCGACTAGAGCAGAGTTTGTGGTTGAAGGGCTGTATCAGTCTGTTGCAGCAGTGTTGCTTGTTGCACTCTCAAAGTAGCCGAGCCTGTTTCTGTTCTTTATCTTTAAGTGACAGGTCTAAGCAACTGTCTAAGTAACCTTAAGAATGCGCATGGTTCCACGCTATGATGGAAACAGTCTCTCTTCCTTTAGCAATGTCATATCACAGCTTGATACATGGCAGACCGAAAAGCCAACGCCAAGCATGCCAAGTACTTTGCTATGTGCAAACAGATGCTGCCGCATCATATGTCTCCAACGACTTGAATCAAACAATGCTCTCTTTCTTTACAGCTGCATCTCTACACCTGCTCAAGCAAGACGTTCAAAACCGTACAGAAGCTATTGAATGGGTCTATCTGCATCTGAGACACGGCGGCAAAGGCCTTCGAGGCGGACACAACGCTCAACTTCCCGCATCTTCTCCAGGTGCCTGCTATGAGCCTATTCATCTGCCGGCCATGTATTTTGCACTGCAACTTTTGCTCATCTTGGGCAATGACCTTTCACATCTGGACGCTAGTCTTCTGATGTCTGAGGTCGCCGCCTTGCAGCTCGCTGATGGATCATTTCCATCAGCACAAGGCAACCTTGACGCAGACACAAGGTTCACATACATGGCGTTTGCAATTCGCTATATCCTTCAACATCTCGTTAAGGAGCCTACTACAACAGACTTCGATACTGAAAAAGCTCTTCTGTTCGTCAGCCACTGTCGTAATTATGATGGTGGATTCGGAGGCTGTCCGGGCGCAGAATCACATGCCGGTCTGACATGGTGTGCCCTTGCCGCCATTCATCTGCATGAACCGCACAGACTAATAGCACAAGACCCATCCTACACACAGACGATCCATTGGCTCCTGCAGAGACAAAATGCCGATGGCGGATTCAATGGCCGTTTCGGCAAAGTCAGTGATGTGTGTTATTGCTTCTGGATCACAGCGAGCTGCTGCATTCTTGGCGTTGCAGACTTGCTAGACCAAGATGCACTCGCCGCGTACTTTGAAACGTGTCAGACTCCCTAAGGCGGGTTTGAGAAAGCAATTGGACAGCCACCGGATCTGTATCATGCGTTTCTCGGGTCTGCGTAGCGAGCCGCAGTTTCCTCGACGCGTCTTCTATTGCTGTGGCTCTATCACTTTCTCAGGAAACGGCCATCAAGCATCGCTATGGTGTGTAAGCCCGTATCGTTAAGTACGATTAAGCGTTCTATGACTATGCAAAGATTACTCTCTCATTTACGCCCAGCCGTATATTCACTGTTCACAGCATGCTTCGTCGATGCTCGATCCAGCGACTGGTCGTGACAATCACAAAACTTCCCTCCTCACCAGCTTGACTAGACTTCGATCTGACCGGTCTGTCCAATCAGTGATGACTCTGATGAGGCCAATTCTCATCTCGCATATCAAAGCGCACACATCAAGAACTACAATCAGCTGCATTGCTACATGATTGCTGTTAAATCCACTTTATCTCGGTCTTAGTCTGTCTTAACACTTGCAGAATCTTCATTACGACCCTTTCCATCCTGTATGGCTCGTCTGGGGCTGGCGATGCTGAGTTGAAGTACTTTTTGAGTGTCACTTTTGTGGTACTCCCTCTATTTGGACGGCCACTAGCTCCCTTTTTCCTCACGATGAAGCATGTTGCCCAGCCTCTGTTTGTAATAGCATCATATTTGTATCCACTGCTACCAATGTGTTGAAATTACCGCAGTCCCTTCTGTTCATAATCATTTCTCTCCAACTGCAAGTTTTAATATCTGTAACTACTACTTGATCGACTGTCGACATGAATGTATACACATCGCTTTTTTTTGGCTTTTTGCTGCTGCTGCTGCTGCTGCTGCTGCTGCTGCTGCTGCTGCTGCTGTCGCAACCGCTGTGCTGTTGATCACTATAGCTACAAGAAATTGGCAGACCAGTGTGGATATTGCTCGATATTGATAGTTTTGGAATGTTCGTCTCAGCTTCATCCTTGACCATTATAATGACGCTAGTCACTTGAAGATCTTCGAGGCAGAAGCTCTTAGGGTGAATGAGACAGGATGAGCTTTTCCCTTCGTGGCAAACTTTTGTACTACGAGGTCTAGTTGCCCGGATGCGTGCCAGGTAAGCTGCGTGACAAATCAGTTTATCCGGCGACACAAGCTTGTAGAAAGCTCGCATTGGTGAAGAGGTTTCGCTTTTCATGCACGACAAGTCTGAATGTCTTATTTTCTCTTTCTCCACATCCAAATCATTGAGCTTTGAAGATGATGCCGTCACAGATGTGTAACGATCACGACCTGACGAGACAAGGCGTACCAATGGAGATAGGTGGTGAAGGGGTAGTTGGTTCCGGCGTCAAAGACTTGCAAACAAAGGATAGTATTCAACTATAGACTGATGTTGCTGACAATGCTACAAAGGTGCTAGAAGCACTCCTGTTATACTTTGCCAGCCTAGAACGAGGACATGATGAGAAAGAGGTGAGCGAGGGCAAAGACCCTGAAAGCTTCTCAACGCAGACACCAGACCTGTGTTGAGAAAGACATCCACGCTGTGAGCATGGATTGTTTGTAGGACGGAAATAGACATCCACACTTGCGAGCATGATGTTTGTGGGACAGGAATAGACGTTCACACTTGCGAACATGTTGTTTGTGGGACAGGAATAGACATCCACACTTGCGAGCATGATGTGTTTGTGACGGAAATAGACATTGATGCTTGAGAGCAGATGTTGGAGTGTGATCCACGAGACGAGGTGAGTGAGACGCTTGCGAGCGTGACATGATGGAGCGTGGTCCACGAGACAAGGTGAGTGCGATGCTTGCGAGGCCGCATCAGGAAGGTGGATATGCCGGACCGTATGATAGTGCTATCAATGTACAAAAGAGTATCTAGGCAAAAACAGCAAGCAGTATCTTGCACTCAGCTGGACGATACAGCGGCGATATGAAGGCAAAGCACACTACAGGTGATGTCTCTATTGAATTTGGCGACAGTCCCGAAGTACGGAAGGAATGCTCTTTCATGCAGCATAAAATGCATGTTGACGCTACATCAACACGTGCGAATCAGGTTATCATGAATACACTGCTAGTGCATATAAGTGCTACAATTTTCAGCAAACGTAGTATCCCACGTGTTCCTTCAATGCGAGCCCCTGTTGAGGTGAGATTCAAAAGATTGCGCCCTTCTGCAACTGCTTGTGAACCTAACTACTGCTGACTGCAACATTGTCAAAGACATCAATCTCAGCAGCTTTCAAAAATCATAATGCTTTCACGAGACTGCAAGAACGCTGCTTTTCGAACCTTTTGGGAGGTCTTGTTGCAAATAGCAATATTCTTCTCAGGATCGCGCTTGCTCTTCAGCTACTTGAACTTTTCCTGCGAGACATCAGCTGTCTCTCGAAATCATTGTAACATGCCTGCAGGATGGGTCAATTCATTTGGAGAGGACATCTTCAGAGCAAAAAGCCACCGGGGTGAAAAGGATTGCTACGAAGCATCGTTTACTTTCACCAAATCAATCAGATTGCTCGCACTGGAGAGCCCAGAAGACTGCACTACGGCTTGTTTCAGTCATTTCATAAAATTGGGCGAGGCTGTTGATGATTATGTGCTCACGCCCGACGGCTCCTATTGTTTGACTACAATCAATGTTTGCTACAAAGACTCTTCAGCTACTCTGATGAACGCTTGCTTCGCAGGAAATCAGCTCAGTAATTGCCCGGAATCGCAATGCATTTGCACGACCGATATCTGGTTTGCAAGCGTCGTCAAACCCATTAGATCAGGGTCTGTCACTGTGCCTCCTGGAGAACATCCAACTGTGCCTTTCTGCCATCCAGATGAGTTCGATCGGTTCTTGAACATTGAAATCAATCGCTTGGTCATTATTGAAAACCCAGAAGAAGAATCTCTTTGGTTCAGTGTAGCTCGAGTAAAAAACTTTGCAATTTCTTGCGATGCAAACTTGAAAAGACGACAAGTGTCCGTCTCGGCTCAAATTCAGCAAGTCAGAAGGCGAAATACCGCGATTTGCAGCTGCGTGCCGTATCCGCAGGCAAAGCTTCCGCCCGGAAAATATCGGAACCACGAGTGCTTTACAAGCTCGAAGGTGCAGGTCTTCTCCTCGAACGTCACGGTAACAACACCAGAGGATGCTGAGAGAGATATTCCACGTCTCATCGAATACCAAATTGACGACTCGTCCCAATGGATTCCTCAACATTACCTTTAGTACTGCTTGAAACAATAGCAGCATCTAATGAGATGTCGTAAAAACTTGAGCTTTACTAAGTTATTCTCTTTCACATTTGACAATTGTGCGCTCCAACTTTTAAGTCCTGAGCAGAACACACGCTTAAGCCCTGTTTGACTGCAGCCCACAAGTATCTTTTCTGGCCGCAGATTTCAGGTGTGCGGCCGCGTTTGAGATTTCGAATAGGGCCTGGGTCTGGTCAAAGCATGACTGTGATGAAGTGGCACAATACAGTGCGTTCGATCCACATACGCGAATGAACGCCTCACATGATGGAGAAGGCCCATGCATGCTTGATCGCCCAACCTGCCATCATAGGCATCTCTCAGCATACTGACTTCAAGGCATTGGTAGAAACTTGGCGACAGTGATGCTTCACTGTGCTTTCAATCTGCGAGGCCAGGTCATCAATACTGGTATTTGCGTCAAACATCTGCCACGTCACGCCACCCGCTTTGGCCATCTCTAGAAAAGCTTGCCGGACCTTGTACTGCAAATCAGCCTTCTCGTAACGTTCTTCGCCAAAGCCTCCTCTTTTGGCAGCTGTTTCTACCGATAGGTCCAAAAAGAGGACAAGATCTGGCGATGGGAGGCCGATATCGCAGGCGCGACACCAAGTTGGGTTGAGGCCCTTGATGATACTGAAAGCTGCGCCAGAGTAAATGTAGCGGTCCAAGACAAGTGTGATACCATTCTCAATATCTTGACGCATAGCAGATCTAGAAATTAGTTGTAGTTGTGAAAGCTGGACATGCACACTCTGCTTCCCAGCGATTCGCAGAGAATAGGAGATGAATGGCTCGATCGTCCAGATCGGCCTCAGATGTGAGATAGGCATGTATCATCTTGCCAATAGTAGTTGATCTGTCGGGAAACTTGAGCAGCTTGCATGACTCTGGGCGTTGGGCATTCAATGAGTCCACTAGGAGCTGGCATTGTGTGCTCTTGCCAGAGCGATCCAGTCCTTCCACAACGATCTCATGTTAGCGACGGTATCAAATGGAACCTCATACCAGCTTCCCTCTTCCAGCTGTTCGGCCCGACATCGTCGTTGTGGTCGACTTTGAAGTCGCGTCTTCGTCGTTGGCGCGCTTGAAATTCGCGTCGACGTCTTTTCAGTGCAAGAACTACTCGAGCTCGTCGCTTATGCATCCAGCTGCAGGCAGCCATGTCCAGCAGTACAGCTGTGCATTCCTTCCCTCCTTTCTATGCATGCTATCTGCTTCGCTCTTTAAAAGCACGCTATACCAATCGCACATATATCGGAAGCACCCCGAATCCTGCTAGAGTACGCTTCATCTTCCTGCTCACTTGGCCGAAGCTTACGAGATAGAGGCTTCGACAGCACAATGGAGAGCTGACATCCGGAGCTCGCAAAACTTCTCGCTATCGGTATGCTAGTCATTGCTCCATACATAAACTGACACTCAGACCATGGGAAATGGTCGCTATTGTGCATGGCTTCCCATCACAAGTCGCCGCCTTACAATTTGAATGGGCCTGGCAGAACCCTCATCTCTCCAGGCAAATGTCTCGTCAAGATGCTCAAGAACAGGGTGTCTCAGCAAGTCCAAGCAAGCGATTACGCAGGACAACACCGACGTCGGCAACAAAAGCCGCATCTGCAGCCGCACGACGAGGTCCAAAGCTCAATGTAGCATCGCAACTATCAAATCTACACAAGATGTTGACACTGAATGCATATCGACGCTGGCCGCTGCACGTCAGGGTCTTTCACGCAGATGTTTGGACGCTCTGGGAGAAGCAATGTGGTTTGCATTCTGGTCGAGCTGCCAAGACGCCATCTGTTCCGCTACCTGAATGGATTACGGCAGAACTGGACCTCACGCAGACTTTGCCAACTTTAGCTTCTTCTGATGTGCTGAGTAATGACGAGCTCCCAGCATCCCAAACAGCCAAGCGGAAAAAGGCAAAAAGCAAGGCTGCTTCTGGTACAGACGACCTGCCCAAGCAGCGGACTCGAGGTGGTGTGCAAAACTTAGATGTCCTTGACTTCCCAATGCAACAATTGGCTACAGCCCAGCTGCAGCAGCTGTCTCATTCCGCTGTTTGCATGAGCTGTGCAACCGCCATCGCTTTGCCAGACGCTGCAACACAGGCACGAATTCTAATGTGTCCAAAATGCAACCAGCCAGCACACCTCCACTGTCTTGCAAAAGAGTTTCTGACAAACGAGAGTAGTCCGTCTAATGCCTGGGTTCCAGTCGTTGGTGCATGTCCGTCCTGTCAGTCATCGCTTGTTTGGTCATCCCTCGTCAAGGCTGCTGCGTTTCGCAAACAAATGCGACAAGCCGGTGCCAATAGCTTGGCTGAAATCGATGAATCGGGGTTGGCAGTCTCTGAAGATGACTTGTCGGATACGATGAGTGATGCTGGAAGCGTCTCTAGTATGGCTTCAATGAGTAGTCAACGAGCAGCAATCAACACTGGCAAGCGTCCTGTGAGACGCAGAAGCAGGTCGCCCGTCTCTGCCAATGATGAGGATCTTTCGTTGATTGTGGAAGAAGCTCAGACCCTACCTTCCAAGGCAAGAAGGAGACGGTCGCCATCTCCTGTACGAGTAACGGATTTGTCGGGGATCTGTCATGGTAGGCCTAGTGTGGTGAACTCTGTGGAAGGAGTAACTACGCCTTCCAAGAAGAGAAGGAAGCGGTCGCCAAGCCCTGTTCAAGTCACGGACCTGTCGGGGATTAGTCCTGATAGGCTTGGTATGGTGAGATCCATGGAAAGAGCTCAAACACCGGCTCTCAAGACAAGAAGGAAGCGGTCGCCCACTCCTGCTCAAATTATGGACTTCAGTCATGCTGGGCCTGTCGTGGCGAACCCCGCGGAAGTAGCTCAAACGCCAGCTACCAAGACCAGAAGGAAACGATCACCCGCAGCTGCTCCTGCACACGTCACAGATCTGTCTTAGGTCAGTCATGTGGACCTGCGGTGATGCGTCCTGGCAAGGGCAAAGCCGTTGCGGCACCGAAGGCCAAGAGCCCGCGTTCTCGAGAGCGGCAGTGATAAGGACACCGTCTTGATGGTAGATTAAACAACGTCGTAAAAGTGGAAAAGCTAAAGCATGACTATCTATCGTCGCCTGCCAGTCGAACCAGACGCATTCGACAGCATTTCAAGTTCCTGCTCAGCAGCCTTGTTGGCGAGATGAGACGTCTCGAGGTCCTTGTTGAGTCGATCACGCTCGCTGATCAATCGCTGTTCCCAAGCTCGGAACCGGGCCTCCTCGACCTTGACTTGCTCAGTGAATCGCTTTCGCAACTCTTCCTCCTCCTGCCTGAACTTTGGGTTCTCCAACTTTCTGGCCTTTGCTTCACCAAACTTACGCGTCTCCATCTGCGATGAGCGATAGAGTTCATAGTGCTGATCCTCTGTCGTTGAAATGAGATCCAACATGTGTGTGCGAATGAGCAGGGATCGCAATTTCTTAAAGTCACAGTGGTCGTCATTCTCCACCTCAGCGACACCCCAGCTGTACTGACGTCCCTTGACCACGCGACCATCGTGCGTTTGGACATCCTTATCAGAGCCAATCACAGCATAGGGAATGGCTCCCTTGAGGACCTCTGCGTGTTCAGCGGCAGGTGGGTCGTCGCTGTCAATGGGCGGCGTGAAGATTTGGATACCTTGCGCTTCAATGCATGCTCGAATGCGCTGCTTGAACTTGGCCAAGTCACTTGGCGTGAGGGTATCCGCTTTTGCAATGATTGGAATGAGATTGACTCGGGAGCCTAGTTTCTTCATGCACTCAATGTCAAGAGCCTTGAGGGTATGTCCTGTTGGTCGGAGGAAGTAGAGACACACATGCACACGCATATCCACTTTTGTACCGCGCTGAGGTTGCTGCTCCTGTCGCATGAAACTCTCGTGCTGATCATCCAGGAACTCCACAATAGGCTGCCATGCATCACGGTTATTGACAAAGTCGCCAAATCCAGGCGTATCCACAACATTGAGGTTGACTTTGAAGTTCTTCTCCTCCAGCTCGGCACGCGTCAGCTCAATCTCTGTTGTCTTTTCTGAGGTGCGGTTGTGGCGCTTGCGGTTGTCTTGATAGGACTTGATGGTTGTGCTAAAGAGCGTATTGAGCCAAGTGGTCTTGCCAAGTCCTGATTCACCTATATTGTTAGACTGGCATCGGCGCGTGAGGGGGGTTTGGGGACATACCAGCAAGCATGATGGTGAGGGTTGCCCCTTTCATGGAGATGATGCGATGGCGCTGATTAGGCAGCGCGGCCAAGCCAATCTGAGGCGGTACAACATCTGGAGCACCCATACTGGTCAGGCCCTGCCGCAGGAGTAGAGCTAGCTGGTTCGGGGGTAAGTGGTTGACGTGGTCGTGGGTCGTCGTTGTTGATTTTCGCGCCGCAAACAAATTTGGAGTTGAATATCAGTCAACTTGGACTCAACTATGGACTTTGGACGGGTATGGAGGAGGGCCCATGCTGAGAGATGTTTGGGGATGTGACGGGTGCGCTAGAAGATGCTGGTGCGCATATCATACTCCTGTCGCCAGCACACTTCCTCCGCATATCCCTCATTGCCCAGGCGACATGCTTCATTGCACGTATACACATTTAGCACGCCATAGTCAATGCTGTCCTGCTTCGTCTCGTCCTGTCCAAGGAAAGAGATGGCCGTCGGCATCATCTGAAACTCGAGAGATCTTGCAGCACCACATGCACAGGCAGGGATATCCTTGTCTGCCAGTTGTTGTGCATCGGCAATCCACAAGGCTGCTTCGTGTGAACTTGCAAGCAGCTGCTCCGTCCTGTAGTACCGCAAGACTTGCTCTGGTGCCTTTTGCAAACGCTTGCTAAACTTGTAGAATGCCCCATCACCCTTCACTTTGGTGTACTTTTCGCTGCCATCATTCTCAACGAGCACCGCTGCGTGCTTCTTGTCCTCCTTCTCTTTTGTGGAAGCAACGTCTGCTGGTTCAGACTCGCTGACAATCTCATTCAACGCAAACTGCTCATCCTCTTGACTGCTCACTGGATGCAAGTCTGTGGTCGTTGATTGCGATCGCAGCACTTTGATACTCGGTGACCAACCTTGTTTCGCACACTTGCCATTGACACACGTGAGCAGGTACAAGACGCGCATCCACGCATGCGGCCGTTCATCTGATTCAGGTGCAAAGAGCTGTAGAAAGAGTCGCATGCGTTTCTTGCATACGGCGCACAACAGCCGTTCATCATCTTCTGCTAGAATGGGCGATGACGCTAGGCTTGCCATGGGCCCGCCGAGTCGAGAAATAGTTGCATCGCGTAGTGTTGCTTGTATGTATTTCTTGCCTACGGGCTCTGCATAGCCTAAGATGACGCCCATGTCTGGTGTCGTTTGTCGCAAAAGAAAGAGTCTTCGTCAACTTTTTTTTTGAGGCGCCGAAGTTGAGTTGAGCCGTGGACATCAAATAGATCGCCTCAGTCGAGCCAGTCAGACAGAGTCTGCATGCCTTGTCCCTTGAGCACACTCCCACAAAGCACCTCGATGCCTTCTCCCGCCAGTGAAAACCGTTCATCCGACTCAGCAAGCCATTCCAAGGCCTGCTCATCCCGTTCCTCCTCCATGGCTTCCATACGCACTGCACCACCCATTGCTCGTCGTATTTCTGCAATAGCCTCTTCTAGCGCTTTACTGACGCCTTGCTTGTCCAGTGCCGTGAAGAAGTCTGATTTGTTGGCCAGCACAAGCACCGACTCGAACGGCAAGTTCTTTTGTCGCACCATGGTCAATGTATCCAAGAAACGCTGAGCGACAGCAGGTGCTTGTTTAGAAAGCGCTGATGCATCGAGGACGAAAATGACGCGCGACAGCTTGCCTAGACCTTGAGCAGTCGTCATCAACCCGCTCAATTTCGGGTGGCCTGGGACGTCGACTAGTTGACGCGTCTTTTGCCCCGCAGAGACATAGCGTGCACTATTGATGGCTTGTGAAGTGTATGTTGGCTTGATGGTAGCATGGCCATATGCTAGTCTTTGCAGCAGGGCAGTCTTGCCTGCAGCAGTAGGCCCAGTGATGAGCACAATGGATTGTTGTGCAGTGAGCGGGAGAGTCAAGATCCCTTGCTGTGATTGTAGATAGTAGAAAGCAGCAGCAAGGATGATAGCAAGCAGGAGCGATGAGAAGATGAGCAGATAGAGGCCCATGGCAGCAGGATGGTCTCGTCGTGTCAAGTCAAGAGACAGCAAAGAAGCGACTTGAGGATTGCAGATGGGCCCACAAGAGCGGCTTCACAAAATCACTCGGCTTTCCGGGAGGATGCCTCCAGGGAGGATAGCAAGGGCCATGACAGTTCTGTAACGACGATTAGTACTGATGAGCCCTCTTGCGCAAGTGAGTCTAGCGAAAAGGCAGCTTACATAAGCGGGCACAACACGCCAAATTCCAACTTTCGGAGCGACGAGATCTTCAGACACATCCAGTGACATCCTCCTCAGAAGCTCGCCATTGCGCATCGCCCTGTTCTTGGCTTTCGTATCTAAAGAAGCTCTCTAAACTGCTAGCTGACGCCATGGATGGCGAGACGGCCGCTTTCCTCGTCTTTGACTCCCTAGACAATATCCCATCAGAGCTCCTTCACTTGCTCGATGAGCTGCGCTCGATTGATTACAAGTCTACTGAATGGATGCGCAAAATTCGTAGTCGCGAGCACCACATCAGTAAGCATATACGCTCGCATGGCTCACTAGAGGTCTTTCCAAAAGAAGACCAATATATACCCAAAATGCGCACTGATTTTGCAAGAGCCATCGAGAAGACGTATGAGAAGGAGACTTTGGCAAAGCGCGCACTTGAGCTGATTGATCGGACACTCAAGAAGCTTGATGAGGAGACTCGCAAGATTGTATTGATGGAAGGAAGTGGTGGGACTAATCTGAGCTCAGGCCTCGGTACACCCACCGTTGCTGCTGCATCGCCGCTAGGACAAGCTGCGTCTCCTGCCTATGTCCATACCTCCATCGCAACACCTTCTCAAGCGCCGAGCCCAGCAGGAACACATGCCACCATCAATGGTCACGCTACACCCGTCAAATCCCTCAAACGCGCAAGAACAGGCTTACCGCGCCCGCTTCCTAGTTCAGCACTCGCAGGCCCGCCGCTCTTACCAAATGGATATCCAGCGCCTCCAAAAGACCGTGGCCTGGATCACGAAGATGATGAGAATGGAGAAGATACGACAACCTATTGTTTCTGCGAACAAGTATCCTATGGCGAAATGGTTGCATGCGACAACGACTCTTGCGCTCGAGAATGGTTCCATTATGGCTGTGTTGGCTTGAAGGAGCCACCAATTGGGAAGTGGTACTGTAGCGAGTGCGTCGAGCAGAAGAAGGTCAAGCGATCGTAAAATGTACATATTTACAAAGATTTATCTAGAGCTTCGCCTTGGGCTTGGCTTGTACCCGTCTGGCAAGTAGCGTCCAAAGACCCATCGTCAATCCAAACGGCGGAACAAGCCATTCCAGCAAGCTAACAACTTGGTATGGCTTGATTTGGTCGAGCAAGGCACCGACATTCGTTTCCAAGTCTGCCAGGGATCCATCATTCTCAATCACTCGATCAGCTCTGTCTCTTTTGTCCTGCATGCTCATCTGGGAGCGCATGCGTGCTTCTGCATCTTCCTTCGTGAGGTGTGTATCGCGCTTCTGCAAGCGATCCAGTTGTAGACTGTCTGAACAAGCAACACACACCGTCACACCGCAATACGCATCAAGCCCGCCCTCAAAAAGCAGCGGTACATCGAGTACGCAAATGGCGGCGCCGCGAATATATGCGCGTAGCGTCTCATAGAGCATTGCTTTCTGAACAGCAGGATGAGTGATGCTATTCAACACCTTGCGCGCTTTGTCATCACCAAAGATTCTTCTGCCAAGAGCAGGTCTATTCAGAGACTTGTCAGGAAGGAGCAGATCCGGTGTATCTGACCCGAATGCCTCGAGAATGGCATTGTAGGCAGGCTGATCGGGCTCGACGACTTGCCGAGCAATGACATCAGCGTCGACAATGGGGATACCTTTTGAGCGGAGGAGATTGGAGACTGTTGACTTGCCCGTAGCGATGCCGCCTGTAAGGCCGACGATGAGCATCTTGAGCAGGGAGATGGACTTGGTTGAGTAGAGTTGGCAGTAAGCTGTTGATGTCGATTTCCCCCGCAGCGACATTGGCTAGACATTTTTGATTTTTGAGGCATTCAACCACTTCAAGAGCTCATATCACCAGGCCTCATCGAGTAGAACGCCTCAGTACCTCAGATACATAAGATCATAATGCCGCCCAAACGTGTCCAAAAGGAAGACTCGCGCGCAACAAACGGCTTCAGCGCCCATGCCGATAAAGGTGCCGCAGACGATATGCCCAGAGAAGCACGGGCGAAACGCGGCGCACACTATAGAGAGTACCAGGAAGACGCGAATGGGACCCTCATTCCACTGGCAAGTCTATCTCTTCCGAAAAGACATGCTAACAGCTAGTTCGAAGTCGATTCGCTGGACCATGCTGCCTTGCACAAGTATCGCAAAGTACACCACCTTACACTACCCCGTCACCTCGATTCATCTGCTGGACCAGTCGCTGGAAGCGGAACAGCATCGCCTACAGCTGCAGCATCAGCCATGAACTCCTCAGATGCGATGCTTCCTGCCTCTGCAGCGGGGTCGGCATCACTGAGCATGCTGCCAAACCGGTATACACGCGTCGAAAAGGAAGAAGCGCTTCTCTCGGCCGTCAAGCGACACTGGCAGTCCCAACAAATCAAGGAGAATGATGCGATTGTCAGTTTTCTGTACAGCGCACAGAATCAAGATCGATCTTTCAAGATGCGCTTCAATACGGGATAGCCTTTGTCTACGTTTCCACAGCACGCATCAGTCATCATATGACGGCCGTTCGGAACGGCGATGGCAGGTTCGGTGCATTCGTTGAGGCCTTAAAGTGCATGAACGATGTACTGTCATCGTCACGAGAGCGGCATAAGTGCCGTACCTCTGCGTCCAGCACGGCCCACTCTATCGATCCGATGAATATAGCTTTCAGTCTTCCGAATAAGTACTATAACTGGACTATTGAAGACCTTTGCTGAAAGGGAGGAGACGAGCAAGCCTCACATGCTGTCTCAAGCTCTGTTCCTCCTCAAATTTCCTTTCACGACGCTATGCATCTAAACCCTGAAAAGGTCACCTTGCAAGCATTTTTGCCCTTCAGCTACAAAGTCTCAGCTGCGCCAACACATCCGCTCCACCATCCGTCATGTCGCGCTTCACATCAGCCGTTCGTCTGAAGTCGGTCGTTGTGTTGCTTCTCCTAGCGCTTGTCTGCCCATTGTTTCCCTCAATTGCGCCCAATGCAGGTCGCGCCGCCGCAGCGCCTGTAAGAACCTCTGGCGAAGTTCGCGGGCCAGGGGCTCTCGAACCTGGACGAGAGCGCGAAGACCCCGAGAGGTCCAACAAGAAGTTGAAGAAGAACACAGGGTCATGGTCTGACCTAGAAACTCGCATCTGCTATAACATGACGGTGCCTTTGCAAAAGGTGATCGCCATCTCCATGAAGAGAGATTGCAAGCAGCAATGCTCCGCCGCAGTCACAGATTGGTATGACAAGTTTGGGAAACCTGCATGTTCGAGGTCGCAACATAGCTGCGTGAAGTCTGACGTATGCATGCGTGAGAGGTCCTATTCGGAGCGTATGCCATCCAACATGGCAGGCTCAGGTTCTTGTGCAGGTCAGTCATCAGCTCAACGTCCAATTGCAGAGAAAAAGCAATGTTTATGCTACATGGAAGCACATTTTTTTCGCATTCTTCAGCTCACGGCAAACGTAGCGGCTAGGACTGATTTCGACCCTTACGTGGTTAATCCAAGTGATGTCAGTCTGCCGGGCGCGGTTTGGACCGATACTCACTACAGCTGCATTCCGAAAAGGATACTACTCAAGTTGGTGAGAGGCGGTTGGGATAAACAGCCCTCAGCCGAATACACAGTCGTGACAGGCCGTTCCTGCAAAAAGTCGTCTGAAGAATATGAATGCAACTGCCGTGACAATCCTGAGTTTGCTGAAACGAGATGCAGGCTGATGCGCACGAGACATGATGCTGATCCAGCTCTCATTGAACAGCCTCCTACAGCCGCAGCCACAACTGACCACGACCACGAACGCGACAATGCGCTTGCCTTGCTCCAGAATCAGCAATCCAACCAGTTGGACCAACGCGCGGATGACAGCGACGTCACTTCCCATGAGCTGCCCGATCTCAATGTCAGCTTGCCTCCACAAGATGACGACAACGACAATGCACTCGAAGAGCTGCTGGACCTGAATGAGTCACCTCAGGATGACGACGGCGATGACAACGTCAAAGGGATGCCAACCCTTGATGACAGGTCACTCCCTCAAGGTAACGACAAGAACTCGCCTAGCTGTGCAGTTCAGATGCAACCGGTCTACCAGCCTGAACTTGGCATCTATGGAACCGGGACGTATCTGATGACTTCGCAAGCCGAAGATACCTGCACCAGTCCTCAAGAAGACAACGACAAGTTCTGTGTTCCAGATCTCAATTTGTAGATAGCTAGCAACGTCCCGTGCAACTTCTTCAAATCTGTCGCCATATTCATTGGTAAATCGCGATAATGAATAACTCTACGCTCCAACTGCAGTGGAGAATATCTTGAACCAATTGACATTGTTCTATCATTTCATTGCAATGCTGCAGCCTACATCTCCACGGCGCGCATCAGACTCGGCTTGACAACCGTTCGAACTGGCAATAACGGGTTGGCGTATCCTTCGCGACAGTCTTAAGTCAATAAAACCAAGGCAGTGTTCCCGTCGTCGTTCATTTTTGCGACCAGTACGGCCTATTCTATCAATACGATGAATATAGTTTTTAATTCACGAGTGTCAAGCAGAAGATCGAGGGCCTAACATACTTGAGAAATAAGCTGTAGTTATGAGTGCTCAAGGGTGAGCCAGCGCCTTTTTCAGAGCTTAACAAAGATGATTGCACTGAAGATAAGATTCCCCATAAAAACGATCTCAAGAGGCGCATCTTCAGCGTGTTGTCTAAAGGTGCACTGAGCGATTTTCCTGTGGGGCGAATCTAATGGCAGATGCTCCAAACAGGTTACGGCACCCATGTGGCGAACATCTCACTGCAAGAAAAAGCACTGATCCACTCATCCGCGTATCACATGGTTATGATGCCCACAAGTTCGTCAGCGTGATGATGAACGCAGCAGTACCAGTCAGAGGGCTGGAGCACAAGTTGGAGAACAAGGAGCTCGTGGAATCTACATTGCAAGCTCTTCCATGCATGGAGTTGGGAGTTATGGCGATCACATCACGCATGAAATCGCTTTGTTCATCCCAGCTGACGCGTAGGACTGGGCCAGTCAACTTAATCTTGGATGATGATAGCAAGCTGCATTCTCGCGGCAACGACGGCATTACTCTGTCGGAGTCTGTCTGTACAGGCTGGTCAACATGTCGTCCTGGAAAAGTGCATGCAAGGGCCACCTTTCAATTACAATCTGCTCTCCGTCAGCAAACTGACATCTTCATGAATGGGCGGGTAAGATAGACAGAGTGCTTGTGCTAGAGATAGAAATTTGATAGAAGTAGGAATAGATGATGAGTTGTGAAGGAAGGGCGAAGACAGCAGAAGGCTGTCTCTTGATGTTTTTCAGGCTCAAGCGAGAAATTTTTCAGGCTCGAGCGAGAAATCTGACAGTGAAGAGGGAACGAGAGTACAGGAGCTGACTTGGAGATGTCAGGTCTGCGACACAAAGCAGAGACGTAGGAGACAACGAGGCGGGCGTTAACGGGCAAGAGCGCCAGAAGAGATAAGAGGATGATATTGTTGGGGAGCGAGAAGGGTAAGAGCACAAGTAGAGATAATGTGACAAGCGTTGATGAGAGACGAGAGACGAGAGGAAGAAGAGCAGAGAATAGAGTCTTGAGCAGCCAGAGCATATAGAGAGCAATGCCATGTGTAGGGTCCAAGACTCTGTTTTTATAACACAACAGAGCAGGAGCTAGGGGCCAGGAGGGCAATATCCGGGTTGGGGGTCTTTGGGGTCAAGGCACACCTCATTCTGCTCGAGACCGAAACTTAAAAATGTCTGTGTGCACTCCAGGTTGAGATTTGGCTGTTGAGATGAGCCAGCTGCAGTGAGAGGTGCAACTGGATCTTCAGCAGGCTCTTTGTTGAGATCAATGGTAAAGATCGATTGTGTAAGAGGCACTTGTAAGACTACCTCCCTCTGGAGAGTAGCGGTACATTGCGTCGACTGACTCGACTTGCTCTTGGGACCTGGTTTTTTGCAATGACAAAGTCTTCCTCGCTCTGCTGTTCCTGGGGAATCTTGATCGCAATCGACCAAAGGATCCCAAGCCGCGTGTTGCAAGACCCAGCCTGCCTGTGTCAAGAGCCTCGCAATGAAGATGTAGTGGCAGCTGTACCACGAATGTTGGAGTGTCGGTTGGCCATTAGTCACCCATCTCCTCACCAGGTACAGGTATCGTGGGTCAACATGGTGAACTCGGAAGGCAATGAGAGTCGCTTCACATTCACATTGAAATACGTTAGGCGGACACAGTGACAGTGTGCAGGCTCGCTCAGCCCAGAGCGCAGCGGAGAACTCAGCGGAAACGAGGGTTGTGTTTACACAAACGCTGGACTGGAAACAGCCGCGTTTGTGTAAATATCTTGCATTGATGTTCCACAAATACTCTCGGTATAAAGTTGCCTTTTCTTCGCATGCCAATGCACATCCAACCTCGCTGTTGCTCGAAAACTTCCCGAGGAGCTGAAGCTTCAAGCCATAGCATTTGTAGACTTTTGCCGTTGGTGTACTTGAAGGTGTTTGTGTCTGTTTTTGTGCCTTGCTTGGACCTGCCCCATCGTCATCTCGGACGCGTTTTTGGCCGCGGTTTGTGTTCTGAGTCGTTGTTGATGTTCCTTCTTGCTTGCCTGTCGTGCGGCCTGGCTCTCCTGCGGCTGCTGCAGTCGGAGATGCGTCCGATGGCGCAAACTTGCCAATGAGGAGAAGACTTGAGTACAACAGAAAGATGAAACGCTTCATTCTTGCTGTTATCGGAGTGTGTCAAGTCCAGGGTCTTTGGACTCCAGCGACTGCCAAAGATATGAAGAGAGCCAAAATATGGCAGTGATGAATCTGCAAAATGATCTGCATCGTCAAATTGCAACGATGCCTTGATGTCGCAACCGTGAGCAAAGACCTTCAACTTGCATCAAGGCGACATTTGCAAACAAAGCAGCACGTTATGCTAGCGTTGTATGTAACATCGGATTCAATGAAGCCCCTGAATTCTACTCGACCATGTATGCGAATGCGAGCATCGACCAAATTGTCGCAGGTCATATGCAGTGCACGTGGCTGCGACGCGAACTGTCTTCATATATTACTCCAAAACAGTGGACCGAGACAGCGATTTTATTGCATTGGTTTTCCCGGAGCATGTTTGAGGGAAACCTTGACGCGGTTTGAGTCATGCGTAAGGTGTGACTTTCGTTTCGGAATGTCGGGGTTGAAATTTTCAAAGTGCTTGTAAGGCCTTACGTCGCTGCTCCTCCATTTTCACCACTCAAGCAACTATACGTATGTAGTAGGCCTGAGAATGAGATGTGGAAGAGATAAAACTATACTTAAAACATAAGAGATGCTTCTCAATAGCGTGCTGCCAGCTCAGCAAGCACGTGCTTCCTCCCTACATACCGCGTTCCATCTGAACAAGGCATTCCCATCGTCTTTGTGAGGGCGTAGCACCTGCGGCCTTACATGTTCCCCAAACGAGTTAAAGGCTCGTCCCCGAGTCCCTAAGATGCAGCCGAGGTATCGAAAACCACGCGAGGATTGTATGGTTGGTGTAAGTCGGGTCGGTCTGCAACGATCTCTTCTGGAAGAGTGATGGTGGCGCCGGGTGTCGCTTCGACCAACTTGGTAACGCTGAATACATCATGACTCCTCCATTTTGGCGGCAAGGCGAGGCGATAAGCAAGAGGACCGATGCGCTCAAGCAACTTCGACGGCCCAAAGTAGCGAGGGCTGAGCTTGTTGCTGTTGTCGCGACCACTAACCTTGGCCGCCAGGTTCTTCGAGCTGAGTAGCACCTCATCACCGACTTGGAACTCCGTCAGCCTGTGTCTTTTGTCGTATGAATCCTTCTGACGAGCTTGTGCAAGAGCGATGGCACCTATTGTAATCGAGCGAACGTACTGCAGTTCCGCGAGAAGGTCCTCAGCAGAGACAGGTTGACCATTGTTGAAAGACCAAGCCGGTGGGCTAGCTGAGAGGTAGTCGCGCGGTAAGAGGCCATAAAGGACGCGGCAGGGCTCCTGCTGCAGCGACGTATGTTTGCTCATGTTGATTGTGAATTCCACCTGAGGCACAATTTTGCCCAAGAGTGCTGAGCATAGTCGACGCAATGACGAAGGGCGACCTCGACAGTCTGATTGGTGCGCTCTGACTTGCCGTCTGCCTGCGGGTGATATGCGGTAGACATGGCTCTCTCGACCTTCGCTAGTCGACAAAACTGCGTCCACCACTCACTCGTGAATCGAGAGTCGCGGTCAGACACAATCTTGCACACGACTCCATGGTAACGCGCCACCTGATTCAAGAAGAGCTGTGCAAAAGCCGCGGCTGTGACCGTTTTGGCGCAGAGAATGATGCGGACAACCTTGCTGAATAGATAGGTGACAGTCGCGAAAGCGTCGTAGCCGTCTGAACGTGGCAAGCCCGTGACGAAGTCGACCGACACAGTGTGGAATGGATGAGGAGGTGACTGCAGTGGTTGAAGAAAACCTGCTTTTGGTTGACGACTGTCCTTATTCTGTTTGCAGGCCGCGCACTCGTGACAAATCTTGAGACACAACGTATGCAGAACGGGATGCCATAACGAACGTCGAAGGGTATTGTAGGTCTTCTTGTGGCCGGAATGATTGAACGACTCATGACAGTCCGTGATGAGCTTTTCCAACATCGACAGGGTGGGACCCAGCGGGTGCCATCAGACAGATGTGCGAAGAGCTTGCCAGATACTGGATCGACGGTGAGACTGCCAAAGAACGTGTCCGTGGTGTGTGCTGATGTCCTCTTGGCGGCCTTGTAGATGCCGCACATGTGCCTGTCCGCAGCAAAAAGAGCTGGCCATTGTACGTCGGCGTCAGCAATACTAGCCGTGGTGTGCACATCGATAGACTCGTCTTGGAGAAGGCGGGAGAAACCGTCAACGTTACCATGATAGACACCAGGGCGATGAGTGACCTTGATCTTGTCCTTGTAGTCATTCAGAATAACAGACCAGCGGGCGAGCTTACCGTTGTGTCCAGGTTGTAACTTGGTGTCCAAGAGCCACTGTAAGGCCGCGTGATCTGTGACCACCTGCAAGTCAGCGCCAACCAAGTAATGGCTCAACTTGGTGAGTGCCCATATGATGCAGCTGGCCTCGAGCTCTGTCGGAGCATAACTCTTCTCGCTCTTCTTCAATGTCCTCGACAGAAACAACACTAGGCGCTCCTCTTTGCGGCCAACACATCCTGCAAGTAGCTGATGAACAGCTACCCCATAGCCATGATGAGATGCATCGCAAAAGAGGATCAAGGGGCGACTAAAATCAGGCGGAGCAAGCACCCGTGTCGCCGTGATTGCCGCCTTCAACTGCTTGAGGGCCTCGTCACACTCAGTGGTCCACTCAAAGCGCTTTGCTGCCAGCTGCGTGTACGGTATATCGGGCTTGGAGCTAGTACCATGTTTGCCAGACTTGTAGACCACATTGAACTGGGAAGAGACAGCCACTTTCGCGTTGACAAGAGGGCGAGAGATCTGAGCGTAGTTCGGGATAAAATGACGATAATAGCCGATTGTGCCCAACAGCGTCTCCAGCTCCTTCAAGGTCCTTGGTGCTCGTAGGTTGAACATAGCCGCAACCTTGTCCGCTTGCGTTGCTAGACCGAGCCTGCCGACCTTGTGACCCAGCAATGAGATGTTGTCGTAAGCCACATGCAGCTTAGTCGCACTGAGCGTGAACCCACGATCACCGATGGCCTTGAGCACTAAGTCCACGTGCCTCGCATGATCGGACATTGACTTCGACCACACAATCAAGTCGTCAACATAAGGTACCGCAAATTGCCATCAATAAGGGGCAAGAATCTCGTCCATCTTGCGTTGAAAAAAGGCAGGTGAGTTTTTGTAACCCATCACCGAGACCTTCAGCTGTTCGAGGCCTCTGTGGGAAGCAAAAGCCGTGATGTGACTTGAGCCCTCCTTGATTGGAATCTGATAGAAGCCTTTGGTCAAGTCGAATGTCGAGATAAACTGTGCGCCGGCCACGGCCGAGAAAATCCCGTCCTGGCGGGGAAGAGGTAAGGGTCTCGCTCGATGCAGTCGTTGACCTTGCGAAAGTCGATCACCATCCGTGGCTTGCCGTGAGAGGGCAAAACAACGACTGGGCTGGACCACGGTGAAGAGGATGGTTCAATGCGATCGCGTCGGGCCATCTTGTCCAGGTAGAGTCCAGAGTTGCCTTAGCTGCGGGAGAATTGCGATACGGTGCAGTGCTGATCGGCTTCACACCAGCCTTCGGTACAGTCTTCATAGCATCGCCATCATTGAGGAGACCCCATGCCTTTCGAAACACCCTAGGATGTTTGCGCGGGACCTGCATAATGAGTTCCCGATCGTGGTCATCGAGCTTAGGATTGACGTCTATCTCGTCGACTCCACCCTCACCCGTTTCCTCCGACTCAGTTGTAAGACTGACATTGACGGCCGGATTGGCAGAGAAGTCGACGTTGTAGCAGGTAGTGTCGTCCTCGAGCTGTTCCGCAGTTCCCACAGTGATACCCTTTCGAAGCAGCAGTGCTGCAGCACTGGCCGTGCTCCAAAATTTGCGACCCATGCCATCGTACTCTTTTCGCCGAGGAGCTGATTTGCAACCTTGCACGACGAACGCAGGGCGCTGTCGCCAAAATCACAACCCACCAAAAGCACATCGCCATACAAAGAGGGCGCCTTGATTGGGACCAGTGCTTGAGGGCCCGGAAGGATATTTGTGGTCTGTGCAGCCACCACTTTGCCAGATGAGAAAATACGCAGGGGCCCAAAGACGCTGCCTGATTCCGCGGTGAAAAACTCTTTAGCTGGGTCCAAAACCATGCCGTACCGACTCAGCGTATCCAAGCCGATCAACAACCACTTCTGAAAACCAGGAACAATGTGGCCAAATACCTCAAGACGAAAAGCCGAACCAGTCACTGTCTTGATCAGAATATTGAAGGTGCAGCCAAGTTTGGAGAGAGTCCTCATTCCGGGTACAAAATCACCGAGCGGGCGATGCGAGTCGTCTTTCTCTATAAGCTGCACGTCTGGATGATACGTCTCCAAGTACTGCGAACTCACCAGTGTCACCGGGCTTCCAGTTTCAGCAATCCGGTATTGCCAAGCATCACCTTCCCGAACCAAAACCTTCACGCTTTCAAATCTCTTGTAATCGTGTTCATCGACAACGCCACCGACATCACGAGCATGCAAAATTGGAGGATCCCGGGAGTTGCGACGGATCCCGCCGTCCACTAGGTATACCATGCCGCGGTCGTCATGGTCCACCAAGCTTATCGACGATTCCGCCGCCATAACCTATTCTTGATGTTTCTGGCATCCATCCGACATCTCATCACACTCATCCTGGTCGAGAGGGCCGGAATCGAGAACCGCAATCTCAACCTGACATTGCGCGAGTGATAAGTACGACACATCTTGCACCAAGGGACACCTTGATCATTCCTGTTGGGAAAGTTATTGGCAGTAACGACAGGCTTAGAAGAGGCCTGCTCCACCTCTCTGAGCGCTGGCACGGAACGGCTGGGTCATGCGATCGAACTCCTTGACTGAAAAACGGGTCCCCTGGATCGTTTTCGGTTTTTCTGGACCAACATGGCCTCTTGGAGGGCAGCCACCGACTCGTTGGCGCTCGGAGGCTTGTCGTCTGGCAAGGCCGACTCTGGCACCCGAAGACTGATGCAAGGGAACTCGTCTTCTTGATCAGCCTCCTGGCAGATAAACTGGAGCTCCGCGATCCACTCCTGAACATCGTCCTTTGATGGATCGAACATCCGGGTTTGGTGTAGAGTGGCCAGGGCCACTGACCGCGATGCGGCGAACTGTTTGGTGATCAAATCGCACGAGGCTTGGGGTGTGGCGGGACCCCCTTTTTTGCTATTCCTCAAGTGAAACTGTTGGACAGCTGCCGACTTTGACTCCGTCAATGCGGCATTGATTGCCATCACAACCCTAGATATCTTTACTCGAAACCACTCTGTAAGGCCTTAGGATTCTTTTGTCGCTGCTCCTCCACTTTCACCACTCGAGCAACTATACGTATGCAGTAGGCCTGAGAATGAGATGTGGAAGATATTAAAGTATACTTAAAACATAAGAGATGCTTCTCAATAGCGTGCTGCCAGCTCAGCAAGCACGTGCTTCGTCCCTTCATACCGCGTTCCATCTGAACAAGGTACTCCCATCGTCTATGTGAGGGCGTAGCACCTGCGGCCTTACAGTGCTGCAGGTACTTTGCAAACAACCGTGGTCACAAAGAACAAGTGATTGAGCAGCGATGTCACAAGGCTGTCTCTTGATATTTTCAGGCTCGAGCGAGAAATCTGACAGTGAAGAGGGAACGAGAGTACAGGAGCTGACTTGGAGATGTCAGGTCTGCGACATAAAGAAGAGACGTAGGAGACAACGAGGCGGGCGTTAACGGGCAAGAGCGCCAGAAGAGATATGAGGATGATATTGTTGGGGAGCAAGAAGGGTAAGAGCACAAGTAGAGATATTGTGACAAGCGTTGATGAGAGAAGAGAGACGAGAGGAAGAAGAGCAGAGAATGGAGTCTTGAGCAGCCAGAACATCTAGAGAGCAATGCCATGTGTAGGGTCCAAGACTCTGCTTTTATAACACAACAGAGCAGGAGCTAGGGGCCAGGAGGGCAATATCCGGGTTGGGGGTCTTTGGGGTCAAGGCACACCTCATTCTGCTCGAGACCGAAACTTAAAAATGTCTGTGTGCACTCCAGGTTGAGATTTGGCTGTTGAGATGAGCCAGCTGCAGTGAGAGGTGCAACTGGATCTTCAGCGGGCTCTTTGTTGAGATCAATGGTAAAGATCGATTGTGTAAGAGGCACTTGTAAGATTAGCTCCCTCTGGAGAGTAGCGGTACATTGCTTCGACTGACTCGACTTGCTCTTGGGACCTGGTTTTTTGTGGTGACAGAGTCTCTCTCGCTCTGCTGTTCCTGGGGAGTCTCTATCGCAATCGACCAAAGGATCCCAAGCCGCGTTTTCCAACTCCCAGCCTTCTTGTGTCAAGAGCCTCGCAATGCAGATGTAATGGCACCTGATCGCCACATGTCCGCAGGATATCGGCTGGCGTTGTGTCACCGATCTCTCTATCAGGTACATGTATTTTGGGTCAACATGGTGGATTCGGAAGCCAATGAGAGTCGCTTCACATTTACATTGGAAAAATGGGCCATTGACTTGTTCGTTGGGTGGACACAGTGACAGTGTGCATGCTCGCTCAGCCCAGAGCGCAGCGGAGAACCCAGCGGAAACAAGTCTTGTGTTTACACAAACGTTGGATTGAAAACAGCTGCGTTCGTTGACATGTCTTGCGTTGACATTCCTCAAATACTCTCGGTATAGAACTGCCTCTTCTTCGCATGCCGTTGCACATCCAATCTCGCTGATGCTCGAAAACCCCTTGAGAAACTGAAGCTTCAAGCCATAGCATTTGTTGACATTTGCCGTTGGTGTACTTGAAGGTGTTTGTGTCTGTTCTCGTGCCTTGCTTGAACCTGCCCCATCGTCAGATCGGACGCGTTTTTGGCCGCGGTTTGTGTTCTGAGTCGTTGTTGATGTTTCTTCTTGCTTGCCTGCTGTGCGGCCTGGCTCTGCTGCGGCTGCTGCAGTCGGAGATGCGTCCGATGGCGCAAACTTGCCAATGAGGAGAAGACTTGAGTACAACAGAAAGATGAAACGCTTCATTCTTGCTGTTATCGGAGTGTGTCAAGTTCAGGGTGTTCGGACTCCAGCTGCAGCGACTGCCAAAGATATGAAGAGAGCCAAAATATGGCAGTGATGAATCTGCAAGATGATCTGCATCGTCAAATTGCAACGATGCCTTGATGTCGCAACCGTGAGCAAAGACCATCAACTTGCCTCAAGGCGACATTCGCAAACAAAGCAACACGTTATGCTAGCGTTGTATGTAACATCGGATTCAATGAAGCCCCTGCATTCTACTCGACCATGTATGCGAATGCGAGCATCGACCAAATTGTCGCAGGTCATATGCAGTGGCTGCGACGCGAATTGTCTTCAAACTACTACTCCAAAGCAGTGGACCGAGACAGCAAATTTATTGCATTAGTTTTCCTGGAGCATGTTTGAGGGAAACCTTGACGCGGTTTGAGTCATGCGTAAAGTGTGACTTTCGTTTCGGAATGTCAGGGTTAAAATTTTCAAAGTGCTTGTAAGTCCTTAGAATCCTTACGTCGCTGCTCCTCCACTTTCACCACTCAAGCAACTATACGTATGCAGTAGGCCTGAAAATGAGATGTGGAATAGATTGAAGTATACTTAAAACATAAGAGATGCTTCTCAATAGCGTGCTGCCAGCTCAGCAAGCACGTGCTTCGTCCCAACAAACCGCGTTCCATCTGAACAAGGTATTCCCATCGTCTATGTGAGGGCGCAGCACCTGCGGCCTTACAGTGCTGCAGGTACTTTGCAAACAACCGTGGTCACAAGGAACAAGTGATTGAGTAGCGATGTCACTTCCCATAAGCTGCTCGATCTCAATGTCAGCCTCCACAAGATGACGACAACGACAATGCACTCGAAGAGCTGCTGAACCTTAATGAGTCACCTCAGGATGACGACGGCGATGACAACGCCAAAGGGATGTCAACCCTTGATGACAGGTCACTCCCTCAAGGTAACGAAAAGACCTCGCCTAGCTGTGCAGTTCAGATGCTACCGGTTTACCAGCCTGAACGTGGCATCTATGGACCCGGGACGTATCTGATGACTTCGCAAGCCGAAGATACCTGCACCAGTCCTCAAGAAGACGACGACAAGTTCTGTGTTCCAGATCTCATATTGTAGATAGCTAGCAACGTCCCGTGCAACTTCTTCAAATTTGTCGCCATATTCATTGGTAAATTGCGATAGTGAACAACTCTACGCTCCAGCTGCAGTGGAGAATATCTTGGGTCAATTGACACAAGAGGCCAATTGTTCTATCATGTCATTGCAAGGTTGTAGCCTATGTCTCCACGGCGCGCATCAGACTCAGCTTGACGACCGTTCGAACTGGCAATAACGGGTTGGCGTATCCTTCGCGACATTCTTCAGTCTATAAAACCAAGGAAGTGTCCCCGTCGTCATTCATTTTTGCGACCAGTACTGCCTATTCTATCAATTCGATGGATATAGAGGAGATTTCTCAAACGCTGCTAAGACCCAGCGTATATTTGCAGACTGAGACGACAGTGCCGCTCTATATGGATACGGTAGTGAGGACCGTGACGCAATGCCTTGTTTGGCCGTGGCCGCACAACGACCTTGAACCTGGTCGATATCGAGGCCGTAGTCGTGCCGGCTACTGCCAAAGCTGTGATCGTTTCGGCGAAAGACACGCTGGGTCTGTGGTTCGCGAGCTGCAGACCACGTTGCTCTCTGACACTACCACCGCTCTGAAAGTGAGCGGCCCTCCGCAGCTGACAGGCTACAAAACAAAACCAAGCAGGGCACAGGAGGTAGTGACAACTTTGATGCTTGCTCTGATGCCGTGTCGTTGATTGCAAATAAAGGCTTGATTGACCAGAGCGACGATGTTTAGACAAGGTGCAGCTCATCACATTACCAATGAAATTGCTTTGTTCATCCCAGCTGACGCGTGGGACTAGGCCGGCCAACTTGATCTTGAGAGATGATAGCAAGCTGAATCCTCGCGGCAACGACGGCATTACTCTGTCTGTACTCGAACTGCCCCGAAGTAGGACAGCGAGACAGCGGTGTTGCCCGCTATATAAACAAATATTGGCTTAGGCCAGATCGCCAACAATGACGGAGCAGGAAGTGCCGCAACCCATTGCGCGCGAGGACAAGTATTGGAAGAACCATACACGTGAGGCGTGTATCTTTCAAAGACAGAACAAGCGGCGGTGCCGCTGAGTTCCTATATAGGCCATAGAGTCCTGAGAGGAGTAGGTATGTAAGACAACGGAACAAAAAAAAAAAAAACTCTGTCTGTACAGGCTGGTCAACATGTCGTCCTGGAAAACTGCATGCACGTGCCACCTTTCAATTACAATCTGCTCTTCGTCAGCGAATTGACATCTTCATGAATGGGCGAGTAGGATAGGCAGAGTGCTTTTGCTAGAGATAGAAATTTGATAGAAGTAGGAGTAGATGATGAGTTGTGAAGGAAGGGCGAAGACAGCAGAAGGCTGTCTCTTGATACTTTTCAGGCTCGAGCGAGAAATCTGACAGTGAAGAGGGAACGAGAGTACAGGAGCTGACTTGGAGATGTCAGGTCTGCGACACAAAGCAGAGACGTAGGAGACAACGAGGCGGGCGTTAACGGGCAAGAGCGCCAGAAGAGATAAGAGGATGATATTGTTGGGGAGCGAGAAGGGTAAGAGCACAAGTAGAGATAATGTGACAAGCGTTGATGAGAGACGAGAGACGAGAGGAAGAAGAGCAGAGAATAGAGTCTTGAGCAGCCAGAGCATATAGAGAGCAATGCCATGTGTAGGGTCCAAGACTCTGCTTTTATAACACAACAGAGCAGGAGCTAGGGGCCAGGAGGGCAATATCCGGGTTGGGGGTCTTTGGGGTCAAGGCACACCTCATTCTGCTCGAGACCGAAACTTAAAAATGTCTGTGTGCACTCCAGGTTGAGATTTGGCTGTTGAGATGAGCCAGCTGCAGTGAGAGGTGCAACTGGATCTTCAGCGGGCTCTTTGTTGAGATCAATGGTAAAGATCGATTGTGTAAGAGGCACTTGTAAGATTAGCTCCCTCTGGAGAGTAGCGGTACATTGCTTCGACTGACTCGACTTGCTCTTGGGACCTGGCTTTTTGTGGTGACAGAGTCTCTTTCGCTCTGCTGTTCCTGGGGAGTCTCTATCGCAATCGACCAAAGGATCCCAAGCCGCGTTTTCCAACTCCCAGCCTTCTTGTGTCAAGAGCCTCGCAATGCAGATGTAATGGCACCTGATCGCCACATGTCCGCAGGATATCGGCTGGCGTTGTGTCACCGATCTCTCTATCAGGTACATGTATTTTGGGTCAACATGGTGGATTCGGAAGCCAATGAGAGTCGCTTCACATTTACATTGGAAAAATGGGCCATTGACTTGTTCGTTGGGTGGACACAGTGACAGTGTGCATGCTCGCTCAGCCCAGAGCGCAGCGGAGAACCCAGCGGAAACAAGTCTTGTGTTTACACAAACGTTGGATTGAAAACAGCTGCGTTCGTTGACATGTCTTGCCTTGACATTCCTCAAATACTCTCGGTATAGAGCTGCCTCTTCTCCGCATGCCGTTGCACATCCAATCTCGCTGATGCTCGAAAGCTCCTTGTGGAACTGAAGCTTCAAGCCATAGCATTTGTCGACATTTGCCGTTGGTGTACTTGAAGGTGTTTGTGTCTGTTCTCGTGCCTTGCTTGAACCTGCCCCATCGTCAGATCGGACGCGTTTTTGGCCGCGGTTTGTGTTCTGAGTCGTTGTTGATGTTTCTTCTTGCTTGCCTGCTGTGCGGCCTGGCTCTGCTGCGGCTGCTGCAGTCGGAGATGCGTCCGATGGCGCAAACTTGCCAATGAGGAGAAGACTTGAGTACAACAGAAAGATGAAACGCTTCATTCTTGCTGTTATCGGAGTGTGTCAAGTCCAGGGTCTTCGGACTCCAGCGACTGCCAAAAATATGAAGAGAGCCAAAATATGGCAGTGATGAATCTGCAAAATGATCTGCATCGTCAAATTGCAACGATGACTTGATGTCGCAACCGTGAGCAAAGACCATCAACTTGCCTCAAGGCGACATTCGCAAACAAAGCAGCACGTTATGCTAGCGTTGTATGTAACATCGGATTCAATGAAGCCCCTGCATTCTACTCGACCATGTATGCGAATGCGAGCATCGACCAAATTGTGGCAGGTCATATGCAGTGGCTGCAAAGCGAACTGTCTTCATATACACCTCCGAAGCAGTGGACCGAGACAGCTATCTTATTGCATTAGTTTCCCTGGATCATGCTTGAGGGAAACCTTGACACGGCTTGTCATGCGTAAAGTGTGACTTTCGTTTCGGAATGTCGGGGTTGGAAATTTCAAAGTGCTGCAGGTACTTTGCAATCCACCGTGGACACAAACAACAGTGATTAAGTAGTGTTGCCTAATTTCTTTTTTGATACCTTCAGCCCCGCCATCTGGAAATGGTAGCCGCTACGGGAACTGAAGCCGTTAGAACTATCTCCCTCTTTCGAAATAGGTCAGGGACTTTAGGCCGTGTCACGGAGCTCTAGGCCCGAATGACACTATCCATCAGGCAAAGAGATCCATCTGGAACAAGCATCTTGAAGCATCCAGACGGCACAGCTGCAGGGCACGCATGCGTCACTAACTAGGATTTCACACTTGACGTGTGTGAGTCGAGCTGAGCAGTGCCTGAACGGTACACGAGCGAAGGAAGTCTCAAGACAAAGCTGGTAAGTCAACGAATCATGTGACAGCTGACGAATGCCGAGCAGGGCCGGACAAAGACCAGAGGCCCATATAAAGGAAGATGACACGTTTTTTCTCGCTGGCTATCTGTCGCAGAAAGGGACTGCTCGCTGTTCTGGCTTTTTGCAGCTCCATTTGGAAATGACTGCTTGCATACAGATGGAACAGACTGCCAGTAATGATGTAGGTGTGCAATTCGACAGTGGTAGTAGTCACAACATCCATGACACCGACAAGGCAAGTGTGTGCAATCGCCGGCGCATGACTCCATTGACATTATCTGGACGCTTTATGCAGCGGCTGACGCATAGGGTGTTGTGCTTGTGTTGGAATAACTCGTCACCTAGATTGTGACTGTTGGTCCATGGGACGATCAATAAGGATAAGCAGACTGTAGAGTCAGGTGTTGCATAACCTGATAAGAGAGCAGAGGTGAGATCAGCTATTAGCCTCTTGAAAAGAAAACATTGTTGTCTCAAGGGCACATGATGTGATCACTGCGTGAGGTCTGACGCATGCCTTCGTGAGCGGTCCTATCCGGAGTCGATACTGTCCAACGTAGCAGGCTCGGATTTTTGAGCAGGTTTGGTCATCAGCTTCAACCAACTTTGTCGTCATATCCGTTGGTAAGCTGCAAATGGAAGGCTCTATGCCACAAATGAGAACATCTTGAATCAATTGACACTGTCCCGTCATTCCATTGCGAGATTGCAGCCTATGTCTCCACGGCGCGCATCAAACTCGGCTTTACGGCCGTTCGAATGGGCAAGGGAAGGTTCGGCGCATTCTTCGCGACAGTCTTGAGTGCATAGAACAACTCGCTGTCCTCGTCGCCAATCAACGTAAGTGCAACACCTTTGCGACCAGCACGACCTGTTCGACCGATGCGGTGGACATAGTCTTCAATCGTTTTGGCCATACCAAAGTTGACAACAAGCGTGACACCTGGCACATCAATGCCGCGACCCGCAAGATCAGTTGCAACCAACACATCCGCCTGTCCTGAACGCAACTTTGCAAGCGACGCTTCACGTTGATCTTGCGACTTGCCACCGTGCAGTGTCACTGCATGCCACCCACAGTCGTTGCATACGCGAGAGACATAGTCACATAACTTCTTGGTGTTGACAAAGACAATGACGGGCCGGTCAAACTCGCCACTTGCCAGAACTTGTTCGAGTCGCTTCTTGCGACGTTCATCGCCAGTACACATTTCAATGCGTTGTTCGACCGTGTCGACGACTTGTCCCGCATTGCCAATGATGACGGTCGCTGGCCGCCGCAGATACTTGCGAGCAAGCTTCTCGACTGCTTGAGGCATGGTCGCTGAAAACATGACAGTTTGTCGATATCGTTCTTTGCCACCAATCATGGCCGTCATTCGCGTTGGGTCTTCCGCAGCATCCGAGTCTGGCTTCATGTTGTGAACTGGCAGTGCATCGAGAACCTCGTTAACGGCCTCTTCGAATCCGAGGTCAACCATTCGATCTGCTTCATCCATGACCACGTATGTACACTGAGAGAGGACAAGTACATGTCGTTCGAGACAATCTAGTAGTCGCCCAGGAGTGGCAATCACAATCTCACAGCCTTTACTCAGATTGAACGACTGCTCTTCAATGGATCGACCTCCCACAATCGATACGACGTTGAGACCCAGACTGCTGGCAAATTTGCGCGTTTCCTGCTCAATTTGCTGGGCAAGCTCTCGTGTCGGTGCTAGTACAATCGCGTAGGGTCCATCATTGCGATGAGAGGGATCCAGTGCTGGTAGAGATTGGATGTAGACCAGCATGGGGAGCACAAAGGAAGCCGTCTTACCAGACCCCGTTTCGGCAATCCCAATGATATCACGCCCTTGTAGGCCAATGGGTATTGTTGCTCTCTGAATAGGCGTAGGCTGATCATAGCCGACTTGTTTTATCACCTCCATCACAGGTCTGGGGAAATCTGCTTCCTCCCAATGCCTGATGGGTTGCGGAATCGCACTGCCTTTTGTCTGTATTGCATAGTCTTCCTTGAAGATACGCCAGTCTCGCTCACGCATCTCAGCGAGTGTCTTGTCAGACCAGTGACGGTCGTCCCACCCTTTCTTGTCTGCATGACGCTTTTCAAAAGCAAGCAACTCTGCAGCTTGTTCAGGCGCACGTTCATGAATTGCGCGTGCATATGCTTCTGACGTTTCTGCAGCAGAATCTGCTAACCCACCGAGTGTGCCTCTTCCGTAAAACCGAGGAGCCTGACGCTGATTATAGAGAGGATCTTGGTCAGCGTGCGTGGTATCATCACCGCCATCCCAGTCAAATACGACTTTGCGAGGATCGTTCACTTTTCGCTTCTTCTTGACGGGTCCTGTACTTGTTCCATAGACGGACGAGGGAGCACTTGACCGAACGATCCGATCGTCTGAGACTGCATAATCCGGATTGAGCTTTGCAGGAGCTCCACGGCGAGCCTCGACCTCTTGAGCACGTCTAGCGAGTGCCAATGCAGCTTTTTGTTCAGCACGTTGAGCAGCTGTCAAGAACTTGGGTCTTCGAGCAGCTTCTTCACTTTGTTTGAGTTCAGCAGCAAGAGCAGCGACATCAAGCGGCTGCCGTGACATAGAGGAGCTCTCTTCGCTTGTCAATCTGTATACTTGTAGTCCACGCTCAACTTCAATTTGGCGTCGTCGCAACTTCAAACTCGCTACACCGCAAGATCTGGACGACATGACCAAAGCCGGCCAGGACGACGCAGAGGAGCGCGGCTCGCTCTCGCCAGAGCTTGTCGCAGAGGATGATGCTCTAGATGATGTCTCCTCCGACTCTGACGGGACCTATATCATCGAAGTCGCGGAAGACGAGGAAGAGAGCCATGTCACCATTTGTCGCTGGAATGATACACCCTCGGGCCCGTGCAACGAGAACAAAGGGGATACAGACGGTCTTGTGAAGCATCTTCATGAAGATCATTTAGGCAACAGACGTCCGAAGTACACTTGTGAATGGGATGACTGCACACGTAAAGGTCTACCACAAACCTCGCGTTTCGCCCTTGTCGCCCACCTTCGCTCACATACCGGTGAAAAGCCATTTTACTGCACTATCCCAGAATGCGACAAATCATTTACGCGCAGTGATGCGCTGGCGAAACACATGCGAACGGTGCATGAAACGGAAGCACTGAGGCCGAGTGATCCAATTCCAAAGACACACCCGGCACATACGCAGTATATTTCTGCCATGGCGGCTGCAGGCATCAAGAGTATCGGTTCACGACCAACACTCAGTGATTTGCTGACACCGGATGGTGAGTTGTGGGATGATAATGAGCATGAAGGAACAGACGAGGAGGAAGAAGGCCTCGATATGCGAACACGATGGAAGATTCTGCGAAGAAAGTATGGATGGCTGCAAAAAGACCTCGTCAAGCTAGAAGAAGAAGTCAAAGCGGCTTCGTTGCAGCTCAACAACGAACGGATTGAGAAGGAAATGGCTCTGGAAGAGGTGCTGAAGGGTGAACTGCAAGAGCACGAATGGTCCCAAGTGATTCGCTGAGCAGTACTTTGACTATTGCATGCTATGAAGCAGACCGTCTCGCGCGGGTGAACGCCGTTGTCGGTGCTTTGCGGAAAAGGGAGACGCTCATGGCGCTCGTCGCCAATGCCAACGCATACCAAGTGACGATGTACTGCATGTGGTTGTTGCGGAGCAAGACTTCATGTGGCTTGCCAACAGGGATACCCTGCTCCTCCAGATCGTCAGTTGCATACGATGCGTCAATAGTCTCTTCCACAAGGATAGGCTCGCATCCTGTATGCGCCGACATTTGTTCAATATCGACATAGTAGTATTGACCTTTCACATCATTATTCGCAGGTGTGAATAAGTTCTTGTTGGTTGTTCGCCGTAGTAGTCCAAAGATGCTTGTGGTACTTTGTGGCAGTCCAGCTGGTCGGTCTTGTTGCCGTGCGAGCGTCTTGCTGATCCAGCCGCGATTGACAAGCAAGCCTCGTTGAGTCTCAAGCTCCCTAAAGGGCGTTACGACATGATAACCAGTCTGGCCGTCTCGCTGCCGCGGACCAACAAGCATCTCTCTATCATGCTGAAATGTACCACGCAGTTGCACAGGCACAGCATCACCCGCTTCTGCGGGCTGCTGCAAGAGTGGATCAATCTCATTCAGGGACGCGAGTGCTGGTCGCCTCAATTTCTCCTCCACCTCGTCAATTAGGTCCAGCTTCCACTGTCGCCGCTGTACTTGCCACGTTCCAAGGGCAAAAGCCGTGATGGGCATGACGATGATGAGGTAGCGGATACGAGAGGAGGGACGAGGAGCATGTCTCGTAGCGCTAGAGAATGAGCGAGCAGAGTAAGCTGTAGAAACACCTGATTTGCCAGCAGAGACGAGATTCATGCAGCATCTTGACTTGAACATGATTTACAGAGCACACAGGGAGCTTCTTTTGAGCACACTATGTGGTAGACACAGGAGAAGAGCCTCTCGACTGTTTCGTCTTGGTCGTGGTCGCTGATGTAAGCGAAAGTTGAAAAGATTCACCGCGAGCAGCAGGCACAAACAACACCCAAGAGCATCATGTTGAAGCAGCCGTGCAGGGCCTTCGTGCAGCATGCATGTGGACCATCGCAGTTCATCCGGGCCTTCTCAGCAACGCACATATCAAGTATGCGGAGAAAACCGCAGACACACCCATTGCTACCTGTACCCAATGCGAAGAAGAAGCCAATCCCGACGCCGGAGAACCACCCGCTCTGGCAATTCTTTCGTCCAGACAAGCAGACCATGACGTCGCCTGCAGAAGATGCCAAGCATGGTCGCAGCTGGACCGCACAAGAGTTGCGTCGCAAATCCTTTGACGATTTACATGCTCTATGGATCATCTGCTTGAAGGAGCGTAACATAATGGCGACGCAGAGACATGAACGGAAGCGTCAACAGCTGCCAAAGGCTGGTGCAAAGGAAGCGTCCAATAGAGATTGGACAGTAAGGCGGACGATGGCCGGCATCAAATTTGTGCTGAATGAACGCTTCATCGGCTGGACAGAAGCGGTCGAGCTGGCGAAGGCAGAAGGGCTCATCGAAGCTCCACCTCAAGAACAGCTCGAGACGCCAGCTATACAGGAGAAGGCATATGATGCTGTATTGCAAGACTCGGTTACCCCTGCCAGAGAAGAGCGCGTCTCAGCATAGATTCGAGTGTCGAATCACGACATGTTTGACACTACGAGGCCATTGTCATTGGATATTAAGCTGGAAGTGTTTCTGGGTTTCAATTGCGTGTCTTCGAGTGACAAGTCTCTCGACTAACGACATGACATGAGATGGTAGTCTTCATCTATCAGCCTACATATTGATACACCGCAGAGCACTGCCACATCAAACGAGCAGTTCAGCGTCCATCAAGTGCTCAAAGACTTCGCTTTCGATAGAATACCGAATCATGCCAGCAAACAGAACCACATTCTTCGCCTTTTGCTTCACCTGCCGTGCCTTTGCTTGCCGCGTCGCATCGCCGAATGCGCCTTGTTGGACGGTATGCAAGACTTGCTTCAAGCATCGAATGCTCAACGTCAAGACCGACGGCACATTACGCGCAACACTTTCTTCCAGCATTGAAAAATCTTGAGCTTGCTTTTTGATGGCGCCGATTGGCAAAGCTTCCTGCATTGGGATGATGCCAAGCTGTGCAATGAGTGCCAAGCACTGCTCCACCTTGCCTTGTCCGTATGCTTGACGAACGGAGACCATTCGAAGTAACAAGTCTACTGTTGTCTTGCTTCTTTGAGAAATTTGGCCATTGATGGCTGCGTTGCCATTGTACAGGGCACTCATGTTCCTTGCAAGCACTGCAGGATCTTCAGCATGGACCGGCATTCCAGGCCCTTCACTCGGCGCAGCCTGCATACCATAGTTGGGGTCAAGCAATGCTTCGCCAAGCGTCTTGCAGATCATAGCCACCACGGTATCATACTGTTCCGACAAGTGATACAACAAAACGGCATCTGCAATCCTCCCTTCCATCGCAGCAGCCGTTGCAGCTTGTTCGGAGATGGTACGCAGATACTCACGATCATCATCCAACGCCAGCAATGCTTTGCGTTTCTCAACAAACCCAGGGGCGCGTGTCCCATCGACACGCACATCACCGAGCAGCACGGCAAAGTCGCGTGTCTCAAGAACAAGCTCGCGTGTTGCTTCATGACAGGCTTTACGGAGAATACTGCCATCCCGGAGATCACTGCTCAGGCTGATCAGACAAAGATACTCCACTGCGGTCGTGGATGCTCGATGTTGAATACCACGAGCATACAGAATAGCCATAGATGTGAAATCAATCGCTTCACCAGCATTGTCTGGTGTCGATAAGAGGTTGCCCGCGGCCGCTTCTGGTGTAGCCACGCGTAAGAGACCGAAGTATGCCAGAATTGCAGCAAAATGCACGGCATCCGTCCAGCTGTGGCTAGCAAGGTAATGCACCGCACGCTCGAACTGTCCAGATAGCAGCAAAAGCTGGAAATATAGGAGCGGATTGCTGCCCTTTGGATTGAAATGTCGCGAACCAAAACGAACGAGGGTTGCTTGCAAGTCGCGTAAGCCGAACTGCTCATAAGCGGGTCCGGACGTGTCTGTTTCTCTGCACAGCACGAGTTGTAACCACATCCAATCTTCAGTCACTGGCAAGACTTCGGGTAGACTACGGCGTGCAAGGTCGCAGCGACCGATGATCTTGTAGAGCGCGTGCTTGTATGGGTCTGAGGCTTCGGAAACGTACTTGATTGTTTGATTGTATTCGGAATGCAGTCGATCATGCAGCTGGCGTGGCAGACGCCGTTCCTCATTTGCAGCATAAGCCTTGAGATAGAGCACGAAGTTCTTTTCGAGGCGCGAGATGTAGCTCTCATTCTTTGTAGCAAATGCCACAGCTTCGTCCAAAAAGCCTGCACGGAGCAAGAAGAAAAGGACTGCCCAGATTGGAGTACTGTTGACGATCTCAACATTTGACTGTACCCATTGGCCATTCTTGGCGAAGCGAATATTGGCATAAGCTTTGATTTTAGACTCAACGGATGGCACGCCGCCTAGTCGTGCTTCTTGTGGGTTTCGAGCAATCTCGCGCTCCACCATTGCAAAGAACTGGCTCTCCAAAAAGCTTCGCGCACCTTTTGTCAATTGCCTGGTGAGCTGACTATCCGTTGTAGGCTTCAAGGCATACTGCTGTGCATACTCCCGTGGCTTGAGAAGCTTTCCGACGCTCTCGCGACCGTGCTCAGAGCGTTTTTCATCGACAATGTATGCGAGTGCCTGCCAAGCATCTGCCATTTGCTGTGTCCTGACATCTGCGCCAAGCGTGCGGACCAATTGGCTCATAAGTGTGCTGACAGCAATCGGTTGCTTCAGCATTCGATGTTCATTGAGGGAGCTAATGGCTTGTGCGAATGTCTGTTCCTTGGCCTCCCAAGCACCAGCGCCGGCGTCCATTGACTGGCCTGCTGTGTCGACATCGTCAAACTGTAGCTGGTAGGCACGCCGACGCGCATTGACCGATTTGCCAAATTGACTTCGACCGAGTGACTTGTCCTTGACGGGTTCTTCTTGAGCTGCATTCTTGTCGCCGCTGAATTGCTGCATGAGCCGTCTCTTTCGCGTCTCCCAGCTCGTTGCAAGGTGTTTATCCATAAAAGCCTGGAAATCCACTTGGGCCTGCTGCTTTCGTGCTTCAATGATCTTGATGATGGACTGCTCACGGCTGTTACGGACGTACGCGTCAATGTCCGTCTCGACGGATGCAGTGGCTTCTTGCACGTCTTCCACTTGCAAGGAGTTAATGGCTCGGCTTGTGTGCTCGGCATTGATACCGCTGCCGGCAAGGAGATAGTGTCTGTATGTCAGCATACGCTTGCGACCATGAAGCAGCCTACGCTTTTGTGTAATTGCCGCGTTGATTCGTTGCCAGACTTGCACATTTGTTGCGCAGCTCATCCAGTGTCCACTGCAGTTTCGGGAGGTCCGGGTGCAAGATGCGATCAAGAGATGAGTTGAGCAGCTTGCTCCTCTCCAGGAGATCGTCCAGCTCGACCGTCATTGCTGGTATGTGTACAAGAAGTAGTCTTGGTCGTTTCTCCTTTGGCGCAGACGTAGAAGCAGTCACATTGCGCTATAGATATATTTAATACTGAGCAGAGGAGGCCTACTTGGTCAGCTCCCATGCTTTACTGATCTGGCCCACTGCTGCAACAAGGCCCAGTGCACCCACCTGCCGCTCACTCAGTCCAATCCCCTGATATGCACTCCAGTGCAGCGTCAAGGGTGCATAGGCCAGGTTGATGATGACTTCCCTCAGCCAATGGACTCGGGCCTGCTGCTGCTCCTTTGTCTTGATTCTTGCACTTGACTGTAGGGAAGGTGTGGATTGACGCTCGAGCATGAGCTTGTACAAGTCCAGAAAGACATGGGCTGCCCACATTCGGCAGGACCAAGTCCATAGCTTATTCTCCGTCTGCTTCGACAATGGCAGGATACCGTGCTGTGAAAGGTACGCTGCATTCTCCATTGGCTGGTAGGCAAGATTGACAAGGACCTGTATATCCTCAATCCAACTTGGGATAGGTCCAGTTCTAGCAGAAGCAGGCTTGTTATAGACGCCAATACCCCAGCTGTGTATAGCAGGGTAACCAACCAGTCGAGCAAAGATACGGTAGTCTGAGCACAGATCACGCAGCCTCTTTGCACTGAGCAGTAACTGAGCCGTAGTCAGCGCTTGCCCTGTGACGAGTGCTTTAGGGTCCAATGTGCGTTTGACGAGGGATGGCAACACAAGCGTTAGCGAATACTGGACCAGCATGAGAATGCGATCAACACCGCCGGCAGAAGAGGCTAGCTTTGCAAATCGCTGCATCAGCACAGAGGACGATGACTTTGGCGAGAGCGCCGAGACAGCAGGCATATTGCAGCTTGGACAAGTTGGTTGCACAGAGAAAGTGTCGTCAATTGACATTCGCCGTGTTTTGAGAATGAAGCTGCAGGGGTCACGAATGTTGACTACGCTTTACATGACAATACAGCAGGCTGGCTTTCGCTTGATTGTACAGAAACTCGCCGGCTTCTTGAGATTCCAGTCCTCCTCCTCTTCCTCATCATCATCATCATACCACACGTTCGATTTGGCCTCCGATTTGGGACTCCGCTGACCATCTTCCGACCCAGCTGGCGATTTCGGCGGCGACTCAATCAGCAACTTGCCACGATGCTCGAGCAGCATCTGCTCAACAAAAGCTGAATTCCCATTCTCATCCGCTGTATCAATATCTTGCGCTGTCAAAATCAATGCAGAATCATACGGTTTCGTTGCAAGCAATACATCCACCGTATATTTGAGCTCATTTTGATACGACTCAAAGGAACGAGGCCCTGCACCAGCAGTTTGTTGACAACCCAGACCATGTGTCACCTTCCGTGCACCCGTCGTTCGCAGCAAGAGATTCGCAGCAGCCCAGCCGTGCTCTTCTGACAACGTCTGTGACGCCCCTCGACGAAGAAGTAATCTTGCAATGCCAAAGTTCTCAAACATAATGGACAGGTGAAGCGCGGTATAATCGCCAAGGACACGCAAGTCAAGCGTTGCAAGTGGGTGCGCCAGTATGAGCTTGACGACCTCTTTGTGATTATTGCACGACGCGAGCGATAATGCAGTGTGGGAGCGCTCGCCCAGTTCTCTTGTATCTGGATGAATCATGGCAACAGTCAGAAGCTTCTGAACAAGTAATAGATGGCCGTATCGAGCCGCATACGGAAGCAACCTGCCTGCACGCGCAACAATCCGTTCATGCTTCAGCATAGGTGAGGCAGCGAGCGTATGAATGAGCGCCTCGGACGAAATGAGACTGGCGTGGCGACACCAATGATCCAGAATATATTTGAGCAATGGCTGATCTGCGCAAAGCTGCATCGTTGCTTGTTCTTCAAGATTTTGTGCGCCAGGAACTTGTGCCATGTATCTCAAACATATCTCTGTGATGCGATAATGTGAGTCTCGAGGTTGCATGTACAGATAATGAGAGACTGGTAGATTGGCAAGATAGGCACGAATAGCATCTGTCCGCAAGATGGCAGTTTGTCGGAGGCTTGTTTGCCAGCGGACATGACCACAGGGGCCTGGTACAGCAAAGGACATGGGCAACATTCTAATGTCAACACTTGCAGGAAAGTGCGTGACGAGGAACGTCTCGAGGTCTTCAACTGCACCAGGTCGCAGGCGAAGACCATCAGAGGTGAAGCTGAACTGAACAAAATGCCTTAGCTCAGACATGGTCAGTGGCCGTTGAGCAAGTAACAGCCATCGAAGAATTTCCTTGATGAGTTGAGTCCCACCACGAGCGTCGCGTTCTTCCCTGTCGAGGTCTAGCTCCTGTCGCCATGGCTCCGTTGCTGGCAATGTGCGCAGGATGCTGCGATAATTGACAGGTGGCAGGCGGAGTGTCAGTGGTCTCGTCTGAGACATATTCTTGTGTCTTCTCACAACAAGAGACATACTTTTCGTTCTTGGGATACCGAATCCGATGAAGACACCGGCCTCATATACCAAAACACCAGTGAGCCGACGAAATTAAGGGCCCGTGCTTGATTTTTACAAAGGCCCGAGCGCTCTGCGGAGTGGCAGCTTATCGTTGCCTCGTCTAGTTGTTCATTGGAGAATATCTTGCATGGCTGTTGTACGCTCGGACAGTCGTGACCTTGATAATCTGCACGTCGCACCGTGCCACAGCTCAGGCGAAGGCTCCTGACACGCGACATGATTGTGCTTGAATAAGCGGTCGCTTCGACTCATTGCGTGCTGAGGAGTGCTCTGATATGCGATCGTGTTTCGTGCTCGACCATGGTCTCGGTCTGTAGAATACAATCGCGCACGAGCAAGATGGTCTTTGTGTCTTCTGCATTCACCCATACTCTGCCGTTGAGGCCAACAGCCAGCTCAAACGATAGTTGCGCGCCGAGCATCTCAAGCACGACATTATTGGGTGCAAGTAGACGTCTGCATAAACCTGTGGACAAGCCCTTCATGAGATACCCACCCTTGAGTTCACCGAAACCACCTGCTTTCCCCTCTGCATTCATACACTCAATCTCGGGTTCCATGACTGAGCCACCCGTCACGACACGCGCATAGACCAACGATCCAACCACGAGATTTGGCTTGTTCTTGCGATTGACGTTGAAAAAGGCTAGAGCACCCAAAGAACCGGTCAATGCGCCACCAAGATCGACTCGATAACCCTCTGCGAAACGCGCCGTGACTTGCGCAATGACACTGTCTTGTGATGCTGGGACATAGCGTTTTTGACTGGATGCGACGAAGGGGACACCGTTATTGGTGGTGTGTAACTTGCCTGCCTTAACGACGATGACTGGGCCGTCTGGCAGTGCGCGGAGACCGGGCCCCAACTTACGAGGGGCAGATTTTGATTGTGTAGCTTCGAGAGCAGCTCCTGGTAGGACGACAGACATTGCAGAGAGTCCTGAGCAGCAGACAGTAGCTAGGAAGGAAGGTGTAGCTGGTGGATGATTGTGAAAATTGAAATTCGGCGACAAAAGCGACCGCGACAAGACTCAACTTGCGACGGCTCGAGCGACAACATTCAGTAGCGCTCTGTTTAAGGCCACAGAGTACAATAGGAAGAGGCCCTAGCTTATTGACTTGTCTAAGTTGCTACTCGCCCAATATTTCTCGGAAATTGCCACTTGGCGCATCTTCCGTCGCCATGTCCAAGCAGACACTCTCGCAGATCGTACGGCGCTCTTCATGCAGCCCTTTTGACTAACAAAGCCCAGTACAGCAAATTACCGCGCGCGGATCTTGTCTTTCTTCTCGGCATTCGCGACTTGGACACGGCAGGTGTCCCTTCTGAACTCGTGGATCGCCTCACTGACCACGACCTCGCCACCTTTCCAGCAGCAGCGCGCCTCGACTCGTTAAGAGCACAAGAAGCCTCTGCCCTATTGGCAAATACCACAGCGATACGTATTCGTGAAGGCGCATCCCGTCATACACCCACACACGTCTGTGATCCACAAAAATTGAAAAACCTATGGTTGCCACCAGAGATATGGACGCTTGTGGTACGTCATACGAATGACTGGGAACTAGGCGCTGCTCTATTCGTCTCTGAGATTGGCATTCGACGGCCTGCAATCTGGGATCATGCTACGGATTTGGACTTGGCGGTCTTGCATAATGATTTGAAGCAACTACAAGTCCTGGCGCGTCGTGCGCCGTGCTTGAAGATACCGCGGCATGTGATTGATGTGGTGCTAAGATTCGAGTATATTGGTATACTGGAGTGGATCTGGCGTAACGTTCCCACGACTTTTCAAGCGGAACAGATTCCCTTACTTGCGAGTCGCTACAACAGTCCAAAAGTATTACAATGGTGGAAAGACACCATGCAACCAGATCAACTACATTATACGGAAAGCTGTTTGGATGCAGCGTCTTCCTCTGGCAGACTTGACGCACTCAACTGGTGGAAAAACTCTGGCCTTCCTCTCAAAATCGGTCGTGTCTTGGACTTTGCATCCGATGAAGGCGCTGTGGCTGTTCTTGAATGGTGGAAGCAGTCAGGTCTCAATTTCCGATACTCCAAGTTTGCCATGCGTCATGCTTCACAAAATGGCCATGTGCACGTTCTTGAATGGTGGCTCAATTCAGAGCTACAGCTATTCTATGATGCTAGCTGTTTGGACTATGCAACGCGCTTCAATCGAGTGGCCGTGCTGGATTGGTGGAGCAGGTGTGGTCTCATGATTGAGTATCGCATCATGGATATTGAAGAAGCGCTTGGTGAAGCGGTTGTCGGTGGGCATGAGTCGCGTCACTGGTGGCGCGTTCAAATGGGAATCGACTTTGGCGTCAATAATAGTGAGTGGATGCGATACAGGATCCTGAATGAAGCAGCGACATATCGTCATGCTTGAGCTGGCCTGAGGTCCGCTGTTGACGAAGACCATGATTGAATGTTGAGTAATTTGGCCATCTGTGCATCTGGGGAAGCATTAAGTAGCAAATCGTGAATGACGAGATCAGGCTATGCTTCTTCATTTTGATATTTGCGTGAGGAGCTTCTCCCAATTCGGTTTCGCGTGCTCCTCGCCAGTCGCCACAGACGTACTACCTTGCCGGTGGAATGGACGTGAGTAGAGTCCATTCTCTTCAATGTAATCCACCACACTTTCTGGCAACAGGTAGCGAACACTGTATTCCTTGCGAAGCAGCAGCCTTACTTTTGTACTCGATACATCATTGAGCACCGTCTGCTCGACTTGATGGATGTTGTTGCTCCAGGCAGACAACGCGCTCGTTGCCTTTTTGATATCAGCTCCCATACGCTCGACGATGAAGGCACCGTAGTTGCCAAGAATGTGGTTCAGGTCGTTTGCGTCCCAAACACCTTCGTCAGACATGGTCTTGAGCAGATCGGATCCAGCAAGCAACATGATTTTTACTCTCCGCTTAACAGGCATGCCCGTCTCTGGATCTCTCTCTCCCTGACGCACCTCCACGCCGCCCATGCGTGTATTTATCTCATAATCAAAATGGTCCAGCACAAGCGCTGTCGGTGTATATGCCGCTTTTGTGGCCTCCCATGGATCTACATCCCAGCGATCGCTTGTCTCTTCACAGGCGAGTTTCACCATATTCAAGCGATGTTTTGCAGGTGCAAGGCCTTCCTTTTTGTACGCATCCGAGACGGGTGAGAAGTATCCGCCCATGAGCTCGAAATTGGTCGAATGCCGCGCATAATCTGCCGCTAGCTCAAACATGCGTAAATGAAGGTGTGTGATGGGCGAAAAGGAACCACAGGCAACGAGAACGAGCGGTTCTCTCGTTGAATCTTGAAGTGTCGTCCGTAAGCGGGCCGTCGGGAAGCGATAATGCGTCTCTTGATCAGGAGATGCCCCTGTAATTGTGTTCACATGTTGCGCATTGCTTGAGAGCATGGCTGTAGAGAGTTCCGAGCCGTGACCCAATAGATGATGTTCGGATAATGCTTGGCGCGTGGTCGTGTCAACAAAACAAGACTGAGCGGGCAATGTATCGGGCCCTACAGCGGAGAAAAAAGCAGCTTCTATGCGATGAAGTTGTACAGCAATGGACGCGTCTTGCCGTGCGAATGGAGCTCCCTAGGCGCCTGTCTTGTGCCTCGTGTCCCTTGTCCCGTCGTCGCTGCTTTTGTGTCGTTTCTCAATTTTGATTTTGGCAGCTGGGTCACGTGTGCTGAAGGTGCTGCCCCAGTCACAAAATCAGTTCACGCAACCTCAACCAGACCAACATAAACCATCTGTCTGCTATCTGCTGTCTGCTATCTGCTATCTGCTACTCCTCGTCTACTCTCTCCGTCTACATGGTAGCTGACTATGCCAGACAGACAAGCTGAAGAGTACCCACTGCTGCTTGAAGACGGCGACATTGCAGCACTCCTAGCTCAAGATGCCGCAAACTTGCGAGCAAAGTACAACCGTCACGGGATCTCTGCCTACCTGACTCCTGCTAAAGTGGAACGACCCTCTTCTACAAGGGTCAATACGCGATTCTTGCAGAATACTGTCAGGGATGTACGAGGTCACAACGCCATGCTGGCAAAGCGTGAGCGTGATGAACGACTCAACATGAAGAATCACCCATTGAAAGACATGATAGGTCAGCCAAAATCTACTCCAGGTCCCTCTGAGACCGCGGCCAACCTATCTCTCAGGAAGCAAAGGCGGCCATCTGAGTCTGGACGCGACATTGCAAATGTTGATTTGGGCGGGGAGAGAGTCTTGCGGCGTGACGGGTCGAGATCTTCAGCTCCGTTGGAACAGAGAGGATCCGGTCATTTTCGTTGTCGTCGCTCTGCAAGTCCCAAAGCGCGTATGCAAACGGCTTTAGGTCATCTGTTGAAGAATTCACCGACTTGCTCAAAGCGTTCACCAAAAGATCATACATCTTCAAGTCTCGAACAACACAGGCAGTCCAGGTCCTCAGGTGATGCGCAACGGCAAGCTGCGTCTCACCATCCCGGACAATCAGGCCAAACGAGCACGGCGAAAGACGACTCTGCTCACTGGCGTTGTGGAGGTGGATACCTCTGATTTGTCCTGCGACTGTTCCAAAGATCACGTCAAAGGCACAAGCGGTCGCTAGAACAGTCTCTACGAGATCTAGATCGTCCTGTCTCCATCGTCTCGTATCGTGTTTCTCAAAGTCACGATCTCAAACGTTCACCTGGCAGTTGTACCGATCTTCCTCTTCGAAGCAGTTGATCTAGGCTTACATGATGATCTGCTGAAACGGCCGCATTTGTCAACACGCACACTTGATAGTCAGTCACAAGCTCTGGCCAAAGGACGCTGCCTCGCCGCGGGGGCTGACTCTGTCTCACCAGCCACATCTGGCCGGCACCTCCGACGAATAGATTGCAACTGCACTGGACTATGCGCAAATCATGGTCTGTCCTCAGAGTGTCTGTGTGCTGTCTTCATCGTGAGAAGCTTGCGCTCGAGGATCACATGCAAAGAAGCTATTCGTGGCCCGGCGCCAGGAGGACTGAATTCGACTTCGACATGCTACGGTTGGCTGATTTGATGCACTGGTGTGTACGTCACATGTATACTCATAACTGCTACCGCCGAGCTACAACTTAGTCTACAATGGCTATGAATCCTATGATGCCAAGGAGACAATAGTAAGGCCATTCAATTTCTTGTCAAGTTGAATTACTGTCAACTTTTAAGGCGGGTCCGCACGCTCAATTTCAACGGCTGCCAATCACATCTTCACCAGCCATCTGTGACGCAGATTCAAGTTCTTCCAGAAGTTCGTTGTAGAGTCGTACTCAGGCAGCAGCGATTCTTGCTTAGCGTTGCTGAAGCCTCTGTACAACGACATGGACGACGACCTTTGCTGAATTGGTCGCATCTAGGGCAACAGCTTGACCAGATCAGGCAAGTGTGATGAACCCTTATTGCCATGTCATTGCCCAGCAGCAGGGCTTCTCGAAGCTGTCTCTCGTAGATTTAATGTATCTAGCAGGAGAGTCTAAAAGGCGGCCCGCTGCATGGGGCCCTGAAGATCATAGATTGATCTTGGGGCCGCCGACCCGATTAGGTTGGATCCAGAAACCAGGACCACCACTGGCCCACCACTGGTCCACTGCCCACCAGCCTGCACGGTGCACCAGACAGACCTTGGTGAAAGTTCGGCTAATTCTCTGGGCAGATGAGACACCACGCCGCCTACGGTTATTCCATGGCCACGATGTGCACTCATAGAAGCCCAGGCGGTTCAGGCGCATTTGGACTGCTGTAACTTGTAAGCTCAAATAAAACGCTCTTATCACTGCAAGGACTCGCCATTATCTGGACTAGTGCTAGACTTTGCTGAACCGCTTGTACCGCATTAGGTCAAACAAGTCGCTTGCCAAAGAAGCCCTTCTTTTCTCTTTAGTCTTTGCTCCACCAGCCTCAATTCTACCAGACCCACGACTGACATGCGGTCCATCCGGGCGAGGCCACAGGGCTTTCCCGCTTACTGTCTTGGGCCCACTAGGTGCCCTGGATCCGCCAATGTCTACAATGATCCTCGGCCGCTCACATGGCACAAGACAAGCGCTCGTCTGAATCAACAACGCTCCATTACGCTTGGCCTACCGCCGATCCCAGGCGCACCTGACGAAGACGACACAAGTAATAAAGACGGCGATGCGCACAACTCCTCTCTCAAAGACAAATTACTCGAATCTGCTCTCACCACCTTTGCATCGCTAGCTCTCCTCGGACTCAGCGGCTATGCTTATCACCGGTATTATAAGTATGTCACCCTCGACAAAATCACCCATGCCTTTCAAGCTGGAGATCCTGCGCTCGATTTCCACCACAATCGTCACCACTTCGAGAGTGCCAGCGAGGGCCTCGAGGGTGCTGCGGACCACCAGTTTGTCATCAGAGACGAGCAGTCTGAGATCGATGCCATCGTCCACGGCAAGCGTGCAGGATCTTATTACTTGATCATTGGTGAGAAGGGCAATGGTAAGAAGGGAATGCTCCTCAATGCGATGCACAAGTCGCAAGGTGAGCACTGCTCCATCATGGATGCTAGCTCGGATCTGGAGATCTTTCGCATCAGGCTCGGCAAGACGCTAGACTATGAGTTTGCCGAAGATTTCATCGGCGGGCTGTTCAGCATCAAGGGTCAGCGCGACGCTGGACCCATTCTCGATATTGAGCGCGCCTTTAATAAGTTGGAAAAGGTGGCCATTCGACATAAACGCGAGTCGGGCGCTAGTCATCGTCCACTCATACTCATCTTCAACAACATGCATCTCATCCCAGACAATGAAGAAGGCAATGTCTTGTTGGAACTCCTCCAGCAGCGTGCTGAGTCGTTTGCTTCCTCTGGTCTCATGACCGTTGTCTTCAACTCTGATGAGTACTGGGTGTATGAGCGTCTCCGACAGAACGGCCGGCACATGGAGCTCCTGCCTGTCCGTGATTTACCTAAGGAAAAAGCACTCAATGCATTCAGCAGCTATCGTTTCCGACTGCATCGTCACGTCTGCTCACAAGAAGATCTCGAGGCAGTCTGGCAAGCTGTGGGCGGTCGTTTGCGCTTATTGTCTAAAGTGGCAAAGGAAAAGGACATGCATGCCAAGCTGCGGCAGTTCCTTCGCCATGAAAAGACTTGGGTGCTGAATCAGAGCGCTCTGATTCCAGACTTTGACGATGATGTGCTCGATGATGGAAAGTGGCAGGCTGGTACATTTATGCTTGCTCAAGCACTCGTGGAGGAAGAGAAGAATAATCCGCCTGGCGAGATGGAGGACCTGGTGTCGCTGCCTCTCTACCGATGTCGCCAGATCCTTACACGCGCTGACTTTATGCAAAAACTCGACGCCCTCAACATCATCACAATCGATACTGACTGCAATGTTCGTGCTGATTCGCGTGCCATGATGCAAGCATTCAGGGAGATTGTCGGCGAGGAGGACTTTCAAGCGAATTTGGATAATGTCATGGACCGCTGTAATGCTGTCGAGTCGCTGCACAGGACGCGAGAGTTGGTCTTCAAGGGTATTGATGAGAATGAAGACCTGCAAAAGGGTGTCGTCAAGGTCTTTTATGAAAAAGTGGCCAAAGCAAGTGAGGATGATGCAGATGAGACGGGCGAGGAGAAGACCCGCGCTCTCAAGTATATCGATGGCAATGTCACTGCCGAGGAAGACGATGACGATGTATTTGTAGTGGCCTCTCGTCGAGAAGACTAGTCTATACACTAATCCTTGTACTCTTTCCTGCTTGTTCCTGTCACTTCCAAACTCAAATGCGACGGACCGCGTAATTTGCAACGACCCCGGACAACGGCCTGTGCGTTGACCTCATCTATCACAAGGCAGTATCGCTTCCAATGCGCCCAGCTCCCGCGCATCTCTGACTAGCCGAAAAGAGAGCGGGCTGCCATGCTGCAAGACCCAGACCTCCTCATCCATCGCCTGCGCCAACGCTACCTCACACAAATCCAAGATGACGCTGGCTTCCGCGTCTTGAGGCTGCATGAACCGGCGCGTCACAAAGCAACAGCCTTCAAGATTGCTGGAGGTGATTTGGAGATCTTTGAGAGATGCACGTCGCCTGATATACCAACCCATGCAGAAGCCCTTGCGAATCGTTTTGGTAATGGAAGGCATGCCTCAGATTCAACTAGCGAACGGCCAGGTCTTGCGCCGGAAGTGAGTTCTTCTACGATCCGGCCTCGGCCTGTAGCGCAAGAGCAAGCCAGTACGTTTGATGGGCTGGATGAGACTGGCCAGCCTAGTATGGATGCGTTTGAAGCCGAGCTCTACAAGGACCACAACTTGTCTGATCAAAGCGATGTTTCCGATAGCGGCGGCAGTGCTACCAGAACACATTACAGCTCAAAGCAAAAGCATGTTCTCATGATGAACCTTCACAAGAAAGTCGCTGCAGATCCAAAGGGCAAGCAAGTGCTCAATGTCAGACGGCGCGGCATCAGTGATGCTTCGGTGACTTACAGAAATCTATCTATTCCCATGGTGCCGAAGATTGCGTATACAGAGCCATCAGCTGGCGAGTTCAAGCCTAGCTCACAGTCTCTATTCAGTGATGAATTGAGCGCACTGGCCGACGAGCACAGCAATCCTGATCCTGATGCTGATTCAGAGATTGGTCTTCAAGGTGCGCCGACTAGTCCAAATATAATGAATTACCACGATGCCTTCTCACGCAATTCAATGCTGGCTGCCGTGGAGGATTCAGAATTGAGTGCATCTGATGGAGAAGCCATGACACAAGAACGTCTGAGCAAGCCTGCTGCCAAACCAAAAGTGGAGGCGAACGGTGACTCGAATGCTGTACATACACCCGCACTCATCTCAAAGCGTTTGATTCCGCGGACAACTGCTCCTACGGTCTCAGGCCTCAGTCTGCTGATCAACGCAAAGCAAAACACGCATACAGACCCATTGGAAGCACGCTTTGGCGCGTTGGATGGTAAAGCGGAGCCGGAACCACTCATGCTCAAGCTTTATCGGCCAACTGGTGTCAACCCATCAAAGCCATTCAGTGTCTGCATCAAGCCTTCAGCAACTGTCTTTGAAACGATTGGCTTTGTCTTGCTCAAATATCTCGAGAGCGAGCAGCAACCGGCCCTGACAGAAGAGCAGCGAGATCCAGATTGCTGGACGCTGCGTATCGTTGAGGATGATGGTGAATTGGATGAAGACTTTCCAGCACTTGATCGAACACGACCCATTTCGAAATTCAGCTTCGATGAGTTTGCCTTGGTGGAAGCGACTCCTGCGCAAATGGAAGAGTACAAGCAATCGCAAGGCACTTCGACTCCCACAAAGTCTACGCGCCACGCGCATACACCTGCAGAGCACCTTCCACCACCCGACCCTGCATTTTTGTCACCTGAACGAAGCAGTCATCCAGGGTCAAGCTCTTTGTCGAGTGCGAAACCGGGTGCGACCTTGGGACAACCCACCAAATCGTTTGCCAAAACGCCAGGGACCCCGGTACTGCTCAAAGTGAAGCTTGCAATGGATACCTCCCAAGCACACCAACAGGATCAAACCACCATTCTCAACGTCACAACGGAAACCTATCTTGGTGATGTGCTCGATCAAGTTTGTCGGCGGCGAAACTTGGACAAATACATGTACTTGCTGCGACTGGCAAGTGCTAACGTGATTGTGCCAACGGATCGCACTATCGAGTCTCTACAAGGAAGGACAGAGTTGGTCTTGATACGAAAACGCGCTAGAGATATACTGCATGACCCCGGCATGCCTCGCAGTATGACGCCTAATGCCCCCATTGTTGCTGCCCCTTTCGCGTACAGCGCTTCGAAGCTTGGCACAAGTGCTGTGGTACAAGGCGATGCATCACTCGTCCCTGATTTCGTCAATGCCAACACCTATCAACGCTGGATCGTTTGGCGTCGGCAGCCGATGTCCTTCATGGGCCGTCATGAGCGTATGCTTGCAATCGATGGCGAGTATGTACATATTTCCCCGACAGAGAGCAAGACGATGTTCGAGAATGCCAAAACAAGCAGCTTGCACGTCGGCCAGATTGTGGTTTGCAAGCAGTCGCGGCGGATACCCATGAATTTCAAAATCATCATCATCAAGCAGGGACAGACGAAGCGGTATGATTTCGAGGCGTCCAGTATCAAGGAGTCTGAGGTGATTGTGTCTAGAATACGGACACTGATGCGGAATACGCAAGTGACGAGACGGCTGTACTAGATCCATCCATATGTGCCTGCCCATCTGATGCTTCGGAACTTGCCGACGCGACTCCACAGTTGGATCCGGCGACGCGACAGGCAAGCAAAGGTATCTACCAGTTCTAAGCAGACTCATGTCGGCGAGTCGTATTTTTCGTCGAGGCATGGCATCTACTTCTTTCGTCAAAATCAACGGACAGCGGCTCATGGAGTCCCTGCATCACAGCTGCCAATGGGGTGCCATTCCCAACTCAACAGGCATGCGACGCCTGTCTCTTGATGACAACGACAAAATTGTCAGAGACTGGTTCAGGGAGCAAGTCGAGGGCTTGGGTTGCAAGTATCACTTCGATGAAATGGGCAACCAATTTGCTATCTTGCCCGGTAAGAACAATGAGCTGAAGCCAATTGCCATGGGTAGCCATCTGGACACTCAGCCAGCAGGCGGCAAGTATGATGGGATCCTCGGCGTTCTTGCAGGTCTGGAAGCATTGAAAACAATCAAAGATGCTGGCATTGTGACGCACTCGCCGCTTGCACTCATCAGTTGGACCAACGAAGAAGGTGCTAGGTTTCCCATCTGCATGGTCTCTAGTGGTGTTTGGTCCGCTGAAATTCCCCTTGCGAGGGCTCATAACTTGGCAGACCTGGACGGGAAAACTATGAAAGAAGAATTGGAAAGGATTGGGTATAAAGGGGATACTCAATGCTCCCATGAAGCTACCCCTATCGCTTGTCATTTTGAATTGCACATCGAGCAAGGCCCTGTAAGGAATCTTTCTTATCTTTGTTGAACAATGCTCACAATAGATTCTTGAAGCAGAGAAAAAGATGATTGGAGTTGTGGAAGGCGTGCAAGGCATGCGATGGTATGAATGCACCGTCAAAGGCCGTGAAGCGCATACCGGAACAACGCCGATGAATGCACGCGGTGATGCTCTGTTGACCGCTGCAAAGTGTATTGCAAACATCAATCGCATTGCAGTTGCACATGATGGTCTCGGCACGGTTGGTGTCATTCAATCTTGGCCTCAAGCCGTCAACACTATCCCGGGCACCGTGAAGTTTAGCGTCGATTTGAGACACGCACAAGATGACAAACTCGACACACTCGAGGCTGCTGTGAGAAAGCAGCTTGAACAACATGCCAAGGAAGCAGGCGTCAAGCTTGAATTGAAGAAGACTTGGGATTCTCCTGCTATCAACTTCCATCCGGACAACGTCTCTTGTGTCAGGCAAGCTGCTGAGGCTGCTGGACTATCTTCGAGGCCGATGCGATCTGGAGCAGGCCACGACAGTGTCTATACAAGCAAACGTGTTCCAACGTCCATGATTTTCTGTCCTTCGAAGGATGGCATCTCGCACAACCCGGCCGAGTATTCCTCTGATGAGGAATGTATCGCTGGAGCTCAAGTTTTGCTTGGTGCTGTCTTGGCATATGACAACCTCGTCAGATCGCGCGCGGCTTAGCTCTTTGTTGTGCTGTCCAAGCTGTCCATGCGTCATCAAGCTGCTTTCTCAATGCAAATGGTTCAATATCACGCTTCATGTGGTCTACAAGCTCAGTGCACGATGGTCGCTTGTCGCTAGTCATCGCTTGGTTTGATCCTGGTGCTTGACCTGATACTGATATGAGCTGAGCCTGTTGCTTGTCGTTGACAACGGGTATGTTGATCGTTTCGTCAGTGTCATTGTTGAGCGTTGCAGATGCTTCTGTCAAAGATCGTCTGCGTCGGCTAGTGTGCTGTGGTCTGTTGTTCTTCTTTGGCTCCAGGTATTTGTTCTTCTGTGGCGACTTTGCCTTGCCCGGCTTCCCGGGATTCGGATGACCTGTAATCACTTTGGATCCAGGGACGTTCCCTGGCAAATGTCCTTCCCTCGATTGGCCACTTGCTCGACGTTGCAAACATTCTTGACCTGTCAACACCGAGTGGTATCTCTGGTTCAGTTGTTGCACCAGTTCTGGCAATTTGACGACTGAAGTCATGAAACTTTTGCATGCAGTCTCCTTCTGTGGTGTGCTCTTCAGCGTTGCTGAACATGCCCGAGAGCCTGTGTTGGCCGGATTGAGAGACGTCACCCATGCTTCCAGCGCATTCGAGCTTTTGAACACGCCACGTCCAGAGGTAGTGTCTGTATCGGCTGACCTCTTGACAGCAGCCGCTATCGTTGACAAGATACAGAAGTGCGAAAAGACGACGAAGGTTCTGGTGGACCACATGGGAAGTATATGCCTAGGCTCAGACATCAGCGGTGCGAAGTCATATATCAAAATGGATAACAAAGATTTGTTCATAATCAACAATGTCTTATAGCAAGCATACGAGCAGGACAAGCATACTAAAGTCTGTTGGCAATAGATGAACGGTTTGTCTACGGAGTCACGAACTTTGAAAATCTTGTTAGACTTCATCTAGTCTATTTATTGATGCTGCATCACCTTGCTCAGTTCTCGCTGACAGACGAGGGAAGAGCAGCTGGCGCACTTACTGGTGCCGTCAAATCAGGCATCGCAGGTGTAGGTACAGCTGGTGGTTGCTCACTCGCGGTCTGGGTTGTCGAGATGCCTGGAGAAGGTGGCAAGTCGGACGACGTGGGTCCAACTGCACCAGTTTTGGAGACTTGCATCTTAGCAACCCACTCACCATATGCGCTTTGCAGGTTGGCGGCGAGCTCAGAATCGCCATAGAGAATGATGTATTCTGTCAAATCGAGACAAGTTGGTGGTTGTTTCTTGGAAGGCTTATCCTTGGCGTCTCCAGCAGACACGACAGGTGAAGCGACTGTATCAGCTTGCACCGAAGATACGACACCTTGATTGTCAGGGACGTGAGTTGTTGTCGCATTGGCATCTGTGGCAGTCATGACATGCCATGCTTTGATCTCATCAGCCAAGCTGACCTCTCCTGACATGATGGACCCATACTCCTGTACCATCTTGGCCTTGATAACGGGCTTTGTAGCAACAAATATCAAAAACGCATTGCATTTTGCTTCTTCCTCGCTGACGGGCTTGCCTGGTTGAACGGCATTGCGAAGGTAGCCAAGCTGATAGCCAGGATAGAAGGCAGGATAGTACGCATAAGGCTGATAAAAGTTGTTGGCCAAACCATAACCACCTGCACCGTACCCATAGCCTAGACCGAAGCCTGCGTTGAGACTGGCGTCAAGCCCAAAGCCGAGTTGCCTCTTTTGTGGCGCATTGGCTGGCGCTGCATCAGTGGAGGATAGGAGAGAGACAAGTTGAAGAAGCTGCATCTTGTAAAGTACGGAGTGTAAATTTGATGAGCTGGAAGCACATGAGAGGATAGCTTTATAGCATATCCAGGTGCAGGAATAGATTGCAACGAGTAATCAGGTTCACAAGAGATAGATATGTTTCAGATCAAGAGCAATCGCCAGGTAACAAGAGATTTCTGAAGCAGAGGACTACATGAGAGCTAGAGAGTATTGAGCTAGAGAGTACTGAGCTAGAGAGTAATTGTTGGTTGAGGTCGTCAAATTGTTTCGTCCAAAAAATGCCGTCGCAAATAGAGTGAAAGGGAAGCAGTCGCAATCAAGCAGAGACAAGAGCTTGTCTAGGCGATGGTAATGCGCTTGCGGTGCTTCTCCTCAGCGAGCTTGGGCACAGCAAGCTTGAGAAGGCCGTGATCAAGGGATGCCTCGACTGCATCCTGATTGACGGCAGTAGGGAAGACAATCTGCCTCTGGAAGGACTGCGAGATGCGCTCGTTGCGCCAAACACGAGGCTGCTGGATGTTGGTAGAGACTTGCTTGTCACCAGACTTGGAGACTGCCGTAGAAGCCGGCTTGCCGTTGCCTTGATCCTGTTTTGCTGCTTGCTGCTGCTGCTGCTGCTGCTGACCTTGATCGGTGGACAGCTCCTGCTGCTCAGGTCCCTCGCGCGTCTCCTGCTCGTACTTGCCGCTCAACAAGAGGGTGTAGTCATCCTGGAATTGCAGGTTGAGAGACTCTTTGGGGAAGCCAGGCACCTCTGCTTCAACCTTATACCTCTCCCCTTCCTCTGACAGCCTGACACGCGGGACAAACTGGTAGTCCGTGAAGGTACTGCTCGCAAGACTCGTGCCTGGCCAGGAGGAGCCAATAGCACGATCGATCTCGTTGAAGAGAGATCGGAACTCGTTGGAGAAGATGGAGGGCTCACTGCTGAAGAAACGTGCGAGAGACATGTCTGTGTGTGTTGTTGTCTGGTCCTTGATGTGATCGAGTGGTATCTTGCTTGGAGTCCAGCTGTTCCATGTACCCTCTATATAGCATGCCCGTTGTTCGATCGATTTCGATCACTTGGTCATGTCGCTTCGATCTCTTTCTAGAATACTCGACGTCATGAACGTTGCATGGACTGGAGGTAGTGGACTAGGAGTCAGCTTCTGCAGAGTTCTAGCAGCTTCGAGGACGGGCTCGATCAGTCTCCTGAGAGCTATTGACTCCTGTAACAGTCGATTAGCTACCTGATCAGTAGTCACTTTGAGCTCTAGACCGCGACCATGAAGCCCAGGGGTCCGACAGGGTAAAATTGAAGAAGAGCTGGATGAAGTGAAGAGCTGGATGACTGTGCTATCGTCTAGTATTGCTCGGCCATGATACTCACAACCAACGACGTCCATCCGGTAAAGCCCTTGGTACGCTGTCCAGCGCCCGTCTCGGGGTTGTACTGCTCCCATAGAATACCACTCTTCTGCCACTCATCAAACACCGTCTTGACTACATTCTCGCGCAGCTCGTCATAGATCTCCCTGGCTAATGCTTGGTGAGGACCAGGCACGTCGATATAGTGGCGATACAGAGACGAGAGGAGGAGATAGTTGATGTTGATCCAGATTGGCCCTCGCCAGTAGTTCTCGCCCTTACCATAGTACTCGTCCTGCGCCGATAGACTGCGTATACCGTGTGGTGACCAGAGATGCTCTTCACTGCGAATGAGCTTGAGCACAGCCATCAGATGCGGGTGGTCAGCTGGTAGCAAGCCAAGTAGAACTGGAAAGATCGAGATGTATCCCAAATGACAGACTGGTGCGCTCTCTTCAAACGCATCAATCGTCTGATCGCAGTACGCTTGGTCCTTTTCACTCCAGTACAGGTCATCCAGATTTGCAAGAACATCCCTCTCAATCTTGGCAAGTTCAGCAGCATCATCCTCTTGACCAACTTGCTCTGCGATGTTGCGCAACAACTTGGTCATTAATGCAATCCAGCTGTGCAAGTCTAGATGCAACTCTCCGGGATGCGGCGGCCGTGCACGCGGATAGTCATCAATACCACTCGTAAGACAATGATCAGGTGTCCGTCCACGCCAACGATACGCTTCTTTGGTGGAAGTTGCTTCACGATCCCACAACTTGATTTCACCACGTTGTGTACGCCTGAACCAGTCATAGTGACGCTTGAGATTCGGATACAAGTCAGCCAGGAAAGTCTTTGCAAGTGTAGGGTTGTTGAGATAGACAGAATCAGTCTTTGGCTTTGCTTGGTCGTCGAACGTTTGCTGAAACTCGGCCTTGTATTCAGCTCCACCAGACTGTGCTTTGAGCTGCTCCAAAAAGTGGTCAATGGTGATGAAGAGAGTTGGCGGATTGGCATAGTGCGGGTACTGTGTGCGAAACTCTTCAGGTACCTTGGAACGCGCTTCCTCACCCAGTATCTGTTCGCGTCCGATCCATCCATCCTCGTCAATCAGATCGAACCACGACTTGATAACCTCGAGTGACAAGTCTGTATCGTACAAGCTAATTGGAAGGAGATGGAAGCCTTCATCCCAATAAAAGCCACGGGGAAAGAATGCACGGCTCGGTACAGATGTGAAGAGCTGGGCAGGACCTTCCTCTTTGCCTGGGCTTGCAGCGAGTTGAGCACTAGCAGACTCCCAAAAGTGCTCTTCGTCTTCGTTGTATGCACCAGAGTACGAACGATCCACGATGGACTTGCCGTGGAAGTAACCAATGCCGCCCATCAGGTTGGATAGCAATACTTGGCCAAACTTGTGGAACTTGGCATTGTTGAAGGGAGCCTTGAGCTTGAAGACTTGCGAAAATTTGTCTTCAAACGTGCTCTTGAGGTTGGAGATACCCTTTGTAACATCGTCACTGCTCACCTGGTCATCCCAAGACCTGTAAATCACATCAAACTCAAAGGCTCCTTCATACACCCGTTGTAACATATGCATATTGGAGCCAATCGGACAGGTATTGTTGAGTGCATAGATCGCCCAGGGTTCAGGCAGCGCCTCGCCATATGTCTCTTGAATCTTGCTGATTTGCGGCCTCAAGAGCGATAGAAGTGCCTCCTTTGCCTGCCAAAGAGAACCTCGCTCCATGATGAGACTCATGAAGGAGGTTCTCTGCAAGTCCTTGATCTCGCCATACGGATGCTCTGATTCTGGGTGGGTGTTGAGACCTTCAGGGCCTTCATTCATCTCCAGTGCAAATTGACCGAGTTCTTCTGACTGGCCCCTGAAACGAACAGTGCCTTCAAGTCCATGGACGGCATCTGTCCGCTCTGATCCTTCGAGCACAGTCACACCCTCATCAAGCCCTGCGTAAAAGACAATGGCGGTCTTGACATCCGGTGCAGCATCATCCCTAGGTGTACCCTTCACACGTACAGCCCAGTTGCCGCCATGATGATTTCCAGGCAGCTTGACAAACTCAGTTGTAATGTCAATAGACATGGCAATATCTCGAATGACTTGCACACCTCCCAAACGAGCATCATACTGCTCCCACCCATACGACCCCATATCATCGCCTTGCTCGCATGCATGTCGTAGATTGGGGAAGTTGTTGTAGTCATCTACATTCGCCCACATCAAGCCTGCCATGAAACTGTCTGGTGCACGGTTGCGGACGCCAAAATAGAGATTGGGACGGTACGGGCCCCAGTATAAAGAACCATTGGATGCCTTGATGGCATTCTGTTGGGCCTTTTCCTCTGACGTGGCTGACGCAGAGGCCAAGAAGGCTAGCAGGGGCCATGATAGAAGGCTGGCCTTCATCTGCTGCCAAGTGACGAGGCCAGGCGTGGGTGAGGTGTGGTAGCTACGTGTTCATTCGATTCACCTCGTCGCGTTTCAAATTTGGTGCGTCCACTGATCTGCTCGCGAATCTACATCTACACATCAGGTGCAAACTTAGCTACAATGGCCGAGAAGCAAGCTATCCTCATCACAGGTGCATCAAAAGGCCTCGGATATGCCACTGTGAAACAATTGCTCGATCAAGGTCACCATGTCGTGACAATCTCGAGGTCAACAAGCTCACTTGATACACTCAAGCGGAAGGTTGAAGGCCGCTTGCAGGTCATTCAGGGCGATGTCTCTGATGCGGACGTATACAAGCAAGCTATCGGAGTTGCAAGCTTAGCATGGGATCTTGCTCTGACTGGCATCATCTTCAATGCAGGCGTGCTTGATCCCGTGACAAAACTCGATCAGGCAGATGCAGCAGATTGGGCTCAGTGCTTTCAAACAAATCTCTTTAGCATTGTTTCAGCTCTGCCAGTTATGCTGCCGCATTTGAGGTCTGGAAACGCTGCGGAGAAGCCCAAGATCCTGCTCATTTCTTCTGGTGCAGCTACAGGATCCTATCAAGGCTGGTCTGCGTATGGTTGTGCTAAAGCAGCACTGAATCATCTTGCTCAAGATTTGGGCGTCGAGGAGCCAGACATCACAACACTGGCCGTTCGACCTGGTGTCGTTGCAACAGACATGCAACGTGCCATCAGAGAGCAGCATCAGTCAGCCATGAATCCTGACCAGCACAAAAAGTTTACGAAGCTCCACAGCGATGGGGAGTTGCTTGATGCAGATACTGTCGCTGCAGTTCTTTCAGAACTGGTCTTGCGTGCGGATCACAGGCTTTCTGGTCAATTCATCGATTGGGCAGACTATAAGGAACTTTAGGTTGGCTTCTCGACATGTCTGCAGAGGTGTACTGTTATGATAAATCTGTATATGCTCGCCTATGTCTCATCAGTGTGTATGCTCTGCCAAACGTAAGTTCTACAAAAACGTATGCATCCACCCATCAACTCAGAACCTCTTGTATGGCAGGAACTTGCCACGCTGCGTGATCTTGACCCAGTCAGCCCCGTCAACGGTCTCCTTCTCAATCTTTGCATCGTAGGCAATGGCAGACATGATACCATCGCCAAACTTTTCATTGATGATACTTTTGAATGCAGGAGCATATGCCAACACCATCTCCACGAGTCGATAATGCACCGGGTCCCGCGGTGGCATCTCCAATAGGTCACATTTGTTTGGGAAGTAGCCATCGCCAATGCTTTCCTCCAGCAATTCCTTCTTGATGTCCAATGCTTCCGAAAGGGATTTGATGTCCTCAGCTGCAGGCTTCGCCTGACCATAGAATAAGCTTGCGACCCAAACCTCGTTACGGCCCATCTTGGAGCCAAGTTGCTCAAAGCTGAGCTTCTTGCTCTGCTTGGCTTCGAACAAGGTTCTGCTGATGGCCGGAAGGCGTGCAAGGATCTTCTGGTCGATAATCATTGCGTAGTCTGGATTGTGTAGAAGATGATTGAGAAGCTTCTGCTAGAGATGGTATGAGAATGATCAGAGCTGCAGCTGGCCCTCTTCTTATGGCCTTTCCCCAGGTTACGTCGTCGCCTCTTCTCCACTCTCCGGACCGCGCGGAAGTCGCAAGAAGAAGATCAGCGCGGGATTTCAGATCCACGGCCAACTGGATCTAGAGGCAGCGCGTATAGACTAAGCAGATGCAGGCCGCTGCCAAGCCCATCTGTGAGCTAGAAGCAGGCAACGAAATATGGCTCAATACGTTAGCTACAGCGTGGATAGAGCCGGGCAATGCTGAGTGCTGGACAAAATTGTGGTGCCAAAGCTAGCTCTGCACGTAGCGTATTTGTATGCGTGTAGCCAGCCGTCATGATGACCAGGCCTTATCCTAGTTGTATTTGTCCTTAGACAGACAATGGCTATATGCGTGGACACTGGACACCTCGAGCCTGCCAGCCTGGCGATGCAAATCACAAATTTGACACTTCGTCTCCAGACAACACATCTTTAGGCTTTAGCTTCAGAGTGCTAGTACGCCCAAGGCGTTGAGGCCAGATCTGAAGGCTGCTTCAAGTCTGATCACATTGCTGTCTTCATGCCGCCCTCCATCAAGAAAATAGGAGCTGCGCTAGCTCCAGGCGAAGAGCAATGCCCACTCTGCAAAGCTGTGACAAGATCTGATCAAGGCCTGCAAAAGCATCTCAAGCTGACATGCTGGCGCCATTACAAGTCTCCCATCTGGGTGGCTGCTCTCAAGACGACCTATGCTGCCGAGAGTGCAGACTACCGGGTCAAAGTCGCTCAACAAGCTATAGCAAAACGTTTTCAAGCGCAAGATGCCTTTTTGGCTGCTCAAGGCGTTGAAGGCATTGCAGCGATGACTGCACGCAATTTGTCCAGTATGACTGAGGGTATGACGCTAGCAGCTCAAGCAGCTATCAGAAAGCGCAAAGCCAAGGAGATGGAGGCAGAAGCCAGCTTTACGTTGGAGCAAGAGACTGATCCAGCCTTGGCCTTGGAACTGCAAATTGCATCCTGTATATTCTGCAAGCGTGTTTTTTCAACCAAAAACATTTATCGCAATCATCTGCATTACGAGGAAGCAAAGCACTTCAAGTCGCGCATCTTCATTGAGGAAATGGCTAAAATGTACATGCCGGGCTTCGCTATTCTCCGTCTACCGACCAACCTTGAGAAGATTTGGATCAAGCAGAAGGAGCAAGCGCTCGCGGACAAGCAAAAAGCGTCAGAATCGGCTTCGCCTGTTGTTGCGACTGCGCCGTGGATGAATATGCTCGATTGCGTGCTGTCTCAATCCATTGTCGCTTGGTACGTTTGGTACCTTGTCAGTGAAGTGCCTCGATCAATACGCTCGACCTGCAAGCTCAACAATAAGCCTCCTCCATTTGCAAACATGCTTGTCAAGATTGAAGAAGCCATACAGAATACAAGCGAAGCGGGCTGTATTCCAGGAGAGGATCTCAAGCTTATGCGAGACTTGTGGAAGTCAGACCCTCGCTTCAAATCAGCCTTCAAGCGCATGTCAGCAGCACTCAAGCTGCAAATGGCAGGCGCGTCCGATGCCCTCAAGGAATGCATTCAGAAGGACATCAAAGTATATCGTGGAGTCTTGCTCGCCTGGCTGCGAGGATTGCAAGCGTCATGGCAGCATTTCGCATCAATGGTTACCACGCATGTTGAACATCAGTCATGGTACAAGGATCGAGCAGTGACGACCCCTCAGCGTGTTGCTGAGCTTCGAAAACACTGGGCCTTTTGGCAGCCTTTATTTTTGGACATGGACTTGACGATGGATCGAGAGGAAGAACGCTTCAAGCGTGCTAAAGCACTTGAAGTTACGTATCGCTCCAAGCGTAGTACATCTTGAAGTCATCACGCTGCCAGGCTTCCTTAGCATGGGTCTAATAGAGCTCTAAGTAGAATGCCTCCTAAATAGACGGTCGTAGACTAGACCGTTGCTCAAGTCCATCTCGACCTTTTATCGACAGAACCACACGACCAAGTTGACGACCACAAACAAAAGAGAAACTTCTACATGGCCCCGTGACGAGCCGCATCAGGGCTGCTGAACGATGGGATCGGACCGTCGTCTTCTATGTCCCTTCTGCCAAAGGCGATTCAAACTTCACAGGCATTTCCGTTACCACCTGACGCATGTCTGTTGGCGACATTGCGCTGATGACGACTGGCTCAAGGTCTTTCGATCGTCCATCAAGACACCGTACTCGGATGCGGCTGAGCGAGCACTTCGGCAGGTGGCACTGAAGCATGAAAAAGAATTGCGCGAGACTGGATCATTCCCTCAAAGTGTCGACTTGTCCAAACCGATGCCATGGCAGAGCGTTCCCATGAACGCAGAATACGATGATCTCGAGCTGTCTGCTGGATCAACGGATGACGAATACCCAGAATCCTCACAACAGAATGCTGAAAGAGCTCGACGATGTTTGTACTGCGGCCTCACTATACCTTCCCAACTTGCATACCGCGAGCACTTGAACGAAGTCGAGTATGAGTACTATGAACAAGCGGACTGGCGCAAAGAGATCTTTTCGACATTTCCAAACAAGATGTCAAGCGGTGCGCCTGTGAGCTACATCTCTTTTGTCCGGACCATCAAGAAACGTCTTGGCAAGCATATTGAGCCTTGGCGGTGTTCGAAAAATGTCGCTAACGTCGTCCGCATGAAGGCAGATGGGATATACGCCAAATCTCTTTTGGACAATGTCCTCTCAGAGACAATCTTAGCATGGATTGCTTGGTGGATTGCATTGGAGAATGTGCAGAACGTGCAAGTGACGGCTGAGCTTGTCCTTCTCAACGACCTCGAGTCCCTTGCTGTGCAGATCCGCTCACGCCTGTCTATCTTTCACGACGAGGGCGCCCTTCCTGAAGGACATCTTGAACAGATTCGCCTGACGTTTGAGCAGGATGATCGATTTTGCGAGGCGTATGAAAAAATGGAAACGGCAGTACAAGAAGGCAGGCTTCGTCAGTACATTGACGATCAATTTGAGTGCTGGCACGAATTGGTCATGGCATGGATTCTCAATGTCGAAAAGGCCTGGTCCTACATCAACAAGGAAGTCCTGGATCATGCAGCTGATCAAATCTGGCGCGATGCAAGTGGCCAGCGAGAGTACACATGGCCACGAGATGCCGTATCACTCTTCAACGAAAATGAAGCATATCAAGTCACTGTGATACAATGTCTTGGAACACACTGGGCATTCTGGCTACCTGTCTACTGTTCGTTGCAGCTGTTTCTCAATCAAGGTGAACTGGAAATTGAACGGGAGATGCTTCGGCTGCGTGTCGTGTATGCTCTAGAAGTAGCGCCGCTACCCGTTGAAGCCGCTGTTGAATAGATCATAGGGATAGCAAAGCTCACCCATATGGACCGCATCCCTGCAGACTAGATGAGCCAGAAAATGAGCGAACCCTTGCCTGGTCTCGATCCTGTCCATGTGTACGAAAATTCAGCCATGCGACAATGTTTAAGACACACAACAACAACTGCCAGCAGGCTTGAAATAGCTCGAAGATCTCAAACCTGCTGTTAGCTCAGCGCCAAGGTATGCGCCAGGTCATCAGCTCTCTGCTAGTCTATACACGGCTCTGCTAAATGACGACTCCCAGGCGTCCTTCTGCTATTGAATGTCCCTTCTGTTGCGCCCATTTCTCAACAACCAGAAACTTGCGCAAGCATCTCATCCTCTACTGCTGGAAGCATGCTGAATCGAAACATTGGCTTACAAATGTCACTCGCTCCTATACTTCGGCTCAGGCAGATGCGATTGCTGCAGGCCACCAAGCCGAATGCATCAAACGCATTCGTGCTTTGCGTTTGGCCAACAACCAAGCTGGAGAAGCATCGCATCCAAGTGATCAAGCACAATGGGTTCAAGAAAGAGGGGAGACGGAGCATGTTTGTCCTTTCTGTAATGAGGCTTCAAACAGCTTCATGGGTGCGAGAAATCACCTCGTCAAAATGCACGCAGACCAATACAAGACCAAGCGGTTTCGCAAAGCGCTGCATTCCTTGTATGAGCCGAGGCAAGCAGACGCACGCTTGAGGACTATGTTACGCAAAATTGCCGCTGCTGCGTCATGGGCGAGTAAGGAGGCGCGCCAACGTGCAGAGAAATCATCAAGTAGTGATTCTGAAGAGGCAGAGGAAACTGCTGTAGCGTCGAAGAGCAAGGACAAGATCAAGGGCAAGCTTTCGAATCCTCAAATGACAATCGAAGCTCAATCAAGGCCAGCGAAAGCAGTCTATGTTGCATCTAGCGCCTGGGAGCCACTCAGGGAACATGTCTCTTCACCTCCCCCAGAGCCTATTCCTACCATCCATCAGCAACAATCATACTTTGCTCAATTTCCACAGACAGAAGAGACTGACACACCGAACAAGTCGTTCATGGACTGTGTCTTATCAAAAACGATTCTGATTTGGTACGTATGGCTGATTGCCAGTCGCTTGCCCTTTCAAGTGCAAGTAACGGCTGAGCTTGTTATGCTGAGACCATTTGATGGCGTTGTTTCGGCAGTTCAAGAAGCACTCGAACGAACACATGCGGATGGTCAGATCGGGCTGGATGATTTGCAAGAGATGACGGATTGTTGGGGAGGCGATGAGCAATTTGACGCAGCTTACGAAGCTATGAAGGCAGCTGGAGAGACTTGTGATGGCAAGGCATCCCATCCCGATAATGAAGGCGGGCAGGATCTACCGCGTCGATATATGCGGCAACAGCTTGGAATGTGGTCCACATTGCTCCTTGGCTGGATTCAGAGGATTCAAGACACCTGGATCAAGCTTGGCAATCGCATTGTACAGCATGCAGCTGAGCAGACATGGCGTTCGATTCAAGACGACAGAGAATATCGATGGCATGCAGACGGCACTTCACTCTTCCAGCAGTCAGAAGGTTCGCAACTGACAATCGTTAAGTGTCTCACAGCACATTACAGTCATTGGCGGCCGCTGTTCGTTGAGTTGTCCCATTTCGTGAATACCTCAGAGGAGAAGCTTGATGCAATATTCGACACACTTGCCGATTCTTATGCCAACGACATTGCGCCCTTGTCCATCGAGCGCATGACCAAGATTGACGAAGAAGAACTTTGAGCGATACACGCGAAGTATAGAGTATAACTATGCACGACTGATGATAGTAACGAAATATTCCAGATACGCATTCTACCATCACCCATCAAAGACTGGACGTGACAGAGCAAAGTCTTCAGGGGCACAAAGGTCATTTCTGGGTGCAAATCCGAACGATGCACCCAGCAAGCCTCGTATCTCTGGTTGTCCAGTTCTTGTCCCGTTTTGCTGAACTATAGAAGGCTCTCGACTCGAGCACTCTTCTTCTAACGATGTCGGGAAAAGGCCATGCCCGTCACGAGTCTCTGATGTGCCAGACGTGTTGCTGACGATGGATGCCGAGTCCTCGCCGACTGCGCTGTTACTCTTCTTGCTGATCAGCGAGCTTGCACCCGAAAGTACTGTGGACGTTGCCTGAAGTCTCAAAGGGACAAAGACGGCGGTGGGCCGGTTGTTCCGTGCTAGGCTGCACTCGCCAGTTCCTGCCTCCATTTTTGTCGCTTCCATGTCCTCCGTGTCTCCGTCCCCGTCCCTGCATGCTTCAACAGCCTTGACTTTGCATGCAGGCTTCTTCTGCGGATACTTATCCAAGCATTGATAAGCCAACTTTAGCTCTCTGACCGCCACATCTTGATTCTCATACGTAGAGACAAACTGTAGGCACCATGACTTGTCGCGGTAGTGACCCGATTCGGCAAGGCATAGATGCTCTCGATATTGCTCGAGCGTTTCGAAGTGTCCGAAGCAAAAGACGCAGCCCGGCAAGTCTCGATGCATTGAGCGCGTGATACGTGATGACATTGACAATCTTCGCTTCTGGTCTGCAGCATGAATTGCGCTGGACTCTGCTGCTTCTGTAGGATCAGGTGCTTGTGAGGCGTGATTGTCTATCTGTCGTCGCAAATCGTGCGCGGCCGTCGTGTCTTGCTGAGCCTTCTTGGCTAAGATACTGCGCTCGGGCTCACTCACATTCAAAAGATCTTTGTAGGCATCTAGCCATGTACCGTATGGAGCGAAACGGTAGCAAATGCGCTTGAGGTGCATTCGACAAGACACTTGACCTTTACGTTCAGTCCGGCAAAATGGACATCGGAAGAAGCTTTCGGTATCGACTGTTTTCATGCGCACCATATCGGAAAGATGGTCATGCAAACATTGTCTGGTCACCAGCAACGGGCGGAAGGCGTCGAGTTGAGTGGGCAGTATTGGAGCTAAAAATTTACCCCTGATTTCGAATGTCGTAATCAACCACACCACAACGAGCAAAATGGCAGCATGATTTAACGGACTCTGCACTACAACTACGCGAGCGACGAGACCTAGATATGCTTTTCAGCACTCGTGCAGCAGTAGCTTTGGACGGCTTATCAGATACCCTGATTAAGTCGACTTGGACGAAACGAAGGGTCGGGGTTTTGTGCATGTTGAAGTTCAGAGTAGGTTTGAGACCAAGATTCCAAATGAGGGATTTGTATGTAAAGGCAGACTGTAGCAAACAGGGTAATCATAATGTCATATGTAGCATTGATTCATCGAGCGGATATATTGGCACTTGTGCGAACTTATGGCGGCAGTGATACAAAAGATCTCACTATGGGCCAGAGAGCAGGCATAGCCATTGAAGCTGCAATAAAGAGTACATCTCAATCTCTGTGAAGGCATATGCTATGCAAGCGCCGTGATTCAGCAGGCAGAGCTGTTGGAGCCGATTAAGCTGAGCGTCTCTTTCTTCTGCATCTACCCTCTTCTGCATCTTACCCCTGCAGCGATACACTTCTATGATCTACCCAAGGTCATGTCAATCACATACAAGCCACAGAGCCGTCTTTACCCAGCAAAAAAGCTTCAGCTGCTCGAGAGGTGGTGGACAGAGAGGCCAAACGCACAAACACGAATCAGGGACGAGAAGAACACCAGTGATCCAGCCCTCAAAGCACCTGAGAGAACCGTCCAAAAAGTCAATGCCACTGGAACGTAAGGCCAGTAAATCACTCAAGGGTTGAGCGACTCTGAAGCTGATTTGAACCTGGGATAGCGTGTTAAAAGGGGTTGGCTTCATGCTCGGAGAACCGATGTTGTTGCTAGCTGCACTGTCAGGAGGTCCTCAGAACAGTACCAGTGATACACAAGTCCAGATACTTGAGATCAAAATGCCAGCAAGACTCGAGGAGACATGCTAGCCAGTGGTAAGAATAGTATGGTTGTCCCCAGCAGAACAGGTCAATCAATAGCGCCACACCCACCAGTCACACAGCCCTCGGCACTATCGAAGCAAGCTCTGCGAGACCCTCGCATAGCTCTCGAGCCAAAGCACCTTATAGCATCGCATACAATAGCTTTTGAGCAGCAGTCAAAGTTGGAGCAGCTAACTTTGAATGGTTGTCGTGGTCGCTGCGACACGTGGGATTCGCGAAAGTTCAGCTCCCACAAAAAGATGGAGCAACAGCGTCAACACTTGATGAGCTAGAACGGCCTTTGATACCTCCTCATAAGCTCTCACGAACTTAAGCTCTGGCGACACTATCTAGCTATTATGATAAACTCAAATGAAGAGCCCATGGTCTGCCCTTTCTGTTTGCAAAATTGCCGAGAAGCTTGGAGCGCCAAAGCACATATAGAGGGAGTTTGTCAGCGATTCTGCTGGCTTCCCGAGTGGCTCGAATTCTACGGGCGCTGTAGACCGCTGCTAGATTCTGCAGAGATACTGGAAGCACGAGAGCATGTTCGTGCACAACATAGCGTCGTGGACCCAGACAGCGGGAAAGACACCTTTGGTATGTTACAGTGTCAGATATGCATGGGATTTCTGCGTAATGGGGAGCACATGAGAAACCACTTACGTCACAAAGAATACCTTCATGTCAAGTCGATGCCGTGGTTCTTGTCATTGAATCTGGTCAATATCAAACAACCACCGTCTCGTTACAAGTCTCTCATGGTTTCTTTTATCCAAAGACTTTTGAAGAGAATGCAAGAAGCGGGAGAAATGCCATTCCCGGTGGACCCTGAGCTCAAAAAGCATCCTGCCTATGCCTATTATTACACTCGCACGAGCTTACAACCATCACCGGATCTACGGACCCCAGTCTTTGGAATCGAAGACTACCCTTCGACGACACAGATGGCATTGAAGAAGAAGAGACAAAAAGCCGATTCTGAGGACCATGCACGACCCACCACTAGTGAGTCGCCTAATCTTAATCGAGTTGCCAAAGTCGAGCCGCGGCATCAAGAGGAAGATGGCAATGTGGTACCGTCAACGCAGCCATCAGAAGATATGCAGGCCGAATGTGTGGTGGATAGTATCTTGAGCGCCCATATGCCTTTTGTCGACTTGCTGCTATCAACAAACATCTTCTTCTGGTACGCCTGGCATCTTGTCCAAGATATCGTGCAGGGTGTCCAATCGACTGCAGAACTCTGCCTACTGCGACCCTTTGACTCCATCAAAGAAGTTGTTGCAGAAAATGTGGATGAGGTCCTACGTACTGGCCAATTTACCTCAGAGCAAGTAGCGGACATGCAAGAGAAGTGGAACAGAGACGCTCGTTTCACGGCGGCACTCAGCAGGCTCCCGAGAGGCGGTATCTACTGGATCGAGGAAAGTTTGCGTGGAACAGTTCAAACAGTTATGGATTGGGTTGAGGCAGTTCAGAAGACCATGCTTGCCATTGCTACAATCATTGTGGAGCACTCTGCGCAGCAACGATGGAGAGATGCCGTTGCTCATCGCACCTACCAGTGGGCTGGCGACACACAATCTCTACTGTCGCGCACGGCGACAGTGCAGCGGACCATCTTACAGTGCTTAACTGTACATTGGATTCACTGGCAGGATCTCTGTCTCGATATGGAAGTGCATCTCAAGTACAACGCATCGAGACTGCAGAAGCGTTTGCAGCGGCTGCGTGAGGAGTACGATACTGAAATTGCTCCGCATGCCGTACGGCCGCCTACCGCAGCTGATGTAGGACCCGACTCTGATTGAGGCGGTTGCGTCGCACGAGGCTTTAAGGACTATAATTTGTTAAAATCGCTATAGCAGACAGATAACGCGAGAAGGCGTGATATTTCATACCGACGTACATTCTTAGGCAATTAGTCCTTCCTACACGGTAATGGCAGCACTCGCTGACGATGCTGTGCCTCCCGCATGACGGCTCGCGGAAGCATTTGTCTTGGGTGCACCAGTATCTGGAAGGACTCGTACAACCGCAGTATTTGGATCCACCAAAGCGACCAGATCGAGATTCGTGAATTCAAGGTGTTCACGGTGAATGTGATCGATAATGTCCGAAATGGAGCGCAGTGCCACGAATTTATCGTTACAGTTGCCTGACCTGCAACGTATCTAGACGCCATTAGCAAAATCGAGCAAGACATAAGAGCTTGGCGTACCTGCAAATTATGGGCATAACTGTCTGGCACAATGTCGAGTTTTCGGAACGTGCACTTGTGGATAATTTCGCCCATTTTCACATGCTCTACATGGGAGGAGGCAGCGTACTCATTGATGAAGTAGCGCAAGTAGGCAGCAACGCAAATAGATGTCTTTTCCTGCTTGAAGTAGACTTTGTTCAAGACACGGTCGTCGGACGCTGCAGGCTGCACGTCGAGATAGGCTTTGTAGACTTCAATGGCAGCTGGGTTCTGATAGTGTTAGCAAATTCCTGCCGTTGAGACGACTTACCAGCTCGTTGATGAAATTGATGGCCGCATTACACTGTCGTTGCTTCTTGGCAATTCTCCGTTCAGACTCAAGTCGAGTCTTTAGCTTGTCGCTATACAGCCTTACATCTTCTTTCGTCGAGATGTAGGGCGGTGTACGACTAAAGAAGGTCTCGAACATGTTTGGCACATATTTTGCCAGCTCTTCCTCGATATTTGTTTCCTGCGTGTCAGCATGGACTGACTTTCACGGATATATACATTGAAGATCATGTAGATTCGCTGGCAGATGCAAAACTTTCGGGCGTAGAGAGAATGCTGGCGCGCAAGAGTTGAGATATTGCCGCGATTGGTCAATATGATTTCGATATCGCGCCTGGCCTTAAGACCAACTGCCAAGTTCCGTTTCTCATCTTCCAAGAAAGCTGCAAAGGAACGTCCGGAATCGATGAATGCGCCGCAAAAGTCTTCGACGTCTTGCACCCTGAATCTGGAATTTCTAGGCGGCATGTTGCGATGGAAGGGTTGATCTGAGGCATATATGCAATTCTCCACCAACCTCAACACACAATCAGGACCCAGCCCTGTCAGCTCTTCCGCCGTCGCGATTGCCTGCTGGAAACTGATTGTACGGTCCTCGAAGCACGGCCTACAGGCGACGTAACTAGGGTCAGCAGTGAGCTATACAATGGACAGCCCGCACTTGTAAGGAACGTATGGCCTAGAATTTCCCCTTGCCGAAGCGCAGAATTGGCAGATTGGTGCAACAGTCAGACGAAGCAAATCTCGGTGTGTCATGTAGGTTGGGAGCTCATGCTGAAGGGCTAGAATGTCCTTACACTTCGTCTCAAAGAGTCTGCTGGTCAGTTGAGACCTCATAAAGAGGCAATGTACCTGTCGCTGCGTTTCAAATGCTCTTGAAAGAACGTGGAGATACCTTGAAGCTTGAAGAGCGAGATTGGGTCCAGGTAGGAGAAGATGTGCGATAGCAATTCATACGGTAGAAGAGTGAAGTAATCTTTAGCCCTTGCAGCTTCTTCATCAGCTTCTAGCTGGAGCTGTGCAGATAGATCTTCCGCTGCTTTGCACTCTGCAGCTGCTTGTGCCTTCTTGCTAGGCTTTCGTTTCTTAGCAGCACTTGGCTGAGCTGATGCTCCAGCGGCATTCATGGTCAATGAAGAGAGTGCGCGCTGCAACAAGCGACAGCAGTGAGCTTCGACTATGTAGACTGGCCCTCAGGCGTTGAGCTGCGCTGCAAGAGCTTGAGGAAGTTGAGAGATCGGTCGCGCAGTTGCCCTTGACAGTGCTTGACTCGAGTCGTCTGCGCGCCTGGAATCGCGATCGAAAGCTGCACGTGGCTCGAGTTCAGCAGCAGAATGCCACCATACAAGCCCACAGCACAGTAGTGACAGTCGTCAAGAAACTACGCTCTGCTACCCTCTACTTGCTCTTTTTGTTCTTCTGCTGCAGTCAAGCTCCTCTGATCATGTACTATGAATGCTGATTGCTGTCTACAGCACCTCAATTCCTGCTAGAGATCTGACTGCTCCTGCACAGCTTGCATGCCCAAGCGAGCAGCGCCGACATACGCCTGTCCATTTTGCACACATCAGTTTTCTGACCCTGGACAGGCAAGAGATCATCTCAGACGCTCTTGGTGTGGCTTGAATCACGAATCAGAAGCCTGGCTCGCCTGCTATGCAGCAACCTATACCGGTTCCAAGGATACACGTCGACGCAGCATTGAAGCACGCGCCACGACTGTAGCCTATCTACGACAAATTGGACGTCGTGCGATTCTGGGCAAATATATGTCTCCGAATAGGATAAAGTCTTGTCCGTTTTGTCAGCAGTCTTTTGCTCGATATGGGACTTTTGAGAGTCATCTGCGGAATGAGTGTAGCAGTCAGGGCAATGCGTTGGAAAGGCTCAAAGCTATGATACCCAACGACTTGCCACTAGAGGAAAAGTCTCTAAAAAAGTATGCATCAGGCCACTCACCACCCACCTCAGAGTCAAGCGCTGTCTTACTCCAGAAATCTCTTCTCGCGTCAAATCAGATTTACGGAGAAGGTGCCCGACAATGTGTCTGTGGTAGTCAGCTTGGATCTTTGGATACCTATCGAAAACATCTCGTTCGCGTTTGCTGTCATCGTGTTGAGGAGCCGCAGTGGCAACTTGAGTATAGCAAGTGCATGCGTGAGCAGCAGCCTGAATCTAGAGCACATTTACTACAACAAGCAATGGATCGGGCACGGTTCAATGCACTCCATCGGAGGTCAGTGCGAGCACCAAGAACCGTTCAACACGTACAGAGGAAGCATCAGCAGGGTGAAGAGGAGAGTGAGAGTGAGAGCGAGTCTGCTCAATCAACTATGGATGGGAGTGATGGCACAGAAACGGCACATACCCCGCAGAGCATCGAGCCTGGTGAAGAATCCGAATGGTCTTTGTTTGATGAGATGTCAGATGTTCAAGAAGATCATCAAATGGATGAGATGATGGGCGTCATGAGTATTGGCTCACATGCATTGCTTGATCACATCACCTCGCATTGCATCGTTTTGTGGTATGCTTGGTATCATGCGTGTCAAGTACCGCGAGACATCATCTCAACTGCCGAACTGAGTCCAGCCATGCCTGATCGTTTCGCTTGTCTAGCAGGGAATGTCGAGATCGAGCTACGTTCACTACGAGAGAAGGGTGTCATTTCCAAGAGTATCCTCAAAGCAATGTCATCGTCTGTGAACCATCAAGGTTTTCGCGATGCCGTGCAAGTCATGCAGGACTCCCCAGACAGGGACTTCATTAGGCGTCAGTGTGATGACTGGCATGCGCTCATTATGGACTGGTTGCGTCAGATCCAGTCAGCATGGTGTAGGCTGCGCAAGAAGGCTCTTGCTCATGCTGCTGAACAGATTTGGTATGATCACCTTGGCAATGCTTGCAAGTGGCAAGTCGATATGCCACAGCTCATGGAGAAGCCGTGTAGCCCTGGCAACAAGGTGGTTCTTCAAGGACTTGTTCAGCACTGGGAACATTGGCAGTCCATCTTCCTCAAGTCGGATCTCTACTTGGGCGCTTCATCGGACGATTAGATGTGTTTCCATGGAACAGGAATGATGAATGGTTTTGCCTTGTACATACACGTATAAGTAACCATGCATATTCTCTACGTTGACTGCTTCTTCTCCTTCTTTCCCTTTGACTCCTTCTTTGCCTTCTTGTTTGCCTTGTCCATACGCTCAATGGCCTCCAAATCAGGTGGCACAGTCTTTGCACTAGTCCATTAGCAAGCTTCCATCAGCTAGATTTATGCACACTCACCCAACAGACTTCTCGAGCGGTGCAGCACGGAACGGTGAGTTGGACTTGATCTCACCGCTCCCATCTTCATTCGTAGCCATGGGATGATCCCGTCCTGGCTCACTACTCCCCACAAACTCTGGCTGTTTTGGAAATTGTTGACCACCGGGAGGTGTCGAAGCTGGTGCGTCATGCGGCGCTTGCGTCGATGTTCCCGTCTCTTGCGTTGGTTCAGGTGCTTTGCGAGAACCTGAGTGTTGTTGTGCTTGGATATCCTCGACGGAAGTCTCACTGGTTTTCAGAGATACTGGTGTGCATGAGAAGGGTCTTGCTCGGATGGTTCTTGAGAGGAGTCTTGTTGAGAAGATGGTTCGCTGCATCATGAGTGCTCGTCTTGGTGGTCGAGGCTGCCAGTAGAGATGTCTTGACTCTTGACTCTTGATCCAGACGTCATCAGGAACGCGGGGAAAGTCACACAGAGACCTGGACAGGACTACTATAGTGCGTAGTAGTCTAGTAGACAAGAGCAGACAAGAGCAGGGAAGAGCATAAGACTCGAGACATAGCAAGGACACAGAAGGACAGCAGAAAGAATCAAAGGTAATGGAGAGCGAAACTAACAGAGTCGCTCACAGTCGATGCAAGCGCACAGAAAGCAGCAGGCATAAGCAGAGAGAGGTATGGAGTGAGTAAGGCCGTTCTGACGCTCTCAACGACGAGCATGCCATCAGAAGGACACCCAGGATCGCGGGAATTACTGTGGGTGTTGCATGTAAGGCGCATGATCATAGCCATCATGAGGTCCACCGGGTCCCTGCATCATGGGATGATACGGTCCACCGGGCCCATACATACCCTGAGGCGGCATACCACGCAGACCAACACCTCCTTGCTGAGGCGGCATACCGTAATGCGGGCCAGGCGGCATCGCACGCGGATCATAGGGACCACCGTGATGGCCAGGGTGCTGAGGAGGGCCACCAGGTGACATACCAGGAGAGAGGCCTTGTCCATGATGTTGCTGGGAAGGTTGTTGATGATGCGAGGATTGTCCAGAGACGCTGTTCTTGCTCTCGTCGTCCTCTTCTTGCCCGTCTTGCTCTTCACCACCTTCCTCACCTTCTTCGTCCTGAGCATTGAGACACTGCTGAATCACTGCATGATGTTAGCTTGACGTGTCCATGCACAGAAGCAGCATACGGTTCTTGCCCTCTGACTTGGTCACGAGCGGCTGTAGCTTGGGCGTTGTGAACGTATAGACGAGCCCAGTCTCCGAGACAACGAGTAGGAGGACTTGTGTGCCAGTCAACACAGAAAGCTCATACGCCTAGAGGTGAGCGAGAATCAATAAACCTGTCCTGCTTACCTTCTTCATAATACCGGCCTTGCGCTTCGAAAAGGTGATGTGTCTCCTACCCTTATCTGTGATGAACTTGATTTCAATTTTGCGGCGCTCAGTGCCTTCACCATCGTCGTCGTCGTTGTCTGCACTGGCGCGTGAGCCTGGAGAATGGATATTAGCCAACAGCGTCTTGTATAATCCACCAATCTCTCGTCTTCCGTCACCGGTTGCCTGTATTCAATCTGCCACCTCATCAATAACAACAGGACACGCACACCACGCAAAGGCCGACGAGCCCGTCCTGTGCGCTGGTGAGTGAAGACAGTAAGCAACAAGTCATGGCCTCGTCGAAGGACGGCCCAAAAGGGAAAGACACGCGCCTGCTTGTTTGGGGTGTGGTCCCTTCCCAAAACGGGTCCTCGTTAAAAGGGCCCGTGTTGGGTTCTTTCTGGTTTCGTTGTTGACAGGCCCGGGCGTCGGAGACATAGGAGAGGGAAAGTGGATGAGGACTTACGCTTGGGCGCTGGCTGTGCTGCTGGTTGCGAGGGCGGATACGGGTAGCCTGCCTCTGCGGACGACATGGTGCTTGCTTTGATGTATCTGGTGCGCTGTGTTTGTCCCTCGCTCGCTCTTCTCTTTTGGGCTGCGTGCTCTCGATCGAAATGGCCGCCGCTTCCACTTCCTCTTCTTGGACTGAAATGCCAGTCACAAATTTGGTTGCTGGTCTGTTTCACTAAATCATCTGCTGATGTCTATAGCTAAGTACCCTGCAAAGCCTTCACTTGTCTGGCCAAGTAATGCTCGTAGCATATAGACTACACGAGGTGCAACCGCCTTCCGGCAATTTTGTCAAGAACTATTTGCGCAAAGCGAACAGGTATTTCAGGTATATTACCACGAGCGCATGCTTGAATATAACATGCAGAGACCAGACCGGGCAGCAAATCGCACCGCTCGATTGTTCGTCGATCGTCTAAGAGCGAAAATGCGTTTACTCAACTATCGGAATCTTGCCAACTGACCCGAATTGCCCAAGGGCTTGCAAGTCTTTTTCTTGCGACAGCAGCTATATCAGACACTGCAGCAGCTGTAGGAGGGGATGATGAAACTATAGATGATCTGGCTGATGAAGCTGTCATTATCGGGGTTGGCATCCCTCCAGTATGTTCGGCACCAGCTTTTCTCATCCCAGAGCTCAATCTGCTGTCCTCCAATCGCACGCAAAGACTTTCGTTCTCAGATCCTGATGATGAGATCAATAAGCTGCACGGAAGTCATTCGACTACGGTACCAGCATCTTGCCACTTTTGCATGCTGTAGCTCTAATCTGAAAGATGCGATTCAGCTCAGAACAGAGGCTTACATAATCTTGGATGTAAAAATGTGCTGCAGTGGTATCGCCTCATTCTATAACACAAGCTTTGTATAAACTACATCCCTTGTGACTGAATCTTTCGCTCGTGTACCGTCTCGGCGCTACTAATCTAGACTCACACAGACGAGTATAAAAGGTTAGGTTTGCTTCGTGCACGTTGTCGTCTAGGTGCTTCGAGATGACTGTGTCGGATGAATCACCTTCAGTGTTATTCTGGCCTAGAGACTTCTTGCCAAGCCTAACGCTCTGATCTGTTTCGAAAAAGGGAGACGGCGGCCACCATTTTGGGGTGTCGGGGCGCAAAGTCTGAAAGAAAGAAATTAGGTAGTACTTTTCAATCACGGTTGTTTCGAAAGCATCTACAGGTTTTAACCCGGATATCCCGAAATGAAAGTCACACTTTACGCATGACTCAAGCAGTGTCAAGGTCCCCTTCAAGCATGATCTAGGAAACTCATGCATGACTCTTACTGTGTTCCGGCCGCTGCCTTGAATTAGTAGCTTCAAGAGACAGGGGTACAGTCACAGACTTGCGATGATATAGCCGGCGTTCGCATGTTCAAGTACGACTGAGGATGTTCATAAAGTTCGATGTCACATACGACACTAGGACCGCGTGTCATGTTGTTCTTGACTGCCACCTTGATGGTCTTTGCCCACAATTGCGACATAAAACAGAGAATCACGCGATAATGCCATCGTTGCAACTTGGCGAAGCAAGGGATTTTGCAGAAAAATCACTACTATCCTCTTGGCAGCGACTGAATGTCAGCAGACCCTAAACTCCACACACTTCATTGACAGCAAGGATGAAGTGCTTCATCTTCCTGTTGTACTCAAGTCTTCTTCTGTTCGGCAAATTTGTGCTATCAGCCGCATCTCCAGCTCCAGCAGCCGCAGCAGAACCAGTACGCACAGCAGGCAGGCAAGGAGGAACAGCAACAATTGGTCAGAACACGAACCGCGGCCAGAAACGTATCGGAGATGACGATGGGGCAGGTCCAAGCAAGAAACAAAGAAATCCTCAAGCACGCGCAATCACACCTGTGGCAAAGGGAACATGCTATGGCTTGAAGCTTCAACTCCTCTCGGTCTTTGAAAGAAGCAGCCAGGAGGAATGCGATGTGGCATGCGGAGGCGAGCGACAATTATACCGAAATTTCTTGAGAAGGACAGGTTCGAAACATGCCGGACCACAGAGTTGTATTCAGTCCAGTATTTGTGTGAACACAAGACTCCTCTTTGTCACGGAATACTGCTCTCTGTCACTGTATCTAGCCAACAAACAACAATATCAATGTCATTGTGAGGCGACTCTCATTGCCTTCCGAGTCCGCAATGTCAAACCATCAAACATGTACTTACTGTCTAAATACATCGAGAAGCAGCGTAACTCATCACTGCAAGGTATCCGGCGCTATCACATCTTTGTGGCGGATCGATTGACTAAACCGGGTTGGAAATTGCAATCTGCAGCTTGGAATCCTTTGGTAAATTGCAATGGTACCTCCTCGGAAGCAATCGAACGAGAGAATCTCTGTGCTTGCACCGATAGGGGTAGGAAGCTTGACGGTGGGGAATGTACCGGTGATATTGCGGCACAGATGACCATACGAGTGCCGCCTCCGATCACTGGCATTGATCTCAATAAAGAGCCCGAGCAAGATTCAGCTGCAGCTGCCACTGGCTCATCTCAACAGCCAAATCACAATCTGCAGTACACACAGACATTCTCAAATGATGATCTCGATCCAAATGAAGTGTGCATTAACCCAACAATTGCTCAATTTGGTTATTGCTCTCCAGGGCCTTAGCTTCACTGTCAAGTGATAAAAACGCAGTCTTGGGATCGACGCACGGCAGTTCCTCACAACATGATTTGGCAATTGACACGCTAGCTTATGCTCTTCTTCTTTCGGCTTTTCAACAACATCTATCATGTTCTCTCTACTCACGCTCTCATTCGTCTCACTCCCGACACCACTCAACAGGTTATTCTCTCGCGTTCGCACTCGTCGACATTCACCACGTTGTCTTTTGATCCATCCCTTCTTCATCTCGCAACTCTGACATCTCCAGGTCGGCTTCTGCTCTCTCGACATTCATCCTCTGTTATGTTTCTCGTTCGAGCCTGATATAAATAAGAGACAACCTTTCTGCTGTCTTCGTCTTTAGCTTACTACTTTTCATCTACCCTTTTTTCTACCATCTACCTCTACTTCTGTTCAAGTCCTGTCTCTCGCACAAAAACTCTCTCTGGTTTGCTAAGCCACTTCGTCCGTTCCAAAAAATGTCGACTCGCTGCAGGGGAGCAGGTTGGATATCTTAGGTGAAGATTGACACGTATGTGAAGTCTTTCAAGACACTATACTGGAAGTTCTGCACTCGAAGAGCGATGTGACCGCTGTCAAGAGGATCGTGCTTGCTAGTATTTCCCAGGATCAAGTTGGCAGGCGTATTCTCCAGAGTCAGCTGCAGACTTCAGCCCCGGTATCCTGAAATGAAAGTAACATTTTAGGCATAACTCAAGCAGTGCCAAGGTCCCCTTCAAGCATGATGTAGGAACCTCATGCATGACTCTTGCTATCTTCCGATCACTGCTTCGAAGTAGTACATTAGCTTGAAGACAACTTCTTTTGCAGAACTGACCTGCGGTACTTTGGTCGACGCTCGCATTCGCATACACGTGCAAAAGAAACTCAGGGTGATCATAAAACTTGATGTCGTACACCACGCTAGAATAGTGTGTCTCTTTGTTCTCGACTGTCACCTCAATAGTCTTCGCCCGCAATTGCGACATAAAACAGAAAATCATGCGATAATCATGCAATTGTTGCAACTTAGCGGAGTAGACCACTTTGCAGACAAATTACTGTCACTTTCTCGGAAGCTGCTGGATGTCCGCAGACTCTAGATCCAACACACTCCATCGACCGCAAGGATGAAGTGCTTCATCTTTTTGTTGTACTCCAGCCTTCTCTTCATTGGCAAATTTGCACCCTCAGCTGCAACTCCAGCTGCAGCAGCCGCAGCAGAACCAGGCCGCACAGGAGGCAAGCAAAAAGGAACACCAACTACGGGGCAGAACACAAACCGCGGCCAAAACGGATCGGAGCTGACGATGGGGCAGGTTCAAGCAAGGCGCAAAAGCAGGCTCAAGTACCCACAGCTACACCAATGCCAAAGGCCTACACATGCTATGGCTTAAAGCTTCAGTTCGTTCGGATATTTGCCAGCTCCAGCGAGGATGAATGCGCTACGGAATGCAAAAAAGAGGGAAAGGCATACCGAGAGTATACCAGAAATGGGAACATGAGACCTACCGGCTCCGATAGGTGTTTTCAGTCGAGCGTTTGTGTAAGTACAACAATTCTCTCCGCTGGGCATTCCGCTGCACTTTCCGCTCTGCTCAAGGTTCCACTACCTTGCACGACGGCAATTTGTCCATCCAACGAACGCATCACGTTTCAATGTCAATGTCAAGCGACTCTCATCGCCTTCCGAATCCACCATGTTGACCCAGTATACAGACACCTAGTGAGGACGTGGGTGAAAAAGGAATTCGAGAGGACCAGTGATGAGAGTAACAGGCTACAATCGCAAATCAAATGTCATCACATCTTCATCGCGGAACGCATGAAAAAAGAAGGCTGGACCCTGTACAAAGCGTTTTGGGATCCTTTAGTTGAGTGTGATCTGGGGAGATCCAGAAAGGCCATGGAGAAGACCGTTGTCCCTGCAACAAGTCAGGTCCCAAGAGCAAGTCCGCAATATGTACCGCTACTCTTCAGAGAGAGGTAGCCTTACAAGTGCCGCTCATTCAATCAATCTTCACCATCGACCTCAATAAAGAACCCGCTGAAGATTCAGCTGCAGCTGCCACTGGCTCATCTCAACAGCTAAGCCCCAACTTGGAGTGCACACAGACGTTCTTGTATCTGGTCTCGAGCAGAATGAGGTGAGTTCTGCCCCCGAAGACCTTCAGCCCGGCTATTGCTCTCGACGTTTTTAGCTCCTGTTCTGCTGCGTAATAATCGCAGCCTTGGAGCCGGCACACCGCATCTCCTCACCACATGCTCTGGGATCTCTCACCACGCTAGCTTGTGCTCTACTTCCTCTCGTCTCTCAACAGGCCTGTCATATCGTCTTCACTCCTACTCTTACTCATCTCACTTTCGACAACACTCATCACCTTATCTTATCTCTTTTTACCTTTTCACTCGTCGACATTCACCACGTTGCCTCTCGTTTCGTCTCTTCTTTACGTCACAGACCTGACATCTTCGAGTCAACCTCTGCTGTGTCGTCTTATCTTCACTGTCAGTTTCTCGCTCGAGCCTGATAGATATCAAGAAACGGTCTTCTACTGTCTTCATCCCTAGTTTACAATTTCCCATCTACGTCTACTTCTGTCCAAGTCCTATTACCAGCATAAGCACTTTCCCTGGACTGCTCGTCCATTGCGTACATAATGCTTAAGCTATAGAATTGTTATGGTCGACAAATACATGCTGCTATAGCATTGATTAGGTGCTCGTCATACGCATCTTCTACAGCGATTATTGCGGCAGCTACAGCAATCAAACATTGTTTACCAAAAGCTTCTTTTCCAGAAGAACGAAAAGCTAACATGCAGTGAAGCGCTTTCTTCGGCGCTGCTCGCCTCTGTAGAGACCTATGGCTCTCTCAAGACCAGAAAGGTAATCCCAATTGCAATACATGATGACGTCTAACGACCTGAGCAACGCTTCCATGACAACAGCAATCGAGGCACAAAAAGTGCCTGACAGAGGCTGATCAGCAGTAGACCGACGATTCTGGGACATAGAGCATTGTAGAGCCAGTTCGACAATTGCCAAGTGTATCAAAGGCCATGGAGTCGCAAAGGAACCAGCACAGCGAGCAACTTCATTCAGCAGCAGCTGCACGCGACCAGCGAGTACGAACTTGGTCCTTTGCTCTATATGAACCTCTGTTCCCAATTCAGTCCTTCTTGACATGTCTCAGCTGTCATTCATGTGCGAATAATGGTTGCGAATGATGTCGTTAACTTATCAGCTTGTCTCGAAATCAAGGGTTCCGCTCTTGTATCTCAGACACTGCTGATCTAGACTTACACATGACGAATGTTAAATTCTAGGTAGTGATTCGTGCACGCTGTCGTCGAGGTATTTCAAAATGACTGTGGCAGATGAACTACCTTCTCTGATGGTTAGTGTCATTCTCGCCTAGAGGCTTCTTGCCAAGACCTGACGCACCTGACCTTCTCCGAAAAGGGGAGACGGCGGCAGTCATTCCGAACCGGCTACCGTTTTGGAATATCGGGGCTCATGGTCTCTAAGAAAGAGACCAGGCAGTACTACTCAATCAGCTTGTTTGTGACCACGTTCGAAAGCACATAGAGACTTCAACCCCGATATCCTGAAATGAAAGTCACACTTTACGCATGACTCAAGCAGCGTCAAGGTCCCCTTCAGGCATGATCTAGGGACCTAATGCATGACTCTTGCTATCTTCCGACCACTGCTTTGAAGTAGTTGTTTGAAGACACCTTGATTCGCAGCCACCAACCTGCAGTTCTTTGGTCAACGCTCGCATTCGCATACACGCGCAGAAGCAATTCAGGGTCATCATAAAATTTGATGTCGCACACCACGCTAGAATAGCGTGTCTCTTTGTTCTCGACTGTCACCTCAATGGTCTTCGCCCGCAATTGCGACATAAAACAGGAATCATGCGATTATCACGCCATAGTAGCAACTTAACGAAGCAGACCACTTTGCAGACAAATCACTGTCATCTTTTTGGAAGCTGCCTTGGAAGCTGCTGGGTGGTCGCAATCTCCAGACTCACCACACTCCATTGACCGCAAGGATGAAGTGCTTCATCTTTCTGTTGTACTCCAGCCTTCTCTTCATTGGCAATTTCGCACCCTCAGCAGCATCTCCAGCTGCAGCTCCCGCAGCAGAACCAGGCCGCACAGCAGGCAAGCAAAAAGGAACACCAACAACGGGGCAGAACACAAACCGCGGCCAAAAGCGCCTCGGAGATGACGATGGGGCAGGTCCAAGCAAGACACAAAAGCAGGCTCGAGCACCCAGAGCCAAACAGACGCCAAAGGTCTACACATGCTATGGCTTGAAGCTTCAGTTCAAGCAGATATTTCCCGACATCAGCGAGGATGAATGCGCTACGGAATGCAAGGAACGTGGAAAGGCATACCGAAAGTTTCTTCACGAGACCGGTACGAGACGCACCAGCCACAAAAGTTGTCTTGAGACCAGCGTTTGTGTAAGCACAACAATTGTCTCCGCTGAACAATCCGCTGAGCTTTCCGCTGTGCTCGCTGCTCAACGACGTTGCACACCGGCACTGTGTTCACCCAACGAACAAATCCAAAAACAAACATTTCAATGTCAATGTCAAGCGACTCTCGTTGGCCACCGAATCCACCATGTTGACCCAGTAAACATGCACATGTTCAAGACATGGGCCAAGGAAGAGCTCCGGAAGCAATCAATCAGCAGGGCTTCAAAGAAAATTCAATGCCATTACCTCTTCGTCGCGGCACAAATGACACAGACAGGCTGGCTTTTGCACAAAGCGGCTTGGGATCCTTTGGTCGAGTGTAAGAGTGCCTCTCCGGGAACAGTCAAGAAGGAGAAGCTCTGTCCTTGCATGACATCAAGCCCCAACAGCAAGTCCGCGAAGTGTACCGCTTCCCTTCGAAGGGAGGTAGTCTTGCAAGTGCCACTTATTGAGTCGGTCTTTCCCATTGATCTCAACAAAGAGCCCCTTGAAGATTCGGCTGCATCTGTCACTGGCTCATCCCAACAGCCAAATATCGACCTGGAGTACACACAGACATTTTCAAATAATGATCTCGACCCAAATGAAGTGTGCATCAATCCAACAACTGCTCAATTTGGTTATTGCTCTCCAGGGCCTTAGCTCCTGCTCTGTTGTACTACAAGGACGAAGTCTTGGACCCTACATATGGCAACTCCTCACTACATGCTCTGGCAACTCACCACGCTAGCTTTTGCTCTTCTTCCTTTGTCTCTCAACAACGCTTCTCACGTTCGCTCAACTCGTGTTCTTCTCCGCATCACTCTCAGCAGCCCTCATTACATCATTTCCGCTCGCACTATTACTCGTCGTCATTCACCATGCTGTCTCTTGTTCCGTCTCTTCTTTATCTCGCAGACCTGACATCTTCAAGTCGGCTCCTGCTCTCTCGCCTTTCACTCTCTGTCGGATTGCCCCTCGAGTCTGATAAGTATCAAAGGACAGCCTTCTGCTGTCTTCGTCTTTAGTTTACAACTTATCGTCTAACCCTACTTCTATCATCTACCTTTACATCTATCTCAGTTCTTTCTCTAGCACAAGCGCACTCGCTGTCGTTCTAGCCCATTTCTTATGATTCAACCCGGTGATGAACAGAAGACTGACGCGGGCGACAAACGGTAGAGTATGGTGCTGATGACAAAAGGGCGATGATTGACGCGTAGTCAACTGTTTATCAACGGTTGACGACCGGCAATCGCTGGTGACTAATACGCAGCTAGCTGCAAGTGGCGAGCCAGGGCTTTGCATGGACTATACATAGCTCTAGAGCAAGGAAGGCTTACTATGTACTTCCAGCTGTTGTGCAAGGTGTCTTGCACGCTTTCTACGCTTCCGTGCGTGTTCCACCTCGCCGACAGCGGCGGCGCGGTAATTCCTGCCATTCGCTGCAGCCTAAAACAGCTGAGCTTTCACCGTCACTGGCCGGTCGCGTATGCCCTGTAGCGGCCATTTTGAACCAAGTCCTGCGAAAACAGAAGGAATGTATCGTACGACGTGATCGTGCGGTTTCCGTCTCGCTGTCGTCGTCTTGCTCATCGTTTGGCGCAGTGATTTGTGCGTTGCGACCTGCCTGTCGCGCCTGCGTGTCGTCGTTTTGCTCGTGGTGAGGCGCGATGAATTGTGTGTTGCGTCGTGCTTGTCGTGCCTGCATGTTGTTCTCGTCGTCGGTCTCCTGCTGCTCAGCCTCTGCCTCTGCCTCTGGCAGACACTTCTTGTGCCGCGACTGCTGTAGTCAGTAGGAAACCCCTGCGTAAATTGTTGGGCGTCATCACGTACGGCAACTTGCAGATTCTTGGCACCATGCTGAAAGATAGCCATGGAGATCTACTTCGCTTGTGGCCTAGCAAGCGACGGAAAGTCCCGTTCAAGATGACGAACAGCCTTCCACAGCTCGGCATGGTCGCGTTATTGCCAGCTGACGGCATTGCCTCGCTCGTCCTTGAGAAAGTCATTTGCATCTCTGCAATGGCGAGCAGCGCCGAACATGGCACTCTACTGCGTGTTGATTGCCGCGCTTGATAGCCACAGACACAACGCTTTGCGAATTGATTCAACAGCCTGGATCTCAGTACGCTTGGACACCATTCTTCGACACGCGTCGTGATCGTGCTGGGGCCTTGATCATGCGTGTATTGTGTGCAAGCCGTTCAATTCGGTCTAGCTCGTTCTTCTGAATGAGTTAGACACAGAAAAGTGTATCAAGAGAGATAGAGACGTTGTCAGATGAAGCCATGGGGTCTCTGTTGACTGTGTCTGCTGCGATGCCAGCTCGCCTCTGCTGAGATCTCAGCCTCAAAGCGCTGTGTATGCGGTCAACAAGAACAAAAAGCTAACTTGCAGTGAAGCGCTATCCCTGACGCTGCTCACCACTGTAGAGACCTAATGTCCTCTCAAGGGCCAGCGAGGCAATCCCGTGAACTGGTATCAACGCGACCATGCCGAGCTGAGAAAGGCAGTCCGTCACCCTTGAACGGCACTTTCCGTCGCTTGCTAGGCAACAAGCGAATTAGATCCCCATGGCCATCTATCAGCATTTTACCAAGAATCTGCAAGTTGCTGTACGTGATGACGCCCAACAATCTACGCGACGGTGTCTACTGACTACAGCAGTCGCGGCACAAGAAGTGTCTGCCAGAGGCTGTGTAGCAGGAGACCGACGACGAGAACGACATGCAGGCACGGCAAGCACGACGCACCTCACGAGACATCCCACCACGCCATGAGCAAGACGTCGGAACGCAGGCACGACAAGCACGACTCACTATACGCTACATCGCGCCTCGACATGCGCAATCGGCAGGTCGCAACGTACAGACCACTGCGCCAAACGATGAGCCAGATGGCGACAGCGAAGTGGAAACCGCAAAACCAAGTCGTACGGTAAGCTCATTCTGCTTTCGCTAGTCTTAAATCATGCTGACTACTATAGGGCAAGCGCGACCAGCCAATGCCGGCAAAAGCTCAACTGCTTCAGGCTGCTGCAAATGAAAGGAATCACCGCACCGTCACTGCCGGCGAGGTGGGAGACACACGAACTCGTTTGTGATGCACTTGATTTCAAATTTGCGGCGCTCAGTGCGTTCACCATCATTGTCGTCGTTGTCTGCATTAGCATATGAGCCTAGAGAACGGGTTTAAGCCAACAGCGTCTTGTATGATCTAACAACCTCTCGTCTTGCGTCACCGAGTGTCTGTATTCAGTCTGCTGCCTCATAAATGACAGCTATATGGGTCTCTGCTCCCAGTCCTTCCGGGGTCTCATCAGCTAAAATTTATTCATCACCTGCAAATGTGCGAATCTTGATTCAAACATGACCAGTGTGGAAACGTAGGTAGTGGTTCGTGCACGTTGTCGTCGAGGTATTTCGAAAAGACTGTGGCAGATGAATCACCTTCTCTGATGGTTAGTGTTATTCTCGCCTGGAGACTTCTTGCCAAGACCTGACGCACCTGACCTTCTCCGAAAAGGGGAGACGGCGGCAGTCATTCCGAACCGGCTACCGTTTTGGAATATCGAGGCTCATGGTCTCTAAGAAAGAGATCAGGCAGTACTACTCAATCAGCTTGTTTGTGACCACGTTCGAAAGCACATAGAGACTTCAATCCCGATATCCTGAAATGAAAGTCACACTTTACGCATGACTCAAGCAGCGTCAAGGTCCCCTTAAGGCATGATCTAGGACCCTAATGCATGACTCTTGCTATCTTCCGACCACTGCTTTGAAGTAGTTGTTTGAAGACACCTTGATTCGCAGCCACCAACCTGCGGTACTTCGGTCGACGCTCGCATTCGCATACACTCGCAAAAGCAATTCAGGGTCATCATAAAAGTTGATGTCGCACACCACGCTAGAATAGCGTGTCTCTTTGTTCTCGACTGTCACCTGAATGGTCTTCGCCCGCAATTGCGACATAAAGCAGAAAATCATGCGATAGTTACGCGATTGTTGCAACTTGGCGAAGCAAAGGATTTTGCAGAAAAATCACTACTTTTATCCTCTTGGCAGCGACTGGATGTCAGCAGACCCTAAACTCAACACACTCTATTGACAGCAAGGATGAAGTGCTTCATCTTCCTGTTGTACTCAAGTCTTCTCCTCATCGGCAAATTTCTGCCATCAGCCGCATCTCCAGCTCCAGTAGCCGCAGCAGAAGCAGGACGCACAGCCGGCAAGCAAAAAGGAACATCCCCAACGGGTCAGAATACAAACCGCGGCCAAAAACGCCTCGGAGATGACGATGGGGCAGGTCCTAGCAAGACACCAAAAAAAGTTCAAGCACGCGCAATCACACCTACGGCAAAGGAAACATGCTATGGCTTGAAGCTTCAACTCCTCAAGATCTTTTCGCGCCGCAGCCAAGAGGAATGCTATGTGGCATGCGGAGACCAGCGGCAGGTATACCGAAATTTCTTGAGAACGGAGGGGTTGAGACCTTTAGCAGAGGGTTGTATTCAATCCAGAGTTTGTGTGAACACAAGACTCCTCTTTGTCAAAAAGTTCTGCATTCTGTCACTGTGTCTAGCCAGCGAACAACCTTATCAATGTCATTGTGAAGCGACTCTCATCGCCTTCCGAATCCGCAATGTCAAACCATCAAACATGCACTCACTAACTCGATACATTGATAATGTCGAGGAGCAGCGGCAGTCATCATTGTATGGTATCAGCTGCTATCACATCTTCATGGCAGATCGATTGACTCAACCGGGTTGGGCCTTGCAATCTGCAGCTTGGAATCCTTTGGTGAGTTGCAATGGTACATCCTCGGGAGCAATCGAACGAGAGAATCTCTGTGCTTGCACCGACGGGGGGTAGGAAGCTTGACGGTGGGGAATGTACCGGTGATATTGCGGCACAGATGACCATACGAGTGCCGCTTCCAATCATTGGCATTGATCTCAATAAAGAGCCCGATCAAGATTCAGCTGCAGCTGCCACTGGCTCATCTCAACACCCAAATCACAACCTACAGTACACACAGACATTCTCAAATAGTGATCTCGACCCAAATGAAGTGTGCATTAACCCAACAATTGCTCAATTTGGTTATTGCTCTCCAGGGCCTTAGCTTCACTGTCAAGTGACAAAAACGCAGTCTTGGGATCGACGCACGGCAGTTCCTCACAACATGATTTGGCAATTGACACGCTAGCTTATGCTCTCCTTCTTTCGGCTTTTCGACGACATCTATCATGTTTTCTCTACTCACGCTCTCAGTTTTCTCACTCCCGACACCACTCATCAGGTTATTCTCTCGCATTCGCACTCGTCGACATTCACCACGTTGTCTCTTACTCCATCCCTTCTTCATCTCGCAACTCTGATATCTCCAGATCGGCTTCTGCTCTCTCGACATTCATTCTCTGTTATGTTACTCGCTCGAGCCTGAGAGACATAAGAAACAACCCAATGCTGTCTTCGTCTTTAGCTCACAGCTTTTCATTTACCCCTACTTCTATCATCTGCCTTTGCTTCAGTTCAAGTCCTGTCACTCGCACAAAGAGTCTCTCTGGCTTGCTAAGCCCCTTCTTTCATTCAAAAAGATGTCAACTCGCTGAAAGGGAGCAGTTTGGATATCCTGAGTGAAAATTGGTACGTAAATGAAGTCTTTCAAGTCGCTATGCTGGCCCTTTGGAACTCGAAGAGCAATAGGACCGCTGTCAAGAGGATCTGGCTTGCTATCATCTCCCAGGATCAAGTTGTCAGGCCCAATGTCACGAGTCAGCTGGCCGAACGAAGCTATGTGATTCGTAACGTGATGAATTGTATCGTTATCAACCGTGCAAACAACGTCACTCTGGTTATCCAAGACTATATTTGCAATCAACAACACGGCATCAGAGCAGGCAGCAAAGTAGTGACTACATGCTGTGCCCTGTTTGTTTTTAAATTGATGACGATTGGGGCACTCACTATCAGCCCGGCGAGAGAATTGCAGGTGAGCATTGGTGCACCCTATGGGGTAGCTGCTGATAATAAGTTGGTGACGGTGTGAAATGCTGAAGCAAGCCGGATCACCACTTACGAAGCTGTTAAAGACCAATGCTTACCAGAAAACATATGGCGAAAGTTGGTGATCACCATTGCCTACACTAGTTCTATAGCTATGCTTTCAAGTAGCACGTACAAGTGGTTACATATGCTGGCATTTCATCAGCTCATGCGTAACGATTGAAAGACTCCTCAAGACAATCCGGTTACAAGGCGTACCACCACATGATTCCTCAATCTGCATGGCATGTATATCTGCACATTACACCATCGTTTTGAAGCCGTAATTTTCTAAGCTTCAAGAAGCAAGGAAGTCGTGTCGTCGGTGTGCTGCAGCTGTGCTCGTTGTAAAGTTGAACTTGGGGTCTTGAACTTTGGCCACTCTGCGAATCTCGCGCTACAGTACAACTCATGGTCGACGCCCATGCTTCGCTTCAGATGCGCATTTCTGCAGCCTCTCTTTCTTGAGTTCTGTCTCTCAAGTGTGTCTGGCCAGCAAAATGCTGTTCTACGTAGCCCGGTAGGGTGCCAAGCGAACGGAGAATCCACAATTTGACCCTGGAATCTGCCACAGCAAAGCGAGAAGCGCGCTCACTAGCTTTTGCCAGATATGATCAGCATGCTAGAGTCTTACTCAGTCCTTTTATCCAAGAGTCTTTCTCTCTCGTTGTCTACGAACCAGCTCAGCAGCCTCAAGCTGTCATCGCAGCAGGTACAGCCAGCAACGATCCCATGGCTTTATCTGACAACGTCTCTATTTCTCTGATACACTATGCTGTAATTAGCGCATTCAGGAGGACGATCTAGACTAACTTGAACGCCTTGCGATCGATACACGCATAATGAAAACACCAGGACGACCACGACGCGTGTCATCAGATTGTCTCAAGCGTACTGAAATCCTAGCCTCGAAGCGCTGAGTATGTGGCCAACAAGAACGAAAAACTAACATGCAGTGAAGCGCTATCTTCGGCGCCGCTTGCCTCTGTAAAGACCTGTGGCCCTCTCAAGGACCAAGAAAGTAATCCCAAAACATGATGATGTCCAACAGCCTGTGCAACGCTTCCATGACAACAGCAATCGAGGCACAAAAAGTGCCTGACAGAGACTGATCAGCAGTAGACCGACGACTCTGGGACATAGAGCATTGTACTTTGGTCGACGCTCGCATTCGCATACACGTGCAGAAGCAACTCAGGGTCATCATAAAATTTGATGTCGCACACCACGCTAGAATAGCGTGTTTATTTGTTCTCAACTGTCACTTGAATGGTCTATGCCCGCAATTGCGACATAAAATGGGTTATCATGCGATAACCACGCGATTGTTGCAACTTAGCGGAGTAGACCACTTTGCAGACAAATTACTGTCTCTTTCTCGGAAGCTGCTGGATGTCCGCAGACTCTAGATTCAACACACTCCATCGACCGCAAGGATGAAGTGCTTCATCTTTCTGTTATACTCCAGCCTTCTCTTCATTGGCAAGTTCGCACCCTCAGTAGCATCTCCAGCTGCAGCTCCCGCAGCAGAACCAGGCCGCACAGCAGGCAAGCAAAAAGGAACACCAACAACGGGGCAGAACACAAACCACGGCCAAAAACGGATCGGAGCTGACGATGGGGCAGGTTCAAGCAAGGCACAAAAGCAGGCTCAAGTACCCATACCCACACCAACGCCAAAGGTCTACACATGCTATGGCTTGAAGCTTCAATTCTTTCGGATATTTCCCAGCATCAGCGAGGATGAATGCGCTACGGAATGCAAGGAAGAGGGAAAGGCATACAGAAAGTATACGAGACAGGAGAATATGAGACCTACCAGTTCGGATAAGTGTTTTCGGTCCAGCGTTTGTGTGAGCTCAACAATTCTCTCCGCTGACCATTCCGCTGTGCTTTCCGCTCTGCCCAATGTGCCGCCATCGTGCACGACCGCCATTTGTTCATCGAATGAGGGCATCAACAAAGACGCGTTTGAATGTCAATGTCAAGCGACTCTCATTGCCTCCCGAATCAAACATGTTGACCCAGTATACAGGCACCAAGTGAAGACATGGGTGAACGAGGAACTAAAGAGGACCAGTGATGAGAGTAACACGCCAGCAAAAGAGAAGAACCCGCCCTACGGAAAATTTGGACCGGCAGATTACCGGCGGAAATTACCAGATGAATACCGGCGGAATACCGGCGGAAAATCCCTAACTTCGCAGGCGCAGTAATACCAGCAGACTACCGGCAGACTACCGGCAGACTACCGGCGGAAATAAGCACGCCTTTACCAGAGCCAACCGGAGGATTACCAGAGGATACCACCTGCCAACGGGAAGCTCAATAGATGCTGTAGCGACAGTAGGTGTAGCAACTAGACCATCTACGACACACTACAGACGTGCTGCCGCTTTCTTGGCCTTCTTGGCAGACTTGTGCGCCGTTTTTGCTTGTGATGCTGCAGTCTTGGCCTTGGTCATAATAGCGCTGCCTTGCTCAGCGTCCTGTGCTCTGCGTGATAGCTTTGATGTTCTTCCAGACTAGAAATGCATCGTTAGTATGTCATGGTAGGAATGGCAGAAGTGTATACCTTGCGAGACGAGGAGGTGGATCGATCTTTGCTTGACTTCTGGCCACTGGTCAGTCTTATAACATCAAAGATGGGACGGACTTGCCTTGGAAACATGCGCAATCTTCTTTGCTTGACGCTACATCTTGTTAGCCAATGTTTCCTCCGCATAATTGGCTCACATTGTGCTGAGACGAAGTTAGCTGCAACTGAATATGTTAGTGAGGCACATCAGGCAGAAGGAGGAACCCACAACTCTCGATGCAGCCTAGTCAATACTATTGTCTTCAGAGAAGATGGAAGCGGGTGTCTCGCAGCGGGTATTCTCGTTATCGACGCGAGCAGATGACACTCCATGGGCAACGTCGTGCTCGTGGCTGTTATCGTCGTCTTGGGAAGAAGCAGCAGTAGTAGTCTCTCTGTAGACTTTCGCTTTGCGCTTCTGTGGGCGCGTCAGTCAAGAGCTTGCAAGGTACAAAGACACTCTCACCGCTTCATTCTCCACCTTCGCGTGGTGCTGGTAGATGGTCAAGGCAATCCAATGTCCATGAGCTCGTCCCAGCACAGGGAAAGCCTTTTCCAACTTGTGAATGACCGTCTGGAGCTTCCCAACGTTGCGGTGACGCCATGTGACCGTCTTGCCTTGCGCATCGACCACAATCTGGTGAGTGTCTATCAGGTACCGTGCATGTGCCGTGATGTTGTTCCAGGTAGCGTCGCGCAATGGCGTTCGTGGCCAGAGTCCCATTGCGAGTCGTAGTGTCTTTGTAGAGGGACTATCGGTTCTAGAGACGCCATGCGACGTGCGCTTGGATCTTGATGGTATATCGATACGCGCAAGAGATCCTGCGAGCCTGTTGTAGTCGTCCAGACTGTCTGTGAAAAACTCCTCTTCCTATCTAGGTCAGTCAGAGGTATTGAGTTGCAGCGTGCGCTGCTCACGCTAGTAGTGAATAACCTGTCTTGAGAAGACTCAGAAAAGTGATCGAGCACCTTCAGATGCCACAGGCTCGGATGTGTAAGCTCAAGGACAGTGAGGTGTTGTCTACAAGCAGCAAGACGGTGCAGGGCAGATGCGTGTGCTGGTCATCCCATCTCGTCCTGAAGTGATAAGACAAGAGTGAAGCAAAACGCCAAAGTCGACGATTCTCAAGATTCGCTAGCGCTACACTCTTCCAATTTTGAGCCTACAAACGCCAATTTGTGATCGTGGCTAAGATGCGAAGTGGCTAGTCGTCAAGGCACCACAAAGATCTTCGTTGTGAAGTGTGCTGCGAGTGGCCTCCGTTCACGAACGAAGGCCGCATTCAGTGGGCAGACGTATGAAGCGTCTGAGGTTCACGACAATGCAATATTGAGCTATAGAGAATTGCTCTGTCTCTTTGAACATGACGGCAGGCATTTTGCGATCATCAAGGTCTTATCAAGGTCTTGAAGACCATATCGTCATGCGGCGCAAAGTCTCTCAACAAGCAAGGACACATATTGCAGGTCATTGTGCCAGTTTGCCGTCTTCTTGAATGAACTGGCCAATTTGAGAGAACAGGGCTCGACAAGAAAAGAGCAGCAGGCAAGCTGCTTAAGCGAGAACGGCGCTTACGAGAGCAGAAGCATTCTTTATGGGTAGCTGAGGGCTATCGAATCCAGTATAAATAGCTTCTAGATTTGATTATGAGCGGATGTTGGCCTCTGATCACTTGATAACAGTGATTGACTTGTGTGTTGTCTGCCTTTTGGCGTGGCTCAGTGATCCGCCTCTCCATATCCGCTGGTTTTCCTCCGGTGTGCAAGTTTGGAAGTCGGTTGGCTCCGGTAATCCGCTGTGCTTGAAAAGTTTCTCACGGTAATCCGCCGGTTGGCTCTGGTACACTCCGGTAAATTTTCCGTAGGGCCGCCAGCAACAGCGATCAAATGCCATTACATCTTCATCGCGGAACGAATGAAAAAAGAAGGCTGGACTCTGTACAAAGCGGCTTGGGATCCTTTAGTTGAGTGTGGTCTGAAGAAGATACAGAAAGGCCATGGAGAAGACCGTTGTCCCTGCAACAAGTCAGGTCCCAAGAGCAAGTCCGCAATATGTACCGCTACTCTTCAGAGAGAGGTAGCCTTACAAGTGCCGCTCATTCAATCAATCTTCACCATCGACCTCAATAAAGAACCCGCTGAAGATTCAGCTGCAGCTGCCACTGGCTCATCTCAACAGCTAAGCCCCAACTTGGAGTGCACACAGACGTTCTTGTATCTGGTCTCGAGCAGAATGAGGTGAGTTCTGCCCCCGAAGACCTTCAGCCCGGCTATTGCTCTCGACGTTTTTAGCTCCTGTTCTGCTGCGTAATAATCGCAGCCTTGGAGCCGGCACACCGCATCTCCTCACCACATGCTCTGGGATCTCTCACCACGCTAGCTTGTGCTCTACTTCCTCTCGTCTCTCAACAGGCCTGTCATATCGTCTTCACTCCTACTCTTACTCATCTCACTTTCGACAACACTCATCACCTTATCTTATCTCTTTTTACCTTTTCACTCGTCGACATTCACCACGTTGCCTCTCGTTTCGTCTCTTCTTTACGTCACAGACCTGACATCTTCGAGTCAACCTCTGCTGTGTCGTCTTATCTTCACTGTCAGTTTCTCGCTCGAGCCTGATAGATATCAAGAAACGGTCTTCTACTGTCTTCATCCCTAGTTTACAATTTCCCATCTACGTCTACTTCTGTCCAAGTCCTATTACCAGCATAAGCACTTTCCCTGGACTGCTCGTCCATTGCGTACATAATGCTTAAGCTATAGAATTGTTATGGTCGACAAATACATGCTGCTATAGCATTGATTAGGTGCTCGTCATACGCATCTTCTACAGCGATTATTGCGGCAGCTACAGCAATCAAACATTGTTTACCAAAAGCTTCTTTTCCAGAAGAACGAAAAGCTAACATGCAGTGAAGCGCTTTCTTCGGCGCTGCTCGCCTCTGTAGAGACCTATGGCTCTCTCAAGACCAGAAAGGTAATCCCAATTGCAATACATGATGACGTCTAACGACCTGAGCAACGCTTCCATGACAACAGCAATCGAGGCACAAAAAGTGCCTGACAGAGGCTGATCAGCAGTAGACCGACGATTCTGGGACATAGAGCATTGTAGAGCCAGTTCGACAATTGCCAAGTGTATCAAAGGCCATGGAGTTGCGAAGGAACCAGCACAGTGAGCAACTTCTTTCAGCAACAGCTGCACGCGACCAGCGAGTACGAACTTGGTCCTCTGCTCTATAGGAACCTCTGTTCCCAATTCAGTCCTTCTTGACGTTTCCCAGCTGTCATCAATGTGCGAATATTGGCTGCGAATGATGTTATTAACTTATCAGCTTGTCTCGAAATCAAGGGTTCCGCTCTGGTGCCTCAGACACTGCTGACCTAGACTTACACATGACGAATGTAAAATTTTAGATAGTGATTCGTGCACGCTATCGTCTGGATGCATCAGATCGAGTGTATCAGATGAACATACTTCTCCGACATAGTTGAGCTTGATCTTGCCTTGCTCAATCAGGGACCTAGTGTTATGGTATTTTGCTTCGATGTGCTTACTTTTGGCGTGAAATACGGGATCCTGTGCCAATGTTAGCGCAGCCTGGTTGTTCCCAAACGGATCGATGGAGCCGTCAGACTTGAACACATTGCTAATCTTGTTGCCGCATGAGCTAGCGCAGCCAGAGATCTTCTTTTGACGTGTTGGATAGGCGACGTTTTGGATAGGCCAATATACTCGGCTCCCACGGTCGATGTGGCAACAACGTTTCGGCGCTTTGACTGCCAAGTGATTGCAGCAATGCAGCTCCCCCAAGCCTGAACACTACAACATTATTTATCGACCTAGGGCTCAGCAAGGCAGACTCGATGCACTCAGCCTAAGCTCCGGCCTTCCGAGGGGGTCGCGAATCAGCTCGCACGATAATGTTCTTCAAGCCAGGACAACTTTCACTTGCTCCTGTCACTCTTCGGACTACGCCAACTTCAAGACAAGCCACCTCTGAGTCGTCTGCTCACGATTATCCGGACGACCACTTCCGCGCTCGCATCGTTGCAGCGCATTCCGCTGATCCACTGGTGCAAGGCGCTCTCGACGATTCAGCAGGCTTCTTTGACGTCAAGCCGTCCATCTTCGCCAACGCCTAGTCTTCTTTCTTCGCCAGCACTTTCTAATGCAGCTTATCTCACTGCTGACCAGCCATTGATTGGACCACGGCCTTCTTTCTACGAAGATCGTGTGTAAATCACTTCAGATGCTCCTCTGAAGCTGGTGATTGTCCAGCAGCATCTTGAGTCGCCTATCTCCGGTCACTGGGGTGTCGTCAAGACTCTGGACCCTGTTTCTCGGCAGTACTAATGGCCGTCAATGCATGCTTACAATCACGAATACGTCGTAACCCGCGATAATTCTACGTGTGCTCGCGCCAAAGTGTCGCGCTACAAGTCTTATGGCTTGCTCAAGCCTCTGTTTAGTCCAAAGACTCTATGGTCCTCTATCTCGCTAGACTTCACCGTCAAGCTCTCCTCTTCGGCCTCTCTCAACTCTATTCTCGTTGTCGTCGATCGCCTCACTACTAAAATGGCACATTTCATCCCTTGCCATGAGGCCACAGACGCAGCAGGCTTCGCAACACTTTTCATGAAGAGAATCTTTACTCGCCATGCCAGGCCACTCGATTTTGTCTCCGATCGCGGCTCTGTCTTTGTCTCCTCGTTCTGGAAAGCGTTTCTGGGTCACTTCGACCCTGCTATCGAAGAACACCTAGCTACTTCCCAATCACCGTCAAACAAGTTGTCAGACAGAACAAACAGATCTCACTCTCGAACAATACCTTCGTTGCTTCACCAATGCCGATCTAGACGATTGAGTCAAGCTCTTGCCAAGAGCCGCATTTGCCTACAACAACTCGGTTCATGCGTTCATCAAGACAACACCCTTCTTTGCCAAATGTTCTTGCCATCCTCGGTCTGGCCTACATTTTGATGCCAGTACCGATTCTCGCAATGCTACCAGCCACGACATGTCTCAACGTCTCATGCTTGTTCAACAAGAACTCAAGGCTCATCTTAAAGATGCTCAGCCTGCTCAAAAAGCCTTCGCTGATCTTCATCGCCTTGAAGCTCTTTCCTTAGAGCTCGGCCAAAAAGTCTGGCTTAATGTCAAAAGCGTTCAAGCACTGCAGAAATAAGGCAAATTCTCTTACAAGAATCTCGGTCCTTTTCCCGATAAGAGCAACAATTCACGCCCGGCCCTCTTCACTTCGTATTTGCGCCCCGTTGCGAATACACAATGTGTTTTACCCAAGCCTCTTGTCTCCAGTTCCCCACGACAAGGCCTATTTGAAGCGAACTCGAGGAGCTTCTGAACCTATCGTCGTTGGCAACAGCCTGGAGTGGGTATACGATAAGGTTATGGCGATTCGATCACGCGGCAGCGGCTTCCGAAACATGATTTACTACGAGGGTTTCCCTCACAATGCAGACGAGTGAATCCCGGCTCTAAAAGCCTACCAGAATGGTCCAGTCCTCGTCTAAGACTTCCATCTCCGCAATTCCGATGCTGCTGTCCCATCCTACGTCAAGCTACCCACTCGTCAAAGTGCGCTTTGAGACGCAGCGCCTGGAGAAGGAGTTTCTGTAACGAACACGCAGCCTGAAACTGCGTATCCGACTTCTACGTGCTGTGGGAACCTCTCACAGCTCAACTGACTTCCGCCTTTCAACGACGCCTACCTACTTAGCACATTGTCGATCGTCGCACGCTCAGCTTCCTTGCTTCCGACACCGCTCTGTCGCGTTGTCTCTCTCCGCTGTCTGACTCGTCGATAAAGTCGACCACGTTGTCCTTGGTATGCCTCTTCCATAGCCCGGACATATCCACTGCGCTCGTGCTATCTCGCTTCCTCTCTTTTCTATCTGTTTTCTAGCTCCGAGTCGGCTCCTGCGGGCTCCGCCCACATCATCGCCATTCGCTCTCATGCTCGAACCTGGTAGACATAAGTAGACAGCCTTCTGCTGTCTCGTCCCTCCTTTTACAATTTCTATTCTCGTCACCTACGTCTTCGCTCTAGCCTCGTCTTCAGCACAAGCACTCGTTCCCTCTTGCTCGCGTACCATTTCACTTTTGTCATTTTGGCCTAGATGTTTATTGCCAAGGTCAAACATACCTGACCTAATTCGCAAAAAGGAGACAGTGGCTTTTATTCCCGTGACGGCCACCATTTGGGGATGTTGGAGCTCAAGGTCTAAACGAAGGAAATTAGGTGGTACTCAATCACAGTTGTTTGTAATCACAGTTGTTTCGAAAGCACCTGAAGACCTGAATTTCAGGGTCCCTCAAAGAAAATTACACTTTCCGCATGACTCAAGCATTGTCAATTTCTCCCTCAAGCATGATCCATGAAACTCATGCATGAGTCTTGCTATCTTTCAGCCTATTCTCTTGAGGAAAACTGGATCCGCAGTCACGGACCTGTGATAAAGATTTGATTTCGCTCTCATTCGCATACAAGTACAACTCAGGGCTTTTACGAAATACAGGGCTGCATACGACGCTCAAGTAGCGTGTCACTTTGTTTCTGACTGCAGCCTTCATGATTTTGGCCCAATTGCGACACGAAGCAACTGCAGAAAACCACGCAATAAAGGCATCGTTGCAATTCGACAATGCGGATCATTTTGCAGCAAAATGACCGCCATGTTCTCGAAACTTGCTGGAGTTCGCGGTTCCTTGACTCGACACACTCCATCGACAGCAAGGATGAAGTATTTCATCTTCCTGTTGTGCTCCAGTCTTCTCCTCATTGGCAATTTCGCGCCCTCAGCTGCATCTCCAGCTGCAGCAGCCGCAGCAGAACCAGGCCGCACAGCAGGCGAGCGACAAGGAACACCAACAACGGCTCAAAACACTAATCGCGGCCAAAAACGCATCGGAGACGACCAGGGGGCAGGTCCAAGCAAAGCACGAAAACAAAATCAAAAATCCGCACCCACAAGTACGGCAGAGGACACATGCTATGGCCTGAAGCTTCGAGTGTTCAGGTTTGTCCCGAGCAACAACAAATCTGATTGCTTCAGGCTATGCGCACAAGAACGACAAGACTACCGAGATTTCTTGAAAAAGAAAAATCTGAGACCCACGGCAGAGGGCTGTGTGATATCCCGCGTTTGTGTGAACACAAGAGTGCTCGACGTTGAGCCAGCCTGCCCATCGTCACTATGTCCGCCCACCGAACGACCCGACGAAACAAACTATCAATGTCCATGTGAAGCTACTCTCATCGCCTTTCGGATTCGCCATGCTAAACCATGGAACATGCCTGCAGTAGAGAAATACTTCGACTTTAGACGGAAGTTGGGGGTGGGCCCAGCAAATTGTATCAGATGCCATCGAGTCTTCGTCGCGGAACGCATGACAAAACCGCACTGGGTCTTGAAGGAGGCGGTCTGGGATCCTTTGGTCGATTGCAAACAACCTCCTGTAGGTACAGCTGCGGCCGTGCAATAGAATTCCTGCAAGTGCAGCTATGCAGGAGGCAAAGATGGCACCGGTGGGCGATGTACCGCTGATCTGTTCAACAAGACGCCCTTACGAACACCACTTTCGATGTTTTATGTTGATCTGAACAAAGAGCCCGCTCAAGATTCAGCTGCAGCTGCCACTGGCTCATCTCAAGAGCTAGCCTCCGACCTAGAGTTTACACAGACATTCGCCCTTTCCGATCTCAACCAAAATGGGATGTGTATTAACCCGACAATCGATCAACCTGGGTTTTGCTCTCGACGTTCTTAACTCAAGCTCTACTCTTTGATGAACACGCAGTCTTGGGCCCTGCGCACAATATATCCTCACCATATGCTCTGGCAACTCAAAAGCACGCTAGATTCTGCGTTTCTTCCTTTCGTCTCTCAACAAAACTTCTCACCTTGTCGCTACTCGGGCTTTCATCCGTCTCGCTCCTAACAGCACCCATCACGTCGTCTCCTCGCGCTTTTACTTGTCGTTCATCACATTGTCTCCTGTTCCATCTCTTCCCCATCTCGTGAACCCGGCGTCTTCAAGACTGCTCCTGCTTTATCGTCTTCTCTTCACCGGCGGTTTCCTCGCTGGAGTCTGATAAAGGTAACGAGGTAGCCTTCTGCTATCTTTGTTCTTAGTTTGCATCTTATTATCTACCCATCATTCTATCATCTATCTCCACTGCTGTCCAAGTCCTGTCTCTAGCACAAGCACTCCCTCTGGCCTGCTGGCCCATCTTTCACGATACAAAAGATGTCAACCTGCTTTTAGAGAGCAGGTTGTGAGTTGAAGGTCTGAAGCAAGCCGGAAAACGACTTACGACGCTGGTCAGGAGCCGATGCTCGACAGCACACAAATGACGAATGCTGCTATCACCATTGCCTGCGCTATAGCTGTGTGTTGGAGTGGGACGTCCGAAGGAATACATATGCTTGTATATGGTCAGCTCATGCGTAACGATTAGAAGAGTCCTGGAGACAATCCCGTTCACGACGAGTACCAAATCACATAGTTTTTTGATCTGTATAGCATGTTCACATGTTGATGGGAGCAGCATTCTCAATGCGGTAGTCCTTCGCTGCCCATCGAGACCGGCCTTGTTTCCAAGGCTGTCTGAAGCAAGAAAGTCGAGTCAGCGGTGTGATGTGCTAGTTGTGAAGTTGAACTTTGTTGCTTTTGAAATTTCGCCATTCTGCGCATCTCGCGCTCGCTACTAGCGACAGTACGATTCATAGTCCCTGCACACGTCTGCAGCGCTCCACTCTAAACGCGTGTCAATGCAGTGTCCCTTGCTCTGCGTCTGTCTTTCAAGTATGTCTGACCGGCAGAGTCAGATCTTAAGCGATCAAGCAAATGGAGACCAAACAAACACTCTGACCCTGTACTCTGCCACAGCAACGCAAGAAGCGCGCCTACTTTCCCTGGCCACGGATGATCAGCGGTGGACTGATGAGGAAGATGACACGCATGCACGACAAGCACGACGCAACTCGCCAAACTTCGCTTCATACAACGAGCAAAACGACGACACGCATCCACGACAAGCCTTTCACAATGCACTGAACATAGCCTCAAACAATGAGCAACCCTACAACCACGTCTGACGGTACGCTACTTCTGCTCCCTCTTGTCTCAATCCATACTGACTGGCGCAGGTCAAACTCAATCGGCCAATGACGGCAAAATCTGAGCTGCTTCAGCTTGCAGTGAATCACAGGAAGTACTGAGCTGCCACTGCCGGCGAGGTGAAACCATCATGGAGGCGTCTGTAATGAACTTGATCTCGAACTTGCGGCGCTCAGTGCCTCCAGAACTTTCGTCGTCGTTGTCTACATTAGCACGCGAGCCTGATGTATGGGTGTCAGCCAACAGCTTCTTGTACAAACCACCTCGTACAAACCACCTCTATCTCATTATCCGTCATCGCTTGTCTGTTTTTAACCTGCCATCTCATCAATCACAACAGGACGCACAAATCACGCACAGGCCGATGAATCAGTCCTGGGCGCCGGAGACTCGCCAACTGACCCCATTGGCCTCAGGGCTTGCAAGTCTCGTCTTTGCATCAGCAGCTACATTCCAGGCACTGTGTGTTTGTAGGAGGGGATGATGAAGACTCCCGATAAATTTGGCCAATGAAGCTGTCATCATCAGGGCTGACATCCCTCCAATAGTTCAGCACCGTTTTTTCCACTCCAGAGCTCAATCTGCTGTCCTCAAGTTACCCCAAAGATTCTCGCGCTCAAGGCATGATGGTGAGATCAATCAGCTGTGCGGAAGTTCTTCAGCTGCTTTACCAGCATTTTGCCACTCATGCATGATGTAGCTATAATCTGAATGATACAATTCAGCTCCAAATATAGGTTTACAGAATCTTCAATGTATGTGCTGCAGTTGAATTGTCTCATTCTATCACGCGAGCTTTGCAAACTACATCGTCATCGTATCTTTGAGCCCAATTTCCATGATGAATGTCCCTTACCTTTCCTTCTAAATCTGCTGATTAGTACCTGGCACTCATGGCACTGCCATCGATGTTGCTGTTATGGCGCTCGCAGAGCATTTGCTGCAGCTGTAGCTGGAACATAGAGCATTGTGAAGCCAGTTCAAAAATTGCTCAGCGTATCAAAGGCCAGGAAGTTGCAAAAACACCGTAACATCGAGCAAGTCCTTTCAGCAACAGCTGCAGGCGACCAGCGAGGAGAAACCAGGTCCCTTTCTTCATACGAATTTCTGTTCCTTGTCTATTCCTTTTCAGATTTCGTCAGCCGTCCATCACTCGAAATGAAGATGTTGACTTACCAGCTTGTTTTGGATGAGAAGGTCTCGATCGTGTACTGTTCAGACATTTCTTATCTTGATTTTCACATGACAGGTGTAAAGGCTTAGTTAGATAGTGGCTCGCGCAGATTGTCGTCTAGGCGTTCTAAGATAACTGGGGCAAACGAACCACCTTCTCTGATAGTCAGTGTCATTCTAGCCTGGAGACTTCTTGCCAAGGTCTGACGCACCTGACTTTCTCCGAAAGGGGAAAGACGGCGGCTGTCATTTCGAAACGGCCACCATTTAGGGATGTCGAGGCTCATGGTCTCAAAGAAAGAGATTAGGTAGTACTACTCAATCATGGTCGGTTGTGACTACGTTTGAAAGCACGTAGAGACTTCAACCCCGTTATCCTGAAATGAAAGTCACACTTTACGCATTGCTCAAGCGGTGTCAAGGTTTCCTTCAAGCATGATCTAGGAAACTCATGCATGACTCTTGCTATCTTCCGATCACTGCTTAGAAGTAGTACAGTAGCTTGAAGACGAATCGATTCGCAGCCACAGACCTGCGGTACTTTGATCAACGCTCGCATTCGCATACACGTGCAGAAAAACTCAGGGTCATTATGAAATTTGATGTCGCACACCACGCTGGAATAGCGCGTCTATTTGTTCTCGAATGTCACCTGATTGGTCTTCGCCCGCAATTGCGACATAAAACAGAGGATCATGCGATAATCGCGCGATTGTTGTAACTTAGCGAAGCAGACCACTTTGCAGACAAATTACTGTCACTTTCTCGGAAGCTGCTGAATGTCCGCAGACTCTAGACACAACACACTCCATCGACCGCAAGGATGAAGTGCTTCATCTTTCTGTTGTACTCCAGCCTTCTCTTCATTGGCAAATTCGCACCCTCAGCAGCATCTCCAGCTGCAGCTCCCGCAGCAGAACCAGGCCGCACAGCAGGCAATCAAAAAGGAACACCAACCACGGGGCAGAACACAAACCGCGGCCAAAAGCGCCTCGGAGATGACGATGGGGCAGGGTCAAGCAAGACACAAAAGCAGGCTCAAGCACCCACAGTCACGCCGACGCCAAAGGTCTACTTATGCTATGGCTTGAAGCTTCAGTTCCGTCGGACATTTTCCGACATCAGCGAGGATGAATGCGCTACGAAATGCAAAGAAGAGGGAAAGGCGTACAAGAAGTATACGAAACAGGAGAACATGAGACCTATCGGTCCGGATAGGTGTTTCCAGTCCAACGTTTGTGTAAGCGCAGAAATGCTCTCCGCTGACCGTTCCGCTGCGCTGTCCGCTCTGCTCAAAGATCCGCTACCTTGCACGACGGCAATTTGTTCATCCGACGAACGCATCAACAAAGACGCGTTTCAATGTGAATGTCAAGCGACTCTTATTGCCGTCCGAATCAAACATGTTGCACCAGAATGGGTGCACCTATTCAAAAAATGGAGGAACAACAAACTTGCTAAGGTCAGAGATGAGAAAAACAACCCAGCAACGATGACCAAATGCCATTACATCTTCATCGCGGAGCGCATGAAAAAAGAAGGCTGGATGCTGTACAAAGCGGCTTGGGATCCTACAGTTGAGTGTGATCTGGAGAACAGAAGCCAAGGAAAAGACCGTTGTCCCTGCCACAAGTCAAGTCACAAGAGCAAGTCCGCAATATGTACCGCTACTCTTCAGAGGGAGGTAGCCTTACAAGTGCCGCTGTGGGAATCACTCTTCACCATCGATCTCAATAAAGAACCCGCTGAAGATTCAGCTGCAGCTGCCACTGGCTCATCTCAACAGCTAAGCCCCAACTTGGAGTGCACACAGACCTTCTTGAATTCTGGCCTCGGGCAGAATGAGGTGAGTTCTGCCCCCGAAGACCTTCGGCCCGGCTATTGCTCTCGACGTTTTTAGCTCCTGCTCTGCTGTGTGATGATCGCAGCCTTAGAGCCAGCACACCGCATCTCCTCGGCATTTGCTCTGGGATCTCACACCACGCTAGCTTGTGCTTTACTTCCTCTCGTCTCTCAACAGGCCTGTCATATCGTCTTCACTCTTACTCTTACTCATCTCTATCTCGACAGTACCCGTCACCTTATCTCTTCTCGCCTTTTCACCCTTCAACATTCACCACGTTGTCTCTCGTTTCGTCTCTTCTTCATGTTGCAGACCTGACATCTTGGAGTCAACTTCTGCTCTCTCGTTTTCTTTTCACTTTGGGTTTCCCGCTCGAGCCTGATAGATATCAAGAGACGGCCTTCTGCTGTCTTCGTCCTTAGTTTACAATTTTCAATCTACTTCTACTTCTGTCCAAGTCTTATTTCCAGCATAAGCACTTTCCCTGGACTACTCGTCCATTGCTTATATAATGCTTGAGCTATAAAATTGCTATGGTCGACAAATACATGCTGCTATAGCATTGAATAGGTGCTCGTCATACGCATCTTCTACAGCGATTACCTGCGGCAGCTACAGCAGTCAAACATTGTTTACCAAAAGCTTCATTTTCCTTATCTTACTTGTGATTTCAATTTGCCTCAGAGCAATGTTACAAGGCTTGGTTGCACACAATTGGTATCCATTACTGTAGATGCAACTTTTGCATGTCCACCGGATTGGCGTAGACAATTCAATTTCAAACTCATTTCTTATAATGACCTATTGGCTACATGGAAGACATAGATGAGAATCTTCAAACTACGAAGAACTCGCTTCAGTGATATTTCTAAGAGTACAAAGACTCTAGATGGCTCAAACGAGCGCGTTTTACAGTCACAGGCAATGCCTCATCCTCACTGCGTCGACGCTTGTCGCAGACGCGCGTGACGAGACAATATGTCTCTTCGTCATCACCCGTCTCTTCCAATAAGATGGAGCCAGCCGGTGAATCACCATCATTCTGCAACGAGACAGGCGTCAATGGGCACTGCTGTACAGTATCCTCCTTGATTGCCGATGACACGGTGCATGGATGACCACACAATACGAGTGGTGAGTCTTTTGGTGTGGTCTTGACAAACTCATCAAAGAATGGACAAGTCGAGAGGTTTCCAGCAGCAACAACGTGATCTTCCAATGTTGCTGCGATCGTCTCGGTCGTCCAATGCAGAGGTGGTGTTGTCAATAAGACGGGCGCAGAGTAAGACCGCATGGGTGTTGCTGATGCTGCCTTTTCTGCACACACGGTGAGTTGTGGTCCAGCAAGGGGTGATCCACACACTGCGATGACGTGTGTTAGATCTGCTTCAGCGGCTGGAACGAGTTGCTTCTCAACAACAAATTGCCAACGCTCTCGACAGAGTAGGATATCACCAAACAACAAGTTATCCCTAACATCTGTCACAAAGCGTTCCAAGTATTGCGCCCAGAGCTGAAAGCCTTGTTGACTGAGTGTAAGATTCCATCCAACAATACGCAGGAATTGACGTTCTCGTAGGTTGAGCAGGTCGATGGGTACACCAGAGATTTTTGACCATGCTCGATTTGAGAAATTGCGATCCTGTAAATACTTGCTGGCGAGAATCAAGGCACTCAGAAAGTTGAGACGCGGACAGGGACAACGGTCTGCTGCGGGGAGTTGCATAGCAGAAGGAGATTGTTGATCTCTGCAGAGTCGGAGGCAGTAGAAGAGGGTGAGTTGCATGGTACTCAAACTTGTCTTGCTGACGCGAATGGTAGTGGTGAGGAAGGCGTTGAGTTCAGCGCGTTTTGCGTGACATGCGGCAGCATCACCCCTTAGGGGCCAAAGACTTTCGACAAACAAAGTCGCCATATCAACAAGGGAGTCAACATAGGCGTACTTGCGTGCCGGCTCACGCGACAGCTTTGGTGGAAGCCGACCGGGAGCGAGAAAAGTGGTCGTGTGAGTGGTAGTAGTAGTGGTTGTAGCAATAACACAGCCATCATCTGAAACTGGGCTCGGGTAGCGCAACGCTGCGCTTGCCAAAGTCTGGTCGAGATGAGGGTTGATGGATGCTTTTGCGATAAGATGGGTGCTCGTGCGTTGCTCTCCCATATGAGCAAGCACGGCTGTGGTTGCACAGGGCGAAAGACACAAGGCCGCTGCTACTTCTTGAGCAGGGCCTGAATGTGGCATTCGCTTGTGCAGATGATGAGAGGGCGCGCTTGCTTCGGTGAAGAGAAGAGGCGCCTCTGATCTGGGACGCTGGACGAGGCTCGGATTTATTTTACTATGACCGGCCGAGCGGTCGCCTGGCTGCATGATTCCTGTAACGATGATTGACGGGTGGTTTCCTGATGGCGATGTTTTGGAGGGACGAAGGGCGTTGCTTCCTGCAGCGTAGCTCGTAGGTATCTGATTGCGCGAGATGTAGATGCTGATACTTTACTGCTGGGGTATGTTAGCGCTGGTCAGTGACGAGGTGGCGGCAATGTCCGAGGAGTCGAATATGGTTCATGTCGCTGCGCAAGTTGAACATACCTTGAATAAGTATCTAGCAGGCAACAGAAGGGCTTGTTGATGCTGGTAGCAGACCCTGTGGCGAAGCTCTCTTCGCTCTATCGCCTGTGCCTCTCTTGTGTGTTTCAATCGAGTACGATCAATGCGCGCACCTAGGCGACATTGATGCGGACTGCGGACAAGAAGAGAGTTGCGCGGACGGTCGCCATGATGGCCGGTATGATGACGATGAGAGTAGTAGAGGGGAGGGGGAGGGAGGTGTAGGGCGATGGGGAGGGATGGGAGCTGATGGAAGCTGAATCTGTTGATGGGTTTGGTCGGGGAAATTTGCGCCCTGATGCTGACAGATATCCGGGAGTCAGTAAGTCAGACAGAGCTTTGATTGGCTGTCGGGGAAGGAATTTGGCTCGTACGAGTTTGCCATCCGAGCCGCCCCAACCGCACAAAACTCCCTGACTGTCAGTAATTACGCATTATCAAGCCTGATGCAGCTGCCTGATAACAGGATCTACAGAGCGGTTATTCCTGACCGACTGTCTTCTGCTGAGTTCACTGCCAAGTCTCCTACTCAGTCTCCTGCTAAGTCTAGTGCTAAGCCTGGTACTAAGCCTAGTACTAACTTTTACTCGTCTATAGTCTACTAGCATGCCCTACTTTGGCCCCAACATCTCTGACGGCTGCACCAGCTCATCAAATTTGGCCTCATCGCCAAACCCGAGACCCACAAACTCCTCCTTCAGCGTCGTGCCCTTCTTGTGCGCAGTCTTGGCAATCTTGGCTGCATTGTCATACCCAATGTGGGGATTCAGTGCCGTCACCAGCATCAACGACTCATTCATGATCTGTGCAATCTTCTCGCGATTGGCCACAATGCCCACCACGCAATTCTTCGTGAAGGACCGCGAACCATCTGCAATGAGCCGAATAGACTGAAGCAAGTTCTTGATCATGACAGGCTTGAACACATTCAACTCAAATTGTCCCATCGATCCACCCACGGAAATGGTCGTATTGTTGCCCATGACCTGTGCGCACAACATGGTCATCGCTTCGCACTGTGTTGGGTTGACTTTACCCGGCATGATGGACGAACCTGGCTCATTCTCAGGCAATGACAACTCTCCCAAACCGCATCGAGGTCCTGAGCCCAGGTATCGAATGTCATTCGCAATCTTCATGAGCGAACAAGCAATAGTATTGAGTGCACCAGACGCCTCAACAATCGCATCATGTGCAGCGAGCGCTTCAAACTTGTTGGGCGCAGTCTCAAATGGCAGACCCGTCAACTTCGTTACTTGTTCAGCAATCTTGACATCAAAGCCCTTCTTTGTGTTCAATCCCGTACCCACAGCAGTACCACCTTGAGCAAGACGTGAAAGACGCTTGAGTGTTCCCTGGACACGCTCAATACCATACTCGAGTTGTGTAGCATACCCGCTAAACTCTTGACCGAGCGTAAGGGGTGTTGCATCCTGGAGATGTGTACGACCAATCTTGATGATATCGTCAAATTCTTTTGCCTTGGCGTCCACTGCGCCGTGCAACTCTTGCAGTGCCGGAACCAAGTTGTTTGTGATTTCCATAACGGCGGCAATGTGCATAGCCGTTGGGAAGGTGTCGTTGGACGATTGTGACATGTTGACATGGTCATTTGGGTGTACTGGCTTCTTTGAACCAAGCTCACCACCTAGAATCTCAATGGCACGGTTGGAGATGACCTCATTGGCATTCATGTTACTCTGTGTGCCAGACCCTGTTTGAAAGACAACCAGCGGGAAGTGATCCAGCAATTTGCCTGAAATAACCTCATCCGCAGCTTGTTGAATAGCTCCACCAATCTTGGGGTCCAGCCCATACTCAATGTTGACCGTGGCTGCGGCCTTTTTGAGTATGCCAAAGGCTTTGATGAGCGGCGGTGGCAGGCGTTCCGTGTCACCGCCAATGTCAAAGTTCATGAGCGATCGTTGAGTTTGTGCACCATAGTACCTGTCACTAGGGACTTGCAGCGGTCCCAATGTATCACCTATGCTAGTCAGTTCATCTTCTTTGGTCGTAGATGGTGCAACATACTCTCTTGCCTGTAACTCATGATGCTGGCCGTTGCGGAAAAGGTGCGTGCGGGTTTCTGCAGCGAGCGGATGAGAGGCCTTGTGTGGGCTAGTCTCGAACAGGTCCTGAGCATATGTCCCGTCTCTTATGTCGTTCAGCTGGCGAGGTCAGATGATGAATGTGCCGCAAGCTGATGAGCAGACCGGCGAAAGTTCCCGAGTGACTGCAACGACCAACGCGAGAGTCAAGGGTTGTCTTGTCTTCATCAGGCTGCCTCTCGAGCTGCTGAAAAGGCTATCACTATTGCTAGAATGCCAGCTGCAGTGGCCAAGTACCAAAAGCTAAATAAGCTCGGCGAAGGCACATATGCCGTCGTCTGGGCGGGCAAAGAGCTGGCTACAGGTAGGCAAATCGCCATCAAGAAGATCAAAGTCGGCCAGTTCAAGGAAGGCCTCGATATGTCTGCTATTCGTGAAGTCAAGTTCCTACGTGAAGTCAAGCATGAGAATGTCATTGAGCTCATTGACATTTACTCCAACAAGCAGAACCTCAACCTCATCCTCGAGTACTTGGAAGCAGACCTTGAGCATCTCATCAAGGATCGCAGTATTCTCTTTTCTACCGGAGATGTCAAGAGCTGGATGCTCATGACGCTGCGAGGCCTACATCACCTTCATGCTCGCTTCATTCTGCACCGAGATCTCAAGCCAAACAATCTACTTCTCTCAACCACCGGTGTTCTCAAGCTGGCTGATTTCGGTTTGGCGAAGGACTTCGGCGCTGCATTCGTCAACATGTCCCCGAATGTTGTCACTCGCTGGTACAGAGCACCTGAACTGTTTCTTGGCGCAAAGCAGTATGGTCCCGGCATAGACATGTGGGCAGTCGGCTGCATCTTCGCCGAGCTTCTTCTCAGAAATCCTTACATGCCGGGTGAGAATGACATGGGTCAGCTTGATCTCATCTTCAAAGCACTCGGTACACCGTCAAAGCAAGACTGGCCAGACGTCATCCACCTGCCGCAGTACGTCGAGTTCAGAAAACACGAGAGACCTGATCCACGTCAACTATTTACAGCTGCTTCAGAACAAGAGATTGATTTGATGCAGCAAATGCTCACGCTCGATCCACTCAAGCGTCCGACGACTACAGATGCTCTGCGCCATCCCTACTTCAAAGCCCTCCCGCGACCAACTCCGCCCGAGCAACTACCCAAACGCGGTGGAGGCCTCGACAAGGTGTCAGCAGATCTCAAGCGCAAGCCAGGGAATCTCGACACGCCAGATCGCTCGGACGGAGCAAGCAAAGTGGCACGAAAATTATTCTAAGGAATGGTCAATCGCCAGCGAGTTTTCAATGCGCCATCAGAGACCTTTGCTGTGAGCAAGTCGACACCAAATCCACGCGCCTCGAGGTCTTGCTGGGCCCAAGCGGCAGCCACTTTCCAGAGGCTTCCCGAAATCTCCTCTGGCGACGTTCCAATCGCCATCTTCCACCACTTGCGACTCCGCACACTCTCAAAGTCGACGTAAAGCTGACCATTCAGTCGCTTGAGCTCATCAACATCGCGCTCGATACAGCGCACAAGCGCAGCGCCCATACGTCGCATCAAGGCGAACCGTGCGAGCTCGGCTGCGCGTGTTCTGGACGATGTTGCTTTGGTTGAGGTATGGCCATGGTCAAGCCGCTTTGCGACTTGCTGCGCCGTAAACTGATGTGCTGGATCGAGTAGACCTTTTTGACTCTTCTGGACATCTTCAGCACCGATGTAACTTTCTAACGACGAGTCTGTCAACTCGTCGTCTTCAAGGCCTGTGTCTGAAGTCTGTCTGGCTTGCAACTTGTTCTTGTTCTTGTGGATCAGCTTGTGCAGACTACGATCGCAGCCTTGCAAGACTGCATGCTTGGTTTCGCGCAGCAAATGGCAACCCACATCTCTGACTCCTCGCACGGCCACTGCGCCGGCCTTCATTTGACCGCGAAAGACTTGGCAGTATGTGGTCGCCTGTATAATTGTCTTTCTCTCTTGCGAGATGCTAGAGCCTGCTTGCGACATGATACTCGTCGTGCGTCGATACCAAGCGCAGATGCCTTAGGTATATCGAAAGCACCCGAGCACGGCCCTCCTATCTGCAGTTATACGTACTGATCGCAAAGCACGCGTCTCTGATTGTGTTTCAGAGAGGCACTCTATTTGTCTTGGCTGAGCAAACAAGCTGAATGTTATGGCCTGGTGCTTGTCTTGTTGTGTTTGCAACTGCTTTACGGTCGTCCTTCGTCTTGTTTCAACGAGCGCGACAGCTTCATGCTCACTCTGAGCAAAAGCTCTGCAGACTTGCGCCTTGTTTGATCAGCAAAGATGAGACGACTGCCCTTGAATCCGGTTCTACATCAGAACAGTTCTTCTGGCAATTGACGGAAACGTTTGAATAGCTAATGTCATAAAGATACTTTTACGAAAGAGGTGCTCGAGGTTGGCTATGCCTGCTGCAAGAATGCAAACGGAAGTCAACGCTTTTGCTCCATTTCACTGAATCCAAGCGTCACAATAAATTTGTCGCTTGTCATCTATGACTTTTGAGCAATCACAGGTGCGGGTGCCTCCTTGGTGTGCACAGTGACAACCGCCGCTCATCTGGTCATCGAACTTAAGATGATTTGTAATGCCAGTTTTATCTTCAATACGCTTCAAGATTCTGGCCTTCACCTCATCTTCGTTACACGTCTTTCCACTTGGGAGCATCAAGCTTGTGTGAACCCTCATAGCCCCGATGCGAAGCTTGCAGTGGCAGTACTTTGACGTATACTGACTATCCCTGAATGGGTTAGCATCTGGAGTGAATATGTTGCCTTATAGTACATTGCAAGACAAACCCCATCATGTGACGAAGGGCGAACAGGACAGGACGAATGCTTGTGCTGAAGACAGGACTTGGGCGAGATGTAGGGGACAAGAATAGAAATTGTAAACTAAGGAACAAGACAGCGGAAGGCTGCCTACTTATGTCTACCAGGTACCAGCATGAGAGCGGATGGCGAGGATGGGGATGGAGCCCACGGGAGCCGACTCTCAGCAGGAGAACAGTGAAAGAAGAGGGGAAGCGAGATTGCATGAGCCCAGTGGAGATGTCCGAGCTGCGAGATAAGGAAGAGACAGAACAAGGGACGACGTGGTAGACGTCGTCGACGAGTAAGAGAGCGAGTAAGGACAACGTGACAGAGCGTTGCCGGAAGCGAGGAAGCTAGGCGCGGGACGATAGGCAACGTGCTGAGGTGATAAGCGTCGTTGAATGGCGGAAGGTAGAAGAGCCGCGATGAGTTGCTAGAGCATGTGGTGCGGGAAAGTCGGATGCGAGGTTTAAGGCTGCGTGTTCGTTACAGAACCTCCTCCTCCAGGCGCTGCGTCTCGAAGTGCACTTGGTCGAGTGGGTAGCTTGACGTAGGATGGGACAGCAGCATCGGGGTTGCGGAGATGGAAGTCGTGAACAAGAATCGGAGCATTCTGGTAGGCCTCACGAGCAGGGATCCACTCGTCCTCATCGTGTGGGAAGCCTTCGTAGTGGATTTTGTATTGGAAGCCGCTACCGCGTGGTTGAATAGCCATGATTTCATCGTAGATCCATTCCAGGTTGTTGCCGACGACGATAGGCTCGGGAGCTTCTTGAGGTCGCTCCAGGTAGGCCTTGCCGAGGGACTCTGGTGATTGATGAGGAGACAAGAGGCTAGGGTGGAACACATTGTGTATTCGCATCGAGGCAGGAAGACGGAGTTGGAAGGCTCGGTCGTGGATTGTGTCGGTAATGGGAAAAGGACCGAGATTCTTGTGCGAGAATTTGCCTTGTTTGTGCAATGCTTGGACGTTCTTGGCGTTGAGCCAGACTTTCTGGCCGAGCTCGAAGGGAGGAGCTTCAAGACGATGACGATCAGCGAAGGCCTTTTGAGCAGCTTGAGCGTCTTTGAGATGATCCTTGAGTTCTTGTTGAACAAGCTTGAGACGTTGAGACATGTCGTAGCTAGTAGCATTGCGAGAATCGGTAGTGGCATCGAAGCGTAGACCAGACCGAGGATGGTAAGAATAATTGGCAAAGAAGGGTGTTGTCTTGATGGACGCATGAACCGAGTTGTTGTAGGCAAATTCGGCTCTTGGCAAGAGCTTGACCCAATTGTCTTGATCGGCGTTGGTGAAGCACCGAAGGTATTGTTCGAGGGTGGAATTTGTTCGCTCTGTCTGACCATCTGTTTGAGGGTGATAGGCAGTAGACAGATGTGCTTTGACAGCAGGGTCGAAGTGACCAAGGAACGCTTTCCAGAACGAGGAGACGAAGACAGAGCCACGATCGGAGACAATATCGAGTGGCATGCCATGGTGAGTGAAGATTCTGTCCATGAACAATGCTGCGAAGCCTGCTGCGTCGGTGGCCTCATGGTAAGGAATGAAGTGAGCCATTTTGGTGAGGCGATCGACGACAACAAGAATAGAATCGAAAGAGTCCGAAGGTGGAAGCTTGACGATGAAGTCTAGCGAGATAGAGGACCATGGAGTCTCTGGAACAGGCAGAGGCTGGAGCAGGCCATAAGGCTTGTGGCGCGAGACCTTGGCGCGAGCACACGTATCGCAAGTTGCGACGTAATCGTGGATGTAAGCACGCATTGACGGCCAATAGTACTGCCGAGAGACAAGGTCGAGAGTCTTGGCGACACCCCAATGACCGGAGATAGGCGAGTCATGATGTTGCTGGAGAATAGCCAGCTTCAGAGGAGCATCAGATGGGACGTACACACGGTCTTTGTAGAAGAGAAGACCGTTGTCGAGAGAAAAAGGCTGGTCAGCAGTGAGATGGGATGCATCAGAAGGTGCTGGCGAGGAGGAACGACTTGGCGACGGAGAAGATGGACGGCTTGACGTCGAAGGAGGCTGCTGAAGTGCGTCGAGAGCGTCTTGCACCAGTGGATCAGCGGAATACGCGGCAATAATGCGAGCGCGGAAGTCGTTGTCTGGGAAATTGGGAGCAGACGGCACAGAGGTGACTTGCCTTGAAGTTGGCGAAGTCCGAAGAGTAACAGGAGCAAGTGACAATTGACCTGGCTTGAAGAAAGTCATCGTGCGAGTTGATTTGCGATCCCCCTCGGAAGGCCGGAGGTCCTCGCGACGGCTTAGTGCATCAGGTTTGCCTTGTTGAGCACCAGGTCGATAGACGATGTTGTAGTTGAACCTGGACATGAAGAGGGACCAGCGTACTTGACGTGAACTGAGAAGTCGGTTCGTGTTGAAGTACTCCAAATTCTTGTGGTCGGTGAAGACAGTGATGGCATGTGCAGAGCCCTCCAGATAGTGGCGCCATGCTTTGAAGCAATCAAGAATTGCCAACAACTCCTTGTCGTAGATTGGGTAGTTGCTTTCTGGAGGCGAGAAGGTGCGGCTGTGGAAAGCCACGGGTCGAAGGATCCCGTTTGTATCGGCTTGGGACATGACACAGCCAAGTGCAAAGTCGCTGGCGTCAGTCTCAATGACCACTGGCTTGTCTGCGTCGAAATGAACGAGGATAGGGGCAGAAGAAAACAATGATTTGAGCTGAGTGAATGCCGCGGTAGCTTGATCGTTCCAAAGGAACACTTTGGTCGCCTTGCTTGTGAGAGCGTAGAGCGGCTTGACCATCTTGCTGTAGTTGGAGATGAAGCGACGGTAGTAGTTGGCGAAACCACAAAACACTTGGACGTCGTGGACTGACTTTGGTTGAGGCCAATTGATGATGGCGTTGACCTTGACGGGGTCCATTGCAATGCCGGTGGGAGACACGACATAACCAAGAAATTCGACCGTGTCGACGTCGAAGACGCATTTTTCCGCTTTGACGAAGAGATTGTGCTCGTCGAGAACCTTGAGAACTGATAGAACATGTTCAGTGTGCTCGTCCTGCGTTTGGGAGTAGATGAGGATGTCATCAAGATAGCAGACGGCGAATTTGTCGAGGAAAGGTTGAAGCACAGTGTTCATCAACGTCTGGAAAGAAGCGGGAGCGTTGGTAAGTCCAAAAGGCATAACGTTGTACTCGTAGTGCCCGTAACGAGTCTTGAATGCGGTCTTCCATTCATCTCCCGGCGCAATACGCAGTAAGTTGTATGCGCCGCGGAGGTCAAGCTTGGTGAAAATCTTTGCATGGTGCAATTGATCCAAGGTTTCAGAGATGAGAGGAAGAGGAGCCCGATTCTTGACGGTGATGGCATTGAGGCCGCGATAGTCGATACAGAGACGCAGAGACCCGTCCTTCTTTTTGACAAAAAGGGCAGATGCGCCAGCTGGACTTTCGGAAACAGAGATATTGCCGAGCTTGAGCTGTTCGTCCAAGTATTCCTTGAGGATTTTCAGTTCCTCTGCACTCATGGGATAAAGCGCCGTCGAAGGAGGCGAGGTGCTCGGGAACAAAGGAATCTTGTGATCGTAAGCAGCATTATCGGGAAGGCGGGCAGCCTGAATCTTCGAGAAGATGCGGAGAAGGACGTGATATTTGTCCGGTATCGCGCGTAGCAGGTCTGGCTCGACGTCGGAGTAGATGTCGGCGAGATCGATGTGGAGAACATCGTGAGTTTTTGCTAGCCGGGCGAAAGACTTGAGCGACACCATGTGGATCTGCATGACGTTGGCATTGACTGGAGGAGCGGCATCGTGTTGGACAGGCGATTGATTGATGTGCGCCTTGCACGAGGCCGGGAACTGGACTGTGGACGCAGACCAGTCGATAACAGGATTGTGCTTCGCAAGCCAAGTGGTGCCAAGAATGAGATCGTAGCCGGAGAGCTCGGCAACGACGAAGTGGTGGCATTCTTGGTGGTTACCAATGGTCATGCGAAGGGGAGACGTGAATTGAGAGGCAGACTCGAGTTCCTTGCCCGTAAAGCCTTTCAGCGGGATTGCGCTGTCAAGGGTCACGGTTGGGAATCGGCCTCGGGCCACACAAGCTGCGCTGATGAAGCAACTTGTTGCACCGGAATCTAGGAGGGCAAACGTGTCGAGGGACCTATCACCATGGGAGACGGTAACAGGCAAGACACTTTGCGGATGAGACGAGAGAGGAGGCAGAGAGATGGAGAAAAGACAGAGATTTGCGCTATCGTCTACAACAGACAAAAGCGAAGGCGCGTGAGGGTCCTGAATGGCCCGGTCCCAGGAGTGCCCTACTGGTTCCTGCCGGGTCCATTTGGGGACTGCCGAGGCTTTTTTGGACACTTGTCTTGCCAGTGACCTGCTCCACCACAGTAAACGCAAAGGTCGTCCCGGATGCGTTGTTCTTTTCGCGCTCGCCTCTGAGCGGGAGTCAAGGGCCGGAATGTGGCGGAGTCGATTTCCATCGGCTGAGGCGCCTGCGACGTCGAGGCAACAGGGCGAAGGCGCTGCTGCAGAGGTTGATAGGGGTGGTCGCGTTTTGCGACTCTGGCGAGGTCCGCAGTGGAATTGTTCAAGCGCCTTGCGAGATTCTCGCGCTTCTGGATACGCGACTCCACCTTGACAACCTGCTGCGCTAAGGCCGCGTAGTTGTTGTCGACCACCTCGTCGAGCTTGAAGAGGGCTCGGTGAACTTCTCGTTGAGTGTGCCGAGAAGCATGTCGCACTTGGTCTCCTCAGTGATATTCAAGATCAGAGTGAGACGCTCGAACTCGGCCAGGTGGACGCTGACGGAGGTCTCCTTTCCTTGCTTGAGGGTGGCGAGCTGCTTCTTTGAATCTGACACGGGATCGCGGACTGCAAAGGACTGGATGAGGGCGTCGAGAACTGCATTGGCATCTGGCAGTCCAGGAAACGAGATGAGGCCAGTTGTGGGGTCCGCCACTGCACGCGCGTCGCGCCACTTCGCCGCATCGCCTTGGAGGAGTTGGAGAATCCAGGCGATGGCTATGCCCTCATTTGGGAAGAGGTAAGGGCAGGCCTGCATCTTGAGGCGACAGGATGCGGCGAAGTTGCGCACGTCTTGACCAAGAAGATCGGCGTCGAAGGGTTTAGGGTCCGCGATCTTGACGGCAGTCTTGGCCCAGTTGGCTGCTGGTGTGGGTGCAGGGACGGGTGGTGAGGCGGCTGCTGAGGCGGTAGCAGCTGCGGCGAAGGCCTCGAGCTGTGCAATGCGCTGCATCATGGTCTCTTGCATAGCAAGAAGAGCTTGGCGAGAGGGAAGCCCGTCGGCCTGAGGCGAAGGCACATCAGACTGGGCGGAAGGTACGTCGGGGACTGACGACATACTGGAGTGCCTGTACAAGCTTTGTTGAGTTTACAAAGTGTGACGAAGGGCGAACAGGACAGGACGAATGCTTGTGCTGAAGACAGGACTTGGGCGAGATGTAGGGGACAAGAATAGAAATTGTAAACTAAGGAACAAGACAGCGGAAGGCTGCCTACTTATGTCTACCAGGTACCAGCATGAGAGCGGATGGCGAGGATGGGGATGGAGCCCACGGGAGCCGACTCTCAGCAGGAGAACAGTGAAAGAAGAGGGGAAGCGAGATTGCATGAGCCCAGTGGAGATGTCCGAGCTGCGAGATAAGGAAGAGACAGAACAAGGGACGACGTGGTAGACGTCGTCGACGAGTAAGAGAGCGAGTAAGGACAACGTGACAGAGCGTTGCCGGAAGCGAGGAAGCTAGGCGCGGGACGATAGGCAACGTGCTGAGGTGATAAGCGTCGTTGAATGGCGGAAGGTAGAAGAGCCGCGATGAGTTGCTAGAGCATGTGGTGCGGGAAAGTCGGATGCGAGGTTTAAGGCTGCGTGTTCGTTACAAATTGCTGCGTGCATCACTACTCGGCTGAGTCGCAAAGAACAGAAAGAACATCATCCATGACTCAGATACTGCCATCAGATGAAAGGAGCAGGGCGCTGTTCATGGCCAGCACCGGAACCAGGAGCACACCTACTGCCAGCATCACCTTCGTCGCGCTTCGTTTCTTGGCGTTTCTTGAAAGGCGCAAACTGAGCTGGATTGCAACTTGTCGATGTCCCACACTGCTGCTGCTCATAGGTTGAATATGGATCTCCTGAATACTGACCTGTGTGATAGTTTGGCTGAGATGCGTAATGGTCATCAGATGCTGCACATTGGTTAGGCTCCCGAAGTGGATAGTTGGAACATGGGTCTAGTTGTCCATACTCTGAAGTACCTTGTTCACTCTGCTGGATAAGCGAAAATTGATTGGTCCAAGCTCGCACCTGGTCTGGAAGATCACCAAGACCATTCCAAAAGTCGGGTTCCAGTTCCTGCGATCCTGTCTCAGGTGGTGGTGCAAAATCTGCAGAATTTAACACGTGCGGTTCAATGTCGTCCATTGAATGACTGGTTGCAACATCAGGTTGAGTGTCCTTGGTGACTGCATCTACCCGAGCCTTTTTCGACTCTCTCGCACGTTGTGATGGATGTTTTTCGAGTACAGGTCTCTCTCCGCAGAACAAAGGCCTGAATTTGTGCTTTCGAGAATCACCAAATGCCTTCGCAAGGTTCGAACAGTAGCACGTCAAACCCCAGTGTATAAGATTGCAAGGTAGGTTCAGTTCGATGATTCGTACGTGCTCTTCCAATCAGGAAAGTCCGGCGTCTTGAACCCTGATAGTGACCAGCGCCGAACCATTTCTTCTGGATGACATGTGGGTATCCCTCCAATTTCCATCGGTTTGTCTCGACTCTCTATCCAGGAACTCTCGCTCCTGAACGGAGTCACAACATACCTGTCGCCACCTGACTGGATCAGAGGCATTCTGATTCTGAGTTGGTTGGATATCTGACAGGCACAAGTAACTGTACAGGAGTTGTAGTCGATTGATTGCAAAAATGCGTCGTCTTGGATGACCGCTGTAAGCTTGTCGCTTTGTATACATGAGTGACGCATCAAAAATTGCTGAGTCCTTGCCGAAGAAAAGAACGCTTTCTTGTATTTTTCTGCGGCATTCTTGCACTTTTTTTCGCATTTTTTCTTATGTTTATCGAGGGCTGCTGCATTACCGCAGGTCGCTGGATCCACCTGACGCGGAGCGAATGATTCAATGACTAGAATCATATCGTAGCATCCGCGCTCAGATTCATTCGTGTAAAACCGAGAAATAAATTCATTTTGGCCTGTCGATGTAGGCGCAGCGCCCTCAATCGGAGGTTGTTCCTTGTTCGAAACCTTTGTTTCAGATGTACCGATTGACTTTTCCTTTGACCTCGTAGGCGCTCCAGCAAGATGATACAGCAGGAGAGCCATGCAGAGTGAGCACAATGCGAGCCTGATTGGCATAGGCCAGACGTGCCATCGTAGCTGCATATTGATGATGACGTGTAAGATTGACGGTCGAGAGGGCTCACGGTGAAGCAGACGATATAGACAAGCGGGAGAGACCTTTAGATGGGGTTATAATGATGCGGCAAGATCAGCGTCTTCAGAGATGCACCACCATGAGGCATGAGACGACGATATTCCCATTAAAATTGCTTGAAACGTGTCACTGTCCCCTGCCGGCTCGCATTTGCTACCCAAACTTCACGTTCAGGCGCCATGCGTCACATGATGTTGCATTTATTTGCAGTTGTGCGCAGGCTCCGGATGTTGAGAAGGCATTGATCATTCCACGGCCAGGGCTTGATGCCTTGCAGAAAGAGAGCCATCCACCATGTTAGGATGAGTGACATCAGCCAGGCAAATTTATGGGGCTGCAATTTCTGGTCAAGATGGCTCAGCGTGGCAGACGATTTCAACAAGCCGTAAATCTTTTGCATGGGAATTCATCGATGCAATGCCATCATCGTCCTGAGAGACGGAAGCCAGTGAGGCATTATACAGCGACGATCCCATCCATGTTGCTTCGGATGTGTCGCTTGGCATGCGTCCTGCGGGCTCGCATATGCGAGGCATTGCTACCCAGCCTTCGCGTGCAGGTGCCTCGTGTGATATGATGTTACATGGAATTGCAGTCGTGCGTGTGCCACTGATGTTGAGTAGGCGCGAAAAATGTAGCGGGCCGGAAGCCTTGCAGTAGGAGAGCGGTTCATCATGTCAGCGTGAGTGGCATCAGCCGGACATCTTTTGGAGCTGCATGCCTCAGAATGTGGTGAAGTCAATAATAATTAGCTGTCCGGATTGTGAGCTGTGTTTCAAGGTCATGGTCGACAAGGCGACAGCGCCGATGACTTGCGGCAAGAGCGCACACAGAGCAGGGGCAATGGGGCATAAAGGCATGTGCACAAGGTATTGAGGAATTGAAATACTCCAATGACGATGTGCAGGGCGACATGCTGTTATTTTTCTCATCGATTGTTGCCTTGTATGTCTCCTGTCTGCAGTGCGCACATGTATTCCGCAAATACTGTATTGACTTTTGCAGAGAGACTTTTACAGGGCTCTGAAGTCTTTAGATAGAAGGGAAGAATGCGCAGAGGATAGGCAAGACCTCCATATGGCAAGAATGCTTATGTCTAGGAGCACTGAAAAGGAATGAACTTGCCATGACTTGCAAGGTTGCCACTTTGTCCTTGCCGCAGCGCAGTACTCATCAGCTCCCGCATCTTGAGAAACCGATGCCTGCGGCGGACCGGCATGAGAGCCTTCATCTGTGCTGACTTTTGAGTGGCGCGGCTAATGGCTTCCATGACAGCCGCCACTTCCTCATCCGAGTCAACTGGCAGGTTGCCCTCGTCTGTGTCTTGAAAGGCTTGATCGGCTGCTGCCTCTGTAAAGTTAGCACTGGTAGACGAAAGAGGATCGATCGTACTGAGTGATAGTTTGGCGTGGTTCTTTTTCTGGTATTGCGCCAAGAGAATGTCGTAAGGCTGAGTTCGTCCAGCAACAGCACGCTTGCTCCCCATTGAGTGCGACTTGCACGTCAAACTGCGTGCGCACAGTCCACACTGTGGCAACGGCACACCACATTGCCTCTCGACATCCACAGGGCCCTTGGGTTTGGCTTCCGACTTTTTCGCCTTCTTACTCTCCTTCTTGACCGGACTCTCCATGCTCGTTTGTGTCTTTTGTGGCGCCTTACGCGCACCTCCCGCGGTTTCGGAGCCAGCAACACTCCCTTCATCATCCAATCCAGCAGCTTGCGCTTTCCGCTTCTTGGCGCTTGACTTGTCTGTTGTCTTTTTTGCTGGCTTACCGAAGGAAACACCAATTGCCTTGGTGTGATTGGTGTAGCATCACAGAAGCTGTTCGAGTAACAAGTCAGCACGTTCACTCTGACCATCATGCTGAGGAACAGTGACTGCCAGAATTTGACGTAAAGATGAAACCACGGTCAGAAACAATGAACGTTGGGAGGCCAGAATCCAGGACAATGCGATTCATGAAGGTCTTTGCAAGGAAAATGAATCAGTAGCCTCGACGTAAGAGATGAAGGAGATAGCAGACCATGGCGTGTCTGAAGAGGAAGTGGAGTGCTTGCCAAAGGCATTACATCGATTTGCCGTATCGCGTGCACACGCGTACGTGTCACACAGTGCGCACGTACTGCTTCACATGAAGCCGTATGCCGGACCAGAAGTATGTCGTGGAAGAAGCACAAAGGTTTTGCCAACATCCCAGTGTCCGACCAAGATAGAGGCGTGATCTTGTCGTAATAATGAGAGTGGGAGCTCCTTCTTGCTGTCAAGAATGTAGATCTTGTCATCGTGATAGATCCTGCTATCGGCCAAGGGGTAACTATCGTCCAAATCCTGGAGGGTTGAGTCGTTGAGTTCCTCCAAGACTGTCCGGGCCTCAGCGTGAGAATCGTCAGCAATGGCAAGTTGCGCAAGCAACTCGTCTGCCAAAGTCCTGACATGAGCTCGCGTTCGAATATCATTCATAATCACTTGATTGGTCTCTGGCAATAGTCTGACATGATCCGACAGGTGAGCATCCCCTAGCCTTAAGCTGAGATGTTTTCAACAAGAAAGCGCGTCTGGGAGTCCTTGAACCTTTCCAGGCCGGAAAAGATCTTGCAGCTGTAATCAGCGAGTAGCTCAACCACCGAGCTTGATGGCGATTCAGCTTTATAAGTAACGTTGTGAACTAGCCCAGATTCATGAGATTTGTCCAGACGCTGATGGGATGAGCAGATCTGCTCGATACCGGCGCCAAGTCTTGAAGGCGACGACGATCGCCAACAGCTCTTTGTCGTCAATTCGTATCTCAGCATGGACAAAGGTACGACTGAAGAAAGTGACAGAGCGTATCGAGCCTTCAACAGACTTTTGTGACAGGACAAAGCCTAGTGCGAAGTGTAATCTTGGGCGAACAGAACAGGACGAATGCTTGTGCTGAGGACAGGACTTGGGGAGGTTGTAGGTGGCGAGAATAGAAATTGTCGACTAAGGAACAAGACAGCAGAAGGCTGCCTACTTCTGTTTACTAGGTACGAGCATGAGAGCGGATGACGATGATGTGGATGGATCCCACGGGAGCCGACTCTAGTAAGAGAACAGATGACGAAGAAGGGAAGCGAGACTGCATGATGAGCCCAGTAGAGATGTCCGAGCTGCATGATAAGGAAGAGGCAGAACAGGGGACGACGTGGTGGACGTTGTCGACGAGTAAGAGAGCGAGTAAGGATAACGTGACAGCATTGCCATAAACGAGGAAGCTAAGCGCGGGACGATAGGCAACGTGCTGAGGTGGTAAGCGTTGTTGCAGGGCGGACAGTAGTAGAGTCGCAATAAGTTGCCAGAGGACGTAGTGCGAGCTAGTCGGATGCAAAATTTAAGGCTGCGTGTTTGCTACATAACCTCCTCCTCCTCCAGGCGCTGCATTTCGAAGAGCACTTGGTCGAGTCGATAGCTTGTCGTAGGATGGGACAGCAGCATCGTGGTTGCGGAGATGGAAGTCATGGGCGAGAATCGGGGCATTCTGGTAGGCCTCGCGAGCACGAATTCACTCGTCCTCCTTGTCTGGGAAGCCTTCGTAGTGGATTCTGTATTGGAAGCCGCTACCGCGTGGTTGGATAGCCATGATCTCATCGTAGATCCATTCCAGGTTGTTGGCGACGACGACAGGCTCGGGAGTTTCTTGAGGTCGCTCCAGGGAGGCCTTGCCGAGGGACTCTGGTGATTGATGAGGAGACAAGAGGCTAGGATTGAAAACATTGTGTATTCGCATCGAGGCAGGAAGCCAGAGTTGGAAGGCTCGGTCGTGAATTGTGTCGGTAATGGGAAAAGGACTGAGATGTTTGTGCGAGAACTTGCCTTGTTCATGCAATGGTTGAACATTCTTGGCATTGAGCCAGACTTTCTGGCCGAGCATGAAGGGAGGAGCTGCAAGACGATGACGATCAGCGAAGGCCTTTTGAGCAGCTTGAGCATCTTTGAGATGGGCCTTGAGTTCTTGTTGAACAAGCTTGAGACGTTCAGACATATCGTAGCTAGTAGCGTTGCGAGAATCGGTAGTGGCATCGAAGCGTAGGCCAGACCGAAGATGGTGAGAATAATTGGCAAAGAAGTGTGTTGTCTTGATGGACGCATGAACCGAGTTATTGTAGGCAAATTAGGCTCCTGGCAAGAGCTTGACCCAATTGTTTTGATCGGCGTTTGTGAAGCACCGAAGGTATTGTTCGAGAGTGGGATTTGTTCGCCCTGTCTGACCATCTGTTTGAGGGTGATGAGCGGTAGACAGGTGTGCTTTGACAGCAGGGTCGAAGTGACCAAGAAACGCTTTCCAGAACGAGGAAACGAAGACAGAGCCACGATCGGAGACAATATCGAGTAGCATGCCATGGTGAGTGGCAATTCTGTCCATGAACAATGCTGCGAAGCCTGCTGCGTCTGTGGCCTCATGGTAAGGAATAAACTGAGCCATTTTGGTGAGGCGATCGACGGCAACAAGAATAGAGTCGAAAGAGTCCGAAGGTGGCAGCTTGACGATCAAGTCTAGCGAGATAGAGGACCATGGAGTCTCTGGAACAGGCAAAGGCTGGAGCAGGCCATAAGGCTTGTGGAGCGATACCTTGGCGTGAGCACACGTATCGCAAGGTGCGACGTAATCGTGGATGTAAGCACGCAATGACGACCAACAGTACTGCCGAGAGACAAGGTCGAGAGTCTTGGCGAAACCTCAATGACCGGAGATAGGCGAGTCATGATGTTGCTGGAGAAAGGCCAGCTTCAGAGGAGCATCAGATGGGATGTGCACACGATCTTTGTAGAAAAGAAGACCGTTGCCAGAGGAAAAAGGCTGATCAGCAGTGAGATGGAATGCATCAAAAAGTGCTGGCGAGGAGGGACGACTTGGCGTCGAAGAAGATGGACGGCTTGACGTCGAAGGAGGCTGCTGAAGTGCATCGAGAGCGTCTTGCACCAGTGAATCAGCGGAATACGTGGCAATGATGCGACCGCGGAAGTTGTTGTCTGGGAAATTGGGAACAGACGACACAGATCCGACTTGTCTTGAAGTCGGCGAAGTCCGAAGAGAAACAGGAGCAAGTGAAAGATGACCTGGCTTGAGGAAAGTCATCGTGCGGGTTGATTTGCGATCCCCCTCGGAAGGCCGGAGGTCCTCGCGATGGCTTAGTGCATCGGGTGTGTCTTGTTGAGCATCAGGTCGATAGACGATGTTGTAGTTGACTCTGGACATGAAGAGGGACCAACGTACTTGACGTGAACTGAGAAGTCTGTTCGTGTTGAAGTTCTCCAAATTCTTCTGGTCGGTGAAGACAGTGATGGCATGTGCAGAGCCCTCCAGATAGTGGCGCCATGCCTTGAAGCAGTCAAGAATTGCCAACAACTCTTTGTCGTAGATTGGATAGTTGCTTTCTGGAGGCGAGAAGGTGCGGCTGTGGAAAGCCGAGGGTTGAAGGACCCCGTTTGCATCGGCTTGAGACATGACACAACCAAATGCAGAGTCGCTGGCGTCAGTATCAATGACCACAGGCTTATCCGCGTCGAAATGAACGAGGGTAGGAGCCGAAGAAAAACAATGATTTGAGCAGAGTGAATGTCGCGGTAGCTTGATCGTGACATGGACAATCAGCTAACAAGGCAGACGGGCGCCGGTAAATCCTTCACCGTGATGGGCACAAACTTTGGTCGCCTTGCTTGTGAGAGCGTAGAGCGCAAACCATGGCGTATCTGAGTGGAGTGCTTGCCATAGGCATTTCGTCGAGTCGCCGTAGCGCGTGAACATGAGTCACACAGTGCGCACATACTGCTTCTCGTAAGCTCGCATGCCAGGCCAGAAACATCGCTCCATGCCATGTGCAAGACGACGACACACGCCTCGGATGTATACAAAAGGTAGGTCAGATGCTTGTCGAACTGGGGTTTGCCTTCCAAGTAGGCAACAAGCAGTCTAAAGCAGCTTGTCGGATATTCTGAACGATATTTCGATGAGACCGAGCAGGGAAGACTGGATTTGCCGTTGTGGTCGTGCACAACAGAACAGCGCAAATTGTAGCGAGGGCCTGATGCTGAAGCATGTTGCGTAGTCTCGGATCAATTGATGCTTTGAAAACGCGATAGAGTCGCAACATCAATCAGATGGGATGCCAACTACCTCATGACCAGATTTCGTTCCAAAGTTCATAGCATAAATGTAAGCTCACAAGCATGTCCGTCAGAGTCTCGACTAAATCTGGTTGAAGCTTCGAATTCATGTTAAATTGCAACTACAAACATAGTTTCAGAATTGCTGCGTACATCACCACTCGGCTGAGTCGCAAAGGACAGAAAGAACATCACTCATGACTCGGATACTGCCATCAGATGAAAGGAGCAGGGCGTTGCTCATGGCCAGCGCCGGAAGCAGGAGCACACCTACTGCCAGCATCACCTTCGTCGCGCTTTGTTTCTTGGCGTTTCTTGAAAGGCCCAAACTGAGCTGGATTGCAACTTGTTGATGATCCACACTGCTGCTGCTCATAGCTTGGATATGGATCTCCAGTATACTGACCTGTGTGTTGATTTGGCTGAGATGCGTAAGGATCATCAGATGCTGCACAGTGGTCAATCCCCCAAGGAGGATAATCGAAACATAGGTCTGATTGTCCATACTCTGGAGTACCCTGTTCATTCTGCTGGATAAACGAAAACTGATCGGTCCAGGCTTGCACCTCTGCTGGAAGATCACCAAGATCGTTAAAGAAAGACAAATCCAATTCTTGCGATACTGTCTCATGTAGTGGCGCCGGACCTGCAGAATTTCGGACGTGTGCTTCCATATCGTCCATTGAATAACTGGTTGCACCATCAGGGTGAGTTTCCTCGATAGCTGAATCTACCCGAGTCTTTTTTGGCTTTTTCCCCCGCGGAGACGTTTTCTTTTCGGTTTTAGGTTTAGGCTTCTGTCCGCAAATCGAAGGCCTGAACTTGTGCATTTGCCCTTGCCTTGGTGTACCTGCAGCTGGACAATAGCAATCCACATTCCAGTGTATAAGGTCACAAGGAATGTTCTCTGCGGTGACTTTGTGCGTACTCAACCATTGAGGCGAATCCAATGGTGTAAATCCCTTGACTAACAAAGCCTCTAACATATCTGTTGGATGGCAAGTCTTTTTCAGCGCTGAATTCACGGATTTCCTGCTCAAAAATGGAGAAACCATAACGAACTTGCCCCTAAAATCTGTCGCTTTCAAAGGCATTTTGACTCTGATCTTGTTGTGAATCTCACATGTGCACTGAGCCTCACAACGACTTAGGCTGATGTCTAACCTGGGGACAAAGTCTGAGATATCAAGTCCTGCCTTGTCGCTTTGTAGGCAACCTTGTAGATGAGACTTTCCCATCCCAAATCCAGCGAGGTAAGCTTTCTCGTATTGTAATCTGTACTCGTCGCACAGAGTTTCGCACAGTTCCCTGCCTGTATCGAAGACTGCTGCATTTCCGCAGCTAGCTGGAGCCAAGGCCACCGAATAGATCGTTTTAAGAATGACAGTCATATTGAAGCATTTGCGCTCACTGGCATCTGTATAAGGCCACATGTTGACGAAAAGTTGAAGTTCTTCCGACTCTTCCGAGGTAGGCGCAATACCACCAGTCGACGTTTGTCCCTTGCTCGATGCACTTGGTTCAAGTGTATCGATCGACGTTCCTTTTGACCTCGTAGGAGCTGCAGCAAGATGATACAGCATGAGAGCCATGCAGATTAAGCACAATGCGAGTTTGATTGGCATAGGCCCGATGTGCAATCGTAGCTTCATGTTGATGATGACGTATAAGATTTGCGGTCAAGAAAGCTCACCGTAAAGCAACCGATTTTGACAAGTGGTAGAGACTTTAACATGGGGTTCCATGATGCGACATGATCAGCCTCTTGGCGGCTACAAACAATCAGGCATAAGCAACGCAGGTCTTATCCACGTTGCTTCGAGCGTGTCGCTTCGCTTGAGTCCGACAGGCTTGCAAACGCGAGATGATGCTACCCAAATGTCTCTTTCAGACGGCTCGCGTGATATGATGTTACATTCACCTGTAATCATGCGTGGGGCTTCGTTGTTGCAATGGCGCAAAATATGGAGTGGACTGAATGTTTTGGAGGAGGAACCACCCGTTATGTCAGCATGAGCTGCACCAGCTGGAGGTGCTTTTGTAGCTGCCTTCCTGAAGATATTTGATGATGGCCAACAAGAATCAGCTGTCGAACACATGAGCTACGCTTGAAGGTCTCTGTCCAGCAAGGCGGCAATGCCAAGTGGGCCGATCGTTCACGACAAAAATGCATGCAGATCAGGGGCGATGGGACATAAAGGCAGGTGCGCAACAAATTTGGAAATTTAGCATACTCCAATGAGGACAAGAGGGGAAACAATGCCGCGACATGCTGTCGCTTTTGCTCATTGAGTGTCGCCTCGCATGTCTCCTGGCACATTTCCATCGAAAATGCGGCAACATAACGACTGGGCTAAGGGTCGACTAGGCAGAGCAGACCTAGTCCACTTCAAAGACACTAGACAACATCAGAGGTAGATAGAGAGGATCCTTCCGAAGCACAAAACTATCAAATGAAGCACAAGGTACCAGATAGGTTACCTTTGTATCTTCATTAGACGAGGGATCAGGCAGTACGGCAAAAAACAAGGTCCACGCCCCAAAGAAAGTGACTGAAGTCGAGCCAGACGAGTCAAACACGAAAAGATTTCTTGAGGTGTGCATTTGGGGCAAGGGTCTGAAGCTAAAGGAGAGAGAGAGAGAGCAGCTTGTTCAAGACGCTGAACGGGAGAATCCCATGATTCTAGCAGAGAAGGCTTGATCGAGCATTGTGCTCATGGGAACAGCGCAAAGATGTAGCGATGGGCCTGTGAGTCATCTGAAGATGTCTGTAGGAGCTTGTTGAGCACTTGAAAGCAGCATCATGGTTCAATCCAGGACACGACCCTCACATTAGCGCGTCGTCCTCGATGCGAGAAAGGTGGCGATGGAGCAGTGGGTGTGAATTGATGGAAGTTGTGGGCAGGCAATGACATCTTGGCGTAGACAGACTCGGCAGGTGTCCAGTGATTGTGAGCGTCGCTGTGGCTTGTTCAATGCACGAGTCACTTCCATTGATCTCGTCGAGCTTGCAGTCTACGACGGCATCAGCTTTCCGTTCTCTGTGCACATTGATTTATGCAGGAGGGGTCCGAGGCTGTGAACGAGATAGATCACTAATGAATCCGTTGTAAGGCTCGAGCAGATCAGGTGAATAGACAGGCTGAATGAGAATATTGCGTCGAAGGTCAATATTGACGGCAGTGTTGTTGATATAATGTGTCATGCGGAAAGGTTTGGCGCGAGTCAACTCGAGCTTTGGCAATGGTCGATCACACGTACGATAATGGCGGGCGTGTAGCCAACTCGACTGCAAGGTTGAAACGCTGAGAGAACTGGTAGTCGAGAGCCATAGACTTGCTCCTTGTACTTGTTCTGTGTATCTTTCATGTGGTCCTGGAGCTCGTCGTGAACAGACATTGAGCGAGCAGTCATGAGGTGAATGAAGAGATGTAAGCCGAGCTCAGCCAGGTCAGAAGATGTCTTGATGGTGTCCCTGTGGTTGACGTAGCAGAACTTGGCTGAAGGATGAAGGGAACACCGATTGTCTTGGTGTGATTGGTGTAGCATCGCAGAAGCTGTTCGAGTACCAAGTCAGCACGTTCACTCTGACCATCATGCTGGGGTTGATAGGCAGTTGGCGAAAGAGATTTGACTTGTGTATCAAAGTGGAGGAACAGTGACTGTCAGAACTTAGAGATGAAGGAGATAGCAGACCATGGCGTGGCTCATAGCGGAAGTGGAATGCTTGCTATAGGCATCACGTCGACTTGCCGTAGCGCGTGCACATGAGTCGCAGGTGCGCACGTATTTGCTTCACTTAAGGTCTCATGCCAGGCCAGAGGTATCGTCGTGAATGAAGCCTACAAAGCTCGCCGTCAAATCGGCGTCCGGCCAATGTAGACTCTTGATGTTGTCGTAGCTAGGAGAGCATGAGCACTTGTTGTCACGGATTGATCTCTACGCTTCTTCCTCCAGCTTCTATGATTCGAGACGAATCCCTCGAGGGGGGAATTCCGCCACGGACTGATCTCTCCGCGACTCCATCTCGTCTTCATCTCTTCGGCTATGACGCTGTTCTCGGGTTACCATGGCTGTAGTGCCATGATCTCCAGTTCACGTGCTCCGCTACCTCTCCTGAGTTCCCAGTACCTGACATTTATTCATCCCATTGGTTCTTTCAAGCTCATAGCGCTATCATACGGCCCGGCGTATCCACCTTCCTGATGTGGCCTCCGCCGGCATCTTACTCACCTCGTCTTCTTGGATCACTTCTTGGATCACGCTTCAACATGTTACGCTCGCAGGCGTCTCACTCACTTCGTCTCGTGGATCACGCTCCAACATCTGCTCTCAAGCTTCAATGTCTATTTCCGTCACAAACACATCACGCTCGCAAGTGTGAATGTCAGTTTCTGTCCCACAAACAACCCATGCTCACAGCGTGAAAGTCTCTCTCAATACAGGTCTGGTGTCTGCGTTGAGATGCTTTCAGGGTCTTTGCCCTCGCCCACCTCTTTCTCGTCACTTCCTCGTTCGAGGCTGGCAAAGTATCAAAGGAGCGCTTCTCGCACCTTTGTAGGATTGTCAGCAAGATCCCTCCATAGGCAATCCTATCCATTGTTCGAATTCCCTGTCGCCGAACCCACCCCACAACCTAAGCTTCCTGTCTCCTTCAGTACGCCTTGTCTCGTCAAGTCGTGATCGTCACAGCAAGCATAGCCATCAGAGTCTCATTCAAATGTGATTGAAGCTTCGAATTCATGTTAAATTGCAACTACAAACATAGTTTCAGAATTGTGTGACGAAGGGCGAACAGGACAGGACGAATGCTTGTGCTGAAGACAGGACTTGGGCGAGATGTAGGGGACAAGAATAGAAATTGTAAACTAAGGAACAAGACAGCGGAAGGCTGCCTACTTATGTCTACCAGGTACCAGCATGAGAGCGGATGGCGAGGATGGGGATGGAGCCCACGGGAGCCGACTCTCAGCAGGAGAACAGTGAAAGAAGAGGGGAAGCGAGATTGCATGAGCCCAGTGGAGATGTCCGAGCTGCGAGATAAGGAAGAGACAGAACAAGGGACGACGTGGTAGACGTCGTCGACGAGTAAGAGAGCGAGTAAGGACAACGTGACAGAGCGTTGCCGGAAGCGAGGAAGCTAGGCGCGGGACGATAGGCAACGTGCTGAGGTGATAAGCGTCGTTGAATGGCGGAAGGTAGAAGAGCCGCGATGAGTTGCTAGAGCATGTGGTGCGGGAAAGTCGGATGCGAGGTTTAAGGCTGCGTGTTCGTTACACATCATCGGCCATGCAATCCTCCGGATGATCGTTGAGGTCTTTGACTGCATCTCCAAAGGTTGCCTTCTGGCCGGGCCAGAAAAGTGTGTTGATAATTTTGTCCTTGTATTTCTTGTCGCAAAGTATCGAACAAGATTCAAACGAAGGGTTCTCGTTCGTATTATAGGTGTATGTGAATGCCAATTTTGTACACTCATGGCTCGAAACGCGCGCAGTCCACGAAGACACCAGCACCATAATTATCGTCCAACGCAACATTGGAGATGTCGTTGTGAAGACACTACCAAGCTGAGACTTACTGATCGTTGATTGCAAGCTTGAGCACATCTGATCCTGCCCACTGCCCAGTAGCAGCAGGCGTGTCAGACTTGTCGAACCACAAGAGACTACAGCTGGTAACAAAGGCGCTAGGAATCAGCGACGTGGCCTTAGGCTTTTGAAGGAAATGAGGAACTTGACTCCTTGCTCTCATTTCGGCTGATCTTCTCAAGCAGGTGGCAGGCACACGCGAAATGTTTTGCAGATCAACAAACATTGAGCGATTTCGGCCCTAAACGACTGTCAGACCTATTCGCACTTCACATCGCGTTCCCGTTTAGCCAAAAGTGACTGCAGTTGGACCCTTTGAAAACAAGGCTGCAGCCCATTCCAGATACCTAAGCTGCCTCCACTGCCTCCCAGGAGTAAGTGCTCATTGTCAGACCTATTCGGACTTCTCCTCGCATTCCCGTTGAGCCAAAAGTGACTAGTCCCTAGAGAACACCGCTGCAGCCCTTTGAGGCCGAATTCAAGGCCTCTTCCAGGAGTCAGTGATCATCAGGAGACACCTCCTGTGTCCAACTTCGAATTCCGCGAAGTTTTGAAGTTCACTTACATCCAACACTTCGCTCAGTTTTAAATTCCCGCGACAGCTATCCTGCAACCTACATTGTGCGGTGAATTGTAATGACCACGCAGATTTGATCAGTGTAATGACCACGCAGATCTGATCACCTTAGCCCGCAGCTGTTACACTGCCTGGTTCGGTCTCGCTGGCAGTTCCCTGTTTCTTTGTTCTCTTTGTTCTCGCTCGTACTCTCACGACGAACATCTCATCTCAACCTATCAGCTACGCTGCCCACACGTCATCCAACCTGGTTTCATGCAGAGTTCTCTTGCTCTCGCTCTGCTCTCGTCATCTCGCTCTTCTCGCAATCCGCTCCCTCGCGTGAGCCTGATGAACATAAGACGACAGCCTTCTGCTGTCTTCTGCTCTTTAGTTCACAATTCATTATCTACCCTTAGTCCTCGTCAAAGTCCTGTCCTCAGCGCAAGCCATCTTCGTCCCTCATCACCTAGATCCTTACATGAATCAACCGGTGGTTGTGTGCTTCGAAAGTCTTTCCGAACTTGAATTTTACGACCACTACGCACCGCCAGCACAAAGCTCATGCATGACCTGTCAGTCCTATTTGGGATTTGCATCGCGTTTACAGTGAGCCAAAGTGATCAGTCAGCTCTGCGGCCATTCTGCTTCTTGTATGTTGAGCGTGACAGGCTCATTCCAAATATGAGCGCAAGCTCTGCTGAATTGCGTCACGCTTGATCAGCAAGGACAAGACAACTGCTCATGGTTCGAGTCTACATCAAAACAATTTTCTTGGCAACTGACGGGAAGCTTAGATTCGCTAAACTGATAAAGCTACTCTTACGAAAGAGGTGCCCCAAGTTATCTCTGTTTGTTGCAAGAATGGAAACGGGACTCAACGATCAACGCTATTGCTCAACTGGGATGCATCCAACCAGCACACTGAAATTGCGGTTTGCCGTCTTTGAGCTTTTTGCAATCACACGTATTTCCTTGGTGTGCACAGTGGCAATCGCGACTCATTTGCTTGTCAAAGCCAATGCCAGTAAGACCAGTTTTGTCGACGATTCGGTCAAGGATCTTGGCCTTCACTTCATCTTCATGACACTCCTTCCCATCCGAAAGCTTCAAGCGTTTGTGGACCCTCATGACCCCAATATGGATCAAGCAGTTGCAGTGCGTATGCGTGGTTGAGTCAGGCTCTCTGGATACATCAGCATTTGGAGTAAAAATGTTGCCTTAGCGTACATTCCAAGACAGACTCCGTCGTCGGCCATGCACTCTTCCGGATTTATGTTAAGATCTGTGATTGCATCTCCGAAACTTGCCTTCTGGTTGGGCAAGAAAATCTTGTCGATAATCGTGTACACTCATGGCTCGAAACGCGCGCAGTCCACGAAGACACCAATACCATAATTATCATCCAAATCAATATTGAGGATTTCGCTGTGAAGACACTACCAAGCTGAGACTTACTGATAGTTGATTGCAAGCTTGAGCACATCTGATCCTGCCTAGTAGCTGCAGGAGTGTCAGGCTTGTCGAACCCGAAGAGACTTCAAATGGAGGCGAAGGCGCTAGGAATAAGAGATGTGGCCTGAAGCTTTTGAAGGAAGTCGAAAATCTTGACTCCTTGATCTCATTTCAGCTGATCTTCACCAGGCGCACGTGACTGATTGCGAACAAATAAATACTGAGCGATCTAGGCCTAAGGTGGAGAAGATCAAAAAGATTTATGGACTTTCGAACACATTTTGACCAGATTGTAACAGACACGTGCACGGGGCAACAATCGAGCTTGCAAAACCATAGGCGGCTCAGCCGTTCAACTGCGTACCTACTTGTAGTTTTCATCGCGACATCGAGCCAATAGGATGGGCCTCTATAAAGACAGCTTCAATACAATGTGGCAGCTCTGGCAAACGATTTTCAGCTATATGCTATGGGCTACTCAACTGAGTATGCCTCCTTGAGCAGAATTCAAATTCCGCTAAATTCCAGAACTTTAGCCCCTTATATTAAACGGCTGCAGCTGCAAAGGAAATGGCCACGTTCACAGTGCATGCATTTGATTCGTACTCTAGATCAGTCCAATTGGTCAACCTCGGTCGACTCTCGATAGAAGATCTACGCCACCGACTCTACTATGATTCTCTGCTCGCAGTCTATCGCCCTCTGAGGAATGATTTCCTTTGACTATACAAAAGCCATTGCCGCCAACGAGCTACTGTGAAGGAGGTAGCTGCAGCCTGCAGCCTCATGCATGCAAGACAGTTGAAAATCGCATGACAAATGATCGGCAAAGGTTAGTCGCAAAAGCTGCAGCGACAATAATTTCAGTCAGCTGCTGATCACAAAACAAGCGCGAGGCTCGCAAGTTGCAGAACATAATTGGCAAATTTTTGATGGCCCCTGAGAGTTGCAATTGAACAGCTGAAGCCACAGCCGCTCAGCTGTTAGAACTGCAGCCGAGCCTCACTTGGGAGTACTGCCCCATTTCGCGTATGCACTTTGTTACGCATACGCAATAGCATGCTAGTCTATTTGCAACTATACTACAGCCAAAATCAGGCCTAGATCCAATCTGCAAGAAACTTTTGACCCTTAGATAGCTACAAAAGCTCTTCTAGACCTGAACAGCTGCCACAGCGCGTGAACAGACAAACAAAAGGGGAAAGGCCAACACCATAGGCCTAGCCTCCTAGGACTACCTTGGCAGTCAAAAGCAGCGATCCTTGATTGCAACATCTAGCGACTCTACCATACAGGTCTTCGCAAGCCCGAGTCAAAACGCAGAACCACAGTATGTTACCCTTAGTTTTGATGGCATACGCATCACTACTAGGCCTGTTCCTAAGTGTGTGCACTCTTCCCGAACCAGAACCAGTACCTGCAGCTGCAGCTGTAGCCGTACGCGAACGAGGCTCGTCTTCGGGGCGGAACGCGAACTCGAAAGCGCCTGTGGACCCATGGAGTCATGCACACGTTCTTTCAAAACCTGAGGCCGGGTCAACACAAAACCAACTTCACATGGACCAAACCGTTTCGAATGCATCTGGTGGTTTTGAGGAAGAGAACAAGTGTTACCATCTCCAGTTTGAAGCGCGATACATATTGAATCGGGAAATCATTGTCAGATTCAACGAAGTGAAGTGCAAATCAGAATGCAGAATTTCCATACCGTCTTATTTTCAGCACATCAAAACGAGACTGCAGCACGCTCATGGCTGTATTAAATCGGCAATTTGTATGAATTACAGGACATCAACGGCGATTGAGCCTATGTGTTTCGAAAGACGCGAAGCTGCTTCGAAAGGATCAAGTTGCACTTTGGATAGTTGCTTTTGTTCTGTCACAGTGAATTTTTGGCGTGTAAAGCAGAAGAGCCAAGATCCCAAATGGTTTCAGCCTACACCGGCTGGACAGAAGGCTCCTCTATGTCATCCAGCCTGGGTGATGCAACCAGGTAGGTTCGACACCACGCGGTGGTCTTCATCACATGTGCAGTGGGTCGTCCTGGAGCATGGTATCAGATGTGACGAGCCTTTACCCGATGAAAAAGCTTGCGGTTGCGTTCACATCAACCCCGGAGGCAGAGCTTGTAAAGAGATCGAGCATATCAAATACACTCGCTGCGGTCTTGAGAATCCGGGACCAGATGGAAATTGTCTATGCGATGCTGGAAGAGAAGATCATTGTGCAGCGACGACCGTAGTGGAGCCGAACTTTGCGTCATGGAATGCGACAGATATGTATGAACAGCTCCTTGATCTTGATTATCTGGCGCAGCAGCTTCAGCAGTAATGCTTTCATTTGAGATTGACAATTCACATCATGAGTAAAAGCTTTTCAACAAGTAGTCGATCAGTGGAACGCAGCCACAGTTATACTTTGTAGTGATTCGACACTGCATAGCATCTAGCTGCAGATCGTCCTTAGCCACACTGCTCCTAACATATGCATGCATGATCTTGTAGTGCATTCACCGTCACACTGATATGTTTGCCAATGGAATGCTTTCAATGGATGAAACTCTGAGTAGTTAGCAAGGCTGAGGATTGCACCAGAACACCAATTGCAGATGCTCGCCAGCCCATTCGGCTGCCGGAGCTACCCCAGCCCTCGGCACAGGCATCATCGACGCTGAAGCAGGACCCTTGCTCGAAGATGAGCCTAGTTCGCCCAAAGTCGAACTCGTTTGCGACTGCCTGCCCGCAACAGTTTGCAACCTGCTGTTGTAGCCGACTCTGGCCCTCAAACATTAGCCTGACGGGCAGAACTTTTGGATCAATTGCTGGCGAAGCTAATCGGCTTGACTGCTTTTGCCGAGCCGCGTCCACCTCTTCAGCAGCTGCCTGACCTTTCAAAGCTTCCATACGTCGAAGGCCGCCAATTTCGCGATATAACCATGTGGTGGTGGGTCAAGTCGTCATGAGATGCGAATCCTGGTTCAGGGCTGAATCTGTGCTTGACAGCGCGAATCTTTCAAGTTGATCATGTGCTGGGACAACTTGCCAGCAAAGCTGCCAGATGGCGTGACTAGGTCAATATCAACAGGAAGTTGAGTGCCTTTGACAACAACGACACTGCTCCTGGTGTCACTGCCATGTCTGCCTATGGCGAAGAAGGTTTCAGAGACTCGAGCTCTTTTTCATGGGCTCTGTGACACGTACAAGGCAAGCACAGGCAAGGGCGACGCACTGAGTGAAGGAGCCTCAGTTTTAGGAACGACACACCATTGTTTGACTTGGCAAGAACCAGAAACCAGACAGAGAAGCTGACTTGACACTAGGCGAGTGACAGAAGCAGTTCTTGGCCACATCGGACCAAGAGTTGGCCAAGAAGTTGGTTGAGCATGTAGACAAGACGTCCAAGAACATTCATCTTGACTGACTCGGCTTCTTCAGCATAGACTCGTTCTTGAACCAGTATTCGGAATCCAGGATGAGTTGCTCCACTGCAGGATTGAAGCAGTCGTCGCTCAATCTGCGTCCTTCTCATCTTGTGAGGTTCGACAGATCTGTCGTTTCGCCAGCAAGTCTGAATGGGCCGTTCAATTTACGCATCAGAGACCACAAGTCGTCTAGGCAGGCCATCAAACTTGGAAAAGACCGTTGTTGACTTCTTCGCATGATCACAGGATCCAGCACTGAGCTCAGCGCACCTTGTTAAGCTTCCAAGTTTTCAACAGTCTTGAGAATTGGTTGCGTTGGCATGTTGCTCATGTCTGAAGGCGATGTTTCGCTCGCTGCCAAAACGGACTCGGTGGCCGTAGAAGTTGAAGCGTCTTCGAGTGAGGATGCTTCAGCGTCGACGATGTATGGACCGAGACGGCAGAGGAACTACCGGAGCCTAGCCAGCTTGACCACGTCTAGTATTCATCATGTGGCCAGAATGATTTGAACTTGTTATTCGCCGACATGAGGTTGGTTCAACAGATTGTGAGAGATCACCTTTAGCTGATGAATGATACGACAAGATCTTGTGAGCGTTTGCTGAGACAGGCAGGATACTCAAGACTGGCTACCGGCTCGGCGAAGTATAGCAGCTGCAGAAACTGATCTCGACGAGCTGAGGACTTCAAAGTTTTCTGCGAGCAAAAGCAGGTGCACCAGACACAATCAGCTCTACAGCATGATGGTGAAGTAGAATCCAATCACGTCCGAGGAAGTTGAAGAGGGCAATGTAAGAAGCTTGCGATATTGAAATCTACAAGAGAAAGGGCAATTGCGTGCACATCTGCGAAGAAAGAGCAATGCAGACGATGGAAGCGACGTCAGTAGGTACTGAACACTTAGTCACCCACCCAGGTAACAAGAGGCTTGCCAAAGTTGCAGTTCGTCCGTTACTTGCCACCGTGAATCATCTTCTTCTCAATCCAAGACGACACCCTCTCGAGCCCACGCTCATACATGGCGGGATCCTTGCATAACTTCCTGCTCAATGGCCAATCATGCACACCTGCAGCTTCTTGATACATCTCACAATCCTTGAAGGACTTTTCATTCTCCTTGTGCCACGACTCAATCGATGTCTTGAGCTTCTCTGAGCCACCGTAAACAATGATTGTGGCCGGCAACGCAGCAACATCTTCTGGTCGTCGCAAGAATGGGTTGAGTCCCTTGTGCCTGAATGCATCTTCATAGGAGATGTTTGGCCCCATGTAGGCTTTGATGCCTTGCACGGCAAACAAATCTGTCACGTAATCCGTCTTGCCGTACACGTAGTACGAGTCGTCCTCTTTGATGTCGATGGGGACAGGACTCTTGACGACGCCTGCTTGATGAAGAGAGACGACAGGGAATCCCCAAGGAGAAAAGAGGACTGCACCACCGAATGAAGCTGCGTCGTGGTGCTCATACATCGTTTGCAGAGCCAAGTTACCACCTGCCGAGTCACCAGAGATGAAGATGCGCAGTGGATTGACTTTGCATCGACGTACAAGATAGTCAATAGCAGCCAGACACTCTGTGTGCTGTGTTGGGAAGTGTGCATCGGGGGCTAATGTATAATCAACCGTGAAGATGCGGAAGTCCTTATTGAACTTGCGTTTATGGTGTTGCGTCAAGTCGCAGCACCATTCAGACCACATTTTCGTGTGGCCTACAGTGAAAGCACCGCCGTGGATGTAAAGCATGATGGGCCCGTCACCAGCTGTGATTTGCTCTTCAGTCATGTGTTGCACACCGGGTCCCCACCATGTCCCCTTTGTCGTGCCGGCCGTAACACGCTTTGCCAGAGAACGACGCTTGAGGTGGTTCTGAGCCACAAGACTGATGATGAAGCGTGCCCAGGAGGGTTTGAGGTCGAGGATCTTCTTTTGCGTTTCAATGTACTTTTCGTACGAGTCGCGCGCTGTCAAGAACATGACGAAAGTCGAAAAGGCATCTTGGATGAAGTCTAGCATGGTGTCTGACACTCTCTAATGCTGGCCGTCTGGATAACACTGCGTCTGACTGTCGGCTTTGTGGTGTTTTGTCTCCCCGCACTTTGGACGACGGCGGATGGAGAACGAGATGGAGAGCAGGAAGTCAAGTCAAGGCACAGGAGAGCAGGTGCAGGTAGTGACGAAGACCAGGAAGGAAGTGAGCAGGTCAAGGGACCAGAGCTAGACTACTGCCATCCACTACCATACCAAATACCCAGTCCGTAATCATCGCAGCGCCGGATCAACCACACTGTTGGCCGCACCCAGCGCATCAGCCAATGCATCCTCCATCGCCCTGGGCCCTGCATTGGCATTCCCGCGCGATGCACCCGTGCTCAGACGACTCTCCATCCAGTCACGAGGTTTCTCGCCCTGCTCTTTCGCCTTCTTTGCCTTCCTCAGTGAGCGATATACCCTGTGATATTCCAATTCAGCACCATGTGCCAGCCTCAGTGCCATCATGATCTCGTGGCATGTAATATCTGGCTTAGCATCGAGCAATGGCATGATGCGCATCCTGATCCACTCAATCGTCACAGGCGCATTGCGTGCATTCGACATCTCTACCGGTGCACAGTGAGCGCTATGCGGCACATGCGTAGCAATCCTGAAACTCCCATCCTCTGGATTCTTACACGCAGCACGTAATCGCCACGGACAACCCTCTGACTCGTGCTTGCTACACTTCCATCCCATGTGGGACCTGTTGGAGTCTGTCAATTTATATTGGAAGCGAGCGCGAATGGCCCAAGTCGAGAGCGCGTCCAGCAGCAATTTCTTGTTGGCAAAGCGTGTTCGTTGTGATAGCTCATCAGGAATAGGACCCAGTAGTGATGTGCCATCATCGTCACGATGATTATCCACAGGAGAGCCTGGGTCATCCTCTGCGGCTGACTCTCTGTGCTGTGTTTGCTCTGATTCTGGGGTCGCATCGAGCTTCAGGCGCTTCTTGGCGCGTGGCATCTTGGCAGCAGCAGTCAATCAGTAGACAACAGGAGAAGCAGCAGTAGATATAGCAGAGTAGTACGCGCAGAGAAGAGGAGACTCGGGATGGGAAGCTTCAGCTCAGACTCAGAGTGCTCCACTGGGCCACTGCTCGTTGTGTCGCCTAACCCAAGCAAGACAACGAGCAAGGACAAGGACAGGCGCTACTCAGACTGCTCCTTCTACGTCTACTTGTCCTGCTACAGTAGGAGACAGAGAAACGCACGTCAGCATGGCACACACAGCACAGCAGCTCATCACGCCCTTCCCCGTCATCGACACAGACCCACACTTCTTCCGTGTCATCCGCTATACACGCGCCTCCGACTGGCTCTATGCAGCAGGCCTCGCAGCAGGCTTCCCCGGCGCTATGACTTTCTGGGAGAGACAAGAGCGTAGTACACCCAAAGCATCCTGGCCAAGCGTCATGCGCATGTCCTGGTCCATCGGCGCAGTTGGTGGGTTTCTACTCGCTTATAGTCGCAGCAGTCAGCGATTCTGGGGATGGTCGGAGAATGAACGGGAACAAGCGAAAGATATGGAGGAGATGAAGGGTCGTGTAGCGGCTGGATTGAAGCCGTATGGCGACAGTGAACTCAGCCCATACATGCAAGGTGTTGCGGCGCGAAACTCGACCTTTTCGGGACTCTTTGTGGGCTTGATGCCTTGGTATGTTGATTAAGGGAACAAAGAGGATGGAAGCTAACGTGCAGGTTCAATATGGTCAATCACGAGCACCACGGCGTCGATGCGTCAAAGTACGGCGAAGTCAAGAAGTAGGCTTGAGCCTTCATACTCAGGAGCGAATCGACCTTTCAAATGTCTTCTGGATGATACCTGTGAACATTGAAGTACTTGATTGACTGGCCTCTTTCTTGATGCAAAACCTTCGTATGATTGTGAGATGTATATTCACCTTGTTGCATACTGGACATACTTCTTGTCCAAGTCTTTCATCAAACGCGATAGATGTCCTTCATGCCTCAATCGAACCTATGAATGTGTAAGCCTCCTTGATTTCCGAGTAGATGCTAGTATACGACTAGATAGAGCCTCGACAACATCTCGACTCTGTGCTCAAAACTTGATCCAAACACAACACAGCTCAGGACCAAAGCTACAGCTACAGCTTCTACTCTGCCGTCTGCTCTTGCATGAGCAAACACGCTCGCTCGCATCTCAAACAGCTCTATAAAGACCCGCTTCCAGTCGTCAATGTCATTCCTCTGCCTCCCATCACACCACATAACCCACTCTCTGTCTTAATTTGTCTCTGGCACTATCTCACTTATTGCCCGCCGCAAGCCGATCGACTCATTGGCAAACTAGACCAAGCAACACGCTCAGTATGGTTACTAGATCAACGCAGTGCACAACGAGCCTGGTATGCTGGATTCTTCGGCAAGGGTACTTTTTCCCGCTCTGATCCAACGTGGCATATTCGTGTTCAACGCCAATTAGGCATCCTCGGACCAGATGAACGGCTCGTCTCTGAGGAAATCACGGCGAGACGGCGCATTGCAAGACAGGCTATGAAGACTGAGCGTGCAAAAGTTGAACGAGAAGCAAGAGAACGGATCCTCAGAGAAGAAAGCGGCTTGGGACTTCTTGAGGATGAGAAGATGCTGGATGAGGCTGTTTTCCAAGAAGTCTCAGCAGTTCAACCATATCTGGCGCGTCCGGTTCTGGATGAGCCTGTCGTGGAGTCTATCCCAGACCTCGAGCACCTACAGCTCTCCCTCCACGAGGCAATCTTTCTCGCAGTGGCTTTGGACACGCTAGACATACAAGACGACGACCATTTCATCGACAAAGCATCGCTCCTGCCGATTCTGATCCAAATCGCTCTTCCAAACCAATCACAAGTCAAGCAAGTTCCAGCCAGTGAGCCATTCTTACTACGCTACGCGGCATATCATCACTATCGCGCCCACGGTTGGACTGTCAAACCAGGCATTAAATTTGGTATTGACTGGATCTTGTATGATCGTGGACCCGTCTTTTCACACGCAGACTATAGTATCGTTGTGGTACCTGATCCAATACACGCAGATGTACAAGAAGACACACGGCCGTGGTGGTGGTTGCATGCTGTGAATCGGGTGAATGCACAAGTCAAAAAGACAGTCATCTTGTGTTATATCACGTTTGATGCGAGTAGACCTGTCAGGCTTGATCAGGGATTGAAGAGTATACTTCAGCGGTATACGATTCGCGAGGTGAGTATCAAACGTTGGAATGCAGGGAGGAATAGATAAAAAAAGTCATATTGATGGCGTGAGTAGCTCAGACTTGCCCAGACTAGCCAAGGAAGTTGACAACTGCAAAGTGTAAAACAACACTCGCAAAGATAAAGTCGCCAAAAGCACTGTGATTGTTAGCATGTGGACAGCATTGGCAGAGAGCTTACCGTTCTGGTGAGACTTGAGGGAAGGCAGCCGTATTCGCTGTGTTTGTCTGACTCCTCAAACCAGCACAGAGCACGAACTGACCGATTGTAGCGATAAAGCCTGCCAGAAAGGCATTGAATGGGTAGTTACCCACAATCAAGCAGTACATGAATTGCAAGACACCCGTAGCAATGAGAAATGCCATAAACATGTCAATGAGCTTGAGCTGCTGCGGTGTGCTCTTCAAGTAAGACGACCAGAGATCATTGACGATCTGGGCATAGTAGTTGGTTGCTAGTCGCTTGCTCTGGAGCTGTTTGATTGTTGCTGACGTGTCTTCCTTCTTGGGTGTCGCCAAGTGCACAGTCTTTCTTGGCGCCATTTGCACGAGCTTGTCCTACGCCGCAGTCAATAGGCCTCTCCTATCTGATGAGGTAGAGCAGGTCAAGTTGTCGTGGTTGGTTGTCGCGTTGAAACTTGACAGCAAAGCGAAATGCATACGCGCGACACCGACAAGCAGCAACCAGGTTGAATCAGCCTTGTACCAGGGCCTGAGGCATCTACAATATATGCTGCGAAGATAAAGACACGAGTCATGACTGCATTACTTCAGAAGGGCGTCTTCTATGTCCCTTGGAGCAGACCGATCCGAAAAGGATGTCAGTTCAAGCACAGCTCATAGTTGGGGGGCTGAAGCGCCGTTTCGTCTGATAGAGAGGTAGCAGGGCTTGACTCCTCCATATAGATGACACTGATATGCGTAGCAGAGCAGACACTGGCGATTCATATCAGCGAAGGCGATGATCCGCCGCAAATCGTCCTTGCGACGCTCTTCTTCAACAGTCCGTGCATACTTCCTTCGTCTGCTCACCTCCCGTCTTGATCACATCGCCTGAGCCATCTGCTGTTGCTCTTCCCTTCACTGGCTTGTCTGAATGCCCCAAGTCTTGCTCCGGATTGATGATGTTGCGAACAAGTTGCTTCAGCTGCTTTGCCTCTGGGAAACCACCTTCATCTTTGCGGTTCCATATGCAAGACTCCTTCCCCTCATGCGTGATGGTCACAACGAAGTGCCCGCCACTCGCTGGTATGAGGGCAACTTCTCCAATCACATCTTGGAACGTAGTCAGCAGCTCCTGCGCAAACCTGATAACAGGAACTTGTCAGTAAGACAGCTCGAATCTCATGAGATAGCCTCACCATGCAGCCCTGAGCATCCATCTACACTGCGTGCAATACTCGATAGCGACTCTTGGTTTCGTCATTGTCTTGCTTCGTTCAAATTTGAAATTTCGTTTCTTTTTTTTTTTTTGTTCCGTTGTCTTACATACCTACTCCTCTCAGGACTCTTGGAAATTTCGTCTTGAGCAATTTTCCACTTTGACCAAACCATCAAGCTCAAAGACTCCTCCTGCTGTCATGCGTGCTGCTCGTGTCAGGCCCGCTGCTATCTTGCCCTTTCTCTATCCTCACACTTGGAGATGCTGCTATAGCGCACAAGCTACAAACTCTCACCATGATGCGTCTTCGAGTATTCCTATGCCGACCGTCAGTAAAGAAATGGAAGCCATCATTGCTGAACGGCAAGCTCAGAAGCTACCCATGAAGCGGCAGACGCCTGTACGCTCTTCGCATGAAGGTACAATGACATTGGGAGAGCGCGAACGCTTCTCAAAGATCTTTGAAACAATTTTGTCCACCAAAGCTTCACTGTCGCTACCCAAGGATGAGACGACCTTTTCATTCCATCCTGATCCCGTCAAACAAGTCTCTGAACGATCCGCTATCAGCAGTCACGTCGAAGCATCTGAGCAAGCTGCAAGAGACCACCTCAAAGCATACCCGCCAGTCTTGAGACAGGAAGCAGAACAGGCAATGACAAACTTGAAGCAACGAAAGCTAGCACGACAACGACAGCTCAAGTCGAGTGCTCTCCGGTCTGCACCATTGTACAAAGCACTCAAGGAGCAGCTTCTTGAGTGCACAGACTCTCTCCTCCTGGAAGACTTTGTTCACGAACACATCTTTGGGCCACTCAGACGCAACGAGATTGACTTGGCAGACAAAGCGAAACGCAAGTCATCCATGGCCTTCTGCAATGCATATCCGTTGATCCTTGCAGATGCCATGCGAATCTACAGGCTCTCCTACAATGACCCTGCAGCAGCGATTGACTTGTTTGATCGTGTCAAGGCACATGGTATCACGAGTATCGTCATTGGCGCAAATACTCTCGTCTACAATGAAGTCCTGGCTGCTCGATGGGAAGGCTGGCGCGATGTTGAGTCTGTACTTGTAACGTTGGAAGAGATGGAGCAGAATGGAGTCCGTTGGGATGATGGGACTGCCAATATTTTGAAGAAGGTCAGCCATGACATCTTGACAGAAACACGCGCTGCCGGTGGTGCAGGTCTGTATTGGCAGAGTGAGGATCCAGTCAAGCTTGAATCTTTCAACAAGATTCGATCGAGTATTGTCTTGGAAAACACCGAGAGGACTATTGAGAAGCTCAAAGAGGTGAAAATTGAAGAGTAGATTTCGACACGTACAACCTAACTAGCGACCCTATCTACCCGCTATGTCTAGAATGATTCGTCATACTCGTCTACGTTCTCCTTGCTCATATCAAGCTGCTTCAGCTGTCCAGGAATCCCTTGTACGCTCTTACTTAGACAAGAAAGCTACCGGCTCGTTTGATGCAACGGTCAATATCTTGACTATGGAGATGCTACCAGTCTACACCACTGGCCGTCGAGAGCGTGGCCTCATGTCTCCGGGAAAGCTAGCTAGTCTCAAGCTGCCGCATGCAGACACTGGCGTGATCCCTACCGTGGTTGAAGCACTGCGAGGTGGTCAGACCACGGTACATACACCAGGCCAGCTTGTTGCTTATCCCATTTTCGACCTCAAAGCATATGATCTCTCCCCTCGATGCTATGTGCATCTCCTTGAATCTAGCATCATTCAAACGCTTGCTCAATACAATATACAAGCGAAACGGACAAGCAATACAGGCGTTTGGGTTTCAGAGCAAGCCAAAATCGCAGCAATTGGTATTCACCTACGTCGCAACATTACAAGTCATGGTATCGCCCTTAACATCTGCAACGATCTGTCTTGGTTCTCGAGAATAGTGGCTTGTGGCCTTGCAGGCAAGCAGACGACAAGTATGGTGGAACAAGGCGTAAACAACGTTATTGTACAAGATGTGGCAAGGATATGGATTCAGCAGATGGCTCAACTCCTCAAGATTGATGCAGCAATGATTGACACTACAGAGGCTTCCCCCTAGACCTTCTTTTTCTTCTCCAATGTTGGTTTACTGCGGCAACACCAAAGAACCCACAGCGTGCCCAGTAAGACGACGCCAAGCGTACCGGCCGTCACCCTGCTCAACTCGTCTGCATCAGCAACCGCAATTTGTGCCTGGAAACGAGACGGTCCCACATCATGATAGAACCGGAATTGATTAGAGTCGCCTAGCAAGGCCGTCAGTAGCGTCGTTGTGTCAAAAGGGTTGTCGCTAAACGCTGCATCGGGTTGTGGACACCTGCTAAAGACTTTTGGTGCTGGTAGGGTTACCGATTGGTTGTGACCGCCTTGGTTCGGCGACAGATATCGCGCGTGTATTGGCACTTTCACCTCTAGAGGACTAGATAATGGCAAGTCAGCCACAGCGAGAGAACCCCAACCGGAGGTACGCCACACTGGTGCTTCCAGATCATCCTCACCATAAATGTGCCACATGTCTGGCATGCTTGCTTGCAGCTCAAAGGTATCGAAGAAGTAGGCTTTCGGAAGCTTATAGAGTGCATGCATCGAGCAACCTTGCTGTTCAAGCTGTGACATGTGCTTTTGAAGGGGTTGCGAGTTGAGAAACTCAGTCTTGAGTGTCAAGTGCGAGCCTGCTCCAATCAGCGAAGAGCGATAGCGGATAGAGGTACGGCCGTGCGGCTGGACTCGTTGATCGAAAAAGATGGTGAATGGCGTCAGGTCTTTCGTATCTGTCGCTCCCTGCCGTGACTTGAGAAAGGCAGAGAGGCCTCGAAACTCAGAGTCTGGTAAATCACGTCGTTGACGCTGGACAATTCCTATCTCTGGCCGTACTTGAGGATTGGATTCTAGATGTCTTGCCACGACTGTCCTGTCTGATGCGGCAACAGACTGTATTGCGCGAACTGTTATATACTGTTCGTCGCAGTCCATTTCCATCTGTACGAAGGTAGCTGCTTCAATCAGTGCCTGCAAGTCGGGAAAGCTGGTCGATAGGTACGACTGAATTGGCGCAGGTGCTGCCGTTGCGTTGAAGAACAGCTCGACGCCCCTGACTGAAAAGAAAGCTTTCTTGCCGTCTGGAGTCTCGAGCTGCTGGCCTGTCATGACTTCTAATAGCTTGTAGCCTTGGAAAGCAGTCTCTTCCTTGCGTACAGTTTCGTGATGGCGAAGCTGAATGGTCAGGCCATCAAACAGGTCAGTGTAGAAGAGATCTCCGAGCAATGCATTCTCTGTACGATATGTGAGCTGTAGCGACCGAACACCCTTAAGTACATCGAGAATCTGAGGCTCTAGCGGCACACGGAGACGCGCTTCATAAATGCCCTCAAATTTACGCAGCGTGAAGGCATCATCAGAGAAGGCCCAGTGATCAGACAGATCATCAACATTGTGCTGCGTGTGAAAGGTATGTCTCAAGGAAGATGCCATCCCCAGCAGCGTCTAGTCGACCTGCATGTAGCTTGAAGTTGTGGATAAATCTATGTCCGGTTCAAGTCAGGGGAGTGGACGAGACGCAGTCACAGATTATGCAGCAATGCTAGAATACTATAGATAAGCTTGAGCTATACCCACTGTTGACGTTTACGCTGCAGCCGTGAGAACATACGTGCATGATGCCAAAGTCCAGGTTGAGAAGTGCGCGAAGAATCAGTACAGAAGCGCTCGATTCAGCTGCTTTCACAAGTGAGTACCAGCTTGGCAAGCTCGCTTGTCATATCAAAGCACAAAGCAGCTGCAGTCTCACCGGGCTTGCATCTCTTTCCGAAGCAAGTAGGCGCCTGATGGTGTCACTGGCTTCTTGTAGTAGTTCTCCTCGAGTCTTTCGTCGCCATAGCCCAGCTTCTTATACCACGCTCTTGCCTCTTCGTTGTCTTCCTTGACATGCAGCGATACGTCCTTGCCCTTGGCTTCCCTGACGGCATCCTCTATATAACGCAACATCTTTTCGCCAAGTCCACAACGGCGATACGGCGCGAGAACACCGAGTGTCTGTATATAGAAGCGCGGCCCATTCTTTTCTGGTGTGATGCGCACTGAGAAACAACCAACCGGTATGTCGTTGAAGTAAGCGAGCTTCGATAGCGTCAGGACCGGATTGAGAGCGTCCTTGTAAAAGGAAGGCGCAAACTCTTGAGGAAAGATGACCTGGTGCAGTTTCTTGAAGGTGCCAATGTGGTTGTGGGTGAGATCATCGACTGCAAGGCGCCGCGGAGCTGGCATCGTGGAAGCTGAAACGGAGCCTGGCCTTGTGCGCTTGCTGCTGGTCGCTGCGATGAGTTTGCCGTGGTCTGCGCGTTTGTTTGAGACGATTCCAGGCGACGCGACTGAAGATCAAAAAGCTCAGTAATGGCCTACGTACTACTCGAGAGATGGGCCTATTGACCATCATCCGCAAGCAAAAGCTGAGAGATAATGCGCTGCGTATTCTCATTCTTGGTCTAGACAATGCTGGCAAGACCACGCTGCTCACATCGCTCCTGGGAGAAGACATCTCTCAAATCTCACCCACGCTCGGCTTCTCTATCAGAACTGTCCAATTTGGCGGCTTCAAGCTAGACATATGGGATGTGGGGGGCCAGAAGACTCTGCGCTCTTACTGGAGGAACTACTTTGAGTCTACAGACGGGCTCATCTGGGTCGTGGACGCGACTGATCACGACCGCATGCAAGATTCTCGCGAAGAGCTGCACGCCCTGCTCACAGAAGAACGGTTACTAGGAGCAGATCTGTTAGTGCTTGCAAATAAGACAGACATCCTTGGATGTATGACGAGCGCACAGATAGAGCAGGCCTTGCTCTTGGGTGCTATCCGCGGCCATCGATGGCGGATCTTCGAGGTGAGTGCTTACACTGGCAAGAATGTCAAGGAAGGCTTTGAGTATTTGGTCAGTAATGCAAGTCAGCGAATTCTGTGAGTATTACCGCTACGTCTGCGTAATCAGGAAGCCCAACGCCAGATGACTCGGTATGAGATCAGCAGCACAACGAGTGTCTTGTGATGTGCTCACCAGGTGTAGCGGAACTGGTACGACCGGCATATGTTTACTGAGGTGTGTTTCCCCAGGTCGCGTCAAGGAGCTACCGCCCTACTGCTCTTGTGTCTCCAGCTGAACCCGTCGTCATTGGTGACGATCGATACCCCGAGCCTTCTGCTTGGATCAGTTTTTGACTGTGAGCGCCTGGCCTTTCTACACAAGTGCAGAACATGGAAACTCGTTGAGTATTTGAGATCATTCTCAAGCTCGCTACGCCAAGTATGCGGACAACCTACTCGCTGTACAGAGCTCAACTATGACTACCGACACTCGCGACCAGCTGCATATCACGCGCGATACGCGTATTCTCGTCCTTGACTTGGCACTGGCATCTACACGCGCTCATTCTCCCGGGATATCTACATGCCCAACACTATCAGTCTCCATCAGTACTTCCGGCATATGCATCGACCTGTCAATGTCTGTCTGGAAATCTTCGAGTTACTGCGATTCTCTAGGGCTGAGTAAAAAGTAAGCTGGCGAACTGACGCTACATTGTTCTCTTCTCAGCTGTCACTACCACGATCAATTGCACCCTTACTACGCACATATGTTGTACTAGATGTGCTATGATCAAAGCAGAATCAATTTGTCTCTCCCTTTTGCTTTGCATCCTCTCAGCCGGCGCAGCTGCAGGAAAGAACGCAAAGCTGCGAACGTACCTGCATGCACGGTAAGGCGGAAGTCCTCCTGATCTCTTTGCAGATTGACAAGTTTGGTTCTCACAGGGTCATCACCACTCCATATATGCAAGTCAGTGCATTTCGCATTCAACGATAGCGTGTCATATCAAGCTTATAGGTGCGCTCGAGCACTTTCTCTTGAGCTTTGTTTAGCCTTGTAGCCTTCGAGTGACGAAGTTTCTATCACACATTAGCTCTACCTCTGATTTGACTTCTTATGATGACTCTATTTGACACTCGGCCGAGTCTTTTGAAGGGCTGCTGGAATGTAGAAACTTAAAACCATCAGATCTTGTCTCAATCTCTAGCAATATATTGAGATCTTGGATTTTGGCTGAAGCTTTAGATGCAGCCCATATTCAGCTGCAGGTCGCGTAGCCTTCGAAGCGAAGTAAGTCTAAGCTTAAGATAATTGCAAATTGTACGAAAAGACTCGATACATCGTCTGACTCTGGGCGCACTGGGGCCGCATGAACTGCCACGAGTCTAATTCCATCCGTGAGCGTTCAAATAGGCCTCTACTTGATCGTACAATTCTTGAAAGGACGCGGATCCGTCAGCTGTACCTGAAGTCAGGGCCACACCTCCAGTGCCATCTGAAGATTGACCATCTCGCGCCGTACATTGACAAGCCCCATCTGGTCTCGCGCATCGACAGGTTGGGTGGATGGTGATGGATCGACAAGTGCCTTCAAGATTGGTTTTGCAGTCACATCTCGTTTCTTCAGGTAAAAGTTTGGAGCAACTGAGGTTGACTTGCACAATAGCTGAAGAGAGCACCTGCCACGGGGGCATCGCAAACGGCTTCATCATAAGCACTTTCCTGGGGCTACAATTCGGACTTGCGCGCTCACCTGGCTGTCGTTGACTTTGCCCTAGAGCCATGGCAATCCAAGCAGCATCTCCGTTACCATACTGCTTTATACGCCAAATGTTCACTGTGGCTGCACATGCACATTCTGCCAAATGACAGACAGGATTAGCCATGGCTTGCTCTGCAGCACATACAGGTGCAATCATGCTAATGTTCCTCGAAGCCACGCAGAGTTTCGATTGATAGCAATTTTCAGTTTTCCATTGTGTAGCCTGATTGTGGAACGCAGTTGAATGAGAATCTAGTGATTCTTTGCACCTATTCTCGCAAGCTTTCTCTGTTAATCGACGATTCTTGGACAAGATTGCCTTCATGTGAACCCGCAGATGATAACATTGTCTGTCGTTCCTTTCCCAACTGTCATCAGGCTTGGTTCTTTTACGCCGTTCAGAATTTTGCTCTGAAGCCTGTTTGTTCTTCTTGGAAGATTCACGAAGGCCTGTTTCCGTGGTGGAGCCCGAAGACGATCCCCTCATTGCAGCAGTTTCCATTCTGTAAATCATGAAGAAGAAACCTAGCAGGTACAAGAAGGACATGAAAGACCGGAGCTTCTTCATTGGCGATCCTATGCAGGTGTAGACTAAGTAAGCTTGTGTGCTGCACTGAGTGATTGTGTAGGCAGCAAGGCGCAAACAGGCCACGTCGCTAGTTGAAGTTGTTTGTGACAGAGCAGGGGTGCTGGCAGCAGTCACGTGGGTCAGGAGTGCATTACCTGAAATAAGTATAAGAAGATGAGAAGTAAGAGATGACGCAGGAGCAAGGAAACCACGTTTTCATATCACAGAAGGAGCGCGATTTGTAGCCTAGTTTGAGTATGCAAAGCTCGTCAGGGGGACTTCTGCGGCTCTGGCCGATATATACTGATCTTGTGATGGGAGTTGGCGGATATGCGAGACTGTAGCTGTAAATGACAGATACAAGCACGCAGGGTCGCTGCAAATTTGACTTGATTCGAATAGGGTACAAGGGTATAGCACTCTTGCCAGCTAAGACCAAAGTAAAGGTCACGTGCACGGGCACCGATGTGGCAGAGAGATAACAGCGGAACTAAGTGATCAGGGGATGCATTTGAGTTCCTATCACCTTGAGCCAAGTCTCACGTGGACTATCCAAGTCGCATGACATCGCCCTTTTCGTTTTGTTCAGCCGTCTTCGTGACATATTGATTGATGACTTGGCACATTTTGACAGCTGCGTGCTACGACCAACTTGTTCTCCTTTACTTCTCGCGTGCAAGTTTAGACGTTCATTTCCACTGTTTGAGCTTTGGAGCACAGCATTCCTAGAAGCTGGAAAATTGGTGAGGCCACATCATGTGCATTGCGTTTTGTGAGATTCGTCAAATCGTCAGACCTATTCGGAGTTCGCATCGCACTCCAATGAAGGCAAAAGCGACTGGTCCCTAAGAGAAAGGGCTACAACTCTTCTCTTGGATAAGACCTTACAGGATTCAGTGCTCATCAGAACATATTTTCTATACCAATTTCAAATATAGCACCTCTCGAAGCTCATTCATATCCAGCACTTCATCCAGCTTCGCTGCAGCTTCCGTTTGCGATGACACTGTGCTTCGAGAGCATTTCCCTAGGCCTAAGAGTTACGGACTGACAAATCAACGTCCTATTCTTGGTTTCAGATGCCTGATCACCTGAAACCCCTGATTGCATCTAGCGGCTTGTCTTCCGTGCACAACTACAGCGTTCGATCTGGACCTCGTCATCAAGCTCGTGGTTCATACCGTTCAGCATCTTCAGCACTTGCTTTCTTTCTTCTGGCGCAAGACTCTTATTCTCATCTGACCAACCTGAGACATCTTTTCGTCTCTTGGCGCGTCTGGCTAGAAGTCGCCCGCAATCTTTGGGACTTTGGCCCTGTTTCTTGTCTTACTGTTTTATGGGTTCAATTTCCAGTCGATGAAGATAAAAGGACAGTCTTCTGCTGCCTTGTTCTTCATTCAGCGACTTTATAATCCGGTAGAATCATCTATATCTACCTTTCTGTTGTCTAGTATCTTCGACGTGGATTCGTCCTGCTATGCCTAGTTACCTCCCAGCCCAGTCGTTACACCTCTCAGCCAGGTCATTACATTAAGTATATTTTCTGCCACCACCATGAGAAAGCTTCAGGGCTGATACACCGGTGATAAAAGTGAAAACAGACGCAGTAAGATGAATGGGCGACCAACGGTAGACTACGGCGCTGGTGACAAGAGGGCGATGATGGATACGTAGTAAGCTGGCGATCAACGGATGACGACCGGTCCTTGCTGATGACTAGCACGCAGCGAGCTGCAGATGGCGAGAATTTAAATGGATCAGACATAGCTCTTGAACACGGAAGGCTTACTATGTACTTCTTATAAGTGTTGTGTAAGGTACCTTGCACGCTTGCTACGCTTTTTCGCTTGTATCATCTCGCTGGCAGTGGCGGTTTGGTGTCACTGTCATTTGCTGCAGCCTACAGCAGCTGAGCTTTGGCAGTCTTTGGCCGGCTGCGTTTGCCCCGTAGTAGTCAATAAAATACAAGACCAGCGAGAGCACAAGTAGTGTACCGTTCGACGTGGTTGAGCTGTTCCTGTATCGCTCTCGTCGCCTTTGTTTGGTGCGTTGCGGAGTGCTTGTCGTGCCTGCGTGTCGTTGTTTTGCTCGCAGTGTGGGTCTTGTGCATTGCGACGTGCTTGTCGTGCCTGTGTGCCGTTTTCATCGCCATTCTCCTGCTGCTCAGCCTCCAGCGGACCTTTCTTGTACCGCGACTGCTGTAGTCAATAGGAAGCCGTTGCGTAGATTGTTGGGCGTCATCACGTACGGCAACTTGCAGATTCTTGGTACCATGCTGATAGATTGCTATGGAGATCTACTTCGCTTGTGGCCTAGCAAGCGACGGAAAGTCCCGTTCAAGATGACGAACTGCCTTTCTCAGCTCGGCATTGTCGCGTTGTTGCCAGCTGATGGTATTGCCTTGCTCATCCTTGAGAAAATCATTTGCATCCCTGCAGTGGCGAGCAGCGCTGAGGATAGCACTCCACTGCATGTTGGTTGACGGGCTTGGTAGCCACAGACACAACACTTTGCAAATCGATTGGACAGCCTGAATCTCAGTACGGTTGGAATCATCCTGTGACACGCGTCGTGGTATTCGGGCTGGTGACTTCATCATGCGAATATCGTGTGCAAGGCGTTCAAATTGGTCTGGATCGTCCTCCTGAATGCGCCAGACACAGCGTAGTGTATCAGAAAAGGTGGAGACGCTGTCGGATGAAGCTATCGGTTCGTTGTTGGCTGTACCTGCTGCGATGTCAGCTCGAGGCTGTCGAGCTGGTTCTGTGAACGACGCGGAGAAGACGCTTGGATCAAAGACATTGAGCAGGACTCTGGCATGCCGATCATCGGTTGCAAGAGCTAGTAGATGCGCTACTTCTCTGCTCTTGTAGAGTCAAGGTTGAGAATGTCCGCAGTCCATTCGCTTGGAAGATTGGACCCTACCGCGCTTGCGTGTGCAGTGACTATGAATCGTTCTGTATTCTGTAGCGAGTAGCGCGAGCTTGAGAGTCGCAGAGTACAGTAAGATTAGCCGGACTCCAAACCAACAGAGTCCAAACTCACAACGAGCACATCGCACCGACACCCCGACATTCTGGCTTCTTGAGGCCTTGGGATCAAAGGCGCTCTCGTTGAATAGCAGACGAATACGGCTTCAGGACGATGGTTCCATATACAGGTGACTATGCCATGCAGATCGAGTAATCATGTGATTTGGTACACGTCAATGTTAGCATTGCTTCCATTTCAAACCTTGTGCATGAGCTGGACGAATGCTAGTATGTATGTCTAAATGGACGTGCTATCTTTATGCATAGCTATAGTAAAGGCAACAGTGATCACCATCGTCCACTATTTGTGTTCCGATGATCGCCGATTCTTCACCAGCGTCTGGAAGCGGTATCCCGGCCTGCTACAGAGTTTCACCAGCGTAATCGGTTTGTTATCTGCGAGTCATCCGCGAGTCACCAGTGTGCACCATTCTTTACCAGCATCTTTCCCGTAGGGTGGAAGCAATGGACATCGAGCCGGTTCCGAGTGGGAGACACATAATGCGACTGATTCAGCGAGCGCAGAGACAGAGGGAGAGCCTGAGGTTGGCATCAAAGGAAGAGACTGGCTCGAGAGGAAAGCCATCAAGGACAGGACAGATGCCAGCACACGGAGAAGTTGCAGTAGTGAGCGAGAGAAGTACTTGATACAGGAGCGCGCATCGAAGGTAAGTTGTCAACACAACGTGAGCCGGCGTAAGTAGAGAAGGCTTGCACAGGAGGAGAGAAGGCATACCAATAGCCATGAGAGCTTGCACGATGCTTTTAGCCAGCCAAGTGCAGCCTGTTGGGGGCAGTATTGTTGACTGTATGTGTTAAAATTTGGTTTTGTAAGGCCGCAGGGTGAGCTGCGACTTGTGGCCTCACTGATCAGATGGCGCGGGACGTGTCCCAGTACTCGCTGTGCTGGAAATTCCTATATATGCTACTACAGCGGAAGTGACTCAGAATCATCAGACCCTGTCTCAACTTCTGGCAATATCATTGAATTATGGGTCTTGGCCTAAGCTATAGATGCAACCCATAATCAGCTGCAGCTGCAGGCCGTGTAGCCTTCGAAGTCGATGCAAGCTTATGACGATTGCAAATTGTACGGAATGAATCACTACATTGTCTGACTCTGGACGTGCTGAGGTCGTCTGATCTATCACAAGTCTTTCATTCGTCGTCGTCGAGATAGCGCTGTATCTCAAGGTACAAGTCTTCAACAACCGTAGACTCGTCAACTGCAGCTGCACCTACGGTGGAACTCACGTCTTCAGTGCCAGCTAGATGTTGACTATCTCGCGCCGCACATTGGCAAGTCCCATCTGATTCCGCGCATTCAGAGGCTTCGAAGAGATCGACGGTTTGACAAGTACCGTCACTATTGCCCTTGCAGTCACACCTTTGTTCTTCTGGTGATAAATCGTCGCAAGAGAGGTTGGTGCTCACAACAGCTGAAGATGGGTCTTTACGCGTTTCCCACCGGTGAGCATGGAACGCCCGATTCGAAAGCACTTTCTTAGGATGACAGTTCGGAACTGAACGCACTCCAGGCTGTCGGTCACTTGTAAGTTGAGCTTCGGCAATCCAATCGTCATCTCCTGTACCAAATGGCTTGATACGCCAAATGTTCACCGTGACCGAACAAAGACATTCTGCCAAAAGGCAGACAGGATTAGCCATCGCTTGCTTTGCAGAGCATGTAGGCGCCATCACGCGAATTGCCCTCAAAGTCATACATGGTCTCGACACATAGCAGCGATCAGGGCTGTGATTCGTGGTGAAAGCCCTGTGAATGTCAATTGCACGAGTTTTGATTTCATTCTTGCAGTCCCTTTGACAAGCTTCTGCTGTTGTACGACGAAGCTTGTCTAAGACTGCTTGCATTTGTACTCGCAAATGATAACATTTGCGCCCGTTCTTAACCCACCTGTCGTCAACAGGCGCTCCTTTCTTCCCACGTTCACTATTCTTCTCTGCAGCTGAAGTCTGCTTGTTCTTGTTGACAGACGGATAAGGGCTTTTTTCCTTGTTCGATGCCGACGACGATCCTCTCACGGCAGCAGCCTTAGGCTCTGGCTCAGCTGCAGCCATACTGCAGACCATGAAAAACGAATGTAGCAGAAACAAGAAGGTCATCAGACACTGGAGCTTCTTCATAGTCAGTTTAAGAGAGCTGTAAATAAGTGAGAAGGTTTGCGGCGCTGAGCGATCTGTGCTGGTTGTAAAGACAAGATCAAGCCACGTCGCTCATTTGAAAAGCGCTACTTCCAGGGACAGTTGATTTGTTTGATCATGCGAGAATTGTCAGGGGTACTCTCGCTGCTCAGCTTGATAACAATGATAAGTCACAAGGGGCCCTGAATTAGGTGTCACGTGGACCATCTCGCTCGTTTGATCTTGCCCTTTCCGGTTGTATCAGCCATCGTCGTGACATATTGATAACTTGGCAAGTTTCGTCAGCTGCAGGCTATGTCCAAGCTGTTCAATTTTTTTTTTTCGCTCATGAGTATGGAAGTCTATAGTTCTAGCTATATTTGGCTGTCTGAGGTTTATAAGTCAGCCTCCCTGTATGCTGGACAGTTGATGATGCTACGTCACGTGCATTGTATTTGTATGAGACTTTACTCCTGGCAGCCATGACCAGCGAAAAGTAGACTTGAGTGAATACGTGGGAAAGAGTGGTGGAAGACGATGGCTATTACACCAAAGTGTCTTGATCAAGAGTAGAGTCAGAGGTAGAGGTTCAGCTTGGCGTCAAGGATAAGACTGAATTGAGAATAAGAGGGTGCTCCAGTACAGAGAAAGAAGTAGAGAGAAGTTAGTGCTGCAAAAACCGGCATGGAAGGTCAGCTGACGATACACCGTGAGCTGGTTCAAGCAGAGAAGACTTGCGCAAGGTGAGAGAAGGCATACCAACAGCCAGGAGAGCCCATCTTCGCACAGAGACAGCTTCGCGAGGCAAACAAGTGCTTGCAGCAGAGATGCACTTGCTTAGAAGCTAGCTGTAGATGTCAGTAATGTGTTAGAGTTTGCATCACGATGCTTGTAACCCAAAGCAGCCTGTCAAAGACAGTGTTGTTGACAGAGTGGGTTGAGGTTTGGGTTGGAAATCGAGGCTTTCGAAAATTGAGAAGTCATCAGCACACTGCAGCTGTCACAGTTGCAAGCCAGTGTATGTAGGCTCAAACTTGAACGAGTGTTGCGCTAGCGAGTGTTGAGTGCCGTCATCTTTGGTGTTTTGCCTTGTCCACCTAAAGACGAGCTGGAATAGATCCAGGACAGTGGACACATCAGCACACCAGCTTCTTGCTACTTGTAGACATCATCTTGCTGTGCATGAGCTTATAGATCCAAGCCCAGGCTATCTAATGCTGCCAGATCGCTTCTGCCATGGCCAAGACATGTCCCGTTTCATTCCCGAAACAATTATCGTTGCAAGCTAGGTACTTTTTACCGACCTTGACAATAAGAGAAGTCTCCCACAGACAGCTTGGGTAACTACAGCAGGCTTGCAGAATCTAATGAGTGTATTTCACTGACAGCTCAGTACAGGTCGCACGGCTTTCTATCACCGATTTATCCTCCTCAGAGACGATATGACACACGATGAGACTGTGGCCACGCACGTCATTGCGCGACGCCGTATGGAACGCCGTCACTAGACAGGGGCGATAAATTATGGTCACATACAAACTTATGGTTGAAGCGTAAAGTAAGATCGTCTTGTGGCGCCACCACAACTTTGAGAAGCTCCAAATGGTCATTTGCGAAGTGAGAAAGGCTTCCCGTCCTGGGATGAGCTCATCAATAGTGCCTTGACCATCTGCCAGCACCGCGCGAAGACGGTAAAAAAGCGATGAGAGCATCTCTATACTTTGCAAGCTCTTAAATGACGTGTCCAGAGAAGCGCAAAACGAAAGTTTACTGGGAGGCCACTACGGCTGATGCTTCCAAAGACGATGACCTCAGCAACACACACGAAGAGGCCAATAGAGCGTCGTCTGCTTGCGTCGATGACGAGGACCCCACTGCGGAACATTCATTTTCATCTCCTCTGAAGATGGTCACGACGAAGCTGCATCGAAAGTTGCGGGTTCCTCCGTCTGCCTTATTTACTCCACTGACGTATGCAGTTGCAGCCAACTTCGACCTAGGACAATTTGATCTTTCCAGGCAGAGGAGACCTCGGCTAACGCAATGTAGCGTCAAGTCGACAAAGAGTCTCGTTTTCCAAGGTGTACCTAAGGGCTAGCTGCTACACTTACTGTGCCATCTATGGCAATCGTCCAGTTGGCTCTGATAAAGGCGTGCTTAGTTTCGCCGGCAGTCTGCTGGTGGTCTGCTGATATTGTTCCGTCTGTAAAGGGATGAATTTCTCGCTGGTATTCTGCTTGTACTATCCTGGTAGACTCTGCTGTTAGTACGCTGATTCAAAACTTCCGTACAAGGAACATCTTTACGCTTAGACTCGCTCATTCCCATTCAACAGCATCTTCTTCTTCTTTTTCAAACCAGCAAAAGTGTCATAGCTAACTGAAAAGGTTCTAGGCAATTATCAACCTAAAATGTCCACGCAAGAAGCGCCAAGTTGAATTCAACTCAATCGAAGTCGACTTCAAGTTCATCTTGCAGCTGATTGTAAATGTCTTGCCAGAGAGGGTCTTGCCTTGTATCTCCGATGTCTGCCGCTTCGGAAGAGCTTGGGTCAGCTACTGAACATTGACCTGCATCATACACCTGGTTTGGTGCACATCGACATCTTTTATCCGGGCCCGGGTTGTTGACAGCGCAGCTACTGGTTTCGCCAGTTGTGACGGCGTGACAAAGTTTATCACTCTCAATCTTGCAATTACACTCCCGCTCTTGCTCTGCTTGCGAAGGGCTCTTGCAATCAACATCCTTATTGACGATAATCAGGGTCTGACGTTGTACCTTCCACTTGGTGTCATATTTCTCGAATGTTTCATACACCTTGGATGGACGACACAATGGGTTTCTCCACCCTGCTTCAACAAGTTTGAAGAATTCGTCTGTTGCTGGACCATGCCGTTTGACGCGCCAAACGTCCACAATCATGTTACAAAGACATGCATCCAAATCGCAAGGTACGCCCATTAGAGCAGCTGCTTGTCTGAGAGGGCAAATTGGATGCGTTATGTTGATCGTCCTCGATCGAGCGCAGAAACCGGATTGAATGCAATTTTTTGACGATTGATAGGGCCAGTGCTTGCCGATATCTTTCATGAGAGTGACGTAGCTGGTCATGGAATCGATGCATGTATTCTTGCACGTTTGTTCGTGAAATTGGTCATGGTTCCCTGGACTCAATATGTGCATCATCTGGAATCGCATATGGTAGCATCGCCTTCCGTACGTTACCCATGGACTTTTCTGACTTGAACCAACCTTGGCTGATTTTGGCTTCGCTGCAGGAGGACTTTGCTTGTCAGGGTTTGGACGCTTCCTTGAGGTCGACTTTTCCAAGCTTGTGAGTGAGCTTGAGCTTGAGCCTGAAGCCCTTCCAGCAGCAGCATTGGGAGCCGAATGTCCTTCAGGGCTAGCCAACAGATTGAGAAGCAGGGCAAGCAGAGATACATAGGTCGTGATGACCCATAAATGCATCTTGTGTCCTATAAGAGGTGGAAAGTTTGAGGACCAAGCGTATCGTGTTTCAACTGCATTTCTTGATGCGCAGCGCGGACACGACTACTGGTGTTTCGTCTCACGCGAGAGTTTGGCACCACATGTGTGAGGCATCCCCCTGATCTGCTCGATTTACGACGAGCAAGGTAGCATCACGTGACTTCCCACCAATATTGGCAATGTTTCTGCCAGACTTCCTGAAAATATTTACGTGCGTTTTTCAATGTTGTGAAGTTTTAGTTTATGACATTACGATGTTTTCGGCCTTACCCATGGCAGTCTACCACGACTCCTTACGCAATCTGCAGTAGAGTGCCGCGGGCACAAATAACGTCAGAGTAAGACCCCTCTCTCCATAGGGCTACCTCTAAGCACTAAGCTTTCAGTGTGGGCGCGACATATCGCGCGTTAATTCTTTTGCATACTGCTGTTGCGACCTTGATGGCGAGTTCCGTCTGCTTTGTAGATGGCTGCAAGATGGCATGAATTACTGCAGCTCAGACTAGGCTTGTGAGATCGCGGCCTGCTCATCGCCATGATCCGGGCAATCCAGTAAGGCGTGTGCCAGGTCCTCTTTACTTCAAGGGTTGGGCGGCAAAAAGGACAGGAGCGAGCTTCGCGAGGGATATTCAGTGTGTCTCTGGCTCTGGACTGCACCTTTCGGCCTCGTCTGATCATCAGGGAGTCGTCTCTGCATCGCAGTCGAGCAATGAATTGCGCGTTCCTGCCATCTGCCATTGTGTATGGCGTCCTCTGCTGGAAACTTTCGAAGTCGATGTCTGGCAAGTGTGCGTAGCAAGCTTATCCTTTGATAGTCTTCTGCCAAGTTGCGTATTCCAGCTGCATCCATAGCCAGTCGGAGACTTTCCTTGGGCAACCTTCCTGATCTTGCGAGAGTCCAGCTTGGTCTGTCAATGCTTTGACCTGTGCATATCAAGTCTTCTTTCTGGGGAACTTCTCAGCATTGGTCTTCGTCCGGCGCAGAGCTAGGTCCACAATTCTCTCGTCCGCAATGCCCTCCAAGTAGCATCTGTACTTCACCGCGATTTTTATTGTATAGGTACTCCTTTACTGGACCATGACTCCCCATTTCGGTCGAGTTGACCGGAATCTTCAATCGACCATCTGAAGCTTCAACCATCTAAAATCAAGCTTCAGCAGCGACGAATGCCGTGACGCCAAGCGAAGTACAACAGTGAGTCTTCAATACCCAGGATACCGACCAGAGAGGAGATTGTCAGCTTTGAAGCAAGTCCAGCGATTTTAAATGATGGCATAAAAAACAGGGCGCACTGTCACTTCTTAGGGCAGTTTTGGTTCAATGTAGTTCCAGATATCAGCAAGCTGACGTTGCAATGATTTCGTTAGCCTTCTAGACTCCTTTCTCATACCAGCAAAGTTGAACCCTACGCGACGATTAGACAGGTCAGTGACATGGAGTTGTAGGGCCATTTGTTGTTTGCATCTTGTCGAACTGTCAAAGCTTGTGAGCTGAATTCAACGGCATCTTCTTCTTCTTTTTCAAAAAAGCAAAGGTGTCATAGCTAAATCAAAATGTTCTAGGCAATTATGAACCCTAAATGTCAATCCAGGAAGCGTCAAATTGAATTCATCTCAATCGAAGTCGACTTCAAAGTTCATCTTGCAGCTTGTTGTAAATTTCATGCCAGGGAGCACTTTGCCAAGGATCTTCGAAACCTGCCGCTTCAGAAGAGCTTGCCTCAGCTCCTGCACACTGACCTGTATAATCCAATTGATTTGCCGTACACTGACATCTTCCATCTGGGCCAGGATTCTCGAGAAAGCAGCGAGGTGTCTTGTTGGGCTTGACGACATGACAAATTCCACCGCTTTTATTCTTGCACTTACACTCCAACATTTCTTGTGAAGCGTCTTCACAATCAACATCCTTGTTGATGATGGTTATGGTGTCGTGCTGAACCATCCACTGGGTAGTCTGTCTTTCGAACATTTGAGTCATCTTGGATGGATGACACAACGAAGTTCTCGACCCTGCTTCGACAAGTTTGAAAAATTCGTCTGTTGCTGGACCACGCCGTTTGACGCGCCAAAGATTTATTTCCATGGTGCAAGCACATGCATCCATATTACAGGTCATGCCCAAAGCAGAAGCTGCTTGTACCGCAAGGCAACTTGGCTGCGTTATCTCGATTGTCCTCGACCGAGCGCAGAAACCAGCTTGAAGGCAAGACGATTTTTTTTGCTTGTCCGACCACTTGCGGCGATCTTTGAAATTTTCGAGGTATCCTTTGATGGAGCTGATGCATTTGGTCGTGCAGGTCTGCTCACTAGATTCCTTGTAGTTTGCTGGACTCAAGACGTGCTTCATGATAAACCGCATATGATAGCATCGCTTCCCATTTTGTTCCCATTTATCGTTATAACTTGAACCAGCCTTGGCTGATTCTAGCTTCGCTGCAACAGGACTTTGCTTGTCAGGATTTGGACGCTTCCTTGAAGTCGACTTTTCCAAGCTTCTGCCTGAGCTAGAGCCTGAAGCCCTTCCAGCCGCAGCATTGGGAGCCGAATGTCCTTCAGGGCTAGCCAACAGATTGAGAAGCAGGGCAAGCAGAGATACATAGGTCGTGATGACCCATAAATGCATCTTGTGTCCTATAAGAGGTGGAAAGTTTGAGGACCAAGCGTATCGTGTTTCAACTGCATTTCTTGATGCGCAGCGCGGACACGACTACTGGTGTTTCGTCTCACGCGAGAGTTTGGCACCACATGTGTGAGGCATCCCCCTGATCTGCGCGATTTACGACGAGTGAGGTAGCATCATGTGACTTCACACCAATATTGGCAATTCCTTTGCCAGACTTCCTAAAACTATGCACGTGCGATTTTTAATGTTGTATACTTACTCCTTTACTGGACATCGACTCCCCATTTCGGTCGAGTTGAGCGGAATTTTCAACTCTCCATCTGAAGCTTCATCCGATTAAATTCAAGCGACAGCAGCGACGAATGCCATGACGCCAAGTGAAGTACATCACTGAGTCTCTCAATACCCAGGATGCCGACCAGAGAAGAGATTGTCAACTTTGGAGCAGGTCCTGCGACCTTACCGACAGCAGTCATGCAACAAGCTGCAAAGGACCTCGTCAACTACGAAGACTCTGGTATGGGTATTGGCGAGCTCAGTCATCGTTCATCTACCTGCGCAAACTTGCTGAAGCGTATTCAAAAAGATCTTACAACGCTCTTATCGATTCCAGACACGCACAGTGTGTTGTTCATGCAGGGTGGCGGCACTACGCAATTTTCAGCGACAGTGTACAACATGCTTGCGTATTGGATTGCCAAGGATGGGAGCGCTGGTGGCCAGCGTATCTGCGATTACCTCGTGACGGGCTCTTGGTCTGCCAAAGCTGCTAGCGAAGCGAAATGTCTAGGCGCCAACATCAACGTTGTCACAGACTCGCGGGCTTTAAGCAACAGTGGGAAAGCGTTTGGCGACCTAGCAGCCGCAGACACATTTCAGTATACGCCGAAAGACAAAGCTGCATTTGTGTGGTATTGCGACAACGAGACGATCGATGGTGTTGAGTTTCCTGGGTTGCCTGAAGGTGTTGATCCAGATGTGCCACTGGTATGTGACATGTCGTCCAATTTTGCCTCACGGCCAATTGATGTGTCCAAATACGCCGTCATCTATGCTGGTGCTCAAAAGAATGTCGGTCTTGCAGGACTCACTGTACTGATTGTCAAGAACGAGTTTATGCAGCAACGTGCGGAAGCAGACGCTCAACGTCAAGCTGGTGCGCAAGTGACACCGATCATGTTGGATTATCAGACGATATGGAAGAATGACTCGTTGTACAACACGCTGCCCATTTTCACGCTCCATGTCACGGGCCTGGTCTTCGCGCATCTGCTTGCAGAGGGTGGGATTGATCATCTCGAGCGTGTCAACAAGGAGAAGGCTGCACTGCTCTATGGTGTGCTAGATGCGGAGGAATCGATTGTTGTGGTTCCAGCAAAACATGTACGAAGCAGGATGAATGTGTGCTTCAAGTTCACAGGTGCTGAAGCAGCTGAGCGAGAGTCTGCCTTCCTCAAAGCAGCAGAGGCGCGAGGAATGGTGCAACTCAAGGGACATCGCAGTGTGGGTGGACTTCGTGCTTCGTTGTACAACGCCATCAGTCTGGTGGATACACAAAAGCTGGCGAAATGCATCGAGGATGTATGTCGCGCATAGCCAGTAGCTCAAGAATATAAACTAAGAATATGAAGAAAGAGGGCCTGCGCTACAGAAATGCTTGGGAGGAGGTATCCAGGTTAGACGCCATCATGCTTGATATCTGGCCTGGCGTATTGAAGTTCTTCCACTTCAGCAATCGGGGCAGGCACGCGTACTTCGTCTTGCAAATGCTGTTGGGGCCCTGTTCCCGCCGCTGCACTTTGATCTTCTTGCTCCTTGAGCGCCGCGATTTCCGAGGCCGTTAAGAACCGACCACTTGCGCCTCTCGGCCTGCGCATGGCGTGTTTATGTCGTGACTCATGCAAGTATGGCTTAGCCTTGAGCGCCTTGATACTTTCTTCGAGCTTCGCACGCGCTTGCCGACGCTTGAGGATGCGATGATACTGCTTTGCGTTGACAAAGAGCGGGTCGTCCTCTGTTGGGCCTAGTTCCTGCTCATTATTGTTGTTGTGGTCGAGTGTGGGGCTGTTGTCGTTTGTGTGATGAGCATGCGCATGAAGGCCCGCCTGTCCCTGTGCAGCCTGGCCTTGATGCTGGTAGTAGGCATATGTATCCATGCCTTGCTGGCGGTCTGAGGCTGTCTGGGCCTGCTTATTGACCCGACTGTCCTGGTCTGAGGGTGTCGAAGTGCAGGGAAGCTGTTTTGTGTGCGGTTGCGCCTTGATTCTTGACACGACACCAAACCTGACCAGCGACCTACTCCTCCATCTGCCCTCAGTGCACCTGCAATGCGGCTGGGAACCTCAGTCTCAGGGCTTGTTGCAGCAGCACTCGCAGGGCTGGCTGCTGTCTCTGCGAAATCAGCTGTAGGCAACAGGCTTGCCGTCATATTGGACGCAGGCACACCAAAAGACGACTACAGCGCATTCTTTGGCTCTCTTCAGCGTACATCCAGTCCTGATACACAAGAACAATCACTAACTAGACAGAACGCGGCTTTGATATCCACTATGCAGAGCCAAAGAGTGACTTCAGCTTCTTCCACCTAGAGGAACGCGCATACGATCACGCCATCCTCTTCCCACAAAAGTCAAAAGGCCTGGGCCCTGAACTCACTCCGCAAGCACTCTCTCGCTTTGTAGAGGCAGGCGGAAATTTGCTCATTGGCGCTTCGTCCACCATGTCCCCTGCAATCCGTGACTTTGCACGCGAATTGGGGATCGAGTTGGCGGATCGTGATAGTCTCATGGTGGACCACTTTAAGGCGGACAAGGAGGCTAAAGATGACAAGCACACGACATTGTTGCTGGATGGGTTCGTCAAGAGCCCCATCTTGTCGTCTGAGGTGGTGAAGGGTGCTCCCGTCATCTTCAAGGGAGTCGGTCATGCACTTGGCAATAGCCCTCTTTTGCAACCAATCCTACAGGCAGACTCAACAGCCTACTCATACGATACAAAGGAAGAGTTTGAAGCTGCCGAAGCACCATGGGTCGCAGGCAAGCAGGCCTATCTTGTGAGTGCGTTGCAAGCACGCAACAATGCACGCGTCGTCGTGGCTGGCAGTGTTGACTTGTTCTCTGATGCTGCGATGACGCGTATTATTGGAGGCAAGCAGGCTGGGAATGCCCTCTTTGCGCGTGATGTTACGCAATGGGTCTTTCAAGAGAAAGCCGTCATTCGTGCCTTTGGCTTGCGACATGCACTGGCCAATACGACGTTTGAGGAAACATTGCCATCCATGTACCGTGTCAAGAACGAAGTGGCGTTTGAGATTCAGATGCAGCAATGGAAGGACGATCGATGGGTGCCGTACACAGCAGCTGATGTGCAGCTTGAGCTGATCATGCTGGACCCATACATCCGCGCCAATTTGGAGGTTGCAGGGACGACGACGGAGGCGACGCGCTACATAAAGACATTCATGCTACCAGACCACTATGGCGTGTTTCACTTCAAAGTCAACTACAAGCGTCCTGGACTCAGCTATATTGAAGAGCGTCAGCAAGTGACTATTAGGCACTACAGGCACGATGAGTACCCGCGCTTCTTGTCTGCTGCATGGCCATACTACGCCTCAACAGCAACGGTGATCGCTGGCTTCTTGGTCTTTTCTGGCTTGTGGCTCTTCAACCAGCCGACTGCCATGCCTGATGTCAAGAAGGCTCAGTAGTCCAAGTCTTCTACTTTTTCTTCGATGCATCTCTGCTAGCCTCCACTTCATAGACACTTTCCACTAGAGGCTTCTACTGATTTTTGATTCTTGCGTAAGCGAAAATAGTCACGTGCATTTCTCGAAGACGGCGGAAAGAGCGCAAGAGACGTCGACATCAAGCAAGAACAACTCAAAGCACAAGCAATCATGGGCGGAGGACACGGATACAGTATGCTTCCATGCTGCTTGAAGGCACTATGCTAACATCCCTCCAGTGGGCGTCTGGGGCAACTTTGGCGGCCCCAAGCAGAAAGGTATGGCAGAGTATGCCATTTCACCACTCCGACAGCGTGCCTTTGCCGGTGCTTTGAACGGTGCCATCTTCAATACCTTCCGTCGCACAAAGTCGCAGATCCTTTACTTTGCACCCCCCTTCATTGCGGGCTATTACCTCTACACATGGGCTGGTCAGCGGTATGTTTTTAATTCTTTCGCTGTTTTGCAGCAGCTGGGTATTGAGGCAATAGCTAACATGACAGCAACGAGTATCTCAACTCCAAGGCCGGTCACGCCGAGTTTGGAGACCATTGATTCATTCTCAAGCATTCGTGCGGGTTCCATAGTCAAGTCATTCAATACTACGCATGGGATCAATGATCAATGATCAAATCTATCTCTATGACGATGCCTGCATGACTCCAGCGCGTGCATTAGCCTGCTGCCTTGCCACTTTCGTGAATGTCATGGCCGATCGTGTCGCTGCGGGTACTCTCAATTTCGCCGCCAAGACCACCACACCCGTCAATACAGCCAGTGAACCTGCTTGATGCGCTGCTGCGAGTGGTGTTGGTACGAGATACCAAAGAGTGGTGATGCCGAGTGTCGCTTGCATGGACACAAGCCCTGCCATCCATGCTGCACCTGTTGTGGCCGTCTTGGGAAGTCTTCCACGACGCGCACCGAGGATGGCAAGGGCAAGAAGTCCCCAACCTGCCGTGAACGTCGTCATTGCCAGTATCCTGTGATCAAGCTGTGCAAGGACCGGATTCTCAAACATATTGTGGATCCAGACTTTGAATTCTGAGGGTGCCGGTTCTGTTGATGCGAAACCAACACGCGGTGCACCTAGACTAGGCAGCGTACGGTCCTTGAGTTCATTGATGGGTGGAATGTAGCTGTTGCCCATGTATGGAAAATCATTGTAAATGAGACCCGCATCGAGCCCAGCAACGAATGCACCTGAAAGTGCGGTCAAATAGGTGAGTGCACCAAAGGCCAATACGGCGCGTTGGAAGATAGGCAAGCCCGTGAGTGCTTTAGGTGTAGCTTGACCAAGTGCTGGATTACTCGGTGCCAAGAGTGTCAATCCCGTGTGCAGCATACTGAGGTAGACCACAAAGGCTGTTCCTAGATGTGTGGCAAGTCGGTATTGAGAGACACGAGGTGTCGTAATGTCCTCATCTAAGCCAGATCGTACCATCCACCAGCCAATGAATCCTTGAAAGCCAATCAACGAAGCAATACCTGCTAGCTTCAGCTTGAAGCGTATCGGATAGCGTTTGGTGGCAATCAAGGCAAGTGCAGGAACAGCAAAGACGAGTCCAATCGTGCGACCCAGTTGACGATGCGACCACTCCATATTGTAAATGAACTTGAAGTCTTCTAGCGACAAGTCGGCGTTCAAGATCTTGAATTCAGGAGATTGCCGATACAGGTCAAACTCGGCCTCCCACTGCGCTTGATTGAGAGGTGGCACCGATCCAGTGACGGGTTTCCACTCTGTAATAGACAGCCCAGATTCGGTCAGACGTGTCAGGCCGCCGAGTACGACGATACTATAGACTAGGCCAGCGGTGCCGAGCAGCCAGTACCCGACTTTGCGTCCAGGCTGCTCAGTCTTGCCATCCTCGACATGAGCTTGTTTCATGAGCGGATAAGCATCCTCTATCCGCTTGAAACCTGAGGGATTCGCATTGGGTGCAACGGACGCTGAAGGATCTAGCGTTACAGCAGCATTCAAGCGAGCCGTACAAGGCGAGAAGAAGCGTGCACGAATACAAAGAGCTGGTGCACGACTTATTGTGCTTTGGGCGAGACAAGGCGCCCTTGCTGCTCTGCAGAGGGATTTGAGCATGAGCGTAATAGTCTTACTCTAGGTCAATAGTGAGCAAGCTGGAAGAGATCTTCGAGTATGTCTTGTAGCTGCTCAAGTGAATCTGCTTACATTTCAGACTTTCTGAGCAGCGACGTTGGGAGGAGCTCACACAAACACCACATCAACCACACAAGCCCAAGACAAGTAGCTCCATTGCAAAGTTATCCCTACCGCTTATCTCATAGTCTATTCTGAGTCCCATGTCTACGAGTAGTACTCCTCTTGCAGCTGGCAAGGCATTCGCCAAACCCAAATCAAAAATGGCGCGCGATGTAAGCGCTGCGGGGTCTGATGTTGAATCGCTCGCCAGTGTCGCGTCTGGCATGACGAGCGCAAAGAAGGCAGCGCAAAAGGCTACAAAGAGCGCAACGGGTAAGCCAGCAAAAAAAACAACAGACAAGTCAAGCGCCAAGAAGCGGAAAGCGCAAGCTGCTGGATTGGATGATGAAGGGAGTGTTGCTGGCTCCGAAACCGCGGGAGGTGCGCGTAAGGCGCCACAAAAGACACAAACGAGCATGGAGGGTACGGTCAAGAAGGAGAGTAAGAAGGCGAAAAAGTCGGAAGCCAAACCCAAGGGCCCTGTGGATGTCGAGAGGCAATGTGGTGTGCCGTTGCCGCAGGGTGGACTGTGCGCACGCAGTTTGACGTGCAAGTCGCATTCAATGGGGAGCAAGCGTGCTGTTGCTGGTCGAAGTCAGCCTTACGACATTCTCTTGGCGCAATACCAGAAAAAGAACCACGCCAAACTATCACTCAGTACGATCGATCCTCTTTCGTCTACCAGTGCTAACTTTACAGAGGCAGCAGCCGATCAAGCCTTTCAAGACACAGACGAGGGCAACCTGCCAGTTGACTCGGATGAGGAAGTGGCGGCTGTCATGGAAGCCATTAGCCGCGCCACTCAAAAGTCAGCACAGATGAAGGCTCTCATGCCGGTCCGCCGCAGGCATCGGTTCCTCAAGATGCGGGAGCTGATGAGTACTGCGCTGCGGCCAGGACAAAGTGGCAACCTTCCAAGTCATGGCAAGTTCATTCCTTTTCAGTGCTCCTAAACATAAGCATTCTTGCCATATGGAGGTCTTGCCTATCCTCTGCGCATTCTTCCCTTCTATCTAAAGACTTCAAAGCCCTGTACAAGTCTCTCTGCAAAAGTCAATACAGTATTTACGGAATACATGTGCGCACTGCAGACAGGAGACATACAAGGCAACAATCGATGAGAAAAATAACAGCATGTCGCCCTGCACATCGTCATTGGAGTATTTCAATTCCTCAATACCTTGTGCACATGCCTTTATGCCCCATTGCCCCTGATCTGCGTGCGCTCTTGTCGTAAGCCATGGGCCCACTTGGCGCTGTCGCTTTGTCGACCATGAACTTGAAACACAGCTCACATTCCAGACAGATGATTGTTCTTGACTTCACCACACTTTCAGGCATGCAGCTTCAAAAGATGTCCGGCTGATGCCACTCACGCTGACATGATGAATCGCTCTCCTTCTGCAAGACATCCGGCCCGCTCCATTTTTCGCGCCCACTCAACATCAGTGGCACACGCACGACTGCAATTACATGTGACATCATATCACACGAGGCACCTGCATGCGACGGCTGGGTAGCAATGCCTCGCATATGCGAGCCCGCAGGACGCATGCCAAGCGACACATCCGAAGCAACATGGATGGGATCGTCGCTGTATAATGCCTCACTGGCTTCCGTCTCTCAGGACGATGATGGCATTGCATCGATGAATTCCCATGCAAAAGATTTACGGCTTGTTGAAATCGTCTGCCACGCTGAGCCATCTTGACCAGAAATTGCAGCCCCATAAATTTGCCTGGCTGATGTCACTCATCCTAACATGGTGGATGGCTCTCTTTCTGCAAGGCATCAAGCCCTGGCCGTGGAATGATCAATGCCTTCTCAACATCCGGAGCCTGCGCACAACTGCAAATAAATGCAACATCATGTGACGCATGGCGCCTGAACGTGAAGTTTGGGTAGCAAATGCGAGCCGGCAGGGGACAGTGACACGTTTCAAGCAATGTTGATGAAAATGTCGTCGTCTCATGCCTCATGATGTTGCATCTCTGAAGATGCTGATCTTGCCGCATCATTGTACCCCCATGTAGAGGTCACTCTCGCTTGACTAAATCGTCTGCCTCACCTTGAGGCCTCTTGTCCGCCAATCTTACACGTCATTATCAAGATGCAGCTGCGATGGCACGTCTGGCCTATGCCAATCAAGCTCGCATTGTGCTCACTCTGCATGGCTCTCCTGCTGTATCATCTTGCTGGAGCGCCTACGAGGTCAAAGGGAAAGTCAATCGGTACATTTGAAACAAAGGATTCGAACAAGGAACAACCTCCGATTGAGGGCGCTGCGCCTACATCGACAGGCCAAAATGAATTCATTTCTCGGTCATTCACGAGTGAATCTGAGCGCGGATGCTACGATATGATTCTAGTCATTGAATCGTTCGCTCCGCGTCAGGTGGATCCAGCGACCTGCGGTAATGCAGCAGCCCTCGAAAAACACGAGAAAAAATGCAAAAGAAGGTGCAAGGCTGCCGCAGAGCGATACAAGGAAGAGTTCTTTCGCCCGGCAAGGCAGAAGACTTTTTTCGTGCGTGACTCATGTCTACAAAGCGACAAGCTTGCAGCGGTCATCCAAGATGACGCATTTTTGCAACCAATTGGCTCCGACTCCTGTACCGTTACTTGTGCCTGTAAGATATCCAACCAAATCAGAATCAGAATGCCTGTGATCAAGTCAAATGGCATCAAGTTTGTTGTCACTCCGTTCAGGAGCAAGATTTTCTGGACTGCCAGTCGAGAGAAACCAGTGGCAATTGAAGGGATACCCACATGTCATCCAGAAGATATGGTTACGCGCTGGTCACTATCAGGATTCAAGACGCCGGACTTTCCTGAATGGAAGAGCAGGTACGAAGTCATCAAACTCAACCTACCTTGCGATTATATACAGTGGGGTGTGACGTGCTACTGTTCGAACCTTGCGAAGGCACTTGGTGATTATCGAAAGCACAAATTCAGGCCTTCGTTCTGCGGAGAGAGACCTGTACTCCAAAAGCAACCATCACAACGTGCGGGAAAATCGAAAAAGGCTCGGGTCGATTCAGCCGCCAAGGGACCTCAACCTGATGATTTTGCAGGGCCTACAAGACCAACTGAGCCAGGATCTCAGAGATCGTCAGCCGCCGTCATTGGAGGTCTTGATGATTTTGATGATCTTGCGGATACTTCACAGGTCCTAGATTTGTTCAGGCCCCTTTGGGATATCCAGCCGAATGAAAACGGTGTACCACAGTTTCCACAACAAGGCGAATGCTCCTACTATGCACCTTTGGAGTCTGACCAGTGTCAAGCATCTCATGATCCTTCCGCAACTCGGCCAGATCAATACATGGGTCAGTATTCAGGCAACCCGCGTACAAGCTATGAGCAGCAGCAGTGTGGAACATCGACAAGTTGCAATCCATCTGGATCTCTATTGCAGAAACGCCAAGAATCAAAGCGGGACGAAGGCGTTGCTGGCAGTAGGTGTACTCCTGGCTCCGGTGCTGTCCATGAACAGCGCCCTGCTCCCTTCATCTGATGGCGCTGTTCGAATCGCACTTGAAGTTCTTTTATCTCTTGCGACTCAGCCGACAGGTGATGTACGCAGCAATTCTGAGAACTATGTTTGTAGTTTCAATTTAATATCCATTCGAAGCTTCAACCACGTTTGACCGAGAATCTCATTGCGATTATGTATTCATGCTATGGCGTTCGAAATGGACTGTTGCCATCTGGACTGGTCGATGATCATTGGTCAGAGGGTGAGGTAGCTATAGTTGGCATCTCATCTGAAGGATGATGCGACATGTCTCGACTCGAGATGTCGAATAGCCTCGACACTAATTCAATGCTTCAGCGTTATGTCCTTCTTTGCTGGTGGTGGTGACAGGGACAGCTAAGTCGGGAGCTCTACCGCTGTTGCTTACGCGGAAGGTGACCTCGGTATGGTTCTGAACCTCTTTCAATGGTATACGCTGCGATGGCTTAATGCAAAGGGCTACTTTACGATTATAATATGCATAGGCAATGCGTACCATACCGATTACATCGGCAGAGTCGATCACGGGTCTAGTGATCGCTCCTAGACACAAGCATTTTTGCTATAAAGAAGCCTTGCTCATTCTCTGAGCATTCTGAGCCCGATGTGGAGGCCTCCAGAGCCCTATACCACTCTCATTAAAAGTCATTGCATGTCAAGGACTGATTCCTCTTGATTCCCCTTTCCGAGTTCTATCCAGTTGCAGGCCTTTGCTACGTCTCGCGCTACTCCCTTCTGCACAATCACAACCTCCGATCAAGTCTTCTCTGCTCGGTATCATGGAATTACTCATTCAGCATCTCCAACAAGTTGCTTCAGACTGCTTGTCGCCCACTTGGAAGCCAAATTTCATTTTGGCACGCATCTGGTCTGCCGTACTGTATTCAAAGTCGGTGCTGCCACAATGGAAGTTCGTTCTCGATCGTTGTCCAAGGCTAGCGGCCTCGCCTGGCGAACTCCAGGCTCACAACATCTTGTTGTATTCAAATATCTAACGGTCAGATGGCCTGACGGGACGGGTACAGCAGGCTGCCACACAGTATCACACGATAAGATTGTCCAGCCTACCCGCGAAGGTCCTGAGAATGCTTGAATTCCGACGAGCTTGCAAAGAGCATAAGGGCTAAGAGGGTGCCAAACCATGGTTCGAGCAGCCAAAGCTTGAGGAGCGAGAATCGCTTGTCGGAGGTTGGGCAGTTCGAGTTGGTTAGCACGGCGGAGCTGATTCATATCGCTGGCCAAGGCATCGACCTGATGATAAGAGTGGTGCTGGTCACTGGCCACGATCTGATTGACTTCTTCGTTTGTCATACCCATGGGAATGACTGAGTGAGATTACATGACATGAGTAGTACCGGTATTGTCTGTTGTCCTAGTGTGAGAGACTCTGGTATAGATTCACCAAAGTGTCGTGCCTACCCGAGCGCCTGTCCCCTCAATCTGCAGACAGTGATCGTCGACGATGACTTGCAATTGACGACAGAATGAGATCTTACTTTTCATTCCGAGGACTCAGCGAGGACATGCTCAGCTTCCTTCTTGATTGGATGATGCAATGGTAAGATCATCGACTCCTCCGTCATCTTCGAAGGAGCAATAATCAAGTTGGAATGGGCGATATGCTTAGTTGCTGCTTTGGTACCCTGATGGAGACGTTCAAGTCTTGATGACGTTTCAGGCGCAACTACAGCCAAGATGCCAAGTCACTCTTTAAGCATTGAGCTCCTCATAAAGAACACTTTTGAGTTCCACTGGTCTCTTGAGGCTCACTCTGCCTTTGACACTCTCAAGGAGTCCTCTACGTCTGCTCCGAATCTCGTCCACTTCGGACCCGACAAACTTGTCTGCATCAAGACAGACGCCTCCGGCTCCCAAAAAGGCTGGCAAGTTTCACAAGAGTCCGCTGACAGCTTGATGCGCTCTGTCATCTTCTTCAGTCACACCTTTGTTCCTGCTGAGATCACCTACCAGATTGACGGCTAGGAAATGCTCGCGATCGTCGCGGCCTTCAAGACTTGGCGTCAGTTCTGGAAGGTCTGCTCATCCCATCAGCAGATGACACGATCTATCACAATGACAAGATGTACGTTCTTGACGGCAAGTGCTCATGCTCTCGTAGCTACGACAACATCAAGAGTCTACATTGGCCGGACGCCGATTTGACGGCGAGCTTTGTAGGCTTCATTCACGACGATACCTCTGGCCTGGCATGAGACCTTAAGTGAAGCAAATACGTGCGCACCTGCGACTCATGTGCACGCGCTACGGCAAGTCGACGTGATGCCTATAGCAAGCATTCCACTTCCGCTATGAGCCACGCCATGGTCTGCTATCTCCTTCATCTCTAAGTTCTGACAGTCACTGTTCCTCCACTTTGATACACAAGTCAAATCTCTTTCGCCAACTGCCTATCAACCCCAGCATGATGGTCAGAGTGAACGTGCTGACTTGGTACTCGAACAGCTTCTGCGATGCTACACCAATCACACCAAGACAATCGGTGTTCCCTTCATCCTTCAGCCGAGTTCTGCTACGTCAACCACAGGGACACCATCAAGACATCTTCTGACCTGGCTGAGCTCGGCTTACATCTCTTCATTCACCTCATGACTGCTCGCTCAATGTCTGTTCACGACGAGCTCCAGGACCACATGAAAGATACACAGAACAAGTACAAGGAGCAAGTCTATGGCTCTCGACTACCAGTTCTCTCAGCGTTTCAACCTTGCAGTCGAGTTGGCTACACGCCCGCCATTATCGTACGTGTGATCGACCATTGCCAAAGCTCGAGTTGACTCGCGCCAAACCTTTCCGCATGACACATTATATCAACAACACTGCCGTCAATATTGACCTTCGACGCAATATTCTCATTCAGCCTGTCTATTCACCTGATCTGCTCGAGCCTTACAACGGATTCATTAGTGATCTATCTCGTTCACAGCCTCGGACCCCTCCTGCATAAATCAATGTGCACAGAGAACGGAAAGCTGATGCCGTCGTAGACTGCAAGCTCGACGAGATCAATGGAAGTGACTCGTGCATTGAACAAGCCACAGCGACGCTCACAATCACTGGACACCTGCCGAGTCTGTCTACGCCAAGATGTCATTGCCTGCCCACAACTTCCATCAATTCACACCCACTGCTCCATCGCCACCTTTCTCGCATCGAGGACGACGCGCTAATGTGAGGGTCGTGTCCTGGATTGAACCATGATGCTGCTTTCAAGTGCTCAACAAGCTCCTACAGACATCTTCAGATGACTCACAGGCCCATCGCTACATCTTTGCGCTGTTCCCATGAGCACAATGCTCGATCAAGCCTTCTCTGCTAGAATCATGGGATTCTCCCGTTCAGCGTCTTGAACAAGCTGCTCTCTCTCTCTCTCCTTTAGCTTCAGACCCTTGCCCCAAATGCACACCTCATGAAATTTTTTCGTGTTTGACTCGTCTGGCTCGACTTCAGTCACACTCGTTGGGGCGTGGACCTTGTTTTTTGCCGTACTGCCTGATCCCTCGTCTAATGAAGATACAAAGGTAACCTATCTGGTACCTTGTGCTTCATTTGATAGTCTTGTGCTTCGGAACGATCCTCTCTATCTACCTCCGATGTTGTCTAGTGTCTTTGAAGTGGACTAGGTCTGCTCTGCCTAGTTAACTCTCAGCCAAGTCGTTATGTTGCCGCATTTTCGATGGAAATGTGCCAGGAGACATGCGAGGCGACACTCAATGAGCAAAAGCGACAGCATGTCGCGGCATTGTTTCCCCTCTTGTCCTCATTGGAGTATGCTAAATTTCCAAATTTGTTGCGCACCTGCCTTTATGTCCCATCGCCCCTGATCTGCATGCATTTTTGTCGTGAACGATCGGCCCACTTGGCATTGCCGCCTTGCTGGACAGAGACCTTCAAGCGTAGCTCATGTGTTCGACAGCTGATTCTTGTTGGCCATCATCAAATATCTTCAGGAAGGCAGCTACAAAAGCACCTCCAGCTGGTGCAGCTCATGCTGACATAACGGGTGGTTCCTCCTCCAAAACATTCAGTCCACTCCATATTTTGCGCCATTGCAACAACGAAGCCCCACGCATGATTACAGGTGAATGTAACATCATATCACGCGAGCCGTCTGAAAGAGACATTTGGGTAGCATCATCTCGCGTTTGCAAGCCTGTCGGACTCAAGCGAAGCGACACGCTCGAAGCAACGTGGATAAGACCTGCGTTGCTTATGCCTGATTGTTTGTAGCCGCCAAGAGGCTGATCATGTCGCATCATGAAACCCCATGTTCAAGTCTCTACCACTTGTCGAAATCGGTTGCTTCACGGCGAGCCCTGTCGAACGCCAATCTTACACGTCACCATCAAGATGCAGCTACGATGGCACGTCTGGCCTATGCCAATCAAGCTCGCATTGTGCTCAATCTGCATGACCCTCATGCTGTATCATCTTGCTGGAGCTCCCACGAGGTCAAAGGAAAAGTCAATCGGTACGTTTGAAGCAAAGGCATCCGATGGGGGACAATCTTCGCATGATGGCGCTGCGCCTACATCGACACGCATAAATGGACCTCAAGTCGACGTCAACTACTGGTTTTATCAGAAAGATTCTGATCGCAAATGCTACGATTTGACCCTTATCATCTCATCAGCTTCTCCAAAAAAAGTGGATTCAGCGACCTGCAGCATCCCAGAAGCCTCACAAACAAGCAAGCAGAATTGCGCAGCTTCTTGTTCGCAATCCAAAGAAGATTATATGCTAGGTTATTTCGCTCTATTCAAGGCACAAAACCAAAAGGTACGGTCCGGGGTCTGCCTTCAAAGCGACAAGGCCAGTGTAGTTGCAACTGATGCCTTTCAATTCGAAGCCGAATTACAAATCGACCCGTTTACCTGTCAGGTTTCTTGTTCTTGTCAGATATTCAACAAAATCAAAGTCAGAATGCCTGTGGTCAAGTCAGGTACAAAGTACTTTGCTGTTTCTCCACTCTACAGTAAGGACTTCTGGAAGGACTCACAGAACAGCCCAGGGCGCTATGGAGACGAGACAAACACTTGTCATCCAACAGATATGCTGAGCAAATTGTCAGTACCAGCTTTTACACCGTTGGATCCACTTGCAATTGTTTGGTTGAGCAGGTACGAAGTCACCGCGGAGAGGACTCCTTGCGACCAAATACACTGGGATCAAAAGTGTTTTTGCAAGAAGGCATATGTTAAATGGACGGAGCACTATTTCAGGCCTTCGGCTTGCGAAGAGAAACCTGTACCAGAGTCCGAAAAACCACCATCACAACGTGGAGGAAAATTGAAAAAGGCTCGAGTAGATCCAGCCGCCGAGGGACCTCAACCTGTTAATGCGAACAGCCATTCGTTAGACGGCACTACAGCGCACATTACACATCCTGCAGGCCCGACAACCTGAACTGTGGCAGGATCGCAAGAGGCCTTTTCCTCCATCTTTGGAGATCTTGGTGATCTAGCCGGGTTTTCTGATTTTTACAACGAACTTTCGTTTGTCCAGCCAAATGAAAATGGTATGCCACTATGTGTTCCAGACGGATGTTTTTACTCTCCCCCTTATCCTTCTTTGGAGCCAGAACAATGTCAAGCATCTCATGGCCCTTACGCAACTCAGCCAACCGAACACACAGGTCAGTATTCTGGAGATCCACATTCGACCTATGAACAGCAGCAGTGTGGCGCATCGACGAGTTGCAATCCAGCTCATTTTGGGCCTTTCAAGAAAGGCCAAGAAACAGGGCGCAACGAAGGTGATGCTGGCAGTAGGTGTGCTCCTGATTCCGGCGCTGGCCACGATCAGCGCCCTGCTCCTTTCATCTGATGGCAGTATCCGAGTCATACTTGATGTTCTTTCTGTCCTTTGCGACTCAGCCGAGTGGTGATGTACGCAGCAATTCTGAGAACTATGTTTGTAGTTGCAATTTAACATGAATTCGAAGCTTCAACCACATTTGATTGAGACTCTGATGGATATGCTTGCGGTTTGATATTTATGCTATGAACTTTCGAACGGACTCTTGTCATGAGCCTTGAGGTGGTTGACATCCCATCTGGTTGATGTTGCGACATTTTCTCGACCTCAGACAACGGACCCGAGACTACGCAACAAGCTTCAGCATCATGTCTTTCTTCGGTGGTGGTGCCAAGAACAGCCAAGCTGTGAACCCGCAAGCTGTTGCTCAGGCGGAAGGTGAACTCGATATGATCATGGATCTCTTTCAACGGTATGCGCTGCGCTGGTTCGGTGCACAGGGCTAATTTACGTGCAGGCTAGGCAATGCGTGTCATACCAAGTGCATCAACAAGACCTATCACGAGTCTGATCTCAATAAGGGCGAGTCTGTGTGTATTGACAGGTGCGTGGGTAAGTACTTCGCCACCAATGTCAAGATTGGAGAGAAGCTGCAACAAAAGATGGAGCAAGGCCAATCGATGGGTATGGGTATGTAAAGGGTTCGTTGATTTGAGATCCTAAAGATACTATGATGTTTCCTCTTCCTCCTTCATGAGTCCTTCTTTCTTGAGCAAAGCGTCGATCTCCGTTGCGGACCAGATGCGGTGTTGTACTTTGCCTTGTGCATTCTTGCCGACTGTTGCGAATTCCACTGTCTTGTTAGCGCTTGTGATGGAATCATGAAGGAGCGCATACCCTTCTCGCTAGAGAGCGTCGTGCTGTCCATTGTTTTGCTGAGCACCTTGACGGCAAGCGCACACGCCTGCTCCAGATTCATGTCTGTGTTGTAATCCTGCTTCAAGAGAGACTGTGCCGATGTGTTGTTTGCACCGACACTGGTTGCCTTCCAGCCGCCATAGTTACCGGATGGATTGGATTGATAGAGTTGAAAGCCGTGAATCTTGTCGTAGCCGGCATACACAAAACTGACACCGAATGGCCGCAGTCCACCGTACTGCGTGTAGCCTTGCTTGAGGTCGCATAGTTTCCTGACGAGCTGCTCGACGGGCATGTTTTCATTGTATGTCATGAGGGACTGTTGGGCAGCTTGACGCGCATAGTTGATGAGGATATTGGCATCTGCAGTATAGCCCGCGACACCGCAGAGGATATCGTCGTTGAGGATGTAGATCTTCTCTGGTGAGGTGTCTTGCTCGAGGAGCTTTGAGGTGACCTTCTTCTCACTGGCGAGGACGACGCCGTCTGTGCCTTGGATGCCTAGGACTGTGCCTGCGTGGGAGATGGCCTGCATGGCATATTCGACCTGGTAGAGGCGGCCTTCTGGGGAGAAGGTTGTGACGCGGGAGTCGTACCTGCGTGCCATGCTGGGCTATGCTAGGCTATGCTGCTATACGGTATTGCACAACAGCACTGAGAACAGCACAACAGAGTAGCAACTTACTAACGAGCAACGACACGCAGAGTGGCCGCGTCATTTCCCGAATTTCCCTCTGCTGGCATTCTGGGAATTTCTGGCTGCTGGCTGGCTGAACTTCTGGCTGGCACTCTGAATTCTGGCTTCTGGCATCTGGCATTGTGCTGCTGTGCTGCCAACTCGCCGCTGCAATTGTGTCGTCCACAACGCGAAATGTAAAGACGCGACAGAGGGCACCACCACCTCCTACTACTCCCCCATCCAGACTTCCCAGATGTGTGTTCCTTCCATATATATAAGACCCATACTGACTCAAGGCTCGAGGCACGACTCGCCCAAGGCGCAATCCTCAAAAAAGTCCTCGACTCAGTCAAGGAACTCGTCTCTGATGCAAACTTTGACTGCTCAGACGCAGGCATCTCCCTCCAGGCCATGGACAATTCCCATGTCGCTCTTGTTGCATTGACCATGAAGGAGGATATGTTTGAGCCATACAGGTGTGACCGAAACCTCGCACTCGGTGTCAACCTCAACTCCCTCTCCAAAGTCCTCAAGTGTGCCCTCAACGAGGATGTCATCACCCTCACTGCTGTCGATGAGCCAGACAAGTTGACCCTTCAGTTCGAGAGCAGCAAGACGGAGCGATTCTCCGAGTATGAACTCAAACTCATGGATATTGACCAAGAACATCTCGGTATTCCAGACACCGGTACGCGCGCAACACCTTGCCCATCACACAAACAAAAGCTAATCACAGAATACCAATGTACCGTACAGATGCCCTCTGCTGAATTCGCTCGCATCACGCGTGACTTATCCGCCATCTCCGAGAGTGTCAAGATTCAATGCAACAAGGAAGGCATCACCTTCTCCTGCGAGGGAGACATCGGTACAGGTTCCGTCACGGTCAAACCAAATGGTGGTATTGAAGATCAAGAGGGATCCGCAACAACCGTTGCGTTGTTGGAACCAGTGGCCTTGACCTTCTCACTCAAGTACCTCATCAACTTCACAAAAGCAACACCACTCTGTTCGAGTGTCAAGCTATGCATGTCGGACGAGATTCCATTGCTGGTGGAGTATCAGATTGGTTCGGCTTCCAGCAGTCTCAAGTTCTTCTTGGCGCCGAAGCTCGGTGATGAAGACGATAGCTAGAGTCGTACATATACCATGAAATAGCATGAACTGGGGTGAACGCCAAAGAAGTGCAATCGCTATGCATGTCTACAGCAAGTTGTGGCCTACTTTGACTTCCACCTGCCGCCTTCATGTTAGCCTACTACACATCCATCGACAGAGACACATACCATCCTCAAACGGCGCCTCCCGTCTCGCTTGCTCCAACAAAGGTAGAATCTGCTTCTCCGCCATCGCCTTCTGTACACACGCCTTGTAATCAATAAACAAGTCCTCACACTCATTCAAGTTGGATTTGCCCGCTAGAAACTGGTTCGTGTACCAGTCGTTGAAGCACTCATCGTACTCCTTCTTCAACTTTGTGCATTCTGGGCCACCTATACTTGCACTCATCTCGCTTTTGTTGCTGTCGTCGTCGCCACTTTTGACGTCCTACTTTTTTTTTTTATGATCAAGACACCCGATACAAGCAACAAGTACAAGCGGGAGAAGGGCTCAGTCGGCTTAGTGGGCGTCGTAGCTTCATGGCAGCTGCAAAGTCAATCACTAAGAAAGAAGCGCCGCAAGCAGGCAAGCGAAAACGACAATCCGGTGCGAGTAAACGAAAGGCGAAACGGGAAAAGACTACCAATCAGCAGAAACAGCTTGCTGCTGCTGCTGTTGCGTATGCGAAGCGCGATCAAACGAAAACCACACTAGACAAGAAAGAGGACATGGTCTTGGCTGAGCCATTTGATGTGGGTGACGGGGAGTCGCCTGTAGTGCCCCGGGATACGAAAGAGTCAAATCGTGCTCCTTCTCTCGAGACGCAGGCGCCGACGCTAGTTGTTTCTGAGATATCTGATGAAGCGGCTACGCCTATATCGACACCTGGCGGTAATGTACTGGCGACTGCACGTCTCCTCAAGGAAACGGCACGCAAGGCGCAACAAGCAAAGCAACAGCTATTATCATCCAGCAACACGCTTGCTGCCAATTCCGACTTCATCTCCTTCTCCATGGATGCATCAGAAGGTGAATCTGTCGCAGATGATGCAGGCGACGATGCAGCGTCAGAAGCGGAAGAAGTGACCATCTTCTCAAAAGTCGCAGAAAAGCTCGGTGCATTTGTCAAGGACTCCAAGGATACCGTTGCCAATAAGCGGAAACGACAGGCCATCAATGAGGAAGAGTCGGGCACGCCACAATCTAAAGCTGCAAGAAAACGAGCACGCGTGTTGATGGAAGAAGATCCCTACCCTTGGTTGCAAGGAAAGGATTATGCACGGGAACAAGAACCATCACGGATACTCCATCGCGAGCTACAAGACTTCATCAAATTTGTTGAGCCGACTGCTGGAGAGCATGCACTCAGATCACTCGTTATCTCGCGGATACGCAGGCTGGTGACGGCGAAATGGCCCACTGCGTCGGTTCATGCGTTTGGCTCCTTCGAGACTCGACTATACTTGCCAACCTCAGACATCGACCTCGTCTTGCTTTCTTCCGGTCAACCAGGCGATCCTGTCTATGAACAACCAAAACACCTCAAGAAGCTCGCACACCTCCTCGTCAAGGCAGGGATCGCGCGGGATATCCAAGTCATCACCTCAGCTCGCGTTCCTATCATCAAATTTGTCGACAAACTCACTCAAATCCATGTCGATATCAGTTTCAATAAACCAACAGGACTTGTTGCTGCAGGTGTCGTCAAGCGCTACTGTCAACAAATGCCAGCGCTGCGACCACTCGTCATCTTCATCAAACATTTCCTCAACATGCGAGGCATGAATGAAGTGTATCTCGGTGGTCTTGGTAGCTACGCCATTACCTGTCTTGTGATTTCCTTCCTGCAGCGGCACCCGAAGATTGCGAGTGGACAAATCAAATCAGAAGACAACCTCGGTGTTCTCGCTGTTGAATTTCTCGAGTTGTATGGAAAGCGCTTCAACTATGATGTCGTCGGTATCAACATCAATGGTACGGGCAAGTATTTCAGCAAACAAGCAGTGGGTTGGCAACGACCGGGTCAGACATACCTGCTCAGTATCCAAGACCCAACAGACGCAGAGAATGATATCGCAAAATCATCGTTTGGCATTCTCAAAGTCAAAGGGACACTTGCTGGTGGTCATGATTTCTTAGTACAACGGCTGTATGATGTCAATGACCGTATCAAGGACCGGAGACGCTCTTCACAGGGCTCTGGTGCTGGTGCGGAGGGTATCTTGAGTGCTGTTGTGAGTATTGATCAAGATATGAAGGATTCTCGTCATCATCTTGCAAGTTGCTTCGATCAGGCAGATGTCAAAGAGATGCTGCAAGAGATGACGGAGCTGGAAGAGCAAGCAGTGACTGAGGCATCTGTGGCAGAAATCAAGCTACCAGCCAACACCGCAAAGAAGGATACCGTCTTCGTTGCTGTGGAAGATGATGACGATGAGGACGACCTCATTGACAATGACGGGTACAAGTTCAACAAGCCGACTGGCTACAAACCGCCGTCAGCGCCAAGCGACGTGGATGACTTGTACAGCAAGCTCAATCAGCCTGCCCAAAGAGCACCAACTGCGCCAAAGAGTACAAGCAAAGGACATCAAGGCGATGCATACTTGATCGAGTCGTCTGATGAAGAACAAGTCAGCAAGCCAGTGCAGCAGCCTGTAGTGATTGACTTGGATGGTGAAGACAGCAAAGCCAAACAAGTTGACAAAGCGGCCCGAGCAAAGTTTTGGCAGGACAAGGGACAAATTATCGCTGCTGATGAGCCGGACGATTCAACATAAGATATCTGTACATTGTTGTAGATGCTGAGCGTCGCTTTACTGTTGTACTTGCTCTACCCGCCTTTCGTCGCATTGACGCGGCGCAAGTGCGACTGAAAGGCGCTATACATCTACTGACAAGCACATGAAGGTCCAGTCTTGCGTCTCAGCCAGCTAAGCTCGCATCATGTACTGCTGCTTGGTCCGCATGTCCGTTTCTGAGGTTTTCTGCTCGTCACGCTCGATTGTGAAGTGCAGCAGAGCTGTTTCAGTCAGTCACAGATGTAACCATGCCACGACTGTGTAATCAACAGACTAGCTCTCAAATCGACGGGCGATTTAATCTCAGCCATGATCTCGCGATCGCCGATATCAGTACCAGAGGGGAGGCAGGGTCGACGCCAGTCATTTTGCATTCAGACGCCTCTGGTGACCGCTAGCGTGGCGCTCGGGGTCAGGCATCTCCTTGAAGCTCCATTGCAAGGAGACCAAATCTGGACGGATACATTCTTGGAGCGCGACGATGCTTCTGGACTTAAGGAACGAGATCTGCCTGACCTACTCGAGCTCGATGTGGTGTGCTGCATGATGATGCATCCGTCGCCTCAAAATTAGCCGACTGCTCGTTTGACAGGCCTGACCTGCGACCAGGCTCAGAAGGAAGTCCGTCGGAGCTCGATTCGATCGCACAGCTCTACACTCAGGCCGTTCTAGGTCTTTGTTCCACGTCTGATGCCGCATCTCACCGGCTGCCAAGCTCAAAGCTGACTTGTCGTCCATGCAAGGACCCGTGTCTCCCTAAGCCGCGGACTTCCTGCAACTAATGGCTCAAGCAGCTGAATGATGATTCTTGTGAAGCATTCAGAGAATTGTTGTGTGGTGATCGTTATTCATTACTTATCTGCTCTGCGTATCAGGGAAGCTGCACTTGTTGCACTGGGAATGACTCTATTGCACTTCGCAATCGAACTATACTATACTTTGGTAGGACAGAGGCTAAGATACTGCAGCTTTAGTCAGTGGACCGAGGAGCGAATGAGCCCTTTCATCAGATCCACCCACTTGGTTGATTACGATCATCAGCATCCTTAGGCCTTTCATCGCCAAACACGGCTTGTATCAAGTCATTTACTTGTTGCACTGTGACACTGCATTTTTGGGTGTTCTCTGACGTATGTGCAGATGGCTGCAACGAGGAACCGACAGGCTGATCGTTGATACACTGCTCGCTGCCATGACTGACCGGAGAGCAAAAGGACAAGTCATTCGGCGGCAATATATCTGCAGGGAAGCAACATCCGCGGCCGTCTGCATCAAAAGTCATTCTTTCCGAGACACCATAAGCATTCTGTCGCGGTAAATCTGGTAAGCTGTTCATGAACTGTTCAACAGTCGAACAATGGTCACTGCAGCTGGCGTCGACGGGGACAGGCGCATGACTCGCTGGTATTGGTTGGGTTGAGCTCGGGGCGTGTGAGTCACCAGATCCAAGAGAGCTCCCACTTGGGATACAAGCTCTTGCAATTGGTTGCTGCAATGTGTTGCTTTTAGCAGGCCTTTCTGAAGGGCATGTTGATGCCATTGTTGCCGCCTCACCTGGTACTTCACATTTTCCCGGCGCAAAAAGGTGAAACTGGCGGTTCTTGTTGCAAGGGCAGTACCTGGCCATCGCCTTGCAAGACAATCCTGTCTCGTGGATAGAGAAAGGCTCAACCTTCCATCCTTCGTGTTGCATAAACAACGTTGGCCTCGAAACCCATTCGAGTATATCTTCGGGGTGACAATCTTTACCAGCTAAGCCTTTCGTCTGCCTAACAGATTTCCAAAAGTCTTTTGGCTGCTTGGGAGACAGTTCAGCGTATGGTGGTCCACGTCGCACTCTGGCAAGGCTGACCAAAGGCATTCTGATGTTGTCGATGTAGTTTCGCATTTTGCAGCTACAGCTGGCAACGCAACCTGATGAGCCATCGAGGACGCTCTCCGCAAGCATCTCAACCTCGATCTGCACAGAGTCTGCCGCCAAGAATTGCACGCAACTGAACGGCTGCAGAGTAGAAAGGCTCGAAGTATATTGGTTCGTGTAATGATCTCTTTCATCTTTGCATCTATCCTTACATGCGTTCGAATATCCGCATTTGGCTGATACACTGATCAATTTGAAAAAGACGAAAGCAGCACTGTAGCACTTGCCGTCTAGCGCCCGATCAATAACTCGATAGTCTTCGCCCTCTCTAGCCTCAACAGGAAAACTCTCTTTCATTGCCGATTTCGAAGATTGACCTGCATTTGTCTTGACTCCCAAGTTTGCCTTGCTTGCAGCTGATTTCTTTTTCGGAGCAACAGGTGACTTGTCGGCTTTTGCTCTTCCAGCTTCGACTGTGCCCTGATGGAAGAGTGCTTGGAAGAGACAAAACAACACGAGCGCTCCAGTAGCCAGTCGCAGCGTGATCAAGCCTTGATCAAACATGGTTGTAGGCGGAGGACATTGTAGTGGGTGAGAAAGTCAATTAAACAATTGCAAGTGCACAATTGCAACTGCAACGGCGAAAGCTAAACTTGACACGCTGTCAAATTTCGCACATGCCCTACGGAAAATTCGGACCGGCAGATTACCAGCAGAATTCACCGAATGGATTACCAGCGGAAATAAGCACGCCTTTACCAGAGCCAAGCGGACGATTACCAGAGGCTACCACCTGCCAACAGGTGAAGTTCAATAGATGGCGTAGCGACAGTAGGTGTAGCAATCAGACCATCTACGATACACTACAGACGTGCTGCCGCCTTCTTTGCTTGTTTTGCCGCAGTCTTGACCTTGCTCATGGATGTGCTGCCCGGCTCTGCGTCTTGTGCCTTGCGTGATAGCTTCGATGTTCTTCCAGACTAGAGATACATCGTCAGTATCTCATAAAAGGAGCAGCAGAAGTGCATACCTTGCGAGCCGAGCAGCCTTCTGATTGTCCTCTGCTTGACTTCAAGTCACTGGTCATGCTACGGCAACAAAGATGAGACAGGTTGATCTCAGGGGATAAGCCATTTCATCGACACGAGCAGACGACGCTCTACGGGCATCGTCGTGTGTGTGGCTGAGGCATCGTCTTGGAAAGCATCAGAAAGAGTAGCCTCCCTGTAGACCTTCGCTTTGTACTTCTGTGGTCACGTCAGTCAAGAGCTCGCAAGGTGTGGAGAGACCATCTTACCGCTCTGTTCACCTCCTTCGCGTGGTGCTGGTAGTTGGCCAAGGCAATCCAATGATTATCTTTCACCGGTTTGGGTCAACGCGATTGTGATGCAAAGTTCATTGGTGTGGCCACGGGTCTGTAGTCTGTTCAGTCAACTCGAGCCAATATCTCGCGAAAATAGCAGCTTTGGCCTGGAGTAATGGTGCCATCAGGCAATAGCGAATCTTCATGCCAAGAAATTGTAAGGAGGTCGTCGACATAGATAGCAAGTATTAGCAACCACGATTTTTCCACCTTGGAGCCAGAAGAGGCTCTCCGCCTGAAGAGTCTTGTCGTGGCAGAAAATCGCTGCGCTGAGAGGACTTCAGTCAAAGCTATATGAACCACATGCCTTTATGCTGCCTTACCCCTGATGTGCATGCGCTTCGGTCGTAAGCGATGGCCCCATTTAGCACTGTCGGGTAGCCGAACAAAGACTTTCAAACTCGGCTTATGTCCTGGACAGCTGATCATTGACCGTCACCACAAGCTTAAGGAATGCAGCTCTGAAAATGACTAGCTGATGCCACGCACGCTGAAATCATAAATGACTCTTTTTCTGCAGCTGTAAGAACCTGCCATCCGGCCGTATACATGTTTTGTACCTTCTCAACATGCCAGCTGGTCTGCGCACAACTGCGAAATGATGCAACATCAGGTCACGCGAGGCGCCTGAACGTGAGAAATTGGGGTAGCGAATGCGAGCCGACAGGGCACATTGCAACGTTTCAAGCAACGTGGATGGAAATGTCGTTGTCTCATGCCTAATTGTATTGCATCTCTGAAGACGCTGATCTTGTCGCATCATTGAAACCCCATGTAGAAGTCACTCCCGCTGGTCTAAAGCGTCTCTTTCCACGTAAGCCCTCTTGACCGCCAACCTTACACGTCATCATCCAAATGCAGCTACGATGGTACGTTTGGCCTATGCCAATCAAGCTCGCATTGTGCTCAATTTGCATGGCTCTCATGCTGTATCAGCTTGCTGGAGCTCCCACGAGGTCAAAGGAGAAGACAATCGCTTCATCTAAACCAAGGACATCGAGCAAGAAACAATCTTCGACTAATGACGTTCCGCCTACATCGACAGAGCAAGGTGAATCTCTTATTGGCTCCAAGGACAAGATTCATGCGAAGAATCTTCAGCGCGGATGCTACAATATGACACTGACTGTCGAATCGATTTATTCTCCACGCCGGGATTCTTCCAGCTGCAGGAGTGCATCAGCCTCAGACAAAGGCAGGGAGCAGTGCAAAAGAGAGTGTGACACTTATGCACTAACATACAAGCAAGATTATCTAGCTTGGGTGTCAATAAAAAGGCTTGTCAGGTCATATACTTGCCTACAAAGCAAAAGGGCTGGACTTGATCTATCTAATGTTTCTACAGCAGTGATCGGGTCGAATCCTTGTGATGTTCAGTGCAAATTGACAACACGATCAGGGTCAGAATGCCCACGTCGGGTGCAGGTCGTAGCGAATACACTGTTGTTTCCGCTAAAGCCGACTCAAAACCCAAATGAGGGAGGAAGAACACTTGCCATCCGCTTCTTATGCTGAAAGCTTTGTCATTGCCAAAATTTCAACCAACGAGTTCACCTAGTTGGCTGACCACGCACAAAGTCACCGCAGAGCGCATACCTTGCGACCTTATACACTGGGATCAGGACTGCTATTGTAGGGCATCGCGGCTCACGGCAAAGCACGGCTTCATGCATTCAATTTGCGAATATGAACCTGAATCAGAAGGACAACCATCCCGAGATGCGAAAGAGTCGAAAAAGGCTTGAGTAGATTCAGCCACCAAGGGACCTCAATCTGTCGATGCGAGTAGCCATTCGTTAGACGGTACTACAGCGCACATTCCACATCCTGCAGACCCGACAACCTCAACTGTGGCAGGATCGTAAGAGGCCTTACCCTCCAACAATGGAGATTTTGGTGATCTATCCGAGTATCCTGATTTTTACAACGAACTGTCGTTTATCCAGCAAGATGAAAAGGGTATGCCACTACGTGTTCCAGACGGATGTCTCTACAATTCCCCTTATCCTTCTTTGGAGTCAGACCAATGTCCAGCATTTCATGGCCCTTACGCATCTCAGCCAAACCAACACACAGGTCAGTATTCAGGAGATCCACATTCGACCTATGAACAGCAGCAGTGTGGCTCATCGACAAGTTGCAATCCAGTTCAGTTTGGGCCATTCAAGAAACGCCAAAAAACAAAGCGCGACGAAGGTGATGCTGGCAGTAGGTGTGCTCCTGCTTCCGGTGCTGACCATGAACAGCGCCCTGCTCCTTTCATCTGATGACAGTATCCGAGTCATACTTGATATTTTTCTGTCCTTTGCGACTCAGCCGAGTGGTGATGTACGCAGCAATTCTGAGAACTATGTTTGTAGTTGCAATTTGATAGAAATTTGAAGCTTCAGCCACGTTTAATTGAGATTTCCAATGATATGCTTGTGAGCTGACGTTCATGCTATAAAATTTGAAATCGACTCTTGCCATCTGGACTAGTCGATGATTGTTGGTCAAAGCGCGAGGTAGTTGGCGTCAGTAGCGGCCGTTGATTGAATTCGAGAGCGCGACCTGCCGTCAAAATTTGGTTTTCGCGAATCGCGACGAGGACAAGCACGCGGACACGCGACTTGCGTAGATATACAGCACAGTAGCAGCGGCTGCAGGAGACGATGGCGGAGCAACCAGAGGACTGGACAACGGACAGCACAGCAGCTCTCTCTTTGCATCTATGTATGTTTCATCTTCTCGGTCTCAGTAGTATGGCTAATACCTAGTTGATGGCCCAGGCCACGACCAGGAAACAATCTTGCAGCCAAAGTGGACGTATGCGCTCTTTGGGGAGACGGAGCAGATCTTTGAGTACAAGAAGCTGCGAATACGACTATACCTCCATGCTTCCACTCTCATCGTTACGACAAGATCACGACTCTATCTTGGTCGGACACTGGGATGTTGACAAGACCTTTGTGCTTCTTTCACGACGCACTTTTGGTACGGCATGCGAACCTATGTGAAGGAGTACGTACGCACTGCCTGACTCATGTGCACGCGCTACACCAACTTGACGTATTGCCTATGGCAAGCACTCCACTTCCGCATTCAGACACGCGACGGTCTGCGATCTCCCTCATCTCTTACGTCGAGGCTACCGAATCAATTTCCTTCGCAAAGACCTTCATGCATTGCACTGTCTCAACCTATGGTCTCTCAACGTCTATCGTCTCTGATCTTGATCCCATCTTCACGTCCAGGGTCTGGCAGTCATTGCTCCTCCAGTTTGATCCAGAAGTCAGATCTCCGTTGTCTACAGCCTGGCAGCCTCAGACTGCTGGGTGAGCGTGCCAACATGATACTCGAACAGCTATTGCGATGCTACACAAATCACGCCAAGACAATCGGTGTTCCCATCTTCCTTAAGCCGAATCTTTCTACAACGATATTCACGGTCTGCTATCTCCTACATCCATTACTTCGAAGGTATCGGTGCATTTGCCTTCGCAAAGACGTGCATGGATCGTAGTGTCTCAATTTATGGTCTTCCAACGTCTATCATCTCTGATCGTGGCCCCGTCTTCACGTTCAGGGTCTGGCAGTCACTTCTCCTCCTGTTCGGTCCACAAGTCAGATTTCCGTTGGCTATAGCCTGGGCCTCAGATTGATGGTCAGACTGAATGTGCCAAGATTCTACTCGAACAGCTTTTGCAATGTTCCATCAATCACGCCCAAGTCAATTGTCCTTTTTTCTCAAGCCGAATTTTGCTGCAACGATGCTCACTCGAACACCGTCAAGTTGTTTCCCTTCTTGGCTGTACGCGGCTGGCACCCTTGCTTCACTGCTCAACTGTGTCCTTAAACTATCTCTACAAAAATTATGAGATGGCTTCCCGTTTGAAGACTTTGCACGACGAGCTCAAGGTCCACATGAAAATTGCAGAGGACAAATACAACGAATATGTCCATCGCCCTCGACTACCAGCTCCCTCAGCGCTTCAACTTGGCAAAGATTTTGGCTACACAGCCGCCACGCTACTGTCGTGCGTCTGATTGGCCATCACCAAAGCTTGATGATTCCACTCGAGCCAAATCTTCTCGAATTATGCGTTCTAACAACAACACTGCCTTCCGCATCGACCTCCACGTGATGTTCTTATTCACTCTATCTATTCAGCTGGTCTGCACGAGCCTTACAACGAAGCGACTTGTAGGCTCTCTCGTTCACAGCCTGTTCTCCCTCCCACAAGGATCAATGTGCCCAACGAATGAGAAGTCGCTGCCGTAGTGAACTGCAAGCTCGACGACAAGCAATGGAAGTACCTTCTGTGTTGGACTCATTACAGCGCCGCTCACAAGCCTACGGAAAATTTACCGGAGTGTACCAGAACCAACCGGCGGATTACCGTGAGAAATTCTCCAAGCATGGCGGACTACCGGAGCCAACCGACTTCCAAACTTGCACACCGGAGGAAAATTAGCGGATATGGAGAGGCGGATCACTGAGCCACGCTAAGAGGCAGACAACACACAAGTCAATCACTGTTATCAAGTGAACAGAGGCCAAAATCCGCTCAAAATCAAATCTAGAAGCTATTTATACTGGATTCGATAGCCCTCAGCTATCCATAAAGAGTGCTTCTGCTCTCGTAAGCGTCGTTTTCGCTTAAGCAGCTTGTCCGCTCTTTTCTTGTCAAGCTCTGTTCTCCCAAATAGGCCAATTGGTCAAGAAGACGGCAAACTGGTACAATGACCTGCAATATATGTCCTTGCTTGCTGAGAGACTTTGCGCCGCACGACAACTTGGTCTTCGAGACCTTGATGATCGCAAAGTGCCTGCTCGTGTTCAAACAGATGGAAAACTTCCTCATAGCTCACTATTGCATTGTCGTCAACATCGGGCGCTTCATGCGTCTGCTCACTGAACACGACCTTGCTTCGTGAATGGTGGTCATTCGCAGCACACTTCACAACGAAGATCTTTGTGGTGCTCTGACGACTAGCCACTTTGCTTCTTGGCCACGATCACAAGTTGGCGTTTGTAAGCTGAAAACTGGAAGAGTGTAGCGCTAGCGAATCTTGAGTGTCGTCCACTTTGGCGGTTTGCTCCATTCTTGTCTTGTCACTTCAGGACGAGATGGGATAACCAGCACACGCATCTGCTCTGCACCGTCTTGCTGCTTGTAGACAACACCTCACTGTCCTTGAGCTTACACATCCGAGCCTGTGGCATCTGAAGGTGCTCGATCACTCTTTTGAGTCTTCTCAAGACAGGTTATCCACTACTAGCGTGAGCAGCGCACGCTGCAAGCTCAATACCTTCGACTGACCTAGATAGGAAGAGGAGTTTCCCACAGACAGTCTGGACGTCTACAACAGGCTCGCAGGATCTCTTGAGCGTATCGATATACCATTAAGATCCAAGCGCACGTCGCATGGCGTCTCTAGAACCGATAGTCCCTCTACAAAGACACTACGACTCGCAATGGGACTCTGGCACGAACGCCATTGCGCGACGCCACCTGGAACAACATCACGGCACATGTACGGTACCTGATGGACACTCACCAGATTGTGGTCGATGCGCAAGGCAGGACGGTCACATGGCGTCACCGCAACGTCGGGAAGCTTGACAGTCATCCACAAGTTGGAAAAGGCTTTCTCTGTCCTGGAACGAGCTCATGGACACTGAATTGCCTTGACCATCTGTCAGCACCACGCGAAGGTGGTGAATGAAGCGGTGAGACTGTTCCTGTACCTTGCAAGCTCTTGACTGACGCACCCACAGACGTGCAAAGCGAAAGTCTACAGAGAGAAAACTACTGCTGCTGCTCCCCGAGACGATGACCTCAGCAACGCGCACGACGTTGTCCATGGAGCGTCATCTGCTCGCGTCGATGACGAGAACACTCGCTGCGAGACACCCGCTTCCGTCCCCTCTGAAGACGATGATATTGACGAGGATGCATCGAGAGTTGCGGGTTTCTCCATTTGCCTGATGTACCGCACTAACATATTCAGTTGCAGCCAAGTTCGTCCCAGCACAACGTGAGCCTATTATGCGGAGGAAACATTGGCTAACAAGATGCAGCGTCAAGCAAACAAGAATGCGCATGTTTCCATCGCAAGTCCGTCCCATCTTTGATGTTATAAGACTGACCAGTGGCCAGAAGTCAAGCAAAGATCGATCTGTCTCCTCGTCTCGCAAGGTATGCATTTCTGCTGCTCCTGCCATGACGTACTAACGATGAATTTCTAGTCTGGAAGAACATCAAAGCTATCACGCAGAGCACAGGACGCTGAGCAAGGCAGCGCTACTATGACCAAGGCCAAGACTGCAGCATCACAAGCAAAAAAGGCGCGCAAGTCTGCCAAGAAGGCCAAGATAGCTGCAGCACGTCTGTAGTATGTCGTAGATGGTCTAGTTGCTACACCTATTGTCGCTACAGCATCTATTGAGCTCACCCGTTGGCAGGTGGTATCCTTTGGTAATCCTGCGGTTGACTCTGGTAAAGGCGTACTTACTTACGCCGGTAGTCTGGCGGTAGTCTGGCGGTAGTCTGGCGGTAGTCTGGCGGTAGTCTGGCGGTAGTCTGCTGGTATTACTGCGCCTGCGAAGTTAGGGATTTTCCGCCGGTATTCCGCCGGTATTTTTCTGGTAATTTCCGCCGGTAATCTGCCGGTCCAAATTTTCCGTAGGGCAAATATCAAGCACCTGCCAAGACTTTCTACGCCAAGATGTCACTGCTTGCTCACAACTGCCACAAACTCATCCTCATGATCCGCAGCCACCATCCGCGCATCGGCAAGGACGCGTCTAAGGTCGTCCCAGTTGGACTGTACTATACTACTGCTTTCAGGCGTTCGAAGGGCCCCTCTAGACATTTTTAAAAGTACAACCAGACCCTTGCTACATCTTTGCGCTATTCTCTTGCGCTTATTAATAAAGCTCGGTACAGCGTTCTCTGCTCGGAATTGACCGTTTCACCCGTTGGACCTCTTCAACAAGGGGCTTGCTCGCTTCTAGCTCCTAGCCTTTGCTTCTAACTCATATCTGAAGACATCTCTTTGTATTTGACTTGTCTAACCCTCTACCTTGCCTAGTCATCCCTCAGCCCAGTCATTAGATTGCCGTGTTTTTGAGCTACATGCGCGCAATATAAACAGGAGGCATGGGATGCGGCACTTTTTGAGCAAAATCTACAGCATGTCGCGGCATTGTCGCCCTCGACGTCCTCATCGGGGTATCCTCATTTTCCTCTGCGTTGCGCACATGGCAGTGCCACATGCCTTCATGTGCCATTGCTCCTGATCTGCTTGCGCTTCTGGCGCGAGAGATGAGCCCATTCTGCATTCTAGCTGGCCAGACGCCTTCCATCCCAACTCTTGTTCCCGACAGCTGGATATTCTTGACCGTCACCAGACAGTCTCAGAGAAGCAGCTCCGAAGTCATGTCTGGCTGACGCTGCTTACGCTGAAATTATGGGTGGCTCTCTTTCTGCAAAGCATCCCCTCCGCTCCATATTTTGCGCCTTTGCAACATCGGACTCCCGCGCACGACTGCAAGCGGATGTAACTTCATATCACGCGAGCCGTTTGGAAGTCATTTTTGGTGCAACTTCTCGCATTCGCAAGCCTGCAAGACGCATGCCGAGGTATATGCTTGAAGCATCGTGGATGGGATCATCGTTGTCGCATGCCTCACTGACTCGTAGACATGTCGCATCATTGAACACCCCTTACAAAGGCCTCTCCCAGTTGTCGAATCCGTCTGCTTCACGGCGAGCCCTCTCGGCCGCCAATCTTATACGTCACCATCAAGATGCAGCTACGATGGTACTTCTGGCCTACGCCAATCAAGCTCGCATTGTGCTCAATCGGCATGGCTCTCATACTTTACCATCTTGCTGGAGCTCCTACTAGGTCAAAGGGAAAGTCAATTGGTTCATTCGAACCAAAGACATCGAACAAGAGACTACCTTCGACCGATGATATTGCGCCAACGTTCACAGTCCCGGCTGAAGCTCGTCCTGAGGTCGACTATTGGCCTATCACAGCCGAATCTGCACGCAAATGCTACAATTTGACTCTGATTCTTGAATCAAAGTATCTGATACCTTCAGGTTCGGCGACCTGTGGTAGTGTAGCTGCCTCCGATAGCGGCAGAGAGTTATGCAAAACCACATGTAATAACTACACACTACAATACAAGCGAAGCTATTTCCCTTGGCTTGCGAAGAAGAATCTTTTCAGGGCTGCGTCATGCGTCCAAAGCGACAAGTCTGCAGCTGACATATCTTACGACGTCTCTGCAGCAGAGAACGGATTGGGTCTCTGTTCTCTTACTTGTACTTGTCAGATAGCCAACAAGATCAGAGTCAGACTGCCCACGCTCGGAGCGCTTGACAAGTCCATCGCTGTGTCTCCATCCATGAGCAAGAAGTTCTGGGGATTCAGTCAATTTCAGACTCGTACTTGTCATCCAGAAGACATGTTACGGCCCTCGGCAGCCTTGTCACAAGTACCGGGATTCACACCATCGGATTCACCTTCTTGGCAGACAACGTACCAAGTCACCGCAGAGAATATACCTTGCGACATTGTGAACTGGGAAAAGAAGTGCCTCTGTAAAAAGTTAAATGGTAAAGAGTTGGAACACGGCTTCAGACCTTCGATTTGCAAATATGAACCTGTACCCGAAGGACAACCAACACAAAATGCGAAAATATCGAAAAAGGCTCGGGTAGATTCAGCCACCGAAAAATCTCACCTAGATGGTGCCGTCAGCTCCTCAGCAGACAGCACTACAGCGCACGCCTCGAACCTTGCGGGCTTGACACCACTACCAAGCGCGCTAGGATTGCAAGACTCGATATCCTCCATTTTTGGAGATCTTGGTGATATACACGGGTTCTCTGGCTTTTACAACGAACTGTCGGTGATCCAGCCGAATGAATATGGTATGCCACAGAAACTACAATCAAACATATGCCACAACTATCCACCTTGGGAGTTTGGCCAATGTCCAGCAGATCATAATCCTTACGCATCTCAGTCGAATCAAAATACAGTTCAGCATTCAGAAGACCTAGATGTAAGCTTTGAACAGCAACGGCAGTGTGGCTCATCGACAAGTTGTAATCCAGCTCATTTTGCGCCTTTCAAGAAACGCCAAGAAACAAAGCGCGACGAAGGTGATGCTGGGAGTAGGAGGTGTGCTCGTGCTTCCGGCGCTGGCCATGAGCAACGCCCTGCTCCTTTTATCTGATGGCAGTATCTGAGTCATACATGATGTCTTTTCTGTCCTTTGCGACCCAGCCGAGTGGTGATGTACGCAGCAATTCTGAAAAATATATTCGTAGTTGCAATATATTATGAATTCGAAGCTTCAACCACAATTAATCGACTCTGATGGATATGCTTGTGATTTTACATTTATGCTATGAACTTTGGAACGGACTCTTGTCATGAGGTAGTTGGCATCCCATCTGATTGACTTCAAGGCGTCAATGAATCCGAGACTACGCCAGAAGCTTCAGCATCGGGCCCTTGCTAGGCTTTCTGCTGATCTGTGGTGCACAACCACAACGGCAATCCAGTCTTCCCTGCAAGGCCTCATCGAAATATTGTTCAGCATGTCCGACAAGCTGCTTTAGACTGCTTGTTGCCTACTTGGAAGGCAAAGTCCACTTCGACAAGCATCTGACCTACCTTTTGTACACATTCGAAGCTTGTGTTGACGTCTTGCACACAGCGTGGCACGATGTTTCATGTTTGCATCGTGCTTGTCGTGCCTGCATGTCGTTCTCGTCTTCGGTTCCATGCTGCTCAGCGTCAGCCTCTGTCAGGCGCTTGTTGTGCCTTGATTTCTGTTGTGAGTGGGGATCCGTTGCGTAGATTGTTGGACGTCATCACGTACGGCAACTTGCAGATTCTTGGCACCATGCTGATAGATGGGCCATGGAGATCCAGCTCGCTTGTGGCCTGGCAAGCGACGGAAATTCCCGTTCAGAATGACGGACTGACTTCCTCAGCTCTGCATGGTCGCGTTGTTTTTAGCTGACGAGATTGCCTCGCTGGTCCTTGAGAAAGTTGTATGCATCCCTGTTGTGGCGAGCAGCGCAGAGGACACCAATCCACTGCGTGTTGGCTGCCGCGATCGATGACCAGAGATAGAAGACTTTGCAAATGGATCCGACAGCCTGGACTTCATTACGCTTGGAATCATCCTTTGACACGTATCGTGGTCGTGCCGGTGCCTTTGCGTATATCGTGTGCAAGGCGTTCAAATTGGTCTAGAGCGTTTTCTTGAATGCGTCAGACACAGCAAAGTGTAACATGGGAGACATGAACGCTATCACAGGAGGCCATGAGATTGTTGATGATTGTACCTGCTGCGATGCGAGCTCGAGGCCGATGAGCTGGTTCCGCAAACGACGAGGAATAGACCCCCGAATCAAAGGCATTGGGCCACACTCCAGCATGCTGACCATCTTTGGCAAGAGCTAGTAGATATGCTACCTGCTTTCCTGTGGCAGTGTCAAGGATGAAGATGTTGGCTGTCCATTTACTTGGCAGATTGGATTCTACCGCGCGACGCAGGACAGCATCGATCTGACTTTGCTGGTCAGGCACACTCGAGAGACAGAAGCAAAGGAGGAGACTGCAGAGATGCGCATCTAGAGTGAAGCGTGTACGGCGACCATGAGTCGTACTGTAGTCAGCTGTAGCTGGTTGAAAGTCGCAGAGTGGCCAAAGTTCGAATCAACAAAGTCGAAATTTACAGTGAGCACCGCACAACGACGACTCGACTTCCTTGCTTCCTGCAGCCTTGAAAACAAGACACCTTCGATGGATAGTAGAAGACTGCTGCATTCAGAACGGTGGTCTCATATGCAGGTGTTCATGGCATGCAGATCGATCGAGGACTTTTGTGGATTGGTTCACTTGGTAAATAGGATGGCTTCCATTCCAATCGTGGCACTTGAGCTGGACCAATGTTAGTACATTTGTCTAATTAAACGTGCTATCTATATGCATAGCTATAGGAAAGGCAATAGTAATCACCAGCGTCTGCCAATTGTCTTCCGTCGAGCGCCAGTTCTTCACCAGCGTCTGGAAGTAGTGTTTCGGCTTGCTCCAGACAATCACCGGCGTTACTGATTTATCACCTGCTAGTCATTCGCGATTCACCAGTCTACGCCAGTTTTCGCCAGCGGCTCCCCCGGTAGGGTGGTGTCAGTAATACCGGTTTACATTCAATAAACTCTACTGTTTGTAGTTCTAAGTCTCTGTTGCCAAAATCACCCTCCTACTGCGCTCCCTATCTCCAACGCCACGTCTTGCCTCGGCTAGTCATAATCGTTGCAGTTGTGTGTCGGTCTGGTGAAGCTCTGGCAGTCCCAGAGGAGCTTTCTCGTCTAGAGAATTTCCGCCTAAAGTCAGGGATGCTCACCTGTCGAATGATGTCAAACTTCTCTGCTGAAGACAATGCGATTAAATTTGGATGCTATGCTGGTCGAGCGCGAGGTCAAGTCATGACTGTGGCAGACGAATCGCTCGCACATCTTATCACTGCTACGATTTGGACACTGACACTCGTGGAATCTCGGAGCAGCTCAATGACACAACTGAGACTTTCATGGATGTCGACACAGCACAGGTACTCTTCGGTCAATGACGCGATACAGCACGATGCCAGGGTGCACATTCTTGAAGACAATTGCTCATGCTCTCATGGTTACGACAATTAAGAAGACTCTACATTGGCCGGACGCTGGTTTGCCGGCGAGCTATTTGAGCCTCGTTCACGACGATACCTCAGGTCTGGCATGAGAACTTATGTGAAGCAATACGTGCGCACCTATGACTCATCTGCAGGCGGTACGGCAACTCGACGTATTGCCTATGGCAAGCACTCCACTTCTGCATTCAGACACGCCACGGTCTGCGATCTTGCTCATCTCTTACGTCGAGGCTACCGAATCAAATTTCTTCGCAAAGACCTTCATGCATTGCACTGTCTCAACCTATGGTCTCTCAACGTCTATCGTCTCTGATCTTGATCCCATCTTCACGTCCAGAGTCTGGCAGTCATTGCTCCTCCAGTTTGATCCACAAGTCAGATCTCCGTTGTCCACAGCCTGGTAACCTCAGACTGATGAGTGAATATGCCAACATGACACTCGAACAGTTGTTGCGATACTACTCAAATCACGCCAAGACAATCGGTGTTCCCATCTTCCTTCAGCCAAATTTGGTTCGCCGATACTCACGGTCTGCTATCTCCTACATCCATCACTTCGAGGCTATCAGTGCATTTGCCTTCGCAAAGACCTGCATGGATCGTATTGTCTCGATTTATGGTCTCCCAACGTCTGTCGGCTGTGATCGTGGCCCCGTCTTCACGTCCAGGGTCTGGCAGTCACTTCTCCCCCAGTTCGGTCCACAGATCTCCAATGTCCGCAGCCTGGCAGCCTCAGACTGATGGTCAGACTGAACGTGCCAACGTTACACTCGAACAGCTTTTGCAATGGCCCAAGTCAATTGTCCTTTTTTCTCAAGCCGAATTTTGCTGCAACGATGCTCACTCGATCACCGTCAAGTTGTTTCCCTTCTTGGCTGTACGCGGCTGGCACCCTTGCTTCACTGCTCAACTGTATCCTTAAAGGATCTCTACAAAAATTATGAGATGGCTTCCCGTTTGAAAACTTTGCACGACGAGCTCAAGGTCCACATGAAAATTGCAGAGGACAAATACAACGAATATGTCGATCGCCCTCGACTACCAGCTCCCTCGGCGCTGCAACTTGGCAACGATTTTGACTGCACAGCCGCCACGCTACTGTTGTGCGTCTGATTGGCCATCACCAAAGCTTGATGATTTCACTCGAGCCGGAACTTCTCGAATTATGCATTCTATCAACAACATTGCCTTCATCATCGACCTTTCACGTGATGTTCTCATTCACTCTGTCTATTCAGCTGGTCTGCACGAGCCTTACAACGAAGCGACTTGTAGGCTCTCGCGTTCACAGCCTGTTCTCCCTCCCACAAGAATCAATGTGCCCAGCAAATGAGAAGTCGCTGCCGTAGTGAACTGCAAGCTCGACGACAAGCAATGGAATGCCTTCTGTATTGGACCAATCACAGCGCCGCTCTCAAATATTGAGCAGTTGCCAAGTCTGTCTACGCCAAGATGTCACTGCTTGCTCACAATTGCCACAAACTCTTCCTCATTATCCGCCGTCACCATTCGCGCATCGGCGAGGACGCGTCTAAGGTCGTGTCCAGCTGGACTGAACTATACTACTGCTTTCAGGCGTTCGAAGGGCCCCTCTAGACATTTGCAAACGTCCAGCCAGACCCTTGCTATATCTTTGTGCTATTCTCACGCGCTGATTCATAACGCTTGATACAGCGTTCTCTACTCGAAATCAACCGCTTCACCCGTTTGACGTCGGGAACAAGGGGATTGCTCTCTTCTAGCTCCTAGGCTTTGCTCCTCGCTCAGATCTGAAGACATTTCTTTGTATTTGACTTGTCTGGCTCGACATTGTTCACACTCTGGGACCCTTTCTTGTTATTCTGCTTTCTCTTCTGGTCGAATAAAGATAAAAGGATGGCCTTCTGCTGCCTTAAGCTTCATTCTTCAGCTTTGTGCTGTGGTCAGAGCATCTCTCTCTTACCCTTGTGTTGTCTAGAGTCTTTGAGACGGCCTCGCTCTGCTTTACCTAGTCATCCCTCAGCCCAGTCATCAGATTGCCGTGTTTTTGAGCTACATGCGCGCAATATAAACAGGAGGCATGGCATGCGGCACTTTTTGAGCAAAATCGACAGCATGTCGCGCCATTGTCGCCCTTGTCGTCCTCATTGAGGTATCCGCATTTTTCTACGCATTGCGCACATGACTTTATGTGCCATTGCTCCTGATCTGCGGGCGCTTTTGGCGTGAGGGATCAGCCCATTCTGCATTCTAGCTGGCTAGACGCCTTCAGTCCCAACACTTGTTCCCGACAGCTGGATATTCTTGACCGTCACCAGACAGTTTCAAAGAAGCAGCTCCAAAATCAAGCCTGGCTGAGGCTACTTACGCTGATAATATGGGTAGCTCCTTTTCTGCCAAGTATCCCGCCCGCTCCATATTTTGCGCCTTTGCAACATCGGACTCCCGCGCATGACTGCAAGTGGATGTAACATTATATCACGCCAGCCGTTTGAAAGTGATTTTTGGTGCAACTTCTCGCATTTGCAAGCCTGCAAAGCGCATGCCGAGGTATATGCTTGAAGCATCATGAATGGGATCATCGTTGTCGCATTCTTCACAGACTCGTAGCTCTGACGGCATTGATCATGTCGCATCATTGAACAACCTTTTCAAAGGCCTCTTCCATTTGTCGAATCCGTCTGCTTCACGGCGAGCCCTCTCAACCGCCAATCTTACACGTCACCATCAAGATGCAGCTACGATGGCACGTCTGGCATATGCCAATCAAGCTTGCATTGTGCTCAATTTACATGGCTCTTATGCTGTACCATCTTGCTGGAGCTCCCACGAGGTCAAAGGAAAAGTCAATCGGTACGTTTGAACCAAAGGCATTCGATGGGGGGCAATCTTCGAATGCTGGCGTTGCGCTTATATCGACACTCATAAATGAACCTCAACTCGACGTTAACTACTGGTCTTATCAGAACAATTCTGATCGCAAATGCTACGATTTGACTCTGATCATCTCATCAGCTTCTCCGAAAAAGGTGGATCCAGCAACCTGCAGCAGTCAAGTAGCCTACCAAATAAGCAAGCAAAATTGCAGAGCTGCTTGTTCGCGTTCCAAAGAAGATTATAGTCTAGGTTGGTTCGCTAAACTCAAGCAAAGAAAAGCGCCTGCTGTGCCAAATGGCTGCCTTCAAAGCGACAAGGCCAACGTAGTTGATGCGTTTCAATTCGAAGCCGAACTACAAATCGACCCGTTTACCTGTCAGGTTTCTTGTTCTTGTCAGATATCCAACAAAATCAAAGTCAGAATGCCCGTGGTCAAGTCGGGTATTAGAAAGCACTTTGCTGTTTCTCCACTCTACAGTAAGGACTTCTGGCACAACCTACAAAGCAGCCCGTGGGACTATGGATTGGACATCAATTCTTGTCATCCAACAGATATGTTGAGCAGCTTGTCAGTACCAGGTTTTACACCGTCGGATCCACTTGTTTGGTTGAGCAGGTACGAAGTCACCGCGGAGAGGTCGCTTTGCGACCAAATAAACTGGGATACAAAGTGCTTCTGCAAGAAGGCATATGCTAGGGAGCACTATTTCAGGCCTTTGGTTTGCGGAGAGAAACCTGTACCAGAGTCCGAAAGACCACCATCACAACGTGGGGGAAAATCGAGAAAGGCTCGAGTTGATTCAGCCGCCAAGGGCCCTCGTGTGAGCAAGTCGAAAAAGGCTCGAGTAGATTCAGCCACCGAGGGACCTCAACCTGTTGACGCAAACAGCCATTCGTTAGACGGCACTACAGCGCACATAACACATCCTGCAGGCCCGACAACCTCAACTGTGGCAGCATCGCAAGAGGTCTTACCCTCCTTCTATGAAGATCTTGGTGATCTATCCGGGTTTTCTGATCTTTTGAACGAACTTTCGTTTGTCCAGCCAAATGAATACGGTTTGCCACAGTTTCCAACATGGGACGACTGCTTCTACTCTTCCCCTTATCCTTCTTTGGGGCCAGAACAATGTCAAGCATCTCATGGCCCTTACGCATCTCAGCCAACCGAACACACAGGTCAGTATTCAGGAGATCCATATTCGACCTATGAACAGCAGCAGTGTGGCTCATCGACAAGTTGCAATCCAGCGCAGTCTGGGCCTTTCAAGAAACGCGAAGAAACAAGGCGCGACGAAGGTGATGCTGGCAGTAGGTGTGCTCCTGCTTCCGGCGCTGGCCATGAAAAGCGCCCTGCTCCTTTCATCTGATGACATTATTCGAGTCATACTTGATGTTTTTCTGTCCTTTGCGACTCAGCCGAGTGGTGATGTACGCAGCAATTCTGAAAACTATGTTTGTAGTTGCAATTTGATAGAAATTTAAAGCTTCAGCCACGTTTGAGATTCCCAATGATATGCTTGTGAGCTTACAATCATGCTATGAACTTTGGAATCGACTCTTGCCAAATGCGACATTTGGACTGGTCGATGAATGTTGGTCAAAGCCCGAGGTAGTTGGCGTCAGCAGCGGCCGTTGGCTGAATTCGAGAGCGCGACCTGGCGTCAAAATTTGAATTTCGCGAATCGCGACGAGGACAAGCACGCGGACACGCGACTTGCGACTTGCGTTAATATACAGCGCAATTGCAGCGGCTGCAGGAGACGATGGTGGAGCGGCCAGAGGACTGGACGACGGACAGCACAGCAGCGCTTTCTTTGCATCTTTGTATGTTTCATCTTCTGGGTCTCAGTAGTATGGCTAATAACTAGTTGATGGCCCAGGCCACGACCAGGAAACAATCTTGCAGCCAAAGTGGACGTATGCGCTCTTTGGCGAGACGGAGCAGATCTTTGGGTACAAGAAGCTTCGAATACGCCTTTACATCCATGCTCTTACGCTGCAGACATGGCTTGATGTGAGATATGAAGAGCAATTGGCGGTGTCTCTGGGGGTGCATATGGAGCCAGTTGAGGAGATTCTATTGAATCATCTGCCGCATCAAACAAAGGTGTGCATCAACGGGAAGGTTGTTTCATCAGATGCTTCTCAGCTCAAGACTGTGGACGTCGCCGCATGGAAGAAGGCGGTGGTTTCAGAGTCACGGAGTGGCACGCAATACAAGAAGCCAATACACTTCTACACTCGCGCCGGCAAGACTTTTGCTATCCTCAAATTGGCTCTGCCAGACTCACAAGATTGTGTTTCCTGGATGCAAATCTTCTCTCTCCTGTACATTGAAGGCGCAAGTCTCATTGACGAAGAAGATGAGCGATTCGACGTATTTGTGGTATACGAGACTCAGGACGGCCAGCCGATACGATTTGTTGGCTACTGTACATGCTACAAGTACTACTTCTACGACAAAGCGACACATGCCTTTGATGTTGTTCGCTATCGCATCTCGCAGTTTCTAACGCTGCCACACTTTCAAAAGCAAGGGCATGGTGGCCAGCTGTATGATACCATCTTTGCTGATTGTCAACGAGATTCGAAAGTCCTTGAAGTCACGGTCGAGGACCCATCAGAGGCATTCGACGACCTACGCGACCGACGCGACTTTTCCAGACTGCTGCGTGAAAGGACACTGGAGACTCTTGCTGGACAAGGGTTGATTCCGTCTCCTGCGGCCATTAGTGATGCCTCACGCAAGGCCAAAATGGCACCTGCTCAATTTCGTCGCATGCTAGAGCTCTACCTCTTGAGACAAGCGAATGCGCCGAATAAGGGCAAGCAACCTGCTTCCAGTTCATTTGGCAGACAACTGCGTCTGTTCATCAAGCGGCGCATATACAAGAAGAATGCAGCGGTGCTGAAGCTACTTGATCCATCAGAGCGGAAGAGGAAGTTGGCAGAAACGTATACGGCGCAAGTTGAAGACTATCGTCGGATCTTGAAAACTTTGAAGGTGGAGTCGCGAGAAGCGGGCAATGGAATATCCGACGCGTTGAACGGGTCAGCAGAGCCAGCGAGCAAGCGTGTTCGCGTTGAATAGAGTCGTTCATATTTAGCATTACATGGCATTCGAATCTAGCCTAGCACCTACATGAGCGGCTTCTTCAATGGCCGACGACCCTTGGCGTCAGCATTCCGTGCATAGAGCCATTGATGCTTCGTGTTGGCCGTTGTTGCATTACGTTTTGGTGCGAGATCTGTACGTTGCTTGGCGAGCTTCTTGACAAGGACATTGCCGCGCTTCACTTGCGTTACCTCCCTGTCGAAGCGTTTGTGAACTGCTTGGCTTTGACTTCTGTGTTCTTTTTGCATAGACGTGACTTGCTCTGAGGGTGGCTGCACAGCAATTGGAGCAGCATTGAGAATCTCGTCAGGCAGGAAACGAGGTATCGCTTGCTTCTTTGGGGTCGCCTGTGTTGCAGAATCCTCTTCCTCGAGTCCTTCGATTGATGCCTGCGGGAGTGATGGAGCAGAAGGCCGCTTCGACGCTTTTGACTGGTCCTTCTGCTTCTTCAAAGCAGCATTGCGCGCTTGACGTTTCCGCTTCGCCTCGTCTTCTTTTCTCTTAAGGGTTGTAGCGACTGCATCTTCATGCGCCTTCACTTGATCCGCCTGCACTTTATTGGAAACAGCCTCGGGCGCATCATCTTCGTCGTCGCTGTCGTCGCTTTCGCCAGAAACAGAAAGAGACGGAATGGCTTCAATTGCATGCGCGCTGTCTAGCTCGGGCGAGATAGTGGCACTAGCTGTTCCCTCCTGATCGGCTTCATGAATGTCATCACTGGCCGCGTGCTCGTCAGCCGTCTCGAACGCATCATCACTCTCGACCTCCCGATGGGTCGCTGCAGAGGACAGCTTACTCTTGCGCAGATCAGCAAAAACCTCTTGTCGCTTTCCAACAGGCGTCGCCGGACTCATCTCACCATCTTGACGCTTCTTTCGTAATGTGAAAGGCGTCTCTCTTGCGTCTTCAAAGCGATCTGCAGCGCCTCGCGGTGTATCTGTTTCGGGCGCAATCGATTTCCGCTTTTTGCTCTTTGGAAGCGGCGCGGCTCCTGGATCGACGACTTCGACTTCATGGGAGTCATGCATATCGATCGCAACGAGTGCTTCTGAGGGCGGCATGCTGTGCCGAGTAGAGACCATGTTGAGCCGCTTGATCGTGGCAGTTGAAGTCTCGGTTTGGTGTCTTTCACTTTTTTGTGTTTTCGCACGCCAGAAGAGTCAGGAACAGGACCATCACGACGAGTGCTAGTTGCTATCCAGCTGACCATCCATTGTCACTGTATCTAGCTTACATGGCAGCTAGGCTTGCTCGGAGAGCTAGCTATATAAGAAGGTTTACAAGGTTCTACTCTTCTGCTGCTCCGTCGCATGCTGTATCTCATCAAGGTCCTTCCACTGTGACGGTCTCAAAGACCCCATTGCCTACTACATCAAGCCAAGCTCGTGAAATGACACAAGACACTGCTAAAGAACCAATTAACTGGACATCACTGCTTACATCACTATCTCCCGAGCAGAAAAGTCTTCTCTTCGGTCCACGTGAAGTCTACGATGCGGCCTATCGCAAGGACAAGGTCATCGTCATCTCATACGACGAAGTCTTGAAGATGGCAAATATTAGTATGCTTCTTTCAAAATCACCTGAGTATCGCTGATTGAATAGTGAAAGGTGCAGATATGACACATCTCAGGCTCCAAGATGTCTTTATCGTTGCTAAGATTATGCGTCGAGCACCACCACTGCAAGACAAGCAGCTCCAAAGCTGTCGCATGGTTCTTTCAAGAAGATTTATGCTATGGGCTGCTGATGCTGGATATCCTGAGGCGCAACTCTTTTGGTCTGAGGAAGTCATGTCACAGAACAACGTGCCAACGGGCGTTAGAGATAAAGCTTTGAAACTCCTCACCAACATCGGACGTCAAGCCGTTCCGAGAGCCGAGTCAGTTCCACTCAAGTCTCTTCGTCCTACAGATACTGTTTTTCCAGTCTCAGCAAGAGCGAACCATCTCCTTGGTCGGTACCTCTGGGCTGCCGGCGATCTGACCAAAACCACCACAAAACGTGACGAATGTCGCGATCGTGCAATGCAACACCTTGAACGCGCCGGCGAAGAAGGTCATGCCGAAGCTTACGTGTATATGGGTGTTTTCAATAGAAGAGCCGGGAAAGCGAGAATGTCGAAACGGGCATTTGAAAAGGCCCATGCGCTTGGAAGTGCGTTAGGGACGTGGTTGCTTGCTCGAGCAACGAGCGACACCAAGTTACGAACATCCTTATTGGCAGAAGCAGTTGGACTTGGCTCTCATCACGCAGCCTATGATTTAGGCCATATGTATCGCAAGCAGGGACAGGATGCACTGGCGATAGAGTATTACACCATGGCTGCCGAGGCAGACGTTCAGCCAGCTCAAGCCAATTTAGCAGAGTTGCTTGTCAAGCAAGGCGAGTTTGACGAGGCTGAGAAGTGGTTCATCAGAGCTTCTGTTGTTCGCGCGCCTGACCCGAAGAAGGAGACGAGAACCGGACAAGATGGTGATATCTCATTCCATTCTCAAAGGCGGCTTGAACAGATGCGAAAGACTCAAGTCTACAATGACTACCAACGTGCAAAACAGAAGAAGCTTGACGAAGGGGGCAGCTGCACAATCATGTGATGAGCAACAAAGACAAACTCTATCAATGGCTGTCTCTCTATTCACGCTTCTTCTGCGTCGGTGACGAGCCGTTTGCGTTGACATTACGAATCTCTGTCATGCTGATGCCACCTTGTTGGGACGAGAAGGATCGACTGCGGCCGGAAAACTGCGGCAATGTTCCTTTGCTAAGGAAGTCATCGAGCACTTGCTTGCCTGAAGCAGCAGCCACAAGTCCCAAGAAGGGTGGTGACGGGGCAAGCGGCCGAGTGAGGTATTCCGGGTGATATTGTACACCAATGTAATAAGGATGTTCCTTGAGCTCAAAGATTTCCATTCGCAAACCCGTCTCATCCTTGCCAACAAACGTCAAGCCAGCCTTTTCAATACGCTCGACGTACTCAGGGTTGATTTCGTATCTGTGTCGATGACGTTCTTGCACGACTTGGTCCATCTTGTAGAGCTTCCGGAGCTTTGACCACTGTGTGTCGGGTTGCATGTGTGTACCTCTCAGACCAAGTCGCATATTACCACCCATCGTGTCCTTGTCAATCTCTGGCATAAATACAACAAGTGGTTCCGTCGTATCTTCCTTCAATTCCGCTGAATGCGCATCCCGAAGACCCATCACATTGCGCGCAAATTCAATGACTGCAATTTGAAGACCAAGGCAGACACCCAAGTAAGGGATTTGATTTTCTCGCGCCCATTTAGCAGCTGCAATCATACCTTCTGTGCCACGCGTACCAAATCCACCAGGAACAATGATGCCATCTGCGCTACAGAGCATATGCCAAGCGCGATGATAATTTTTCGGTTCCGTGCCACTTGCTTCATGCTCCAAATCCGACGCATCGACCCATTCGAGAATGAGCTTACGGTTGCACGCTAGAGCGGCGTGTTCGAGTGATTTGACCACAGAAATGTAGGAGTCTTGGACTTTGGTGTATTTGCCGACGAGCACAATGGTGACTTTATCAAAGAGTCTGTCGTGCGCTACGGTCAAGCCTTGCCAACGTTGCCAAAGCCGACTGCCTTTTTGCTTTTGTGCATCGGTAATTTCAATCTTGTCGAGACAAAGACGCTTGCCGAGTGATTTGATGAGTTTTTGGTCCTCCAGAAGGAGTGGGACGTGATAGGTCGAGGCGACATCATGAACGGCAAGGACCTGATCCGGACCAACATGGCAAAACATGCCAATCTTTTCAACACTTGCGCGTTCAAGAGGTTGTGGGCAACGACAAGCGATAAAGTCGGGCGTCAGACCGAGTCCTCGCAGATCCTTGATGGCCGCTTGTGTTGGCTTGGTCTTTTGCTCACCCGAGACAACAGGTACAAGGGAAACGTGGATGAGGGCAAAGTTTTCATGTCCGACGCGGAACTGGAACTGTCGCAGTGCTTCAACAAAGGGCGCGGATTCAATATCACCGACGGTACCACCAAGTTCGATGATGCAGACATCAGGCTCCTCCCCTGTTTCATCGATGGGGATCTTGGCGACGCGCTCAATCCAATCTTGGATGGCATTTGTGATGTGCGGCACGACTTGAACAGTTTTACCTAGATAATCGCCCTTGCGCTCGCGTTCAATGACTTGTCGGTAGATTTTACCAGTCGTGATGTTGTTTTCACGGGTCAAGGTGACATCGAGGTATCGCTCGTAGTTGCCAAGATCCAAGTCTACTTCACCGCCATCATCCAGGACGTAGACTTCGCCGTGTTCGATAGGCGACATGGTTCCTGCGTCGATATTCATGTACGGGTCAATCTTGATAGAGGTGACCTTAAGGCCGAGTGTCTTGAGCAAGAGGCCCGTACTGGAAGCAATGACACCTTTGCCGATGCCTAATGATTAGCTCTTTAATATTGAGCGCGGACGCAGAACGGACCTGAGATGACTCCTCCGGACACTGCGACATATCTCATCTTTGTAATACTTGGACCTGCGATGGGCTCTATGTCACGGGGACTGGGGCCCTCGCTGCTGCTCGTCTGCTGGTCTCTTGGTCTGCTTGTTGAGTCGCATCAAAAATTTATTTCGCGTCAAATTCACAGAGCACAAGGGACAAGGGACAAGGGACTTCATCTGCTGGAAGGTGCATGGCCTCAAGCCAGCCACAAGCACGTATAGCGTCGTATGCACTTGATGAGAAGCTCATGACTTGGTCGGAGAGGGAACAAAACATGCTCAAAGGCTGAGAGGCCAGTTCGCAGCTCAATCGTGCTCAAACAAGAATCGCTCATTCAGTCATAATCTCATTCAATTCACCTAAAGCACAGCTAGGGCTTTCTCTTGTCACTCCTCAACATGCACAGCTCCTTAGATGTACCGATTGAGGTCCTTGAACATTAGCAATGGCTTGTGGAACTGACTAATTGCAAGCTTACCAACTGTGGGTCTTGGATAAAGGCACAGAGACACTTGGATCCTGTCTGTAGCAGTGGGTGGCCCGACACAATCTGCAAGAACCGCTCAAGCCCCTCTCGACGATGTTCAATCACTTCATCGCTGAATCGATTGGTGAAGACCTTGCCTGGCAGTGAGGGTAGCGTAACACGCGATGATTCTCGCTCTAGTATATCTCTGAATTGCTCAAACTCTGAGTATCGACGCCGAACAGACGAATGCTTGAGCTTGAAGGCCGGGATATTGGTGCGACAGATGATTTCATAGTCCGTGTACATCTTGCGGCCGATACCTATCGACACATATCAGCAGCGGATCATACACAATGCCGTCATCTGGATAGTTTGGATAGAGACATACCATGTGTCATTGGATTGCAGACCTAGATGATCATGAGTACACAGCAAGCGATGGGGTGCGCCATACCTCAATTTCAAGAAAGTTCTCAGGGACGCCGTACAGCTCGTCGGCCGTCTGATGTCTGATCTCCTGTCTGTACATAGCTGTCTCTCTGTAGCTGTATGCGACGCCGCTCGTCCTCTACTGCTGGTGTCTGTTGAAGTGTTTGTGTGCTGCCAACTTGCGAGCGACGACCACGACGACGACGACGACGACGACGACGACGACGACGACAACGAGCGCTACTTCGAGTCTAAGCTAAGAAGAGCGCCATGACCACAGCACACAGGCCGACCTTCGATCCGGCAAAGGGAGATGCCGCACAAGCTCCAACCCGTCTTTATTCGTCACAATCACTTCCGGCGCATCGTGTGCTCAAGTACAGACAAGCGGGGCAAGGTACAGAAGCGGAAGCCCATGCCGCGCAAGAGCAAATGCGTAATGAGCTGCTAGCCAAAGAGGCAGAACACTATGACAAAACACGACCTGTGAAGAAACGTCCCGTAGAGGAGAATTTGGCTGTTGAAGCACCACCAAAGCTGATTGGCATGGGCAGTGCTGTGGAAGAAGAGACGCAGGAGGAGAAGCGGCGGCGGATTTGGGAAGAGACGAAAGATATGGATGCAGATGACTCGGATGCAGCAGATGAGGCGGGTCAAGGTAGTGAATCGGAAGAAGAGTCTGATGATGAAGACGAGACGGCCGAGTTGATGCGCGAACTTGCAAAGATCAAAGCTGAACGTGCAGCAGAACAGGCACGCAAGGCTCAAGAGGCTGAAGCAGATGATCAAGCACAGCGAGAGGAAGCCATTGCGTTTGGTAACCCACTCTTGAACCCAGAAGCAGGCGATGCATTTGCTGTGAAGCGTCGTTGGGATGAAGACGTTGTCTTTCGTGTTAAGGAGAAGGATGAGAGCGGCAAGAAGGACTTTGTCAATGATATGCTTCGCAGCGACTTTCATCGCTCATTCATGAAGAAGTATGTGCGCTAGGCTCTTTGATGAGTGGAGCTGCATGTGATGGCTGTCGATGCCTCTCAGGAGACATATCTCATCATTGCGACATTGCAACAATCAAACATGGATTTCTCCTGGCGTCCATCAAACTGGCCACGTCCGCTGCAAATTACTTCACCGGCAGGTCAGTTCCTCAACCATCATCTTGTCCAACTTCATCAATGATTCCTTTGTGGTTCGGACAATCCAGATCAACGCAGATCATCGCGCAGATTCTACTGCTTGGAACCATTCTATTCCTACTACGACAAATTCCGCGCCTTCCCAGCAACAAATACGACAACGCCGTTGAATGGCCAGAAAAGGAGCCGACGAATGTGAAACACGTTTATGATTCTGTCAAGCCGACACCTGCTCAGCCTGATGTTGATAGGGTGACGAAACATGGCTCTGGCAAGTCGACGCCCGCGAAGGATGTGTTCGGCAAGTCAACGCCTGCAAAAGATGTGTTCGGCAAGTCGACGTCTGCAACAGATGACGTGAGCAAGTCCACCTCTGCTAAACATAACTTGAGCGATGGAACACATCTCAAGGGGAACACGTCGCATGTTAATGCCACAACTACGCGCTCGTCTTAGTCTTGGTCGCCGCCTCTTTGGAATCGGCGCGCATTGGAGATGGGTATGCGGCAAGGCTGGACGACGTGAGGCGTCATGCTAGGCAACGAGGACTATGGAGTGTCAAATTGTCTCACATCTCTGAATCTGCAATTGATTCTCTTCTCTATTCTTGTCTCCTGTTCAGGGATAGTCGTTGCAGACTGATAACAATTGTGCTCATGTCAAATTTATCTGGACTTCGCACCGCATTCTCATTTCGTCAAAAGACACCTTTGCTACCTAATTTCGGATCTCGAAGCTTGTTTATATCTAACAGCCTAGTAACAGGCTAGGAACAGCTCAGTGCTCATGTCCCTGGTCTCAATACGATACATGGCAGGGAGACAAATATTTGTGTCAGAGCCGGCTCTAGCCCCCAGGGGCCATCCTATTAGCCTTGCTGGCCTTCCAGTACGCTGCCTTTTGGATCTGTTTCAATCGCAGCAAAGGACCAACTTGTTCGAAAGAGGACGCGCCCTTCGCGATGAGTTTTGCTTTGCATCGACAAGCTATGTGGCGACGGGGTAAGGTCCTGGTTGGTGTTTTGCTATTCATTTTCATCGTCACGACAAAGGTGAACCTTGACAATCGCAAAAGAGATTCATCCAGTACTCCTCCAAGGGAACGTTCGCCAACGACGACAAAGGTGAACCTGGACAATCGCAAGACAGACTCATCTGGTACGCCTCCAGTGGATCATTCGCCAACGGTGACGCCGACACCTGGATCGCCTGCAAAAGTAAAGCAGCGTGTGGCCATGGTGACTTCTGTGAACTACAGATGGAACTGGGAAGGTGCGCAAGAAGCATTCGAGCTGTCAGCTCAAGAACGTCAAGCGTATGCTGCACTCCATGGCTATTCCTTTGACGTGATCGACGTGCGCAGTTTCAAACAGGATTTAGTGGACCCATCCTGGCATGTGCAGTGGATGAAGATTCCTATTGTGAAACACATCTTTGAGAAATACCCAGATGCTGATTGGGTGTGGTGGCTCGATGCGGATGCTATCATTATGGGCAACCAGGATCTCGACAGCTATTTGTTTGACCGAATCGAATCGCTACAGGCCGAAGCACGGCAGTTCCACAGCGACAATCGTCGTGAACAGTACGGGATGGCGATGTTCAAGTATCTCCACAACATCACCTTGGCAGAGACTAACTTGATTGTCACACCGGACATGGACACGCCGATGATCAATATTGGGAGTTTTCTCATTCGCAGAAGCGAGACATGGACAGATATGTTGCTTGACCTTTGGGCGGATCCTCTTTTTCACAAAGCAGCCGAGGACAGAGCGATTGGATTCCAGGAACAAGGCGTCCTTGCACACCTCATCCAACAGCACAAGACTATCGCGAGGCATACAGCCATGGTGCCGATGACGAGCATCAACGCGTTTGCGTGGGCTGGACCTTGGACTTGGCGTCCAGATTCGCTTGTGATGCATGAAGCGGGATGTTACGTCCATGCCTTGTGCAGACACTGGATGCGAGAGTACAGAGCTGTCAAGAAGGGTGAGAAGGACCGCGTGGGCCTAGAACGTGCGATCAGAGATACTGCTTGGACAGCGAAGGAAGACAAAGTATAATCACAATGAGCAGCATGCACGATTGTAGATGAGCTTGGTGAAGATAAGTAAAAAGTTGTGGTGGTGGTTTCAGCTGATACTCGAATTGTTTCGTTCAGGGGCAGCATCAAGACCAAGAAATCGCCCAACAACTTTAACGTAGACCCCGAGACAAGATCACAAATACCTCGTTCCTTTGTCTCATGGGCTATTCGGTACGTCGACACTGCAGGCTCGCTGTCTTCGCTGTCTCGGTGCTTTGCTTGCTCGGCGCACCCATTTATGTGGCCTACTACTATCTCTACGGCAGCGCATTCTCAAGCCTCTCGTTAGCTAGAATAAACGCCTTTGCAGCGTTATCTGCTGGCGATGTCTTACTGAGCGACCTTTTACGACGTCCTCTTACGATGCAAGCATCAATCGACGAGATAGGAATCCTCGAGAAGAGCAGACAAAGCGTGGCACTCGTGACGGCCAGCAACCATGATTTCGCATGGCAAGGTGCAGAAGCTGCCTTTTACGACACAATCAAGGAACGAGAAGCGTATGCAATGGTACATGGCTACTCGTTTGATGTTGTGGACTTGCGCAACTTTACGCAAGATGCAATTGATGCTACATGGCCTGTCGTCTGGCTCAAGATTGCAGTACTGAGGGATACTTTCCAGAAACACCCTGATGCGGACTGGGTATGGTGGCTTGACGCGGATGCCATCTTGATGGGGATGCAGGACCTCGACACCTATCTGTTTGACCGACTTGAGGCGCTGCAAGATGAAGCACGACGTGTACAGAGTCTCAACAAGCACCCGGAGGATCGTATGGGCGTCTTTGAATATACTCAACGACTCTCTCTGGCAGAAACGAACCTGATTGTTACGCCAGACATGAATACACGGATGATCAATGCAGGCAGCTTCCTCCTACGACGGTCTGCATGGACAGAGATGCTTCTCGAGCTGTGGACGGATCCATATCTGTTTGCAGCAGCAAAGGATGATACGATTGGGTTCCAGGAACAAGGCGTCCTTGCACACCTCATACAACAGCACACGACTATTGCGAGGCATACAGCCGTTGTGCCGATGACGAGCATCAATGCGTTCCCCTGGGCTGGACCTTGGACATGGCACCATGGTTCGCTTGTGATGCATACGGCAGGATGTTGGGTACATCATCAATGTGAGCACTGGATGAAGGAGTATAGAGCCGTCAAGGAAGGCCTGAAGGAGCAGGTTGAGCCTCCTGCAGAGCAGAGTGAAGCATGATGTGGCTACTTTGGGGATATTCAAGCGTAGTACGGATTCTATTAGGAGCTTTCAGAGCAGAGCTGGGTATACAGTGAATGTCTACTCAGCTGAGTGTCCACATGTTAAAATGTTTCTGTGTCGTTGCGGTTCGGCGATTTCTACGCGGAGCCGCCGGGGAGGACAAGGCCGCAACTCTCTCATCTATACACTCCTGCTCTCTGCTCTACACCTCTGCTAGTACCTGAATCTCGATGGCAGATATCACCGCTTCCCAGGCATCAAAGAAGCCCCTTGTATTCCATCATCTCGAGGATTCCCGATCGCAGCGCATCTTGTGGTTGCTCGAAGAGCGTATGTCTCTCATCTCGAGTCTTTGCGCCTCTCGGTCCAGTGTGCTCATGATGTGTATTCGTGATTATTGATGGACTCAGAGACGCGATTCGAGGCTCTATAATGGCAATATACTGCCATACGAGCGCCTAGTACATCATGCTGATGCTAACAAAACAGTCAAGGTCCCATATGAGCTGAAAGAGTACAAGCGCATTGGTGGCCGTGCTCCAAAGGAACTCACAGCTGTCCATCCGCTCGGCAAGTCTCCAGTCATTACCGACAATGGCAAAACCATTGCCGAATCTGGTGCGATTGTGGTGCGGCTTTCTGCTATACCCCGCAATTTGACTGACTCCAGGACTACATCATCAAGAAGTACGATACAAACAAGACTTTTGCACCGCAGACTGAGGATGAAGAGTTGCAGTACAACTACTGGCTACACTTTGCCGAGGGGACGACCATGACGCCTCTTGTCTTGCTTTTGGTATGCGAGATCATGCTTGTGCGTCTTGCTTACACTGCTAGATCTTCGATACTGCTTCCAAGACGGTCCCCTTCTTTGTTCGCCCACTCGTGAATGGCATCTTTGGTGCCATCAACAAGCAGTACACCTTTCCCGAGTGCAAGAAGAACTTTGGGTTCATTGAGCAGACACTGCAGAAGCAGGCCTTCTTTGCAGGTGATCGGATCACTGCTGCTGACATCCAAATGTCTTTCCCCATGGAGATTTGCGATCGCGCAGGTGTGCACGAGCAAGCGTACCCTGCCATCTATGCGTGGCGCAAGAAGATGGGTGCCCGTCCTGCATACCAGGCTGCGCTCCAGAAGACATCGCTGGCCTATGCCTACAAGCTGTAGTGTCTTTGTTGTAGCAGCAGTTGTAGAAGCAGTATATGTGACTGTGTCTGCCATCCCGCGCCCAATTCAACAGAAATACAAAACTCAACCAATCTGACAACATCCACACTCAAGCATGCTCAGGACAAGGCTCACTGCCCTGCGTGGCCTCGCAACCCGACAGCCCATCCATGCAACTCCCGCGAGACTGGCCGCGCGTACAGTGACGACGGATGCTGCCAGTTCCGACCACAAACCGCATGAGTCTACGGAAGACAGCGTGGCTGTCAAGTTGAATGAAGATTCCTTCGACATGTATGAGCTGGATGCGCCCTCTCTCGACATGCACGTCTCGAAAAAGGAGCTTCTCAAGATGTACGAAGACATGGTCACCGTTCGTCGATTGGAAATGGCGGCTGATGCGCTATACAAGGCAAAGAAGATTCGTGGATTCTGCCACTTGTCGACTGGGCAGGAGGCCATTGCTGTGGGTATGGAGAAGGCCATTACACTGGAAGATGCCATCATCACGGCTTATCGCTGCCACGGATTCACCTACATGCGCGGTGGGTCCATCAAGTCCATCATTGCAGAATTGCTCGGCCGCAAGGATGGTATCTCCTACGGCAAGGGCGGATCTATGCACATGTTTGCCAAAAACTTTTACGGAGGAAATGGTATTGTGGGTGCTCAGGTCCCCGTCGGTGCTGGTATTGCCTTTGCCCAAAAATACAGGGAGCAAAAGAATGCCACATTCACCTTGTATGGTGATGGTGCTTCCAACCAGGGACAAGTCTTTGAAGCGTACAACATGGCAAAACTTTGGGGTCTGCCTGCCATTTTTTGCTGCGAGAATAACAAGTACGGTATGGGAACCGCAGCGAACCGATCTTCTGCATTGACGGATTACTACAAGCGCGGTCAGTACATTCCTGGTATTCGTGTGAATGGCATGGATGTATTGGCTGTGAAGCAGGCGTGTGCCTATGCGAAGGAGTACACATCAGAGGGTCGTCCGCTTGTTATGGAATTCGTCACATACAGGTATGGTGGTCACTCCATGTCTGACCCCGGTACCACGTACAGGACTCGCGAGGAGATTCAGCAGATGCGATCGACCAATGATCCAATTGCAGGACTCAAGGCAAAGATTCTGGAATGGGGTGTGTGCGAGGAGCAGGAACTCAAGGATCTTGACAAGTCTGCGCGTGCTCGGGTCGATAAGGAGGTCAAAGAAGCTGAAGCATCACCTGCACCCACGGCAGACCTCAAGACGCTGTTTGAGGATGTGTATGTGCGTGGATCTGAGCCAGAGACCTTCCGTGGTCGCACTGTAGGTGAAGTCTTGAGCCGCAGTGAGTTGTCTGGACACAAGTAGAGCAGCAGAGTAGCAATCGCTTGATTTTTTGTCATCTGAAGAGTGTCGCATATGAAACGGCGCACAGTCACTTCCATGAGAACCACAACACGCTCATGCTTGAGTACGCTGCGTGATCTCACGCGATGCTTGGATGAGCAGCTTCTTTCGCTTCCTCTATAGTCCTTCCGTGGCTGACAAGCCAGTCAGTTATGCTTCGCTCTCACCTGCGCAACGCTTTACGCAATTCAAACTGACTTGGCTCACTGTTCAGCGCAGTAGTGCACTCTCTGGCAGGCATGAGCGACAGCAAACACTCATCTCTCTTGTCGATACGCTTTCTTCGATTCTACATGACGAAGTGACGAGACAAGGCAGAGGGCAGCGAGCGTCCTCGACAGCCGGAAGCTATGGCAAATCTTGCTTAGAGTATGCTCTACAGCGAGACGTCTTTGGCTGGTTGGTCGAGCTTGCCATTTCTCAAAAGCTTGGACAAGATGGAGAGCTAGGGCTAGCTAGATCTGTGGCTGGCTTCTTGACCAGCCTGGTAGAATCTCAAGACGACGACTTTTTAACGCACGAAGTTGTCTGCAAAGCGCATTTACGACTCCTTCGATTTCTGGGACATCTCAGAATACCGGCTGATAGCGAAGAGGCTAGGGAGTCGATGATGGAGCTGCTCTTTGCGATTTGTCAAAAGATTCGCCATTTCAGACCATTGCTGGCCATGTTTTTCGATGCGGACGCTTGGCGAGCACGGAACGATAGACCCAATGCTGAATCTTGCCAAGAAGATGAGTTCCTCATTTTTCATCTCTTGGCAAGTCAAATGCATCGTACAGGCCGTGCTGGCGATTTCGCACGCGCTGGCTTACTGATGATTGTTGAATCTGCGAATGATTCTGATGAGGTCCAGCGATGGATTGCTGAGTCCGATTTCCCGATCAAATTGACGGTGGCACTGGGTGCAGACTATACTATGCTGAGTGCAAAATTGGGACCATTGTATGATGTGAAGCAAAGTCTCTTGCTGGCCAGCAGCAGCATCAATACAGGTCAAGAAGACGTTTCTGCACTCGACACTGTACAAATAGACGGGCGAGATGGTATTGGCAAGTTCCTCGACAGTCTCCGATATTGGCAAGATATTCTCAATGCAGCGATAGGAACAGACTTGAGGCAGGCTCTGCTCGACACTTTTCAAATCCTCTTCCTGCAAAGCATCTTGTATCCATCGCTTCTTGGCACGGAAGCAGACGATGCAGCTTGTTTTTCTTATCTCGCGTCCATCATGCGCATCATCTCTCACCCAGACTTGGTGGATGTGACACTTAGCTACCTCTTTGCAACAGATGCCAGCAAGCAGACCTCGAACGCCGCCAAGCGTGCAACCATCATGATCCGCCAACAACTCGAGTTTGCGCCATCGCTCTTATCCCTCAGCGACATGATTATGGCCAACTTGAAGTCTTCATCCACAGAGACACGCGTTGCCACCATTCATCTTGTGGAAGCGCTGATGCGGGATCACTGGCACTATTGTATCCACTCACTCATGAAGACTGTTGCTGTTCCGAAAGGTCACGCAACCATTGGCCATCACAGGAAGGAAATGGCTATTCTGCAGGGTTTGACTAGTACCTCTCAAGAATTGAATGCAAGTCAAGCATTCGATTGCTATCTACAAGACACATTTGTTCATTTGGAGGCTCAGAATATGTCCATTGATGCACTATTTGAGGCATCCAGCGTTCAACACAATCTCACATCAGGTCGACAATTGCCAAAACACTTCTTCCACAGTATAGCGCCAGAAGATCCATTACTCTGCATCCTACTCGGTCTACTTGCAAACTGGTTCACAAACGATGTATCCCTCAATCTAGCACTGACAGGTCTTTTGCATGCATTGGCATCGTGCAGGTATCGTAGTCTTGCCGGTTGGTTGTTGTTTGCACCTGCTGATTCATGGCATGGCGAGCCAGGTGCGATTGCACCAGATTATACAATGCAGTCACCGGAGGACATCGAGGACGCCGCTTTACTGAAGGAATTGAAGGAGACGGAGGAATTACTCGGGCATGCGCAAGGATTGGAGATTGACGATGATGCATCTGATGATGAATTGGCGTTTGCTTCAAGTGAGCGCAGACAAGCTACTGAACAGGCATCTTTGTTGCCAAGCTGGACGCGGTTCCCTCCTTTGTTGACCATGCTCAAGACTCTGAGTGCTCAACGACGTCACTATCAAAGCGAAAACGACACACTCGAGACAGAAATTGCAGAACGCAGGCGAGCTTTCACGAGTGTAGAAGAAGGTGGCGAGGTTATCCAAGCAATGCTTGTTGCTGAAGCACTGGCCAGTCCGACAGCACAGTCACCATCTGCACAGAAAGCAGAACAAAGAAGCTTCTTGTCGCCGACATTGTCAAGAAGATTGACGGCACCGTCTATCCTCAGACGCATGACGAGCAGATCTTCTGTTCCCAGCACGCCATCGAAGCCAAGCAGCGGCACTGATAAGACATGTAGTTCACCATTCGCTGAACATTTCAGTACGACACAACGGTTGGTGCCTGCATTACATCCAATTGAGTTTCATACGTTGGCTGGTGGCAACTCGCCTGACTCACCCACAGATGGTTCTGCGCCAAGTCGTGCAGATGGCCCGTCTAAGCCAGATAGCCAGCGGCGCATCAGTCGACAGAGTGCTTCATTGGATCCTGGTCAATTGGCAACGAGCAGACTCATCAACAACATCATCTTGTTTGAGGAATTGGTCAAGGAACTCACTAGTATCGCACAGGTTCGAAGAATCTTATTTGAGCGTGATGCTTGTCTATTCACCTAATGCATACACAACTTCCCACCAGCCTTGCCCTTGTGATGTGCTCTAATTGCTGGAGAATTTTGCCTTGCCGAGGTCGAAGGGGATGTACTTGTACTTGACCATGTGTTGAATTTGACGTCGCATGGTGAGGAAGAAGAGGACAATGAAATACATAAGCAGGATGGGCCAAAACACTGGAATGTCAAAGATGGGCACCCATGACATGAAGAAGCTGAGGACGGCTGCTTTCGTTGCACTGAGCCAAAATTTGAATTCTGGCAATCTGCGGATAAAGGGTTTGTATTCATCTGACTGGCGCGTCGGCAGGTTTGATTCGCCATTCTCTGCATCTTCATCTGCAATCTCTTGCTCGAGACTCGGGTCAAACTTGGGTGTGAGGAATGCGAGAAAGAGGTTCAGGAGGTAGATGCCTAGACCGTAGGCGACTGGAGTGGTTAGCACAAAAGCACACAGTCAAATGAGAGTAAAGCGTACTGATATACCAGCCTTGAGCATAGACAATACGAAGCATGAATAGCACCAGGAGGCCGCTTGTCGCGGCCCACCGAATACCGAAATGCGGCACGGATTGATCGAGTGTGGTTTGGTAGATTTGAAAAGCACGTAACCTGAGCGCGTTGTACTTTGCCATCAGCGCGTTGCCGTCAGCATTATCGGGCCCGTCCATGGCTGCTTGAGTACACGAGCAGGCTTGGGCCTCTTACTAGAATGCGCCGTTCAAAGCTTCCTCTTGTCGGCGTCCTGCTCTGATGTGGCAGAAAGCGAAAGTTCGAGGACGCGACGAGAAGAGCACGTGAGCAGTCGAAATGGCAGCCCATCTGAATGCTGCTTCTCTGTTTTGTCGCCGGCATTTTTGCGCATCCGGAGCAACGGTAGCTGCTGACATTGCCATCTACACAAACAAGCTTCTGTATTACTGTATACTTAGTGTGCCTGGCTGCTCGAGCTCAACTATGGGCTCTACCAGCTCTGGATCGTTTGTGCATGCTGCTGCTCCCAAGACCTCCAAAGCTCACCAGTTCTTCACCTCTGACAAGTGGACAAACATCAAAATTGGCTTTCGCCTTGCAGCAGGCGTCACCATTGCGCTATGTCTGCCCCAAAATGCAAAGATATCGGGCCTCTTCTCAACAGTGGGCTATGTGCTTGGCATCTTTACTCTTCTGTTTCAGATTCAAGCGACCACGCGAGCTGCAATGGTTGAGCGTGTTGTTCTAGCCGGGACATTCACGGGAGCTATTATACCCTTCTGTATTTTGGGCTACTTTTGTGCAAAATCTGCAAAAGACCCAGCAACAACACAACAGACGCTAGTCGCATACGTCACTGCTCAACAGCAAGGCATTGTGCGGGGCCCAGACATATTCTATCAAGGCAGAGCTGCTGCGGTCGCTGCAGTCTTTCTCTTCATTCTTACGTGGGCAGCGAATGTACGTCTTTAATATTCATGCATCAGTACACTAACAGTACACTAACAATCAGGTGTTGAAGACACTGTTCATTGCGCAAACGTTTACAATTTTCGGCGGAGTCATCTTAGCTGGTCAGTGCTTCATTTGTGTTACCAAAGACGGCCCGCTAACTCTCCAGGTATCATATTTATTGAAGGCTGGCTCTTCCCTAGCTGGGACCAATTCTACAGCCTATTGCGTCAGCTCATCTACGCAATTTACGCATCTCTAGCCATCGCATTCGCGTGCAACCTGCTCATCTTTCCTTACAACGCTCGCGAAGCATACCTGTCCCAGGTGGACAAGTTTCTTAGCACTGCAGAGCAAATGACATCCTGCCAAACAGATCATTTTTCGACTGCACATCGCCGCAGTCAAGCAGAGAGTGAGAAGGTAAAGGACGGCGCAAGTGAAGGCTCGCATGAAACAAAACAGCCGAAGAAGAAAGGCTTGGCTGGGCTCCTTGGTCAACGTGAGAAGCCAAAGCCAACACAAATTGAGAAGCTGAAGGGCCTTCGAACAGCGTTGACAGGTTTGGCAACGGCTATTGTTCAAGCAAAGACGCCAGCCAAGCGTGAATTCGCATATGGTCATCTCAAAGTCAACGACCTTGAGTCATTGGCAAAGTCATGCCAGTCATTAGTTGTTCCATTATTTGGCCTGAACTTGTGGTCTCAGATATCAGACTTGCTTCATGGAGATATCTCTGCAGCTGACGACGAAGTCCGAGAGGCATTCATCGAGGCAATTGGATTAGAAAACACAGATGAGGTCGATAAGGAAGAGCTGTTTCGTCACATGGAAGACCATGTTCTACCGCGCTTCAATCGACTGACGTCCTTGTGTTCAGCCAGCATCTTGCACATCAAGCAGGGACTTCATCTTGGGCCGTGGAAACGTCCAGCATTCTGGCTACGTCCTTTCATCAAGTCGCCTGCCCCTCATTCAGGCCGCGACGACAATTTTACAGCAGAGTTTGAGGCGGAGATCAAGCAATTCTGGGCTTCAAAAAGCTCTTCTGGTAGTGCCTTGCACAATGGAGGAGAGGGAAATCGCCGGCTATTGTCCATCGTGTACATGGACTCAACACTATACGATTTGGCCAACAAGCTACTCAGCTTTTGCAAATGGATCGACTCACTTCATGCCACAGGGGTCATGTCAAAAAGACACTTCATCCGCCCATCTGTCAAACGCTACAAGAAAGCTCTGCGAAAAGCATGGGTCGGCATTTCTCAACATGCAAATCCTCCAAAGGACGGTTTGAGCAGAGTCAAGTCTGGTATGCTCGGCGCTGATGATTCAGCTCGCTCTAATGAATCGAGTGACAGTGCATCAGCCTTGTTCCTAAACACTGGAAATCCAACGCTCATTCCGCGCACGTCTCTGTTGTCCAAGGTTGGCATGTTCTTCTACCGTATCCTCAAATTCTTGGAGAGCCCAGTCTCCCGTTTTGGTTTCCGTGCAGCAATAGCAATGACGGTGTCGGCTTTGCCTGTGTATTTTCCGGATTCATGTCGAGCCTTTCTGGAGTACCGCCTCTTATGGATCGTTTTCACAGTGCTGCTAGGTCTACAGCCCGTGCTCGGCCGTGGCGTCTTTTCGAGCGTCTTGCGAGTCGTGGCCACCATTATTGGCGGCGTGCTAGGATTGCTGTGTGTTGAGATTGGCAGGGTACCAGGTGGTATTCTCGTGGTCTTTTTCATTACGCTTTTTCCACAATGCCTTTTACTCATGGCTCAACCACAGCTCATGTTGCTACCAGTGTTACTCTCTGCCATCACTGGCGAACTGGTCGTTGGTTACTACCTCACCACAGTCAACTTGCCACGCGCAACCTTGGAAAGATCAGGCCAGATTGTTCTTGGCGCTCCAGCTATCATGGGCTACAGAATATTGCTTACTCTAGCTGGCGTTGTCATTGCATTGATCTTCTCCGTCTTTCCTGCATTGCCAACAGGGCGCACCCTCTTGAGGGATGTTACATCACAGCGCTTCTTTACTATAGCAGACCTCTACATGCTTACGTCACTGCGCGGTGCAGGAAATCGATACATCTTGCCAAACGGCATCGAAAAGGCGATTGGAGACTTACAAAAAGATGGGATTGGCTTGTCTGCGAATGCACACCAGCTGGTCATGATGACCAAATTTGAACCGTCGCCCAGAGGCACCTTCCCGCAAGGCAAGTGGAATGAGCTCATTACTCTGATCGATAACCTCAACACCTGTCTCGCTGTATCCAATGCGCGGTTCTCTGATGTATTAGCGGCCGCACCGGAGCTGGAAGTGTCGAAATTGCTATTGCATTCTGACAGTGACAAGTATTTTCGTGTTGTTACGTCTATTCTGTTTGCGCTTGGCAATTCTTACAACTTGTGGCAACCATTGCCGCCTGTCTTGCCATCACCCATGAAGGCACATCTGGATACGCAAAAAGGAATGTACAAGTTCCGGCATATTGTTGCAAGAGAGGCGGCCACGGATGATGCTGTTGCACAGTTTGGTGCGTACCTTGTCACGAATGCGATGATGACGCATCTCTTGGAACGGATATTGCGTTTGACTGGTGAGTTGATTGGTGTCAGCGGATATAAGAGTTATTTGCAGTCGCACAAGCGGCAGCATAAAGACTAGTACTTGTTGTAAGGCGTGGGTAGTTTTTGTACATGATTGATTAGAGTTCGTCCTTCTTCAGGCCAGTACTGAATGCCTTGAGGTCCTCAAGCTGGATCTTCTTGAGAGTAGAATCCTCAGTAGCATCCAAGACGACACGAGGCACCCCTGCTTTGCTCAAATCTCCAGCTTTGTAAGCATCCAGAGCCTGCTTCCATCGGCTGACACATAAGCACCACTTGCAGTCTTGCGTCAATCCAATTGTACGCAGGTCGTTACCAGCTTCTGCAGAGAACTGGAGGAACTCGTCAGTCACGATTGCAGCGACAGCATGCTGCCCATAGTCCTGTGGCGAGGTGCGACAATAGCCGTCGCGGAAGAAGCCCGTCTTCATGAAGCTTGGGCCGCCAAAGTAGGCGAGCGGCTTGCCTAAAGGAATGAGCAAAGCTTATAGATGCGTTCAGCTGTACGTACCGAGAACATTGAGTGAGCTTGTTGACATGTTTGGATGCGGTCCTTGACTCGACCGTTCATTTTTGCCTGTGAGATTTTGATGATCGGAGTGCTCGGCTAAATTCCGATGCCAGGCCAGTGCTCTACACCAAAAGCTTAGCAAATGCCTAACTTCAAACTACAGACACTGGTCTGTTCAAATCTGCCCTAGTGCAGCAGACTCAACATGCTCCAAGTAATGAAATGGTGCTGGGTACTTCTGCTACAGTCAAGAAGATGTAGTTTCATGGGGCAAGATGATGGAGTCTGACCATTGAAATCTTAGGCACCTGCCTAATACTCATGACAGTCGCTCTTTCTACTCAGAGCATGGAGAATTCGAGAAGTCAATCACGCTGCACTCTTTGCTTACTCTTGGCGATGCTATTTCCAGACGCACAATCTCTACCTTCTACCCGGTGTCTTTCACTCCGCTCTTGGTTCTTTTGATAACATGCACATGCGGAACTTTGCTCCGCCCCCTAATTTGCTTTCAGAAGCCATCGCGAGGACGAGGAGCCATAAGATAATCTGTGCAGCAAAAGCTCCGATGATGACGAGAATGGTTGTCTCGGCGGCTGCATTGTAGAAGGTCATATGTTGTATTGAGCTCCATGATGGCCTCTTTAGTGAGCCAAATCGTCTTGCAGAGTGTACCACACCAACTATGATTGGCTGCCGACGATCAAGCAGAACGGGCAATTGATTGCCCTTGTGCTCGGATCAACTGGTATCCAGTCATGGAGGGCAACTCACTGAAACCGCAGTTCAAATTGTTATGCTATATCGAGTCGAAAAATCGAAGCTAGTTCACCTAGGTAGAATGGACTCCACAATGAGCACTTCAGTAGCATGTGTCAGTCTCAGCTTTGTTGAAAAGAGGTCTATTAGGAACTTGAGGACTTGTGAGTTGCTTTGCCATCAAAGAAAGCTCATAGGAGCACTTCCTGTGTTGGACTGACACATAGGAGGGCTGTTTGGCAGATTATCTGCATCATTCTTTGTGGTCAAGCCGGTGGGGCATTCAACTAAATTTTCGTCCGTGGCCGGCAGTCCGAATTCATTCATCCACGAGCCCGATTGGTAATCGGAGGATCCTTGCGCCAATCTGTGGAATTGCTGATCTTGTGAATTGTGTGCTGGCGAAAAATGAGTGCTTTGGCTTGTACCTGATGTTTGAGCCGCCTTTCCATCCAAACAGACTGTGCCTGGCGGCGCAAGACACGTTTCTCTATTCGAACGGTGATATTGCTTTGGTGTTGGACCACCCGGTGTACAAGTACGAGGCCTCCAGCTGCAGGTGTGCTCGTCCACCGCACTTTCGAAGTTTTTGCAATAGCATTCCTGGCCCCACCTGATACAGTCGCAGGGAATGTTCTGAGCTTCAACTTTGCCTTCTAGCAGGCTCACTTGCCAACCATCTCCCAAATCCAATCGAGCGGGCGAGAGTAAGAATATATCGATCATATCTTGCGGGTGACAGGTGGGCTTGTTGAACTTTGCCCTTTTGGCGGTCTCCCAATACTGTTTTGTTTGATTTGGTGAGATTTTGATGTTGTCTCGGTCCACCGGCATTTTGATGTTCTCAAAGTTGTGAAGTATTTGACAACCACAGTCCAAAGAGCAAGAACTAGATTTTATCCGCTTCCAACTGCCACCAGCAATACCAAGACTGATGCGACCTGGATCGCTTTGCAGACAGACATTTCGTCGCAAGCCTGTCAATTTGAATTTGTGCTTGTAATTCTTTTGGTAAATTTTCTCCATCCCCGTGCACAATTCTTGACACGACTCCCGAGCCAGTCCATTGGCTATTTGTAAGGCCTTAGGATCCTTACGTCGCTGCTCCTCCACTTTCACCACTCAAGCGACTATACGTATGTAGTAGGCCTGAGAATGAGATGTGGAAGAGATTAAAGTATGGAAAAGGTAAGAAGAGAGCATATAAAGGAGCTGCCAGCACAGCAAGTCCGGGAGCACGTGCTATGCCATCTGATTGGTGAGGCCTCCGAGCTGATGTGAGGTCGCATCTCACCCTGCGGCCTTACACTATTCCTCGATCGCGAACATGGCAGGTTTTGTCAGGCACTTCTAGGCTGAACATTTTGAAAATGGCAAAAGTCGCGTTGTAACACATGCGATCTTCATCCTTCTCTAGAATCCAAAAGGTTGTGTTGAGTTCTGGGGGTATTTCGAGAGAGTCTGAGCCAGGCCAGAGCTTGCTTGCTTCAGAAATTGCAGCGGTGCTTGCTTTAGGGCCTTTTGCGTTTCCAGCGACTGATTTACCCTTCGCCTTTGGCCTGCCAGGCACAGCAACAGCTGCTGCAGGCTTATGCAGTGGCAGGTAGACAGAAAAGAAAAACGCAACAATTGCCAGTGTAGCCGAAGCCATTCGAAGGGATCGTTCGAGTCGCATACTTGGAGATCACTGCTGATAGATGCTGTGAACTTGCGATCAGTGGGAGCCCAAAAGAATTGGTTTCAACCGCGGCTGAAGTTGCGTATTGTCAACTGGCAGGCGTTGTCAGCAGTTCAGCAGTAAGATTTTCAATGCCTATATAAAAGGTACCCTAACCACGTGGGGCAGATTCTGTGCTCGAACTCTCCATTTTCTTGTTGGTCTTCTCGTTTTTGATTTGCAGTTGAACAAAGCCGAGACGGCAAGATATCTGCTGAAATATACCTATCAACAAAGATATCTTGAGCTCCACATACTCTGAATCATCACTAAGATATTCTCTGTAATAAAAGCTCGGGGCATTCAATGTTCAAGGTGAATATAAAAAGAACTTGCATTACAGGAAATTTTCACGGCTTATGAAGCGGTCAAAAACGGTGTAAGACTGGCGCAGGTGATAGAAAGGCGATGATTGACGCGTAGTAAACGGGCGCTCAACAAGTGACGACCGGCGATAGCTGGTGATTAGCACGCGGCGAGCTGCATGAGGCGAGTCAGGGCTTTGAATAGATCAGGCAAAGCTCTAGAGCAAGGGAATCTTACTATGTACTTCCTACAGCTGTTGTGCAAGGTGTCTTGCACGCTTGCTGCATTTCCGTGCTTGATCCATTCCGCCGGCAGTGGCGGCGCTTCAGTCCCTGTCATTTTCTACAGCCTGAAGCAGCTGAGCTTTTGCCGTCCTTGACCGGTTGCGTTTGCCCTGTAGTAGTCAGTATGAGACAAGACCAACGATAGCAGAGGAAGTGTACCGTACGACGGGGCTGTGTGGTCTCCCGATCGCTGTCGTTGTTTTGTTCATCGTTACACGCAGTGAATTGTGCGTCGCGACATGCCGTTCGCGCCTGCGTGTCGTCATCCTGCTCGTGATGAAGCTCGATATATCGTGTGTTGCGTCGTGCTTGTCGTACCTGCGTGACTTTCTCGTCGTTGGTTTCTTGCTGCACTGCCTCTGCCCCTGCCAAGCGCTTTTTGTGCCTCGATCGCTGTTGTCCGTAGGGAACCGTTGCGTAATTGTTGGACGTCATCACGTACGGCAAATTGCAGATGCTTGAGACCATGCTGGAGATGGCCACGGAGATCCAATTTACTTGTGCCCTAGCAAGCGACGAAAAGACCCGTTCGAGATGACGGACTGCCTTCCTGAGCTCGGCATTGTCGCGATCTTTCCAGCTAACTAGATTGCCTCGCTGGTCTTTGAGAAAGTCATATGCGTCACTGTAGTGGCGAGCAGCGCCTAGGTTAGCACTCCACTGCGTGTTGGTTGCCGCGCTTGATGGCCACAGACACAGCCCCTCGCGAATGGATTCGACAGTCTGGGTTTCATTACGCTTAGACTCATCCTTTGACACGCGTCGTGGACATGCCGGTGCCTTTATCATACGTGTATTGTGTGCAAGCCGTTCAAATTGGTCTATATCAACCTTCTGCAGCTGAATGCGTTTGATACAGAGTGGTGCAACAGAAGAGATGGACCGTCATTAAATGAGGCTATGAGGTTGCTTTGGCCGCACCTGCTGCAATGCCAGTTCGAGGCTGCTGCCTGGTTCTGTGCACGACGAGGGTAAGATGCTTTTATCAAAGACATTGCGCAAGACTCTAGCATACCGAACATCTGTAGCAAGTGCGAGGAGGCGCACTACTAGCTTTGCTGCGGCAGAGTCAAGGATGAGATGTCAGGATGATGGCTGTTCAGTGTTCATATTTGCTTGGCAGGTTGGACTCCATGTGCATCGCTCTATGTATAACAGTATTGAGCTGACTTTGCTCAGACATACTTGAGAGACAGCATCAAAGGAAGAGAGTTCTCGGAGATGCGCGTCTAGAATAGGGCGCTTGCGTGTGCTGTAACTTTGGATCGTACTGTAGCGAGTAGCGCCTTGGGGCGGGCACAGTGGCCAAAGTTCAGAAACAAAAGCCCAACTTCACGAGCACATACACCGACGACTTGGTCCCATATGCATGTCAACATGTTAACTTTGCTAAGCTGATCTAGAGGTCATGTGGAACGCGTGTGTGCATAGTTGTCTTCATGACGATTCCGATCGTTGTGTATGAGCCGGACGAATGCCAGCTTCTGTGTCTACATGGATGATATATCTCAATGTATAGCTACGGTCTAGGAAATCATAATAAACAGCGGTCGCTTTATATTTGTCATCGATCACCGGTTCTTCACCAGCGTCTGTGTCGGCAACAGGAGATGCAAATGTGACAATTACTGCTGTGTATGTTGAGCAAATTGATGCGTGTCGGTTTGGGTCTTGTTCCGTGTGTGGCTGGCTGAATTTGATGTTGTAGTGGCAAGACGTGCGTATGAAAGAAGCAAAGTTGAATGACGGAAGCTGTGATCCGGAGCTGCGAGGTGTCGATCGGCGCTCTTCGATACGCATCTGAAGCCTTGATTGCTGCAGTCTTGTCATCGTCTGTAAGCGTCTTTTGGTCCTTCTCAGTATGCTCAACAGTTGCCAGTTGCCATAGTGAGCATGGTGAAGCTATTCAACCACCTGCTGTTAGATTCTTGAGGCGTTTTTGCTGTTTTGCGCTCTGTGGTCGCAGTTTTCTTGATCGTACCGGAGACGTGACCAAATCCCTCCTGGTCTCCATCCTCCTACCTCTGTCCATGACTGCCTAAGAAAAAGCAGTGAGAGGTACTGTCAGGTTAAATCATAGGAGGGACAATGAAATCATCTCCAGCGCGTAAAGAACTTGAACATACGGCGCAGCGCAATAGGATATCGTACAAACATCAGTCATGCTCATGTGAGGAAGGCTCGCGCTGGCCGCAACTGTGTAGTTCCAGTGGGTGTGGTGGGATTTAGCTAAAAAAAGCTACGTCGTATTCAGCTCAACTACTGTCCTCCATTATAAGAAGGAAGCAAAACAGAGAACCCACCCGCACAAGATTTTCCTAGCTCTCCACGCAGAACAACGCTTTAGTGCTGTAAGGCAATTGGCAGGTCATAAAAGACACAGCATATCTCGTCGATCCCAGTGCTAGTCTCAATAGTGATGCTGTTCCCCAGCGTATTCGTAGCAAGGATTGCCGTAGCAAGCCTACCACAAGACCAGACAGGCTGGCCAGCCCAATGCTTTTTCGAAAAAATCCCGAAAAAAGCTTCGAAGCAAGCCGTTTCGACTAGTATGGTGAGATCCACTCATGGTGAGAGCGAGAAGGGGACACTCCCAAAGTGGGCATGCTGGACTACGCGGTCAGGAAACAGCGTATCGGGACCGGCACAGGAAGAACGAGGGCTCCATTCGGGGACCAGGCAGAACCCCGACCGATTTGATAATCAATGCCGCAAGGGCCGGCAATGATGCAGTAGGTGGTCGTTATTTGCCAGAAAGTAGACTGGAGGGAGCTGTACGCTTTAACCGCATGCGCCAAAGGTATAATAAGCTCAGATGAGACCTCCGGGGCCCCAGGTTGACTTTGGTGTTGACCTAGTTGCTGCCATTTGTTGTTGGGAGACGACAGATGCTCCAAGAGAGTGGAAGGGAACTCTCTTACCTGTTTGATTGATGTTTGAGCCCGAGCAGGAGTGACCAGGCTCTTCAAGACGACAAGTCGGTGTCAAAAACAGGGCGAAAAAATTTTATCACCTGCCAATTTTGCACGAATACAGCGGACAGGTGCCTGCTGATCTACCGTGCTTGCAAGGAGGCGCTGCCGTTCAGCGTGAGTCTCCTTGTCTTTACGCTGACTGACCGAATCCCCTGCTCTGTAGCGTCATCCTCAGAGCACGTTTCCACCAAAAAGTGACTTTATGATGTGTTGGTTCGGGTGGTGTGCAAATTTGTCTGGCGCGCGATGACAAACATCAAATTCCAAACCTGTGGCCACAAACCAACTCACCCAGCTGCTGCAGCTTCAATATTAGCTTGCCAAGATCCGGCTTGAAAGACTCTCATTATCACTGTCATCTGAGATCAACTTATTGTCTCCCTTCTTAGGACTTCAGCTGGCCAGCCCTGGATTGCTATTGTAACGCCGATGAAGGTTGGCAAAAGCAATTGCGAGCAAGGAGATCAGACTGGGACTTTGATTATCAAACTGGATTTTCATGGTCCCTTTTTTTGTGCAGAGCGGATCATTTCAAGATCGGAGATCAAGATCTATTCTTGTGCGCACCTTTACCTTTCACAACACCACGCTTGTCAGTAGGACCAGGCAGTATCTACCACGGGAATGGACTCTAATTCCTTGCAGGTCTTTCACAACGGAACTTTCGGAGGCTTCTACAACAAGGTCATTGACATGGTACGGCTTATGGCTCTTCAATCACGACAGTTGGCCCTCGCGCTCGTGTTCAGTACCCGTGTACATGCACAAATCCGCATTTCACATCGATACTCTCGCGTGATTCGCATACACAGGACTACCTATATACGTTCAGAAACTTGTGTAGGAGCTGAAGAGCAGCGACCATAAAAGTCTTCCACGTGATGCGGACTTTAATTGGTTGCGGCACGCGTCAAAAAGTCAATTATAGGCTCACAACTTACGCGTTTTATCCATGGTTTAGAATAGATGGAGCTTGCAATTGCAGAGGCACGCGCATCTGACGCTCCTGTATTAGCAAGGATAGCTAGAAAGCATGGAATCAGTCGACCAGCCCTCAGCCGTCGATTTCATGGCCTATCCACCTCCAAAGCCCGCAGGGAGGAAAACAAGCAGGCGCTCTCCAACCATCAGGAGAAAATGATCATAGATCAGATCAAGCAATTGAGTGATCTTTGCCTTCCACCCCCACCAGCTTTTATAATCTCGCTAGCTTCGAGATTGGCTGGCCGACCGCTTTCAAAAAATTGGGCAAGCCGCTTTGTTCAGCGCCACAACAATATTTTGGACAGCCGATATCTTCAGAATATCGACTTAGCTCGTCACAAGGCTGATAGTCTCACTAGCTATGAGTCTTACTTCAATGGTTTGGCTGCTGTTATTCAGAGAAACAACATCACGGCGGAGAACATGTACAATATGGACGAGAAAGGGTTCATGATTGGAGTCTCGCAGAAGACACGCCGGGTGTTCGCTAAGCAGAAATCTGAGCTCGATGAGCTTCCCAGAGCTGGGCAGGATGGTAACCGAGAATGGGTCACTATTCTAGCGACAATCTGTGCTGATGGGACGACTTTATCGCCTGCTGTTATCTACAAGGCTGACTCCGGCGACATTCAAAATGCCTGGATCGAGGATTTCAAGACAGATGAGCACAATTGCTATTTTGCAAGCTCGCCCAACGGGTGGACATCTGATGAGCTCGCCATGCACTGGCTCGTGGACATTTTCGACAAGGAGTCGCGACGTAAATCCAGACGCTCCTGGAGACTCTTATTTCTTGATGGTCACGGCTCGCACCTGAACACAAAATTCATCAGCAAGTGCACTGAACTGAAGATCTACCTTGCCTTCTATCCGCCTCACTCGACGCATAGATTGCAACCTTTGGATGTTGGCTGCTTCAGCCCTTTGGCCAGTTACTATAGCCAAGGCCTCAATCAGATGGTCACAGATTCAGGAGGACAGTGCTCGATCAAGAAGCGAGATTTCTTTCCCATCTTTTGGCTGGCCTATCAGAAGACCTTTGTGAAGAAGACTGTCGAGTCTGCCTGGGAAAAGACTGGCATTTGGCCGTTCAATCCGGAGATAGCCCTGGGTCCTTTGCGCAAAAGGCCAGCGACTCCATTACCCGCTCAAGCCCAACAACAGCACGATAGTCCAAGACCACCAACTGGAGTATGTACTGTGTCCAGACCAACGAAGATGCGCCGGTTCTTGGTGCAGACAACTGCCAATGCTGATCAAAAATCGCAAAAGTCCCTCCAATTCCTGGCGCACCGGCTTTTTGAGGTCCAAACAGCGTATGAAGCCGTAAAGCTGGAGAACTCGCAGCTAAAGGCTGTTGCCAAGCGAAATCAGCCAAGGAAGAAAAGACAGTTGAAGGTTGGGGAGCAGCTGAGGTCGGATGGACGGACAGGCGCTTTATTTGTTGGCCCTATCGAGGTCCAGCATGCACGAGACATTGAAGCTAAGCGTGCACAAGAACGGGACATGCTAGTCGAGCAAAGGGCGGCTGAAAAGACAGCCAGGGCTATCAAAAAGGCAGACAAGGAAGCTGAGGCTCAACAGAAACGGGAGGCTCGCGCTGCAGCCAAAGTTGCTAAGGAAGCCGCCGCAGCGGAAAAGAAGGCTGTTTCTCTGGCCAGCCATGCTGTGAAGCAAGCTCAAAAGAAGCCCAATCAGGCTTACAAGTCAGCTGTGGTCAATCAAGAAGAGAATCCAGGGTCGAAATTGACTGAAGCCGCGGGTTTCATGGTAGAGGGGAAGACTTTGAGTGCAGAGCCTGGAAATGTCACCTTCACACGATCTGGGCGCCTCAGTTCGAAACCAATGCATAAGCGCCTCTAAACAGATATTTATAGATAGATTAGACAGTAGTTTTAGCTCCAGCAGACTTAGAATCAGTTTGAATCACCACCGGCCGCAATACTAGCCTTTGTATTTGTGGTGTTTCATTTGTGAAAGCGTGCCGCTCCATCTGGAGGTTCGCATCACGTGGAAGACTTTTACTATATTCAAACACGCACAAGAAAAAATCCATTTTCACATCTACTGCTTTATACTTATTCGAGCTCAACAGCTTGACAGCCGCGGATCAAGTGCTTATACACGAGCAATCTTCATTGACGAAGAGTAGAGAGCTATGATGCATTGAATAATTTGTGAGTCTCTCCTGAACCATAGGTAAGTTACAGATATACTTGATTCGTTGTCTTGCATAGAGCTGGTATGCTTGGTCAGCAGCTAAAGGCTCCAGGCTAAGAGCTTTGATCAAAACATCATTTGTAGCAATGATGCAAGTCGTTTGGTTATGCAGCTACAGATGAGCGTGAAGATACGATGGGCCTGTGACTGGCCTCGAACCCTGTTGCTGGCCTCAAACCGAGCTCACATTGGCCTGCTGCAGATGCCAGACGACCGATGAAAAATCTCAATACCTGACCTCATATGCGCCAGAGAAAGTCTTCATAGAGCCGAAAGCTCGAAGTTGCAAGCTGATGGCAAATTTCCCACGATTGCGCAATGCGCACAATTTTCTTGACACGTTTCCTTTTCATGTTTTCGATTGACACAACACGCTCTCATCTGTTGCAGCTACTAGATCAGCGCACTACTACACTCAGCTAAACCATGATCATTGAGCTTTGCATGCGGCTCCGTTCATTGCCTTCCAGCTCTTTGTCACTGACACTGTTGCTTGTAACGCGAATCGGCCTGCTTCAGCTGCCGCTGCAGCTAAATCAATTCTTGCCAATTCTTGGGGTGGCTGTTCGCGGCTCTACCAATGCAATGCCCGTCAACAACGCAGACTATCGTGCTCGTCAAAATCGGCCTGCTGAGGATCTGAAGATCAAGCTTTCCCGGGCAAGGTCTTGGATGCCCAGCAGGAAGGCGGTGTATCAGGAAGAAAATGCTATAATGCCACTTTTGATTATCTCGCATTTGATCTAGTAAAGGCAAATGACCACGGAAATTACGAAGCTGGAAGGCTCGAATGCAGGGAATTTTGCCAGGAGGAGATTGCTCAATACGCAAAACAGATTTTCTCCGAACTCAACAAGCCTGTAGGACCCAATCATATCAGGTGTTCTCAAGATCAGTCATTTGCATTCAAAGTCCAAGAAAACATTTATCACCCCAAGGGAGCCTCTTGTGCTGACCGTCGTCAATGTCCTTATGCGCCTTCGACATGTGCTTGTCGAGTGACTGTTTTCCTGAAATCTATCTCGATGATCAAAATCCAGCAAGGAAGAGGACCGGTTTATTACTTATCGCCGGATGTCAGTTATGCTAAGTTGCATCTTAGCCCGTTCGAGAAAGAAAAAATGATATTTCGCAATTCGCACGAGTGTGCTGTGGATAAAATGGCCGAACGTCTGAAGCCGATGACGACAGGCGTATTAGACTGGACAAGGGCGAAACCTGTGGTGGAAGCGGAGGGAATTAAATGCGAAAACCCGGGCGGACATTGTTCTTGTGCCAAACCAAGCCGTGATGGACTTCATACGCCTTGGGTATGTGAGGAACACCGAATGGAAAGCAAGGTTGAGGTATGTTCAGTCATTGATGCCTTCCGAACACAAGGCACAGGTCATTCGCATCGGCCATCATCGTCAAATGTCCAAGAACAAAGGCAACAGTCGGATCGTGGTAAGACGCAGGACTTTGGCTATGCACCTTTTTTGCCAAACAACACCTTTTTTGAAGGCCCACCTCGTTACTTCACAGCCTACTCAAGGCTTTGCGAAGCACCGCATCCTCAAGATGCTTCCACCTCAAACCCAGCTTCGCAACCAGGTACAAATCTTGCGCAATGCTTTCCGATTCAATCTTACTACGAATATCATCCAGCCGCCTTTAGCTTCGACCTAAATGACCCCCCTGCTCATGATCCAAGGTTTTTTCCGGCTTACGACCCCAACTCGCTTACAAGTGCAGCGCCAAATCCCAACGCGGGTGCCCCTTCCAACCCGGGCACATCGTCCTACCCTGATTATGTGCGAACTCCGGCAGATGAAGCGTATTATGATGACTTTCACGGCCGAAACAACTGGCCGCCATCTTGGCGCTAATGAAAAGCAAGATCGAACTATAGAAGAATATTATAGACTCTGCATAGATATCCTCATTCTTCGTCATTTAGCTGGCTCCTCTAGCTGTCGGCGTGACTCCTACAATACTGAGGAGGGGGCCGACACTTGTTAGGTAAGTTAATGTTCCGCCATTGATTGTAAGCGTCGCTATAGCCAGTCCAATGCAGAAGATACTTCCATTGTTTGTTCTCGAGCTTGCAGTTCACGACGGAATCGACTTCTCATCTGCTATGTCTATTGAGTTTTGTAGGCTGGGGACAAAGCTATGAAGGGGGAAAGCGCCAGTCGACTTGTTGTGGCAGACAAGGCGAGAAATCTGGATGAACGCCCTACGGAAAATTTACCGGAGTGTACCGGAGCCAAGCGGCGGATTACCGTGAGAAATTCTCCAAGTACAGCGGATTACCGGAGCCAACCGACTTCCAAACTTGCACACCGGAGGAAAACCAGCGGATATGAAGAGGCAAAATAACTGAGCCACGCTAAAAGGCAGACAACACGCAAGTCAATCACTGTTATTAAGTGAACAGAGGCCAACATCCGCTCATCATCAAATCTAGAAGCTATTTATACTGGATTCGATAGCCCTCAGCTACCCATAAAGAGTGCTTCTGCTCTCGTAAGCGTCGTTTTCGCTTAAGCAGCTTGCCTGCTCTTTTCTTGTCGAGCTCTGTTCTCTCAAATAGGCCAATTGGTTCAAAAAGACGGCAGACCCGCACAATGACCTGCAATATGTGTCCTTGCTTGCTAAGAGACTTTGTGTCGCAGAACGACATGGTCTTCAAGACCTTGATGTTCGCAAAATGCCCGCCATCGTGTTCAAATAGAAAGTGAACTTTCCCATAGCTCACTATCGCATTGTCGTCAACCTCAGACGCTTCATGCGTCTGCTCACTGAACGCGACCTTGCTTCGTGAATGGGTACTAACTTACCTGGCTCGACAATGCTTTGCGAATGATTTCGACAGCCTGCAACCCAGTAAGCTTGTAACCATCCACGGACACACGTCGTAGTCGTGTTGATGCCTTGATCATGCCAGTATCGTGTGCAAGGCGATCGAATTGGTCAAGATCATCTTCCTGAATGCGTTTGAGTAGCGCAGTGTATCGAACGAGATAAAGACGTTGTCAGATCAAGCCATGAGTCTGTTGTTGGTTGTGCCTGCTGCTTTGCCAGTTCAAGGCTGCTGAGCTGGTTCCGTGAATGACTCGGGGAAAAGTCTTGGATCAAAAGCACTGAGCAAGGCTCTAGCATGCTGATCACCTGTTGTAAGAGCAAGTAGACGCGCTACTTGCTTCGCTCTGATAGAGTCAAGATTGAGGTTGTCGGCTGTCCATCTGCTTGGCAGACTGTTCATTTGCTTGGCAGACTAAACTCTGCCGAGCTACGCAGGACAGCATTGATCGGACTTTGTTGGTGTCAGGCATACTTGGAAGATAGAGTCAAAGAAAGGAAGGGCAGAGATGCGCGTCTAGAGTGGAGCGCTGCTTACAGTGACCATGAGGCATACTGTAGTCTGTAGCTGGTCGAGAGTCGCAAGGTGGCCAAAGTTCAAAACCAACAAAGTCCAACTTCACAACGAGCACAGCACACCGACGGCTCGACTTCCTTGCTTCTTGAAGCCTTGGAAATAAAGCCACTCGCGTTGGATAGCAGAGGAATACGGCTCCAGAACGACGATTTTATATGTAGCTGACCATGTTATGCAGATCGAGGGATTATGTGGTTTGGTATACTCGGTAGATAGGATTGCTTCCAATCCAATCGTTGCTCATGAGCTGGATGAATGCCAATGTAAAGTTCAAATTGGAAGTGCTCTCTATATGCATAGCTATAGTGCAGGCAACAGTCATCATCAGCGTCTGCTATTTGTATTCCGTCGATTGCTGGCTCTTCACAAGCGTCTGGAAGCAGTGTTTTGGCTTGCTCCAGTATTTCACCAGCATTACCGGGTTATCAGCTGCGAGTCATCCAAGAGTCATTAGTGCGTACCAGTCTTCACCAGCGATTTTCCATGGGGTTGCTGGCCTCAAAACGAGCTTCCATTGGCCTATTGCAGATACATGACAATCAAGAGTCTCCATCCCCCATCTTCATATGCGACATAAGAAGGCTTGGTGGCCCCAGAATCTTGAAGTTGTAAGATAATGGCAGATTTCCCACGGTTATTGCGCACATTGCTTCTTGACTTCTTGACACGTCTTCTTTTCACGTTGTCGAATCCGGGATCCTGGAGCACGTTCTCATCTGCTGCAGCCACTACAGTCATCCAAAACATCATCACCGAACTGCTCATGCCGCTTCAATGTCCCAGCTCCTTGTCGCTGACACTACTGATTGTGCTGCATATCAGTCTTGTTCAGTTGTCGCTGCAGATAACTCAAATGCTGTCAGCTTTTAGAGTGTCTATCCCCGGTTCTGCGAATGAAACAAACGACCTCAATCCAAGTTGGCCTGGAATCTCTCTAAGCTTTGAAGATCCCACTCTTTGGAACAATCTTATCGCCGCTTTTGGCCAGGAACAAGTCTTGGCTCTGCCGCACAACCATTTGACAAGGAGGCATTGCTACAGTGCCACTTTCCCTTATATCGTATTTAAGCCATTGAACAACGCTGAGAATACTGGTATCGCTGCTACACAGGAGAGCTGCAGAGCTTTTTGCGAGAACGAGATGATGCAATATTCAATGCAGCTTTCCGCCGAACTGCGACAGCCTGTAGCTTCTGATCGCAGCAAATGTTTCCAAGATCAGTCGTTTGCATTCGAAGTGCAAGAAAGCATTCATCATCACGCCGGAGCCTCTTGTGCCATTTCAGCGGCAGAGAATCGTGGTCAGTGTCCTTATGCGCCTTCGACATGTGCTTGTCGTGTGGTTGTCCGGTTGAAATGAATCTTGATGACCGAAATTCAGAGAGCTGATGATGAGTGGGTGTTTTACTTGTCGCCGAGTATCAGTCATGCTATGTTGACAACATTCACAGGAGTCATAAGGCGCAACTCGCATGAGTGTGCTTTGAATGAAATGGTCAAACGTCTGCATCCCTTGACGAGTGACTCGATTGTCTGGCTTAAGGGGCCTTCAGAGCCTGAGGTCGAACAGGACAGGATCCAGTGCAGATCTTCGACCACAAGATGTGTCTGCGATTACGTCAAAGGCCTAAACAATGAGCGTTTATTTCGGCCTTGGTTGTGTAGGAAACACCCGTGGCAAGAGCGCATTGAGCAATGTCCAGTTATGCGCTTCTCTCAATCACACCGCACAGATCAGTCGCAATGGTCATCATCATCCAATTCCCAAGATCAATGGCAACAGTCGAATCGTGGCAACGGTCAGGGACTTGGTGATGCGACACTTACACAGGACCCTTTCCCTGACTTTGGCAGAAAGCCCTGCAGAGATGTCTTAGTTATTCCAAGTCTACCAAGAGCTGTGCGAGGCTCCGAATCCAAAAGGAGGGTCCACCTCAAATCCATCTTCGCAACCGGATGCAAACATTGGGCAATGTTGGCCAATACCACCTCTTGATTACGGGTATTTTTCAGCCGCCTATAGTGGTGAGACTTCAGCCCTGGCTTCTGACCCAAACGCGTGACCTGCTTTTGATCCAAGCTTTTTTCCGACTCACGACGCAAACACGCTTACAAGTGCAGCTCCAGATCCAAACGCGGGTGCCTCTTCCAATCCAGGCACATCGTCGCACCTTTCGTATGTGCGAACTGCGGCAGATGAAGCAGCTTATGATGACTTCTACGGCCGAAACAACTGACCGGCATCTTGGCGCTGATGAAAGGCAAGATTGAACTATGAAAAATTATTCTAGACTCTACCGCATAGATATCCTCTTTATTCGTCATTTCGCTGGCTCTTCCAGCTGTTGGCGTGGCTCCTTCAATACTGTGGAGAGGACCTTGCCTTTCAAACATAGTATCGACACTTGATTAGCAAGTTGATGTTCCGCGGCATACACCAGAACTGTATTGAAATGTCAGTGATTCCGGCTTTTATAGATCTATGATCAATTTGGGCTTTGTCAAGTTTTCCAGCTTTTTTTTGATCTACTTAGGCTCTAAATCTTGAAGAGGTTCAAGAGCCCCGCTTGATCATTGGCCTTACGGCTGGATCTAGTCTGAGCTTGTCATAGATACATATGTAACCATCCTCAATCGCAAGCATGCCCCAACCAACATTCTCCAAAAGCATATCAGCATAATGGGTGTAAAGTGGGTTGCGAGGTGACTACGCAGAGCAGAGCGAGTCCTCGTCGAAGATACTTCATAACAGGATTGGTATATGTAGCTGATCCTACCACATACTTTGCTGGTTAATGAAGAACAAGGCAGCAGAACTTCGTCATTTTAACTTCACAAGCTAGAGATAGAACCCAGAGGACATTAGACAAGAAACAGGGCAAGACTTTCAATGACTGTGGGCGACATCTAGCCAGACACGCCAAAGTACGAAGAGATGTCTCAGCAAGGTAAGGCTAGGATAAGAGACCTGAGTCAGAAGAAAGCAAGCAACTGTTGAAGATGCTGAAGGAGTGATTCCAAAATCCGGATGGTCAGGTCTAGATCAGTCGCTGTGGGTGAGCACAGACGAATGGCCGCGAAATGGAACCAGGGGTTTCAAGGGACGAGGTATCTGTAAACAAGAATAGGATTTTTTCGTTCGGTCCGTAAAACGATCTTCCCCCTTAGCGGATGGTCATCGATGCCCGGAAGGTGGCCCTGGAGCAGTGAGGTTCAATTGGTGGACATTGTGAACAAGCAGTGACAAGATGGGTCAAACAAACTCGGCAGGCACCCATCGATTGCCAGCGTCGCTATAGCAAGTCCAATGCAGAAGATGCTTCCATTGTTTGTTCTCGAGCTTGTAGTCCACGACGGAATCGACTTCTCATCTGCTACGTCTATTGAGTCTTGTATGTTGGGGACGAAGCTGTGAACGAGTAAAAGCGCCAGTCGACTTGATGTGGCAGACGCGGCGAGAGCGCTGGATGAATAAGAACATCCCGTGGAAGATCGAGGACAAAGGCGATGTCGTTGATCGAGCATAGGATGCGAAAAGGCCCAGCACGGTCGAAGTCGAGTTTGGTGATGGTCGACTAGACGTGCGATAATGGCGAGTGTGTAGCCGAACTTGATCTCCAGGCTTCAACGCGTAGGAGACTCGTAGTCGAGAGCGATCATCATACTTCTTGTACTCAACCTGTGTAACCTTCTGGTGGACCCTTGAAGTCGTCGTGAACAGACTTCAGACGAGCAGCCATGTCGCGACATGCTGAGGTAGTGCGGAATCAACATGAAAAAAGAAGCGAGAGGGCCAACCGTGCTCAGCGAAGGGGTTAGATCTCTTGATGGTGTCCAGATGAGCACTGTTGTAGCAGGACTCGGCTCGGGGAAGAAGGGAGCACCGATTGTCTTGGGCGTGGTTGATGTAGTGTCGCAGGAACTGTTCGAATATAGAGTTGGCACTTTTAAGCTGGGCGTGATAGGTTGTAGCCAGAAGAGACCTGACTTGCGATTCAAGATGAAGGAGCAGTGACTGCCGGAACTTGAATGTAAAGATTGGATGGCAGTTGGAGACTCTACTGTTGGGAGGCATAGTTCGACACAACGCGATCCATGAAGGGCTTTGCGAGGGAAGCTGCGCTGGAGCCTCGACATAAAGGATGAAGTGAGCTTTCTTGGCGAGGCGGTCAACAACAACCAGAATGGGTCACAGTCCTTGAATAAAAGAAGTTCGGCAATGAGTCAAGGGAGATAGCAGACCATGGTGTGTCGTGAGTAGGGAGCGGATTGAGCTTGCCATAGGATTTGTGTCAAGTTGCCTTTGCTTGTGCACAAGCGTCTTAAGTGCACACGTACTGCTTCACATAAGCTCGCATGTCGGACCACATATACTGTCGCGAAAGGAGCTCAAAGGCCTTGCCGACACCCAAGTGTCCGGTCAAGATAGACTTGTGATTTAGTCGTAACAAGGAGAGCTAGAGCATCTTGTCGTTAAGAACGTGGACTTTGTCATTGTGATGAATTGTGCGATCAACCAAAGAGTACCTGTCGTCCAATTTCTGGAGAGATATACTTGCGTCATTGTGCTGCTCCAACATTCTACGGGCATCAGCGTCCAAATTGAAAGCAGTGACAAGTTGCCCAAGCAACTTGTTTGCCACAGTCCAGACATGAGATCGCGTTTGAACAGCATTCAGAATTGGTTAATCAATTGATTGGACTTCAGCAGAGGTCTGACATTGTTCTTCGATAGGTGAGCGTCCTTTTCCCTTGGGCGACCCCTCCCTTGAGCGGAGATTCTCTCAACGAGACGAGAAAGCGCGTCTGAGAGTCCTAGAGCCTTACCAGGCCGATACAAGAATCTGAAACGGCGAGTCAGCGAGCAGCTGAGACGGCCAAGTTTAGCGCTGATTGAGCTACCGCGTGGATGTGAAATGCTCTAGATTCTTGTAGTCAGCTCAGACGGTGATCGCATGGGCGGAACCTTCCACATATTGAAGCCAAGCTTCAAGGACGGTGACAATAGCCGACAATTCCCTGTCGTCAATCTGGTAACTGATTTCCGTAGGAACAAAGGTGCGACTGAAAAAGCAACCAGGTGTATCGAGCCATCGGCGGACTTTTGTCATAAATCGTTGCCTGTTGCTGAGTCAGAGGCGTCTGTCTTGATGAAGATCGGCTTGTCAGGGTCGAAATGGACAAGGACGGAAGCAGTTTGGCGCAGCGTTTTGTGCGTTGCGTCGTGCTTGTAGTGCCTGCATGTCGTTCTCGTCGTCGGTCCCCTGCTGAGCCTCTGTCAGACGCTTCATGTGCCACAACTGCTGTTGTCAGTAAGGAACCGTTGAGCAGGTTGTTGGGCGTCATCACGTACGGCGACTTGTATCTTCTTGGCACCGTGCTGAAAGATGGCCATGGAAACCCCGCTCGCTTGCGCCCTGGCAAGCGACAGGAAGACGCGTTTAAGATGACGTACTGCCTTCCCTGGCTCGACAATGCTTTGCGAATGGATTCGACAGCCTGGATCCCAGTAAACTTGCAACCATCCGCGGACACACGTCGTGGTCGTGTTGATACCTTGATCATGCGAGTATCGTGTGCAAGGCGATCACATTGGTCAAGATCGTCTTCCTGAATGCGTTAGAATAGCCCAGTGTACCAAAAGAGATAAAGACGTTGTCAGATCAAGCCATGATTTTGTTGTTGGTTGTACCTGCTGCTATGCTAGTTGGAGGCTGCTGAGCTGGTTCCGTGAACGACTCGGGGAAAAAGCTTGGATCAAAAGCACTGAGCAAGGCTCTAGCATGCTGATCACCTGTTGCAAGAGCTAGTAGACGCGCTGCTTGCTTCGCTCTGGTAGAGTCAAGATTGAGGATGTCGGCTGTCCATTTGCTTGGCAGACTGAACTCTGCCGGGCTACGCAGGACAGCAGTGATCGGACTTTGTTGGTCAGGCATACTTGGAAGATAGAGTCAAAGGAAGGAAGGGCAGAGATGCGCGTCTAGAGTGGAGCGCTGCTTACAGTGACCATGAAGCGGACTGCAGTCTGTAGCTGGTCGAGAGTCGCAAGGTGGCCAAAGTTCAAAACCAACAAAGTCCAACTTCACAACGAGCACGGCACACCGACGGCTCGACTTCCTTGCTTCTTGAAGCCTTGGAAATGAAGCCACTCGCGTTGGATAGCAGAGGAATACGGCTCCAGAACGACGATTTTATATGTAGCTGACCATGTTATGCAGATCGAGGGATTATGTGGATTGGTATACTCGGTGGATAGGATTGCTTCCAATCCAATCGTTGCACATGACCGAGGGATGCCAATGTAAAGTTCGAATGGAAGTGCTCTCTATATGTATAGCTATAGTGCAGGCAACAGTCATCATCAGCGTCTGCTATTTGTATTCCGTCTATCGCTGGCTCTTCTGGAGCGTCTGGATCGTCTGGAAGCGGTGTTCCGGCTTGCTCAAGTATTTCACCAGCGTAACCAGGTAATCAGCTACGAGTCATCCACGAGTCACACGTGCGTACCAGTCTTCACCAGCAATGTTCACGTAGGGTCGCTGACCTCAAATCGAGCTTACATTGGCCTACTGTAGAGAAAAGACAATCAAAGAAGAGTCTCAACCCATCAGTTTTATTTGCGACATAAGAAGGCTTGGTAGCCAAAGAAGCTTGAAGTTGTAAGCTAATGGCAAATTTCCCACGGTTGCGCACACGTCTTCTTTTCAAGTTCGGAAAACTGGGCTCCCACAACACGCTTCCATTTGCTGCAGCCACTACAGTCATCCTAAACAGCATCTCTGAGGTGCTCATGCGGCTTCAAACTTCCAGTTCTTTGTCGCTGACACTACTGAATTTGCTGCAAATCAGTTTTGTGCAGATTCTCAGCACAGCCAATGTTTCCAAGATCGGTCGTTTGCATTCGAAGTCCAACAAAGCATTTATCATCCCGCGGGAGCCTCTTGTGCCGTTTCAGCGGCAGAGAATCGTGGTCAGTGTCCTTATGCGCCTTCGACATGTGCTTGTCGTGTGGCTGTCCGGCTAGAATCAATTTCGATGACCAAAATCATGCTCGGCACTAATGGGCTGGTCTTTTACTTGTCACCGGATCTCAGTCGTGCTACATTGACAAATCGCCCATTCACAGACCATATATATCGCAATTCGCATGAATGTGCTATGGATCAAATGGCCGAACGCCTGAAGCCCTGGACGAGAGGCTCGATCGTCTGGTTGAAGGAAGCTTCCGGGCCTGTGCTCGAACAAGAACACATCCAGTGCCAATCTTCGGCCAAGAAATGTTACTGCGCTAAAGAAAAAAGCGTGATGAGAGAGCGTCAACTCCGGCCTTGGATGTGTGAACTTCACCCGGGGCGAGTCCGCATTGAGCAATGTCCAGTGATAGGCTCCTCTCAAACACACGACACAGGTCAGTCGCAATGGCTTTCATCATCCAATTCCCAAGATCAACGGCGCAAGTCGAATCGTGGCAAGACTAAGGAATTTGGTAATGCGACACTTCCGCAGGATCCTTTCCCTGACTTCGCAGAAACTCTCGATGAGATGAGTGAATATTTCAGTGTCTACCAAGAGCTGTGCGAGGCTTCAAATCCGGAAGGACGGTCCACCTCAAATCCATCTTCGCAACCGGGTGCAAACATTGGGCAATGTTGGCCAATACTACCTCTTGATTACGGGTATTTTTCAGCGGCCTATAGTGGTGAGACTTCAGCCCTGGCTTCTGACCCAAACGCGCGACCTGCTTATGATCCAAGCTTTTTTCCGACTCACGACGCAAACACGCTTACAAGTGCAGCTCTAGATCCAAACGCGGGAGCCTCTTCCAATCCAGGCACATCGTCGTACCCTGATTATGTGCGAACTGCGGAAGATGAAGCAGCTTTTGATGACTTCTACGACCGAAACAACTGGCCGGCATCTTGGCGCTGATGAAAGGCAAAATTGAACTATAGAAAAATATTCTAGACTCTACCGCATAGATATCCTCTTTATTCGTCGGTCCGCTGGCTCTTCCAGCTGTTGGCATGCTTCCTTCAGTTCTGAGTAGAGAACCTTACCTTTCAAACATAGTAGTGACACTTGATTGATAAGCTGATTTTACGCAGCATACCTCTGAGCTGCACTGCAAAGTCATGGATTACAGCTTTTACATGGTCAATTTGGGCTTTGTCAAGTTTTCCAGCTTTGGTATGATCTACTTAGGCTCTAATCCTTCTGAAGATGTGGCTAAAGAATCCCGCTTGATCATTGGTCTTACGGCTGGATCTGGTCTGAGCTTGTCATAGATACATATGTAATCATGCTCAATCGCAAGCATGCCCCAACCAACATTCTCCACACGCATATCACCATAATGGGTGTAACGTGGGTTGAGAGGTGACTACGCAGGGCAGAGCTAGTCCACGTCGAAAATACTTCATAACAGGATCAGTAGATATAGCTGATCCTACCAAATACATAGTTGGTGGATGAAGAACAAAGCCGTAGAAGGCTGGCCTTTTAACTCACAAGCGAGAGATGGAACCCATAGGACATTGAGACAAGTGTTAGGGTCAGACTTTCAAAAATTGTGGGCAACATCTAGCCAGACGCGACAAAGGACGAAGAGATGTCTCAGCAAGGTAAGGCGAGGATAAGAGACTTGAGCCAGAAGAAAGCAAGCAGCTGTTGAAGATGCTGCAGGAGTGATTCCATGATCCGGATGGTCAGGTCTAGATCGGTCGCTGTGATTGTGCGCAGAAGAATCGCCGCGAGATGGAACCAGGGGTTTCCATAGCGAGGCATCTGTAACCAAGAATAGGAATTTTTCATTCGGTCCGTGACATGGCCTCCCCTTTAGCGCGAAGTCTTGGATGCGCGAAAGGCGGCCTTGGAGCAGTGAGGTCGAATTGATGGACTTTAAAAACAAGCAGTGACAAGCTGGCTCAACTACACTCGGCAGGGGCCCATTGATTGTGAGCGTCGCTGTAGCCCGTCCAATGCAGATGATACTTCCATTGACTGTTCTCGGGCTTGTAGTCCACGATGGTATCTACTTCCCAGTTGCTATGTCCATTGGACCTTTTAGGACTGGGATGAGGCTGTGAACGAAAGAAAGCGCCAGTTGCTTGTTGTTGCAGAACAGGTGAAGAATGGATGAATGAGACCATCACGTGGGAGGTCAAGACCAAAGGCAGTGTTGTCGATCGAGCGTATGAGGCGAGAAGTCCAGCCGAATGGTCGATCAGGTGGCGAGTGTAGCAAAACTTGATTGCCAGGCTTGGACTCGTAGGGAACAGGAAGAGGTAGTCGAGAGCGATCAGTATACTCCTTGTACTTGTCCTGTGCATTCTCCATGTGGGTCCTAAGCTCGTCATGAACAGGCTTCAAACGAGCAGCCATGTGGTGATTTGCGGGGATAGTGCCGGATCAAGATGAAAAGTGAAGCGAGAGGGCCAACTGCCCTCAGCGAAGAAGGTATAACTCTTGATGGTGTCCTAATGAGCATTGTTGTAGCAGAAATCGGATTGAGGAAGACGGGAGCACCAATTGTCTTGGGCGTAGATGATGTAGCATCGCAGGAAATGTTCGAATATCGAATTGGCACGTTGAGGCTGAGAGTGACAGACTGTAGACAAGAGAGAACTGATTTGCGAATCAAACTGAAGGAGCAGTGATGGGCGGAACATTCCACATGATGACGCCAAGTTTCGAAAGCGGTTATACCAGTCATCATTTCCTGATCGTCAATCTGGTGACTGTTTCCAGCAGGGACAAAGGTGCGATTGAAGAAGCAATCAGGTGTATCGAGCCATCGGTAGACTCTTGACAAGAAACGCAACCTAGCGCTAAGTTAGAGGCGTCTGGCTTGATGAAGATCGGCTTGTCAGGGTCGAAATGGACAAGGACGGGCGCAGACGTGAAGGGCTGCTTTAGAGAGTCTCGCTTGCGACAACTCAACGCATGAAGCCTCGTTCTCGAGGACCAGCCTAGATCTGCAAGAGCGATAACTGATGAGACTACCCTGGATCTTCTCGAGTTATGTTGAAATTTGAGCTGCGATCGTGGTTGACCAATGCCATCGCCAAAGGCATGCAAACAAAGGGGATTTTGCGATCGAACTCCAGGACAGTCTGCTCTACTGACCGTCCATAGGATGCGAAGAACACAAGTCTGACTCTGTCCACGTTTCGTTCCTCTTGGGGTCATGAAGGTGACATTCAAAGACCTTGACAAGCGATCCTCATGGGAATATCAATGTCACTTGAAAGAGTGTCTCGTAAGGTAGCGCGCCTTGGTGTGAAGATATTAAGATGACCAGAGAGTCATTCGCCACTTTCCTGAATAAGTTGTATGGATGGCGAGGTTTCCAACAACAGGAGCAGGTTTCGCGGGTATGGCACGCCCTCCACAGCACAACTACCTTTTTGACGGGCGTATCGCTATGCAGATGAGGATCAAAAATCCCAGAGCGAGGATGATTGTAAAAAGGCCTAGAGGTCGTGGCGAATTGTCTGCAAACTCACAACCCAACCAGGTATTGGCGTGAGATTACTGGTGGTAGAAGGAAGAACATACAAGACGCTCCTTGTATGCCTAAAGAGCGGGTCTAGTGGCTCATAGGTATTGACCAGTGGTCTAAGCAACCGTTTGCAAGTTATTGGCAACGGCAGATTGCTTGAGAAGGGACCCGGCACCCGGCAACTGCAGTAATCTCATCAACTTATCGATTTGTTCAGAGTCGAGACTATGCACTGTCATGACCAGAGCTGCAAGGTAGAGAGTGGCTAGTTCTGTCCCTACAGGCTGCTCCGTCTCAGGCAGTGGCAAGCTGCAGCTGGCGTGGTTTGATGGGAGAATTGTGCCTGCAGTTGACGGAACAACCCCCGCTTGCTTACCTAAACCCTCGACGGCGTTAAGAGCGACTACCACCACCAAATGTCTAAATTGAGACGCTCCGATCTGCCATGAGCTCATACTTTGCCAGCTATGCCATCATATGATGAATATTGGCTGCACTCCTCATTGAGATGTGCGATCCGGCGGTAATCGAGCTGCCGCGCCGGCTACCGCATGTGTTGTCGATGCGCTCATTGTCTCAACCTCGTCTCGATGTCATGGGAGTGCCGATCAGTGAATCATGCTTAGAGCGATTATAAGAAGACTAGACTCACTGCCTTTTGCCATGCCCCAAGATGGCCAGGTTGACACTTCTTTTGACAAGTTTCGCAATTGCCACCACGGCTCAGAGCACCGGGTCTCTCGGTCTCGGCGAGCCAAGCACTTCCCTTGTTGACTCTGCTACTTCGACGCAGACAGGCTCTATACCTGCAGAGACATTTGGTCAGACTGGCGTCAACGCATCCTCCTACACCTATGTGGCAAATGGTAGTTTGACTGTGCCTCAACCCAAGCCATATACGCCTGCAGGTGCATTTGGCAACAACGGCTCCCTTCCCGTCTATCATCCTTTGTCAGACTTTGACTACCAGAGCTTGAGTCTGGCTCTCTACCAAGAATGGGTATATACGTCCATGGCACATTTGCAAAACGGGTTCTAACAAGCTAGATTGAACTGGATCTCTTCCATTATGGCCTTGCAACGTTCTCAGATGCCGAATTTGACGCAGCCGGTATCGATCAGAATGGCAGATTCCTGATACAAACACTCGCAGATCAAGAAGTCGGACACGCCACACTCATTTCAAACATGCTGGGAAGTTCAGCGCCCGAGCCATGCGAGTATCAGTACCCCTTCACCACTGTCAAGGGCTTTATTGATTTTTGCGCAAGACTGACACGTTGGGGAGAATCGGGCGTCTATGGTTTCCTGAATCGCTTGGATTCCCGCGCTGCTGCACAACTCCTTCTGCAAAGTATCGCCACTGAAGCTCGCCAGCAACTCATCTTCAGACAACTGGATGGTCTTGAACCTGTTACGGAATGGTTCATCCCTGGCGCTACGCAGAGCATGTCGTGGACACTCCTTGCACCATACATCAAAGGTTGTCCTGCTCGCAACTTGGGACCTCGTCGACTCGCCTGGCAAAACTTCCCGGCCCTCAACATCACGAATGGTCCCTCTGTGGTGCCACCATACAACACGACAGAAGTATTCAATGCGTCCCTGACACCATCGCACAACCGCACAACGCCCATCTCTGCACCGTTTCGCAATGTGTCGATGACTTATGACGCACCAGGCCAGCTTGTCGGTCCCAACAGCTCGTATGTGACGTCGACGGGTACGTTGTTGCCGCCTACATACGTTGCGTGGATCTCACAGCTCAATGTGACGTTCTCGCCATTTGTCATGACGGGCAACAACTCTGGCTATACATTGCAGCCCAATGGCACCATCTGGCCTGCTGTTTATGGACAGTCGCCACTCGTTGATAACGTCAAGAAGTTGGGTACTTTGAATGATCCATCGTCAAAGGAGCTACTCAATGGAACTGTCTTTGTGATGCTTGTTGATGCATTGACGCCTGCACTCAATTTGACGCCATTCAATTTGAGCAACATTAATCAGCATATTGTTGCTGGTCCTGCAATGTACCTGGTGGGCTAGGGGGCTAGGTATCAACGAATCTTGGTATTATATACAAGCGCTATCAAATCATATACATTATCGTTCAGTAGGTCTTCCTCAATCATGCATGCGCACAATAATCTTGCCCTGGGTCCTGCGTGACTTGAGCTGATTGAAAGCCTCTACTGCTTCAGACCTCTTGAAAGTCGTCAAGTTTACTTCAAGTTTCCCCTCGCTAATCCACGTTGCACACTGTCGAAAGTCTTCGAGCTTATTCTCCGTAAACAAAAAATGAAACTTGCGAGTACCGCCACCGAGGAAGCTTGGGAGGAGCTTGCGAGAGGCAAGATTGAGGGTTGCTTGGATATTTTGCTCAACCCCAACCTGCACGAAATGACCAGACTCCTTGAGGAAGCTGCTGGATGCCTTGTACAGATCACGTGGGGAACCGATGTTGTCCACAACATGATCAAACTCTCCAAACTGAGCAGCGCGTTCTCGAAGACTTGTTAGGATATCGCATTGATCATACGCCAGCACCTCTTCAGCGCCAAGTTGCTTACAAAACTCTGCATTCTTGGAGGAACAAGAGACGGTGATGTGAAGGCCCAAGTTACGAGCAATTTGAATGCCATAACTGCCTGTACCACCACTTCCACCATTGATGAAAATGCGATCTCCCTTTTTTGTGAAGGGAGCGATACATTGGTAGGCAGTGAGGCCTGCAGTACCAAAAGCAGCGTATTGATCCAATCTTGCACGATCTTCCGACTTGACATCACTGTCTGGGACGGGACAGCAAGCTGAGACCGGCGCAATCATCTGTTCGCCGAGTGATCCGTGCACAGACGGTTTAGGGAGCCTGCCAAAGACGAGTTGTCCATTGCGAACGCTGTCCACGAGAGTACCGGATTTGATAACTTTGCCAAGAAAGTCCAACCCGGGTGTACTCGGAAATCCAACGGCAAGTTTCCCAGCGATGGGCACTTCAAGGAGCTTGTAGTCGACCGGGTTGATGGAGGCCGAGTAGACTTGGATGAGGAGTTCGTCCTTGTCGATAGGTTTATCGGCGAGGGTTGGGATCTCGTCGAGTGTCAGATGCATTTCGATGCCTCCGCTTGCTGCATGTGCCTGCCAGGCCAGGACTGTCTCTGCCATCTTGTTCCTTAGTCGTTTAAGCAGTCTTGAGCAGTAAGTAGCTTGAGTAGTTTTGAGCAGTAAGTAGTAAGTAGTAAGTAGTCTTGATCTTGAGCCGCGATTCGATGACAACACGACAAAGAGAGCGACAACAAGACACAGGGACAAGTGTCGGACGACGGAGCAGAGAGAAGAGTCGAGACAGGATGGAGATACAGAGAGGAATACTGCGGCCAAGCAAGTCAACCACATCCTTGCGCCCGCATGCACTGCGCCGATGCCAGACATCCGAGGCACTGCTCCTTGGCACGGGACATCTGCCAGAGCGCACCCTCGACTTGCCCATGCGCGCGCCTACAGCGCAGCAGGAAGACCGTGGCGACAGTAGCAGTGATAGCTTCCACTGCAACATCTGCCTAGAGTCTGCGCGCAATGCCATTGTCACTTCTTGTGGCCACCTCTTTTGCTGGGCCTGCTTATACAGCTGGCTCATCACGCCCGCACAGCTCCACTGCCCGATGTGTCCCGTCTGCAAGGCCGGATGCGAAGTATCCAGTCTGACGCCCATCTATGACAACGCCGATACATCGCAGGACTTGCCTAGTCCACCACAGCTAACGGCCAGCAAGAGCCGGACCTTCTCAAGCAGCTCCCAGTCGAAGCCCAAGAATGTCTTTGACCAGTGGCTCGTGCCGCACATTCATCCACCATCACTGGCCATCTTGCCGGATGGATCTGTTCCTGCGCGTCCTGTTGCGCGACCCAGGCCAGTCAACAGGAAGCAGCCACGCTACCCGCCGCATGCCAATACAAGTCATGTCCACACCGCTGGTCTTTTTGGGGGCGCTCATCCGATCGTCTTGTTTTCCGCAGGCATCACAACACTCTGCGGTATGCAGTTCTTTCAGAATGGAGGCTTTGGCAATGACCTGGCGCAGGAGACCTTCAACACGAGCAGGATGCTGACACTGCTGGCCTTCTTCATCATTGCCGGGGTCTGGTTCCACTGACCTGGGCATACTCTCCTTTTTGGTTCTTTTGCTTCTTGCCTCTTGCAGCTAGCGCCGGCATCCTTGCTTTCTCTCTTCCCATCCGTATATCATATAATCCATTGAGTCCATCTTGTCCCTGACTATCTGAGTATCTGTGACTGGCGCTTTCACATGTCGCGACCATGACGTCCACAACCTCAACACATCCGCCATCCGCCAATTCAATATACTGCCGCTCTGTTGCATGTTGAGACAGGGTCTCCGTCTAGATTCGCTTCGGAGAGGGCCTACATGGCTGCATCTGTCGGTCTCAAGGCATCGCCTGGTGTTGCGCTCTAGCCAGCTGCGCACTGTCCGAGGATATACAGCAGCGCCTCGGGCTCGGCATCCATGGGCAATGCGCTGGACTCTGCTAGCCCTCACAGGTATTGGCGCTGGATCCATTAATCTCATCCTATGGAACAGTAGACCGGCGATACAGTGTGAAGCAGAACAATTACCAGTCCTCACGAACGAAGAGCGGCTGCTAGAAGAGTCCGAGAAGGAATGGGATGAGCTATACAATCAAGTCCCTCAAGATCGCAGCTTCCTCTACAAAGCCTATCGCTCACTTGCTATACCATTCCGCGTCTGGGTATTTGAACCGCTAGCGACGGCATTCCGCTTCATCCACCTCGTCCTTATCTTTACACCCGTCTTGGTTGCCATCCCTATAGTCTTTCTGGGATCCATCAAAGCTGGCTCGCATGATAAGTCTGGCGCCGTGCTCTGGTATCGCTTCCTCGTACACCAAATGGAACTCGCTGGACCTACCTTTATCAAACTCGGTCAATGGGCAGCCAGTCGAACAGATATCTTCCCAGATGCCATGTGTGAGCTCATGTCGAAACTCCACTCCAACGTCTCTGCGCATCCTCTCTGGCAAACAAAGCGCATCATTCGAAAAGCCTTCAATGGACTACGGTTTGAGGAGATTTTCGAGGAATTTGAGGAAAAGCCGTTAGGGGTCGGTGCCATTGCTCAAGTATACCGTGCAAAGCTCAAGGCCAATCTCCTACCAGACTCTAAAGCGGCCTCGAAACATGTCAAGCAGAAAAGACGACTGACACCCTTGGTTGTACAGACGTTGCCACAATCGCCACCGAGTGGCTCCGTTGCCATCAAAGTCTTGCATCCGCGTGTTGAAAAGACGGTGCATCGAGATTTACGCATCATGAAGTTCTTTGCACGGATTCTGAATGCGATTCCTACACTTGAATGGTTTTCCTTTCCAGACGAAGTGGATCAATTCAGTGAGATGATGCGGCTGCAGCTTGACTTGCGTATCGAGGGCAACAACCTAAGCAAGTTTCAAGAAAACTTCAAGAGTCGCAGTCAAGTCACGTTTCCATTCCCCTATCACGAATACACGACACGCTCTGTGTTGATTGAAGAGTACGCACATGGTCTACCACTACAATACTTCTTGGACGCTGGTAGTGCCTTCAACAGTGATCTTGCAGATACTGGACTCGATGCCTTTTTGCATATGCTGATTCTCGATAACTTTGTGCATGCAGATCTACACCCTGGCAACATTATGGTTCGCTTCTTTAAGCCAGTGACACAACCCTTTCTACAGCAGGTATCGGAAATCTTCCATTTAAATGATGCAGCCTCGCAGAAGCGTATTCATGGCATCATGCATGATGATGAAGCAACCGATCTTGTGGTTGCACGGATGAAGCCGCTCAGGCATGACAAAGCAGCATGGTTGGCTGAACTTGCAAAAGTCGCTAACGAAGGTTTTCGACCACAACTCATCTTTATTGATACAGGACTCGTTACTGAATTAAATACCCTCAACCGCCGCAACTTCCTAGACCTCTTCTCAGCAGTGGCGAGTTTTGATGGACATCGAGCGGGGACGCTGATGGTGGAACGTTGTCGACAATCGAGTGCTGTCTTGGAACCTGAGATCTTTGCCCTCAAGATGCAACATCTCGTGCTCAATGTCAAGTCGCAAACGTTCAGCCTTGGCAAGATTCGCGTGGGTGATATTTTGAATACAGTGTTGTCGATGGTACGAGACCATCATGTACGCATGGAAGGCGACTTTATCAATGTCGTGTTGAGCATTTTACTGCTTGAAGGAATTGGTCGTCAACTTAACCCAGATCTCGATTTGTTCAAGAGTGCCATTCCATTTTTGAGAGAAGCAGGCAAACAAGGTGTGAAGCAAGCAGCAGCCGGCGATACACAGGGTATGGGACAAGAGGGACAACCTGGCCTTGCAGAGAAACTCACATGGATCAAAGTCTGGCTGGGTTTGGAGTTGCGAGAGATGTATGTGGCTAGTACATCGGCTGCGCAAGTGGAGGAATTGGTTTCACATGATGTATTCTCGACTAATGTTTGATACAAGGGGCAATCGCACGTAATGAAGGTCAAAGAGACGGTATCAAGTGACCTTTGCAATGAGTTTCCCGAATGGTGATTTACTGCGTTTGGGTTTCGGAGAGATATCCGCACCAAGCGTCGATCCTGCAGACGGTGCACGACTTGATGATGAGACTGCTGGAGACCGCGATACGCGTCCATCTTCGGATGTCACCACAACAGAAGGCGCTACCGGTCTTGTTGCTTGTTGTCTGCCTCGATCGTCCTCCATAGATACCTTGACGGTCGGTACAGCCGTCTTGAGAATGAGCGATGGATGGCTGACCGGTGCCGTTGCAGCAGATGTAGGCCTACTCGCTAGATCCGCCTTACTGAAGATTTGTGTCAAATCTTCGAAACTGCTCGTCTTTTCCAAAATCTCGAGGTAGCTGCGACGATTAGGATCCCGTTGACGTTTTGACTTCATCTTGTTTCGTTTACGATCTGGCCGTACAACAATGACTGGGATGGGTGAGTTTTGGAGACACCATTTTGACATGGAGCCAGGCAAGACGCCTGCAATCCCATTCAAGCTGCGTCCGCGTGTACCAACGATGAGGGAGTCTGGATGGTAGAGATGAATCATATGCATTAGAAGCGTCTTGACATTCCCAACAGCAAGCTCAACAATGATGCTGATCTCCTTGTCTTCGTCATTCTTCTCGACGACTTGGTCGATGATCTTGCGTGCTTCCATACGATACGGCTCAACGGTCTTTTCATCTGCTAGTTTGCTTTCTGTGCCTGTCAGCTTGTATCCTGTACTTCTCTGCAACTCACTTGGCTCGACCACGCGCAAGGCGATAATCTCATCCCCGTCATCCGCAAACGTATCAATCAACCATTCAAGCGCCGATGTCGAATACTCGTTATTATCAAATCCAATGAGAAACGTACGCGACCGGCGCGTATACTTGTAATCCTTATGCTTCATCTTGAGTGTCAATGAGTAGATGCTGGCATCAGGGTTTGAGAAGGTATCGAAGGAGACGCGCTTGGTGAAGCGTCCATCGGGTGGCGGTGAGCTATTGGCTCGCCGTCGCGCAGAGCTGCCTGTGTTTGACTTCTCCGAGAAGGAGCTGCGTAGACTGGACTGGGAGTTGTGACGAGCGCGGAAGGAGGATGGCGTGGGGCCTTGGCTCGAGGTGGTTGTGTCGGGCGGCGTGTGTTGCCTGCGGATGACTGGAGGAGCGGCAAAGGAGATGGACATGAAGAGTAGATGGCTTCCCTAGATACACGACTCTCGACAGATGGAGCGCGCAATGAGGGCCCGCTTGTGTAGATGTCGTGGGAGTCGCCTCGGGTGTGTCGTCGCTGTTTGTGCTTGTCAATCTCCACAAACAGAGAAATATGGAGAAGGGAAAGGGAGATGCTACGGGATAGATGCTGGGCTGTGGATGCTAGTAGAGGTGCTCAGTGGAGTGTCTCGTGTCCATTGAGCGTGCTTGACCGGCCGCAGAAGGGCCGTCATTTTGGTGAGTGTCCAGGAGATTGAGGACAGTGGCTGAGCTGCTGTAGCTACTCGGTACGGCAGACAGAGGCATGAGTGTGTCAGGACAAACACCAGTCTTGCTTGACGATAAAAGGTTCTTTGTAGCAAAGCGCCAGTCAATGGTAGCTGTGAGCAAGGGTGCATGATCCAGCTGCTGGCTGTCTCAATACCTGCCCATTGGATCCTGAGTCAATCAAAGAACATCGATGCTTTTGTAGATGCTTTCGTAGAGGCTTTCGTAGAGTTAAGCATACAGATGCTCAATGACCCATCAGTCGCGCATCTGGCGGTGCCCGAGCACCAGGCATGATCTTGATTTGCCGCCTATCCTTCTTTGCATCCTTTTGCGTCCCTTGATCATCCGCATACACCATTCCCGCGACCCTGTTTGTTGATTTGACGGGACACGGCAGTAGACTTGGCAAGGCCACGGTCAACACGGCGCCTGTCGCGACTGTGTAGAAGAGGGAGTTGGTCAGTTTTTGCTTTTGAGCGTAGGTGAGCGACCGGAAGAACATGGCGATGTGTTCCTGCTGTGCTGCTTGACTACTTGAGCTGAACCAGAGCAGCTATGAGGCAGGGCCCGGTGCAGAGAGAGAGAACTTAGAGAGAAGGATGGTGGAATCGAGAGCAAATTGAGCCCGAGAAGACGTAGAAAGGCCGGGTAAATTAACAGTCACATCTACGACCATGTTACATAGACCATAGTCATCTATAAGAGCAGAGGAATGCGGCCAGACAAGGGCCCTCATCTCTTGTATACTATTCAACCCAGCAGTCTCCCAAATGCTCGTCCTTCACAGCTTGCAGCCCGCGATCCAACGACTCAACTTGCACGACACAGGTCAAGGTATCGCGTGACCTGGATGCAGCTCTCTCTGCTGCTCCTCCCGCTCTTCTCAGCAGCAGTCGCTGAGCCAGATCCATTCTCATTCCAAGCGCCCTTTCTCAGAAAGCCATTCCGACCAGCAGCCGCACACACAGCAGCGACATCTCCTAAAAGTTACGACGGTCATGTTGCGCTCAGGGTCCCCTACACTACATCAGAAGAGGTGGCCATCCTCTACAATGTCTCCAGTCACATGAACCTCGATATCTGGTCAAAAACGCCTGCATACGTGGATATTGCATTGCGTGAAACACAGCTAGATGCGCTCTACCGACAAATTCCAGCATCCCTGTACGAAAACGCACGACCTTTGGTGCGCAATCTGGGCCAATCAGTCAGGCGTAGCATGCCAGATGCTAGCAATGACTTTTTGAGTACCCTGGCAACGACGACAGACATTCATGACGCCTTCTTTAGCGATTTTCAAACAATCGAAGCAGTCAATGCCTTGATGACCTTGCTCGTGGCCATGCAACCTAGCCATACGTCGCTCGTCAATCTAGGCAAGTCTTTTGAAGGTCGTGACATTCTCGGCGTCAAAATTGCAAAGCCTGAGCAGAAGAGTACAAAGAAGAAGAGCAAGAAGCAAGCGAAACGAAAACTTGTTTTAGTCACGGGCGCTCAACACGCTCGCGAATGGATCTCAGTGTCAAGTGTTGCCTATCTTGCACATGCCCTTGCAACAGGCAACAATGGTGATGCACAAATTGCAGAATTGACAAATCACTTTGACTGGGTGTTTTTGCCAACGCTCAATGTGGATGGATACGACTATAGCTTCCAGGACCGACTCTGGCGTAAGAATCGCCAACCCACATCCGTTCCATTTTGCAAAGGAATCGATCTCGATCGGAATTGGGACTTTGGATGGGATGAGCAGCAGCATGTCCTCTCCAACCCATGCAGCGAAAACTATCAAGGCGCAAAAGCGTTTGAAGCACAGGAAACAAAGCTCATGTCACAATACATGACTTCTCTGAAGAAGGAATACAATGTGCTTGGCTTCTTGGACTTGCACTCGTACGCACAAACCATTCTCTACCCCTATGCACTTTCCTGCAAGCTCAACGTCCGCGACGAAGAAACCTTGCTAGAGCTTGGCATCGGTGCCAGTCGTGCCATGAAGCACATTTCTGGTGAAACGTATCAGACTGAATCTGCCTGCAATCAAGATGGCCACATCCTTGCTGGTGTCAATTCCGGAGCTGCATTGGACTGGGTGTATCACTCCGGTGTCGAGTGGAGTTTCGTTATCAAGTTGAGGGATACAGGCAACTACGGGTTCTTGGTACCAAAGGAAGAGATTGTACCCAATGGTGAAGAGATGCTTGCTTTCCTCAAGTACTATGGTGAATTCATCTCTACCAGGTAGTCTTCCAAGACTGTTCTTTTGTAACGACATTTTGTTCAAATTTCATGCATACCCTTCAACCACCTCCCTATATGTCATGTCTGTAGACTTTCAAATCATCGGTTGCGGTGTCTTTGGGCTCTCTCTTGCTCTTGAGCTCAAGCATCGCCTGCCAGCCGCTACAATCCGCCTCTTTGATCGATATGAACCGCCAGTATCTGATGGTGCGAGTGTTGACACGTCACGCATCATTAGAGCAGATTACGCAGACCCAATCTATGCCGCTCTCGGCATCGAAGCCAGAGCTGCTTGGCTCGCTGATATGGAGCTTCAAGCGTGCTATCATGAAACCGGCTTCATCTTGACTGTTCAAGGTAACGATGATCGAGGCTACCTAGATAGCTGCCTTGCCAATGTCAAAGCAAGCGGTGTCGCAGCTACAGAATTGTCTCATACAGACATCTTCACTCGAATCAAACAAGATGGCTCACATGCACAGCATCAGCTACGGGGGTATGCGAACCCTATTTCTGGCTGGGCAGATGCAGAAGCAACGATACGTGTGCTGTATGCGCGACTCAAAGCGCAGCCTGGTGTCTATTTCGTGTTTGAGCAGGTGATGCATTTGCTCTACGAAGGCGATACTGTGTCTGGCCTCCAGACAGTCTCAGCGGAGCAGTATCATGCAAAACAAACAGTCTTGGCAACAGGCGCCTGGCAACTCCCTGATGTCGCCGTTCCCACCCTTGCTACTGGCCAAGTCCTTGCTTGGATTGCGCTCTCCGACGAAGAAGAGCAGCGTTTCAGTCACAACTTTCCTGTTCTCATCAACTTTTCCTCTGGCTGGTTCGTATTGCCTGCTTACAAGGGTGAACTTAAGATTGCTCGACATGCACTAGGTTATACAGCAATGCGAACGATTGGAGAAGGCTCTATTGCTCGTACCATCTCGGTACCACGAACAAGCTTAAGTCATCCAGGTCAGCAGATTCCTGAAGAAGGCGAGCAAGCCCTTCGACAGGGACTTGAGCTCTTCCTGCCTAACTTGGCAAAGCGGCCATTCAAGCGGACGCGAACGTGTTGGTATTCGGATACACCCAAGGGTGACTTTTTGATTGATTGGCATCCCTCAAAACGCAACTTGTTCGTTGCCATGGGTGGGAGTGGTCATGCCTTCAAGTTTGCACCGTTGCTCAGTAGAGAGATTGCAGACATCTTGCTGGATACACAGCACAAAGATCCAAAGTTGGCAACGGTCAAGGCACAGCGACGGCAGAAGTGGAGTTTCACTGCAGCACAGGAAGCACTGGAGACGGGCACAGGGGATGATTCTCGCGGTGTCGGTGGTCATTTGGAATGGGATGATATCGCTTGAGCTGCAGCTACAGCGGTGAGTTGCATCAGGCAAGTCGTGAGCTCAAAGTTCTCGACTGGCTGTTGATTTTTTGATCACTGCTCACGAACAATACAGCTTCAGGTGCTCATATAGCGCGAGTGGTATAGACTGCGATTGCAATCTCTCCACCTCTGAAAACAAACAGGCTCTGCTCTCGTTCACATCGCGCAATCGCGGATCAGCTCTAGTGTTTGTAGCTAGAAGACTTGTCGTGTCGCAATTGTGAAGTTTGTTTGCAAGATCGAGTCTATGGTCAACCTTTTTGTAGTTGTCTCAGCTGAAATATAGCGACCGATTGCTAGATCACTTCAGTCGAGGGTGATGATTTTCAACTGGCTTCGCAGGCAATGGGCTCTTGATAAAATGTTCGTAAAAGTGAGAGGAACTGGCAAGCTTCCGGCGGATTGACGCACCTGTGCTCCTGAGAGCAGCCATGCCACGCTGTCGGCTGACGCGTACTGGATCAATCACAAAGCCTACGATGGACTAGACCCTGACCAAAGATGGCAGTGTGGTGCTTCATCAATGAGTTTTACCGCTCAGCGATGCAATCAGCCCACACTTGGAGCTCTGAGACTGAGATACATTATCGCCAAATTTGGCTGCGCCAGCAGCCTAGAATCAGTGCAATCAAGGGCAAGCTGGGCAACAGCCTGATCAGTGCTCATTGCAGTCGCAGTGAGACTCCAGACCTGAATATGTCAAAGAGACGTCCTCTCGAGTTGCAACGTTGCCTGATCTTCGTATCGAGGTAACTTATCTGCTGACACGTCTTGCAAAGGTCACCGTTTCTTTCACGCGGCAAACAAGCACACCTTTGAGGGGAATTCGCCAGCAACGACAACATTTATCTGGCAACGGGCTTGCCACCTCGTCTTGACGTCATCTAGACAGCGCAAAGCAAGTGAAACTCAATGGCTTGCCAATCTTGATCGGACCTAATTTACGACGCGCTTGATGGCATTGGCGCGTCTTGGCGCTAGAACGTAGAACAGACAATTCCTCCGCGCACGCAACATTGTTCGGAGTGCGCACAGCTGACTCAGTGTCACAATTGTATCCACGATGTTACCTGCATGAACAAAATGTTGCAAGAAGGCGCCATGTGGCTCTAATTTGCTCACTGTCAACCAGTTCTGTGCGTGAAAACTGCAAGATAATCTCGTTTGTTTGTAGCTGGCAAATTGCTGCCAGCATATCAAGTTAAGCCATCTTACTTGGTCAAGCTGGCCTCTTCTGAACCTCGTCTTGCACTCCATTGTGCCTCCAAACATGCAGATGTACAGTCTTGCATGGCTGATGTCCATCGCGCTCGCACTTGGCATGATCATGGTGACAATCTTGCATCAGTCCGCAGTCGAGGCCACAAAACCGAAAAGCACAACAGAAAAGGCGAACCAGGGAGTTCAGAAAGGCAGGGGAGATAGCATCGCTGGTGGTATTGAGAAACCGAGTCGTGCAAAGAATAGGTTGCCAATTGACGCCGTGGAGGGTGAGCACTACTGGCTCTTGCAGAAGGATGAAGAAGGACATTGCTACTCTGCAACCTTTATGATCAGGAGGGTGATCATTGTTACGGAAGAATGCGAGATTGTTGACGTGGAGAAGAAAAAGGTTAAAGAGTTGGATCTTATGGCGAAATGCGGTAAACAATGCGCTGATGAAGGGGTCAAATACAAGGAAGACTACAAAAAGCTTGTTTCCCCCGCAAAGGCAGCATCTTGCGTGCAAAACAAAGATTCGCAAATTCGGACTTCCGTGACGGCAGATGACGCCAAATGGGTTCCAATTGCAATGAAATGCTCGGCAAGCTGTCACTGCGAAATATACAACAACATCTCGCACATCAGGATGCCTTCCTACAAGATCAACAACCAGCTTTTTGAACTCTCCCCCCTGAAGGATGCAACCTACTGGAAGTTTCTCACACGAAGAAAGCTTTCCGACATGCACAATGACTGCCATCCAGCTCATGTCCGTGAAAACCGGGTGTACAAGCCTGGTCGAAATGAGGAGCAAAGTCAGTGGATTCCGGGTCCCTATACTGTCGAGCACATTCGAATTCAGTGTTTGCCGGTAACTGAAAAGACAATTTGTCCATCGCGGCGCAAAAAGGCTCCTGGACGCTCTAAGTATACACCTGGAGTCTGTCCACCTGCAGGCTTACTCCAACAGGCACCGTCAACATGCTTACCGCTTGAAACCTTGATGAGGCCAGATTTGCCACAACAAAGCGAGACAGGAGTACCAGAGGAAGTGCCCAATCAAACAACAGGGTGCTACACAATGATCTTCTCACCTATGAGCCCCGGTTTCGGTCAAGATACTTGCTCAGGTGATATTGACGATCTGACGCGTTGTTACGCCAGCTACTTTCAATCTGCTGATCCCTCGAGCTCATTGCAACCACCATCGCAGGAGACGGAAAGCATGGACGAGCTACTGCGGGAGATCGGGATGTTGGCACAAGAGGTCGGTGGCGGTCCTTCTACTGGTGATGATTCTAGCCAAGCAAAGGATGATGACAAGCGCAAGATTGCACTTGGATATCTCTAACGGCAGTCGCCAACATCAACATTCTCGCCATCTGAGCCTACAGGGGCGAAAAGTGGCCTGATTCTCTTCTACTTCAGGCCTTTTGGCTTGTCCGAGGACTTTGTTAACCCAATTGCAACAGCATTATTATCTCTTAAATTTTCCAAATTTGCAGTTGCAAGCGATGCTCTAGCGTGCTTTGTATTGTGCTTGTGCCGGTCTTCATCTCGTCACTTGGCCTGTGACTGTTAGTCCATGTGACTAATGGTCCATGTGATTGATGGTCCATGTGTCTAATAGTAAGAATGAGCAGACTGTAGAGCTAGGCGTTGGAGAGTGTAAAGAAGAGCAGAAGTGAGGTCTGCTATTAGTCCCGAAGGAATTATGATACTGTTGTCTAAGAGGTACTGAGCAGTGCATTACCAGTATGGGCTGCAGTAGCAAGAAGCACCTCGTCACGAGTGTCGAGCCCTTCGATGAAGTAGACAACAAGGCACGTCCCGATTTCAAGCAGAAAATCGAGGGCATGACAAAATTGCAAGATGAGCTGTATATGCTCAAACGTGAGCCAGCGCCTTCTTCACAGTTGGTGAGGGGGCATGCAAAGGTGGCAGCATTGGAAGGAGGCGATGAGATCGCCCATATACAAGAAAACGACCTTGAATGGCGAATCTTCAACATGTTGTCCAAAAGTCCCTGAGCATTTTCCTGTCGGTCGAGTACATCAGCGACAAATGGTAAAACCTCGAAACGGCTTACAGCATCCCGGCGGCGGACATTGTGCTTCAGCTTCGAGAGTTGGCGCAGGCCATATAGTTTGGAGGCCACAAATTGGTCGGCGTGATGATTAACCCAGCAGCAAGAACCGGGAAGTTGGGCCACAATTTGGTGCTTGTGGAGTATACCTTGCGAGCTCTTCCATGCATATGTAGTTGGGAGTCTTGGTGAGACCCTCTGCTGGCTGCCAACCACAACTAACAGAAGTCTTCCAGGAAATCACTCAAAACGCTGGTAGGTACCCGCGTGCACTTGTGGAGGGAGACGACGGTGCTGTCACCCTTTACGGATATGGTTGTGACATCCGCGATGCAATGGCTCTGTTTGGTTGTGGCTACCACAACGACCCTGAACGTGAACGTGATCGAGGTCGAGGCCATAGCTGTGGCGGCTACTACCAGAGTGGTGGTCGTGTTGACAACAACCAACGAGGTGACTTTATTAGAAACGGCCGTGGTAATACTCAGAATCAGCGACTGTGCTGGGTCTGTGCTTCGTCAGACCACGTCGCTATGGAGCGCCCGGACGTTTACCAAAGCAAGAACAAGCAGGGCCTAGCAGGTGGTGTCAATATTGATGCCTGCTCTGATGCCGGGTCGTTGCATGCAAACGTTGACTTGATTGACCAACAAACTTGTTTTGTTCACCAGCTGATTCTTTGCAATTGACCGGTCAACTTGATCTTGAACGATTTTAGCAAGCTGAACTCTAATAGCAGCGGTCGCATCACTCTTTCGGTGCAGGACGATCATCATGTCGTCTTGGAAGACTGCATGTGTATGTCAGATATGAGATAAAATCTGCTCAACGTCAGCAAATAGACATCTTCTGGACACCAAGTGTCTTTAAGTGCTGATGATTGGACGTTGCTGCGAGATGCCAAGGTCATGACTCGGGAATTTCGACGCAACAAGCTCTTATGGCTTCCGCCGTTGTAGCAGTAGCCCTTTTGGCAAACAGCGGATAGCGACTTGTGGCACAGGTGACTTGCACACATTGGCCATCGCACGTTACATAGTTTTGCAGATGTACCGCATGGAGTGCCGACGTCTTGCGAGGCAAGGACGACAGAAAGTCATGATTGCTTGGCAGGAAAGACCATCATCGCAGTCCACTTCCGAGGAAAGGCCTAAGTTGAGCTGCTCAATCATCGAAACTTGTACACAGTGTCACTATGTTAGCGTCCTCTCGACTTGCCTGGTGGCCTGGTTACGAGATGGCACGGCATTGGTTCGCCGCCGAATACGGAGCTGCCGCAACGTGCGCTTGACACGCTCTGACGAGCGAAACCTTACTCCACGACTGACTCGCGTCTGACATTTCGCTACTGGTATCGCAATCCACGAAGTTTGTTGAATCTTCTGCCGGGCACATGCACAGGAACCAGCAATAATTCGTTCATGCGGTACACGTTGGTCAATACCGCATGCGGCCGTCATTGAATGACTTCTACAAGAAAGTCAGTTCTTTGCAGCGCATGAGCTGACACGCGTCAACTCGGACTCAGTCGGTCCTCGAAGGGATCATCTGTCAAGCTCGAGTCAGTCTTAGTCAGACGTGGCAATTTGGCACTTGCATCCGTGTGCACAAGTCATGCTGTCGTCTTCATTCGCCGTTTCAATTCAGCAGTCTAGAGTCTAGACGCTCTGCCTCTGGCCGGCGGCCGCTTGCTCATGTCAAATTGTTCAAGAGCTGACCTTGACAGAAGCAGACTATGAGCGCATGATATACCACAAGCGTCCAAGGACTAGGCAATGTAGGCATTTCTTCATTCTTCAATAGCGTGTGCTGGCCGATACGCATTGCTGGGCCATGCGGCCCCTGCCCGTGAGTCATGAAGCAAACGTACCGAATCACTGACCAGGGACCACAAGTCCACAACCATGGCAGCTGTTGTGAAAGATCATCGTACATGTCTCTCGCTTTCATCATGAGCATTGAGCACCGGTTAAGATCGGGCCCTAAGTATGACATCGCTGATCTATACCTGAAAGCGCAGGCGGGCCGCCTGTCTTTGTCTTGACTTTGAGTGGTCTATGTTGCCCTAATGGCTGAACAGACTACGAAACTTCATCCAGCCTAGTTGCCGTAGGAGATCTTGGACCAAGCCAAAGCTATATCATTCAAGCAGCATCCTCAGTGTAGTCTACTCTACTGTAAGTATGGCAGGCTAGCAGCTATCAGCTAGTCATGGTGAAGCAAGCATGTGCGCAGCAGCGTGCGGATGACAGGGCCTCCGACAGATTTGACAGCCGTCAATGCAGCCTATTGGATTTAAGATCGGGCCATCAACGTTGCCGACTCTGGGACCAATCCTGGCAATTCATGGAGTTTTCTCTTCAAGATCAGCGCTAAATCGCCCGTCTCGGTGAGACGCCCGTCAGCTTCGTTTTTCCTGGTTCGATTGCGGCCTTAAGCGTGACACACTGACGAGTCAGTGACGACGAGCCGCTGCGTACGAGTTTTTCCCTGTTGAAGCGGAGGCACCTTGGCAGGGCCGCCCTGGCCGCAGTAACAAGCTGTCAAGGAAACGTCAACTGTCTCGGGCCCGCTCCCTACAGGCTACAGGGCTTGCTACTCAACCGGTTGACAGCAGCAGCGATAGTCGGCCCGAGCCGTGTAGTCTACTCCTCTCTACCTGCCTAATGTAGTCCCTTGGGCCCTTCATGATTCATGTAGCTAATCTGACAAGGACGCCAAGTTGCCAAGTTGCTACGATCGTAGCGTCAAAGCGTCCGGCCGTTTCCTGTTGTGTGACGTCTGACGTGTTTCAACTGCCAACTTGGTTACGAGGAGGCATCCATTGCTCCAACAGGACAGCCACAACTCGTATATACAAGACTGTAGCTGATTGCTAGACAGTGCTATTCACACATCAAGATTTGGTTGTCTGTGTACCTTGGCAATTGGCAAGCTTCTGAGGCCTCGAGCTTGTCACTTGTAAGACCGTGACACCCGTGCTTATATGGTAACACGGTTACACCATTTGACAAATTCCGGCCTTTTCCCTGCTCAAGATGACCGACGTCGACCGTGGACAATGAAACTCGGAATACAGTGCTGACTTTGCTGAGTGCTCAACATGAACTATAGGCTATAGCCTATTCTATCAGCTAAGGGACAAGCGCGTTGCATTCTTCCAGAAGCTGAACCAGATCCGATCTAGATCTTGATTAGCGATGTAGACGCGCACATGGGCCCCACCTGAGCCTTTCTTGTCTATCAAGCTGTGACTAGTATTTGAACAAGAGCAGACCTAGAAGGCTAGACTATACATGAGAGTAATAGGCCTACGCTGCTGCTTCTACAAAGACAGCTGACTACTGCTGCTACGGCATCGAAGGGCCGTGTCAAACCAAATGCCAGGTGTCAGGGTCGTATCTTCAGGGATTTTATTTCTCCGATATCCGCTGCGTGCTGATGGAAGCAGGCTGAAGTTGCACCGTGCAAGGGGGCGTTTTCCTTCGCTTGGGGCAGTTGATCGACGGCTTGCTGGCGCTTGGCGAGATGTCGTCGTGGTGGGTCCAGGGCCCGGAGCTGCCGCTTGCTTGCTTGTCGGTGTCTTTGCTTGCCCGTTTCCTTCATCGCCTGACTGACGTGCACCACCAAGGCGTCGTAGTAGATGAGATGCTGTATAGCCCGGCAGCTCTCTTTCCTTTCCTTCCTGCTACCATCCAGTGCAGACATCCATCTCACAAGGCATCGTGCTCCTGAGCAAACAGAGCAGCAGCACCGCACACCTTGCGCAACGGTGCCAGCAACAGCGTACATACCACAACACACTCAGACGGGGATTCTAAATCGGACCGCGTTTGACTCAGTTTCATCCTCCTCGTCCCTCCTCTTCTCTTCAACGGGCCCTGCTTCCAGTCTTCACCAGGGCCGTCCCTTCTCATCCTTCTTTGTGTGCGCTCTTCTCTAGCGTACCTTGCGTGCAAGCTGCATCGAAGGCCTACGCTGTACCGTGCCTCTTCTTCTCTCTTCTAGTCTCTTGACTGTGCGCCCCTGTCCGCTCATCACGCTGGAGCCCATCAACTTCAACTGCGACATCTTCAGCAAGCCGGCGCGCCGAGACATGGAAGTCATGTCCGATGCGCAAGACAGTAGCTTCAGGCTGCCTTCTCTCACAAGCGTAAGGACCTTCATTTATATGGTGCAAAGTGCTAACCTGTCGCAGCTTATTCCCGAGGAAGTTCCTCAACAGTATAGCCGCTCAGACCCAAGATGGCCAGGGACGGCACCTCAACCTACAGCGCCGTATGATCCTCTAGAACGTACAGGTGGCAGCAGTATGCAGCCTGGCTATGACTACAGCGCCTACCAGCCCGGCAGCTACTTTGGTCCTAGTGCTGCCCGTGACCAGCATCATCGCGGTTCTCTCTCTTCTGCATCTTACGTGGAAAGCTCAAGACACTCGAGCCAGTCTACTGCTCGTAGCTCACTCTCTTCAGGCCCTGACGTGCACGGTCGTCAGCCTATCCCAGCCTGGTCTGATGCAACAACGCATACACAGCCTTTTAGCTATGGTACACCTGCTCTGCAACTCTCTCCTGGAAGTCGCGCACTTGCGTATAAACCAGAGTTTTCACCACCTTTCCCAGTGAATCATGCAGTTCCTGCTCAACGCACGGGGCCGGGTCCGTTGCCTTCAATCAGATACTCACCCAACTCGAGCTATGCTTCCCTACGACGTGATTCAGTGGCGAGTAGTATTCAAGATGAGCAGGATCATCGTCGAGACAGTTATCCACACATCATGGGCGGCGGGCATAGTCCCGGCAGTGGCAATGCACAATTGCATGATGCACGACGTGGTTCACACCCAAGCATGTCCTTTGCACCGTACTTGACAACGCGACCTACTGCATCGACGGAATCTCTACCTTCCACTGCATCGGCTATTGATTCTGCTGGGAAGCCCAAGAAGCGACGTGGTAATCTGTCACGCAAAGCAACCAGTATGCTGAAAACTTGGCTCAACGAACATGTTGAACACCCATACCCATCAGAAGATGAGAAACTGGCCCTGTCGGAGCAGACGGAATTGACCATTGCACAAATCAGCAACTGGTTCATCAATGCACGTCGACGGATCCTAGCACCTAGGTTTGCATCCAAGAACCAGAGTGCCGTGTGGAATGAGATTAAGATGAACCATCATATCCATGGTGGGCCAATGCCAACAGAGGGGACACTGGATCAACAGCAGCAGCAGCAGGTACAGCTGCAGCCTTCGCATCTACCGCCGAGCGTGAGCTCAGCAGGTGAAGGCGAGTCGCCAGAGTTGAGTCATGCAGTGCGCGATACGCCGCTTGCTCCAGCGACGGCATAATCTTGCTCTTTGACTTCTTGCAACCTACTTCATTTGCTTCTTTTGCTCCTCTTTAACGATAGTCGCTCTCTCTTTATAGCCCTATTAGCCCAAGACAGGTCAAACAACATCTACTAGTACACAGGCTATGACATGCTTAGTCTTCTCGAAACCGGTCCTCAAACGTATTCGACGCACCCAGTGGTGCGATATTGTCACCCACTGCATACGTCGCCTTGTTCTCATGCTCCTTCTGCCGTGCTTCCTGAGCACGTTTGCCCCAGCCGCCACGACCGTTATCCCAATCTTCCCTATACTCATCCCTCACTTGCCCTCCTGACCGTCCACGTCCCCATTGTCTACCTTCACGATATCCTGGATCCAAATCACACCGTATCAACCGATCATCCAACTTAGTTCCACTCACAAACATCATACAGTCTGCTGCATCACTGTGATTATAGTACTCGACAAAACAAAAGCCACACGGAGACTTTGTATTTCTATCAAGACCCATAATGATGCGTTTGATTTCACCGCATTTCGCAAAGAGTTCGTGGATTTGTTCTTCTGTTGTGTAGAAGGAGAGATTACCGACATACAGTGTTGTTGACGTGGCCAGGTCGGCGCGTTGAGAGGATTGACGATCACGGTAGGAGGAAGGTTGGTCGAGTCGTTCGAGGAGCTGGTATGTCGCTGCTGGGCGTGTCATGGTGGCCATGCTGTCTAGCGACTCAGTTGACGAGTTGATGACTTGGCTTCTTGTCGTCGTTGCTTTTTGAGTTGTAGCTTTTTTCCTGGGCGACGACGACTCGACGAGGGAGACCAGGACCCGGACTGCACGCTCAAAAGATTGTTGATTGCTATAAAACAGCTCCTGCTACTGGCTACGATGGAGAAGGATCCACTGCTGCAACCACTGCCAGAAGCTGCATCTATGCCATCAAGCGGTGCATCTGCTCGCGTTGCTCAAGACTTGCTCAATGCTACAACCCTCACTGAAGCACGCAAGCAAGAACAATTCCTCACAAAGATAGAGCACAAGATGCTCCTCCTTGAAGCAACGAGATCAGGCGATTCTCGTCTCATCAAAGCACAAAAGGAAGCAGCACGTATTGCAAAGAAGCGAAAGCCGAAACCTTTCTCTGCACGTGAATGTAAAAAGTCCGGTTGGGATACTATCCCGCAGTCTTCGCGAGACCCACAACTCTATGAAGCCTTGAATGCGCTTTGGCAAGGGTATATGGCGGAGATTTGGGCGGGTGGGCCGCCAGAGGCGAAGCTGCTCAAAGCCGATTATCATGGTGCGCGTGTCACGGTCATTCAATCGTCTTGTCCAAGTCATGTCTTCACGACTGGTATTGTCATCAAAGAGACACGCAATACGTTTGTGATTGGTACAGCAAGTGGTCGTGTCGTGACAATCCCAAAGCGAGCGACGGTCTTTGAGTTTGAAACGCAACTGCCGAATGCGAAAGCTGCGAATCCGCCAAAAGAACCAGACACGTCGACCGTCAAGTGGCAAGTATTTGGTGAGCATTTCGGATATCGAGCCGCTGAACGTGTCTCGAAAAAGTTCAAAGGCCGCAGTACCATTGATTTTTGATTCTGGTCAAACAAGCGTCTTGTTTCCATACAGTTTCAGAATCTCCCAAGAGAAGAAGATCTCCCAACACGTCATGCTCGCTTCAGACGTTTACAGATGAAGCAGGTTCTACTGCTGAGCTGTATATCCTGCTTGGTATTGGCGCAGAGCGATAGTGTCACTGTGGCATTGACACTGCACCCGCATCATCGCGCGGATGGACGCATGGCCCAGTCAGACAAGGATTTTGCCATGACTGCCTCTGCAGCTCAATCTCAACACGACAAGGCGAGTATGCCGCAGCAAGCACCGCTAGGCATCGCAAAGCAATTGGCAGGTCCAGTTGCGTCAAGCCTGCAATCAGGACAACCTGCACCAAGGAATGCAACAGCTCTTGGTAACCCTAAGAATGCAACACTACAGTCCACGAGCACGCAGAGCTTCAGTAGCCCTGCGACCACACAACCAATTGCGCGACCGGTTCAACAAGTTCGCGCGGAGCAGTCTGGCAGCAGAGTCAAGTCTGATACTCATCCACTCAAGACCCCTATCCTGGTTATTGCTGTGCTTGCGGTTCTCATGGCCGTCTTGCTTGCTATCATTGTCATTATACAGATCCGCAAGCAGTGTATTAGACGGCGAGACGATGGTTACGCATCACACAGCTCATTTGATTGTACCAGCAGCGCACAATCTTCGATGAGACCAGCAAAAGAGCCGATGCATACTGTCAGAGCATCTCGGATGACGCCTTCGACGGCGCCAACGATGCTTGAGCGCTTTTCCCATCTACCAAGCGAGTACCTCGCTCACAAGCCTGGTGGTGTACGCGAGTCAACAGTCGTGGCGGATGATAGTATCAGTCAGGTCATGGTCAAAATAGCACAAAGTCGACGTATATAAGCACCTATAACAATCGCTAGATTGAGCAGCCAGGCAGTGTCTTCATGGCTGCTGCCGTCGCTTCTTTTGTTTCCTTAACGAGTGCGGCGATTTGCTTGAATTCAGGGATTCCGGCATCTCGTACAGCTTGGTAGATGAAACTCTCTGAGGTCGTAACGGTCGCACCGGCTGCAGCGAGACGGCGTAACGCAATGGGTACTTCACTTGCATTGCAAGAAGAAACACCATCAGAGATGACAAAGACCTCATGTCCATGCGCAATCAAATCCAATGTCGTCTGCGTCACGCAGATATGCGATTCAATACCAACAATGATAATTTGCGAGCGTGCTGGTAGTTTTGCAAGGACTTCAGGGATCGCCATGGAGAAGAGCGTCTTGTCCATATCCAACAAGGGTTTCCGCCCATCCTGCAATTTCAACTCATCCACCGTATCGCCCAGTTTCGCACGCAGCTGGGTCGTGTAGACAACTTCCCAGCCGAGGATGCCAGAAGCCTTCAATAGCTTCGAGCAAGTCTTGGAGACATGGCCGAATTCATGGATTGCACTGACAAATTTGGTTTGCATGTCACACATGAATAGGATCGGTTTTGCGGTAGGGGCAGCCATTGAGCCTGATGTATGTCTTGCGACCTGAGCAAGTCTTGAAGCCAGCTTGAGGGAGTGTACGGCCTGGGATGGTTCAGGCTTAGCTTTGCTCTGGTCCTATTGTGTCTGATTGCGGGGGGAAAGTGGAGATGCATTCAGATAGAGAACTCGACTACACATTTTTCTACAGAACAAGTACAATGTACATATGGTCCCTCTTTACACTAACCCATCACTTCTTCCAGTCATCCGGATTACTGGATGCCCGCTTCCCATCCCGTTGCACCATCTGCCAGAAATGCTCCATGGAAAACCGGGGTGGAGGCTGTGGATGGACCCTGAATGGCGATGCACCATGCTTGAACTCAATCGGGCGCTTCCCATCCCTGGCTCCCAGGCGCGTTCGATCTGACAACGTCAACTCCCATGTTCGTTCTTCCGCTTCATTTGGCAAATGCTGCACTTTATCCCACCATTCTTTGCTTGTCATTTCATACAAACGAGATGCAGCTCTGCCAAAAGCGAATTGCTCATCTTGACCAGTGAATGCGTTCAACCTTCCGAAATCTTGTTTGGGCATGGCCTGTTGAACAGCATCTCGTTGATCCTCGGGCTTGGTCGCTGCATAACTAGAGACATTAGGTCTGTTGGGATTCGTCACATCGTAGTATGTCTCTGAAAACGCTTCACTAGCAATCGAATCTGTGCTCGCCATACCACCTGTTTCTGGAAAGAAGAGCTGGTCAGGTGTTGCTTCTGCTCTGATGAGAAGTTTGCACTTGCTCTCATACAAGGCATCAATCAGAGAAATGAATCGTCGCGCTTCATTCTTCTTGTTGAGCATCAAGATAGGAACTTTATCGAGTATGATCGTCGTATATTTTGATGCAATACTGATGTAGTCTGCAGGACCCAGATCAGCTTCACAAAGGTAAGAAAAGTCAAATTTGACAACCCCATCCTGTTGCGCGGGAATGGCGACTGTCCTCGAGTGAATATTGATGGTTGTAGAGGTAGGTGAAGGCATGAGCTCTGCAACAACTTCCTCCATCGGTCGTGTTTCTTGATTTGGTGCGTGATACATGGCCAGCTGATCTGTGACTTCCTTTCTGAAGTCTCGACCACTGCGCATGTCATGGACAACACAGCGTGTTGATAGGAGTTCTGTGAATGACTTGAACTGTTCTGCTTGAAACGAGCCAGAGTATAAATCTTCGGGCATTCGGTTGGATGTACAAATGAGCACACCTCCCATTTTCCAAAAGTAGATGAGCACACCCTTGAGTATGCGAGCTGATGCTGGATCTCCTAGTTGAAACTCATCAATGGCGAGAATGGGAGATTCTTCAATGAGTTCGTAGGCAATTTTGAGCAAGATGTATTCATCGTCGCGTTCTCGATTGAGACGAGCAAAGAGTTCAAGCATGAAAGCATTATAGTGCCATCTCTTCTTCATCGGTAAGAGAATATCGATGAGCATACTCTTGCCCGTGCCCACGGATCCTGATAACATCAAGCCTTTTGGACTATCGATATTGAGCAATTCCTCTTCCCACGAGAGTTGCTTGACAAGTGCACCATCACTTGCACTTGATAGAAACTTGCGAACAGGATTGATGGTTGGGCTCTTTCGAAGGAGTTTCTCAACTTGCTTGATCTTGCGAGCAAAATCAACCGGTGGGACATACCCATCAATGCGTCTATAGAGCTTTTGGAGTTCCTTGACGGCTCGTAGCTGAGAGTCGTCGGGACGAAAGTAGTTGACTTTGAGGAGTGATTGATAGTGTAGGAAGGGGTCACTCATGACGATGCCTGTAGAGTAGGCATGGCAGGCTGCACAGCGCTTGATTACATGAGCGAGATGTCTTGGACGCAAATGGTTTGGCATGATGTGCTATTGAGCAGCAGAGCAGATCCGTATGTAGCTTCAATGCTTGAGGCTAAGGGGAGCCTTGAAAGACGTACAGAAGCTAGAGATGGTTGTGGGATCTGATGCGGTCGTTAATGACGCGCGACGTCTGGATGCTGTCAAATTCGAAGTTCAACAGACGCGACTGCAGCGAGTTGACAACGACTCAAAAGAAGAGAACTGAGCTAGAAAGTAGGCGGCATGCTTGATGTCACTCAAGATACAGAGCTTATTGCTGTACAACATCAAGAGCCAGTGCCGCATACCTTGACCACATCAAAGTTTGTCAAGCAGCTGGACATTCGTGGTTGGCGCATCACAACAGAGCGTCGGCCCATCTCCAATGCAAAAGAGATTGAGTCCCTCCAAACAGCTCTGGATATTCCAATGCCAGAAATGATCTTTGGCAACAATGTAGTACGTGTTGCTTGTCCAGCGCTGGGTATAGATCTCGCTTGGTCGGCTCACGAAGCACTGGATCAAGTAGACAAGCACGGGACAAAGCTCAAGGTGGTCTACTCTGAGCATTGGAACAAGACGAGAGATCAGCACTCGGAAGACATCAAGCATGTCACAAAGCCATATGATTGGACCTACACTACAGCCTATGCTGGTAGCTGCGAGCAATGCACTTGGCAAGAAACTGAAGAAGGACTGCCTATGGCGCTTCTGAAGCGACAGGATCCTATATTGCTCTACGACGAGGTTGTCCTGTACGAAGATGAGTTGGCTGACAATGGCACATCACTCTTTTCAATACGTGTCCGTGTAATGCCGGATCGTCTACTGGTTCTTGCACGATTCTTCCTGCGACTGGACGGCGTATTGTTTCGCATCAGAGATACACGGCTATTTTGTGAATTGGCAGATGGCAAGGTCTTGAGGGAATATGTATCTCGTGAAGAGGAATTCGACAAGGTCAAGGCTCAAATCCCGCCGTATCAGCAAGACGAAGCAGGTACCTTGCTTGATGATGCAAACTGGGTCCTTGAGCGATGTCCCATCGTTGAAAGACGCATGGAGACACTCAAAGCGAGCAAGACAGCTTGATGATCACTTGGGAGGAAGCGACAAGATATAAACTTGCATCCAGCCACACGTCTTACGTTACCGATATCCACCCCTGCAACTCAAGCCGAGCATCACCAGCACTTGTCTCATTACTTACAATCAACAACTTTTTCAGTAGCATGGCTGACGATGATACGACCATATCTTGATCTTCCTCTAAGGCAGCCTGGTGCCTCTCGATCCCTTTCATATTGCGCTTGTGTAGTGCCTCTCATTCTGCTATATCCTTCTCATGACCAGCAGCTTCGAACTCTTGTGACTGCAGGACTCGATCGAAGTTGCCAAAGACACTTTCAACACGCTCCAGTCCTCTCCATCACTTCTTCGAGCATCTCTTTCTCTTTTCGTGCTTCAGTCATTCGGTCAAAAAGCCATTTTTGCAAGAGAAGCCGACCCCTTGGCTGATACCTACCAAAAGTATCCGCACACGCTGAGAGTGTTCATCAATGATTATACCTGCTGAAGTCACGTCTGAGCCTATACCACAGCCCAACACTGCTCATCATTGACCGGGCAGATACTTCTCTATGAACACTTGTACTGCAATGGTTCGCATCTCCGGTCCCGAAGCGACTCTGTTCCTCAACAACTACGACGGCGGCTCAACGATATGCGCGGGACAGATTGGCAGCACAGGTCCATCCAAGTTGTAGTACGCACGGATATGTGTAGCATTCGTCCATTTGCGGAAGGCAGGGTACTCATTGCTGTAGTAGAGACTCTGAAGCCACCGCTAGCAAGTCAGTAAAGCAGCTTCAACATTGCCAACTTACATGAATATTTGGATAGTCGTGCCTGAGAAAGGCATAGTTGCACTTGAAGAGACCATGGTAGACGTAGTCATATCGCACCATGGTTGTAAAGCACCGTACATCTGCCTCCGTCAATCGATCGCCGACAAGGAATCGCGAACGTCCAAGCACATCCTCAGCCTTGTCCATGTGGAAGTTGAGGGCAAAAATGTGTTCATCATACACTTGCTGCTGCACGGCAAAGCCCGCTTTGTAGACACCATTGCTGATGTACTTGTGGACCCATTCGTTGGTATGATCAATCTCAGTGCACAAGTGTTCCGGGTAGTAGCGCCTGCTTCGAAAGGGCTCCGGTACAAGAGAATCAAAAGCACTCTCAAAGATGCGCATAATTTCCCCTGAATCATTATTGACAATACGCCGCGTCTTCTTGTCCACCAATATGGGCACTGTGAAACGTGCACCAGGACTAGGATGAGGATCGTTGTACCTGTAGATGTCTGCCGTGTAGCGCGCCTGAAAGATGGGATCCGCATGGCAACCTTCAACATCGGGTCTGAATTCCCAGCCATAATCAGCACCTGCCAGGTTGTAGTAGGTGATGCAGTGGTCCACGACACCTTCGAGTCCCTTGAGTGTCATCATGATGAGATCGCAGCATGACCAAGGGTCCAACAAGGATGCGTAAAGGATATAGCGACCTTGTTCTGGCGGGAAGGGGGAAATGCGAGGGTCGCGCGAGATTGTATGCCTGTATTGAGCCGGATGAGGTCGAAAGGCGCTCTGATAGTAAGCTCGGTGCATAACAGCGCAGTAGTATAGTTTGCCGGATGTCGAGGGCCTTGATGCGGAAGTCGGGCCCTTTTAAGATGGCGACGTTTTCAGTGACGATATGACGATCGATCCAATGTGCAACTGTACCCAAGACTAGCAAGAGAAGAGCATCGAGACGGCAGACATGATGTGCTCCTGGGAGAACGCTGTAGGACCAAGACAGAATTTCAAGACTGGCTGCTGGCACACAAGGCCAGCTCGTCGCGCATCGTGGCCTGATCATCGTCGTTGAGATCGCTCGTTGCCTCCCAGGCATCGCTGAACTCTAGCTGCGGGTCTCCGGCTGGAACAAGCCAGAGAAACTCACGGAGCCGCTTGTGACGCTCTCGATCTTCCTCTATCCGACGCAGGATGTCTTCTCTTGATATCTTGATGTCCTCCGTCGCGGCCGACTCGCTTGATGGAACTTGGCCTGCTTCTTCCCGAGCTTGCAGTTTCTCCTCGTGCTGCGTGTAGACTTCCTCGTCGATGAACTTCTTCTCCTTCATCTTGCGCAGAAACTGCCATTAGTGTCGATGAAGACGGGAGGTAGGCCACTCACCACGCGTGTTTGCGCAACATTGGCCGTTCCTTGAAGACCAGACGGAGCAACAGCTTGGATGACCTGGGTAAGATCCCGCTGGACCATATGAATGTAGGCTTCATGACCGGATCGCTTTGCTACTTCGCATAGAGTCTCGAGGAAGAACAAGATGTTGATTTTGACATTGAAGGACGTCTATTGTCAGAGGTCGTAGATTAAGAGAGGATAGATCATACTGTCGCCATTTCCAACTCTTCCAGGATACATGAGAAGAGATCCTCATCAAAGCTCTTGTGCCTAAGAGCAAACTGTGCAGTCTTGAGCTGCGATGCCTGTGATGCCTGCAATCGCTTGAGCAGGTCCAGGAACTGCATGCGCCCTGCTGTTAGTCTTGGATATCCTAATAACCAGCAGGCCCTGATTCCCTACCCTCGAATGGATCCATGGCTGCTTGTCGCGTCTTGTAGCAGCTGGTGAATCTCCTTGACGTCGCGACTTTTCTGTGGATTCAACGACGACCAAAGGCACAAAGCACAAGGACAAGAGCTAGATTGCGTAGTTCATGTCATTCTATCGCCAGGATAGGCAGGATAGACAATACGGCTTCCAGAACCATAATAACGACGATGGGCAGAAAAAGCTAGCAACACGACGGACGGTAGATTACGGCAGTGGACTTGCACGGCATGTACAGCTTCGCAAGTCCGGTGCTCAGCAGCCTGCCATCAGACCCACACGGCATCATGTGCTCGACATATTCCCACCAAGCCTCGACAGTCGAAGTGACCCTGCGGCGACGTTGTGTTGCAAGTATGCACATACCTCCGGCAATAAGAACAAGCATCCCATCAACTGTGTTCGCTGGACATCAGACGGCCGACGAGTCTTGACTGGCTCGACCTCTGGCGAAATGACACTATGGAATGGGCTGACGTTCAACTTTGAAACTATCCTGCAGGCGCATGAATCGGCGGTGCGGGCAATGGAGTGGTCGCCGAGTGGAGATTGGTTGCTTTCCGGAGACCACGAAGGCTTCATCAAGTACTCTCAAACCAACATGAATATCGTCAAGGTCATTCCTGCGCATACGGAAGCGATACGAGATATAGCCTTTTCTCCTGGCAGCAACAAATTTGTCACTGCCTCAGACGATGGCTCCATGAAGCTCTGGAGTTTCAATGAAGGCGTGGAAGAAGCAACCTTCACAGGTCATGGTTGGGATGTGAAAACGGTGGATTGGCACATGTCCAAGGGTCTCATCGTTTCAGGCTCCAAGGACAATCTCGTCAAACTCTGGGATCCGAGGACAGCCAAGTGTCTATCAACTTTGCATGGACACAAAAACACAGTATCCAAAGTCATGTTTCAACGCGTGGACGGCGATCTGCTTGCTACATGCTCAAGAGATTCGTCAGCGAGAGTGGTAGATCTCAGAATGATGCGTGACCTGCGAGTACTGCGTGGCCATGAAAAGGATGTAACGACTTTGACATGGCATCCAATCACGCCATCGCTCATCACAACTGGCGCGCACGATGGCGCTCTCAGTCATTACCTACTCAATGAAAGTGCCAAGAATGAAACCAGCAGTATCACGAGTTCTGCTGCTGTTGCCCAGCCGACCATGACAATTCCGTTTGCGCACGAATCGGCCATCTGGTCAATGGAGTATCATCCCTTCGGCCATCTACTGGTCACTGGCTCAAATGATCGTGCCACTCGATTCTGGGCGAGACCGAGACCGGGAGATGACTTGACGTTCCAAGATCGCTACCATGTCGGCGAGGAAAAGGCACTGCAAACAGCCGAAAGCAGGCGTCGATTGCGTCAAGAGGAAGAGGCAGCCGGCAACGAAGACGGTGGTCTTGTTGATCAGCAGAATCCAGTCTTGGGTCAAATGCCATTTGCGTCCTTACCTGGACTCGGTGGCCTGAATGCTTTGCCACCTGGACTCATTGCCTCTGCCAATGGCATGAATGGTAGCCCTCAACGGCCACAAAGCAATGGAATTCCAGGGTTTGGTAACTATGTGCTACCATCAAGCCTACCAGGAATTGCTGGACAAGGAGCTGGCTTTGTACCACCACCGCCACCCAATTTTCAGCTTTTGCCACCAGGTGTGCCGCCACCCGGTATGTTTGGCATGCCACCCTTTCAAAATGACCCACCCGCTGGCGACGGCATGATGAACCCAGACCGTATGAAATTTCTTCAACAGCAAAGGTATTAGTTGAATCAGTCTTCATGATCATTACGGTATGTTCTATACATGTAGATTTGATGCAGTCATTGGTGATGATATCGTGGTCTGTACTGTGTCGTAGCGCTCTTAAGTACTTGTGTGAGTGGCAGAAATGTCAGTCCCTTGGAGCTCAAGAACTTCTTCTTCTAGCGGGATTGCACTGACCGGCGATACCCTCTCAATCTTGAGCTGTGTCGGAAAGAGACCTTGAAAGAATGCCGCAAATCCCTTGAATGCTTCATGGATTTCCTGCTCATCATCAGAGAGAAAATCATCATTAATGCAAGTGAATGCAGCAACACGAATGGCGTAGAGATTATTTGCCTCTAAGGCATTGTGCACCATGTAGAACGAGCCATCCGGTCGAGCAGTCGTATACGCATACTTCTTTAAGGCACGTAAAGCCATTTGTCTGTATTTGGAGGGTGTGCCCGTCTCTGCCTTGCGCGGGAGAATCACATCGAGGCCATGCTCTGCATTGTCCAGCAGATATCGTATCAAGCAATCACCGCACGTCACAGTGACGTTTCTCAGATTTTTCATCACTTGTTCCAGTGAGATTCTTGCCAGACGGTCGGCATCAAAGCCGAGACATGTCAAGTGCGTGTAGGTGGCAGAACAGACGCTTGCATCGATTGTAAGGAGATGAAACGGCCCATCCATGGACGACCACAACAAGCCCTGTGCCTTGACCGCTGGTAATCCAGCCTTTTCCAGGTTCTCGTCGGCGTGCTGTGTGGCCCAAGCTTGTGTCTCCCAGCTCAGACTGCGTCGCTGCGCCTGTTTGCCTGCTTCAATTTCTGCCAAGAAGGCTTGAGCTTCGTCCATGCTTAAGTAGCCATCTTCATCTCTATCCATTCGCCACAAAATCGACCATAGCATTGCTTCGCGATGCATCTCAATGGTGAATTGATTGTGCATATACCAGCCATACAGCTGATGTGAGTCGTAGCGTTGTCGCGAAAGAGGAGTCAAGGTCCCTGCTCTCGGAAATGTACTCATCGCCTGATTCATGATTGATCTGGAAATGATTTTCTGGTGGTGCTGTTGAATAGGTCGCATGCGACGACCAAAGCGCTGGTTGAGCATGTAGCTTGTATACTGTGCAACCAGTATTTCTCCGCCCATGGATTCGTCAAGGACCGGCTCATACGCTTGATCGAAATGTAGGATATCATTGTAGTTGTTGAGTGTCATACCGTACAAGTCAGATTGAAAATCAGAAGATGCCACGGGTGTGCCAAAGAACATGTCATCGGAAAGGGCAACGAAAAAAGGGGTCGTGTTGAGATGGCTGAGCTGCGACTCTACACTGACGCTGTTGAAGGTCGGCGCGCATTGCGGGTGATCCATGATGTCTTCATCTGCAACCACCTCCACCTGGACCTCCGCATCACTCACAGTAGCATCCAGCCATTCTGGTTGTTGCACATAAGTTTCGCCTGTTTCCATGCTTCTCAATCGCTTTGAGACAATCAGGATGCGCGACAGCCACGTCGGAGCAAAGCGCACGGCAGATCGGATCGAATAGCGTAGCTCATCCCATGATCGGTGTCGAGAGCCCTGCGCTAATTGCCACTCCGGTAATCTGTCTTGGTGAAGGGTCGCGTATACTTCATCATATGGTGCCTTGTGAGCTTGAAAGTCTGCGGCTGACCCGTTGGCCCAAGTGTAGACCAAGTCGAAGCGAGGTGTTGGCAGCTGGAGTCCGGCGGGAAGAATACCGTGGCTGATCCAGTCGTCTGTCCAGTCAAAGAGTTGTTCGTCTGCGCCAAGCTGCGCAACCTCGAACCAGTCGACTTCGGGTAGCTGAGCAGCATAGTCCTTGACGGACAGGCAGTCTGGCAAGTCATCCGGCATCTGATCGGGGTAGAGGCCCTGGCCATCTAGCGATTCATACTCATCCAGGAATACGTCTGAGTAGCAGTACAAATACGTCTGCCAGCTGTAGAACGACATGGTGATCAAAGCAAAGACCAACAAAGTCATCCGGCTGAGACGGCGCGACTTGAGTAGATCTGTGACAGACCCGCGGCGACTGCGCATACCTGCAAGGTCCTTCTCAAGGTCGACCGAGAACGACATGGCTACTGCTGGGACGTTGCTCGCGTCCTCGCCGATTTGGTGTCGTACGACCTCTTTGCCTGGTAACGGTACACCCCTGGGCCTCTTACGTCACGGGATCGCAGAAGCAATACAAGAGACAATGACAGCAAGCAGGATCGGCTGTTAGGCAACTGCGTAGTACCTCAGTAGACGCTGGAACCTCCCGACTTCCTGCAACAAGAGCGTTTGGTTTGGTGTTGACGTCCACGGCCGTACAAGCCATCGGTTTTGATACTTTTTAGCACAAGAGGTGCCAAGATGTATTGGACAATCAAGGGGCACAAGCAGATTGCACTTTTGTCTTTCCGCCGCGATTGAGGACAGCGGAAACACCGTGCTTTCGAAGTCAAGCAAGCGCACAGTGCGCTAACAGCGCTGCCGGTGAAGTTACGACATGGCGTTGAGCGGCGATCGAGAGTCCTGGGAATGAAGAGCATTGGCCCAAACTGGCGAGGGCCGTTCAGACTGACGGCTTGGCATTACAATGCTTTCTCAAGCTGAAACCTCTGGGCCGCTAAATTGGAGCTTGAAAGGCCCGAAGAATGGCTTTTGACAGGCATGCAAACAGGATAGATGACATGACAAGATCTGAAGCAGGATTATACTCTTAGCTTGAAGATGCTTGACTTTGGTAGCTGCTCCACACCAGCAGATATCGTGTGCATCTCGGGTCTTGGCTTGGGAGGTCTGTGCAGTTGCCGAGTGCCAAGACATTCTGTGCGGGATTTGGCGATTCCTGGGCAGAAAAGAAGGAACTTTGGACTCGACTCGTATGGGCATGACTGGACACACGAATCATTGAAGCCCCGCTAGGGCCGCTACGACTCCTACGAGTGTAGAATGACCAAGGATTATCGGCTACACATACCCTTTCTAAGCTTGACAGCGGCTCGGGACTCGGGCGCATCGGCCTCTTCAAACTTCAAGTAAGAAATGCCGAGCTCGTGCTCCAAGAGACAGTGGCCCAACTTCAAACAAGTCGTGTGAGCCATCCAGTATCAACGAACGGCTCTACATACGCTCCAACGGCTTGAGACCCAACAGTCGCATGCCGTTGCCAAGCACAATCCGACAAGCAACGTACAGGGCCAGTCGTGCTTGTGCCAAATCATGCGGCTGATTCGACACCCACAACTTGTCATACGCTCCGGAAATGCCATGACATAGCCTGAAGAGGTATGTGACAATGTTGGAGGCTTCCTGTGTTTTGTACGTGTTTTGAACAACAGAAGGCCAGATCATGAGCAACTTGACGAGATCCTGTACGATCGGCTCCGTCAAGAGAGTAAAGTCCGCGGATGCCAAGTCGGCCTCCTTGAATTCTGGATTCTTGCGTTGCACTGAGCAAAGTCGCGAGTGTGCATACTGAAGGTAAGGACCCGTATCGCCCTCGAAACTGGTCATTCGGTCCCAAGCGAAGGCATAGTCGTTGATACGCTTTCCAGACATGTCTTGAATCATGACGGCTGTAATACCAACAACATCTGCAACATGCTCTGGATCCTCAATCTGATTGAACTTGACCTCGTTCTTCTGCATGACCGCATACATGGTCGCCTTGGCCTCTTCCAGAATTTGGTCAAGGAAGACTGCTGTACCTTTCCGGGTAGACATACCCAGAACCATACCAAAGTTGACGTGCTGCAGACGATCCGCAAACTCATAGCCCATAAGCTCACAAATCTTGAACAACTGAGCGAGATGCAAGTCCTGCTGAGCAGCAACGACATAGATCATCTTGTCAAACTTGTACTTCTCCCACCGGTCTTGCACCTCTCCAATATCACGGGTGAGGTAAAGTGTGGTGCCGTCTCGCTTCTGCACAATTGCTCGGCCAAGTTTCTTGTTGGCTGGAATCAGGTCGACCAAGAGCGCACCCTTCTCCTCAACAATCAACTCCTTCTGCTTCAAGAGCTCCATTGCATCGTCCATGCGCTTTTGCGGCACTTGTGACTCGCCAGAGTAGAAATCGTAGTGGATGTTGAGCCGGGCATAGGTCTGCTCAAGCTTGACAATAGACAAGTCACGAAACTTGCGCCAGACTGCAAGTTCAGCTTCTGAGCCATCCTCCATGGCTTTGAAGTAGGCGCGGGCACGATCATGTAGCGTCTCGCGAGGCTCATAGGGTGTACCTTCTTCTTCGCACTTGACCTTGCGAGCCTTTTCGGCGTCTTCTTCAGCCGTGGCTTGTGCGTTGATTTGAACGTAGACATCGTAGAGATGCTTGATGGCATCTTGCTTCAACTCTTCTTCATTGCCAAATGCTTCGTAACCCAATGCCAACAAGCCGTACTGCTTCCCCCAATCCCCTAAATAGTTCATGCGAACCACTTCCCATCCCATCGCTTCATGCAGATTGGCCAAGAATGAACCAATAATAGTAGAGCGCAAGTGTCCTGCATGAAAAGGCTTGGCGATATTGGGTGATGAGAACTCGACTATTCCTTTCTTGCCCTTGAAGGTATCAAACGTACCGTACTTCTCGCGCTGCGCAAGGATATGTGGGACCAAAAAGCTCACCGACCGCTGTGTTGGGAATGTGAAGCGCATAAAGATGCCCTCTGATACAGCAGTGACAATGTCCTTTGGAAAGGCCTCTGTCCACTGTAGTGCTAGATCTGCTGGCTTGGCCTTGGCTTTGCCAAGCTTCGGAATAGGCAGGACAAGGTCTTGCTGACCTTTTGCCGGCGCCAAGTCCAATGCCGCATAGATTGTATCGCGAGGATGTTGGGAGATAGCCGCAAGCTGGTCCGCAACGTACGTCTTGTAGAGGTCGATGGGGTTATGTGTAGGATCTGCAGACTTTGGGAAGGTAACCGTGGTGTCGAGTCCAAGCTTGCGAAGGCTGTCGGATAAGTCTTGCGTCGCCATTATGCGCGTCGAGTATCGCTTTTGATAGACAAACGGAAGCAAGGAAGACAATGACCTTCTGAGCAGACTGCAGGAGATGGCCGTTGTAGATCTGAGCTTGGACTAAGCTTCACTACGTGGATATTGATATTGAGATATTGATGGTCCTGTCGCCAGAAAAGTGGATGTAGCGTGAGACAAGTTGGCTAACGACGCGCTGCCCACTAGAACAGTAGCACTTCGCTGTAAGACTCTCAGACTTCTTAAGGCTCAGAGGGCTAGATCATCTCCTCGAGCTTTGTTCCATCACGCGAAAGTCTGCAGGGACTCTCAATTCAATGCTCCTTGGCTATGCTCCTGCCTGACGACAACGATTTTTCTGTCAACAGGCCAGCGCGCAAGCTCAAGCTTGGGATGAAGGCTTGCTGAGCTACAGCTGCCTAAAATCTGATTGTTATATTGGAAGCTACAGTGTCGTCACTTGACATCCTATGAAAAGGGTTCCAGCCGCTACAGGCCCACAGCAGTCGTGAGGCCATGCGCACCCCTGACTCGAATGACATCGTGAAATACTACCAATGCATGGAGCAATTCCAGGGGATTCGCCTGATCCTATGCCTCGTCGAATGGGCTCCTTTACTTGCGATGTGCATTTCATGCCAAACGGCGGATTCAGACACGTCTGCTTGATCCTACCTCCTGTGCGCAATCGACCGAATCTCTTCTCAAGACTCTCACAAGCTTTCGCGCCAGCCATTAGCATAGCGAGAATGCATTATCGCAACTCCTCATCACTGATGACATTCACGTTCACACTTGTTTCACTCTTGTTATTGGTCATGCACCTGGAGCTGCAGCATGCAGCAGCCGAAGCTGGCCGATCTAATGGTCAAAGCTCCCACCGTGGGCAGGAAAGTGCTGTCGATACGCGAAGCAAAAAGCCCGGTCGCGGAGAAGGACAATCGACAACCGGTGGAGTCAGCACCTCAGCGACTGTAGCGTCGGATCTTCCACATGCAGTGGAAGGCATTGACTACTTTCCACTTGCCGCAATTGACGGGGTGCGCAAATGCTACAATGCAACGTTCTTGATCTCGCATATCCACACATTTAAGGAAGCTCCAGAGTTCTGCGCAATGGACGAGCCACACCGTCAAAACCACATTACGGAAGTATGTGAATCGTGGTGTTTCAAGGAACATGCAGCTTACAACAATTCGCACACCAATTACATCAAAGGGCACGTCAGAAGTGACACATGCATCCAGAGCTTCAACATTCAAATCACGAAAGAAACCATTCCTGACATGGCTTCTGCTTTTCCGGACCCATGTGCGTTCAGCTGTCGGTGCAATTTATTCAATTATGTCGAGCGCATCAAGATGCCATATTTGAGTCGCATGGGCCAAGTGTTCGAGCTGTCGCCCTCCAAACCGAAGTCTTACTGGCCTCATGTTGTGGAACTTTCATGGAAACGTTCAAACCCGACTGGCACATCGACCAGGAGGTGTCATTACGAAGATCTTTTCGAACAAGTTGGTTGGACGTCGGATATCAAGCGTTCCGAGGGAGACACTCCGGCAACAGTCAAATGGCAGGTCGAGTGTCAAGTGAGTGCACAAAATCTACCCTGCGACAGGGTCACTTGGAAGCGGCATTGCTACTGTAGGCCAAATAATGCCAGACACTTGTTTCGACCCGGACAATGTGAAGATGGTCACGAAAATCCCAGGCCACCTAAAAGGAAGAAGTCAAAAGCAAAGATGCAGATTTTGGATGCAGGCGGCGCTAAGCCAGTAGATCAATGCATCGCGCCTATTGCCCACGGAAGTACTCCTGCCAATAATGCATTTCGAGCGGACGCATCGAGTTCAGGCCAAGCAGCATTGGCGGGCAACAGTGCAAAACCTGCCATGGCAGACATGCGACTGGATCCAAATGACTGGGAGGAATGGATAGCAACAATGTCGAATGTGGAGCAGAATCCAACGACCGGACTACCAGTAGATCGGAACGTCGTGACAATGCAGTCTTGCAACAATCATGGTCTCTTCAACCATCCAGGGTTTGAACAACCGCATGCAGATATATGCGTGGCTCCGAGCCATGAAGGCCAAATGCAAGGGAGTCATGATGAAGGAAGTGATGACAGTCAGGATGGTTCGCAAGACGACGAAGCTGACTCTTACCGGCGTCCCTTGCACTTCATCTAATGGAAGGGTCTCTTTTCCAGCCGCAGATCATTGAATTTCTACCTAGCCCTGGCATTCAGCACCCTTGGACCTACTGTCGGAGGTGATGCTCTTGTTCAGGCCATCAACTGTCGTACCTTGCTTTTATCGTTCAGCGTAACGCACGCATTCGAATTGGAGTTCCGCTCCTATTTAGCTCCAGATATCGTAGTATTCCTATCATTTACGCCTGGCACGTAAGCCCTTCAAGCTGAAAAGATCAGCTACTACAGCTGACTACCAGACGAATTTCATTCTGAGTTGTATATGCATATTGCTTTTTGGTTGCGATCGCTTGTCAAGGATGTCAGTTCATTTTGCATGCGCAAACATCAATTCAGTCATAGACACTTATAGCTCCTTAGTCAGGGTCAGGGTATAGAACAAGTCACACAAATATACGAAAATGGAGTCGTGGACGACGGGGAGGTTCTACAACTAGTCACACAATTATACGGAAATAGAATCGCGGACGAAGAAGGGATTCAAGAAGCAGAACTCAGTCAAGAGGATCATAAACTTGAGGGCACAAACCTAGAAGATGTATAACCAATGAGTAAGGTAATGGATGTCGCAAAATTATGGAAGTCTTCCACGTGATGCGAACCTCCAGATGGAGCGGCACGCTTTCACAAATGAAACACCACAAATACAAAGGCTAGTATTGCGGCCGGTGGTAATTCAAACTGATTCTAAGTCTGCTGGAGCTAAAACTACTGTCTAATCTATCTATAAATATCTGTTTAGAGGCGCTTATGCATTGGTCTCGAACTGAGGCGCCCAGATCGTGTGAACGTGACATTTCCAGGCTCTGCACTCAAAGGCTTCCCCTCTACCATGACACCCGCGGCTTCAGTCAAATTCGACCCTGGATTCTCTTCTTGACTGACCACAGCTGACTTGTAAGCCTGATTGAGCTTCTTTTGAGCTTGCTTCACAGCATGGTTGGCCAGAGAAACAGCCTTCTTTTCCGCTGCGGCGGCTTCCTTAGCAACTTTGGCTGCAGCACGAGCCTCCCGTTTCTGTTGAGCCTCAGCTTCCTTGTCTGCCTTTTTGATAGCCCTGGCTGTCTTTTCAGCCGCCCTTTGCTCGACTAGCATGTCCCGTTCTTGTGCACGCTTAGCTTCAATGTCTCGTGCATGCTGGACCTCGATAGGGCCAACAAATAAAGCGCCTGTCCGTCCATCCGACCTCAGCTGCTCCCCGATCTTCAGCTGTCTTTTCTTCCTTGGCTGATTTCGCTTGGCAACAGCCTTTAGCTGCGAGTTCTCCAGCTTTACGGCTTCATACGCTGTTTGGACCTCAGAAAGCCGGTGCGCCAGGAATTGGAGGGACTTTTGATGATCATTTTCTCCTGATGGTTGGAGAGCGCCTGCTTGTTTTCCTCCCTGCGGGCTTTGGAGGTGGATAGGCCATGAAATCGACGGCTGAGGGCTGGTCGACTGATTCCATGCTTTCTAGCTATCCTTGCTAATACAGGAGCGTCAGATGCGCGTGCCTCTGCAATTGCAAGCTCCATCTATTCTAAACCATGGATATAACGCGTAAGTTGTGAGCCTATAATTGACTTTTTGACGCGTGCCGCGACCAATTAAAGTCCGCATCACGTGGAAGACTTTTAGTGGAAGTGAATATGAGGCGATCCGAGCAAAATACCTTCCACCAGTGCCAAGCATGTAAAAAAGAGCGTGTCCTTAAAGGCGGATTAGACAGGATGCTGGTAGAGATGCCGTGAGCACCCCTGTGTGCTCTGTGCTGTTGCATGGTCGTGTGTTGAATGATGAAATAGCGGAAAGATGATGAAATGAAACAGTACTGTTCATGCCAATAGATAAGAGTGATGGTGTCATTGCGCTGAAGAATAGGGGAATCAACGCCAGACTGGAGCTTGAGAGGATTGAGCCTGATGCTGAGCCGGTGGCATACCGCGTCCAAAAACACCGATTGGTAATTGCTGACTAGCATGACTTGTAGTGTGACCATTTGATGACGCCAGATCAGGCGGTGCAAGTGGTGCATATCCATTATTCACAAGATGTCCCGGAGCACCCATATGCGCATGCTGTCCCACCAATGCACCCGATTGACCATGCTGTTGATGTTGTTACATTGTATGTGAATGATGATGATGATGATGATGATGATGATGATGATGATGATGATGATGATGATGATGATGATGATGATGATGATGATGATGATGATGATGATGATGATGATGATGATGATGATTGCTGTTGAGGCACAAACCCTTGTCCTGCATCCATCCTCCGCACACCTAGTGGATTCTAACTGAATGTGAGACGAATGCCTCCATCGAGACTGCCACTCGAAATGACACTTTGCAACAGCTTGAGTGCTTGATTAGCGTAATGAACATCCTCAAATTCCACAAAACACATAGGTCCATTCGATTTGGTGGGGTAGCAGAGACGGCGATATCCCTGCTGACGAGAAATCAAACTCTTGAGTTCTTCCTCCGTTGTTGCAAGCGGTAAATTGCCCACATAGAGCGTATTGAAGGGCGGGTTTCGATCAGCTGGATTGGTGTTGATGCGGGTTGGAGCAAGTCGAGTACCAATCACGAAACCAGTAGTCGCAGGATTTGAAGCTGCATACGCATTTTTCATCATACCAGTGTCTCGTTTCGTAGAGGCATGATTAGATCTCATTCCAGTATGCTGATAGGTGCCAGCGAAAGGTGGTGCATCACCATTCAAAATGAGACGAATCAAGAGATTTGTCAATAGAAGGAAATCCATGACTCAAAATGGGACTCATACCGCCTTGTATATCATTGCGTTTGACAGTACTTCGCCAAAATCAAGAGGAACACTACTCGAGTTCAATCCAGCAAATCAAGTGGCGGTTGTTGAGCATGACCAGACGTCATGGGTCTTGCGTTGGCATGATGCGCGTCGAGTAACGCTTCTAGCAGATAAGCGGAAGCAAGGAGGACAATGACCTTCTAAGCAAACTGGAGGAGATGGCCATTGTAAATTTGAGCTTGAACTAAGCTTTACTACCTGTATATTGGTATTAGGATATTGATGGTCCTGTCGCCAGGAAGTAGATGGAGTGTGAGACAAGTTGGACAGCAACGGGCTGCGCATTAGACTTAGAGGTGAGACTATCTTAGGCTTATAGGGCTGGATCGTCTCTCTGAGCTTGTTCTCTGACGCAGATGGGACAACTTTATCGCCCGCTGTTATTTACAAGGCTGACTCCGGCGTCGTTCAAAATGCTTGGATTGAGGATTTCAAGACAGATGAGCACAATTGCTATTTTGCAAGCTCGCTCAATGGGTGAGCATCTGATGAGGTCGCCATACACTGGCTCGTGGAAATTTTCGACAAGGAGTCGCGACTCAAATCCAGACGCTCCTGGAGACTCCTACTTTTTGATGGTCACGGCTCGCACCTGAACACAAAATTCATCAGCAAGTGCACTGAACTGCAGATCTATTTTGCCTTCTATCCGTCTCACTCGACGCATAGATTGCAACCTTTGGACGTTGGGTGCTTCAGCCCTTTGGCCAGTTGCTATAGCCAAGACCTTAATCAGATGGTCACAGATTCAGGAGGACAGTGCTCAATCAAGAAGCGAGGTTTCTTTCCCATCTTTTGGCTGGCCTATCAGACGACCTTCTTTACGAAGTTTATCGAGTCCGCCTGGGAAAAACCTGGCATTTGGCCGTTCAATCCGGAGATAGCCCTGGGTCTTTTGCGCAAAAAGCCAGCGACCCCATTACCCGCTTAAGCCCAACAACACCCCGACAGTTCAAGACCGCCAACTGAAGTATTTACTGTATCCAGACCAGCAAAGATGTGCCGATTCTTGGTGCAGACAATTGCCAATACTGATCAAAAATCGCAAAAGTCCCTCCAATTCCTGGCACACCGGCTTTCTGAGGCCCAAACAGCGTATGACGCCTTAAAGCTGGAGAACTCGCAGCTAAAGGCTGTTGTCAAGCGAAATCAGCCAAAGAAGAAAAGACAGCTGAAGTTTGGGGAGCAGTTGAGGTCGGATGGACGGACGAGCGCTTTATTTGTTGGCCCTATTGAGGTCCAGCATGCACGAGACATTGAAGCTGAGCGTCCACAAGGACGGGACATGTCGAACAAAGAGCGGCTGGAAAAACAGCAAGGTCTATTAAAAAAGCAGACAAGGAAGCTGAGGCTCGTCAAAAACGAGAGGCTTGCGCTGCAGCCAAAGTGGCCAAGGAGGCTGCGGCAGCGGAGAAGAAGGCTGTTTCTCTGGCCAGCCACGCTGTGAAGCAAGCTCAAAAGAAGCCCAATCAGGCTGACAAGTCAGCTGTGGTAAGTTAAGAAGAGAATTCAAGGTCAACTTTGACTGAAGCCGCGGGTGTCATGGTAGAGGGGAAGCCTTTGAGTGCAGAGCCTGGAAATGTCACCTTCACACGATCTGGGCGACTCAGTTCGAGACCAATGCATAAGCGCCTCTAATCATACATTTCTAGATAGATTGGATAGTAAATTTAACTCCAGCAGAATGAGGATTAGTTTGAATGACGACCGGCCGAATTATTAGCCCCTTGTGTTTGTGATGTTTCATTCGTGAAAGCGTGCCGCTCCATCTGGAGGTTCGCACCACGCGGAAGACTTTTACAACGGTCAAAAATTCTCAGTCACCTCGAGCTTAAGATGAAGTATTGCAAATCTCCAGCTGTCCAAGGGATCTCATGGTTGTTGCGGAAGCTACGGTGTCGTCTCTTGATATCCTATGGATAGGATTCTAGACGCTACGGGCCCACAGCAGTCGTATAGCCATGCGCGTGCCCCTGATTCGAATGATATTGCCAGATACTACCATCGCAAGGAGCATTTCCAGGGGATCTGCCTGATCGTATGCCTCGTTGAATGGGGCCCCTTACTTGCGATGTGCATTCCAGGCCAAACGGCTGAATCAGACACGTCTGCTTGCTCCTACCTCTTGGGCGCTGTCGACCGAATCTCTTCTCAAGACTGTCACAAGCTTTCGCGCCAGCCATCAGCATTGCGAGAATGCATTATCGCAACTCTTCATCCCTGATGACATTCACGTTCACACTTGTTTCACTCTTGTTATTGGTCATTCACCTGGAGCTGCAGCATGCAGCAGCCGAAGCTGGCCGATCTGATGGTCAAAACTCCAATCATGGACTGAAAAAAGGTGTCGACTCGCAAAGCAAGAAGCGCGGTCGCGGGAAGAAACAATTGGCAAAACTTGGAGGCAGCACCTCAGCGACCACTTCAACGGGTCTTTCACCTGCAGTTAAAGGCCTTGACTTTTTTCCGCATGACGCAGGCAATGCGACACGCAAATGTTACAACGCAACGTTCTTGATCGAGTATATCGGTCCATTAGCGACGGACGAAGCAGTCTGCGCAACCGAAAAGCCTTCCAAGATAAAAGCCTTCCAAGATTCAATGCAGAGGACTGTAAGTCTTGGTGTTCACAGCAACATGAAGCTTACGAAGCGAAGCAAGTCCGGTCCTTCTCTAGAGATGTTTCACAGAAGACTTGCATCCAGAGCCCCAGGCTTGATATCAAATACTTTTCCAAGACCTCTGTCATTTCGGGTTCATGTGCAATCAACTGTCACTGCACCATTCTCAACTACTTCGAGCGTATCAAGATGCCAAAATTGAGATACAAGGGTGGTCATTTCGAGCTGTCGCCTTCCAAACCAAAGTCTTACTGGAGTCAAGTTCCAGCGTTATCCGGAGACCCTCCGGAACCGACTGGCAAACCAGCCCTAGATTGTCATTACGAGGATCTGTTCGAAAAAGTAGGGTGGGTGTCGCAGATCATAGATCCTACGACAGGCACCCCGTTAGCAGATTCTGCGACAGGCACTCCGTTAACAGTCAAGTGGCAGGTCGGATGTGATGTCAGTCAACAAAATCTACCTTGCGACAAGGTTGAGTGGGGTAATTTTTGCTTCTGTGAGCGAAGGCTACAACCAAAGAAACATCACTTTGTTCCTGGACTATGTGGAGAAGGTCCGAAACCACCCAAAGAATTCAAGGGATCCAAAAAAAGCAGCTCAGGAGCGAAGTTGGATACTTCGAGGCCAGCCGGCTCTGACCAGTCGTCAGAGCATTGCCTCGCGCCTGCTACCCGCGGAGTTACTCCTGCCGATAATCCAGCTCACGCAGACGCGTCAAGTTCAGGCCAAGCCGCATTGGCGGGCAACAGTGCAGAACCTGCCACGGCAGACCTGCGACTAGATCCAAATGACTGGGAGGAATGGATAGCAACAATGTCGAATGTGGAGCAGAATCCAACGACCGGACTACCAGTAGATCGGAACGTCTTGACAATGCAGTCTTGCATCAATCATGGTCTCTTCAACCATCCAGGGTTTGAACAACCGCATGCAGATATATGCGTTGCTCCGAGCCATGATGTCCAGAGGCAAGGGGTTTGGAGCAAGGAACTGATGGAAATCAAGATGATGATATCGCCGGCTACGCTGATCACTTTTCGGCTGAGCCGCCCGCCTTTATCTAATGGAAGAGTTTCTTCTCCAGCCGCAGATCATTGAATTTCTACCTAGCCCTGGGATTCAGCACCCTCGAACCTACTGTCGGAGGTGATGCTCGTCCAGGCATCAACTTTGATACCTTGCTTTTATCGTTCAGCGTAACGCACGCATTTGAGTTGGAGTGACGCCCCTAATTAGCTCCAGATGTCGTAGTATTCTTATCATTTACGCCTTGTACTAGCTGGAAAGGTCAGCTACTGCAGCTGACTACATGAGATAATTCATTCTGAGTTGTATATGCATATTGATTTGTGGTTGCGATCGCTTGTCAAGGATTTCATTCCGCTCTGTATGCGCAAACATCGATTCAGTCATGCACAACTATAGCTAAGTTTTACTCAGTCTGGGTCTACAACAAGTCACACAATTATACGAAAATGGCATCGCGGATGAAGAAGAGATTCAAGAAGCAGAATTCAGTCAAGAGAATCATAAACATGAGAGCACAAACCTAGAAGATGTATAACCAATGAGTAAGGTAATGGATGTCGCAAAATTATGGAATAGAAGAAGTGAAGATGAGGCAATCCGAGCGAAATACCTTCCACCCGCGCCAAGCATGTAAGAAAGAGCGTGTCCTTTGACGCGTATTAGGAAGGATGCTGGTATAGATGCCGTGAGCAACCCTGTGTGCTCTGTGCTGTTGCATGGTCGTGTGTGTTGAATGATGAAATAGCGGGAAAATGGTGAAACAAAACAGTACTGTTCATGCCAATAGATAAGAGAGATGGTGTCAATGCGCTGAAGAATAGTGGAATCAACGCCAGACTAGAGCTTGAGAGGATTGCGTCTGATTGTTTTGATTGTGTCTCATGATGAGCCGGTGGCATACCGTGTCCAAACACACCGATGGGTGCGTGTTTGTTGACTAGCGTGACTTGAGTGTCCAATTGATGACGCTAGATCCGGCGGTGCAAGTGCTGCGTATCCATTATTCACAAAATGTCCAGGAGCGCCCATCTGCGCATGCTGTCCCATCAATGCACCCGTTTGACCATGCTGCTGACGTTATTGCAATGTATGTGGATGATGATGGTGATGATGTTGCTGTTGAGGCACAAACCCTTGTCCTGCATCCATCCTCAAATTCCACAAAGCACATGGGTCCATTCGATTTGGTGCGGTGGCAGAGACGTCGACACCCCTGCTGACAAGAGAACAAGCTCTTGAGTTCTTCCTCCGTTGTTGCAAGTGGTAGATTGTCCACATAGCGCGTGTTGCAGGGCGGGTTTCGATCAGCTGGATTGGTGTTGATGCGGGTTGGAGCAAGGCGAGTACCAATCACGAAACTAGTAGTCGCAGGATTTGAAGCTGCATACGCATTTTTCATCATGCCAGTGTCTCATCTTGTAGAGGCAGGATTAGATCTCATTCCAGTATGCTGATAGGTGCCAGCGAAAGGTGGTGCATCGCCATTCAAAATGAGGTGAATCAAGAGATTTGTCAATTGAAGGGAATTCATGACTCAAAATGGGATTCATACCGCTTTGTATATCAATGCGTTTGACAATACTTCGCCAAAAACAAGAGGAACACCACTCGAGCTCAATCCAGCGAATCGAGTGGCGGTTGTTGAGCGTGACCAGGAGTCATGGGTCTTGCGTCGGCATGATGCGCATCGAGTAACGCTTCTAGCAGACAAATGGAAGCAAGGAAGACGATGACCTTCTGAGCAGTCTGCAGGAGATGACTGTTCTAGATCTGATCTTGTACGAAGCTTCACTGCCTGGATATTGATATTGCGATATTGATGGTCCTGCCGCCAGAAAGGTAGATGGAGCGTGAGACAAGTTTGGACAACAACGGGCTGCGCACTAGTATTTAGCGGTGAGACTATCTTAGGCTTATAGGGCTAGATCGTCTCCTTGAGCTTGGTTCCTGACGCATGAAGCTTCAAGGACTCCCTACTCAATGCTCTGTTGGCTTTACTCCTGTCTCGCTGCAATGATCGAGAATTCTCAGTTGCCTCGAGCTTAAGATGAAGTATCGCAAACCTACAGCTGTCAACGGGATCTCATGGTTGTTGTGAAAGCTACAGTATCACCAGTTTGCATTCGGCATTTGGACGCTACAGATCAACAGCAGTCGTTGGACTATTCGTATGCCCCTGATTCGAATGATATCGCCAGATACTACCATCGCATGGAGCATTTTCAGGAGACCCGCCTGATCCTATGCCTCGTCAAATGGACTCCTTTACTTGCGATGTGCATTTTCTGCCAAACGGCTGATTTAGACACGTCTGCCCGCTCTCACCTCTTGTGCGCTATCGACCGAATCTCTTCTCAAGACCTTCACAAGCTTTCGCGCCAGCCATCAGCATTGCGAGAATGCATTATCGCAACTCTTCATCCCTGATGACATTCACGTTCACACTTGTTTCACTCTTGTTATTGGTCATGCACCTGGAGCTGCAGCATGCAGCAGCCGAAGCTGGCCGATCTCATGGTCAGAATTCCAATCGTGGACAGGAAAGTGCTGTCGACTTGCAAATCAAAATTCCAGGCCGCGGAGATGGACAATTTGCAACCGGTGGAGGCAGCACCTCAGCGACTGTAGCGTCGGATCTTCCACCTGCAGTGAAAGGCATTGACTACTTTCAACTTCCCGCAGTTGACGCCGCAGCTAAGAGGGTGCGTAGTTGCTACAATGCAACATTCTATCTTTCCCATATTTTCCCATTGTGGAGAGATGAAGCAGTGTGCGCAATTGACATGCCGAATCTTTCAAGCCTCACTACAGAGCAATGTAAGGATTGGTGTCTAAAGCAACATTCAAAGTACAAGCAGGAACAAGATCACGACGTCAGGCGCCTTAAAAAGGACAATTGCATCCAAAGTTTCAGCGCCAACATCGGCGTCTCTTACGAAACTTATCTTGTTCCGGTTTCCTGTACAATCAACTGTAATTGCACATTGGTCAATTACCTCGAGCGTATCAAAATGCCATGGTTGAGCTTGGGTAGAGGGTATTATGAGCTGTCGCCCCACAGACCAAAGTCTTACTGGCGTGGATTTTTCGCATTGGGAAATGACCCGCCCAGCCTTTGTCATTACGAAGATATAAGCAAAAAGGTTGCTTGGATCTCGGACTCTACGCATCCTGTGACAGGCGAGAAGTCAACAATCCAATGGCAGGTCAAGAGTGAAGTCAGTAAACACAATTTGCCCTGCGACAAAATTGATTGGGATTGGTCATGCAATTGCTTGCATTCGGCAAGTATGAAAAAGAATGTACATTTGTTTAGGCCTGGAAGATGTGAAGAAGGTCACAAAGTCCCAAAGGGTCACAGAAAAAGCAAGAAAAAAGCAAAGATGGCTGTTTTGGATACAGTCGGCACCAACCAGCTGATAGAGCAATGCCTCGCGCCTGCTGCCCACGGAAGTACTCCTGCCAATACCGCAGTTCACGCACACGCATCGACCTCTGGCCAAGCAGCATGGGTGGGCAACAATGCATGGCCTACCACAGCAGATCCGCAACTGAATCCAAATGAGGTGATGGCATGGATAGCACAGCGATCGAATGTGGAGCAGGATCCGCAGACCGGGATGCCAGTAGATCGAAACGTCTTGACAATCAGGTCCTGCAACAACCCTGGTCTCGACAACCCTCCTTGGTTTGACCAACCACATCGGATGACATGCGGTCCTTCGAGCCATGAAGGCCAGATGCAAGGGAGTCATGATGAAGGAAGTGATGACAGTCAGGATGGTTCGCACGAAGACGAAGCTGACTCTTACCGGCGTCCCTTGCACTTCATCTAATGGAAGGGTCTCTTCTCCAGCCGCAGATCATTGGACTTCTACCTAGCCCTGGGATTCAGCACCCTCGAACCTACTGTCGGAGGTGATGCTCGTTCAGGCATCAACTTTGATACCTTGCTTTTATCGTTCAGCGTAACGCACGCATTTGAGTTGGAGTGACGCCCCTAATTAGCTCCAGATGTCGTAGTATTCTTATCATTTACGCCTTGTACTAGCTGGAAAGGTCAGCTACTGCAGCTGACTACATGAGATAATTCATTCTGAGTTGTATATGCATATTGATTTGTGGTTGCGATCGCTTGTCAAGGATTTCATTTCGCTTTGTATGCGCAAACATCGATTCAGTCATGCACAACTATAGCTAAGTTTTACTCAGTCTGGGTCTACAACAAGTCACACAATTATACGAAAATGGCATCGCGGATGAAGAAGAGATTCTAGAAGCAGAACTCAGTCAAGAGAATCATAAACATGAGAGCACAAACCTAGAAGATGTATAACCAATGAGTAAGGTAATGGATGTCGCAAAATTATGGAATAGAGGAAGTGAAGATGAGGCAATCCGAGCGAAATACCTTCCACCCGCGCCAAGCATGTGAGAAAGAGCGTGTCCCTTGCCACGTATTAGGAAGGATGCTGGTATAGATGCCGTGAGCAACCCTGTGTGCTCTGTGCTGTTGCATGGTCGTGTGTGTTGAATGATGAAATAGCGGGAAAATGATGAAATAAAACAGTACTGTTCATGCCAATAGATAAGAGAGATGGTGTCATTGCGCTGGAGAATAGTGGAATCAACGCCAGACTGGAGCTTGGGAGGATTGAGCCTGATGCTGAGCCGGTGGCATACCGTGTCCAAACACACCGATGGGTGGTTGCTGACTAGCATGACTTGTAGTGTGTCCATTTGATGACGCCAGACCAGGCGGTGCAAGTGGTGCATATCCATTATTCAGAAGATGTCCCGGAGCGCCCATATGCGCATGCTGTCCCATCAATGCACCCGATTGACCATGCTGCTGATGTTGTTGCAATGTATGTGAATGATGATGGTGATGATGTTGCTGTTGTTGCGATTGCTGTTGAGGCACAAACCCTTGTCCTGCATCCATCTTCCGCACACCCAGTGGATTCTTGCTGAAACTGAGACGAATGCCTCCTTTGATACTGCTACTCAAGATAACACCTTGCAACAGCTTGAGTGCTTGAATGGCATAATGAACATCCTCAAATTCCACAAAGCACATAGGTCCATTCGATTTGGTGCGGTAGCAGAGACGTCGGTACCCCTGCTGACGAGAAAACAAACTCTTGAGTTCTTCCTCCGTTGTTGCGAGTGGCAAATTGCCCACATAGAGCGTATTGCAGGGCGGATTCTGATCAGCTGGATTGGTGTTGATGAAGGCAGGACCGAGTCGATTACCAACCACGAAGCCGGTAGCGGTAGGATTCATAGCTGCATACGCATTGTTCGTCATGCCAGCGTGTTGCTTTGCAGAAGCAGGATTGAATCCTATGCCAGCATGCTGATAAGTGCCAGCGAAAGGTGGTGCATTGCCATTCAAATGAGGCGATCCAAGCGATTTGTCAATAGAAGGGAATCCATGACTCAAAATGGGACTCATACCGCCTTGTGCACCATTGCGATCGGCAGTCCCTCGCGCAAGATCAGGAGGACCACCACTCAAGCTCAATCCAGCAAATCGAGTGGCGGTGGTCGAGCGTGACCAGGCGTCATCTTCCTTGGCCGTCGGTGGTGGCAGCATACTAAACCCTGTAGGCGGCGACTTGGCCAAATCACCACCGACAGACGCAAAGCGCGGCGATGTAGGCGACCAGACAGTACCGCCTGCACTTGTTGAAAAGTTGGTAGGTACGGAGCTTGAAATGACACCAAGCGAGCCTTTGGGTACACTGCCATAGAACTCATCCATACCAAGAGAATTCGAGGGTGTGAGGCTAGGCACAGCATTGATGGGCGTCAGATCCGGCTTATCCTTGACGTAGCTCGAAAGTCGGCTGTGCTGCATCGAACCACTACTGCCTGTTGACTTGCTGCTCGTTGACAAAGTTGCGGGCGGTGTTGGCACATCCACACCGTTGCTGCTAGTCGAGCTCTTGGCGGGTGTAATGTCAAAGATAACTTGGCTGTATGCCGCAACGGACGCCATCTTTGAGCGCGCTTTCGCGGCATTGTTGCTGGAGTTGAAGCTGGCGGTACCCGTTCGCTAGTCATGTTAGCTACTGTCGACCCAGATATTGTGAAGCACATACCTCGCCTTGCTCTTCCTTCAACGACGACTCAATATAGCCATCGGCAAAAGTAAACAACCCGGCGAATTCGCGTGCCGATAAGTCTGTAGGAAGCTGTCGACAGTTGAGCACTGCGGCTGGCGATAGCTGTTGCTGTGCTTCTTGCGACGCTGATCCACCGGACGACTTGCGCGGCCAGGCCGGGACAACGTCATCTTCATCCTCGTCATCGTTGAGAATACCGTTTGGTAGCAGTGTTGGATGTGTGAGAGTATCATCGTCTTCGTCATTCTGGAAGGGGAAGCTATGCTCGGACGGATTTGAGTGCGATGAAGAACTGTTGTGTCGCGACATGCTGGATGGCGTCTCGAAATGTGTAAAGGATGCTGAAAGATACGCCGGTCGTGGAGCCTTTTTGTTCCACTAGACTCTTCTACTGATCTTTGGACGTACAGAAGAGCCTAAAGGGCCAGACGAATACAGGGAGAAGGGGCCGCGGTGTCGCCTTTTTGTTTGGGTATGCGACGCGACTCGTTTGATAGGCCGATCGCAACGGGGACACGTAGTCTTTGCGTAACGTCCCTTGTGTGTGGTACGCCAGCTGGACTGATGCGCGCACTGTTGAGGCCTGAATGCGACTAGGAAAGCGCAGAGGCGGCGATGATTTGACCTGTGCTGACGGGGGTGAGGGGGAAGTTGCTTGATTGTGGGTGGAGTTGTGTTGAGGGCGGGCGCTTTCTGGTGTGCAACAACCAAACAGCAGAGAGCAGACGGCGTGTAGACTCAATCCAGCTCAGACGCAGGCAGGGTTAGGCAGTGCTTACACAAGGGCCGTCGCCTGATTGTCAGCATCACAATTGCAGTGCTATAAAAGCTAAGATATATGGGTGGGAAGCTAATCAAGTCGTGTAGCATCGAGTAACAAAGCCTGACACACTGAGGTCAGTTCTGAATAAGTCGGCATCTCGCTTCTGTGTAAGCGCCTGAACCTTGTCAATAAAAAGGCCAAGGCTTGTCGAATGTTGGGTCTTGGCCTTGATCTTGCCCTGGATACTGCCATTGATTCTGCCGCTGGTGTTGGCCTTGGTTTTGCCCTTCGCCTGGTCCTGGATTCTGCGGCTGACTTGTCCCTGCCGCTGGATCTTGCTCTTGGTCCGATCCTATGCCTTGCCACTGACTTGTCCCTGCGGCTGGATCCTGCCATCGGTGTGGCTCTTGGTACGCCCCGTGAGATGACCCAGCAGCCGAGTTGTAACCATATTGATCATCTTGGGCATCGTGGCCGTAGTAGAATTCCTGAATTTGCGGATCGTTTTGGTACGCAGGCCAATTCAACGGATTGTCCTCGACAGGAAGCCGTGCCATAGAATATTGCTCGACATCAGCATTTGGAAGAGGCACGCATTGCTCAAAGTTGATTGGACAGATTCCTTCTCGGTGTCCCGAGGATGAGCCTTGTCCAGGAGCAGGCATATTTTGAAGACACTCTGCACTAAATGAATCTCCCAATATCTCAGCTGCAAAGGCTGAATAATACACCACGGTGTCGTCACTGTCAAGGTGGAATGGATCTGCCGTGTTGTTGAACTGCTGACAAGGATCATGCTCCGAAGTTCCATAGATTTGATGCGGCTGCTGATGCGACGATCCAACAACTTGTCCGTGAGAGGACACTTGAGACCGACAAATTTGCCACTTCACAGTCATTTCTTTGTGGCCTTCGCATTGCTCAGGTTCTGGCGGCCCTGATCTCCCACTCTTAAAACAAAGGCATGCATTTGCGTTTGTGGCCTTTCGCTTCAAGCCGCAGTTGAATCCCATTGCGTTGACCTCGTAATGCCTCGCGAACCATGTGGCAGACTCGCTCGTTGGGACCATAAGTTTCGCGATGTTTTCAATGCTACACCTTCCGACGGGTTTGCAGGAAAACCAGCGTTCGGGTATGCCAGGCTTTTGTAATTTTTTTAATTTCACCTCTGGCGAGACGTAATATTGGACTGACTGGCCTTTCCCAATTGGTGATACTATAATCCTTGTCATCAAAATCGCCGGCAGGTGGAGAGTGAGTTCACAAGCGCATGTTGATAATCGAAAAGGACATTTCAGGTATCCACAGAGATCTCCTGGCTCATGAATGACGGTGACTCTGCTGCACAGTGTAAAAGATCGAGCTTGCAAACATTTCGAGGACCAGGACGGTATGATCTGAGGGAATTCACCATAAAGCCTTTTTGCATAGCTGCTCAGCTCTCGCTCACATTGAGACTTGCAATACTCCTCCCCCTCTTTTGATCCAGAACCTCGAGGAAGGGTTTTTTCCCAGCCAGACTTCAGCAATCCGAGAAATGAAAACGAAGCGTTGTAGCAGAGAGGATTTTGGAAGAGAAAGTCCCCGGCAGGAAACACGTTCTTTTTACCAAACCAGTTCTGGAGCTGTTGATAGTCAGGAGGATGATAATCAGACACAGCATCACTTGCACCTCCTTCGACAGGATCTTTGCCTTTACCCTTGTCGCGAGCAGCCTCTCCAGAAGCGCTCGACAGGGGTCCAAGAGCTTGTAACGACAGCATGAGATGCGTCAATGCTGCGAGAATAGTCAAGAACGACAGAATTGCTTTGAGACATGATGCAGCAGTAGACTCGCGCGAGAAAATGATCATCTCAGGAGGCAGAAGTAGCCGCAGACGACAGACAGTATGTAGTTGCAGTCTGACTTGCTCGACTGGCGGATGTTGTTGAGCAGTCAGTAAAGTACAGAGGAGTAGGGCTTGGCTTGCTACTTTGTCTCCCTGGCACATATCGTGTGCTTTCACGTGTTGGTCACCCCTTAGTCTTCAAAATGGGAAATAAGGACCATGAGCGTCTTCTCTGCTCCTCATCCGTATTCTGCCGCAGCTGCTTGATCACGGACAATTCACGTCATCACGGTATTACGCATCATTCCAAATAGATGTGATGGCGTTTTCCACTATAGAGGCATTTTGGGGTGTTGTGAGAATGAGGTGTGAAGTTGCCGATTCCGACCCCTTTGATTCAGCCTTCCTCCTGCATGATCATCCTATTGATCCTTCAGCTGTGTGCTCAAACTGACTTTTCCCTTTTGGTCCTGGACAATTTGAGTCCGGAAGGTCACAAGGACTGAACTCTTTGATACGGATCTTTCTGAAGCTGTGCTGCCACGCAGCAGTGTCTTCTCTTCGTTCGCGACCCGGAACACATGCGACAGTCGTGCTCCTTAATTCAAGATATGCACTTTCGACAAACATACAACGATTCCCGTCATTGTAGTTTGCCGTCACTGACGACAAGCCCACGTTCGACTCGGGGTTATGCGCTGGGACAGTAGGTATAGGCAGCTACGAGGTGTCAAAGCTGCAGTACATGTGGCCATACTCTCACATTTGGAGGACACCGATCCTGTTGCGTCATGGAGTCAGCTTCAATCGAATGAACGGCGTTGATAGGTCAATACAAAGTCGTTGATGTCCAGACCTTTGTGAGGTTGAAAGGCTTGCAAGTCAACCTTGGCTTCACGTGTAGAAAGTACTACCACAATAGCTTGGTGATATAATTGCTTGACTCGGGAAACTACTGGAAGCACGACGAATCACAAACAGCATCTGTAGCCGAGCAATCGCAAGTGCAACAGAAGGAGCTGTTTTGTGAATGAATGAAAAGCGAAGGGGGAGCCAAGAGCGGCGTGCGCAAGCGCGTCACACTTCGAAAGACCAGACGCGATATGGCTGTGATAGCTCCAAGAGTGAACCTATAGCCCGTGGGCCGGAGTGCGAGCAGCCCAGCCAGGCTTTAGAATCGCAGCGCCCCTAGTACTTCGAGCCGTGCGTTCATCTCAAGTCCAATGTTGCAGCCCACCTCGTAGGCGGATTTTCAGGTGCGAGAGAGCAAACAATTTGAGAGCCTGAAGCAGTCAGCGGAGCATAATCCCTCTGGTTGAAGAACAGCAACCTGGCCGCGCAAGGAAACGTGAAGGTCGCGCATGCAACATATGTTTTCAATGAAAGCATGAAAGTCCATCTGGCGTTTCAGCACATCCACAAGTTCATCCAATTCGCATTTGCATGAACACGCACAATTCTTCTTTGCAGCGCCAGCTTGATTTTGACGGACGCGAAGCGTGGCGATGAGGCGACCAGATAGTCCCGCCGGCACTTGTTGATAAGTTGATGGGTACGGAGCTTGAAATGAGACCGAGCGAGCCCCTCGGCACACTGCCATAGAACTCACCCATACCAAGAGAAGTAGAGGATGTGAGGCTAGGCACAGCATTGATGGGCGTCAGATCCGGTTTATCCTTGACGTATCTCGAAAGTCGGCTGTGCTGCATCGAACCACTACTGCCTGTTGACTTGCTGCTCGATGACAAAGTTGCGGGCGGTGTTGACACATCCACACCGTTGCTGCTGGTCGAGCTCTTGGCGGGTGTGATGTCAAAGATAACTTGACTGTATGCCGCAACGGACGCCATCTTTGAGCGCGCTTTCGCGGCATTGTTGCTGGAGTTGAAGCTGGCCTTACCCATACGCTAGTCATGTTAGCTACTGTCCACCAAGATATTTTGAAGCACATACCTCGCCTTGAAGCACATACCTCGCCTTGCTCTTCCTTCAACGATGACTCAATGTAGCCATCGACGAAAGTAGACGACCCGGCAGATTCGCGTGTCGCCAAGTCTCTATAAAGTTGTCGACAGTTGAGCACTGCGGCTTGCGGGATTGTTGCTGTGTATCTTGCGACGCTGATCCACCGGAGGACTTGCGCGGTGAGGGGGAAGTTGCTTGATTGTGGGTGGAGTTGTGTTGAGGGCGGGCGCTTTCTGGTGTGCAACAACCAACAGCAGAGAGCAGACGGCTTGTAGACTCAATCCAGCTCAGACGCAGACAGGGTTAGACAGTGCTCACACAAGGGCCGTCGCCTGATTGTCAGCATCACAATTGCAGTGCTATAAAAGCTAAGATATATGGGTGGGAAGCTAATCAAGTCGTGTAGCATCGAGTAACAAAGCCTGACACACTGAGGTCAGTTCTGAATAAGTCGGCATCTCGCTTCTGTGTAAGCGCCTGAACCTTGTCAATAAAAAGGCCAAGGCTTGTCGAATGTTGGGTCTTGGCCTTGATCTTGCCCTGGATACTGCCATTGATTCTGCCGCTGGTGTTGGCCTTGGTTTTGCCCTTCGCCTGGTCCTGGATTCTGCGGCTGACTTGTCCCTGCCGCTGGATCTTGCTCTTGGTCCGATCCTATGCCTTGCCACTGACTTGTCCCTGCGGCTGGATCCTGCCATCGGTGTGGCTCTTGGTACGCCCCGTGAGATGACCCAGCAGCCGAGTTGTAACCATATTGATCATCTTGGGCATCGTGGCCGTAGTAGAATTCCTGAATTTGCGGATCGTTTTGGTACGCAGGCCAATTCAACGGATTGTCCTCGACAGGAAGCCGTGCCATAGAATATTGCTCGACATCAGCATTTGGAAGAGGCACGCATTGCTCAAAGTTGATTGGACAGATTCCTTCTCGGTGTCCCGAGGATGAGCCTTGTCCAGGAGCAGGCATATTTTGAAGACACTCTGCACTAAATGAATCTCCCAATATCTCAGCTGCAAAGGCTGAATAATACACCACGGTGTCGTCACTGTCAAGGTGGAATGGATCTGCCGTGTTGTTGAACTGCTGACAAAGATCATGCACCGAAGTTCCATAGATCTCATGCGACTGCTGACGCGACGAACCACCAACTTGTCCGTGAGTGGACACTTGCAGCTGAGACCGACAATCTATTTTTGCCAGAGTCATGTCATTGTGTTTTTGGCAGCTTCCAGGTATATCAGAGCATAAGCAACCACTGAAGGTGAGCAGCGTCGCACTGCACTCGAAATTCTTGTTTGTGACCTTGTGAGTCTCCTCCATCCATGTGGTCGACTCGCTTGATGGAAGCACATATTCTGCGATGTTCTCAATGTTACAATTTCCGCGGGATGAGCATGAAAAAGCGTGATTTGGTATTTTACGCCTCAAAATCTCTTTTTTTTCAACCTCTGGCGAAATGTAATATTGGCCTGTACGTCCTCCCTTGATTGGTCTTGCTGTGATTCTCGTCATGAAGATAGCCGGGAGGTGAAGAGTGAATCTACAAGCGCATGTTGATGATCGATAAGGACATGCCAGGAATCCACAATGAGCTCCCGGATCATGAATGACGGTCACTCTGCTGCCCAGTGAAAAGTATTTAGACCTCACACATGACTTTGACGTTTTGAGGTCAGATCTAAACATTTGATAAACCTTCAGTGCATGATTCTGCAGCTCGAGCTCGCAGTGTCTGGCGCAATACTTCTCTCTCGTTTTTGGATCTGACCTCTGATCATAAGGAAGTGTTCTTTCCCAGCCAGTCTTCCGCAGTCCAAGGAATGAAAAAGAAGCACTGTAGCAGAGAGGACGAGCCGCAGGTGTGGGCCCGGCAAGAAACAGGTTCGTTTGACCAAACCAACTCCGGAGTTGTTCACTCGAGATGGCGTCATCAAACACAGCTTCACTTGTACCTCCCTGGACAGGATCTTTGCCTTTACCCTTGTCGCGAGCAGCCTCTCCAGAAGCACTCGACGGGTGTCCAAGAGCTTGTAACGACAGCATGAGATGCATCAATGCTGCGAGAATAGTCAAGAACGACAAAATTGCTCTGAGACATGATGCAGCAGTAGACTCGCGCGAGAAAATGATCATCTCAGGAGGCAAAAGTAGCCGCAGACGACAGACAGTATGTAGTTGCAGTCTGACTTGCTCGACTGGCGGATGTTGTTGAGCAGTCAGTAAAGTACAGAGGAGTAGGGCTTGGCTTGCTACTTTGTCTCCCTGGCACATATCGTGTGCTTTCACGTGTTGGTCACCCCTTAGTCTTCAAAATGGGAAATAAGGACCATGAGCGTCTTCTCTGCTCCTCATCCGTATTCTGCCGCAGCTGCTTGATCACGGACAATTCACGTCATCACGGTATTACGCATCATTCCAAATAGATGTGATGGCGTTTTCCACTATAGAGGCATTTTGGGGTGTTGTGAGAATGAGGTGTGAAGTTGCCGATTCCGACCCCTTTGATTCAGCCTTCCTCCTGCATGATCATCCTATTGATCCTTCAGCTGTGTGCTCAAACTGACTTTTCCCTTTTGGTCCTGGACAATTTGAGTCCGGAAGGTCACAAGGACTGAACTCTTTGATACGGATCTTTCTGAAGCTGTGCTGCCACGCAGCAGTGTCTTCTCTTCGTTCGCGACCCGGAACACATGCGACAGTCGTGCTCCTTAATTCAAGATATGCACTTTCGACAAACATACAACGATTCCCGTCATTGTAGTTTGCCGTCACTGACGACAAGCCCACGTTCGACTCGGGGTTATGCGCTGGGACAGTAGGTATAGGCAGCTACGAGGTGTCAAAGCTGCAGTACATGTGGCCATACTCTCACATTTGGAGGACACCGATCCTGTTGCGTCATGGAGTCAGCTTCAATCGAATGAACGGCGTTGATAGGTCAATACAAAGTCGTTGATGTCCAGACCTTTGTGAGGTTGAAAGGCTTGCAAGTCAACCTTGGCTTCACGTGTAGAAAGTACTACCACAATAGCTTGGTGATATAATTGCTTGACTCGGGAAACTACTGGAAGCACGACGAATCACAAACAGCATCTGTAGCCGAGCAATCGCAAGTGCAACAGAAGGAGCTGTTTTGTGAATGAATGAAAAGCGAAGGGGGAGCCAAGAGCGGCGTGCGCAAGCGCGTCACACTTCGAAAGACCAGACGCGATATGGCTGTGATAGCTCCAAGAGTGAACCTATAGCCCGTGGGCCGGAGTGCGAGCAGCCCAGCCAGGCTTTAGAATCGCAGCGCCCCTAGTACTTCGAGCCGTGCGTTCATCTCAAGTCCAATGTTGCAGCCCACCTCGTAGGCGGATTTTCAGGTGCGAGAGAGCAAACAATTTGAGAGCCTGAAGCAGTCAGCGGAGCATAATCCCTCTGGTTGAAGAACAGCAACCTGGCCGCGCAAGGAAACGTGAAGGTCGCGCATGCAACATATGTTTTCAATGAAAGCATGAAAGTCCATCTGGCGTTTCAGCACATCCACAAGTTCATCCAATTCGCATTTGCATGAACACGCACAATTCTTCTTTGCAGCGCCAGCTTGATTTTGACGGACGCGAAGCGTGGCGATGAGGCGACCAGATAGTCCCGCCGGCACTTGTTGATAAGTTGATGGGTACGGAGCTTGAAATGAGACCGAGCGAGCCCCTCGGCACACTGCCATAGAACTCACCCATACCAAGAGAAGTAGAGGATGTGAGGCTAGGCACAGCATTGATGGGCGTCAGATCCGGTTTATCCTTGACGTATCTCGAAAGTCGGCTGTGCTGCATCGAACCACTACTGCCTGTTGACTTGCTGCTCGATGACAAAGTTGCGGGCGGTGTTGACACATCCACACCGTTGCTGCTGGTCGAGCTCTTGGCGGGTGTGATGTCAAAGATAACTTGACTGTATGCCGCAACGGACGCCATCTTTGAGCGCGCTTTCGCGGCATTGTTGCTGGAGTTGAAGCTGGCCTTACCCATACGCTAGTCATGTTAGCTACTGTCCACCAAGATATTTTGAAGCACATACCTCGCCTTGAAGCACATACCTCGCCTTGCTCTTCCTTCAACGATGACTCAATGTAGCCATCGACGAAAGTAGACGACCCGGCAGATTCGCGTGTCGCCAAGTCTCTATAAAGTTGTCGACAGTTGAGCACTGCGGCTTGCGGGATTGTTGCTGTGTATCTTGCGACGCTGATCCACCGGAGGACTTGCGCGGTGAGGGGGAAGTTGCTTGATTGTGGGTGGAGTTGTGTTGAGGGCGGGCGCTTTCTGGTGTGCAACAACCAACAGCAGAGAGCAGACGGCTTGTAGACTCAATCCAGCTCAGACGCAGACAGGGTTAGACAGTGCTCACACAAGGGCCGTCGCCTGATTGTCAGCATCACAATTGCAGTGCTATAAAAGCTAAGATATATGGGTGGGAAGCTAATCAAGTCGTGTAGCATCGAGTAACAAAGCCTGACACACTGAGGTCAGTTCTGAATAAGTCGGCATCTCGCTTCTGTGTAAGCGCCTGAACCTTGTCAATAAAAAGGCCAAGGCTTGTCGAATGTTGGGTCTTGGCCTTGATCTTGCCCTGGATACTGCCATTGATTCTGCCGCTGGTGTTGGCCTTGGTTTTGCCCTTCGCCTGGTCCTGGATTCTGCGGCTGACTTGTCCCTGCCGCTGGATCTTGCTCTTGGTCCGATCCTATGCCTTGCCACTGACTTGTCCCTGCGGCTGGATCCTGCCATCGGTGTGGCTCTTGGTACGCCCGTGAGATGACCCAGCAGCCGAGTTGTAACCATATTGATCATCTTGGGCATCGTGGCCGTAGTAGAATTCCTGAATTTGCGGATCGTTTTGGTACGCAGGCCAATTCAACGGATTGTCCTCGACAGGAAGCCGTGCCATAGAATATTGCTCGACATCAGCATTTGGAAGAGGCACGCATTGCTCAAAGTTGATTGGACAGATTCCTTCTCGGTGTCCCGAGGATGAGCCTTGTCCAGGAGCAGGCATATTTTGAAGACACTCTGCACTAAATGAATCTCCCAATATCTCAGCTGCAAAGGCTGAATAATACACCACGGTGTCGTCACTGTCAAGGTGGAATGGATCTGCCGTGTTGTTGAACTGCTGACAAAGATCATGCACCGAAGTTCCATAGATCTCATGCGACTGCTGACGCGACGAACCACCAACTTGTCCGTGAGTGGACACTTGCAGCTGAGACCGACAATCTATTTTTGCCAGAGTCATGTCATTGTGTTTTTGGCAGCTTCCAGGTATATCAGAGCATAAGCAACCACTGAAGGTGAGCAGCGTCGCACTGCACTCGAAATTCTTGTTTGTGACCTTGTGAGTCTCCTCCATCCATGTGGTCGACTCGCTTGATGGAAGCACATATTCTGCGATGTTCTCAATGTTACAATTTCCGCGGGATGAGCATGAAAAAGCGTGATTTGGTATTTTACGCCTCAAAATCTCTTTTTTTTCAACCTCTGGCGAAATGTAATATTGGCCTGTACGTCCTCCCTTGATTGGTCTTGCTGTGATTCTCGTCATGAAGATAGCCGGGAGGTGAAGAGTGAATCTACAAGCGCATGTTGATGATCGATAAGGACATGCCAGGAATCCACAATGAGCTCCCGGATCATGAATGACGGTCACTCTGCTGCCCAGTGAAAAGTATTTAGACCTCACACATGACTTTGACGTTTTGAGGTCAGATCTAAACATTTGATAAACCTTCAGTGCATGATTCTGCAGCTCGAGCTCGCAGTGTCTGGCGCAATACTTCTCTCTCGTTTTTGGATCTGACCTCTGATCATAAGGAAGTGTTCTTTCCCAGCCAGTCTTCCGCAGTCCAAGGAATGAAAAAGAAGCACTGTAGCAGAGAGGACGAGCCGCAGGTGTGGGCCCGGCAAGAAACAGGTTCGTTTGACCAAACCAACTCCGGAGTTGTTCACTCGAGATGGCGTCATCAAACACAGCTTCACTTGTACCTCCCTGGACAGGATCTTTGCCTTTACCCTTGTCGCGAGCAGCCTCTCCAGAAGCACTCGACGGGTGTCCAAGAGCTTGTAACGACAGCATGAGATGCATCAATGCTGCGAGAATAGTCAAGAACGACAAAATTGCTCTGAGACATGATGCAGCAGTAGACTCGCGCGAGAAAATGATCATCTCAGGAGGCAAAAGTAGCCGCAGACGACAGACAGTATGTAGTTGCAGTCTGACTTGCTCGACTGGCGGATGTTGTTGAGCAGTCAGTAAAGTACAGAGGAGTAGGGCTTGGCTTGCTACTTTGTCTCCCTGGCACATATCGTGTGCTTTCACGTGTTGGTCACCCCTTAGTCTTCAAAATGGGAAATAAGGACCATGAGCGTCTTCTCTGCTCCTCATCCGTATTCTGCCGCAGCTGCTTGATCACGGACAATTCACGTCATCACGGTATTACGCATCATTCCAAATAGATGTGATGGCGTTTTCCACTATAGAGGCATTTTGGGGTGTTGTGAGAATGAGGTGTGAAGTTGCCGATTCCGACCCCTTTGATTCAGCCTTCCTCCTGCATGATCATCCTATTGATCCTTCAGCTGTGTGCTCAAACTGACTTTTCCCTTTTGGTCCTGGACAATTTGAGTCCGGAAGGTCACAAGGACTGAACTCTTTGATACGGATCTTTCTGAAGCTGTGCTGCCACGCAGCAGTGTCTTCTCTTCGTTCGCGACCCGGAACACATGCGACAGTCGTGCTCCTTAATTCAAGATATGCACTTTCGACAAACATACAACGATTCCCGTCATTGTAGTTTGCCGTCACTGACGACAAGCCCACGTTCGACTCGGGGTTATGCGCTGGGACAGTAGGTATAGGCAGCTACGAGGTGTCAAAGCTGCAGTACATGTGGCCATACTCTCACATTTGGAGGACACCGATCCTGTTGCGTCATGGAGTCAGCTTCAATCGAATGAACGGCGTTGATAGGTCAATACAAAGTCGTTGATGTCCAGACCTTTGTGAGGTTGAAAGGCTTGCAAGTCAACCTTGGCTTCACGTGTAGAAAGTACTACCACAATAGCTTGGTGATATAATTGCTTGACTCGGGAAACTACTGGAAGCACGACGAATCACAAACAGCATCTGTAGCCGAGCAATCGCAAGTGCAACAGAAGGAGCTGTTTTGTGAATGAATGAAAAGCAAAGGGGGAGCCAAGAGCGGCGTGCGCAAGCGCGTCACACTTCGAAAGACCAGACGCGATATGGCTGTGATAGCTCCAAGAGTGAACCTATAGCCCGTGGGCCGGAGTGCGAGCAGCCCAGCCAGGCTTTAGAATCGCAGCGCCCCTAGTACTTCGAGCCGTGCGTTCATCTCAAGTCCAATGTTGCAGCCCACCTCGTAGGCGGATTTTCAGGTGCGAGAGAGCAAACAATTTGAGAGCCTGAAGCAGTCAGCGGAGCATAATCCCTCTGGTTGAAGAACAGCAACCTGGCCGCGCAAGGAAACGTGAAGGTCGCGCATGCAACATATGTTTTCAATGAAAGCATGAAAGTCCATCTGGCGTTTCAGCACATCCACAAGTTCATCCAATTCGCATTTGCATGAACACGCACAATTCTTCTTTGCAGCGCCAGCTTGATTTTGACGGACGCGAAGCGTGGCGATGAGGCGACCAGATAGTCCCGCCGGCACTTGTTGATAAGTTGATGGGTACGGAGCTTGAAATGAGACCGAGCGAGCCCCTCGGCACACTGCCATAGAACTCACCCATACCAAGAGAAGTAGAGGATGTGAGGCTAGGCACAGCATTGATGGGCGCCAGATCCGGTTTATCCTTGACGTATCTCGAAAGTCGGCTGTGCTGCATCGAACCACTACTGCCTGTTGACTTGCTGCTCGATGACAAAGTTGCGGGCGGTGTTGACACATCCACACCGTTGCTGCTGGTCGAGCTCTTGGCGGGTGTGATGTCAAAGATAACTTGACTGTATGCCGCAACGGACGCCATCTTTGAGCGCGCTTTCGCGGCATTGTTGCTGGAGTTGAAGCTGGCCTTACCCATACGCTAGTCATGTTAGCTACTGTCCACCAAGATATTTTGAAGCACATACCTCGCCTTGAAGCACATACCTCGCCTTGCTCTTCCTTCAACGATGACTCAATGTAGCCATCGACGAAAGTAGACGACCCGGCAGATTCGCGTGTCGCCAAGTCTCTATAAAGTTGTCGACAGTTGAGCACTGCGGCTTGCGGGATTGTTGCTGTGTATCTTGCGACGCTGATCCACCGGAGGACTTGCGCGGTGAGGGGGAAGTTGCTTGATTGTGGGTGGAGTTGTGTTGAGGGCGGGCGCTTTCTGGTGTGCAACAACCAACAGCAGAGAGCAGACGGCTTGTAGACTCAATCCAGCTCAGACGCAGACAGGGTTAGACAGTGCTCACACAAGGGCCGTCGCCTGATTGTCAGCATCACAATTGCAGTGCTATAAAAGCTAAGATATATGGGTGGGAAGCTAATCAAGTCGTGTAGCATCGAGTAACAAAGCCTGACACACTGAGGTCAGTTCTGAATAAGTCGGCATCTCGCTTCTGTGTAAGCGCCTGAACCTTGTCAATAAAAAGGCCAAGGCTTGTCGAATGTTGGGTCTTGGCCTTGATCTTGCCCTGGATACTGCCATTGATTCTGCCGCTGGTGTTGGCCTTGGTTTTGCCCTTCGCCTGGTCCTGGATTCTGCGGCTGACTTGTCCCTGCCGCTGGATCTTGCTCTTGGTCCGATCCTATGCCTTGCCACTGACTTGTCCCTGCGGCTGGATCCTGCCATCGGTGTGGCTCTTGGTACGCCCCGTGAGATGACCCAGCAGCCGAGTTGTAACCATATTGATCATCTTGGGCATCGTGGCCGTAGTAGAATTCCTGAATTTGCGGATCGTTTTGGTACGCAGGCCAATTCAACGGATTGTCCTCGACAGGAAGCCGTGCCATAGAATATTGCTCGACATCAGCATTTGGAAGAGGCACGCATTGCTCAAAGTTGATTGGACAGATTCCTTCTCGGTGTCCCGAGGATGAGCCTTGTCCAGGAGCAGGCATATTTTGAAGACACTCTGCACTAAATGAATCTCCCAATATCTCAGCTGCAAAGGCTGAATAATACACCACGGTGTCGTCACTGTCAAGGTGGAATGGATCTGCCGTGTTGTTGAACTGCTGACAAAGATCATGCACCGAAGTTCCATAGATCTCATGCGACTGCTGACGCGACGAACCACCAACTTGTCCGTGAGTGGACACTTGCAGCTGAGACCGACAATCTATTTTTGCCAGAGTCATGTCATTGTGTTTTTGGCAGCTTCCAGGTATATCAGAGCATAAGCAACCACTGAAGGTGAGCAGCGTCGCACTGCACTCGAAATTCTTGTTTGTGACCTTGTGAGTCTCCTCCATCCATGTGGTCGACTCGCTTGATGGAAGCACATATTCTGCGATGTTCTCAATGTTACAATTTCCGCGGGATGAGCATGAAAAAGCGTGATTTGGTATTTTACGCCTCAAAATCTCTTTTTTTTCAACCTCTGGCGAAATGTAATATTGGCCTGTACGTCCTCCCTTGATTGGTCTTGCTGTGATTCTCGTCATGAAGATAGCCGGGAGGTGAAGAGTGAATCTACAAGCGCATGTTGATGATCGATAAGGACATGCCAGGAATCCACAATGAGCTCCCGGATCATGAATGACGGTCACTCTGCTGCCCAGTGAAAAGTATTTAGACCTCACACATGACTTTGACGTTTTGAGGTCAGATCTAAACATTTGATAAACCTTCAGTGCATGATTCTGCAGCTCGAGCTCGCAGTGTCTGGCGCAATACTTCTCTCTCGTTTTTGGATCTGACCTCTGATCATAAGGAAGTGTTCTTTCCCAGCCAGTCTTCCGCAGTCCAAGGAATGAAAAAGAAGCACTGTAGCAGAGAGGACGAGCCGCAGGTGTGGGCCCGGCAAGAAACAGGTTCGTTTGACCAAACCAACTCCGGAGTTGTTCACTCGAGATGGCGTCATCAAACACAGCTTCACTTGTACCTCCCTGGACAGGATCTTTGCCTTTACCCTTGTCGCGAGCAGCCTCTCCAGAAGCACTCGACGGGTGTCCAAGAGCTTGTAACGACAGCATGAGATGCATCAATGCTGCGAGAATAGTCAAGAACGACAAAATTGCTCTGAGACATGATGCAGCAGTAGACTCGCGCGAGAAAATGATCATCTCAGGAGGCAAAAGTAGCCGCAGACGACAGACAGTATGTAGTTGCAGTCTGACTTGCTCGACTGGCGGATGTTGTTGAGCAGCCAGTAAAGTACAGAGGAGTAGGGCTTGGCTTGCTACTTTGTCTCCCTGGCACATATCGTGTGCTTTCACGTGTTGGTCACCCCTTAGTCTTCAAAATGGGAAATAAGGACCATGAGCGTCTTCTCTGCTCCTCATCCGTATTCTGCCGCAGCTGCTTGATCACGGACAATTCACGTCATCACGGTATTACGCATCATTCCAAATAGATGTGATGGCGTTTTCCACTATAGAGGCATTTTGGGGTGTTGTGAGAATGAGGTGTGAAGTTGCCGATTCCGACCCCTTTGATTCAGCCTTCCTCCTGCATGATCATCCTATTGATCCTTCAGCTGTGTGCTCAAACTGACTTTTCCCTTTTGGTCCTGGACAATTCGAGTCCGGAAGGTCACAAGGACCGAAATCTTTGATACGGATCTTTCTGAAGCTGTGCTTCCACGCAGCAGTGTCTCCTCTTCGTTCGCGACCAGGAACACCTTCGACAATCGTGCTCCCTAAACAAAAATATTTTCTTTCAACAATAGTTACAATACACAACGATTCCCGTCATTGCAGTTTGCCGTTACTGACGACAAACTACGATGACGATATGTCACGCCAGCATTGTGAGATGATGCTGGAGAAGAAGGTCTAACAAAGCATGCTTTCTAAAATTAGACCTGCATGGTACACTGCTTGCACATTGTAGGTCCTGGTGTTTAAATCCCTGGGCACTTGAAATAGAAACATGCTTTGATCACGTTGAGATGCAATCTACATCTAATCTGTCGGCCTGTCGAGATATCACGCAATGATAACAATTGCAGCTAGTGTCAATGTACTTATGAAATTGAACTTAAACAAACAGCAAGCTTGAAGTTGCAAATTAGCAGTCGCAAGCATGAGCCGGCGGATTGGTCATCACATGAACGTTCGAGGTTCATTTTCCTTTGTATTGAAGCTTTCCAGGAACATCTGCATTTGCAAATCATATTCGGTATCTTCAAGCTCTTGGCATTGCTGTCCAGAAGTAGAACACTGACCCATAGTGGAATCTGTGGCTACGCAGTGATTGACGGTAGTGCCGAACTGGTCCATGTTGCGGTAGAGCTCCAGACACTCATCAACCAGGAAATCGTCTGTCGTGTTGACAATCTGCTGGGAATGCCCTTGACCAGAATGTGGCATCAGTAGCTGCCCATGATTGAGGCCACCTTCCCTGGAGGAAGGCAACGCTGGCTCTTGCAGTTGACTTTGACAATGTCCAGCTGTGAAGGTTTGTGCTTGGCAATGCCATGTTAAGAAATCCATGTTGTGAATATGGCATAGTTGCGGATCTGGGAGAGGTCTATGCCCATTTACCATTTGTGACTTTTTGGACCGTTTGGAGCACGCACAGGGATTGCGATCAGTCTCGCAAGGGCGTCGTTCTTGAACAATCTCGGAAGCCACTTGCACCCAGACAACTTGATTATTTGGGCGAAAGATGTGCGGGCCCAAGAACTCTGGAATGAGTCGGTCGATCGAACACTCACCCTTGCCGGCGGTCAAGAATTCGAGGAGCCGACTCGACTCTAGTCGTTGATGGCTGACACGTGGCGATACGTGATAAAAAACTGCATCGCCAAAGCGGACTTTTGACCACAGAACAGAGTCAAGCTTGAGATCGAATTGACAAGCGCATGGAGATCCTGGAAACAAGCATCTGCCTGAAGCGAGCTCCGGGCAATAGAGACTTGCCGGATGAGTGATGGTCCACTTGGAGCACAACTTGAACCAGCGATTTTTGATGCATTTTGGAAGCCCCTGGCCAGGCTTGTCATCCCATCTTGCAAAATGCCCCGACAGCGCTTGTGCATACTCCTTCAATTCTTTTGCACACCAGTCCGCGCAAAGTTTCTGCAACATGACCTCGTCATCAGCTGAGCTCTTCTGCGGGTTCATTGCTACCCAGAGGGGTTCCATCATGCCAACAAATGTGAACTTTGAATCGTAACAAAACTCCTCACCCGTTTTTGCGACAAAGATTTCATCGCGAGAGAATTGATCGAGCAGAGCCTTGCCTTGAGCTGCGGTCAATGGTACCCTCCAAGCTGTCTGGCCAGTTCCAGTGTTGTAGTCAACAGATTTGCCCTTATTGCCGTCTCGAACAGGCTCTGCAATTGTGGTCGCGAGCTGGAAGAAATGCAGCAAAATGGTGATATTTGTCAACAATACCAGCACTTTGAACATGATCGACGGAGACCTCGAGCTGGCATGCATTGTTCTAGGTTGTGCAGCGCTGAATGTGTTTCGCCAGTTGTTGGATGTGTCGATGTTCTTGCAGCAAATACAACGATGGGTCAAATATTCTAAATTGCCAGCGTGGCATAAAATTTGGGCGGAGCAATTGAACCTCTACGTGGCTACGTGGCCAGCTGCTAGTGCTCAGAGCCACAGTCAAGACTAGACAATAAACACCAACACTAAAGACAGTACGAGAATGTAGTCTAGCGTCAAGCGCAGAGAACTTTTCACTTTCTTCGACTCATCTCCTTGATGGTCTTGAGCATATTATCGCGTACCTCCACAACGAGCCTGTCAACATCGGCAGCTGTCAAATCTTTCGTCTCAATGGGTTCGAGTACCTTGACTGGGATGACGCCAGATTCGAGATGCTTGCGCTTCCAGCTAAACACATGACTGTAGTTGCCAACAACAATCGGGACAATCGGCACGCCTGCTTGAATGGCGAGATGGAAGCATCCTTTTTTGAAGGGCAGCAAATCCGCTTCTGTGAACGCTGAACGTGTGCCTTCTGGGAAGATCCAAACATTTTGCTTTTCCTCCTTGATTTGTCGAACAGCCGTATCAAAGGATGCCACGGCATTCTTGCGGTTTGCGCGATCAATAAAGACAGTACCACTGAGTGTCATGAATTGTCCCAGGAATGGCATATACTTGAGCTCCTTCTTACTCGTGACTGATGTGTGTTTTGGAAACATCCTTCCGAGCATCAAGACATCCAGCTCTGTTTGGTGGTTGGAGATGAAGATGGCCGGCCGCGTTGACATGCGCTCCTCATTCTCCACGGTGAAGCTGATACCGAGCATGGGAGATAGCAATAAATCAAATGATCGAGCAACAGTCCATTGACTGAGAGATTTGAGGCCAATGACTTTGAAGACGAGGGATGCCAAGACGCCATACGAAGCGCACACGATCATGGTGACAATGGCAGTGGCATAGCGCGCAATAAACCGAGTTGCCTTGAAACGTGGGCCAAGCAGGGCGAATGTAAAGAAAGCCAGGCCGGTATAGCCAAAGTAAGTGGAGAGTGCCATGTTGCGTGCTGCTGGCCTGCGGCGAAGAGTATTGGACGTCGCCGTTGTTGGTTGCAGTGTGTTGCTGGTCGCCTTTTCGATGAAGCGACTTGAGTGGCTGATGCTTGTGGGCACAAGCAGGTGTTTGCCAAACAGATGACGCTGGGAGATGCCTGCGATGGTCCGCTCCCGGATGGTGGTGTACCGTGGTGATGGTGGTCGTGGATGTCTGCGGTGAAGAGGCGGAGACACGGCAGCAGCAGACGAGATGGAAATGAATTGGCTATAGTAGTATAGATCAGTAGATTGGCTTTAGATCAGTAGATTGGCTGGTGAAGAGGCATGAAGGAGACATCAGCTCGCCGTCGCTGCAATCTTGAGCCCAATCTGCTCGACCGAGTGCGTCAAAGCAGCCAGCTTCGTCATGACAGCAACAAGCGCCGGATCCTGTGACTCGACACGCACATGCTCCACGACACGTACGTCCCGGCCTCTGAACCGTACAAAGCCACCATGATGGGCTTCACCGCCTCCTCCTTGACTTCCGCTAGCTAGTCTGTTGATTTTGGCAAAGACATTGGAACTCTGTTTGCGGTCTTGTAGTAGGTAGACATCAGCGACGAGTGATGCGTCACGGATACAAAGGTCCATAGCAACAGGCTCTTCCAATATTGGTGAGAAGCGAGTGCCTGGCAGCTCAGCCAGTGGGAAAGTCTCTGTCAGCTTCGGTTCCTTGAGACAGGCCGATGCTTCTCGCAAGTTGTCAAGGAGATCATCCACGACGCGTTTCGCAGTATCTGGCTGCAACGCATGTTGACAACTTGCAATGGAGATGTCCACTAGATGCGCGACTTCTGCAACTTGTGGAAGGGTCATGGCCTTGTCTGCATTCAACGCAACACGCTGTGCAGAGAGACCAGGCAGTCGTATTCTGAAATCGCCCTTGACGAGAAGACTTCCCTGTCGCGTCACCAAACCCTTAAGCCGTTCTGTTTCCCTTGAAGTGAGCGGCAGTGTGGTATCTGCATGTTGCAGCAATTCTCTACATTCTTGCAAGCCTTCCAGCACAGGCGGCAGGGAGCGCGGAAAGATGTGCGTAAAGAGCCATTGACGTTCTCGTTCGAGGTGTGCTTTTTCTTCTGTCAAGGTCGGTGCTTGGGCTGGCAGTGTTGCCATCATCTTGTAGCAAGCTTGATGAGCAAATCAGAGCTAGGAAAGGTCAATGAGTAGATATGTAATGCAGAGTAGCTACAGCTGATGCCTGGGGATGTAGTGGTATGAGTATGTGCTGCAACTTGGGGACAAACAAAAATGATGGACGATGCAGGAGCAGGACTTGGGGCCTGATGAGTGAGTGATGAGCAGGGACAGAGAGCAGATCAGTTCCAGAGACCATAAGGACCATCGACTGCTTTCCATAGCCTCACTGTACCATCCTCACTGCCTGTGGCATAAAGTCCACCATCGGGACTATAGCTCACAGTGTGGATGGGCCCATGATGACCCTTGTAGACTTCAAGCTCCTCTCCCGATGCAAAGTCATACACCCTGACCCACAATTCAGACGATCCACCCGTCACAAAGCGTGTCCGTTGCGGGTTGAGCGAGACCGCAGACACATCATACGCAGTCTCAACGCATTTGGCTGTTTCGTGTGTATTTGGATCCAGAAAGTAGACATTCTTGCCAGCTGTAGAGGTGATGTAGCCTTCTGCCATTTCCAATGAAGTAATAGCAGCCTGATCTTTTGCCTGCCAGGTAGCGACTTCTTTTTGTGCTCGTAAATCCCAGAATCTGACAATCTTGTCGTCGCCTGCAGACAAGACAATATGTCCCCCTGCTTCTTTCCGTTTATCCCATACAACACTGCGGATATTGCCTGTGTGTCCTGCTAACTCGCACACGGCGTCTTCTGAGCGTAGATCAAAGACGCGTACTTTCTTCTCCTGTCCGCCCGTCAGGATCTGTGTCGCAGCTGCATTGAAATCAACCGAGCGGACAATATGGTTGTGTGCATAGGTATGCATGGCTGTACCTTTGTAGGTATCCCAGACTTTTGCCGAAAAGTCTGCAGAACCAGTAACGGCGAGGGATGCGTCTTTTGAGAGTTTTGCACTCCAAGTCGCGCCCTTGTGTCCTGTAGTGTGTAAGCTTAGATGGTCAAGCAGATGATAGCGTTACCCATGAATGTACCGATCCAATCACCCGTGGTGCCGTCTCTGAGCATGGGATTGCCATCCTTGCAGGCGGTGATGAAGACATTCTCTGCGAAATGGAGATGAGTGACGGGCCTTGTATGGCCGGAGCAGGTGAGAGGTGTGACGCGTGTTGCTGACGCTGCTGGAGTCGTCGCAGTCGTGGTCGTCGCTTCAGGAGCACTGGATGCCTGTTGGCCATTGATCGCCTCCATGCTCTCTCTCTCACTCTCTATCTGCCTCGTCTCCTCCTTCCCTGCAGCCTCTCGCCTAGCCTTGGTCCTAGCCTTGGTCCTGGTCCTGGTGTTGTCTCTGGCTCCTTTTCACATCTTCCCTCCACCACACACCACACATCCCCTCAGCTCTCACTCAGCAGGATCACTCGTCTCCCTGTACACGGCCCTGTATCCAGCTTCTCTAATACTCCTACACTCCCTTCACTATCCTCATTCATGTCTGCAGCGCTAGAAAAGTCACTCGACGAAATCATCGGCGAAAACCCAAAACAACACGGCAGCAACAGACGTAACGGTGGGTCCGGTGGCCCTGCACGTCGTCGAGAAACCGGAGGTCCGCGTCGTTCAGGCGGAGGCAGCGGTGGCGGTGGCGGTCGTGATCGTAATCCTGGCAGAATCGCGTCAACGCCGTACAGCCGTGATTCTGGACCGCGTCGTCGTTCTAGATCGCGTTCAGGCTCACCACAGCGTTGGCAGCATGATCGTGCGGATTCTGGACGTCGTGGTGTGAGTCGTGATCGTGGTGGCCGTGGCGGTGGTACTATCGTGGTGACGAACTTGCAGTATGAGATTGATGAGAGCCAGGTGGAGCACATCTTTGATGCTGTTGGTCGCATCACCCGTGTCAACCTCGTCTCTGACCGTGCTGGGAGGTATACCAATCTTTTCGGCATTTGTTCAAGGGAAGCTAACAAACTACTAGATCTACAGGCAAGTGCTATGTTGACTATGAACGCAGAAACGACGCACTTGAAGCCGTTCGCCAATTCGACACACGTCTGTGCGGTGGCCAGCGTCTCCAGGTTGAGTTGATTACACTCCCTCAAAAGAACAACGATCTCGGTAGCAGATTGCGATTCGATTCTGATAACTATGAACGTCCTGGCCGTGGTCAATCTGGCCGCGGTGGTGACAGCAGGCAAGGAGGAGAACGCGGTGGCCGGGGTGATCGTCGAGGTGGCAGAAAAGATGCTGCTGCTGCAGGTGCTGGCGGCAGTGGTAAGCGTGTTCGTCGTGGGCCTGCGACTGCTGAGCAGCTGGATGCCGAACTGGATGCCTACCTCAATGCAAAAACTCCGAGCCATTCTGAAGGTGTTGCTGGGGGAGATGCTCCTGCTGGCGGTGATGCTGATGGCATGCAGGTGGACTAGACCTTCCACATGGCCCCTTCCCTCTTTGTACGCTACTCCTTTTTGGCTTTTACCTCTTCTATTCTACTCTTCTGCTGCTTTCCTCTGTGTCACCTCATAGGCCTCTCTCTCCTGCTGCTTCCAGCCTACTCCCCTCTGTGTCACGTTGTTTCTGTAGCATTTCCTCAAATTTGTCAGCGCAACTCAACAAAAGACGTCAGCATCAACCCATCCCCAGTCTTGACAGCTCGTCCAGAGCCAGGGCGCATCCACAGCAGCACAGGCCCATGTCGCACTAGGATCGCCCTGCTTTTCCGATCTCAAGGCCCCCAAGAATGAGTGCAGACTTGCTCGGCGCAGAGCTCGAGGACGAGTACATCATTGAAGCAGCAGCGCAAGAACGAGCTCCCCTCCTTGGCCATAGACGCACAGAGCATCACGATGGGTCAGTCGATGGGAAAGAAAGGGACAGCAACCTTGACTTGCTCTGGTACCGCAAACCGAACCTCTACTGGCTCTTGCCGCCCTTCATCTTTACTGCTACAATGAGCGGTGCGGCCATCACCCCGAGACTCTCGCTCATGGGTGACTTGCTCTGTCGCAATTACTACACTCAGCATTCACCAGGCTTGCTTGACCCGAACCTATCACTCATCCAAATCGGCCATCAAGTTGATTGTAATATTCCGGAAATCTCAGCTCGAATTGCAAGACTCTCAACAGGCATCAACATCCTCACAGGTGTCTTGTCTGCCCTGACAGCAGCAAAGTATGGTGCCTGGTCAGATCGTCATGGTCGGCGCTGGCCGTTGTTTGCCACCATGATTGGTGCGTTGTTGAATGATTTGTGCTACATTCTTGTTGCAAAGTACTATCGTACCCTACCGCTTGGCTTCCTATTCGTTGGTGCACTCTGTGATGGTCTTGCTGGATCCTTCATGAGTGCCATGGCAGCGACGTATGCCTATACGACCGATGTCGTGCCACCTGCTAGACGCGCTGTTGCATTCGGATACTTTCAATGCTGCTTCTATGCAGGCATTGCTCTAGGACCATCGCTCGGTGGCTATCTCGTCACCAAAACCAACAATGTCTTGACAATTTTCTACCTTGCCATGACGGTACATGCCATCTTTGCAGTGTATACGGCACTCTTGCTACCAGAGAGTCTATCGAGAACGCGAATGGATCAAGCTGCACGACGACACGTTCGAGACGTGGCTGCACGACGTGATGCATCCCTTGCATTGACAGACCCAGAACAATCAAAAGCTCAAGTGTCCTTTGCAAAGATGATGGAGAAGGCGAATATCTTCAAAGCACTCCGAGTCTTTTTCCCTCAACACAGCGCGCCAGCTATTCGACGCAACCTCAAGTTACTCGTTGGGATTGACTTGTGCTTACTCATGAATATGGGTTCCTTCACCGTCATCATCTTGTATGCAAAACTCATCTTTCGATGGCGAGACTTGGAACAAGGATACTTACTCTCCCTCATCGGTGGAAGTCGTGTGATTGTCCTCCTTGGCATCCTTCCCATCGTCGTCCGTCTCGTTCGTGGCAAACAACCAAAACGCACACCGGAAGAATGCGCAGCTGCCAATGCACAACGTGGGAATGAACCAGAAGGTGCAGATATGCTTGATATTTGGCTGATTCGTGGATCTCTCTTATTCGAGTCTGTGGCGTTTGCTTCCATGGCACTGGCAAAGACATCCGCTGGGTTCTACCTCGGTGGTGCGCTCTCAGGGTTCGCTGGTGTCGGCACACCGACTCTACAGAGTGCATTGACAAAACATGTATATGAAACGGAGACTGGCCAATTGCTAGGAGCAGTGGCACTCCTACAATCTTTGAATCGGGTGGCGTCACCGTTGTTGTTTGGGTTTTTGTATAGTTTGACGGTGAAGCGGATGCCGGCTGTGGTGTTTTGGTTGATTGCATCATTGATGCTGGGTGGGTTCTTGTTGTCGACTGGGTTGCGGCAGACGTCGAGGGATGATAAGCAGTTGCTTGCTGAGAATGATGATGATGTCGAGCAGAGCCATCTATACTAGTTCATAGTTATTTACAGGTCAATTTCGTTGTAGTCAACCAAGTGTATGAAAAGAATCGATTACTCGTCGTTAAGGGAGGCAGTAAAGCGTACGGAAAGATGAAGGAAAGGTCTAAAGGGGAAGGTCCTCAAGGAGAATTGACTGGAGCAGGTGAAGAAGGTTGAACACTTGCCAAATCACCATTCGATCCACTCTGTGCCAAGCGTGCCTCCAGGGACTTGAGTGCTTCTTCCTTGGCCAACAACTGCTGCCGCTTCTCACTGATTTCTCGCTGCACCTTGATTTCAATGTCCCGCAACTTCTCCTCCTCACGACGTAAATGCTCTTCCTTGATGCGAACTGCTTGAGACGCCATCTCCTCAGGTGCCACGGAGTCTTGACCATTTTGACCACTCACACCACGAGACAGACTCTCTGTACGGTAATTCTCATACAGGAAGTCTTGTGTGATTTCCTTGAGATCCGACAAGTGGGTTTGCAAGAGTGCAGAACGCAGGGATTGGAAGTCAGAGTGTCGTGGATCATCGACGTTGATGTAGCCCCAAGGATACACGCGAGCTCGAATCCGTTTCCCATCCACCTCAACCACATCCTCACTCCCAACGATTGCAAAGGGAAGTAATCCACGTAGTTCTGCATTCTCCTCAACTGTATCCTCGTCATCCTCTTCAATATCATAAGGGAAGTTGTAGATGGGGATCTTGTAGTGATCAATGTCCTCCATAATCAACTTTTTGGATTCAGCAAGTTCAGCAGGTGTCAGAGAGTCTGCTTTGCCAATAACAGGAATGACATTGACGCGCGGAGAGAGTCGTTTCATGCATTCGATATCGAGCTCTCGCAAGCCATGACCTGTTGGATGGATGAAGTAGAGACAGGCATGTACGCGAGAGTCTCGAAGACCTGGTCGTCGCTTGATACGGGATTCTTCAGCGAGAATATCGTCGTACTGCTTCTCCAGGAACTGCACAATTTCTGCAAAGCTAGTAGGGAGGTCAATACACTGCATGGTAGACAAGGGGGTTTGTTACCTTGGCTCATTATCAATAGCATCGCCAAAACCGGGTGTGTCGACAATCGTCAGCCCAATGCGCGCTCCTTCTTCGTCCAGCTCCACTTGCTGTGACTTGATTTGGATGGTTGGTTCCAAGTGCGCATCCTCTGGGTTGTCGCAAAACTGGTGGTCCAGGACAGGCTTGTTGCAGAGGGTATTGACAAAAGTTGTCCTTCCCGTGCCACTCGCACCCACCACCATCAACGTAAAGGATACCTGAGCAGTATTAGCACAGACACAGCGGTGAGGAGGATGCAACGGACCCCTTTCTTGACATTCTTTCTGCTTCTAGCGCGTGAGTAGTTCATCGTTGCTGGCCGTTTTGATCTGCACTCGTCCTATCTGTCGATGCAGTCACTTCTGGGCTTGTCGCACAGGCTCAAGCAAGCAGGACTGACTGACTGACGCAGCGTGTAGGGGAGGCCGATGCGTGCGTGTTGTGTTTGCTTCTGCGTGAGTTTCGCGATGAAGTGCACGTGACAGTTCAGATGGGCAGGATAGAAGGATAGATTGGAGAGGATAGAGGATTCTACCAGAGAGGGATAGATTGGAGAGGGACAGGGCGGAGAGAGTTTCGTGATAGAGTGAAGAATGGAGGAAGCGATTGGAGATACGGCAAATAAGCCGCATGATACACCTGTTTGCTGCCCATAAAGCAGCCTGCCACAGAGTAAACAGCCAAGAGACAGCTTCTCCTGAAACATGGCCCGCCTGAAACCAGACACAATGGAACTTCAAACCCACCAAGGAGCTTGCTTGTCCGTCTGACATGCCTGCTGTAGATGTCCAAGTCTGCACTCGTATAAGAACACTTGTCATCTCTCGGTTTGGATCCACAACCAGTCCAGTCTACAAGAGACAAGATGATTTTCAAAACAAACACTCTGCTTGCCCTCGCAACAGTCTCAATTGTCGCTCAGGCACAAGCACCAGCAAGCCCCAGTACAGGTGCAGCTGTCAATGCAGACAGTAAAATTGGTGGTATTCCCGCCAATGTCAAGGCACAACTCCCCAAGCTCGACTCAAAGGCAGTTGCAGCAGCCAATCAGCAACAACAAGAAGCAGGCATCAATGAACTCTGCGCACAATCCCTCTCTCGTGTTGCTGGTCAGTTCACTCTCTCCATGAAGCAAAAGAAGGTTGCAGACTAACCACTGTAGACTCCTGGAAGACTGCACAACAGTCCGTCACAACACTTGCTAGTCAAACTACCGGCTCAGCCGTAGATCCAGCAGTGCAAGCAGCTCAGCGCTTTCTAGCAACCACCTCACCCCTCATCAGTAACAACATCCGTGCCGGTACCAAAACAGACGCATCGCTCATCAAGACATATGAAGATGCAGGCTCTGCTGTAGGTCAAGCAATGGGTGCCATTAGCCAAGTTCAGCAAGTCCAAGGCATGAAACCTGAAATATTGCAAGCTGCCAACATGGCTTCCATCAACTTGCAAAACTTGAGGACTGCGCAATTGTAAGTGGTGTTCTAGCGCACAAAGTGAGAAGGCTAACAGTCTAGTGCGACGTTCGGTGCTTGTGGTGCTGCAGTCGGTGCGACCATTGCTGCGACAGACGAAGCCAAACCTGCAGGCGTTCCAGGATCGGCGATGAAGGTGGTTTGTGGACACTGAGACAGACACACGGATTGCGTAGTAGTGCGAATTTAATACTTATTGAGCGTCTCGCAGTGTTCGCCGCTCCATGAGTGTCTTGAAGTAGGCATTTGCAACACTCGAGTCAGTGATTGGCCTTTCAGGACTTGACGAGGTCTGTTCACGCAGCCGATTGAGCTTTTCCTCCAACGCTGCAGCCGTAGTGTCTGATATATCACCCACAGCAGGCTCGTTGGGGCGATTGCGAAATTCCTGTTCAAGACGTGTCAAGAAGGCCTCATGCGTCTCGACGGCGACGTACTCTTCCTGCACAAGGCCAACACCGCCCGTCATCAACAGACTTGCTTGTGCATTAGGCACCATCTTCTGGAATGTAGCCAACGCACTCTTGTCATGCACCTCATCAGCCATACCTTGCAGGTGTGTCTTCCAACCTTCCAACATCTTCTCGACATTGAAACCAGCGCGATGTACATCAATCTTGACAGGCGTATCCCAGCCAAGTGGCACAGCAGCTTGATCTTTCTCAACAACAGATGCCTGTATACGCTCAAGATGAAGCGCAAGTGGCGGTGCAAGCTGTTGCAAAATTGCAGACAAGACACGCGCCGAGGTGGTAGGCTGAGCGGGTGCTGTGTAGTATAGACTGCCACCGTGACACATCATCACGAGTCGTAAAGTCTGCTGGATAAAGTCGAATTGCTCTTCACGCATGCCCAAGTCGCTCTCGAGTTGGTAGATATGGTGTGACTAGCGTTAGCATAGCCAGCAATTGAAGACACGCTTACGTTTTGAGCAATGCAGAAGAGAGGCAGACCCAACGGCAGTGCAAATTGGCCAGACGCAAGCGGTGGTAGGAGTGACAGATCTTGGTCTTGTTTGCGAGAGACACTACTGGCGGTAGGTGCATCACTATAGCCACGAATAGCATACTCCAGCGAAGCCAACTGCTTTTTGAGTACTGCTGCAAATTCAGGCGATTCAAGCTTGGCACTGTCTGTTGCTTCCCGTAGGAGCTTGAACCAGCGGCACAGTTGGTCCAGCCAGAGCCATGGTTCTTGCCAATCAAGCAGAATGCAGACGCCAAGAGACCCAACGTCAGCCTGCAGCATGACATCCTGCAAGACAGGGACAAGCGTGTCGTCTGGGCGTCCAAACAAGTGACACGTCATGCGACACAGACTCTCCTCATGTTTCGCATCGTCCAAGCCAAAGTAGGTCGATGCGCCAGGCAATGCCGCTGGAATCGGAGTCGCTGCAGCATCCTCAGACACAGCGAAGCCAGGAAGCTGCTTACACGTCCGCCACGCTTCAACACATTGCGTCAATCCCGTTGCGCCGCCGCCAAGAAGTAGGATATCGTACGTTGGCTTGCTGGCTGTAGCAGACACGCTTTGCAGAATGGACTTCCACAGATTCACCCCAGAGGCGGTACCAGGCCGAGAGGTCGTTTTGCTAGCCATTGCTATGCCTGCATGATGCTGCTTGCCAACAGCCGATACTTTGAGTGTTTGTGCGTTTACTAGCGGTCGCGCCTTTGAGTCGCGCTTTTGGTTTTGGCCACGACAACACGACCAATTGCTGCAGCTCGCTGAACCTCAGTATGATAACATGACGAGTATGAGCTGCTTTATCATGCTATATCAATGACAGCACTAGAATCGTCAATGATCGAGGCCTCCAAGCTTATATCAGTTTTGATTACCGCAGCTCTGTGGAGCATCCATGACGCTGACGATTCAGTTCGGTACGACATTCAAACATCTGGACAAGCGCGAGCTGCACCACAGTGTCCGCTACAAACACCTGGTAATACCTCTGTAGCACTCCAGTAAGGTTCATCAACTAATTAATAATGGATTGACCCCACGTTTCTCATTTGACTTGCAGAATGCTACCTCACTCGCGAATTGCTTGTATACATACAGCCATTGACAACACGTTCAAGGCCTGCAGCGATGATCAACTCGCGCTTGAAAATGATACATCAGCATGGCACGTTCCACAATACTGACAAAATCTGATGATGTCTTCCAATAGTACTCGGCCTAGAATAATATGTCAGCCAATCCAGCATTGCTTTTGCCTCGACCAATCTTCCCAACGAAGGTGATCAATGAGATCCAATTTTGAAGAGAACAGAAGTTGAAATGTGTAGATATAATGCTAATGAATTAAGCATACGTCTTGTAATATTTACGAGTCTTGTTGAAACGATCCGCTGGGCCGTCAAGGGATGTCAAGAAGTGCGTCCATGAAAGCGTCGTAATCGCAGTCTTCCAGCCAATTCTCACACTCCTCAAATGTCTTTTGCGATTCAGCTGGTCCCTCATGATCTGCAAGATTACACTGTTGGGCCAATTGAGACTGTCCAGATCCCGCCGGCTGTTTATTGTAGAGGCTAGCTGGGCACTGGTTCTGCAGCTGGTGATTGTCAGCGTTGGAAGTGGACTGATCCGGCCTTTGGCTGGGCTGAGCTGTGTAGAGATTGCACAAATCCTGATGTTCTGCTTCCGAGATATATATAGGCATACCCCGTTCATTTGGAACCACAGCTTCCGTACGCGTCCGCCAAGCGGAAGCCTTTGTTGAGGCTTCAGCAATCTGCTGACCCTCGCTGACAGAATCAATCGATCTGTATCTTGGATCTGTCCTTGTAGTTGTGCCAGCAGCAACTGATGCTTGCTTTTTGTTCTTGACAACTTTTGACGATGAGGATCCTTCGTTGCACTTGCGCTTATTTCTGGTCTTTTGGGGCTTGCACGTAAAGTTCCAATCGTTTATGCGAGTCTCGGCGAGTTGCCAATTGTACTGGCTATAAACCAAGACTGGGGCCACATACTGATTACGCATGTCCTCCGTCGAACACCTGGCCATGCGAAAGATTGTTCCTTGAGTCCTAGACCATTCGATATTTGGATCGAGCTCAAAAATATGGTTTTCATGATCTTTGCCTGCAGGCATCCTGATGCGTTTGATGCTGAAGTCCAGGTGACAACGGCAGGTTCCGAAGCATGACCCTGAATCGAGAGTAGAGGTAATTGCTTCATGTGTGCCCTTTACTTGCGCATGGTCTGACCTCCTGCTCTGGACGCACGTATGCTTATGACCGTTGATCTTCTTCGTAACCATCTCACAGAAGACTTTGGCAGAAAGAGTCCTTTCTTCTTCGCATTGTTTTGCACACTCTGCGATGATTGCGAACTTTGTACAGGTTCGTACATTGCCAGACTGTATGGAAATGAATGTAGAGTACCTGTATGTTGCGGTATAGCACCTGAAGCCTTCATCGCTAACCGCCCAGTAGTGTTTATCAAGAACCAGCCCGGGGGAGTAGCAGATCCAGTAGTTTCAAGCGCAGAAGCTTGTCCCTGGTCTAAAGCTTCTCGCGGGTTGTTTGCAACTGCTTTTCCATTCGATCGAGCAGCTTCAGCTGTGACAAGATGATACTGCAGCAACCAAGGCGTCAACCAAATAAGCAATGCCAAGGTAAGCAAAGGCTTTAGCATTGCAGGCGACAGCTGGACAAGGGACGGTGATGAGAAATTGATAGCGCGGTTGTGGTCAAAGATGTTTGCTGTGTCTAAATTTTGAGCGCTATTGGCAGCTGAACAGCTGACGTGTCAGTTTTCAAACGAGGTTACATTGACTCACATCTACAATATCAATTCATTTTTGAGGGGGCCCTTTTCAGGTTGTGACCTAACCCTATTCGACGCTTGCTGACCACAGAAGCTTGCGATCACGACCATCAACTGCACACAAGTGCACACAATACAGCTAAGACAAGGACGATGACTCTGGAGCAATCGACTGTACCTCCAGGCAGGAAGACTGTCTTCAAGACTGTTCTAGATACGCCCTTCCCGCCAGAGACTGGGGAATGGCCAAAGCTAAAAGAGGACGCAAAGTTCGACGAGACTAGCTTTTACGATGCGCTCTCAAAGACATTGTTGAGGCTCTTGAATCCCATTGACAATTTTAGAAGAGCAGTCGATGCTTCTCGAGCACCTAAACGTCGTCGCGGTCGTCAAGGCCGTCAACTCGCAAAGACCTTGCCACCCGCGCCACTTGCTTCTGCTGAGGTATCAGCCCTTTCGCGGTGTATTGCGGTCGGATTGAATACCTTGATCGATACGCTCCAGCTAGAATGTACTTCAGCGCCACTTTTCAATCGAAAATCATTGCAAAAGCGCGATGCTCGTACTGTATTCGACATTGGCCAGGGCCGCGCAAAGCTCAAAAGCAAGAGAAAGGCAGAGCTGAACGAAACCACAGAAGTTTCGGAAGTGGCAGAGCCTCTGAGACTATCTGTTGTCTTGGTCTGTCGAGAAGCCTTGGCGGCAAAGTCTCTTGCGAGTCACCTTGCGAGTTTGTGCAGTACTACCGTTGCCAGAAGGGTAGGTGACAGCCACACAGATTGCCCTCTGTATCTTGTGGCACTTCCGACTGCAGCTCTCGTGGATCTTGCAAGCGCGCTTGGATTTCCTCGGGTCACGGCCATTGGCTTGACGGCAGATTGTCCTGTTGATACTGCAGTTGATGCGCAGCTCAAGGAACTGTTGGCTTTGCTTGAGCTCAATATGAAGCATGTTGTGGCCGCCGAGTCAGTACCTTTGCCAAACAAGGACAACGTCACCTATGTGCCTACAAAGTTAAAGCACATCGAGACGACAGCTCCCATCATGAAGCAAAAGCAGGGTGCGAAGGCACAGAATCAATAAAGAGTGAATAAGAAGTATGAACCTATGCAAGTTGATGTATCAGAGACAACAAACAGCTTGCTTATGCAGGTCGATTGAGGAGTTCTCTGTCCTCCTTTGTGTCAGGCTGGCTGCTGCTACTCGCCCTTGGACTGCTTTCTTTCGATGCCGCCTCGCTTCCATTCACCTCGATGTTTGACGCATGCACTGCAGCCTTGTGTGGCTCGATTATGCAGGAATGCACAGGCCGTATGAGCGCTCGCGGATGTCTCGGGTCGCTAGGAACATGACACCCAAAGCCAGTCGCTCTGGTCGCTGATGCGCTGTAGTACTTGATCCATGGCTTTTTGCACTCGCCATGACCACCGATGGTCTGATCAAGATGCCATTGATGTAGCGTATAGCCGACAATAGACAGCAAGAATGCAAGCGCAGCATCCCAGGTAACAAAGTAGCCAAGTCCAAATGCACGTCCTAGCAGCATCCACCAGATTGGCACGCTCAGCAACGCATATGATATGGAAAGAGCGCTTGTGATGCGCAACAAGATGCCAGCGAGACTGTGAAGAGCGAAAAGAACAAAGGCGATGCCGAGCAAGTAAGCGATCGTTTGCTGATCGAACACGGCTGACTGCACTTGACGGTACTCGAGAATGGCACCTTGAATGATGCTAGCAATGAGAGCCCACCATGCAACTGACGCGAAGACGACATGCAGGCTACGACGCGCAAGTGTCCATTCTTGACCGACGAGACTGCCTGCCATGAACAGCGCAGATAGGATGAGCAGACCGATGCCACGAGAGCTGAATGCATAGGCGCTTGCCAATGTTTGTGCATAGCCAGTACGAAAGAAGGTAGCTGCAGTAACGACAACGGAGACAAGAATCAGTCCAAATCCAATGCATTGACGCGCGTGGAGCCTCACGCGAAGTAGTGTAAGACTGAGGCTAAGCACAGCGACAATTGTAGCTGCTGAAGTAGCACAAGATACCGCAGCAGCTCGTCCTTGACCCTCGACAGATCGAGCTGCGCTTGCGTTGTGATCGGTTGGGACGGAGATCAGCTTTACGCCTTGAACCATGCAGAAGAGTGCTTCGTAGCTGAGAAGACCTACCACGACATACCGCCAGGCATCGTCGCTCGTTTGTCGCAGTAGCATAGTACTCTCTTTGATACCGTGGACCCAAAGTGACCACCCACTAAAGACAAAGAGTGTCACTGCATACCCTGGCGCAAGAGCAGCAGCGGTGATTGATCCAGCATGTCGATGTACGAGTGTCAGAAGAACAAGGAGTAGACTCAACAGAAGAGAGTGGGCGTGTAGCGCAAGGAGATTGAGCCAGAATGGCGGGCGTAGCAGACAGACTGTGGCATTGTGCTTGGGAAGGAAACCAGACCAAAACGAGGTGAGTGTGTCGCCCTTGATTGATCTCACACGAGCTTCTTGAGGCGCCAGATCTGATGTGACTGAATTGGGGCCTCCACCGGTTGACGGAAGTGGCTTATCGTCCATCGCAGTCGAGTAGTAGGAAAGTTGCGCTAGCCTTTTTGATCGTTTGTGTGTGCAGAGCGCGGTGCGTCAGTGCAGTGTAAGGAAGACTTCTGATCGTTCTACTACCTGCATATGCTCTGCCTGGAGTGCTGTGTCAAAGTCGCAAACAGAGGCCTGGTGTCATGGAAGTCGTTGATGCGCAAGTGTGCAAGTGTCAAGAGCCAGCTGGCTTCGAGCAAGTCGAGAGAGAAACAGATAATCAGAAGCAGGACTTTGTCCACGGTGCAGTAGTCAAAGGGATGCTCAAGCATGATGCACATGATAGTAGGCGACATTGCACCTGTTGCCTCCTGACGCAGCTGCGTGTGTTTCAGACTGCTCCAGACCAGACAGCCCGCATTGGCTAGAATCGCAGCTCAGCTCCGCTGAATCATTGATCAAGTCACTATGCAGCAGCGTATAAGCATTGAATGGATGCCTTTGGACTGTCATCTAGGCAGACTACTCGCTGGTCTCCTTGCGTTTGTTGTGTTTTGGCCCCTTGCGAGGCATCGACGTCACAGCTGCGGCAGATTTTTCGGGTCGATCTACACGTACAAGTTTCAAGTACACAGTCGCGGAACTCCTCAAGTTCGTAAAGTGTTCTGGCTGCGTCACATGGTTGCTCTCAAGCCTGCATTCATAGACTGAGGCCTCTTGCTGGAGACATAGTCTGCTCTGCTTGCGTATTCAAATGAAGATAACGCTCATGCCTGACGGGTTCTATACGGGGCCCACAGCTTTTTAGGTCTTGCTTGTCGCCTGCGTCAGTGTAGGTGCACATTTCTGCAGTTGAATATCCTAGCATTGACTCAAACTGTAAGACATGTCTTGCGCATCAGTGAGATTTGGATCTAGCATAATGTCTTTGCTAGACCTGCTTCACCGTAGCCTGCGGTAAGGCTTGTAACAGTAAGGCACAAGACTCACGCCTTTCACTGAGACAGGCTTATCATGTCCTTCTTATCATTTGGTCTATTCCGCATTCTACCAACTACTCTCATGATCAGCGCATCGAATCTTTGGACATGGCTCCGATCATTCCGATCAAGTCTTTTGTCCCTCGACAGTCAAGCTTGTCAATCCTTCACCAGACCATGCCACATTCTCCACCTGCATCAAGCTGAGGTCTCACCATGTGTTCAACATTGTAAGCCCTGGTTCACAGAAAGAGACGTTTGGTGTGTCATTCAACACGAGATGACAGCTCAAGCGATACGCCTCGCTCAGACTTTCTACCACTGTACAAAACTCTCAGCAGACCAACAACAACAAGAATTGATCTCTCAAGATCTAAGCTGATCTGAAAGTAGTCGCGTGTATAGTCTTGGCCATGAAGGCAGGTAGGTCGTTACTTTAAATGACTAGCGTCGGCTTGGTACCATGACACTCGTGTCGCTAAACCTTGCGCAACAAAGACCCGCTTAGTGTATGGTGAGAGACTAACAGCGCATACTGCCACCATCATGCAGAGGTCCAAACATTCGCAAGTAGAGCATGAGATACGCATGTACGCATTATGTTGCCTCGATGGACAAATTTTCGGAAGCGCGCTGGACAAACTTGCCAGCCTGTCAATTACCCGCATTCTCGCTATTGGTTTTCGAGACACATTCAACTGAATACCGTGATAGCAATCACCACCTCGCTACCTCAGTCACAATGCAAGCTCCCAGCTCTGTCTCGCAAGTCTCAATCAGGTCCATATCGACAATTGCTTTCGTCGCGCTGGTAGCTTTGCTTCAAATGCAGTCTACAGGAGCTGAGGCCACGCGCTCCCAGAGTCATGGACTTGCTCTAGCTTCTCAAACAGGCGGTAGCAGCTCGAAGTCCATGTCAGGATCTACGACTATTTCTGAGGAAGAAGTCGACTACGTTATCCTCGCTGACGGCGACCAACGTACTTGCTACAATGCGACATTTGAGATTAAGACCATCGCGAGCTTCGATCTATCAGAGCGGTATGCCAAACTTTGCGGAAGCGGTGATCCCAAACTTATGATGCATGCCACAGTACAGTGTCAAATGTGGTGCAAGGGTGAACGTTCGCAGTACGAGGCGAAGTGGAGGGCTTACGTTCGCTCGGGCGCGCGGAGCGGGTATTGTTTGCAGACTAAAGTTGTTCGCATCCCGGAATCTAGGCTTGTCGCAAGCGCGAATGTCAATGAAAAACTGTGTTTCAGGTCCTGTGCATGTAAAATGTACAACAATGTTGGCAGCATTAAAATGCCCTGTGTTAAGCGGAACCACAAGAGATACATGTTTTCACCCACGCTTCCGAGATCTCTGCTAGAGAAAGAAGGGTGGCTCAATCTGTCGTGTCATTACGAAGAGATGTTTGACAAACTCGAATGGACATCACTTCGAGCCGCTCCTGGTCAAATGAGTCAGTATAGCTTGCCATGGACCGTGACTCTAGACAAGATTGAAGCTACGAACCTGGTTTGTGAGCTAAAACGGCCTCCAAACTGTTGGTGTCGCAAACAGAAAGACGGTCGCAAGCACTCTTACAAGTCAAGCAAATGTGTTCCAGGCCATGCAGAATCTTTACCAACCAATCTCTCGCGGGATCCGACAGCTCCTCCTAGTCAGCAATTAGGTCAATGCATGCCATCAGAAAGCAGAACCATTGGCGGCTCTTCAACCAACAGATATGCATCAAGCTCAAGTCAAAGAGTGTCTCGCGGAGATACCGCATCTTCAAGCACCACCAACCCAGCTGAACATCAACAAGACTCTACGGCTCCAGAAGCAGTGCAGCAATTTACCATTCAGTGGGAGGGAACAGTGCCGGATGAGAACTGGTTACCATCATCTGGACGCACAGATGACACCGATATGCCCACAGCATATTGCAAGGAGACCCTCGAGTTTGACCCTGCAGAGGCAGGTCCATTTCTCGAAAAGCAATGTGTCGAAGAAGATGACGGCGAATGGTCTGATCAAGGCGTCTTATTTAACTTCATGTGACGCAGGTGAAGATTTCAGATCGTCGTCTGTACAAGAGAAAGTACAATTGTCAACTGGTCGTTGTTCCATGAGATGAGTTGCAGATAGTTTCAACAACGTCAGTTGTGATTTTTAGATTGGTGACTTTTAGTCTCTTATCAACGATCGTACATTTCAGGGCTTACTCCTTAACGTTTTGCACACCCAAGATCAATTCTTTAGCTCTGCAGCTATCTTCCTTGATCTCAAGCTTTTTTTGAGAATTCTCGTGGCCCCAGGGAGCATTGGAGAGATGTGTCAATCGATATCTGAGCCGGAGAGGAAGTTTTACCCACTGATTCATGGTAACTTGAGCTTCCGGAACCATGAAGGCTGTCCTGTGCTCTATAGTTGCAATCGAGCGCCTGTTGTGGCTTTGCAGAAGACAACTTCTTTCAAGGCGGGTACAAGCAAGAATCCAGACCTGTCTCTAGCTGGCGTAGGTGGCTGCAAGGTCTGCATTCGTGTGAAAAAGGAGAAATGGAGCGATGCGTATGCTGAACCAATGACATTTGTTGCCTACTGTGACTCAACAAAGGCTTCTCGTCTGGTGAGTCTTGGCACCGGCTGGTTTCAGGAGCCAAGAGACTTCAAGCTTATCGCAGCTCATACACGGAAAGCAGGGCTCATCTCCATGCGAAGCATCTTCAGAATTCTGCTGCAGATGTGCTGAACAACTTCTTCCCTTGCGCTGAGGCTAATGGATTCCATGGTAACGACGCCATTGATTCTGAATCAAAGATCAAATCGCAATGGCGGACGCTGAACAGGATAGCAGAGTCACAGCGAACTCTCGAGACGATATGTAAGGCGCTGAGTCGCAGATCATGAAATCAGGTTGCTACAGACCCAGTGGTTGTTCAGCTAGACGCGCCAGCGGCTGTGTGGACCTGCAACCTGCCTGAGCCAGCAGTGTCTTCTACAATGGTTTGTCAGCCAATTTGTCGTCTGAAAAGGTCAAGACCTGTTGTACCTGGAGGACAAAACAGCTCTGATCGTAGTAGTGTACGCATTGAGCCTCGATCAGGTAACCGGGCACGATCACGTCCTGCTTCGGCGGAAGAAGTGAAGCAACCTGATGGTGATATGGGGGAGGTGGAGCACTTCGATTGAGTCATTGACGAGGTGGAACGGTCTGATGTCTCGTTGACCAGGTTGGGAAAGTCTTTGGGCATTTTGCACGAGGCGGAGAGGTCAGATGCCGTACAAAAGAAATGGAGAGTGCGCGTGAATTTGAGGGGATTTGTGGGAATTTGTGGAAGGGAGATGCCACGCGCGTGAATTTGTGTGACTCGGCGGGCACAAACTTATGGCGCCGAGTTCATGAGTGAGAATGAGCGGGACTGCGCGTGAAGATGCGGTAGCGAAAGCAAACGATGAACAGGCACTGAGGCACGGCGAGGTTGAAAACAGGTTGGAAACAGGTTGGAACGTCTTTCATGCAGCAAGTCTTGATTTGGTGAAGTATCGCTTGGCTACTCCATGACAGCAGACCGCTAGACCACGGCACGAAGCTTGACGAAGAAGAGAATGATCGTACGATTCAGACGTAGATATTCAACTCGTGGTGCCGAACCATAGGTCGTCAGTATGCGAAGCAGAGGCAGACAGACCTCGCAATCGAAACACAAACTCAATTCTGTAGCCGCTGACGGCATAGACTCTGACTGCGACCAATATCGACATGCATCATTCTGATTGGACCCGTGATGCAAGGAAAATGAACCAGCTCTTATGCCCTTGAAGCATAAGACTCGTGCACAAGCTTGGCACCGGGCACCACTCGGGTGTTGTGAGCTTGCGGACGCGAGCCGCAAACTGCATCATCTCACTTGTCGCGAAACTTGAGGCGCAAGAAGCATGGAGCTTTGCCAATGTGCGCAGATGTCCCGTGATCTTGCCAGAAGCAGCGCACTCTGCAAGAAGTGATGCCAGCTGCAGTGTGTTGGTGCGGCAATTGTGCCTAAACTTTCGAAGTCCTCAATTTCCAAGCAAAACTTCAACCCACACACTGGCAACATTGTCCTCAACAGGCTGCACCTGGCACTTGGCTACAAACATCGTTATGCAGGATTCATTAAAATTTTGACATCTACAGCTAGCTGCCGAGCAAGTGAATCTCTGCTGCACGCGCTTCTTTGTCTCGCCAGGCTGTCTCTCTATGATGATGGAGTCTCCTGGCTGCTGGTTTGCCTCTCTCACCCTGCGCACGCTTTCTCTGCTTATACTAACACGCTCTACACGCTCATCAGCAAGCCAAGCATACGCTCCTTGGTCTTGTCAAGCAAGTCTCCCTGCGCTTGTGCACACTCTTGTCTGTTGGTATGCCTTCTCTCGCTTTGCACAAGCTTTCTTTGCTTATACCGGCACACGATGTACCGTCAGCTCACCCTCACTGCACGTTCTTGCAGCAACTACTTCTCTCCCTCGTTACTGAGGCAGTCTTCTGTGCTGGCAACTGCTCCTTGTCGGCTTTCCTCTCAACTCAATCTCGGCCTTGACGCCAACCTCAACCTCTAGCTTTGACTAAACTCTCGCTCTTGCGCTGCCTGAATCAGTCGCATTTGGTGTCTCCCACTCACAATCAGCTGGATGTTCATTGCTTCCACCAATCTCTCTTTGCGTCAGCACGACCACCCCCATGGCATCACAAGCACTTCAGGGATTATTGGCTCACTGGAGACGATATCTTATGCTCCGATTCCCTGTATACTGCCAAGCTACTGTCGATGCTAATCGCATGATAGCAAAGTGAAAGAACCCACTGTGGTAGCTATCTTAGTGGTCCCACACGTTCTCACTCTTTTCACGCGCATTGCCTGATGTTTGAGCTGATGCGCGTTCATAGGATTGGCCGATTTCCGCTCCTTCCCACGTTTCCGGCTTTTTCTTGCGCATTCGCTTGCCAAATTTATGTAGGGCAGCTCCAGTGTAGTCAGCTCGCATTCTGTGATTTTGAGCTGAACGCTACAGACCCATAGCAGACTTGAGACTATGCACGCGCCCCAGTTGTTTGAATAAAATTGCAAAATACGACCTGCGCATGCAGCAACTCCGAAGGATCTACCTTCTCCTGTCATTCCTTAAATGGGCTCCTTCACTTGCAATGTAAGGTCCATGCCTGGTGGCTGGTCCAAATACGTCTGCTTACACCTACCTCTTGTGCGCTATCGACTGAATCCCTTCTCAAGACTCTCACACGCTTCCGCCGCCGCCGTCAATCAGCACTGCGAAGATGCTTTTTCGCGACTCCTCATCACTGATGACATTCACGCTCACACTTCTCTCACTCTTGTTATTGGTGATGCACCCAGAGCAGCAGCATGCAGCAGCCAAAGCTGGCCGATCTCAAGGTCAAAACTTCATTCGTGGACAGGGGGAAGCTGTAGACTCGCAAAGCAACAAGCGCGGTCGTGAAGAAGGACAAACGGCGAACGTTGGAAGCAGCAGCTCAGCGACCATATCGACGGACATTTCACCTGCAGTAGAAGGCCGTGACTACTTTCCTCGTGCCGAAAAAGGCAAGTGCTACAATGCAACGTTCTCGATCGAGCATATCCGCGCGTTTTACGGGGATCGAGCCCTATGCGTACTCAACAAGTCAGCACGTCAAAGTCACATTGAAGATGTATGTGACACTTGGTGTCGCAAGGAAGAAGAAAACTATGGACGTTCGCAGTCCCGTTTCAACAGTGAGAACACTGCAAAGAACCGATGTATCCAAAGCCTCAACATCAATATCACGCGAAAGGCCGTGTATTTTGATTCTCTGCAATCATGCGATTTTGAATGTACGTGCACTTTATTCAAATACGTCGAGCGTATCAAGATGCCACATGTGCAGTACAAAAATCAACACTTTGAGCTGTCGCCCTTTAAACCAAAGTCTTACTGGGCGTAGGTTCCAGCATTATCAGACATCGCTCCAGCTCAGATGGGCAAACCGGGGGTTTGTCATTGTGAAGATATGTTCCAAAAAGTTGGTTGGAGGTCGAAAATCGAGGACCCTAAGACACTCACCGTATCAACAGCCATATGGCAGGTCAAGGGTGAAGTCAGTCATCAAAATCTACCCTGCGACAGGGTTGATTGGGATTGGAATTGCAAGTGTTTGAGAGCAGGGCAACGAAAACGTCAACATTTGTTCAAGCCTGGACAATGTATAGAAGGTCACAAGATACCCAAGGAACCCAAAAAAAGCACGAAAAAGAGCAGTAAAAAAGCAAAAACTGATACTTTGTATACAACTGGCTTTGGTCAGCCAACAGAGCAATGCCTTGCTCCTGCTGGCCACGGAAACACCAATGCCGATCATGCGGCTCACGCAGACGCATCGACTTCAGGCCAAGCAGCATTGGCAGGCAACATCGCAGAGTCTTTCACATCAGATCAGGAAATGACTTCACTTGAGTTGATGGAATGGTTAGAAGATCTCTATGACGTGGAGCAGAGTCTACAGACCGGACTACCAGTGGATCGGAACATCCTGACTCTACAGTCGTGCAATATCCCTGATCTCGACAATCTCCCAGGATCCAATCAGCCAAGCGAGGAAGTATGCGTTGCTCCAACCCATGCGGTACAGAGACAAGAGGGTCAAGAGCAAGAACGTAATGACAATCAAGGTGCTGACACTGCCGATCAAGGTAAAGCTGTCTTGCCTGCACGGTCGTTCATCTAGAAAATGAGTCTCTTCTGCGGCTGCAGATCATTGAACTTGTGCTTAGTCTTGGCATTCAGCATCCTCGGATAGGCCTGCTGTGGGAAGTGATGCTCTTGTGTCAAGCCATTTGCTATCTTTATCTTTCAAGACTCGCTTTCATTGTTCAGCGTAACGAACGCATTTGATTGAGTTGAAGGGTCAAACCTGAACAGCTACAGATGTCGTAGTATTCGTATTATTCGCTCAAAGCACGTAAGCCTTTCGTTTGCAAACGGGAAGATCGCTGGTGAAGACGGGTATACACTGGTGACTCGCGGATGACTCGCAGGTGATAAACCGGTAACGCTGGTGAAATACTGGAGCAAACCGAAACACCGCTTCCAGACACTGGTGAAGGCCACCAGCAGACGCTGGTGACTTCTGTTGCCTGCACTATAGCTATGCCTATAGATAGCACGTCCAAGTAGACACATAGCCTGGCATTCGTCCAGCTCATGCGCAACTATTGAGATGGAAGCAATTCTATCTACAACGTGTCCAAACCACATGATTCCCCGATCTGCATGGCATAACTACCTGCTAATGGAACATCGCTCGATGCAGATCGTAGAGTCATGTAGTTTGCTAGATATTAGCTATCCTACGAGAGAGACTTTGTCTCCAAGGCTTCAAAGGGCAAGGAATTCGAGCCGTCGATTTGATGTGCTCGTTGTAAAGTTGGACTTTGTTTGTTTTGAACTTTGGCCACCTTGCGACTCTCGACCAGCTACAGACTACAGTATGCTTCATGGTCACTGTAAGCAGCGCTCCACTCTAGACGCGCATCTCTGCAATTTCTCTTCCTTCGATTCTGTCTCTCAAGTGCGTCTGACCAGCAGAGTCAGATCAATGTTGTCCTGCGTGGCGCGGTAGAGTCCAACGTGCCAAGCAAATGAACAGCCAAGATCCTCAACCTTGACTCTGCACGAGCCAAGCAAGCAACGCGTCTACTAGCTCTTGCAACAGATGATCAGAATGCTAGAGTCTTGCTCAATACCCTTGATCCAAGCGTCTTCCCCGCGTCGTTCACGGAACCAGCTCAACAGCCTCGAGCTGGCATCGCAGCAGATACAGCCAAAAACGAACCCATGGCTTTATCTGACAGCGTCTCTATCTCTTTTGATACACCGCTCTGAGTCTAGAGCATTCAGGAGGATGATCTAAACCGGGTTGAACGCCTTGCACACGATACACGCATGACAAAGGTACCAGCACGACTACGACGCGTGTCAAGGGATGATTCCAAGCGTACTGAGAACCAGACTGTCGAATCCATTCGCAAAGCGTCGTGTCTGTGGCCATCAAGCACGGCAACCAACGCGCAGTGGAGTGCTATCCTCAGCGCTGCTCGCCACTACAGGGATGCGTACAACTTTCCCAAGGATCAGCGAGGCAATCTCGTCAGCTGGAAACAACGCGACCATGCTGAGCTGAGGAAGGCAGTCCGTCATCTTGAACGCGACTTTCCGTCGCTTGACAGAGCCAGAGCTTCAGCGAACTGAATCTCCACGGCCATCATTCAGCATGGTGCCAAGAATATGCGAGCCGCTGTACATGATGACGTCCAACAATCTACGCAACGGGTCCCTACTGACAACAGTAATCGAGGCACACTAAGCGTCTGGCAGAGGCAGAGGCTGAGCAGCAGGGGACCGACAACGAGAACGATAATCAGGCACGACACGCACGGCGCAACACACGAAACATCACGTTACGCCATGAGCAAGACGACGACACGCAGGCACGACAAGGACGACGCAACACACAAAACACCGCGCCATACCATGAGCAAGACGACGACAGCGATACGGAAAGCGCACAACCACGTCGTACGGTACCCTGATTCCTTCGCTGGTCCTGAATTACACTGACTACTACAGGGCAAACGCGACGGCGAAAGCTCAACTTCTCCAGGCTGCAGCGAATGACAGGAATGACCGCGCCGCCGCTGCCAGCAAGGTGGAACAAGCGTGGGAGCGTAGCAAGCGGACAAGGCACTTGTACGACAGTTGTAGGGTGGACGTAATAAGCCTTCGTTACTCTAGAGCTATCCCTAAACTATGTAAAGCCCTGGCTCGCCGCCTGCAGCTCGCTGTGTACTCGTCACCAGCGATCGCCGGTTCTCACCCGTATTTCATCGGTTTACTACGCGTCTCTCATCGCCGGTCCGTCACCGGCGCCATATTCTACCGTTTGTCGACCGATTACCACACGGCGTCATCTTCCGTTTATCACCGGCTTACCACCCGTGGAAATTTCCTGTAGGGCAGCTGCGGTCAGGGGTTGCAGAGTTTGGAGGAGAGCAGAGGTGAGATTTGCTGTTAAGCAGTGTTAGCAGCTTTAAGCGGTCATTAATGAAGTGTGTCGCCCATTGTTTAAGAGTACATACGTGTGACGGCCAGCACTCTATATTCTTCGACACAGCCAAACGACAGGAAATTGTCTCGCAATTCGCAATCGTCCAAACACTCTTGTAGCTTGCGAAGATACAAAACAATTGCTACGCGTCAAATCACTCTTGTAGCTCGCGAAGATACAAAACAATTGCTACGCGTCAGATTGCTCCATCGAGTGAACCAATCCAAGCTGCTGAACCATTCAAGCTGCTGAACCATCTAAGCTGCTGAACCATCCAAGCTGCTGAACCATCCAAGCTGCTGAGCCAAGCTAGATAGGAAGCAACGACCTAGCTGAGTCTTCCATTATATCCTACTGAGACCAGATGTCTCCGGATCTGTAGCCTGTTTGGGTCAATTCAGGCCCGATGTCGTACACCATGATGCGCATGGTAACAAAATTTTACCAGGGGTAAGAATGTGTAAAGACTCATGACTTGAAGAACAGTGACTATCTATCTAATGAGAGCATATGAGGACGACGTGTTCAATTTGTGCCTGCTCTTCTCTTCCTTGGTAATCTTAGACCTACTCGGACAGGTCTTTTGCCATATCTCACCTGCAACCGTGACTAAAGCCCTGACACCCCTGAGCCTATTTCCTCAAACGCACTCCCTTCATTTCCCAGCATATGCATTCACGGCACGCTTTTCGAAACGGGATCATGAATTACAGCAGAGCACGCGCAACACACCATCAGACTTGATTTCATTGAGTTGGAGCTGTAGGGAGGTAAGTTCTTCGCTTTGCTCTGAGAATTGCTGCCAAGGCAAAGCTGAATCCTTTTCAAGTCTAAGGCAGTGTGTCAACCACAATACTACTACGCCGACTGGTTAATAGCAACAACCCGTTAACCTCAAGCATGCGATCATTCACGCCTCAGACGTCTCTCTGGATGATTCTCACGGGTCTTGTCCTTTTCTCACTCCTGTCGGCCGTGATGCATCATTCTGCGGCTGCACCCATGAATTCGGCTGCCGATGCTAGCGGATCACGCACCACTGCAGGCTCGAGCATCAAGTACTTTCAATATGGAGGTACAACCACCAGTGAGTCGATTGGAAGGTCTTTCGCCAAACCCCGAATCAACATTGATTTCTGGCCTCTGGAAAACCAAGCCGACTCTACCTACTACAACGCAACGTTTCCGATCAAAAACATCTTCGTTGCCAGGTACCCGGCATCACCATACTGCGACCATCCCAATCCATTTGAACTTGACGAAGAAAACAGGCGCTGTGCCGACACTTGCAAACTTGCAAGAGAGGACTATACGAATCGATATGTGCGCAAATTCCGCTCCGAAGTGAAGAAGGTGCAGCTGCAGGAAGGAACAAAATTGCAAGGTTGTGTGCTGAGTCCGGCTGTCCAAATAGAAGATAAGCCCATGGACCATTTTGCCAGCATCATCGGTCAGACGTGCACCTGGCAATGCGAGTGTACAATATTCACCACTATCGAGCTCATCCGGATGCCTCAACGCACAAGAAGTCACAATTCCTTCGAGCTCTCGCCAACCCAGACCAAAGACTACTGGCAGGCGGCTGGGTATTCCCGCGACGGCAGGCTTCAATGTCATGTCGAGGATATTTTCGAAAGATTCTTGTCGAAAGTAACAACAGCTGAGTCAAGTATTGAAACGCCAAGAGATCGGGAGCTGTGGACACTTCTGAACAGTGAGTACGTCCCAAATGAATGGAAGGTGGACCTCAAGGCCGTTACCATTGCCGAGCGCGTAATTAGTGTGCAAACAGTTGCAGAGCTTGTTTTAATGCTGAAGAGGCAATGTAGCTGCCGCCGACAATACAAGCGTTGGCACTACTATCTTCCTGGTTATTGCATCGAGGGCTATCTGGAACATCAACCAGCCATTTCAACAAACCCGCCCCAAGATGCAGCAATCAACAATCAGCCAATGTGTTACTGGCCACCCACCATGAACCCTGGGGATGGCAGCACAATCCAGCCATCAGGTTCAGCGCAGTTGCCAACAGACCCTGACCATTATTCCCAGTCGCAACACCACGCAGCTGCAGCTGGATCAAGCTATGAGTTGCCAGAGTTGCCGCAGCAGCTGGATGACTTCATATGGCTGTCCGATAACGGTAATTTCGGGCCAAACGACTACGGGCTCCCTGACAATTTGCTATTTGACCCGATGGGATACCCGCCTTATTTTGATCAATGTCCACCGAACACTGGTCCATTCAGCATTCACTATAACTATCATGATCAGTGTCAAGTCCCTCCATCTCATGGAGAGTCGTCATGGCAAGCGCATACCTCGCAGCAGTATGATCATTCAGCCAATCAACACACACAAGCCCAGGGTGATCAGTATTGCGACCCAAACATACCTTATTTGCCTGCTCTTTATGACCAGGATGGCCGGTATATTGGTCCTGGCAATGGACCATTGATTTAGAGGAAGTGTGCTGAAGCCTCTTTTGTTTTGCTGATTCACAGCTTGCTAGCCTACGCTTGATGCAAGAGTGTACTTGTTAGCTGCGTCTGGATCAGATAGACTTTGTTTTCGTCTTTTAGCTGTTTAGAGTGATTCAAGCTCAGTTTCGTTTTTCTCCATGTGACTGCAGCTAGTTAGAGCTTCGCTAGAATGCGTCGAGGAGCAATGAGCACTGAGGATTTCGATCAGCGACAAACACGTACGATGCTCAAAACCATGTACTGCAAGCCTACAGGTGACCAGTGCAGCTGAAGGCGTGCCTACCAGATACAGTCGTGTGATTTCACCCAGAGAGGCGTACACGCAGCTTCATCATCACAGCTGTAGTGGCAGTACTAGTGCAAGCGCTCGTTCCATGGGCTCTTGATACGCTGCCCTCAGAGGGCCCATGGTACGAAGAGACTCATGCGAACGAGTTGAGGCAGCTGAATAGTCAAGCAGTCACAATTAAACACAATGTACAAGCCAAACCAAACAGGCCATGACCTAGCGACTATGGCCAAGGTACCTCTGAGTCTATGACCTAGCTCGTCGTCGACAGTTGTCGTTGTCGCTTCAAAAAGTCTCACACGGTTTCACCAGCCACGATACCAAGGGTGCGGTAGATCTTGCGATTGGTGCGCGTAACGTGGGATTAAGTGCATTTGGCGCATTGATTTGCACGCAGGCTGACGCTGGCACGAGGCATATCTTTGGGCATTCGTGTATGCAGCATGAATCTGCTTTATACTGATCGTCGAGTCTCAAAATTCAAGAGTTTGAGATGCGTGAGGAGAGCGACTGCGATATAAGACCTGGTACGCTAGTCTGTATGAGCAGTCACGCGAGCTCAAGTTGAAATCCCGAAGCAGAGCTTATGGGTCAGTGCCTCGACGCTTAGCAGTGGCTCTTTTGGACAATATCGGAAGCTCATGGAGTCATGGTCCTGAGTCATGGAGTCATGGTCCTGGCATGGCCGCATGGACCCATGGTCCATGGCACTTCATGCACGGACTGCATTATCTTGACCCCGGTTCTTGATCAAGTTGCTTCGGTTTGTTGGGGCCTTGTATGACGAACAGCCCTAGCATAGTAGCATGAGTCTGGGACTGGTATGAGGTCTTGCCAGTTTGAGCACACGACATTCAGCTACACCCTTCCAACTTCCAAGACCATCTTCAAAGATTCTTCATAGACTGTCATCAATAGGAATGCTGCATACACCAACCGATTTGATACATACCGCTCGAGCTCCACTGCAGTCGAAGCACTGGTCTTCCGGTTTGGGGTAGTCCCAAGTTGCATTGACAGTCTTTGCAACATATGGCCCGTGCAAGGCTGTTCTTATTTGGAGATGGTGTGACGCTGACTAGTCAAACTTGGAATCCGCTGTACCGGATCCTGCCAACGATTCGATCGATCTCATTTGCAGCCGCGCTGCCGACCATTGGGATTTGTCAGCAGCTCAGCAAGCAATAGCTCCTTCGCAAGATATAGCACAGAGCATGTTTGTGAAGTTCCTAGATGCACCAACAATAGGCTCTAGCCTCTAGCAGTCTGGCTGAGTTGGAGATTCTGGGGTATACCCCATGGGCGTGTCTGTGCAGCCGGAGCAAGTCACCTCCGCGTCAGGAACATCTGTGGATTGTATGCATCTACGCGGGCCCGTGCGGCAGACGAAGCTTAAGCACTGCCGTGGCTGGCCATCCACCAAGTCTATGATGTTCGGTAGCAATGAGAGTAGATAGAGTACAGCCAGTTTATCTGTGTGCACTGTGTCTGACACTGTCTGTGCTTCTGAGTCAACAGGGGCAGCTATTCGTGCCAGGAGACGCTTCTCAGCGGCCTCTGCGGTGGCCACGCCGATGCCGCGCTACCGGCCCGCGGTAAGGTTTTCTTGTTACGCAGCCGTTGCCGTTGCGATCGAAGTGCCGCGATGGCCCACTACGTCATACGAGATGGCATTAGATTTCCGCTTCTTTTGCTTGCGACGCTGTTGTTTCTGGATATACTTAACGTTGTCTGTATAGCATGTATAGCATGTATAGTGTGTATTGGCAGTATTGCAACAGCTGCTATTGTTGGAAAGTGTTGAGAACTTGACAGAGTGGCAGCCGGGGCCAGACTGCTGCGTATTAATTGCCCGGCTGCAGTTTGACTCGAAGAAAAGAAAAAAAAGGAAAAAAAAGTGTGGCGCATGCTGCACAATCAGATTCGCACTTGATGCTTCGTCTCTTGCTTTGTGGTCTATATTGCTCGTAGACAGATTACAGCTAGGTCTATATACTAGACAGATACCTCGATAGTAGTGTCGTTGCACATAACTATCTATATACATAGTACTACTCAGACTCCGCTGAAACCAATCATGTTTCTGTGTGGCTGCCATCCCCCTGCATCCAACCAATGGCATCGCGTCCCTGCTGTCTGAGTGCGGTCCCTGGCAACTTGCTGCAGAGAATACTCAACGGGGCCAGAGACAGAGAAAGACAGCGAGAGTCCCAGCGAGAAAACAGAAAAGTGACTGCAGCGACGATCGAGATTGAGCAGCGACGAGAGAGAGAGCCAAGGCCGCGACTCAACCGAAAAGACATCTTCCCTCTTCCTACCTACCATACAACTGCTGGGCCCCCCGTCGGAGCTGACTCGGTGCAAGAGGCCTGAGACCGGAGAGCAAGAGAGTGATCAAACGGCAGGCACCAATCCGTGTAATCGAGTGCCCTGTCCTTCTACCTGCTGTACGGCCTCATCTTGTTCAAGTAGTCTGTCGCATCAAGGCTCCCTCTACTAGCCTCTAGCCCCCTCTTCCCCTGACTCAACGGCTCACGCTACCCGTTTGACGCGACACGGAGACGCCCAACACACAGCCCATTCCATCGCTCTCGACCGCTTATCAAGCCGTTCAACACACGAGGTCGTATCGTCGTCCTCACCACGACTGACCACTTCCCTCTGTTTGACGACCGGTGTCTTCTACCCTTCATTAGGCACCATCCTCGACTTGGCTGAGATTCGGCCGTGTCAATCCACCCACAGCAACATGCCATACACATCACCACGGCCCTCTCCCTCCAAGGAACGCTTCGAGACTGCCGTCACATCCACAACAGTCCGCAGAGCACCGAGTGTCCGTTCGCGTTCCGTCCCAGCACTGAGTCTTCGCCCAGCGAACCATTCAGCGAGCAGTAGCGACGACGACAACCCGTCACCCAAGACACAATCGCGCGGTCGCTTCTCACTCGATACCGAAACGGAGCATAAACTACACGACGCCGTTGCGCAAATCAAAGTCACGCGATCGTTGTCTCCGAATGCATCGACTCAGGATGCAGCGCGTCCTGCAACACAGACTGCGACCATGTCAGAAACGCTCACAGTACCGAGTGTCAAGCCAATGATCCAAACAGCAACATTGCATCGTGTCCGTTCAAGCTCAATGGATCCACTCGGTCTACTGGTGCTGCCGCTACGCAATCATTCCGCTATTGAAAGTGATGCGGATGATATGAGTCCCGGCCCGCGCCCACCTCGTATGATTCGCAAAAAGTCTGGTGAACTGGTGCGTTCTTCCCTCAAGCCATTTGGCAAGACTGGCAAGCCACGACCGCAGAGTATGCCCTCCACACCCGTCTTCCAGAAGAATGTGCATTTCGATCGAAAGTTGGAACATGTCAGGCACTTCCTACACAGTGAAAAACCAGCGGCTGTGAGTACCACCACGTCACCCACGCAAGAGTACAACGACCATGATGGTTTCCCCTTCCATCAAGAAGATGAACTCACCATTGAATTGCCAAATTTTGTGCCGGAAGCTCAACAAACGGACAACCATGGTGCCATTATTAAAGTCGAGACCGTCTACCTCTCAAGCGACAAGCGCAGCCTCATCGGTCGTGTAGCCGTACGCAACCTTGCTTTTCAAAAATACGTCTGCGTTCGCTATACCATGGACAATTGGCGCACCACGAGTGAATGTGCAGCGGAATACACAAAAGACGTGCGCAAGAAGCAACGTGAAGATGGCTTTGATCGCTTCAACTTTGACATCAAGATTGACGACTTCTCCGGCGTTACGGATAAGACCATGTTCTTTTGCGTTCGCTACAATACAAACGGTCAAGACTTTTGGGATGCGAATGGTGGCAAGAATTTCAGAGTTGAGTTCCACAAACGGCCTGTCGCAGCGCGAAGAAACAGTGATCCACCTGTTGTGCAACGGCCAATCTTCAGTACTGCTGAGGATGAGATGGATTTATTGCCTGATTCCATCCAGCCAGAAGGTGCGCGTCAGTCACTCAAGTCACCGCGCTCGCTCATCTTTGAGAACATCTATGACGATCATCCAGGCTCGGTCGAGGAACGCGAGAAGCCCATTCGATTCAAGGCGCCTCGCCCAAAAACGCAAGATTCTTTCTCCACACGCTACGATTTCGGTGCAAGTCTGTCTGCTGCGATTTCAGCAGCCAATTCAATGCTACAAGGGTCAGGCAATGAGATTCAACCTCGCAGTACTGTGCAAGCGCGGGGTAGGTCTAATTTCAACCCTTACTTTGCCGTATCACCTGCACAAGTCGCTGCAGCTGAAGCAGGAACGCGCTCACCAACGTTTCCACCAGCTCTAGACTCAAGCGACAATACACCGGCATCCTCAGGTGATGTCTCACCCGTACCTGGTGTCTCGACAACGAAACAACCATTTGCAGAAGCCAAGTCGTATCAAGAGCTCATCAACAACTACTGCTTCTTTGGTACTGGCGATGCACAGCATGGTTCGCGTGTCTCGACCAAGGCTGCACCGTCATCGACGTTAGCGAGTAAAGAAGGGACGGGTAGTCAATTACGTCCACATTCATTTACCGCTTCACCTTATGCCACACCGCCGTACTCGTCGAGTCCACCCAATAAAGCTGTGGGTCACTTTTCTCGCGACAGTAACGGACGTGTCGCTTCCTCTGAGGAAGTCTCACCCAATCTATGCGCCGGTTACCTGTCGCATGATTCAGGTGCATCCACACCGACCATCAAGATCTAAGGACCTTCCCAAGCTTCTTCAAATACAAATCGATACAAATGATTACAGACTCTTTCGCCCTTTGTTTTTTGGGCTCCTACGCTGTTGCTTCCTTTTCATTTCTATTCTTTCCCGTTACAAGCACCGCGACATCAAGGCAGCTTTTGCATCACCTTTCTTCACAGAAACCCTGCACTTCGTTTCTTTAGCCCTTTCTTTTATAGAGTATAGATAGTCAATGGCGTCGATAAATATGCTTTCAGTGATCTCTAGTGTGCAGCTACAACTCATCCTTCACGACCTGTTGCTGCTGCAAGGAACAGGCAATCGGTGACGTGACACGATACACATACTCGCATTTCTGCGCTTCACGCACACTCACGAGATGATTACTCTTGCCACATTCAACATCCACGCGACCACTGCGTTCCGGTCCATTCCAACATCGTGTTCCATGGGTGAAGAAGAATTGCAAGGTCGTTCCAAATAAGGCACCGTCCTGGACAGGCTCAGCAACGCGTTTGAGAGATTCGAATGTGCCAACGAGGGTATTGCCGTGTGATGAGGATTTCTGGTATAGCGTCTTCATCATGCATACTTCATAATCGTAATCGCCAAGACGCGTCGAGAAGCATTGACCGGTGAGATGCCGTAGTGCATCTTTCAATGCTGCTGGTACATCAGCCGCGTAGGATTGTGCAAGATCAGACGTCATGTCCTGTTGCTCTTTTTCAGCACTCGACAGTTCTTCTTTGCGTTTGTCAACGAGTGCTGAGGCATCTTGAACTTGTTTTGGTGGTCCAGCTGGTGGTGTGGTTGGTTGCGTGTCGTGTGCAATCACACCAAGATCCATCATGTATCGCTTGAATTGGTGAATCAGCGCGCCAATACCCTTGTCTGGCACAGGCACCGGACAAACCTCTGTTGGGAGCACGGTCGAGTCTGCCAACAACTCGGGCAAGGTCGCCTCATTCGGAAAAGTGGACTCTTCAATGGCTGCAAGTTCATCAAATGCACTGACAGCACCCTTCACGGCCATGTCTTGGAAGTTTGGATTGTAGCTGACCTTCAAGTTGGACAAGATGCTTTCGAGCGCTGCAATACGTTCTTGCTGCGCCTTGACTTTTCCTTGAAGCCCCTCGACCGCTTCCTTGAGTTGCGTGACTTGTTGCTCCACAGCAACGCGTGCTTCCTCGAAAGCTGGCGATCCCGTCGTGAAGACCTCAATAGGGGCCGTTGCTTTAGCCTTCTCCAGTGCATCTTCAGCATGCTTCAGCTTCTCCCTCGCAAGCGACAACGCAGCCTGCTTTTGCACGAGCGATGCTTCCATGGCCGTACGCTGTGCACGGCCAGCTTTCGACCATGCTTCTTGTTGCGCTGCACCGGTTGTTCGAATTTCCTCCCTTGCCGCTGCCACAATGGCTGCTTCTTTTGCGAGTGCAGCACAGGTATTCGGACACTGTGTCAGACCACCATACTCGTCGCTGCCGTCACAGCAAGCAGGCTCGCAAACACCATCATTCACATTGCGCGCTGGAATGCGTGCTGGCGTGTGTCCGACATTCTCGCAGTAAAAGGAAGCATTATGACAGGCAGACGTGCCAGGTTCATCAGAGCCATCAGGACAGTCGCAGTAGTCGTCATTGATCTTGTTGAAGTGAATCACTTTGCTGCCATCCAAACAGCGGAATGTGTTTGCCTGTGATGGTTTGTAGAAGGCGGCTTTGGATGAATCGAGACCTCGTATAGATGTTGCAGTCGTGGAGAGTGCTAGGCCTGCAGCAGCCAGGGCCAGCAGGTGTTTCATGCTGTGCTCTTGTCGATGATGTGTTCAGTCGCGTTGTCGTTGACAAATTTTGGTGTCATCTGAAGAGTTTACCACGGGAACAGCAGCACACCACAAAAATGCCCTCGAACGAAGTGGAGCCTGAAGGGCCTAGGAGGTCTACACGACCTCGAACAGCATCTCAGAAAGCATCTTATGCTTCTGTTTCAACCTCAAGCGCTCTACCGGCACAAAAGAAGCCAGCGGCAAAACCCGCCAAAACAACAACAATAACAACAACAACAACAACGACGCCAAAAGAAACCGTCACTGAGTCCGTCCAGGCATCGCAAGATGTGACTCCCGCACTTCTATCGGCGGCACGGGAGGAGGTTGTCGCTCTGGAAGCAAAATTCGAGGCTATCGTGCGAGAGCACAACCTCAAAATTGCTGCGTTGCTCGCATCTATTTCAAGGATGGAAACGGCGATCTGCCCGAAAAACAACACTGGTGCTGGCCCTCCAGTGGTTTCAACACCTGTCACAAATGTGTTGATCGCAGCCACACCCCCTTCAAGCCCACTGCCCGCGGTTTGTGTCTTGGAGTCTGTGAACTCTGGCAGAACTCCGTCCGGTAGTGGCCAAGACTGGGTGGAGAGCCCAACACCTGTGGCTCCATGGAAAGTCGTCCCAAGTCGACGACGAGACATTCGGGCATCAGCTCGGCAGCTGGGCCGTGACAACTGGCTCGTGCTACTTAATGGGCCTCAACCCAAATGCCCGAATTACGCGGCGGACCTGCTCATGCGCCAGCTGAACATGGAGACGCAGCTTAAAGGCGCGGCCTGGGCTGGCCAATTTGGAGGCGTGCTCTGTCTCATGCCAGAAACGACAGGCGATCGGGACATGATTATGGCCTCATTCGCTCGCTCCAAACGTCTGGGTGCTACGACTAAAGCAGATTTACGCAAGTATAAAAGTCTGTCTGAATTGTGGAAGGAGCGACAAGCCACTCGTGCATCACGAGGCCTGCAGTCAGATGTTATTCCACCTGCTCCGGAGCCTGCAACGCCTGTGAGCACGCCCAACTCGGTCGAGGAACCGACGTCACGCTCAACAGAAGCTAACCCAGACTTGGTCTCAGAGACTCAGTCCCCCTCGCCACCCAGTCCTCTGGATGACGTTCGGCGATCTGAACTCTGAAGCCTCGCCCCGGTGCCAAAATCAAATTCCAGAATTACAATCGGATTCTGGAACGTCCAAGGCAACCTTCTGGGCAAACTAGATGACGAAAATTTCCTCATTTTTTTGAGAGAATACGATATTATCGTGTTGGCAGAGACCACGATGGATAAAGGAAGGGAAGCCATGTACGAGCGTAATATGGCAGACTACGCGTTGGTCACCTCTAGTAGAAAGACTGGCGCTGCCAAGACAACGAAGACACAGGGCGGGCTGGCGATGTTCATCAAGCACTATATCTTCCAATCACCAAGGGTGAAGATTGTCGAACGCAACGCGGAGAATAACATTGACAGGATCTGGCTGTCAATCAACAATACGCAGATTGGGTTCACCTACCAACCGCAAGACTCCCCTCGCAATCTGGAGCTTTTGGGGCGCCCAGCTCTACAGATATTACACGATGAGGCTGTGCTGAAACAAGACTTTCTGATTCTCGGCGACTTCAACTGCCGTATCGGCCAGACATTGAACCCGCGTGCATGCGATACAACATTGAACTCGGCAGGTCGCAACTTTCTTAAATTTTGCGAGGATTTCCAGGCGTCCGTACTCAATGATGATGGATCGCTCGGAGATGCGGTTACACGACCAACTCATGTCACCAAGAATGATTCTGCGACTGCCACCTTGGTGACTAGCAGGTTATACTCGACAATCGACTATGCGATCGCTACCCCAGATGTTCGCAAGCAGATCGCCAAGTTTGACATACGGGACCCGGATGACTTCAGCCTATCAGATCACGCGTGTGTCACGGTCGTCATGGATGTTATGCTCGATTTAGATAGTTCAGTACGTAGGGTCAAGAGGTCGGCGCCGCAGGTGGAAAAGAATGAAATGGACATTAGGGCGAAGGCGGTCACGGACGCAGGCAAACTTGAGGCTCCTCCTAAGGCGATTCGCTTCAACACCATCATCACTGATCCACAGTTATGCGAATGGCGCAAGCTCTTGAAGCAGAAGCGGAACGAGAAAGGCGCTCGATCCAGCAGGCTTACTGAGTCCGCGTGTCAGCGCCTAAAAAGGAATATCAAACGGCGCCTCAAGCGTCTGCGAAAGCTTCAGAAGAAGGAATGGCGGGAGTGGCTGTCTGGTGTCAGGGGGAGGCGGGAATACTATGTCAAGCTACTCGAGGCCATCGGAAAGAAGAAGAAGGGCTGTCCCGTGGATGATGGCGAGATTCTGAGACATTTCAAGGACCTTCTCGGCGATCTGCCGTCAGGCACATTCAATGAAGAGGAGATGGAGCGTTTCCTTACTAACCCGTCTAATGTAGCATCGCAGGTGGAAGCAGCAAGGAAGAGAGGCGCATCAGTACAGGACTTTGTGTGCGCTACGGCGCATGCAGGCATGGTTTGGTCTGCAGCTGACGTCGCGGTTGCCAAGAAGATGCTGAAAACGAGCTCTGCCCCTGGTCTCGATGGCATAACTGTGCAAGAAGTCAGAGGGCTGAACGATCTAGAGGTGGCGGACTTGTTCAATGACATGCTGGATTCGGGTTCTATCCCAGCATCTTGGGGCCTTGGTCGTATCGTTCCAATCTACAAGAACAAGGGTCTCAAGACGGTTGCAGACAGCTACAGAGGAGTCACGCTTCAACCAATATTCAGAAAACTCTTCACGACGATTCTAAACTTCAAGCTGACGGCATGGAGCAATGCATTACGTATCGTTCCAGATTGTCAAGGCGGTTTTCGAAAGACCTTTCGCACATGTGACAATGCTTTCACGTTCAGAATCATCAAGGAAACGTACAAGAAGGACGGCAAGCCGCTTTTTACCTGGTTCGTTGACCTCAGGAAAGCTTTCGATTTGGTTGAACGCCGTGTCCTCATGCAGAAGCTGAAGAATTACGGCCTCACGGGCCGACTACTGACGGCCATCATGGCATTGTACACAAACACGAAAGCTTGCATACAGACAGACAATGGTTATTCGGAGGTCTTCGACGTCCATGACGGCGTCATTCAGGGCGACGTTCTATCACCACTTCTATTCAACATTTACATGGCTGACCTCGAGATGACAAGTTCCCCGCATACACCGAAATTGGCCGACCGAGAAGTTGGCTGCATGTTCTTGGCAGACGACATTGTATTGGTGTCTGACTCTATGGACGACCTGAACGACAAATTGCTGCAGACGCATGAATGGTGCCGCCGGAATCGAATGCTCATCAACACCGAGAAGACACAGTTCCAAGTACACCTGCATGGGAAGATTAGAGCAAAACTCGGTGCAATTGAGCTCTCCTTGCCCGGGCGGACGCCTGAAGCGCCTCGCGCCTTGATTCAAGAGTGTGCCTCCTACAAGTATCTAGGCATTCACCTGAGCAGCAAGCCAACCTGGTCAAGCACAAAACACAATGCTAGCATGCTGGAACGCGCCAGAGTTGGTAGGTTCCAAATAGGCTCACTTGACAAGGTTTTTGGCCACATGTGCCTGTCTGAACTGCGTACGCTTGACCTCAATTTCGTCGACTGTCATGTCATTTTTGGCGCCGAGATCTCGTTTGATGGCGGGTCGGAAGACCTCAAAGCGATGCAGCAGGTGCAGACCGACTGGTGTCGTCAAACCTTTGGCCTCACGCGTCATGCTGCAAGACTGCTGGCTATTGTGGACCTGGCGATTCTGCCTGTAGCAGAAAGGAGGAAGCAGATTGCCATTGGCTTTGCAGACTACCTGGAGAACCTTACCGACAATCGCCTCGCCCATTTTGCTTTTGAACAAGCCAAGATCAACGCTCAAGACGATACTGCAGGCAAAACGTGGTACAGCCAGATCTCTACACTTCTCAATGGCTCCGGTGCGACTCTCGGCTCTCCAACGTGCCGCAAAGACTTCACTGAGTCGCTCTGGAAGACGTACTATGAGAACTGGGTGCATGAATGTGCCAACAACGCGCTATACAGACACATTACACCAGTCTCGTTCGAGGAGTTCAAGGAGCAAAGGCCTTATGTCAAGATGCAGGACGGATATGCTGGCAGATGGATTGCGCGTATGCGCGGCAGTAATGACCAGCTCATGGTCAATAGAGGGAGAAGACACAGGGATGACGAGCTGGATCGCTCCTGCCCGGCATGCAAGCCGACCGGCGATGTTGTGGAGACTCTGCAGCATGCACTGCTCGAATGCTGCGACCACGAAGCTCAACTGGCGGACATACGGCTGCGTTGGCCTGACTCGAGCCCTGCCGACATCATGCAAATCATTGTCGACCCACCGAAAGAACATCTCTCCTTCGTGTCGCGCATTGTCAACGCTGTCATCAGCAAAGTCAACGGGCGCTACCTGAGAATACTCTAGCTGTGTCTTCTATGACCAGCAAATAGCCTTATGGCACTATGCGTTGTCCGGCGTGGAGAGTCTGAGCACCCTTGGGTGGCTGGATTCTCTGTTTCGCTTCCCTCTTATTATGGGGGACAGTAGTTGAGCTGAGCACGACGTAGCTTTTTTTAGAGCTAAATCCCATCACAGTAGGATACACTGATACAGTATATACAGTAGTGGCATAGAGTACTTAAGCTTCATCTCGAACCATATACTAGCTGTGCTCGTCACTTGAAAGCTACACAAGATGATTGAGAATTGAATGTCTTATGTTCATTGCAATCGAATCTGCTAGCTGTACTGCAACAGAATGCTACAGCTCCAAATGGTCAATAACAAGTCAGAGTATCGCCATCCTTGACGGCCCGCGGATTTGCAGGGTTGTTTCCTTTAGTCTATGGTTCATATTGAGTCGTCATTGGAGGAAGAGTAAGGCGAGGTATGTGCCACCGAATCTCTGGACTGACAGACGCTAATATGAGTCATATGACTAGCCTATTGGTACGAAAAGCTTCAATCCTAGCAACGATGCCGCGAAAACGCGCTCAAATATGGCGTCCGTTGCGGCATACAGTAGATTGTCTTTGACCTTGCACCAACAGCAACGGTGTGGATGTGCCAACGCCGTCGTCAACTCTGTCAATGAGTGCAAGTCAACAGGCATTGGTGATTCGATGCAGCAAAGCTGAATGTTGAGCTACGTCAAGGATCAAACGGACGTGACAGCCATAGTAGCTCTTTCTACGCTCACACGCTCTACTTCTCTTGGTATGGATGAGTTTCGATGGCAGAATACCCAAAGGCTCGCTCGGTGACATATCAAGCTCCGTCACGAAGTTATGATCAATCACAGGCGGTACTGTCTGGTCGCTTACATTGCCACGCCTTGCGTCTGTCAGTGGTAATTTGGCCAAGTCGCCCCTTGCAGGACTCGGTATGCTGCCACTTCCGATGGCCAAGGAAGCTGACGCCTGGTCACGCTCAAAAGCCGCTACTGAATTTGCCGGATTGAGCTTGAGTGGTGCTCCTCATGATCTTGCGTCAGGTACTCTCGATCGCAATGGTGTACAAGGCGGCATAAATCCCATTTTGAGGCGTGGATTGCCCTCTATTCACAAATCTCTTGGATTACCTTACTCGAACGGCAATATACCACCTTCCGCTGTGATTTATCAGCATGCTGGTATGAGATTCAATCCTGCTTCCGCTGATCAACACGTTGGCACGATGAACCATGCGCATGCAGCTATGATTCCTGCCGCTACCGATTTCGTGGTTGGTAATCGACTTGGTCCTGCCCTCATCCACAACAATGCAGCTGATCAAAATCCGCCCTGCAATACCTTCTATGTGGGCAATCTGCCACTAACGACAAGGGAAGAAGAATGAAAAGTTTGTTTTCCTCGACAGCAGGGTATCATCTTTACTGCTACTGCACCAAATCGTATTGAACCTTGTCTTTTTGGCATCCGAAGATGTTCACGATGCTCGTCAAACAATCAAGCGATCAAGCTATTGCAAGGTGTCATGTGGACTAGCATGATGGCATTCGTCTCAATTTCCGCAAGAATCCGTCGGGCGCGGAGGATGGACGCAGGACAAGGGTAGGTTCAACGGTGCTGACCACCAAAGCTAGGTAGAATAACAATGATCTGCAGCTGAAAAAGGGACTCCTTCATTAGATCCATCCAAGCGGCGCCTCAGCCCAGCAGTTGGCACCGTAATCGACGAACTTATCACCCTGATTACTATCACGGCCACCCTCCTGATCCCCTTGCCTCTGACCTTCATGGTCTTGCAAAGCGCATACTTCGTCATGTGGTTGATTGAACCCTGGATAATTATCGAGACCAAGGTTGTTGCAGGACTGTACTGCCAGGACGTTTCGATCTACTGGCATCCCGGTTTGTGGATTCTGCTCCACATTCGACATTGTTGCTATCCAATTCTCCCAGTCATTTGGATTCAGTCGCATGTCTGCCGTGGCAGGTTTTGCAATGTCGCCCGCCAATGCTGCTTGGCCTGAAGTCGATGCGTCAGCGTGAGCTGTATCATCGGCATGAGTGACTCCGTGGGTAGCGTACGCGAGGCACTGCTCTGTCGGCTGATCAGAGCCGGCTGCATCTAATCTATGCTTCTTTGCTTGTGAGCTGCTCTTTTTGGGAACTTTGGGTATCTTGTGGCGTTCTTCACATTGCCCAGGCCTAAACACGTGTCGGTTTTTATTGCCCACTCGCGATCGCAAACATGTGCAACGCCAATTCCAATCAACTTTGTCGCAGGGTATATTTTGGTCATGGACATCACATGCGACCTGCCACAGGGCTGTGGCCACTTTGCCTGTCGCAGGATCCGTGATGTCCGACGTCCAGCCGACCTGAAAGAATATGTCTTCATAGTGACAAGCCCCTGATTTGCGAGATCGGAACCCGAATAAGGCTGGAAAATTAGCCCAGTAGGCCTTTGGTTTGTGGGGCGACAGCTCAAAATATTCGCCCTCGTACTGCCAATGAGGCATCTTGATACGCTCGAGGTAACTGAACAATGTGCATCGACAGTTGAAAGAGCAGGGTTTCGGGACATCCATTTCAATGACAGATTTTCTTGTGATATAGAGATTGTAGCTCTGCCTGCATCTGTCCTGTGCAACGTCTTTGTGGATGTTGGCAGTTTGCCATGTTTTGTAAGCTGCATGTTCCTTGAGACACCAAGATTCACATACTTTCGTATTGTAGCTTTGGCGGTTTGACATGTCGGTTGCGCAGATACTTGAAGCGGTCTTAAATGTGTGTTGATGACTGATGGAGAACGTTGCGTTGTAGCATTTGTGTACCGGATCGGCTACGGCACTACGAAAGTAGTCAACGCCGTCTACTGGAGGTGGAAGAATTGTTGATATAGTCGCTGAGGTGCTGCCTCCTTCTTTTGACGATTGTCCTTCTCCGCGACCGCGCCTCTTGCTTTGCGAGTTCGAAGCCCCTCCTTGTCCACGATTGGAGGTTTGACCTTTGGATCGGCCTGGTTCGGCTGCTGCATGCTGTAGCTCCAGATGCATCACCAATAACAAGAGTGAAAGAAGTGTGAACGTGAATGTCATCAGTGATGGGGAGTCGCGGAAATGCATCTTCGCAATGCTGATTGATGGCGGCGGTGGAAGCGTGTGAGACTCTGAGAAGGGATTCAGTCGATAGCACACAAAAGGTAGGTGCAAGCAGACGTGTTTGAATACACCACCTGGCATGAAATTGACATCGCAAGTGAAAGAGTCTGTCTGGCAAGACAAAGGAGGAGGTAGTATCCTGGCGCAGCTCCATGCGTAAGTCGTGGTCGTATTCTGCCATTCATGCGACTCAGGGGGCCCGCGCATGGTTCTTAGTCTGCTGGGCCTATAGCGTTCCGTATCAAAGGATGCGGGCTGGTGCCACAGCAGCTACCGCTAAGCTAATCGGCTCTTAGACAGATGCAGGTCAGCCCTTCATCCTCAACTTGAGTTGCGCAGTTGCCTGCTGACTGAGATTTTATTGCAATTGCAGTGCGGCAGGAGTAGAGCCAAGGGAGCATTGAATTGAGAGTCGGATGTAGCAATGTGTCCATGCTTCGCCTTGAATTTCCCTTGAAGCCTCTCGACCGCTTCCTTGAGTTGCGTGACTTGTTGCTCCACAGCAACGCGTGCTTCCTCGAAAGCAGGTGATCCCATCGTGAAGACCTCAATAGGAGCCGTTGCTTTAATCTTCTCCAATGCATCTTCAGCATGCTTCAGCATCTCCCTCGCAAGCTACAGCGCAGCCTCCCCTGCACGAGCGATGTTTCCATGGCCGTACGCTGTGCACGGCCAGCTTTCGACCATGCTTCTTGTTGCGCTGCACCTGTTGTGCGGAATCTCCTTCCTCGCCGCTGCCACTATGGCTGCTTCTTTGGCGGGCGCAGCACAGGTATTCAGACACTATGTCAGACCATCATACTCGTCGCTGCCGTCACAGTAAGCAGGCTCGCAAACCCCATAATTCACATTGCGAGCTGAAATGCGTGGCTTTTGTCCATCATTCTCGCAGTAAAAGGAAGCATCATGACGGGCAGACGTGCCAAGTTCATCGGAGCCATCAGGACAAACGCAGTAGTCGTCATTGCCTGCAATAGTTTGTAGAAGGCAGCTCTGGAAGGGTTAAGATCTTGTATGGATGTTACAGTCGTAGAGAGTGATAGGCCTGCAGCAGCCAAGGCCAGCAGGTGTTTCATGCTGTGCTCTTGTCGATGATGTGACTCGTTGCGCGTTGTTGTTGATGACATCTGAATGACTCACAGGGAGAGCTGTCTGCTGTCTACATGTACTGTACATACTACAAGTATTGTTAAGCAGTGCTTGGATTTCATCTTGAGGGAGACATTTACAGGCGTGTCCGTCACTCAGAAGCTACATCAGATGAAAGAGAAAAGGTGTATCGAGTCCACCACAGTAAACTCCTCTATTTGTACTGCAAGAGAATGCTGCAGATGGTCTTCTAACAGCTGCAGGCAGTAGTGGTTCGCTGCAGCATAACCAAATTTCGAGCTACGCCAAGGATGAACCGGATTTGACGCTCATCAATGCTGTCCCTACGCTCATACTCTCGAGATCTACCTCTCTTGGCATGGATGAGTTCCATGACTGTCTGTCGAAAGGCTCGCTCGGTGTTCAAGCTCCTCACCCACCAACTTTTCAACAAGTGCAGGGAATACTGTCTGGTCGCCTACATCGTCACCTTTTACGTCTGTCGGTGGTACTATGGCCAAGTCGCCGCTCACAAGATTCAGTATGCTGCCACCACCGACGGCCAAGGAAGATGACACCTGTTCACGCTTGACAGCCGTCGCTCAATTTGCTGGGTTTTTGCTTGAGTGGGGGGTCGTCCGGAACTTGCGCGAGAGAGTTTCGACCGCTATGGTCCATAAGGCTGTCTGAGTCTCACTTTAAGTCATGGGTTTCCCTCAGTTGACAACGCTCTTGAATCGCCTCACTTGAATGATATGCAGCTACCTCTCTGGCATTTTTGAGCATGCTAATATGGAATATTATCCTGCTTCTGCAAAAATCACGCTGACATGATGTATGATGCGTATGCAGTCTTGAATTGCACCGCTAACGGCTTCGTGGTTGGTAATCGACTTGGTCCGACCTTCATCAGCACCAATGCGGCTGATCTGAATCTGTCTTATAATATGATCTATGTGGGCAATTTTCCACTTACGACAATGAAAGAAGAACTCAAGATCTTGTTTTCTCGTCAGCAGGAGTATTGTCGTCTACGCTTCCGCACCAAACCGAATGGATCCATGTCTTTTGTTGAATTCGATGATTTAGACTATGCCATTCAAGCACTCAAGCTGTTGCAAGGTATCATTTTGAGAAGCAGTATCAAAGGAGGCACTCGTCTCAGTTTCGGCAGGAATCCACTGGGTGTGCGGAAGATGGATGCATATGCAGAATAACGATTTGTGCCTCACCAGCAGCCGCAACAACAGTATCATCATCACCAGCATACTGGTTTCGTAATTGGCTTCAAGTCTGTCTTGCCCTCATCAATACCAAGCCAGCTGATCAGATTCCGCCTTGTAATACGCTATATGTGAGTAATTTGCCGCTTGCAACAACGGAGAAAGGTCTCAAGCGATGCTTTTCTCGACAGCAGGGGTACCATCGTCTCTGCTACCGCACTAAACTGAATGGACCTATGTGCTTTGTGAAATTTGAGGATGCTCATTATGCCATCCAAGCACTCAAGCTGTTACAAGGTGTTATTTTGAGTAGCAGTATCAAAGGAGGCATTCGTCTCAGTTTCAGCAAGAATCCACTAGGTGTGCGGAAGATGGATGCAGGACAAGTGTTTGTGCCTCAACAGCAATCGCAACAACAGCATCATCATCATCATCATCATCATCATCATCATCATCATTATCATCATCATCATCATCATCATCATCATCATCATCATCATCATCATCATCATCATCATCATCATCATCATCATCATCATCATCATCATCATCATCATCATCATCATCATCATCATCATCATCATCATCGTTCACATACATTGCAACAACATCAGCAGCATGGTCAATCGGGTGCATTGATGGGACAGCATGCGCATATGGGCGCTCCGGGACATCTTGTGAATAATGGATATGCACCACTTGCACCGCCTGGTCTGGCGTCATCAAATGGACACACTACAAGTCATGCTAGTCAGCAACCACCCATCGGTGTGTTTGGACACGGTATGCCACCGGCTTAGCATCAGGCTCAATCCTCTCAAGCTCCAGTCTGGCATTGATTCAAACGTTCTCCAGCGCATTGACACCATCTCTCTTATCTATTGGCATGAACAGAACTGTTTTATTTCATCGTTTTTCCGCTATTTCATCATTCAACACACACGATCATGCGACAGCACAGAGCACGCAGGGTTGCTCACAGCATCTATACCAGCATCCTTCCTAATACGCGTCAAAGGACACGCTCTTCCTTACATGCTTGGCTTGGGTGGAAGGTCTTTTGCTCGGATAGCCTCATCTTCGCTGCCTCTCTTCCATAATTTTGCGACATGAATTACCTTCCTCATTGATTATACATCTTCTAGGTTTGTGTTCTCATGTTCATGATCCTCTTGACTGAGCACTGCTCCTTGAATCTCTTCTTCATCCGCGATGCCATTTTCGTATAATTGTGTGACTTGCTCTAGACCCAGACTGAGTAAAATCTTAGCTATAGGTGTCTATGACTAAATAGATGTTTGCGCATACAAAGCGAAATGAAATCCTTGACAAGCGATCGCAATCACAAAGCAATATGCAAATATAACTCAGAAAGAAATTCGTCAGGTAGTCAGCTGCAGTAGCTGATCTTTCCAGCTTGGAAAGATTTCGTGCAAGGTGTAAATGATAAGAATACTACGATATCTGAAGCTAATTAGGAGCGGAACTCCAATTCAAATGCGTGCGTTACGCTGAACGATAAAAGCAAAGAACGAAAGCTGATGCCTGGACGAGCATCACATCTGACAGTAGGTTCGAGGGTGCTGAATGCCAGGGCTAGGTAGAAATCCAATGATCTGCGGCTAGAAAAGAGACCCTTCCATTAGATGAAGTGCAAGGGACGCCGGTAAGAGTCAGCTTCGTCGCCGTGCAATCCATCCTGACTGTCATCACTTCCTTCATCATGACTCCCTTGCATCTGGCCTTCATGGCTCGGAGGACCGCATGTCATCCGATGTGGTTGGTCAAACCAAGGAGGGTTGTCGAGACCAGGGTTGTTGCAAGACCTGATTGTCAAGACGTTTCGATCTACTGGCATCCCGGTCTGGGGATCCTGCTCCACATTCGATCGCTGTGTGATCCATGCCATCACCTCATTTGGATTCAGTTGCTGATCTGCTGTGATGGGATTTAGCTCTAAAAAAAGCTACGTCGTGCTCAGCTCAACTACTGTCCCCCATAATAAGAGGGAAGCGAAACAGAGAATCCAGCCACCCAAGGGTGCTCAGACTCTCCACGCCGGACAACGCATAGTGCCATAAGGCTATTTGCTGGTCATAGAAGACACAGCTAGAGTATTCTCAGGTAGCGCCCGTTGACTTTGCTGATGACAGCGTTGACAATGCGCGACACGAAGGAGAGATGTTCTTTCGGTGGGTCGACAATGATTTGCATGATGTCAAAGGCCAGGCACTGTTGCCCACCCATGCTGCTTGGCCAGAGGTCGATGCGTGTGGCTGAACTGCGACATTGGCAGGAGTACTTCCGTGGGCAGCAGGCGCAAGGCATTGCTCTATCAGCTGAGTGGTACCGGCTGTACCCAGAACAGACATCTTTGCTTTTTTCTTGCTTGTTGTGGGACCCTTGGGTACTTTGTGACCTTCTTCACATCTTCCAGGCCTAAACAAATGTTGATGTTTTTTCATACTTGGCGAATGCAAGCAATTGCATCACCAATCCCAATCAAGTTTGTCGCAGGACAAATTGTGTTTACTGACTTCACTCTTGACCTGCCAGTGGATGGTTGACTTCTTACCTGTCACAGGATGTGTAGACTCCGATATCCAAGCAACCTTTTTGCTTATATCTTCGTCATGACAACCGCTGGGCGGGTCCGTTTCTAGTTCAAAAAATCCACGCCAGTAAGACTTTGGTCGGTGGGGCGTCAGCTCATAATACCCTCCATTCAAGCTCAACCATGGCATCTTGATACGCTCGAGGTAGTTGACCAATGTGCAGTTACAGTTGATTTCACACGAAACCGGAGCAACATAAGTTTCGTAAGAGACGCCTATTTTAACGTCGAAACTCTGAAGGCAACTGTCCTTTTTAAGTGTTCTCTTGACAGCGACAACCTGACCCTGCATGTACTCTGAATGTTGCTCTAGACACCAATCTTTACATTGCTCTGTAGTGAGGCTTAAATGATGTGGCATGTCAATTGCGCAGACTGTTTCATCTCTCCATAATGGGAGAATATGGGAAAGATAGAACGTTGCATTGTAGCAACTACGCACCCTCTTAGCTGCGGTGTCAACTGCGGGAAGTTGAAAGTAGTCAATGCCTTTCACAGCAGGTGGAAGATCCGACGCTACAGTCGCTGAGGTGCTGCCTCCACCTTTTGTCGGTTGTTCTTCTCCGCGATCGCGCATTTCGCTTTGCATGTCGACAGCACTTCCCTGTCCACGATTGGAGTTTGGACCATGAGATCGACCAGCTTCGGCTGCTGCATGCTGCATCTCCAGGTGTATCACCAATAACAAAAGTAAAACAGGTGTGAACGTAAATGTCATCAGTGATGAGGAGTTGCAATACTGCATTCTTACAATGCTGATGGCTGGCGCGAAAGCTTGTGAGAGTCTTGAGAAGAAATTCGGTCGATAGCGCACAAGAGGTAGGAGCGAGCAAACGTGTCTGAATCAGCTGTTTGGCATGAAATGCACATCGCAAGTAAAGGAGCCCATTCGACGAGGCATAGGTTCAGGCGGATCTCCTGAAAATGCTCCATACAATGGTAGTATCTGGCGATATCATTCGAATCAGGGGCATACGAATAGTCCAACGACTGCTGTTGATCTATAGCGTCTGAATTCCGCCCTACGGAAAATTTGGACCGGCAGATTACCGGCGGAAATTACCCGAGGAAAACCGGCGGAATACCGGCGGAAAGTCCCTAACTTTGCAGGCGCAGTAATACCAGCAGACTACCGGCAGACTACCGGCGGAAATAAGCACGCCTTTACCAGAGTCAGCCGGAGGATTACCAGAGGATATCACCTGCCAACGGGTGAGCTCAATAGATGCTGTAGCGACAGTAGGTGTAGCAACTAGACCATCTACGACACACTACAGACGTGCTGCCGCTTTTTTGGCCTTCTTGGCAGACTTGCGCGCCTTTTTCGCTTGTGATGCTGCAGTCTTGGCCTTGGTCATGGTAGCGCTGAGTTGCTCAGCGTCCTGTGCTCTGTGTGATAGCTTTGATGTTCTTCCAGACTAGAAATGCATCGTTAGTATGTCATGGTAGGAGTAGCAGAAGTGCATACTTTGCGAGACGAGGAGGTAGATCGATCTTCGCTTGACTTCTGGCCACTGGTCAGTCTTATATCATCAAAGATGGGACGGACTTGCCTTGTAACATGAGAATTCTTGTTTGCTTGACGCTATATCTTGTTAGTCAATGTCTGCTCCGCATAATAGGCTCACATTGTGCTGAGACGACGTTGGCTGCAACTGAATATGACAGTGAGGTACATCAGGCAGAAGGTGGAACCCACAACTCTCGATGCAGCCTAGTCAATACCATTGTCTTCAGAGAAGATGGAAGCGGGTGTCTCGCAGCGGGTATTCTCGTTATCGACGCGAGCAGATGACACTCCATGGGCAACGTCCTGCTCGTGGCTGATATCATCGTCTTGGGAAGAGCAGCAGTAGCAGTCTCTCTGTAGACTTTCGCTTTGCGCGTCTGTGGCTGCGTCAGCCAGGAGCTTGCAAGGTACAGAGACACTATCACCGCTTCATTCATCACCTCCGTGTGGTGCTGGCAGATAGTCAAGGCAATACAATGTCCATGAGCTCGTCCCAGCACAGGGACAGCCGTTTCCAACTTGTGAATGACCGTCTAGAGCTTCCCAACGTTGCGGTGACGCCAGGTGACCGTCCTACCTTGCGCATGAACCACAATCTGGTGAGTGTTTATCAGTTACCGTGCATGTGCAGTGATATTGTTCCATGTGGCATCGCGTAATGGCGTTCGTGGCCAGAGTTCCATTGCGAGTTGTAGTGTCTTTGTAGAGGGACTGTCGGTTCTAGAGAAGCCATGCGACGTGCGCTTGGATCTTAAATGGTATATCGATACGCTCAATAGATCTTGCGAGCCTGTTGTAGTCGTCGAGACTGTCTGTGGAAGACTCCTCTTCCTATCTGGGTCAGTCGAAGGTATCGCGCTTGCAGCATGCACTGCTCACGCCAGCAGAATACCACATGTCTTGAAAAGAGTGATGGAGCAGCTGGAGATGCCACATGCTCGAATGAATAGGCTCAAAGACAGTGATGTGTTGTCTACAAGCAGCAAGATGGTGCAGAGCAAATGCGTGTGCTGGTCATCCCATCTCGTCCTGAAGTGACCAGACAAGAATGAAGCAAAACGCCAAAGTCTACGACAAGCAAGATTCGCTAGCGCTACACTCTTCCGGTTTTCAGCTTACAAACGCCAACCTGAGATCGTGGCCAAGATGCAAAGTGGCTAGTCGTCAAGGCACCACAAAGATCTTCGTTGTGAAGTGTGCTGCGAATGACCTCCATTCACGAAGCAAGGTCGCGTTCAGTAAGCAGACGCATGAAGCGCCCGAGGTTGACGACGATGCAATAGTGAGCTATGGGGAAGTTTTGTATCTGTTTGAATACGATAGCAGGCATTTTGCGATCATCAAGGTCTTGAAGACCAAGTTGTCGTGCGGCGCAAGGTCTCTCAGCAAGCAAGGACACATATTGCAGGTCATTGTGCCAGTTTGCCGTCTTCTTGGATCAATTGGCCTATTTGAGAGAACAGAGCTTGACAAGAAAAGAGCGGACAAGCTGCTTAAGCGAAAGCGACGCTTACGAGAGCAGAAGCACTCTTTATGGGCAGCTGATGGCTATCGAATCCAGTATAAATAGCGTCTAGATTTGATGATGAGGGGATGTTGGCCTCTGTTCACTTGATAACAGTGATTGAATTGTGTGTTGTCTGCCTTTTAGCGTGGCTCAGTGATCCACCTCTTCATATCCGCTGGTTTTCCTCTGGTGTGCAAGTTTGGAAGTCGGTTGACTCCGGTAATCCGCTGTGCTTCTCACGGTAATCCGCCGGTTGGCTCTGGTACACTCCGGTAGAAAAATTCCGTAGGGCAGCAATCGCAACAACAGCAACATCTGCTGCAGGTTGCGTAGGGAGTCGTGGTAGACTGCCATTGGTAGTAGCCGAAAACACCGTAGTTTCATAAACTAAAACTTGACAACATCATCACCATCATCATTCACATACATCGCAACAACACCAGCAGCAGCATGTTCAATCGGGCGCATTGATGGGACAGCATGCGCATATGGGTGCTCAGGGACATCTTGTGAATAATGGATACGCACCACTTGCACCGCCTGGTCTGGCGTCATCGAATGGACACACTACAATATATGCTAGTCAACAGACACTCATCGGTGTGTTTGGACACGGTATGTCGCCGGCTCAGCATCAGGCTCAATCCTCTCAAGTTCCAGTTTGGCGTTGATTCCACTATTCTCCAGCGAAACGACACCATCTCTCTTACCTATCGGCATGAACAGTACTGCTTTATCTCATCATTTTGCCGCTATTTCATCATTCAACACACACGATCATACGACAGCACAGAGCACGCAGGGTTGCTCACAGCATCTATACCAGCATCCTTCCTAATACGCGTCAAAGGACACGCTCTTCCTTATATGCTTGGCTTGGGTGGAAGGTGTCTTGCTCGGATTGCCTCATCTTCGCTTCCTCTGTTCCATAATTTTGCGACATGAATTACCTTCCTCATTGGTTATACATCTTCTAGTTTTGTACTCTCATGTTTATGATGCTCTTGACTGAGCTCTGCTTCTTGAATCTCTTCTCCATTCGCGATGCCAGTTTCGTATAATTGTTTGACTTGCTCTAGACCCAGACTGATTAAAATGTTAGCTATAGGTGTCTATAACTGAATTGATGTGTTTGCGCATGCAAAGCGAATTGAAATCCTTGACAAGCGATCGCAACCAAAAAGCAATCTGCATATACAACTCAAATTGGAATTCGTCAGGTACTCAGCTGCAGTAGCTGACCTTTTCAGCTTAGAAGGCTTACGTGCCAGGCGTAAATGATAAGAATACTATGATCATTGTAGCTAATTGGGAGAAACATTTCAATTTAAATGCGTGCGTTACGCTGAGCGATAAAAGCAAGAATTCAAAGTTGATGGCCTGAACAAGAACATCACCTCCGACAGTGGGTCCAAGGGTGCTGAATGCCAGGGCTAGGTAGAAATTCAATGATCTGCGGCTGGAGAAGAGACTCTCCCATTAGATAAAGGTGGGCGGCTCAGCCCAAAAGTTATCAGCGTAGCCGGCGATATCATCATCTTGAATACCATCAATTCCTTGCTCCGAAACCCCTTGCCTCTGGACATCTTGGCTCGGAGCAACGCATATATCTGCATGCGGTTGTTCAAACCCTGGATGGTTGAAGAGACCATGATTGATGCAAGACTCCGTTGTCAAGACGTTCCGATCTACTGGCAGTCCGGTCGTTGGATTCTGCTCCACATTCAACATTGTTGCTATCCATTCCTCCCAGTCATTTGGATTCAGTCGCATATCTGCCGTGGCAGGCTTTGCACTGATACCCGCCAATGCTGCTTGGCTTGAAGTTGTTGCGTCTGCGCGAGCTGGACTATCGGCATTAGTGACTTCGTGGGTAGAATGCGCGAGGCACTGTTCTGTCGGCTGTTCAGAGCCGACTGAATCCAATCTATGCTTCTTTGCTTGTGAGCTGCTCTTTTTGGGAACTTTGGGTATCTTGTGACCTTTTTCACATTGCCCAGGCTTAAACAAGTGTTGATGTTTTCCTTGCGCCCCTTTCAAACACTTGCAATATCAATCCCAATCAGTCCTGTCGCACGGTAGATTTTCTTGACTGACTTTACACTCGACCTGCCATTTGGCTGTTGACAAGGTGCGTGTCTTAGGATCCGTGATGTCCGACGTGTAACCAACTTTTTCGAACATATCTTCGTAATGACAAAACCCCGGTCTGCCCTTCCGGTTTGGAGGGACGCCTGATAATGCTGGAACTTCACTCCAGTAAGACTTTGGTATGAAGGAGGACAGCTCAAAATGTTTATTGTTGTACTGCACATGTGGCATCTTGATACGCTCGACGTACTTGGATAGAGTGCACGTACATTCAAAATCGCATGATTGTAGGAGATCAGAAGCCTTGGTCTCTCGTGCGATGTGGATACTGAGGCTTTGGAAGCATCTATCCTTTGAAACGCGCTTACTGTTGAATTCAGACTGCAAACGGATGTAATGTGCTTGTTCTGTGCTACACCAAGTGTCACATGCATCCGTAATGTAGCTTTGACGTTTTGGCTTGTCGACTTCGCAGCTGGCTTGATCTCCGCAAAGTGAGTGAACATGCTTAATAAAGAACGTTGCGTTGTAGCACATGCCTTTTTCGGCACGAGGAAAGTAGTCAACGCCTTCTTCAGCAATTAAAATATTCGCTGATATGGTCGCTGAGCCGCTGCCTCCAACGATCGCCGACTGTTCTTCTCCGCGACCGCGCTTTTTGCTTTGCAAAACCACAACTCCTACCTCTTCAGGAATGGAGTTTTGACCTTTTGACCGGCCTGGTTCGGCTGCTGCATGCTGCAGCTCCAGGTGCATCACCAAAAACAAGAGTGAGAGAAGTGTGAACGTGAATGTCATCAGTGATGAGGAGTCGCGAAAATGCATCTTCGTAATGCTGATTAATGGCGAGGGCGGAAGCGTGTGAGACCCTTGAGAAGGGATTCAGCTGATAGCGCACAAAAAGTAGATGCAAGCAGACGTGTTTGAACCGGTCACCTGGCATGGACTTTACATCGCAAGTGAAGGAGCCCATTTGAGGAAGGACAGGAGTAGGTGGATCCCCTAGAGCTGCTGCATGCGCAGGTCGTATTTCGCAATTTTATTGGAACATCTGAGGCGCGTGCATAGTCTCAAGTCTGCTGTGGGTCTGTAGCGTGCAGCTCAAAATCACAGGATGCGAGCTGATCACCTGTAGCTGCTACTAGAACTACAGCAACCCTACAAAATTCGGCGAGCAAATGCGCGGGAAGAAGTCGAAACTTGGGAATGAGCACTAAAGTAGTCACCACAGTGGGGTTTTTTACTTTGCTATCATGCGATTAGCATCGACAGTAGCTCGGCTGTCTACACGGAATAGGAGCATCAGATATCGCCTACAGTAGGTCAGTGGCCCTTGTAGTGCTTGTAGTGCCATGGCGGTGTTCGTGCTGATGCAGGGAGAGATTAATGGAAGCAATGAACATCCAGCTGTTTCTGAGTGGGAGACACAAAATGCGACTGATTCAGCCAGCGCAAAAGCGAGAGAAGAATCAAGTGTAGAAGTTGGGGGTAGCGTCAAGGGGAGACTGAGTTGAGGACAAAGCCATCAAGGAGCAGTTGTCAGCACAAAAAGTGCGAGGCAGAGAAGTAGTCCGTGCAAGAACGTGCATTGAGGGTGGGCTGGCGGTTTAGCATGCGCCGGTATAAACAGAGAAAGCTTGTGCAAAGCGACAGAAGGCATACCAACAGACAAGAGAGTGCAAAAGCGCACAGAGACTTGTTCGAAGAGACAAAGGAGCGTGTGCTTGACGTGCAGATGAGCGTGTAGGGCGTGTCAGTATAAGTAGAGAAAGCTTGCGCCTGGTGAGAGAGGCCTCCAGCAGCCAGGAGAGTCCATGATTTAGAGAGACAGCCTGGCGAGACAACAAAGCGCTTGCAGCAGAGACACACTTACTCAGTAGCTAGCTGTAGATGTCAGTAATTTAATGAACCTTGCACAACGATGCTTGTAGCCAAGTGCAGCCTGTTGAGGACAATGATGTTCGCTGTGTGGGTTGAAGTTTTGGTTGAAGTTTTGGTTGGAAATTGAGGATTTCAAGAAAGTTAGGCACGGCACACTGCAGCTGGCAGCACTCCGCGTAGAGTGCGCTGCTTCTGGCAAGATCACGGCACATCTGCGTATAGTCGACAAAGTTGCATGCTTCTTGCGCCTCAAGTTTCGCGACAAGCGTGATGATGCAGGTCGTGGCCTGCGTCCGCAAGCTCACAACACGCGAGCTCGAGCGGTGCCCGGTGCCAAGCTTGTTCGCGACTCGTGCTTCAAAAACATGAGCAGCTGCTTCGCTTTGCAAGCATCACGGGATCGATTAGGATGATGCATGTCGGCACTAGCTGCGATCGATCAGCATATGCCGTCAGCAGCTACAGAATTGAGTTTGTGTTTGAATTGCGAGATCTATCTGCCTCTGCTTCGCATATTGACGACCTGTGGGTCGGCATGAGAAGTTATAGTTCCACATCTTGACGGCATGGTCGTTCTCTTCTTTGTCAAGCTTCTTGCCTTGGTCTAGCGGTCTGCTGTCATGGAGTAGCCAAGCGATACTTCATCAAATCAAGACTTGCTGCATAAAAGACGGTTCAGCCTGTGCATGATCTCGCTGCTATTGTCTGTCGCCGCACAACGTTTATGGAAACACTAATTTAAGACCTTGCTGTGCCTGTTTATCGTTTGCTATCGCTGCCACAACTTCACGCACAGTTCCCCTCATTCCCGCTTATGGACTTGGCGCCATGAATTTGTTCCCACCCATTCCCACATGACCTTTTCAGCTCGAAAGGGTTCCGTTCTAGGCAATGACACGGGTACTATGATATCTGCAGCTAATCAGGAGTGACACTTCACAGTGCATTTTTTTTTCGCGTCTCTTGGGGGCCAATCTTGCGCGGTGAAAATCCCGGGCCCCGGGATTTTGAGCCCGGGATTTTCTACCAGCCGGATGGCCAATTCGCCGAAAACGATTTGGTCCATGAAGAGCTGCCTCAGGAAAGCAGTGAAATGTCAGATACAGCAACACAGTTCCTTGGACACGGAAATCTAGGACCCAAGATGGCGCTACAAGAGTCCTTACTGTCCTATGGGAAATTCCACGGCTGGTATCCGGCGATCAACAAGAGACTGACGCGGTGAGTTGAACGGACGAAAAACGGTACAATCTGGCGCTGGTGATACAAGGGCGATGATTGACGCGTAGTAAATCGGTAATCAACGGGTGACGACTGGCGATCGCTGATTACTAATACGCAGCGAGCTGCAGGTGACGAGTCAGGGTTTTGAACGAATTAGGAATAGCTTTAGAGCAAGGAAAGCTTACTATGTACTTTCCACAGCTGTTGTGCAAGGTGTCTTGCACGTTTGCTACGCTTCCATGCTTGGTTCGTCTCGTCGGCAGTGGCGGCACGGTAGTTCTTGTCATTTGCTGCAGCCTGAAGCTGCTGAAATTCAACTCCATTGGCCGATTACTGGCCGATTGCGTTTGCCCTGCAGTAGTCAGTGTAAATCGAAAGAAGCAAAAGCAGAAGTAGTCTACTGCACGACGTGATGGTGAGGCTTCTGTATCGTTGTCATCGTTTTGCTCATCGTATGGCGCAGTGTTTTGTGCGTTGCGGTGTGCTTGTCGCTGGTCGTGCCTGCGTGTCGTCGTTTTGCTCCTGGAGTGGCGCGATGTTTTGTGCGTGACGTCGTGCTTGTCCTGCCTGCTTATCATTCCCGTCGTGGGTCCCCTGCTGCTGAGCCTCTGCTAGACACTTCTTGTGCCTCGACTGCTGAAGTCATTTGCGAACCGTTGAGTAGATTATTGGGCGTCGTCACGTACGGCGACTTACATATTCTTGATACCATGCTGAGAGATAGACATGGAAATCTGGTCCGCTTGCGCCCTGACAAGCGACGTGAAGTCGCGTTCAAGATGACAGACTGCCTTCCTTAGCTCTGCAAAGCTTTGCGAATGGATTCGACAGCCTGGATCTCAGTACGCTTGGATCTATCCCTTGACACGCGTCGTAGTCGTGCTGGTACCTTTGTCATGCGTGTATCGTGCGCAAGGCGTTGAAGTGGTCTAGATCGTCCTCTTGGTTGTGTTTGATAGAGCGCAGTGTATCAGAAGGAACAGAGACCATGTCAGACGAAGCCATGAGATTGTTGTAGACGGTACCTGCTGTGATGCGAGCTCGATGCTGCTGAGCTGGTTCCGTGAACGACGCGGGGAAGACACTTGAATCGAAGGTATTAAGCAAGACTCTAGCATGCTGATCAGCTGTTGCAAGAGCTACTGGACGCACTACTTGATTTGCTCTGGTAGAGTCAAGATTGGGGATGATGGCCGTCCATTTGCTTGGCGAGTCGAACTATATCGGGCTACGCAGGACAGCATTGATCTAACCTTGGTGGTCAGACACACTTGAGAGATAGAATCAGAGGAAGAGAGACTGCAGGAATGCGTATCTAGAGTGAGGCATGTGCGATGACCATGAGTTGTGCTGTAGTCTGTAGCTGGCTGAGAGTCGAAGAGTGCCCACAGTGGCTAGTTCCATCAAAATACTCAAGTCCAACTTCACAAACGAGCGTCGAGCACAACACACCGACGACTCGACTTCCTTGCCTTTTGGATCCTTGAAAACGATCCATCAGGTCCATTGATGGGATAGCATGCGCATACGGGCGCTGCAGGACTGGGCACACTACAAATCACGCCAGTCAACAACAATCCATCAGTGTGTTTGGACAGGGTATGCCACCGACTCAGCATCTGGCTGAATTTTATCAAGCTCCAGTCTGGCGATGACTTCACTGGTCTCCAGCGCAACGACATTATCTCTTTCACCTCTTACCTATGGCATGAACAGCATTGTTGTATTTCATCACTTTTCCGCTATCTCATCATTCAACACGCACGATCATGCCATGCCACAGCGCAGGGCACAAAGGGTCGTTCACAGCACCTTTAACAGCATCCTTCTTAAGATGCGTTGAAGGAAACGCTCTTTCTTACATGCTTGGCGCGGGTGAAGGATTTCTGCTCCAATTGTCTCATCTTCAATTCCTCTTTGTCATCACTTTGCGTCATCCATTACTCTCCCGCATTGGTTATACATCTTCTAGGTTTTGTGCATTCATCTTTCTATCCTTATGACTCATTACTGCACCTTGAAGCTCTTCTCCTGCCGCAGATCACGTTTCGTTCACTTGTGTGACTTGTTCGAGACCCTGACTCAGTAGCTATAGGTGTCTGAATCTGAATTGATTTCTGAGCATTCGAAGCCGAATGAAATCCTTGGCAAGCTCTCCCGACTTAGAAGTGGACTTCGTCACCTGTGGATAAAAAAAAACGAATACTACGACATTCGTAGCTGATCAAGTGCGACACTTCAACTAGATCAAATGCGTTCGTCACGCTGAACAATGAAAGCGAGTCTTGAAAGATAAAGATAGCAAATGGCTTGACAGAAGAGCATCACTTCCCACAGCAGGCTTATCCGAGGATGCTGAATGCCAAGACTAAGCATAAGTTCAATGATCCGCAGCCGCAGAAGAGAGACATTTTCTAGATGAACGCCCGGGCAGGCAAGACAGCTTTACCTTGGCCGGCAGAGTCAACACCTTGATTGTCATCATGTCCTTCCTCTTGACGCTCTTTTCTCTGTACCGCATGGGTCGGAGCAACGCATACTTCCTCGCTTGATTGATTGGATCCTGGGAGATTGTCGAGATCAGGGATATTGCAGGACTGTATTTTCAGGATGCTCCAATCCACTGGTAGTCCATTCTGTAGATCCTTCTCCACGTCATAGAGATTTCCTAACCATTCCTCCAATTCAAGTGAAGTCATTTGCTGATCTGAGGTGAAAGACTCCGCGATGTTGCTTGCCAATGCTGCCTGGCCTGAAGTCGATGCGTCTGCGTGAGCCACATGGTTGGCATTAGTGTTTCGGTGCCCAGCAGGAACCAGGCATTGCTCTGTCGATGGACCAAATTTGGGCGATTTGTGACCATCTATGCATCGTCCAGGCGCAAAGTAGTGTTTGTTTGAATGTGCCACTCGCCTACAAGTGCAATACCAATCCCAATCGATCATGTCGCATGGTAGATTTTGGTCATTGACAACAACCTGGACCTCCCACTTGACTGTTGCCGTTTTGCCTGTCGCAGGATCCGTGATATCCGACATCCACCCAACTGACTCGAAAAAGTCTTCGTAATGACAATACCTCGCCGCTTTGCCTTCTTCTGAAGGGTCACCGAACAGTGCTGGAACGCCTCCCCAGTAAAACTTTGGTCTGAGAGGCGATAGCTCAACAGATTTACCTTTGTAACGCAAACGTGGCATCTTGATACGCTCCAGGTAATTGGATAATGTACACTGACACTTGAAAGAAGCACAAGATTGCGTAATATCGGTAGTCATGTCAGAGACAGTTTCTTTCGTAATATGAACGTTGAAGCTCTGGATGCATCTGTCAACTGCAACCTGCTTAATGATGGAGGTGGTTTGCGAGGCGTTATAAGTTTCATGTTCCTTGCGACACCAAGATTCACATACGTTCGTCGTGTAGTGTTGGTGTTGTGCCTTGTCCATCGCGCAGGGTATCGTAAATGGGTGGACATGCTGGACCAAGAACGTTGCACTGTAGCATTTGCGCGCCTCACCGGCTGCAGCACGTGGAAAGTAGTCAATGCCTTCTTTTGCAGGTGGACCCAGTGATATGGTCGCTGAGGTGCTGCCTCTAACTTTCGCCGACTGTCCTTTTGGGCGACCGCGCTTTTTGCTTTGCGAGTCTACAGCTCCTCCCTGTCCACGAATGGAGCTTTGACCTTTGGGTCTGCCAGCTTCGGCTGCTGCATGCTGCAGCTCCAGGTGCATCACCAATAACAAGAGTGAAAGAAGTGTGAACGTGAATGTCATCAGTGATGAGGAGTCGCGAATATGCATCTTCGCAATGCTGATTGATGGCAGCGGCGGAAGCGTGTGAGACTCTTGAGAAGAGATTCAGTTGTTAGCACACAAGAGGTAGGTGCGAGCAGACGTGTTCGAATACACCATCTGGCATGAAGTTTACATCGCAAGTACATGAGCCTGTCTGGCGAGACAAAGGAGGAGGTGGTATCCTGGAGCAGCTCCATGCGTAGGTCGTATCCGGCCATTCACGCGACTCAGGGGGCCCGCGCATGGCTTTTAGTCTGCTGTGGGCCTGTAGCGTTCCGTATCAAAGGATGCGGACTAGTGCCATAGCAGCTGCCGCTTAGATAATCAGCTCTTAGACAGATGTAGATCAGGCCTTCATCTTAAGCTTGAGCTTGCGCAGTCGCCTGTTGACTGAAAATTTATTGTAGTGAGGCAGGAGTACAGCCAAGAGAGCATTGAATTGGGAGTCCTTGCAGCTTTTGGCGTCAGGGAACAAAGCTCAAGGAGATGATCTAGCCCTCTTAGGTAGTCTGGCAGCTCACTTCTCGTGAGCAGCTCGTTGTTGTCCAACTTGTCCCGAAGCTCCATCCACGGATCTGGCGACAGGACTATCGATATTGCAATATCAATGTTAAGGTAGTAAAGCTTGGTCCAGAGTAAGATCCACAATGGCCTCCTCCGGCAGACTGCTCAGAGGACCCTTTTCTTCTCTGCTTCCGTTGGTCTGCCAAAAGTGATGCTCGACAAGCAACATGACGATGTATGATTTAGCTAACAAGGCGCCCATACTCACATCTTGGGGCCTTGTAGATATATAGAAGATTAGATTGCATCTAATGTTGCGTTTGAAAATTGGCGTGACGGTTCTTGGTGTCATCTGAAGAGTCACGCACTAACCACGGCGGCAGCATTGACGTCTTCATCCAGCTGCATTGCTGCACTGATGCACTTGGACCTTCTCATCTGTCAACGTCTCAGCTATTCTAAGAATTGATGAAGCGTGTTGTGGTCACTGGAGTCGGTCTAGTCACGCCGTTGGGCTCTGGTGTAAAGTATGCTTGGGAAAGACTCATTGCTGGCCACTCTGGCATCAAGTCGCTTATTGGCCACGATGGCAATGATGCTTACGCAAGTCTGCCATCTACTGTTGGTGCCATTGTGCCTCGTGGCACTGGACCTGGTGAATGGAACACAGACGGAATCCTTGCTCGTGGAGAGGGTCGCAGTATGGCGCTCTTCACTCAATACGCAGTCTCTGCTGCACATCAAGCGCTCGACGATGCTGGCTGGCGTCCAGCTACAGATCTTGAGCGTGAAAGAACAGGTGTCTGTCTTGGCTCTGGTATTGGCTCATTTGATGATGTCTATGACACAAGCCTCGCCTTCAACAGCGGAGGCTTCCGTAAAGTCTCGCCACTGTTTGTCCCTCGCCTCCTCATCAATATGGCAGCTGGTCACCTTTCCATCAAGTATGGTCTGAGGGGGCCGCACCACAGCGCGTCGACTGCATGTACAACAGGCAACCATTCGATTGGCGATGCATCTCGCTTCATTCAATTTGGCGATGCAGATGTCATGCTGGCTGGTGGTGCCGAGGCATCCATGCATCCACTCGCTCTTGCGGGTTTTGCACGCGCCAAATCACTCGCTACAAACTTCAACGATGACCCAGAATTAGCCTCTAGACCATTCGACAAGGATCGTTGTGGCTTCGTCATGGGCGAAGGCAGTGGTGTGGTGGTACTCGAGTCGCTCGACCATGCTAAAGCCAGAGGCGCACGTATTTACGCAGAGGTCAGTGGATATGGCCTTTCTGGAGATGCGCATCACATGACAGCACCGCATGAGCATGGTGATGGTGCTGCACGCGCCATGAAGAACGCACTCCGGCATGCGGGGCTCAAGCCGAGTCAAGTTGAGTATGTCAATGCGCATGCAACGTCTACACATCTTGGCGATATTGCAGAGAACAGAGCCATCAAGTCAGTTTTGCTCGGCGATGGAGGCCACAGCCACGCTAAGCATATCAACGTCTCTAGCTGTAAAGGAGCTTTGGGACACTTGCTGGGCGCAGCAGGTGCAGTTGAAAGCATCTTTACCATCTTGGCACTACATCACGGCATTCTTCCTCCGACACGCAACTTGCACAATATCGATGATCCAGAATTCAACTGCAACTATGTACCCAACGAGGCACAACGCAAAGAGATTAAGCATGCACTGACCAACAGTTTTGGGTAATGCTACATCCAGGTCTATCAGGAAGCTAACGATAGATTCGGCGGGACCAATGCATCGCTCTGCTTCTCCAAGTTTTAGAAGCAAAAGACTTGGTCGTTCAACTTGGACACGGCCCTGGCCTTTTCGTAGCCAAGGGATTCGGCAACTTTCTTCATGGCCGTCATCATGGGTGGTGGCCCACACATCAGCAACTTGATGTCATCGGCTGGTGCTGGGCACTTTTGCTTGATGATGTCTGTGGTCACAAACCCTGTTCCTTGCTTCCATCCTTCTGGTGGGTTATTCAAGACATGGTACACCTCGAAGTTGCTGTACTTTTGCGCGAGTTCATCCAACTCATCACGCAGAATAATGTCTTGCTCGTTGACGTTGGCATAGATGAGGGAGACTTTGGTTTTGTCATCTGGGTTTTCGAGGATAGCACGGATGATTTGGAGACAGGGCGTGATACCCGTGCCACCCGCAATCATGCCAAGTGCGCGACACATGTTGGGTGTATAGTGCATTTGCCCTTTTGGTCCTTTGACCTTGATTGTCTGATGAAGCTGCATCTCACCAAGGTACTTGGAGACATTGCCCGTAGGATAAGACTTGACAATGAGATCAAAGAAGCCCTTGTCGTCATCTGAACTGGATGGCGTATAAGACCGAGCGATCTCCTTGCCATTGATTTGACAAGCAATTGTAATGTGCTGACCAATCGGCAATCCGAGGATATCATGCTTGCGGGGCAAAGCGAATCGATACAGCGCCGTGTTGGGCGACATGTCAATCTTTTCAACAAGCTCAAAGTTTTGATAGACGTCTTTCTTGAGCACGGTACGTGTCCTCCCGCGGTAGAACTTCGCAAAGACAAGACCAGCGACCAGGAGGATGGAGTAGATGATCCATTGCGGTTTGACAATGAGTGTGCCGACGATAACGAGGCCGGCGGGGATGATGATGCCGTCCTGGAGAGTTAGCCTACATGCAAAGCTCCTTGATCCTTACACGGAGAGTGTCGAGGCCTGTGCCCTTCTGCGGCTCTGCCATTCTGTCTCGTAGATGGAGTGAATGCGTACTTGGCTGCTTGTCGCGTCGTTGCTGTCTGCTCAACCTCGACTTCGACTTTGACTCACTCCCGTTCAACGACGACCTCAGATTGGGATATTTGTCTCTACCTAGTCATCACCTCGGCCTGTACTGGCTACTGAAGGATGGACAAGCTATCGTTGCCTGCCAGAAAGCTGCAGATGTACAAGTACATTCTAAAATGTTGTCACGCTATCTTGAGGCCTCGTGCTTTAAAATTCATGCCCGTAGAGATACAGAGAGATGTGCTATCGAGGCAGAAACCGCCAATGTTCTCTGAAATCGTCTACTCAACTACTTGTGAAGCTTACCAGCTTGATGCGCGAGAACCATCAATCGTAGCCCACAAGGATGAGCTCTTGCAGCTTTGTCAAGTCCTCGACATGGTCAAGCAGGTTGTAATCTTCTTCCTGCTGGTTTCCTTGATGCTCAGTCGTGACCAAGGTGTCATTGCTCCCTCTCTGGCAAGCGGCATCTATCTCCATTGGCTTCTCCTTGCTTTGCCCTGCTGCATCATCTTGCAGTGACTCAGCTGGCGAGTGTCTCTGAGTATACCCTGCTGGTGGGACACAATGGAAATCTGACACCGTGTCTTCAGTCTCAAGCGCATTGATGGCCGTCTGGATGGCAATGCGTGCATCATACAGGGCATCATCCACATAAAATAGGCTCTTCTTGAGGAGCAAGGCCGTCTGCGAAGCTTCTGCTTCCTGCGCGCCCGATTGAGTCTTCTGAAGGGCAGCCAGTACATCGTCCTGTATCCTGTTCAGGAGCAGTGTCGTTTCTTCCAAGGTCGATCGCGCTGAGGACATTCTCGCTTCGGGCATGGCGAGCGTGATGCGATCTTTGTCTAGTAGCCTCGAAAGAGCATCTGAGTTCGCGCTCAGAGCAATTGCGCGTGGTGTTTGTAGGTTACTGTGTACTTGATTGACCACTCCAGATCGCAACTGCAAATTGACTTTCTTCAACCATAAAGCTCGAATAAGTTCCACGCAACATCGCAACTTGACACAAAGACAACTACTAATCAGATTTCTCAGATTAGATCATCAACGTCTGCTGTCTTCATTGTCATTCTGCGGCTCAATATCAACCGGTTCTGAGCCACTGGAATCTGGCCAGACGAGTGTAGCTGCATAGTCACAGTCATGTCTTTGCATGGACTAGGCTTCATCGGAGCCATGTAGTTGGTGACTCAGTCTCTCGCTATATTGCGGTCGTCCATCTCATGAAGACACAAGCTTCACTAATGTCTAACTAATTGTTGAAACCTCTCAGAAAGACACTCAAATCTACGTCAGCCAGCACCTGCGCTCTCCTTCCTCTCTCCGTTATCTGTCTCTTTTTGAACCCTGGCAGGCATAAGTATACAGTATATTGCTGTCTTGTTCTCCATTCTACTAAGGCCCGATCAACCATCCAGGTTTCTACTTCATTCTTCGATACATAGACAGTGGATGCAAAGACCTTTTGAGACATTGCCCCACGTGTATAGGCATATGTCCATAGAATCCACGCGTTCAACAGGTGACATATGGCCATGCGAAATCGTCTCCTTGGATTGCGATATAGGTAATTGACACGTGCGCGACAACTGTAACCTCCTGAGCCGCAAATGTCATATAACGCTTGAACATTGCAATTGTACTTCTAGGCGAACCGCAACTGAAGACCAGAAGACAAGTTTCAGCATTGCAACAAGACTCATGTGGCCACAGCAGATTTTCGCAAAGTTGTCAGCCAGCGCCGTCATCACTATCTGCGCAATTATCTTGAGTACTTCGTGGATCCACGAAACTGATGCCAAGGCAGCTGCAGTGAAGTCTAGCGGTGCCAATCACAAGAAGAGTCAGGGAAGCAGTTCCACGAAAGCTCTCCTTCCGACCGGAGGCTCTTCGGGTAATCCTCCAGCTGTCAAAAACCCTATGGCTCTTCCACGTTTCTTCGATGCAGATGGCGCAGAAGTTAAGCGAAAGTGTTACAATGCAACTTTCAGAAGGATTCACTTTCCCACCGGCTCAAAGCAGCTGCATAAGTTTTGCATAGAGTCACAATCGAAGCCGGTGGAGGAAATATGCTCAGAGTACTGTAAGCTACGCGGCAAAGCATACAAAAGTGAAGTTTCGACACAGGTGTCAAAGAATCGAAAGAAATCTGGGTCTTGCTTTCAATCGTCTGTTGAACTTTCCGAGACCATATCTATGGCTCTGCCCAATTCTGTTCCACCCTCCGGGCCCTGCCCTCACCCTACCACTTGTCTTTGCGAGATCAGTCTCTTTTTTCACAATATATGGATGCCAGCTGCGGTCCGCATGGATAGGGAAGACAAGGAAAAATACCAACTATCGGAGTTCTCAACACAGTATTCACTTTCAGATTTGGTATCCCCCTTGCCAACCGAAACGATTCGCGGAATCCCAATGGTGCAGATAACATGTCATCCGCAGCAGATTTCGGAGTTCCTTGCAAACTCTGCATTATTTTCGTCGAAATTTCCCGACGCTCATTGGTATGCTCCGAGCCGGGATGAAATCGAGGTCTCGAAGGAGGACATTGACTGCACATGCAAGCAATTGTGTTACTGCAGTAAATCCAGCCAGAAGGGTCACCTTCATAAATTTGGCGCGTGTCCTCCACTTCTTCAGCCAACGGAAACCGTACAAGTTGCAGAAAGTCAGGAAGCCAGGATTCAGCAAAGTTACGCTATCCATCACTATATCCAAAACCAGATCTATTCCGCAGGTATGCTGTCCTCGGAAACGGACTTGCAATGCCGTAACGTCGATCATGACTGGCCAATGCATGCAGGCACAACCAGTGGTTCAGGCCAACTGACTGCGGCTGGACTTGGTCAGTGTTCATGGGTGGGTCAGTCGAGCGCAACGGAACATCAGACGAGTCAGGCCCAACCAGAGTTTTGTGACAACGATGTTTCGATTGACCAGTACTTCAACTTTGATGATTTTCCAGCCGCTCCAGCTTCAGACGACCCTCCGTGTGGGCGTCTCTGATTCGGAAACTAGTCACAGCTGGACTTGGAATGAAGCGCAGTTGAAGACCCAAGGCATACAAGATAGAATTTGTCGACATAGAACGTGAAATCTTCATAAACTTTAGCTATAGGCATAAACACTGTCTCAGTGATTGCCAAATCTTTCAAGACAAAATATTGCTCTGGCAATATGCCTTGGAGTCATCATTTGGATAGCAACCCGCGAGTCAAATATCTTCCACGGTCATTAGTGATTGTCTCTTCAAAACCTTGAGATGAAAGGTTTCGAAAGCAAGGATTGATCTTTAAAACGTCCTCGCCAAGTTCTGTCGACGCAGAAAGGGTAAACGATGCTTGTTAAGGTTTCCTGGTAGACAATGCTTGCGGATACTTCCTTCATGTGGCGACTTAGCAAGAGCGGCACATGGGATGACAAGGAATCCTGTTGATGAGCATTAATTAGCGGCAAGAGGCGAAATGGCGAATGAGGTTGTTGCATGTATCCATCTTGGCACGCTCACGTCTCATAGCCAGTTGCTGAGCTCATTCGAATGACTGCTTGCGGTTGCTTTGTCTCAGAAAGGCTTGGGAGGATCTGTGGAGCAGCCGCTGATGCGCAGGCAGACCGTCAATATGATATCTCCTGAGACTTTGAGCTGGAAGAACAGACCAAGTGGGCTGCCTACATGGTCGTTCTTGTATTGTAGAATACAACAGAGCAATGCGATCTTCAGGTGATTGAAATGCCAGTAGATCTGCTGATGAGCGAGAGTGCAGCCAGTCTTGAATCTGCAACGGTGCTTCTGTAGTAGATGATAGCAATTCCAGATGTCTGGAACTGAGAAGCGCGTCTCACAAACACTGCTCATTATGTCCGGCCGACAAACCTGGAGCGTTTGTAAGATGTCAGCTTGGGCGACGTGAACGTGCGTCACACTTGCGCAGGGAGCAAGCATGTTTAGACGACCAACTGACGCTTCTGGCTTTTAGACTTCAGTCAAGTTTTTCCAATAAACGCGCAGCTCATGAGACATTGTGCATGAAACAAGATTGTGGATGGAAGGGTGAACGTGCAGTCAATTGCAATCGCAACGTACACTGCCTCGGCAACAACTGTATTGTGAGATGAATGAAGCGCACTAGAGCAGCATCAGAGAAGCTCGCGCTGTTGAGCAGACAAGAAAGTCAGGCTTTCCAAGTTTGCATCGTAGCTTGAGCGTGCTCAATGGCAGATATTGAAGGGTAGTAAGCATTTTCGTTCCTATGCACAGCGCAGCTGAACGACTGTTGATTCAAGCTAGCAGCTCTTTTGAGCAAACTTCTTCAGGTGACTCTACACACGCTGCAGGAGACGTTTGGGTCAAGAGAACGACTGCGGTCGCGACTGTTTCTAGGGCTATGAGATGAGCAGTATTCAGATGACGCGAACAGGAATCCCATATGATGCATCAGCCTGCATGTAAGGCAGCCCATGCCACTGTATTTTGTCTCAAAGAAGCGCTGGGAACATCGTAGGAAGGTAGTTCAAGGAACCCTATGCTGAACACCAAGATAGGAGTCGACATGATTCAATAAATCTAAGCTAAGGATACAAAACAGGTTCTATGCCTTCTGTGTCTGCTTCTGCAAATTAGACGCCATAGACTCGTCAAAGTCATACAACGGCCTGACAGGTGCTGGGTGTCGCCTCAAAATCGTCTTCTTGAACCAGTACGGCAACGCAGTGAACAATTGGTATCGTGCAAACGTACGTGTTGGCACAGCAAAGACGTAATCGAGTTCTTCAAGTGTCCTCTGCTTCGTTTCTGGGACAAGGAAGAAAATCATGACAAAGGCAAGCATATTGAGACCAGCGTAGAACATGAATGAGCCAAGTGGGCCAAAGGCTGCCAGCATGCGTGGGAAGGTGATGGAGAGGACGGCTGCCCAAAAGAGACAAGTTGCAACGGCGAAGCCCATACCTGTTTCTCGGTGCGACAAGGGGAAGACTTCTGCCGAGTAGGTGAATGGCACAGGTCCCTCACCTGGAGAGTAGAATGCTGCAAAGAGGTAGATGAACAATGCCACAAGTGCCAAGTGTGCAGTTGGGCAAGAACCCGTGTCACCGCAGTAAACGCCACCAATAGCAAACGAACCACCGGCTGCCACGAGACACCAGGCCATGTTTGGGAAGGTGAAGAGCAAGAGAGATCGTCGGCCAAAGGTGTCGATTGTCCAAATGGCGGGCCACGCGAAAACAAAGTTGACAAGACCGAAACCCCAAGAGGCAAGCAGTGCTTCAAGACGACCCGCACCAGCTTCTGCAAACACTGTAGAACTGTAGAAGGCAATAATGTTGATGCCACACATCTGTTGTGCCAACATGACAGTAAAGGCAGCCTGAGTAGCTCGCCTGACTCGAGGAACGGTGAACAGTTCGACAAAACGCGTGAAAGAATTGCCATGCTTGCCGACGATTGCCTGTTCTTCCTCAATTTGCGCTTTAATGTAGTAAAGGTCTCGAGCAGCCTGAATCTTGTGGTTTCGCAAGCGCAAAAGAGATTGGTATGCCTTTCTGTATTTGTGGTTCTTGATATACCAACGCGGGGATTCCGGACAAAAGTAGATTCCGATTGCAAGGGGCACTGCAGGTAAAAAGGCTGATCCAATTTGAAGACGCCAGGCAATGCTAGAGTTGTAGACGCACAGATTGGCGCAGAAACCAAGAAAGATGCCAAAAGCGGTCCACATCTGCCAAGACATGACCAAGGCACCTCTGATGAGTGGTGGAGAGTTCTCTGCAGCAAAGATGGGGACGCATGAGCCTTTGAGTCCCATGCCGATACCCATCAGCAAACGTGTGGCCAAAAGTTCCTCCCAGGTCTGTGCAAGAGCTCCACCAATGGGTGTGAGAATGCAAAAGATGGCAGCCACAAAGATAGTACCACGTCGGCCGATGAACAGGTTGAGCGGGTCAGACAGCCAGCAGCCAAGGAATGCAGAACCAATGTATGGACCAGCGTTGACAAGACCGACAATCCAAGTGTCGTAGTCGCTGTCACTGCCGATACCAAATTCCTGCGGGAATGACAAATTGGCGCCATTGGAACCTGTTTGGTCCCATCCCTGGACGGCCGCGCCGATGGAACAGACGATGATGGTGACATAGAGTGCCAAAGGATGTTTCCATCGGTGTGTGACTTCGCGCTGGATATGGTCGCGCTCCTCCGTAGTCAAGTTGACATGACCAAAATCATGCGGGGATTGTGCAACGAGTGCGCCGCGACGGATATCGTCTGCGAGATCGCTCAGCTCGTTCTCTGCGCAAAAGGCGTCGACGTCGGAGAGGAGCTGCTCCTGAGTCAGATGTGCAAGTGGATTTTGCACACGACCGGCGACGCCTTCCTCTGGCGTTGTCTCCTGATGAAGCTTTTCATCATGCACGACATCTGCGTCGTGCGACTGCTTGATGGCGTCTCTGTCCATGAAGATGGATGTTATTTATGAACAGGACGAGGCGGGGACCTGGTCTTTATATACACGGGGATCTCCAGTGGGCCCATGTGAGTGTTCTCTCTTGCTTCTTGTGACTCTGCTCCTGAAGACCGCTGGTTGTTGCCGCACTTTGGCCCCTGATTGGCCCCATAAAGTGTGGGGAGCAAAGTAGGTGTCCATCTGTTTCATCTCCCTCTGCGCAGGAACAAAAAAGAAGTTTCCTCCAGGCGGCCCGGCTGCATTGACCAATCGCCGCCCTCGACTGCAGGCTGGATCTCAAGCCATCGCCATAATCCCGTCGCCGATCCTTTTGTGGCAAAGTGACTGTCTGTGAGTAAGACGACTCAGACCACTCAAATTTTGCGAGGATTTCCAGGCGTCCGTACTCAATGATGATGGATCGCTCGGAGATGCGGTTACACGACCAACTCATGTCACCAAGAATGATTCTGCGACTGCCACCTTGGTGACTAGCAGGTTATACTCGACAATCGACTATGCGATCGCTACCCCAGATGTTCGCAAGCAGATCGCCAAGTTTGACATACGGGACCCGGATGACTTCAGCCTATCAGATCACGCGTGTGTCACGGTCGTCATGGATGTTATGCTCGATTTAGATAGTTCAGTACGTAGTGTCAAGAGGTCGGCGCCGCAGGTGGAAAAGAATGAAATGGACATTAGGGCGAAGGCGGTCACGGACGCAGGCAAACTTGAGGCTCCTCCTAAGGCGATTCGCTTCAACACCATCATTACTGATCCACAGTTATGCGAATGGCGCAAGCTCTTGAAGCAGAAGCGGAACGAGAAAGGCGCTCGATCCAGCAGGCTTACTGAGTCCGCGTGTCAGCGCCTAAGAAGGAATATCAAACGGCGCCTCAAGCGTCTGCGAAAGCTTCAGAAGAAGGAATGGCGGGAGTGGCTGTCTGGTGTCAGGGGAGGCGGGAATACTATGTCAAGCTACTCGAGGCCATCGGAAAGAAGAAGAAGGGCTGTCCCGTGGATGATGGCGAGATTCTGAGACATTTCAAGGACCTTCTCGGCGATCTGCCGTCAGGCACATTCAATGAAGAGGAGATGGAGCGTTTCCTTACTAACCCGTCTAATGTAGCATCGCAGGTGGAAGCAGCAAGGAAGAGAGGCGCATCAGTACAGGACTTTGTGTGCGCTACGGCGCATGCAGGCATGGTTTGGTCTGCAGCTGACGTCGCAGTTGCCAAGAAGATGCTGAAAACGAGCTCTGCCCCTGGTCTCGATGGCATAACTGTGCAAGAAGTCAGAGGGCTGAACGATCTAGAGGTGGCGGACTTGTTCAATGACATGCTGGATTCGGGTTCTATCCCAGCATCTTGGGGCCTTGGTCGTATCGTTCCAATCTACAAGAACAAGGGTCTCAAGACGGTTGCAGACAGCTACAGAGGAGTCACGCTTCAACCAATATTCAGAAAACTCTTCACGACGATTCTAAACTTCAAGCTGACGGCATGGAGCAATGCATTACGTATCGTTCCAGATTGTCAAGGCGGTTTTCGAAAGACCTTTCGCACATGTGACAATGCTTTCACGTTCAGAATCATCAAGGAAACGTACAAGAAGGACGGCAAGCCGCTTTTTACCTGTTTCGTTGACCTCAGGAAAGCTTTCGATTTGGTTGAACGTCGTGTCCTCATGCAGAAGCTGAAGAATTACGGCCTCACGGGCCGACTACTGACGGCCATCATGGCATTGTACACAAACACGAAAGCTTGCATACAGACAGACAATGGTTATTCGGAGGTCTTCGACGTCCATGACGGCGTCATTCAGGGCGACGTTCTATCACCACTTCTCTTCAACATTTACATGGCTGACCTCGAGATGACAAGTTCCCCGCATACACCGAAATTGGCCGACCGAGAAGTTGGCTGCATGTTCTTGGCAGACGACATTGTATTGGTGTCTGACTCTATGGACGACCTGAACGACAAGTTGCTGCAGACGCATGAATGGTGCCGCCGGAATCGAATGCTCATCAACACCGAGAAGACACAGTTCCAAGTACACCTGCATGGGAAGATTAGAGCAAAACTCGGTGCAATTGAGCTCTCCTTGCCCGGGCGGACGCCTGAAGCGCCTCGCGCCTTGATTCAAGAGTGTGCCTCCTACAAGTATTTAGGCATTCACCTGAGCAGCAAGCCAACCTGGTCAAGCACAAAACACAATGCTAGCATGCTGGAACGCGCCAGAGTTGGTAGGTTCCAAATAGGCTCACTTGACAAGGTTTTTGGCCACATGTGCCTGTCTGAACTGCGTACGCTTTACCTCAATTTCGTCGACTGTCATGTCATTTTTGGCGCCGAGATCTCGTTTGATGGCGGGTCGGAAGACCTCAAAGCGATGCAGCAGGTGCAGACCGACTGGTGTCGTCAAACCTTTGGCCTCACGCGTCATGCTGCAAGACTGCTGGCTATTGTGGACCTGGCGATTCTGCCTGTAGCAGAAAGGAGGAAGCAGATTGCCATTGGCTTTGCAGACTACCTGGAGAACCTTACCGACAATCGCCTCGCCCATTTTGCTTTTGAACAAGCCAAGATCAACGCTCAAGACGATACTGCAGGCAAAACGTGGTACAGCCAGATCTCTACACTTCTCAATGGCTCCGGTGCGACTCTCGGCTCTCCAACGTGCCGCAAAGACTTCACTGAGTCGCTCTGGAAGACGCACTATGAGAACTGGGTGCATGAATGTGCCAACAACGCGCTATACAGACACATTACACCAGTCTCGTTCGAGGAGTTCAAGGAGCAAAGGCCTTATGTCAAGATGCAGGACGGATATGCTGGCAGATGGATTGCGCGTATGCGCGGCAGTAATGACCAGCTCATGGTCAATAGAGGGAGAAGACACAGGGATGACGAGCTGGATCGCTCCTGCCCGGCATGCAAGCCGACCGGCGATGTTGTGGAGACTCTGCAGCATGCACTGCTCGAATGCTGCGACCACGAAGCTCAACTGGCGGACATACGGCTGCGTTGGCCTGACTCGAGCCCTGCCGACATCATGCAAATCATTGTCGACCCACCGAAAGAACATCTCTCCTTCGTGTCGCGCATTGTCAACGCTGTCATCAGCAAAGTCAACGGGCGCTACCTGAGAATACTCTAGCTGTGTCTTCTATGACCAGCAAACAGCCTTATGGCACTATGCGTTGTCCGGCGTGGAGAGTCTGAGCACCCTTGGGTGGCTGGATTCTCTGTTTCGCTTCCCTCTTATTATGGGGGACAGTAGTTGAGCTGAGCACGACGTAGCTTTTTTTAGAGCTAAATCCCATCACTCACACCGAGTCACACGACTCACACAACAGGCACTTGGCCGACATGTCTTCAGGACTCTTCATCATGCTAGGTCATGCTCAGCTTGCAGTCAACAGAGCACGCGCATTCTGTTCGAGTGCTCGTTCGTCTAGTAGCTTAGTTCTACATATGTGAAATCTCAATGAATACAAGTTCTTACGGGATAGACAGAACTAGCGAAGGTTGAGGTGCAAGCTTCGCACAGTATCTGGCCTGCTCAGACCATATCCACAAGACTCCAGCTTGTATCATTTCAGACAAGCGCATAGGCATCATAAATGACCATCGTACCGTTTCGACCACTCACTGCAAAGCCAACAGTCTTGTTAAGCCAAGCGTACTTGTCTGTGCCACACTCAAATTGAAGGCTTAGCCGCATCGAGTACTGGTCCGCCGTGATGCTCTCATCTTCACCAAGCTTATCGAGAATATCCTTGGGACCTTTCCGCACGCCTGTCGTTCGGAGGTAAATGATTGCACCGTCGTCTGTTTTGAGATTATAGCGCGTATCCAAGAACTGCCTAGTCAGTGCAATCCAGCAAGCCAGGATGGCACTCACAGCCGTAGAGTCATCAGCGACAATCTCCCAGTCTCCACCACCGGGCAAGATGGTGCCTTTTAGCTTTGGACCTTCGAACCGACCGCCTTTGAAGATGACGGTAGCTCTATTCCCATGTGGGCCGTTGCCAACAGGATGAAAGTCTTCCATGTCGCATTCCAAAGAAAAAAACTCAAATTCTGGCTGCATAGCTGGTCAGTCATTGCACGAGAGCTCGTCATCGTGTACCTCTGGTAGCTTGAAGCTTGGCTTCGTCCACTGCATCTTATAGACGGCAAGAGAAGGTGATTGGAATCAAGTTTGCTTCTTGATGTTGTCGACGCTGACATCATTTGTCGGCATCGGTGCGCGCACAACGGACTTCAAGCTCGGAGAACAAGCTGCGTGTGCCCAGTTGCTGTATCAGAAGAAGTAGTAGCGTCTGGATGCCTTGCATAAGGTGCCGAGCCGTGCAAATAAGCAGAAGAATGTATGGCAGCTTTGTAGAGAGTGACTCCGAGTGTCCATGCATAGAGATAGCGGTGCGGCATGCCCAGACAGCTATTTGCAGGCATCAAGTAAAACATATCAGACATGACTCATGCATCCTTGTCAAGTGCAAGGGCTTAAATCGGCAAGTAGTCGCAATAGCAGCCTGAGTCTGTGGTTGGCGGCAGTTACCGAAAGTCGCATCTGACAAAGACCACAAAACTCCCCGCCTTGACCAACTTGTACTTCTTTTTCCATCAGCCAATCTCTCATCAAGATGCTCAGGTCAAGGCTCGCTACTTCCCTCAAGCCAGCAGGCAACATCACCAAAAGGTCCTTCGCCAAGTTCTCCTACCAGGATCCACTCAACCTCACCTCCCTCCTCACCGAGGAAGAAGTTGCCATTAGCGAAACTGCACGCGATTACTGCCAGGAAAAGCTACAGCCGCGTATCCTCGATGCATACCGCAATGAAGTCTATGATCGCAAAATCTTGAATGAAATGGGCGAGCTTGGTTTGCTGGGTGCTACGATTGATGGCTATGGTTGTGCGGGTGTTTCCTCCACTGCCTATGGTTTGATTGCACGAGAGGTCGAGCGTGTCGACTCTGGCTACCGGTCGGCCATGTCTGTTCAGTCGTCTCTAGTCATGCATCCCATCAATGCATTTGGCACGGATGCACAAAAGGAAAAGTACCTGCCCCGCCTTGCCAAGGGTGAGCTAGCTGGTGCTTTCGGTTTAACAGAGCCCAACCACGGTTCCGACCCGGCGAGTATGGAGACAACCGCCAAAGAAGCACCTGGTGGCGGCTTCTCCATCTCGGGCTCTAAAACGTGGATCTCCAACTCTCCCTTTGCAGACCTCTTTGTCGTTTGGGCTAAGTGTGCTTGGGATGGCAAGATTCGTGGGTTTTTGCTTGAGCGCGGCATGAAGGGTCTTGAGACGCCCAAGATTAACGGCAAGTTGTCACTGCGTGCTTCAACCACCGGTATGATCCAAATGGACGAAGTCGCGGTGCCCGCAGACAACTTGTTGCCTGGCGTCGAGGGACTCAAGGGTCCTTTTTCATGCCTCAACAATGCTCGATTCGGTATTGCCTGGGGTGTCATGGGTGCGCTTGAGCAATGTCTAGAGCTCTCTCGGCAGTACGCACTAGACCGTCAGCAATTCAACCAGCCCCTGGCCAAGTTCCAGCTCGTCCAGCAGAAATTGGCAAATGCAGCGACTGATGTGGGTTATGGTTTGCTTGCTGCGCTACAAGTCGGCAGGCTCAAGGATTCAGGTGATCTGGCAGTGGAGATGGTGTCTATGATTAAACGCCAGAACTGCGAGCGTGCCTTGCAGGGTTCTCGTTCACTGCAGGAGATCCTGGGAGGCAATGCAGTGGCGGATGAGTACCATATTGGCCGCATTTCACACAACTTGCATGTTGTTGCGACGTATGAAGGAACCTCGGACGTGCACTCACTCATCCTGGGCCGTGCCATCACGGGCATCCAGGGCTTCTACTAGTTCTTCGTAAAGTATAAAAGCATTCGTCCCCTTTTACTCTACAAAACTCCCCGCGAATTGAATCGACACTTGCAACGACACCAACCAGCAAAGACATAGCAGCATGAGTGAGTCTGGTCTTCCCGAAGGCTGGCAAGTACGACACAGCAAGTCGCGAAACCTGCCTTACTACTTTCATGCGAAAACATCCGAATCGCGCTGGGAACCTCCTGCCGGCACCAACACGGATTTACTTGCGGTGTACATGGCTTCTCACCATTCTGGAGGCGGACAAGCGGCTGCTTCTAGTGGGACGACTCAGGATGGTGCCAAGATTCGTGTGAGCCACTTGTTGGTGAAGCATCAGGGATCACGTCGCCCATCCTCATGGAAAGAGGTAAGACTCTTCGTACCATGCCACAGCTGACAACTAGCCCAACATTACCCGGACGAAAGACGAAGCACTCACCATTCTTGCTGCACACGAGGCAAAGATTCGCGCTGGCTTGACTACCCTGGGTGAGCTGGCTGTGACAGAGTCAGATTGCTCATCAGCACGCAAAAGTGGCGATTTGGGATTCTTTGGTAGGGGAGAGATGCAAAAGGCATTTGAGGATGCTGCATTTGCATTAGAACCTGGACAGCTCTCTGGTGTCGTGGATACCGATAGTGGTGTGCATCTCATTGAACGTGTTGCATAACTATATTGCTAAGTCAACTTTTCTGTAATAAAGTCAATCATCTCTTGCTTCTTGAGTGATGAGGCTGGCTTGACGTCAAAGGCGCTCGCATGCGCCGAGAGAGCTGCCTTGAGCTCAGGAACTTTGAATTGACCAAGTGTGCCATTCAGCACGGCAGCTCGCAAGTCTTCTAAACTCGGCACACTCCCTGGTCCTGGTTTGGCCTTTTTACTCGATGCCACGGGTGATGCACCTTTTCGCTTCGTAGGCACTGCTGGTCCAGCGTCTTGCACCTGCTCTACCGCCATCTCCAATGCCTCAACAAACGCCAGCATTGCCTTCCCTGCTCGTTTGTGGATGGCTTTAAAGTTTGGCATGGACTCATCTGGTTGATCTGCCAGTTGTGGTACATCTTCACCCAAGGCCATGGCTTCGAGTGCTTTATAGTGCCACTGTAATGCTGGGTTCGAGCGTTTTGCAGGATCATACGCAGGCAAGGTGATTTGACCAATGATATCACCAAACAAGCTTGCCAAATCCTCTGACGGCAAGGGACGACTTCGTGGTGGATTGCGAAGATCATCTGCGAAAGGCAATGGAATGACGAAGAAGCCCGGTGGACTGAGCTGGGACTTCTTGTTTTCGGAGAGTTCAAGTTCAGAGGCCATCATTGCAGCAACAACGGGTGATGCATTACGTCTTGGAATAAACCAACAGAGTGCGAATTGCTTCTTTTGCAGCAAAACGCGATGCAGTGCCGCAAACGTTCGCTTACTGCCAACATGCGTCGCTTCATGTGGGTAGATGAAGTACGCAGAGGCAATATTGTGGCAAAAATCAAGCTTCTCGAGTGATTTGTAGCCAATGATGCGCAACACGGGCGACTCAATCCGTTTGATTTGCTGCATCTCTTTTGCATCAAATGTGACATTCTCAGGACCAAATTTGTAGCCTTGCTTGATTTGTGTCTTGTCAAGCACAGTGACTGTATCTTCGCACGTCAGCGTTGTGTCTGCCTTTGCAGTTTGTGGACGTGCGCCAGAATTGTCAATGAAAGTTGTCCTGACGACTTTTTGCTCCTTGAACAAGACGTAACCCTTGATACCAATAGATAGACCTGGCGCTATTTCCATGGGAATAGAAAAAGTGGCCTTTTTTGGCGTTTGGAGTGCCTTGATGGTCTCCTGCATGTCTACAAGTCTTGCCTCCCCTTCGAGCACCAGTTCGCCAGCATCTTCCTCTTGTCGCTCAATAATATCATCCCAAAACTTGATGGAGTCAAAGGGCGCGTCATTAGAGAGAAATATGGGTTCAATTGCCACGCCAAGGCTGTAGAGATCCTTCGTGCGTGTCTTGAATTGCTGCGTCAGGGCGCGGTGTGTGCGCATTGGGTCGTCATCGTCTGTAATCAATACCAAGCGCTTAAAGTTGAATCGTGGTGCTTGATTCTGGAAGATGTCTCTAGCGAGCTCAATCAACTCAGCAGGCGAGGCGCGCTCTTCACTTGCTTGACACACTTCGTTGAATTGGTTTGGCTCCTTGAGCAAGTTTCGCACCACGCGAATGAGGTCTGCACCGGGCACGTCCAAATCAACAAGCAGGTGCATGTGTTCTTTTCTTACTGTCGAGTACTTCTTGTCCTTGTCGAGCTGCGACGTCTTGCTATTGTATAGGACAACGCCAATCATGTCATTTGGCGCGGAAAAGACTTTTGTCGTCATGACAGAGTAAGCACATTCAAGCGCTGTGCGTGCGGCACAAGTGCCTTTGTCATTGGGTTTGAGCATTGAGGGAGAGATGTCAATGAGAAAGAGCATGGCCTCCTTTTGTGAGGTGTAGGCGAGCTCATTGACTTCGTCTTCTTCAGCTGGAAGGCCTGCTTGCTCACTCGACATGATGAGCAATAAGTCTAAGAGCTAGAGCTAAGCGCATAAGCAGCAGCCTGAACCTGGAGCTAAATCGAATAATAGTAGATATGAGTAGCTATGAGTAGCTATAGGTTTTGGTCAAGTCTCTTTCTGTGCTACTGCTGCAGCAACCACACGTGATGCAGCACTCAAGATGGCCGGCAGCGAGGCCATATGCGGCAGACGGGTCAGGAATCAGGGGTGAGGTACTCTGCTCTTCCGTCTACTGCCTGCAGACTTTGAATCATCTATACAACAGGTAGGCCCTCTTGTAGCTTCTATTTCGCCGTGTCCACGTGTGTCTCCTGTCTATTTTGGTGAGTTTGAGACCAAAAGACAGTTGACGCAGCCAAAACTACAGCACAAAGTCATCCCTCGACTCCCTCCTCGTTGCAGGGCCCCTCCTCTCAGGGTCCGTCCGTGTCGCCGTCGCAGCAGCTTCACCTTCTGCTTGCCTTCATCGCCTGCAATCCCAACCAGCACGGCCCCAGATAGATGGTGGGCACGCGTCCCCGAGAGGCAGATCTGTTCGCAGACGAGCCCTTGCCGCAGCACGCATCGCGTCCCTATGCCAATGCAGCGTATCAGGAGTCGCAGCATTCTGTTGCAAGCGGAACGAACCCCTTTAGCAATTACTATGAGGAAGACTTGCTCAGTGACGACGAGCAGTTGCTGTATGAGACAGACACGCCCATGCGCCATCAAGAACCTGGGCCGTACTATGGCGAAGAGACGTATGACGCGCGACATCAACAATCTACATTAGGTTCACTCGTGGGCAAAGTCAAGGATAAAGTAGGGTATGGCACGGAACCAGCCCATCTACCTTTGACAGAGCCAGGTGCACCACGCGCCGTGGAGTACGACGAGGCCCCCAGTACAGTCAGGAAGCGCAGCTTTGCAGACTTCTTCAAGCGCAAGCAAGTAGACCCAGCGACACTTGGTCCACGTCTCATCCACGTCAACAATCGAGCAGCGAATGATGCGAATCGACATCTTGACAACCACGTCAGTACGGCCAAGTACAATGTCGCAACCTTCCTCCCAAAGTTCCTCATGGAGCAGTTCTCAAAGTACGCCAATTTGTTTTTCCTCTTCACCTCCATCATTCAGCAAATTCCGAATGTCTCGCCGACAAATAGATGGACTACCATTGGCCCGCTGACGGTCGTGTTGATTGTATCGGCAATTCGCGAATTTGTGGAAGACCTGAAACGGCATGGTCAGGATAGAGAGCTCAATCGGTCAGCGGCTCAAGTCATGGTTGGCTCGGAATTCGTGCACAAACGCTGGGTTGACATCAAAGTCGGCGACACGGTGCGTGTTGCTTCAGAGGAAGCCTTTCCGGCAGATTTACTACTCGTCTCGTCGTCTGAGCCAGAAGGACTCTGCTACATTGAGACGGCCAACCTCGATGGCGAAACCAATCTCAAAATCAAGCAAGCCCTGCCAGAAACGGCTCACCTTGTCAATCCCGTCGAGCTGAGCCGCGTCCAAGGCAAAATCAAGAGTGAGCAGCCGAACAACAGTCTGTATACATTTGAAGCAACCATTACCATGGACACGGGTGCTGGTATGCGCGAATTACCACTCAGTCCTGATCAGCTCTTGTTGCGTGGTGCACAGCTCCGTAATACACAGTGGATCTATGGCATCGTCGTCTTTACTGGTCATGAGACAAAGCTTATGCGCAACGCCACCTCGACGCCCATCAAGGTGACTGCAGTGGAAAAGATGGTCAATGTGCAAATCGTCTTTCTATTTACCATATTGATTGTTCTTGCCGTCGTTTCTTCTGCTGGCTATCTCATCCTCAATACAGTCAAGGGCACCCAGCTGAGCTACCTCGATATTTCCTCCACCAGCAAAGTCGGCGGCTTCTTCCTCAATTTACTCACCTTTTGGATTCTCTACTCCAACTTGGTGCCCATCTCGCTCTTCGTGACGGTCGAGCTCTGCAAATTTGTCCAAGCACAACTCATCAGTGCCGACCTCGACATGTATTATGCCGAAACAGACACTGCCGCGAACTGTCGCACGTCAAGTTTGGTGGAAGAGCTTGGTCAAATTGAGTACATCTTCTCGGACAAGACGGGTACCTTGACGCGCAACCAGATGGAGTTTCGCCAAGTCTCTATTGCTGGTGTTGCCTATTCAGAAGTCGTTCCAGAAGACAACAAGGGACATTTCGTCGATGGTGAAGAGTTTGGCGTGTTTGACTTCAACACGCTCAAGCAAAACCTCGTGGAACACCCCTCGCGCGAGATTATGCATCATTTCCTGACACTGCTTGCGACTTGCCATACCGTCATTCCAGAGCAGAACAGCGAAAAACCTGGACAAATCAAGTATCAAGCTGCGTCCCCTGACGAGGGCGCTCTGGTACAGGGTGCCTGTGACCTTGGCTACAAATTTGTTGCGCGACGTCCGAAATCCGTGACGATTGAGGTACAGGGCAAGGAACATGAATTCACGCTTCTCAACATTTGTGAGTTCAATTCAACTAGGAAGCGCATGTCCACCATCTTTCGGTGTCCAGACGGTCGTGTACGGCTCTATTGTAAAGGTGCTGATACTGTTATTCTCGAGCGTTTACGTCAAGGCACACCCAACATTGAGCGAACCTTACAGCATCTTGAGGAATACGCCACGGATGGTCTCCGTACGCTCTGTCTAGCGTACCGGGAAATTCCCGAGAGCGAGTACAGAGAGTGGGCGTCTGTGTTTGAAAAGGCGGCCACCACCATCAACAATCGTGCGGATGAACTCGACAAGGCAGCAGAGTTGATTGAGCGGGATCTCACCTTGCTTGGTGCTTCCGCTATTGAAGACAGATTGCAGGAAGGCGTCCCGGAAACAATTGCAACACTCCAGACCGCAGGCATCAAAGTATGGGTCTTGACCGGCGATCGTCAGGAGACAGCCATCAATATTGGTATGAGTTGCAAGCTCATTAGTGAAGAAATGATTCTCATCATTATCAATGAAGAAACCAAGGAGGCGACTCGAGAAGCGCTTGCAAGACGACTCCATGCATGCCGGTCGACGCCACAATCTGAGCCGGAAGTGTTTGCTCTTGTCATTGATGGCAAGTCGCTTGGCTTTGCCCTTGAAAAGGACTTGGAGCGTGAATTTCTGGATTTGGCAGTCTTATGCAAGGCAGTTGTTTGCTGTCGTGTGTCGCCGTTGCAGAAGGCGCTTGTTGTCAAGTTGGTCAAGAAGCACTTGAAGGCCATTCTCCTTGCTATTGGTGATGGTGCCAACGATGTCTCTATGATTCAAGCAGCGCACGTCGGTATCGGTATTTCTGGTATGGAAGGTCTGCAAGCTGCAAGAAGTGCCGATATCGCTATTGGCCAATTCAGATACCTTCGCAAACTGTTGCTTGTGCATGGTGCATGGAGCTACCAACGCTTGTCAAAGCTCATCTTGTTTTCCTTTTACAAAAACATCACGCTTTACATGACGCAGTTCTGGTATGCCTTTCAAAATGGCTTCTCTGGACAAGTCATTTATGAGTCTTGGACCATTTCACTATACAACGTCCTCTTCACCGTCTTGCCGCCTATCGTGATGGGTGTCTTTGACCAATTCATTAGTGCGCGGCTTCTCGATCGCTACCCACAGCTATACATGCTTGGTCAGAAAGGCAAGTTCTTCAATCGTACTACATTTTGGTCCTGGGTCGCCAATGGCTTTTACCACTCACTCATCATCTACCTCGCTGGTGTTGCCATCTTTCGATATGACGGTATTGAGCGGGATGGCGTTGTCGGTGGTCACTGGGTCTGGGGAACAACACTCTACACGGCAGTTCTTGCAACAGTCCTTGGCAAAGCGGCGCTCATCACCAACTTGTGGACAAAGTGGACGTGGATTGCAATTCCTGGTTCGTTTGCCATTTGGATTGGCTGGCTTCCGCTGTATGCGCTGATTGCACCAGCCATTGGCTTTTCAACCGAGTACACTGGCATCATCGGCCATCTCTATGCCAATATCGTCTTTTGGGCAACCGTCATCCTCCTGCCTATTGCCTGCTTGCTGCGAGACTTTTGTTGGAAGTACGTCAAGCGCATGTACTACCCACAATCCTATCACCACATTCAAGAGATCCAAAAATACAACGTTGCTGATTATCGTCCACGCATGGAACAATTTCAAAAAGCCATTCGCAAAGTACGACAAGTCCAACGGATGCGGAAACAGCGTGGCTATGCGTTCTCTCAAGGTGATGAAGGTGCTGCCAGAGTCGCTCGGGCGTATGATACGACGGCTGGTCGGGGTCGTTTTGGAGAGGTCTTGACGAGTACGCAGGCAGAGTCGCAGAAGCAGCAATTATCCAAGGGAGGTGTTGGCATCCGCGAGTCGAATCTTTAGTCTATGAATTGACTGTATATAGAATGCAGAGCCTTCATGATGCAAGTCTTCTGAGATCTGTAAAGTGACCGAGAAAGGAGAGATGCTCTGCCAATTTCTCTGATTCTACTTGTTGCATGAGCTGTGAGAGACGAGCATCCTCCGAGGGGCCACCTTCAAATTCAATAAAGAACACGTATCGCCACTTTTGATTATCCGTAATCGGCAGCGGCCGTGAGCAGATGCTGGTGAGGTTGAAGCCAAAGATGGCAAACTTTTGCAGAATCCGGGCCAAGCTGCCGGGTTCTGCGTGTGGTACAACAAGTCGGGCTAGTGTCTTTTCAGGCCCTGTCGCTTTCTGGTTGATGCCCGTTGCTGACTGCAGGACAAAGAAGCGTGTTGTATTATTGGCATTGTCTTCAATGTCTTTAGCTAGTAAGCTGAGTCCTACAGCTTCAGCGGACGCAAGCGATGCTACTGCCGCTGATCCGAAATCCTTGGCGGCAAGCTGTGCTGCCTCTCCCGTAGAACTAACGTTGATACGTTTGGCATTAGGTAGCGTCTCTGCCAGGTAGCGCTCGCACTGCCCAAATGCTTGAGGGTGCGAGTAGATGCGCTGTATGTCTGTCATCTTACCCAGCGCTAACAAGCACTGATGAACATTGAGATAGATTTCTGCCGTGACTCGAGCACCTTGTGGGTCGATGGCTCGAAAGAGATCGAGGGTGGGTACGACATGGCCGTTTGTGCTGTTTTCAAATGGAATGACTCCATAGTCTGCTCTGCCTTCGTGAACAGCAGCAACGATGTCCGAAAGGTTTTCTACAGGATCGTAGATATATGCTTCTGCAGGACCTAGCTGTTCAAAGTGTTGCCGGGCTGCTTGGTAGGTGAAGGTGCCCTTGGGCCCAAGATAGGCGACTTTTGACATTCCTTCGATATATTATAGCAATGGCGTAGATCTAGCACATGTCTAGTAGCACATGAGCAGCACAGCAGGATGAGAGCAGATCCAGCTGGAGTGGTTCCTGGTCGTGGTGTCTGATTTTGCAAGTTTGAGTTGCCAAGTGTCAGCCAGCGCATGTCAGAGTCAGTCAGTCAGACCAGGACACCGACCAGGACAACAAACACCAGAGCCGGAGGCAGCGAGGCAGGCAGGCTGGTCCTTCATCGTTGTATTACGGCCAGAGGAAGGCATTTGACTGCCAGAATATCGCGTTCTAGCGAAGCCTTGGCTGACACAACAGCTGATAACCATCTCTACCCCGCGCTGACGCGTTTGACCAAGACTGTCTACAGCCAGAGATGGGGAATACGCCGTCCAATACAGGCTATCGCACGCAAGAAGAACAGATCACACACATTGATGGCGGTAGCTTGACACTCGAATCAGGCTTGGCCATCTACACCTCCCCGCAAGATTGGAAGAAGTCGGTAGTGCGCGCCCTGCAGCTTGCCAGGAAGCTAGCGCCTTACTATAAAGGTCTCGATGATTACGATGAGAGTTGGTCAGACGAAAAGCTGTTGAGTGTTTTACGGAAGGCATTGCCACCGACTGCGTATAATCAAGCGCTATTGACTTCGGTGCATGATCCCAGTGGTGCTGGACCGAGCACGCGCTCCTTACAACCATCGCTGACTGTATCACCCTCACGGCCTTCGTCTTATGTGGAAGCCAATAATGGTCAATCGCCAACGACTAACCGACCACAACGGCCACGCGCAGTAACGGTTGATTCATCCTCAACGGTCCATCAACTACAAAAGACACCCCGTGTGCCCTTTGGTATACTCCTCTACAAGCACGCTGTTGAGTGTCCCATCTGTTTCCTGTACTACCCAGTCAACATTGCCACGACACGCTGTTGTCGTCAACCCATCTGTACAGAGTGTTTTGTCCAGATTCGTCGTCCCAACCCCCATGCACCTGTCGTGCATGCCGATGATCCTCAACCACCACCGGAAAACCCAGAAACATTGATAATGGAATCACCTGTATGTCCGTACTGCAATGTTTCTGATTTCGGTGTGATTTATCCACAACCCGATGTCCGATACGATCGACCTGCCTTTCAACCTTTTGCTGCAAGTGAACGCGATGTTCCTGCTAGTGCAAGTGAGGTGGTTTTAACGGACATGATTCGACCTGATTGGACGGCCAAGTTGCAGCGTGCCAAGGATCGTGCTGCTCGACGAGCTGCTAATGCGGCATTGTTGACGGCTCATCTACAGAGACAGGAGAGGAGGGCGCAAGCGGAAGCAGCTATGCTGTTGCTTGCCGGTGCAACAATCCGACCGGGTGAGGAAGGTGGGAGTGAGGGAAGGAGAGAGGCTCGACGGTTGAGACGGCGTGAAGTGGCTGCTATTGAGGATCAACAGCTTGCAGAAGCCATTCGTCTATCTATGCTGGAAGATGAAGCGCGACAACAGCGTGAACAGCAAAACAAGGGAAAGGTCGCAACGACAGGGGTGCAAGAACCTGGCGAAGCGTCTGCACCGGATGAGAGCCGCATTTCAGAGCGAGCCACAACAAAAGCAGTGTCTGTTGCGGAAGGCGGCTCATCTAGTCGGCGCACAAGTGGCACACGCGTTCAGGCTGAAGTGCCAAGTGCCTCTTGTGGTGGACACTCGCTTCCAATGCAAGAGCTATTGTATGCGCCACCTCCAGACAGCTTTGTGCCGGCAGGTCGATTGCAAGAGGAGAGGGAGGAGGAGGAGATTGTAATGCCGGCTCGACGCTCTACGCAGGAACGTACGGAGGAGGAGGATTTAGAGTCTGCGCTCTCTGATACATTGCAGCAGATTGAGCTAACGCATTCTCTAGGACATTGATGAAGGCGATGCAAACGTCGCCGAGAATGCAATCGCAGTGTGCTCATCCCGTGGATGGAAGGCAGTGAAGGGAGGTTTCGTGGTTTACATGACTTACTCATGGCAAGGGCGTATAGATTATCGTAGCGAATGCTCTTCTTTTGAAATGGATAGTGTAAATGCAGCACGCTCGCTACTATGCACGATGATAGACGACAGACGACGACAAGAACCCTTACTTATTCTTCGTCTGCTTATAGCTAAACTTTTGCCGTGTCGCTGCAAACTCGCCGAGCTTGTGTCCGACCATCTCTTCTGTCACTTCTACCGGTAGGTAATTTTTGCCGTTATGTACCATGAAGCGCAAGCCGACAAAGGCCGGTAGAATCGTGCATGCGCGTGCTTGTGTCCGGATGGGTGTGCGTTTCTTGAGGGCTTCAGAGAGGGACATGGGGAAGGAGACGACGAATGGACCTGATGATCAGCTCATGAAAGAACAAAAGGCGATCTATATACCCTTCCATACGGATCGTTTGAGGAGTATCCGTGCTGGCTGCATGCTGGATGTGTATGGTTTGGTCGTCGACGTCTACCAAAAGAAGTTGGCGACACGCCCGACACAGTATGACTCGGGCTGGGAACGCGCTGAGTGAAGGGCAGTGATATAGACGATGCTCATGGTAGAGATCATGCTCCTGCTATAGACACTTTGACATGAGAGGAGGTTGAACTAACCTATCTTGCTCGAGACATAGCTACAGGCACATCAATATACAATGTCGCACTTCCATATGACAAGGCCGGAAGTATCTCTGGCTCAGCCTACTGGTCGAACGAGCTTCTGGATCTATTCCTTTTGGATCCGAGTGAAGAACAAACTCAAGGGCGAAAGGCCGAGCCTGTAGTAGTCTTTGCCATAGATCAAAGTCCGCCTGGGACCGCCTTGATGGAGGCCCTTTGGTTGCGGATGAATGAGCTAGGGTGACATGGTTTCCTATAGCAGCCTGACCTTTCCCCTACCCGTTTGCAGTCTCTATAGACTCATGCACACCAGGCAGCACTGTATATACGAGGGTTGGTCATCCGCCCAGATCCCGCGCACTTTCTCTCTCCTCACTCACCAAGCAGCAAGCAACTCCGACTCCCTCACCCTCGACCTCCTCCTTCGACGCCAGCGTCCCTCGACGGGCTCAAGGCACAAGCAGCCTCCAGCAAGTTGCCTCTCTTCTTCCTTCCCGAGCAAAAGCCAGTCTTCTCCGCCGAGTGTTCCACCGACGACAATTTCCGCCCTCGAGCAACGTCAAACGGCACTCAACAGCTAGTACAAAACCCCTGTGTGCCTTGTCTCTATCTTATCAGTGTCTAGGAACAAGATACAAGCACGCAGACAATAATCGAAGCTTGACCAACAGCGACTCGCTATGTTCAACGCTGCTCAGTCCCCCAGCACGCCCGATGATGCATCACAGCACTCGCCGCGTCTCGCAGATCTGTCCCCTCCAGCACCGGCGCCGCTCGACCTCAAGGCCCCGATCCCTGAAGAGTCTGAAGCAGATGTTGCTGCAGAGTCGGATGGGTCAGGCTCACACTCACCCATCCACCAACATGCCGCAGCGGGTCTTCCCATCTCTGGCGCAACAGGGAAGCAAGCAGCAGCGCATGATGTTCATACGCCGAGTCCACTCTCTCTACCTGATGGACCCTTTGCAGATACAGGACGCGGTGTTCCGCCATCGCCTGGTAGAAATGCAGCGCCGTCGCGCGCATCTACCTTGCCTGCTCACGAAGGAGCTGGTGGTGTTGTCCGCAAGACGAGTACATCAGGCACTAAGCAGGCCGGTGGACATAGTCTCATTCGCAAGCTCTCTGGCATCCACATCTTTGGCAAGCACAAAGACAAACAAGGCTTGAGTTCCCCCGTGGATGACCAGAAATCCTTCAAACAAGCACAAGCAGAGCGTCATCAGGTTGAGCTCGTTCATCCTCGCACACAAGATGTTTCACAGCCGGCAGAAAACATGCGTCGGCAACGCTCTCCCTCCAACAATAACCTACAAACACCACCGGTTCAGCACGGTGGACGGGCCATGTTTAGTATGGGTGACTCGCGTGGCACAACCCCTGCAGCTACTCCTGGCGTCTCTCGCGGGCCGAGCAGACAAAGCTCTGTGCATGATTTGCCACAGAGTAGTGCGAGCAGTATGCAAGGAGACGCAGCGCATTCACCCACCTCTACAGTGCACCCACGTCATTCAGAAGCGCAAGCTTCACCGAGTATCATGGATGCGTTGCAAGATGACCCAGACTTCATGCCGAAACCCGTCCGCTCGCGCTCAACGTTTGGCTTTTGGTCCAAGGACAAGGATAAGCAGGCCACACAAAACATTGGTGGTGCTGATGTACGTCGTGTGTCCAGCTTCAATCACAACACCAATGGCGCGCCTGTTGCCGTGGATATTCCTGGACGGCCACGGTCCGGTACAGGTCAAAGCATGTCGGATCTCTCACGGACACTCAGCAAGACGTCCCTTGTTCGCGGTGCAGGCTGGGGTGCTATAACTGGACAACTCCCTAAATTCGACAACCTCTACGTCTACCAGGAAGCCGACTCGAAACTCCTCAAGCTTCCCAAGAAGGGCGCAAAAGGACAAGTGGGTGAAGGTGCCGGTGGACTTGTCCGTACCGCGCGTTTAAAGTCTGGTAAAAAGCCGCAATACCATGCTGAATCACAAGGTGGTGATCTCGGTCTTTTCGCAGTCAAGACATTCGCCAAGAAGCGGGAAAAGGAGGATGAAGGCTTTTACTGTGCAAAACTCGTGCGTGAGTTCCGTGTCCACTGTGCTTTGTCGCATGCGAATATCGTCAAGCTGGCGGATATCTGCGTTGAGGACCACAAATTCGGCGAACAGTCGTTTGTTGCAGTGATGGATTACTGTATCGGTGGCGACTTGTTTGACTTGCACTACCACGCCTACAATGCGATTGACCAAGGTGTCATGGGAAAAGCGGAGAAGAACTGCTGTTACAAGCAGCTCATGTTTGCCGTCAACTACATGCATCAGCAAGGCATCGCCCATCGCGACATTAAGCTTGAGAATATGCTCATGAACGGCCATGGTCAGCTTAAGCTCGCAGATTTCGGTACAAGTGTGTTTGTCTCTGGTCCTGATGCAGAGTCATGTCGCGGCGTCGTTGGCACAGACCATTCGATTCCACCAGAAGCCTATCAAAGCGGGTCACGAGACGGACCGGCGTATGATGGCCTCAAGGCTGATATATGGGCATGTGCGTGTGTCTTTCACTTTTTGACATGGGAGAATGACTCGCCTGCGGCTGCACTCAATGCGTATCCGTTTGGTGGTGAGGGAGCCGATCCACGACCCTCCAACAAAAACAAGTCATGGAGCAAGTACATCAACAACCTGAAGCGCTACGAGCCAAATAAGTTCTTGCCGGGCTATGAAGGTGGCGAAGTGGCCATGTCGCCGACTGGCAGTATGCCTGGAACACCCATCTCTCGACAGGCTTCAAGTGTGCACAGCAGCGACAATGGCTTCCCCGGCAGTTATGCGAGCAAGCACACCGTGCATTCCGTGACGGATGCATCACTCGATGACTGTCGTGACCCACTTCGAAAGAAGGCGCCGTTCTGCAGATTACCGGCATCCAGCTTTACCTCCATGAAGGGCATGTTTGATCCTAATCCCGATACCCGCTGGACGGCCGAGATGGTTTTGCAGGATAAATTCTTTGACTTGATTGATTGCTGCCAGCAAGACTCCAATCCAAATGGCTACAGACCGTCTGCTGCACGGCACAAGAAGAAGCAGGGACAGCAGAGTAAAGTGCACAATCACATTCGGCCTGGAGCGCGCAAGTTGATGGAGAGCAACAGTGTTGAGCAAGGAAGGCATCAAGATCAGGTGAATGAGATGCGAAGTGCCTTGCCTTCCTCATAATTGTTTAAATGTGTTTATGTTATACTAAAGATGGATCTATGTGACTGTTGTCTTACCTATACTTGACGCTTCTCGTCTTGAGCTGCAGTCTGGCCCCTGATCTACTCTATTGCTTGCTCCTTGTATCTCTATGGTCGCGGATGATCAAAGCTCTATTCTCAGAGCGCAGGCTCGCGTCAATGCTGATGGGTCGCCAAAGCTCACTGGATGGGCAGAACTCGTCGACTTGGTCCGAGCCAATGACTTGGCAGCGTTGACACGCACGCCAGCTCAGCTGGAAGAGTACTTTAGCTGGAAGCAACAAGTGCTAGAGACGTATCCAGGTGTAGAAGCATTTATTCTACAAGAAAGACTGCACTGGGAGCGCATTGATGGCGTGGCTTCAACAGATGCACACACCTGCACGACCCTGCAAGACGGAAGGCTCGTCTCTTCGCAGGGATTCCAAGTGGCTGCACCTAACCTGTTCCAAGATCAACGTGATTGGAAGTGCCTCAAGAATGACTTCCCTTATGGCTTTGAGGATGATATCACCCACCTCGTAGTCTGGTTGAAGCATGCTCTGCCTCAAGACGCTGACGGTGTACTTGAGCCCGACACACAAGTGCAGGTCGAGTCCTTCATTTACACGCACCTGTGTAAGAATCTACCACGCGAACGCATCGTCTTCTTTTTCAATCCGCCCAGTCTCAAGAGCATTGGGGCTCTTGAACACTTTCACGTCTGCTTGCAGGGTGTCGACTACCGTGAGTACGTCACGAGCCATTCATAGAGCAGAGTTCAATCATCCGTGCCGAGCAGTGTGTCTAGTAATTGTCCAACTTTGTGCATGTCTTCATGATCACTGGGCATCGGCAAACCGAGTCCTATGAGCGCTTGCTGCTGCGCTGCGAGCATCTGCTTAAAGGCAACGATGAGCTTTTCATCATACTTTCTGAGCGTGGCTTTCTCTTCTGCATCAATGAGCGCGTCATCAGCTGATCCACCGACAGCACGGATGACTGTATTGGCTTCTCGCTTCTTAACAAAATCCTGCTGGATCTTGGCACGCGCTGCTGCCCATGCGCGTTCATTCAGGTCTTGCGTGGCACGTAGCTCTCGCACTTGGGAAAGCAGCTTTGGGTTTTCTTTGGTGAGCTTTACTATTTCAGCGAGTACCTCTGGCCATGACTTGTTGCTCGAGGCCATGCAGAAGTAGCCCTGGTAGACAGTCAGGTACTGCTCACTTGCTCACTTGGTAGACTTTGTATAGAGCCAGAGTCTGTTCCTGGCACCGTGAGACAAACTTAACTTTTTTGGACGTGACCTCAGCAGCAAGCGACCAGGCAGACAAGGAGTGCATCCATTGCAGCTCAGCCCATGTTGTATGCCCTATCCTAAGAAACGAAAGCATACAGACGGCCCAGTAGATTCATCTAGCGCATCTTCGAAAAAGCAGAAAGACGAAAGCATGCTCAAGGGCACACTCAAGCATGTCGCAGCATCAGCGCGTGCTTTCACTGCATCAGCATCGAGCCAAGCACCGCAAGCTGCAACTCATACCCGCAGTAGTGGAGCTCCTGTCGCGGCTAAGTTTGGTTTCGGTAGCGGTGGAAAGCAGTGGAAGAAACTAGTCACTCCTCTCCCTGAAGGAAGGCAACCTACTCGCCATCAGCAAAGAAGTGGACGCAGCACTCGATCTGGTCATGCTGGGGAGTCACAGAGAAATCGTGGTGCTCAAAGTAGAGGAAACCGAGTACTGCACACAGAGGAATACATCAACAATTCGTATGAGCTGCCTAGGGCAGCTGACTATGGACTCGCAAAAGAACCTGTTGATTACCCTTCCGAGCTCCTGGCTGCTGCCAACCTGCTGGTACAGCGCGATTTGACTAGGCAAGCTGCGAATGCCGTTTGCGCCTTTCGTTGTAGACTCACCGTTGAATTGGACGGTCTCCTTCTCAAATGCATTGGTGATGGCAAGAGCGCAGAGCAGGCAAAGGAGAATGCAGACTTGCATGCTATTGCGCAGTTGCACCAACAAGGTCTTTTGAAAACAATTTTGCCTGGTGGTGAGCATGCGTCCGTGTCAAAGGATATACTTGTACTGCAGAAAGACCCACGCCTCGACATCATCAACTTTGCTGCGCGACATGATTGCCTGCCAACCTTTTCAATACGCTCGCGTCGCTCAAGACTCAAGTCAAGAGAAATGCATCGCGCTACAGTAGAGATTAAGGAGCTGGGCTTGATTGGACATGGAACGGCAAGTCAGCTAGCGATGGCTGAAAAGGCTGCTTGTGTTGCTCTCAAGGTTGCCGCTGAACAGATGCATGAGCAGACGGGCGATGGCACGCTCCTGGTCAAAGACTATACCAAGTTGACTCTTGCCAGCGCGAAGCAATTTGTGGAATTCTACTGCTACCATTTCCGCGCTCGGCATGTCATGGATGCGCAAATTGGCAAAGGCCTCAAAGGCAGATCCTCGTCTTGGCTTGCTTCAATAACGTTGCACATGCCACAAGCTGAAGGCGTGACGGCCGACACGACAGCACTGCCTGTCGCAGAAGAAGATGGCGTTGAAACCAAGTCTCGCACAGAGCGCACTTTTGTCAGCGAGCTGGCTGGTGCCAATAGGAAGGACGGTGAGGATCTGGCCTACATTTCTGCCGCATTGGTTCTCAAGCGGGAATCTCCTGATGTCTGGAAGAAGTTTGTCAAGGAAATGAAGCGTGGAAACGGTGAAGTGCTCAAGCCTCTCAAGCCTATTGATATTGATGTTGATTATACGGCAACTACCACCATGCAATCGACCATTCGTGAAGTCTCAAAGGTCCAGCAGCGCGATACAAGGGAACATCAGCAGGATGAACCTGATGCAGGGAGGCAACAACGCACACACCACTACCGAGTTCAACGATTGTCGTCGCAAGAGCATGAGAAGAAGTCTGCTACCATGCTAAGCCAATACAACCGCTACCTGCAGGAACCCAGCCTCGGCCCCTTGCGGGAGAAGCGTGAAGCGTTGCCCATGGTGCAATATCGAGATCAAGTCATGAAGCTTGTTTTGGACAATGACATTTGCGTCGTTGTTGGTGCAACCGGTTCTGGCAAGACGACTCAATTGCCGCAACTCATTCTTGAGCATGAGACGCTGAATGGTGCAGGCAGTGCGTGCAATATCATCTGTACGCAGCCACGTCGTATCGCTGCTGTGTCTGTGGCTCAGCGAGTCGCTGTGGAGCGCGACGAAAAGCTACAAGACTCTATCGGTTATCAGGTCCGATTTGACGCCAAGCTACCCCAGTACGGCGGATCTGTTACGTACTGCACAACTGGTATTCTGCTTCGTCAACTCCAAGACAATCAAGAGACAACATTGGATAGCATTTCGCACATCATTGTGGATGAGGTTCATGAGCGAGACCTTCAGATTGACTTTTTGCTTGTTGTCCTCAAGCAACTACTCAATGCGCGTCGCGAGGCTGGCAAATCACCCGTCAAGCTAATTCTCATGAGTGCAACGATCGATACGACCTTGTTTTGCAAGTACTTCGGTCAGAACTTTGAAGGTGGCCGGTGTCCCTTCATTGAAGTGCCTGGACGGACATTCCCCGTGACGCATCATCCACTCGAGGAGATTGTCGATGTGCTCAAGGGCTATGATCGCAAGCTTGTGACAGAACTTGGCTCACGCGATACAGCAGCTTATGTGATGCGCGAAATCACAGAGGCGCCTACATTCAGCATATCTGCACCCGTCAGCGAGCGTAACAGTGAGGACGGCGATGAGCGCGCCGTTATTGATTGGAAGTCTCAAGGTATTGTCGGTGAAGATGGTGAGCTTGATGTCGGTGTGGACAAGGAGGATACAACGACGCCTGTTGGCTTGATGAGCTTGACTATTGGCCATTTGCTCAAAACCACAACAGACGGCAGTATTCTCGTCTTCTTGCCTGGTTTGGCAGAAATCACTGCACTCAACCGTCTGCTCACCACAACAAAACCCCTTGGTGTTGACATTGTCAGTGAACCCATGTTCAAAATTTACATGCTTCACTCTGCCATTCCACAGATGCAGCAGGAAGTCTTTGAGAAGCTCGCACCTGGCTACCGCAAGATTATTCTTTCCACCAACATTGCAGAGACAAGTATCACCATTCCAGATGTCGTGTATGTTGTTGACTCGGGTAAGCACCGCGAAACGCAATACGATCAAGCGAAACGTATTTCAGCCCTCATCTCCACTTGGATCAGCAAGTCCAACTCGCGTCAACGTGCAGGACGTGCTGGTCGTGTTCAGCATGGTCACTACTACAGTATGATTTCTGAAAAGCGCTATGAATCTCTTGAAGTCGCGCCTCAGCCTGAAATCCTTCGCACAGACTTGCAAGACCTTTGTTTGCAAATCAAGAGTATGGGAATTGAGGATATTCGTGGTTTCTTGCAACAAGCGATTGAACCACCGTCGCCAGCGGCTGTGGAAGCTTCGGTTGATCACCTGCAGGCTCTGGCCGCGCTTGATGAGAATGAAGCCCTGACGCCACTTGGTAGAGTCCTATCTTTGCTACCCGTTCGTCCATCGCTTGGCAAGATGGTGTTGCTGGGTTCAATCTTCAAATGCTTGGATCCAGTTTTAATCATGGCATCTGCCGCCGAAGTCAAGGATCCCTTCCTTCGACCGCTCGAAAAGCGCGGCGAAGCTGATGACATCAAGCTCGGCTTTGCAGCTGGTACAGGCAGTGATGTGCTTGCTGTGGTGCATGCCTTTCAACAATGGCGTTCCGTGAGAGCCGAGCAGGGTATGGCTGCAGCGAAAGACTGGTGTTTCCGCAATTTTTTGCACTTTGGTTCAATGGTGCAGTTGGCGAGGACGTGCGAACAGACACTCGAGACCGTCTCCAAGACAGGCTTGTTGGCGCCTGCGCGAAAACAGCGAGGCATGGCAAAAATGTTTGGCACGCCGGAGGAAAATATGAATGCAAATTCGTTGGCCTTGCAGGCTGCGCTCGCCACTGCTGGTTTCTACCCAAATCTCGCAGTACAGACATTCAATGCGCGGCTTTTACGAACAGCCTCTGACAATGCTGCCGTGATTCATCCATCATCGTTGGCAGCGCCGAAAAGGTTGAACGGCAACCGACATGGTCGAATCCCCTCTGAATCTGTCATTCCCGTTGGTGCTTTGTTTGTGTATGCGCAAAAGACCCAAGCAGACGGCTCACAGATTGCTCTGCGTGGTTGCACACGAACATCGCCTTTGTCGGTGGTGCTCTTTGGTGGCGAGTCCAAGCAGGATGGTCCACTCATTCGCGTGGATGAATGGGTGCCATTCTATACGCGTGGAGAGCAAAAGTCTGCCATCATGCGCTTCAACCAATTGCTTCGGTTGTACCTGGAGCGTACCTTTGCCAATCTTGGTATGGCCAGCATGGAGCATCTTCTAGGACGTGGCGGCCGTGGTGGGACTGGATCATTGATGCAAGATCCTGTGCGTGATCCGCTCGTCAGGGGTGTAGTGGGCGCACTAGACCAAGCATACAAGGTCATCACACGAACACGGGCAGCAAGCTTTGTGCACCATACAACGAGCCGGCGAGCAGGCTATGCTGGTGGGCGTGGTGGTGGTATGACCAGTGGCTCATCCGCCAGGTCATCGGGTCGTTCTTTTGCTGGTGCGAGAGGAGACCAGTCAGCTGGAGCTGCAGCGGCTATCGATTCGGACTTTGCAGACTTGTTTGCGGAGCAGAAGAGAAGATGACACAGCAGAGATAATGTACGATAGCATGATGCACTATATAATGAGACCCCCCTCAGCTGAAGAACTACTTGAAGAAGTCCTTGAAGCAGTTACTCGAATTACTTGAAGCAGTTACCTGGAAGTAGCCCCGGTTGCGGTGGTCGAGGCTTGGCGGCAGATTTGAAAAGTGACGCACAAGCAGCAACGACCACGACCACCAGCCGCTAGCTATAAGACTCCTTCTTGGCCAGTATCCTTGACTGGAACTCTCCTTGTCTCTGCACTTCACTGGAATAGCGGCATCTCGCAGCAGCAGCAGCAGCAGCAGCAGCAAGCTAGCAAACACCATCCCCAAACAAGGCGCGTCACCGTTACACAAGCAATGATCGCCACACTGCTCGCCCTCGCGGCAGCCTTGTCTACAGCAGCAGCAGGGCTCTCTGCCGATAATGTTGTGTCCTCTCCGGATATGTACATTCGTGTGCCACTCACAAAGCAAGACACCGTTCTGGGCACCACCACAGCCATGCGCAAGCGCCAGGCGCAGCCATTTGCAAACGGCTCACTCACCATCACGCCGCGCTACTCCAGCTACACGGCAAACTTGACGGTCGGCTCACCAGGCCAGACGTTGCAGCTGATTTTGGATACCGGGTCACCCTTGACCTGGGCGAATGCCGCCAACATCTCCAACTTTGTCCCCGGCGATACGCCTGCACAAGCAGCGCGTCGTGGGCAGCGCACGACCATCTGCCAGCAAGCGAGTTGCTTCAACCCAAATGCGTCAAGCACCAACACAGTGCCCGGCAACTCGTCCGTCTTCCAAATCGCCTATGTCGATGGTACTACCTCGATTGGCCGCGTCGTACAAGACACGGGGACGTTTCTCGGTTTGACAGACACTACGTTTGAATTTGGCTTGGTGGAGTACAGCTACAGTCCCGGCAGTCTTGAGCCTATTGGTGGTATAATTGGCATGTCGCCACAAGCGCCCGTTCAAGGCTTCTCCTCCATTGCCGGTGCCTTGCAACAACAAGCCGCGTCCATCTACACACCACAGACAATTCAGCAGCAGCTCAAAAATGCAGGACAAATCCTAACAGAGGCCTTCTCACTCTTCCTGGACGATGAGTACTCTGGCGAGCTGCTCCTCAGTGGTGTTGACGCAGGCCGTTACTCTGGTCCGCTCATCATGGTACCTATTGTGGACGATGCAACAGAGCTCGGTTCTCGCTTCTCGGTCTCTCTTGCAGCATTGGGCATCAATAATTCATCCACAACTGTTGCCCCCAGTACGGCACTTGCACCAACCCTTGATTCCGGTACGACATCGACCTATATTCCAGCCGATTTGCTCGCTGCCATTGCACGAGGTCTTGGGGCAAATGTGATTGATACCTCGTCTGGTTCTCTCATGGCGCTGCCTTGTACACAAACAACAAACCAAACAATCGACTGGTACTTTGCCAACAATGCCAAGATCCGGATTCCGCTCGCCGCCATGCTCGATGGTGTTTATCCCTCTGCGGCTGGGTCTTCCTTTGGCTTTCCAGGCCGTCAAGTGTGTGTTGTTTCGTTGTTTGGCGTGCAACCAACTGCAGACGCAAGCTATATCCTCGGCGATTCCTTCTTGCGCTCTGCCTATGTCGTTTATGATGAACCCAACGGTCTCATTGGACTTGCGCAAAGTGCGTATGACGGCGTTTCACAGATAAGTCCCATTCAACCCGGTGCATTCGGTGTGCCTGGTGCCGTGTATAACCGCTCTTCACCAGGTGCTGCAGCTGTTGCATCGATTCCATCCATTTCAAGGACCGTTATTCTCGGTGCAACGAGTGTTCAGCGATCCGGTGCCGGTGGGACGGGTACCCCTGCTGCAGCTGCAGGTGGTGCAGGCTCAGCAACCACAACGAGTCGTGCGGCGGGCATGTCGCTCTCGAAGCAAGCGCCGTTGCAGCGTCGTATGCATGGATGGGAGGCAGGTCTTCTTGCTAGCTTGGTCGGTGCTGTATGCATGGGTCTTGCGTTATAGACGAGGACATTTCATTTCTTCATAGTTTCTGCATGTATCTCATTAAAAATCTGTCATTGCTTTACCCCTGGAATTCAACTACTTTGCATACAAGGTCAGCCTCGCACACGTCCCTTGACTGTCTCGCATCTGCTGCAATGCCTCCTCCACTGCATGCTGCAAATCTTCTTCATCGCACAACATGACCAAGTCTCCTTCACCTGAATGCTGAGCTTCACGGATACACAGCTTCTTGACGGGCAAGCGTGTTTTGGCTTCCACTTTATCCATGAGTTTATTGAGTGGCATGGCGAGTAATTGTCCAAAAGTCAGCCGTACAACCCGTGCAACATCCTGTGCGTCGTTGTCGTGGGCATGTAGGATACGGAGTTGAATGGGTGTTGCGCTACTTGTGTGTGTGCCACTCTTGACAGACGCCATCTTGCGTGGACTGATGTCGTGCTGGGAGACGCGTGGCTGAGTGAGATCATATGCATTCCCGAAATAAATATCCCCGGATGGTTCTTCATAGTCTGCGACGAGCGATAGGTAAGGATGCACAGGAGCTGGTTCATAGTCCAAGGAAGCAGATCGGATATGTGTTGGCAGTTTTGAGCTCGATGCAACAGAAGACTGTTTGCGTGATGCCAACGACGCTGCTGATGAAGCAGAAGATGTCGAAGCAGACCGATGAGGTACAGTGCCAGTGTATGGTCGATCCGGTGGAGGTGTGGGTGGCAAGTGACGATTCAATTTGCGTGACCACTCTGGTTTCTCCAAATCAAGCTCTGTTGATGAAGTCCGTTGACGACTGCTACTGACAATACTGGAGCCTGGTAAACCAGGTCGTACAGGTCGGACAGGCGGTGTTTGACGATGACTGATGACGGGAGCCGATTCCTTGCGCGGTAAAGGTGGTGACATATCTTTGCGTGGGAGTGTAGGCGGTTGCGAGACAGATTGACTGCGTAGCCGTTGCAAGCCAGGTCTCGGCATTGCTTGTCGAAGGAGCGGTTCAGAGCGTGTACTGCCACTCAATGAACCTGATCGACTACTCACACTACCCTGCCGCAGACTCTGTCGGACTAGATTTGCAGAGGCGTAACCTTGCTGCTCTGGTTCATTTTCTCTTTGTTGTTTTTGCATCTCCTCAAATGCTCGAAAGCCGGTGTAATTGTCTGATTCATCTGTTGCTGCCACCAAGCGTGCTTTACCGAGATAGTTGCGAACGGCCAAGTTGCGTACTTTTTGGTCGAGTGGTCGGTAGAGTGTTCCTGTGGGTACGGAAAAGACGGTATAGCCTTCGCCTTGATCTCGAATAGCTTCGTCGACAATATCATGCGCTGGTGTTTGCTTCTCTTGCAAAGCGAATTGTAAATCTTGCATGCCGTCACGATCTTGGTTGAGTTGGAAGTAGCACAGACCGCGGTTGAAAAGGACTTCACAGGCATAGAGCTTATACCGCAATCCAAGTTGCTCATAGTCAATGGACTTATTGCCACGTAAATGGAAGAGTGCTTCATTGAAGGATCGCATTGCTGAATCCATATTGCGTAGATGGTAGTACGACACGCCACACTGAAAGAAGGCAACAGCCATATAGGCATCTTTTGCAATCGCCGCTTCAAACAAGGAAACAGCTTCGACATGTTGTCCCAAGTCGGCAAAGAGTCTTGCCATGTTGAAGAGGATCTTACTCGTGGCTGTGATACTTTTGAAGAGTTGTAACGCAGCAGCATAGTCTTCCTCATCGTAGGCTGCCAGCGCCTTGACGGAGACTTCCAAATCGTGTTTATTCGACATTGTGTGGTTCAAAAGAGGGCTGTGGATGAGAGAGGGACGAGCGGATGGGCGGCTGCCTTATGCGTCGTGGTGAAGGTGCGCGCACAAGCAGTTCCGTCAGTCTCTGCTACACGCACTCTCCAGAGAGTCGTCCGTTTTACAGCAGGTGTGCGAGCGTTAGGACGGGTACGATAGCGAAGAGCGTTGGCCTGTCTATTGATCTGAGACGTGTTTTGAATGAGCCGATGGAGCGAGGGTCATTTCGAGGGTGTGCCACTCAGCGCCTCAGACGGGCGTTGTTTCATGTTGGCCTTTTCTGATGGCGGTATAGCAGCGGTCGTTTGAGAGAAAGAGCGTGATCTGTGCATTGTCATGGGCAGTTATACGCAAAGCATCATCAAATCTTGTGTAGCAGTAGTAAAAGTAGTTCTATGTCGTTGAGGACAAAGACATCAAAAATCAAAAGTACAGACAATGAATTAGAATTATGCTGCTACAGCGATTCAAGCAGAAAAGAACGCTCAGAAGGCAGGAAATAGGTGTCCATACGGATCCGGACCTTGTTGCCCATACGGCTCTTGGTCTTCTGAGTAGACATCAAACAAGTGTGCATCACCCGCTGCACCTTTGAGGGGTGGGGTGTAGGGTGGTTCGATATCTCGCCTAGCCAGCCGTTCCCAATTCACTTCACTGAACCACGCGTGTTCCATAATATCGCGCGATCCATTACGCAAGTTGCCATAGCGTTTTGTGAGATCCGCGGTAAGGAGTTTTTGTAGAAAGTCTTTTGCTGCTGGTTCAAAGTAGCTCGGGTAACGGACGTGACCGGCAAGAATGTTTTCATAGAGCTTCATTGGGTTTGGATCATAGAAGGGTGGGTGGCCGGCAAGCATTTCATAGGTGAGAATGCCCAGTGACCACCAGTCCACCGATTTGTTGTAGCCCTTGGAAGCGACTACTTCAGGGGCAAGGTAGTCGGGTGTGCCACACAGCGTCCAGGTGATGTCTGGCACCTCCTTGGCAAACCCGAAATCAGTAATTTTGATGTGTCCATGACGGTCCAGCAGCAGGTTTTCTGGCTTGAGGTCGCGGTAGATGATGTCGTTGTGGTGCAGGTAATCCAACGCTAGACACACCTCTGCTGCATAAAACTTTGCGACTGGATTAGGGAAACGATGAGACTTGCGCAACAGGGAAAAGAGTTCGCCGCCCTCGATGAAGTCCATGACCATGTAGAGGTTCTTTGAATCGAAAAAGGTGCCCCAGAGGGTGATGGTGAAGGGGTGCTTGACTTTGCGCAACATGGAGCGTTCGTCGTTTGTATGTTCGATTTGCTTCATCTTGACGACTTGCTGCTTCTTGAGCACTTTAATGGCATAGAAGCGGGAGTTGTGACGTGACTGAACGAGATGTACACGTCCAAAGGAGCCCGTGCCCAGGGTGCGTTGGATCTGAAAGTCAGCGAGCGTATACTTGCCGCGTGTCTCTCTAGCAACGAGGGCGGGGCCTCTGGAGACACTCAAACCAGACTGGATGGTTTGCTTGTTGAGAGGGAGTTCCTGCTCGTAGGCCATGGTGTGTGAGGTGGGCATGGTGGGTGTGCTTTGGTTTGAGCGCATGGAGGCGGCTTGCTGGGTGCTGCGTGCGTCGTCGACCATCATGCGGTCCATATCTGAGGTGGGTGGACTGTAGCCGCCTTGCTGCTGCTGCTGGTGCTGCTGATGTTGCTGGTGATGCTGACTCTGCGCACTGGAGCCCGTTGGTGTCTTTGCAAGAGGAGGCATGGAGCGCGGTACTTCCTTCTCATGTGTGTAGTGATTGCCTGCTGCTGCTACGTTAGAGATGCGCTTTGAGGGAGTATGGCTGCTGTGTCTCTGTCGCTTTGTAGACATGGAGACCTTGAGATGAGGACGTACCTTGCGCTGTGTAACCTGGCTGGTCGTAGTTTTGATGCTGCTGGGTCGGGGCCTGAGGGTCTTTTGCGATCTGAGTTGCGCTCTTGCTGCGTTTGAGCTTGGAGGCAAAGGCCTTCATGCTGTATGCTGTATACACTGTATATACACTGTCTATGCTGTATACTGTCTGTATATACACTGCGTATACTGTCTGTACTATGCTGCGTACTGTGCAGTTACTTAAGTCCGCTTTGGGAAGGATCAGCCACCAGCCATCTCGCATGGGAAATCAAGCAGTCACACATACAGAAGTAGTATAGTGTAGTGTAGTAGTATAGTATAGTAGTAGAGTAGAGTAGTAGAGTATAGTAGAGAAGAGTAGAGAGACAGAGTAGTGAAGCAGAGAAGAGAAGAGAAAGAAGCAGAAGAAGTATCCAGGGGCACAGTCATCCATTCATCAGATACATCCTGCTCTCATCACCAGCAGCTACATGCAGTACTCATATCTATAGTAGACAGTCAGTAGCAAACAACATCCACTGTACACAGCTCATCACAGCCTCTATTTGTGACGGGCTATTTCCCTCCTGCTGCCCATCTCAACAGGAGCATCAAGCATCACTACGACCAGACACTGGCACTGACTGGCTATTAGACTGCTGACTGACTGCTGCTGACTGCTGACTGCTGCTGACTGCTGACTGCTGCTGACTGCTGCTGACTGCTGACCCTCCCGCTGTGCATGCTCTCGCACTTCCATGCTGCCAAAAAGGCCCTCTCTCGCGGCACACTCAGCTGCCATAAAGCAGACCAACTCACAAAAGACACGGAGGCAAACCTACAAAATGCCATACACCTCCAACAGCACATCACACACCTCCGTGAAGCACTTCATGCACAAATCCATACACTCAGCTTACTAGCCCATACGTTTCGTGGCGAAGCACGGGCCGGTCAGACCCTATTTGATGGAACGCTCAGGGAGCTAGATGGCTTGGATGGACAACTCAATACGGCGCTTGCCATGCTGAAACGAGCACGACTACCGCGTGTTTTAGTACAGCCTAGCGCTCAACAGCTCGAGAGTGTGAGTAGTGGCAGCTCACTAGAAACAGGCAACAGTGCCATCACGCGCTCCAAGACCTTGTTTGATTTCGCTGATGATCAAGGAATTGAGCAGCTCAAGGGCGGTCTGCGTCAAGCAGTGGATGACTTGCAAGAAAGTCAAGAACAGCTCGCATCACTCTACGCAACATTCGATGGACACGTCCGTGCATTGGACAAAACACTCGCTCTGCTACCAACAGACCCAATCCTCCTGTTGCCTCAAATTTCACAATCGCACAGACAGGGCGATGCCTTATCGCTCTCAGCTACGGCCGAGACGTGTCGTGCACAACAGGCAGAACACCTCGTTTCACTAGCAGAACTGTTATTGTCGCTCTCGCAGCACTACGATCACACTCAGACACTCTCAACCTCAAGCGCAGCCCTCCCTCAAGATGCACGAGCAGAACTACGTGAGGTAGTGGAGGAAGATGCAGTACAACTTGAGGATGTCCTTGCAGAGATGGATGAGCGCGTGGTGGACCTCGAGGAAGACTTGACCTTTGTCACGAACCATGTCGCCGCACTCCAGCAAGTGACGCAGCAGCTGGAAGAGGCATTCAGTGTTTTTGAAGCACTTGATATCGATACGCCTGTGCATACACTAGACGACATCAGAGCAACACGGACGACACGCGAAATGACACTCGATATGCGACGCGAGCAGCTCCTTGGCCTTGCTGAGCAATTCACGCAATTCAGCAGATCCTATGACGCACTACTCCTTGAGATTGATAGGCGTGCACAGCATGATGCAGCAGTGGATGCATTGATGGAGCAAACACAGCGGCAGCTTGAGCAGCTGCAACAACAAGAGATGGCAGAGCGTGCTGCGTTCCTCTCCATGCATGGCGCATCGCTGCCTGAGGATATCTGGCATGGAATCAGGGATTCGCCTGCTGGGTGGGTGATGCAGCGTGAACAGGATGCACAGACCACGCCAGTTTTGTCACAGAGTGTGCTGCAGGCTGCCAGATCGCGACATGCCCAGTGGAGCCAGTCTCGGTGATGTTGCGGTTGTGTCTCCTGCCTGTTCCCTGGCGATGACCTCCTGAAACACGACAAAGTCGCAGTCAACAGTCGCCCGCAAGCAAGCAACAAGCTACAGCGAGTGTGTGTTTGTCCACTGCGCTCTCTCCCTTTAGCACGGACAACGGTCCCCGTCTCTGTTCTTCACAGACACACCGCTAGAAAAGCATGGCAGATACTGCGCAGGGAGAGACTTCCTCACCAAGCAACCATGCAAGAATCATCTCTCGCCTGCCGCTACCCGCCAGTCATACCTCACCTATCCGTGACAGTGCGAAACACTCAAGCACAGACAAGGATGAGCGCTGTATCTTGAGAGACTCGGATGGCAGTCGCGTCAATGGACGTCGTGCATCCTCACCACCGCTCGCAACAGACACAGAGCATCTACAAAAGCCATCCAGCCATGTCGACAGAAGAAGCATGGCATGTGCTCTGCCAGCTAGTCTGAAGCGCGACATTAGTGCCTTTGGACCGCCTCGCAAGTTCAGCAGACCTAAAGCAACGCTCTCACAATCGCTACCGGTTCCTAGCACGACAGCAACCTCATCTGCACCAACACTACGCACATTGACAGGCAAGGGATTCGGCAGACGGACACAAGCAGTCGTGGTGAATGCTCCAGGACGACGGAGTACACCCCCTGGCTCACCTACAACGATGCATGGTTTACAAGCGGATTTTTCAGATTTACGAAATTGCTTTGCAGAGCTCAGTGTCACGGTGGCGAGACAGCATGAACGGATCAAGTGTCTCGAGGATGTGCTGGCGCGTGTAGTGCAAGGCTCAACAGGTGCTGGTGAGATGCATGTTGTCGATGAGAGGTGAGATTTGTTATGCTGGCGCTGCTTGGTTCTTGTGAGCTTCTTTATCCTTTTGTACAGTACACCTGAGTAGCTCTACATTACAAGACACTGCTACCTGCCACCTGGTGATGTCGTGGTCAAGGGAGAGGAAGCTTCAGAAGACAACGACAAGAAAAAAGTTGAGCAGCGACCAGGCGACACGACATGGCAGAACAGAGACACGCAGAAGTACAAGCAGCGGCCCTTCCTACAAGAGATTCTGCACTCGCCTATATCGATCAGGCAGCCGAAGCACCCACACAAACAGATCCTGCGCTCAATGATGAAGAGTACAACACAGACGACTACCTCCTCGATGCAGGCGCTACTTCAGACAGCGATGACGAGGGTGCGTATGACGATGACCTGAACGCAGGCTGGGATGGTCATCGCGGGGACTTTACAAAAGCATATAACCGACAAAAGCAGATTGTCCAAGCAACAGGCGCTTCTGCATCCTCAACGCGCACAACGGCACCCTTACCTCGCTTCAATCCGAGTGCGCAGCGGGCGCTTGTTGCTGAAAAGGCAGCAGCAGAGGGAAATGCTGCTATGCTTGCAAAGCTGGCTGGCCGATTGAATCTCAATACATCCTCAGAGAAGACAACTTCAAGCAATAAAGACAAAAGCGATCGCGCCACGTCTGAACAAGTACTGGATCCCCGTACGCGCATCATCCTGCTCAAGCTCATCAACAATGGTGCGATGCATGCCATTTCAGGTTGTATTTCTACAGGCAAAGAAGCCAATGTCTATCATGCAACGACAGAAGATGGCCGCAATCTCGCCGTCAAGATTTATAAAACCTCCATTCTTGTTTTCAAGGACAGAGACAAGTATGTGTCTGGTGAGTTTCGCTTTCGTCAAGGGTATGCAAAGTCAAATCCGCGCAAGATGGTCAAGTTGTGGGCGGAGAAGGAGATGCGAAACTTGAAGCGATTGTACCAAGCTGGTATTCCTTGTCCTGAACCCATGACGCTGCGGTCCCACGTCCTCGTCATGTCCTTCCTTGGTTCTCGCGATGGTTGGGCATCCCCAAAACTCAAAGATGCAGAGCTATCAGCCGACAAGGTGGAAGTCTTGTACTATCGCCTCCTTGCATTCATCCGCAAACTATGGCAAGTCTGTCATCTTGTGCATGGTGATTTGTCAGAATACAATATTCTCTACCACAAGGGCGATCTCTGCATCATTGATGTATCACAATCCGTCGAGCATGAACACCCGCGGTCTCTTGAATTCTTGCGCATGGATATCACGAATTGCACAGACTTCTTCAAACGTTCTGGCGTTGAAGTGCGCAGCGAGCGTGCAGTCTTTGAGTATGTGACAAAGGACGGCGACGAAGCATCCTGCAATGATATGGAAATGATGGTCGCAGATGCAAAGCGGTTGCCACAAGCAGCAGCGGAGGAGTCTGTCGAGGATTCCGTCTTTCGTCAAGCATACATTCCTCAAAACCTGGACCAAGTGTATGACTTTGAGCGTGATGGAGCACTCGTGGAACAAGGTGAAGGACAAGATTTGATTTACAAGAAGCTCATCAAGTTGCCGGATGCCAAATCTGCACGCATGGTGGATCTCATGGCGGATGTCGACGAAGGCGACAACGATGCACCCATCTCTTCTGATGATTCTGATACTGCGAATTCACAAGGCGCCTCACAGGATGATTCTTCGGACGGCGAATACAGCGACATGGAAAACATTCCACCTGCTCGTCTCAAGCGTTTCCAGGACAAGGACGAAAAGAAGGATCACAAGGCACAAGTCAAGGCGGACAAGGCAGAGAAGCGTGCTGCCAAGATGCCAAAGCACCTGAAAAAGTCAAAAATAAAAAAGAGCCAGGGCAAGAAGCATTAGCATATAGCGTCATTGCATATCAATTGTTTTACATGAGGACGCCCTTTGTGCTGGGGACATCGTCTTTACCCGTGAAGCTAGTGGCATCCTTCAAGGCCAATGCCAGCGATTTGAAGGCTGACTCTGCACGATGGTGATCATTGAATCCCTTAAGACAATCAACATGGAGCGTGATGTGAGCATTCTGAGCAAAGGACTCCAGGACATGCGGAATCATCTCGCATGACAAGTCCCCAATCTTTTCCCGCTTCAAGCCAAGATCGATACTCGCATGTGGGCGATTAGAGATGTCAACCACCGATCTCGAGAGTGCTTCGTCAAGAGGTGCAAAACCAACACCGAAACGCTTGATGCCCTTGACTGGGCCGAGGGCTTCCTTGAAGGCAGATCCAAGCGCCAGTGCACAATCTTCTGCTGTGTGGTGATCATCAATGTGCAAGTCTCCTTTACAAGTAAGATTCAGCGACCAGCCTGCGTGTTTCGCAAGGGCATGGAGCATATGATCGAGGAAGCCGATACCCGAGCTCACACTGATATCTTGTCCGCCCGTCTTTTGCGACGCATGTTCAGCGTCGCCTGATGCGGACGAGGCCAATGATCCGCCATCAAGTGAGAGACTGATATCGATGGATGTCTCGTTTGTCTTTCTGCTGATCTGAGTGCTTCTCGCCATCCTGAGCTGTTCTATCTGGTGTAAGGCTCGGTCTAGCTTTTGATCTGACGTCGTCGACGCATCTACTTTTTTTCTACAACTTCAAACTACACATTCATCGTCACACGTCGCAGACACTTGTAGAAGGCCGACACGCAATGGCCGACGAGAAGCCCGTCAAGCCTCCCAGGCGACGCTTCCAGGGTCTTTCGGCCAAACGTCGAGCCGCTCCAACCGCCCAAGAAATCGAAGACGGTGTCGTGGTTGCGCAGGATAAACCACAGTCGCACGCAGGTCGGCTCGTCAATCAAATACCTGAGGACATCACAGGCGATGAGCAACTCAATGAGGCGATTGCATTATTGCCCAAGAACTACAATTTCGAGATGCACAAGACCGTTTGGCATATTCGCAAAAATGAGAGTCGACATGTCGCGCTACAGATGCCAGAAGGCCTGCTCATGTTTGCGTGTACCATTGCCGATATTCTCGAGCAGTTTTGCGGTGCTGAGACGCTCGTGATGGGAGATGTGACGTATGGCGCTTGTTGTGTGGACGACTATACAGCAAGAGCACTTGGATGCGATTTTCTAGTGCATTATGGTCATTCGTGCCTGGTCCCTGTTGATATCACGACCATCAAGGCGCTATATGTCTTTGTCGATATTGGCATCGATGTGCAACATCTCTGCAACACGATTCGCCGCAACATGCCAGCTGGAGCTCATCTTGCGCTTGTTGGTACGATCCAGTTCGTCAAGAGCATTCAAACCATTCGTGCAGACCTCGAAGACCTTGAGGAGAAGTACCACTTCAAGGTGACGATACCGCAGGCAAAACCCTTGTCTCCAGGTGAGATTCTAGGCTGTACGGCACCCAAACTAGACAAGAGTGTTGATGCAATTATCTACGTTGGCGATGGTCGGTTCCACCTGGAAAGTATCATGATTGCCAATCCGACAGTCGATGCATATCGTTACGATCCTTACTCTCGCAAGTTCACACGGGAACGCTATGAACATGTTGAAATGCAGCAAATGCGAAAAGAGGCGATTGCCAAAGCCAAAAGGGCCACCAAGTTTGGTTTGATTCTTGGAACTTTGGGTCGACAAGGCTCTCCGAAAGTATTGGAGAATTTGGAGCAACAACTTCGCAGAGCTGGCAAGGAGTACACGATTGTCTTGCTCAGCGAAATTTTTCCTGCGAAATTGGCACAGCTCGCGGATATTGAAGCTTGGGTCCAAATAGCGTGTCCTCGGTTATCGATAGACTGGGGTTATGCATTCGAGGCGCCTTTGTTGTCGCCGTATGAGTTGAGTGTGGCGCTCGAGACGACTTCTTGGAAGAAAGACTACCCAATGGACTTTTATGCAAATGATTCCCTGGGTGGTTGGACACCGAATCACGGTAAGATGCGACCGTTACGATCACGACAGGCGCGGACTGCTGCTCCAGTATCACTAGAGAAGGAAATCGTTGAAACTCTACCAGACGGCACTGCTGCCGCTGTAGACGTGTCATCTCAGGATATGCCTGCCTCTACGAATGCGAGCTCTCCGAGCACCGCACCTTTGGCAGACAATACGCCTCCCTCTTCAGTATCTGAAGATGTTTGGGAAAGCGAAACAGACCTGCCTGGTGCTAATCAAGACTTGGCAAGACTACGAGAGGTGCACACGAATTCTGGCTATCGAGAAGGTATTGCCACTGCGAAACTTGCTTCCAACCAGATTGGCTTTGATGAGAATTACAGTGCGACTAGCTCAGTGGGCATTCGGGCTGGATGGGCATTGGGTATTGCACATAGTCTGCAGCATGATGGCAGGTTGTCATCCGCATTGCAAGAAGAAGCAGCAGTACTCAGCCAGCGATTGCTCAGTGCTCTGGACGTGAAGCAGGTCTTTTCACAGGAAGGGACGTTTGGACAGGAGGGCAGACTCGTGCAGGAGCCTGCTGCTGTTGCAGATGCCATGCGTGAAGTTCAAGCTCTGGCTGCTACTGCGGGACTGTCTATTGGATGTTCGACAGTGGATGTGCTGGGTCGACCTGTCTAGGTGCTGTAACGTCTGTACTTACTGCTCAGGCACTGTACGGTCTGTACCAGACACTATTACTCAGCTGGGCACTTCCTGAACTCAACTGGGCGACTGAGGAATGTGGCAAAGACATGAGCGCAAATGAGTCATGCACTCACTTGATGGGCTGCAACACCACAGAAAGCAGCCAAGGACACTCTCTCCCTCTCCTGCAACAACTCCAATTGCATCCCAGTCGAGGACAGAACAGCATCAGCAGACACATCACTACCCAAGACAGACTACACCTTTGTCCCTGTCAACTGCACAGCATGCATTCTCACGCGCTTCTCGTACATGCACTCGCAGCACTATCTCTCTCCAGTACCGTCCACGCCAAGGTGCAGTACGCTGGCGTCAACCTAGCTGGTCTAGAGTTTGGCTGCTCCACCTCGTGAGTCCATCTCCCTCACCTCCAGCTCACCAGACTGACACACCTCCCAGGGGAAGCTGCTCTGGCACTCCTGTCCCACCACCTCAGTCTCATGCCAAGCACTTTGCAGACCTCAAGTTCACCCTCTTCAGGATCCCCATTGGGTGGTCGTATGCTCAACCAGCGCTCTCTGGTGACCTCTCCTCATCCTACATGAGCACCCTCAACGACGCCATCAACAACGTCTTTGCTGCTAATGGCGGTGCTAAAGTGATCATTGATCTACACTGCTACGGACGTCGCGATGGTGCTGTCATTGGCGCGGGTGGACCTACGATTGCTCAGTTTGCTGACTTCTGGGCACGCGTTGCAGCACTGTATAAGGGTAATGGCAACATCATCTTTGGTCTCATCAACGAACCCCATGATCAAGATGCTGCAACGCTCTTCCAAATACAACAAGCAGCAGTCAAGGCAATCCGCAATGCAGGTGCTACATCACAACCCATCTTGCTCTCTGCTGGCGAGTGGTCTCATGTTTCTGGCATGCAGAGCAATGCTGCTGGTTTGTTTGATATCTCCGACACAGGTCGTTCTTCCAAGAGTCTGCTGTGGATTGACTTGCATGCCTACCTCGACTCTGATGGCTCTGGCACATCGCGAACGGTGAGTCGTGCTGCATCTCATGTGGTCAAGCGCTAATGACAGTGTACTACGGATCAAGCAACCAGCTTTGCCTCTGCTGCTTCTCTGCTCTCCTCGAACGGCAGACAAGCACTTGTGACTGAAATTGGTGGTTCGAGCGAGGCATCCTGCGTCAAGTTTCTTGCTCAAGCACTGGACGCTATTGGTTCGAGTCCAGCACAGTACCTCGGCTGGGCAGGATGGTCTGCTGGTGCCTTTTCTACGTCGTATGAGCTGAGTATGGTGCCCAACGGAGATGGCTCAGACCAAGAAATCACAAAAGTATTTGCCCGGGCTGGCTCTGCTTGATGTTCTTGTTGCTAGTGCTGGTCAACACGCAATGTATCCGGTTCATCTTCATGCTCATTTTGGTGGCTTGGTCAGTGCCGGTCGCTGTCCTTCCTCTACCTACCTCTCATCTTCCATACACGCAGCTAGTCTCCTCCATTCCCATCCTCTTGTCTTGTCTTGTCTTGTCTTGTCTTGTCTTGTCTTGTCTTCCATCTCGTCTTCTCGTCGCGACTTCTACGAACGCGCCAAACAATTTGAACTTGGTACTGAGCTTGCTAGAGACCCATGACTGCATGTCTGGCTTCATCCTCGGCGTCCGTCATCTCAGCTCCTGCGAACCGGCAGCATACGACTACCTCCGCAAGCATGGCCTCTCCACCACCTACAAAGACTGGCAATTGGTGCCCGATTCAGCAGACAATGAAGAACTGCTCATTACCGGGACTACGGTGATTTGGACTAGTGGACGTGTCCTCAAGCGTGCTTTTGATTTCGCAGCCGATGGTCAGCCTATCTTGCATGCTCTGTTTGTCTCTTTTCCAACGCCAGAGTCTGACCTAAAGGCATCGACACCGATATCGCAAGATGGCGCCAGGCAACCTCGATTTGCTTCGTCTCGCAATGCCTTCAAGTCAACGGCGCACCTTCGACATCTACCAGCATCGCTCAATAAGACAGAGGTACTTGAGCGGGCGCTCGTCATAATCCTCGAAGAGCTGGCGTACATCTACTATGACGATGGACGAAGAGATGTCATTCACATCCCATTCAGGGTCAAGCGTGCCTTCCCCGGTGCCAAGGGCCTACTCATGGAGCGCGATGTGGATCGAGCACTTGTCAAGGAAGAAGCCTTGCCGACACTCTTTTGCTTGCCGCGACCATTAGATGAGATTGGTGTCATCACCGCAAAAGACAACCGCTGGACGATTGCAGATGAGGTGATTTACACAGGCAATGGTCTCCTCATCAGCTCAAACAAAGAGACCAATACAACGACACTCTGGTCTCTCGACTACACTGAAAAGGACGCATCAGAGGCATCACTGCATTCAAATCGTCTCAGCCAAGCGAGACGTCGTTCTTCTATCCTTCGACCAAGCGCTTCTATGGGTCCAGATGACTTTCACAGTATACGCACAGACTCATTGCACTTTGACCGTGTCGTTATCGGTGATATGGATCCGGCATTGCTTTTTAGCGAAGCCGAGTCATTGCGAAAAGATGCCGTGTTGACTCCGATTGAGACAATTGCGATTGCTTGCGATCTTCATTTGCCCAAGGCTATCGTTTTGAAGGATCAAAAGTCACTCGTTGTCATGCTACGTACGCAAGATCAGCGAGGACTAACTTTTGTCCTCAAGCGTTCTTCCAGTGGACGATTTGCCGTCGTCAAGACTGACAAGATGGCGATCCTGGACATGATTGGTATGGGAAGCTACGCTTTGCTGAGACATCAGGACGAAACGCTCTATCTTCATTCGCCGCTTGGATTGCGCATCCAAGTCGATGGACTACGCAAAGGTGTGTTGATTGGTTCGCGTGGTTCCACTGTTTGGACCAAAGCGCATGACTGCGCTCAGATGGAAAGCTTTGAGCTGACGTTGCTTGTTGAGCCTCTCGTGCAGAAGCTGCTATCTGCCCTGCAAGTCATTCTCTCGAGACAGCACCATGAACAGCTTTATTTTGCCATGCTACATGCTCAGCGATCGCAAAGCCAATTCGACGCTTTTGTCTCGACGTTGTCTGCTGGTTTCCTGCAGCCGTGTGTACTCTCGGACGTTGACCCAGCGTTCATGCCTATCTTGCAGCTATTTGAAGGTTGCGATCTTTCATTCTCCAAGCTCTACTATCCTCAGATAGTCCTTGCTATTCACTTTGTATGTGAAGAGCTTGCTTTGGACGTCTTGACGGCTCATGCCTCAGCAAAGCTCATCCCGATCTTACTGCAAATGTCAAGTTGGCTTGCATGGCCTGCTTATGTCTTTTTATACCAAGAGAGACTAACAGAAGCTTGTTCAATCGACGAACGGCCGCTTGCACACATTGCTGTAGCGTCGCCGACAGACCCGCCGCCCAGTGTGTTAGCGTGGGTTGAACAACGCGCACGAGGAAAGCGCCTTGCCGTTCAGACAATCGACATGCTTTCGACGAGTCGTGGTCCTTATCGACAGGGAAAGGAAGTGATTTCAACCTGCCCATTGACACAGAGCTTGCTCCACGTCTATGATAGCCTGTTCTCCTCATCCAAGACACTGCATCAGGGTGTGGAACTCATGGCGAGGCAGTTGACCATCGACCAGATTGATAAATTGCCGCAACCACTCGCGATCCCACTACGCGATGCAATCAGATGTTGTGGCTTGTCTCCATCGTCTGACTGGACGGCAGAGACGCTGCGTTTTGTTGGACGTCATGATTTGGCAGACTTCTTGAGCCAGACGCATTCTGATCAGCCCATTGTTAGATTGCAGACTGAGACACAGACTACAGAGGAGGCGAGTCGCTCTGAAGCAAATGGACAGGTGTCTACTGGCGAAACGCGGCATCGAAATATGCTGCGCATGATCTGGCCGGGAGACTTGCGGATACAGGAACTTGAAAAGATGCTGTGCTACAGCAAACCAGCTGTCGTCTCTATGCCGGAAAATGAAAATCTTGGGTACAGCTTCGATGGACCTCAATGGAACAAAGCTAACAGTCAGGGAAGCAGATGTCGTGCGCTTGCAGGAGTCAGTTGCTCGAAATGTCGCCAAGCGAACGCTCGCGTCTCCCGTCGGGTTCGGCATATTCGAGTATGACAGTGCCGATCCAATGCCAACAGAGATGTTTGCCCAGCAAGAACTCAATCTAGATGTCAAATTCAAGCCCGTTAGCTTTACAGTGGCCGAAGACAAGGAATACATGACACCTCAGTTCAAGATGTGGGGCCAATTTCACAATGGTTGCGCAGCGGGACTGAGCATCTCACCAAAAGCGCAAGGTGTCAGTGCTTCGTGGATTGTGTATAACAAGCCAGCTGAGCTCAACGACAAACACGCCGGGTTTCTGTTGGGACTAGGTCTGAATGGACATCTCAAAGTCATGGCAACCTGGCATGCCTTCAACTACCTCACATCGAAGCACACGATGACTTCCATTGGGCTGCTGCTTGGTATGTCAGCCTCGTTCCTTGGCACGATGGATTCCATGATCACCAAGCTGCTCTCTGTACACGTCTTGGCCTTACTGCCTCACGGAGCCAATGAACTTAATTTATCTGGTCAAACGCAAGCTGCCGGGCTGATGGGTATCGGCTTGCTTCATTTCAACACTAAGCATCGTCGCATGACTGAAGTGATGCTCGGTGAGATTTGCGCGCAAGACAAGAGTGAGGATCATTTCCGCGATGAGAGCTATCGCTTGTCGGCAGGACTCAGCTTAGGCTTCATCAATGTGGGCCTGGGACCTGATCTCAAATCTGTCAGCGATGCGCAAATGTTCAAGTCATTGCTCGCGTGCGTGTATGGTGACAAGAGGGAGAAGCATGACCTGGATGTCAAGATACCAGGTGCTGTCATGGCCCTTGGCCTTCTCTTCTTGCAGACTGGCAATCTTGATATTGCAAAGAAACTAGCAGCGCCAGCGACTGAACACGACTTGGAGCATGTGCGTCCCGATATTCTCATGTTGCGGGTTCTGGCGTCGAGACTGATTTGTTGGTCCAGCATTACGCCCACGGAAGCATTCGTGGCTTCCGTTCTGCCATCCTTTATGCAGCCCATTGCGTCGCTGAGAGATCAAAAGGTGCTCGAAACTGATGATTTGGCGCTTTACTACATGCTCACTGGGGGTTGCTTTGCTATGGGTATTCGCTACGCTGGCACGCACAATCTGGCCGCCCGGGATGTATTGCTCTGTTACCTCGACCGGTTCTTGCGCCTCTCGCATTTGCCAGCTACCAGCTTTGATCAAAAAGCATGCAAGATTGCCATCAGGTCATGCGTAGGCGTGCTCTGTTTGTCTTGCGCTATGGTGGTAGCTGGCACAGGTGACTTGCAAGTCATGCGACGCTTGCGTGTTGTGCACTACTGCACAGAAGCAGACATTTCATTCGGTGCATACTTGGCTGTCGAGATGGCACTTGGCTTGTTGATTATGGGTGGTGGTCGTTACTCGTTGGCTTCCACTAAGCTTGCAACGGCCAGTCTTGTTGTCTCTTGCTATCCGATCTTGCCGAATGCTGTTGCCGACAATGGTGCACATTTGCAAGCCTTGCGGCACTTATGGGTCCTGGCAGTTGAACCAAGATGCATCATTCCGCGAGATACATTGACTCGTGCCATTTGCTCTTTGCCGTTACGATTGACAATGCAAGATCAGTCAATCAGAGAAGTGCTGGCGCCTTGCTTATTGCCACCTCTTGAGCAGGTACAGAGTGTCACACTTGCCAGCCAAGCCTTCTTGCCAGTAACGCTTCAATTTGCAGCTGCAGAGGAAGGCTGCCGTCACTTGGCAGCATTCAAAGAGGATCAAACGTTGTGGGTATCGAAAAAGACGGATCAAGAGGAGCATCTCGTCAATCCACGTCTTGAGGCACTTGAAGACGACACGAGTGCTGCACTCAACCAAGCAATCCACGCTGTCTTGCCGAACAGAAAAGAGACTGCGGATTCCCTTGTTCGCCTTATGACTATGGACGATGCACAAGGTGATGATGCAGCGGCTTTCATGGCTCGTGAGGTGTGTGCGCGTACGAGAGGTCCTTTTCAACTACAGGGGCTGGATTTGGTCGCCACCTACATGCACATCACGACACGCGGTCGACTCAAGGACAAGTTTGTTGGATGTCAGCAACGCTTGCTGTCAGAGGAGGATGCCAGCATGCTCGGATTGCGGCTTTGGCAAGCACGTAGACGATAGGCTTATAGCTGGATGATTTGATGATGATGGGTCCGTTGCGCACTAATTAAGTCTATGTTTGCAAGATGAAGGTGTAAGAGAAAGATGCATGAGAAGGATTGTGCTTGATAAAGATGTACCATGCAACAAGGTCACTGACAATGAACTAGAGAACCAAGAGAGCACCGATAGCGAGTGCCGATAAGGCAACGAGACCGCTCACGACTTGCTGTCCACTTGCGAGACCTGTTGCACCTGATGAAGAAGTCTCTGAGCTGAATGCAGACGCGGATCCTGACGCGCGCGATGCTGGCGGGAGGAGACTGAGGAAGGGACGCAGAGAGCCACTCGCAGCTGGCGAGGTGATAGTACGCACTGCACTGGCACCAGAGGCAGCTACAGTGACAGCAGAAGAGACGTTGGAGAACGGACCAGCAGCTTGAATGGTCATAGAAGTGGTTGCATCAGTCTTTGTGTTAGCGTGTGCCTGCTTGATGTCTTGAGTTCCATACCACTGAGGGAGTCTGTGTAGGTGCAGCTGGGTTGAGCGTTGCAGCACCCGTCACACCAGCAACAGTCTGTGAGCCTAGATGGAGACCACTGACAATGATGCTTGTTTGCAGCTGGAGGAGCGACTGTACGGCAGCAGAGTTGTCACTGAGACCTTGTGAACGAAGCGCAATGATGGCAGCTTCTGCGGATGACTGTGCTGCAATTGCTGCGTTGACTTGAGCGTGTGTGTTAGCAAGGAGGATCTATGGAGCGACGGGCAGACTCACTCTCGGCGGCAGGATCGCGTGTGGGTGCAGTAGTTGTTTGACCTGCAGCGAGGGAGAGCAGCGTAGCGCAAATGAGAGTAGAAAGGGAGAGCATGATGTGTCTCTGTACTGTGTAGTCCTGGGTGTCCTGGGTGTCCTTGGAGTATGGACTCCTGTCTGTGGTGTTGCTTTTGTAGCTTCGTTGCACACAGACCACAACCCAGGGGCAGCACAGACCACGCCCACTGACCGCCACGACCAGTACGCCAAGAAGGGCACGCACATAGTATGCAACATGTGGTGAGAAAAGTCAGAGCGGATATGACGAGGCTTCATACTGGTGCGAGAAAGCTGAGCAAGCTGCCTACCAAAAGACCAAGGCACAGCATCAGTGACATGACTGCACCCATCGTATCCTTGTCCTCGTCTTTAGCATTTTCAATAGCACCGCCCATGCATAAAGAAGCCACGTAGCCGTTTGTCAGACCAAAGAGCAGCATATAAGCAAGGAAAAAGGTGTTGCTTGAGATGACTGCGCCTTGACCCCCGACGTTGCACAGGTACAAGCCTGGCACAAACACCAATCTAGCCACGGACATAACCAAAAGCATCCTGCCATTTTTGATGCTGAACACCGTTAAACCGCTCAGAATGCGTCCAAGGAGATCACCTGTGTTCCAGAGCACAAATCCGAGCGCAATGGTCAAATCGCGTTTGACGGGAGTGACAGACGACACCGTTGCAGTGACTGCTGGAAAAACACTGAGACTTACTGCAAAGACAGTAAAGACCGCCCACGGATAGCTCGTTCGAAGGATGCGTCTGGCATCTGCGAGTGGTTGTGCGTGGTCAGCATCACTTTTGACTGCCATTGATGAGCCTTGACGAGATACCAGATACAGGTGGGCTAAGTTAGTCAGACTTCAGCGAATACTCTCAACTTACCAAAGTGGGCTGAAGCAAGAATCAGGCTAGATGACAAAAAGTACGAGAAGGCTCGTTGCATGGCTGCCTTCTTGCTGCGTTGATCTGCTACTGCATCTACAAGCAGGGTCAAGACAGCCGGTGTAACACCTGCGACGGCCTGACCAATCATGATGTATGGGACGTAGCCACTTCCATACTGACCAACAATGCCAAATGTGCCTAATGTTAGACTGGAAGAAAGTGAGATTTGCTGTACCATTCTGCAAGGCGCCAATCATTGAGCCGCATATAGCGACAAGAAGCAGCATCAAGCCAAAGTAGACCCTTGCAGGGATCTTAAGCGTGCTCAAAATAGCAAGCAGCGCAAGGACAACACAAAGAGTCAAGGTTGAATAGCGTATCCTTTTGTGTGCATTTCCGCTCTTGACGGTGGCCGTTGTGTGAAAAACACTCACGAGATTCATCAGCGTGAAGAGGAAGGTGATGGAGGAACTAAAGTGCTTGAGGAGCCAGGGATCATGAGAAAACAGCTTGCTGAAATAGGCGTTTGCAGTAATGAAGGCATTGAAGGGCCAGAGCATACCTGCGCCCAGGAGCGCAAAAGCAATAGCTGATTTGCCGTCCCATGCTGGTAGTTCAGGTGATGATTGAGCATCATCAAGCAGCGGCGCACCGGCCGAGTCATCCAGCTGGTCGGCGTCTATTTCAGCAGCATCATCTTGTGAGCTTCTCAGCAGACTTTGGCGCGAGCCATCCTCGCTGCGCATTCGAGGGCCGTATTGGGCCTCCCGAGTGTCGTAGTCTATTCTAGCTAGCTTCTAGTAGCACTAGCTCGCCCGAGAGTAGCTTGCTCGCTTGGCAGATGGTGGTCGCTGGCAGCTGGTCAGCAGCAGAGATCCGAGATTCAGATCTTGGAGGAAGAGTCCAACAGCAACTCACAAGGCCGCCACAGACACACAAGCATCGACCGCCTGAGAAGGGTCAAAGGGTGAGCAGGAGGTAGCGGCCCGAGCAAGGGAAGATCGCACAGGATAGCTGCTTCGAGAAACCTCGTTTTTGGCGCACAATAGTCGCGGACCAGGCGGCTAAAGGTATTCACACATCAAGTCATGCGTCGGCTTTGGGTCAAGCGCGGCGTTAATGGTACTCCTGCTTCCATCCAGCTCCAAGGGGACGATTTGGTCGATGACTTGAAGGATGCTGTCTTTCGCAAGTATCCGGTCGCGCTGGCGAGGTCCTATGATGCACCCGACGTCAGCATCTGTGTCGCGCTGCCGTCCTCGACAAAGCCAAACATCACAGAGACTAAAGCGCTTGCTGTAGATACGAGCGTCGATCTTGTTGTCAAGACATACTTCCCGAGTGGTCAACGCGTTGAAGATGCATTAGTCATTCAAGTACCATCAAGTACGATATCGCCTTGACAAAGAGCAATACTAACTACAGATTCACAAGCGCATGCCTCGCCTTATGTCAGTGGGCCTATGCGACACAGTCCGCTCTCTGGAACGCTGGGTCTACTGACACATGACATGCGCGACTTTGAGTACTTTCCAGAGACTCCGCCGTTGACCAATTCGACAGGTCAATCAGCGCAGCAGCAACAAGCTCAACCTGGACAACAGTACAATGCAAATATGTACAATCCGCATCAGTCGGCTCGCTCATTATCGGCCACGAGTCATCAGCGCAGCCCGGGATCTAATAATGTGCACGAAGGGTCCGTGAGGCCTGCACCACCCCTACAGATGAGCTCTGCAATGCGTACTGCAGCATATAGGCAATCACCTCGACCGTCCAATGCAGGATCACAAACAGGCTCACAGCACAGTATCGGCAGTAGGCGACACTCTTCGCACAATGACGGGGACACGACGCCTATGGCTACAACGCACCAGCCAGACCCGCAAATACCACCGCCTCCGCCTCTTGTTCTTTTGGGTGCTGGAGACGATCGATCGGTCAGTCCGTCGATTGTGCCTTTGTCTACAGATGAATTATCTGCAGCAGGACAATTGCAGCCTTCACAGTTACTAGAGGAGGCAGCAGCTAATGCGGCAGGTATCGATGCAGGTAATCATGGTAGTCCTGCACCTGGTCGTATGCGCCGTGACACATCAGCAAGCAGTAACGAACCGAAATCACGGCCACCGAGGCCCAGTCTCGGTCGAACACATACCGCTTCGAAGCTCAATATTGTATCGCCTGCAGCATCAACGCACAGTTCTACGCATTCGGTAGCAAAAGTCGACAAGTCTGTCAAGTTGAAAAAGGAGGCACCAGCCGGACCGGGTCTCTTTGGACCAGGCGGTCTGCTTGAAGGTGTCGTCCCTCCCATTGTGGTACTCGTGGTGGAAGACAACATGATCAATCAAAAGATTCTCGAGACCTTCATGAAGAAACGCAAGATCCGGTGCTTGACTGCAAAGAATGGAAGAGAAGCGGTAGACAAGTGGAAGATGGGCGGCATCCATCTCGTGCTCATGGACATTCAGATGCCGATCATGAGTGGTATCGAAGCCACGAAGGAGATCCGGCGGCTGGAACGCATCAACAATATCGGCGTCTTTTCAAAGAAGGAGACAGTTGCCAGTATTACCGACGAAGCGGATCTTTTGCCTGCTGTGCAGCTGCGCAGCCCCGTCATTATTGTGGCGCTGACAGCTTCCTCTCTCCAAAGCGACAGGCATGAAGCGCTCGCTGCAGGATGCAATGATTTCTTGACGAAGCCGGTGTCGCTTGTCTGGCTCGAACGCAAGGTGTTTGAATGGGGCTGTATGCAAGCGCTGATCGACTTTGAAGGATGGAAGAAGTTTAGGAACGCAGCCGCGTAACGACCTGTTCCCGTTCTCGTGTAGGTATGTATGCAATGTCTAGTAGACAGCTGGGCCCTTTTGACGCAAGGTCAAAATTAGGTATATACTACTGCCTATAAAGGTATTGTGCAGAAGTTAAGCCAAGCTGATCGCTTCAATCTATTCCTTGTATGATCCAGTTCTATACGATCTGGGACGCGACAACCGATCATCAAAAACCACAGGAGTGCTCTGTCTCTCATCCTCTTCGCTGTCCACAGGCACATAAAAGTAGCGTCCTCGTCCAGAGGTTCCGGGCTTGAAATCACGTTGAGCTGACACGACGGATGTTACCGAGCTCGCGCCACTTTCTCGGCGCCTTACTGACCGACTGTGATCCGCGCTGTCCTCACGTTTGCGCTTCACTGAGACCCTTTCTTCTTTAGGCTTGATAGCAGGCGACTTGACCCGCGGCGCAGTAAGCTGACGTGAATGGTAGGGCGCTGTGATTCGCTTCGCAGTCTCTATCATTCTGCCAAACTCCTCATCGCTTGTATCTGGGGTCACAAAATTGTGCTTTCTGCCACAGTCTCCGCGTTGAGAACTGCCCTTCCGTTGCTCGCGCGAACGAAGACGAGATTGTGTCAACACCGGAATATCGTCATCGCCAGACGCTGGGACCTCAACATAGTACCATGAGCCAGCCTTGCCAAAGTCGCCGTGCATTCCCTTTCTCCTTGCTTCAGGCGGCAAACTTGCCAGCTTGTCTTGTTCGTGCTGAGCAGCCAAATCAACCCTGACCTGCGCCTGCCGATTGACGAGCTTGTTGGTATAACGATCGAGGCGACTTACAAACGTCATGAAGGCAGGCTTGGTTTGAATAAAGTTGGCACTGCCAAATGCACGGGGAGAGGCATTGTTGCCAACTGTCGAGCGGTTGTGATATATTGTCAGAGTAGGCTCAGGCGATGAGCTCTCTGCGCCACGAGTCTGCGACTCGAAGCGAGGATAGCACTCGCGATCGAGACGCACACAACTATCACAACGAGGTTGATTAGGCTTCATCCTGTGACATTTGCGGTGCCTCTCATAGCATTCCAGACATGCGAACTCGCCGGCACTGTTTGCCAGAGTGTTATCAGGGCCTGTGCTTGTAAGCAACTTCGTCTGACGCATCTGATCGCCAAGGCCATGCATTGACTGAAGCATGGGCTTCCTGCCGGCCATGCCAGGCATCGACAAGCGTCCATTCTCAGTCTGCCAATTTGTTCGCTGCACTTGCGTGTTTGTGCTCAAACGACCTGCTAGTTCGTGGCTGGCCAATTTTTCAAGTCCTTCACGAGTGCGATGTGACACCAGCGGGGTTCTCTCGGGCCAAGGAGAGCCGTAGAGCTTTGTGTGACGTCGACAGCGTCGACAGAGGAGCACTTCGAGGCCTTCCTCACTTTTCTCGGCAAACATATCCTTTTTGAGCGCTTCTTCGTCGCACATGTTGCAGTAGTGTTTGCTTGGATCCTTTTTGAAGGCCCGCCGATACAAGCCAGGTAGGATGCTCTGCTTAGATTGCTTCCTCAAATTGTAATCGAGCTTTGCATTTCTTGGTCTGAGCGACTTCCGGGAAATATCTGCACCATCGAAATCCTTACTGGCATTCGATGCCACATCTTCGTTCGTGGAGTGAGAAACTTCATCTTCTGCCAGATTGGAGAAGCGTTGCATAGTGCTGATCCGAGAAATGCGCCTTGATATTCTTCCTTCCCGTTCGAGATCCGAGTCGCCCTCGTCAGGCTTGCGTGCAAGGGCCTCCAGAAATGACTCGTCGTCGTCACTGTCGTTCACGAGAGTCTTTGCCATGTTTCCAAGCTTGCGTTGCGCATCGACATTATTCAAGATTGAGCTTGGTCCACTCATGTGGGCCTTATTTTTCGAGGCAGAATAACTCAATTCCACGGGGACTGTCGCAGCAAGCGAGTCGATCGTTCCAGCTTCGTCGTCTGCGCCAGCTGAGTCTCGATTACGTTGCTCAGCATTTCGATAAAATCCTTTGCCTGTACGTTCGCATGAAGCACATCTGCAGTCAATATTGCCAGGCCCAAAATAGTCTGGACTGTATGCGATGGTAATTTCCTCGCCAATTTCAATATTGCGAATGGCTGCCACTGCAATATTGCCGTTGACCATGACAAAGGTCGCGTTGGGGTCGCAGTCGTGGTTGACAAAACGGGCAGGCCCGAGAAATAGGCACATGGACTGAATCCGGTGAGACCAGATGATACTGAAGTCTGCCTTGTACATTTCCTCTTCCTCCTCAGTCATGGGAACGATCGTCCCACTCAGCTGAGCAAGTACCTTGTATTTATGAATAGGCTGCAAGGCTAAAATGCAAGATTCCGCCTTGTTTGAGCAGTATCGATCCGTGCTGTTGATCTCAAATTCTGCATCAATCCGCCAAATATTAAGATAGCGTTTGAGATGAGAGACAAAGTCTGACTGTTCTTCCGGCCGCAGCTTGTTGTAGACTTTTTGTATTGATTTGAGCTGAAGACATGCCTCGATCGCATCTGCCAGCATCTTTTCGCGCGATCGTCTAGGCCCACCAATGATATGTCCTTGCAACAAGCTTGCCATCTGTGACGGTCGTATCGCTTTGCTCGGTACATAATCCTGCATCATTAGTATGAAGACTGAGATTGAGAGACGCATACCGCATCAGACTTGTGCGTGGTGAGCCAGAAGTAGACTTTGTCAATCAAATGGTCGGTCAACACATCGTCGTACTCGGACAGTCTTTTTATCGTCAAGTATTTGGACATTGTCAGCAGGACCTCGCCGTCCTAGATTGGTATCGTGTTCCGCTGATCAGGCGCTGTAGAAGATGTAAAAAGGGCTACCAGCGCCAAATCGCGATTTCGATATTCGGGGTGTCGGCGCACCGATACGCAGCACCACGATCCAAGACCGGATACAACAGCCAGAGTCGAGTCTCTGAGCAAGATGTGAGATCAATAACACGTCGCAAGCGTGTTCACAGCGCCAATCTCTGGAGCCGCGCCTGATGTCGCTGCTTTGTGTTGTTGACAAGTGAAGGCGCGACGGAAGAGGAAGATTCGCGACACCCACAACCGACAACCTGCACTCAAATCAGCTGTCTTGTACTCCCCTTGAAGAGTGTTATACCTTAGTCTCCTAGTACTTAGTGGCTCTAATCTTTGTCTATGTCTGCGCCATCTGCAGAAACCATCAAGGCAAAGCTTTCTGCAGTAGATGCCACACAGGAGACTATCGTCTCTGTAGCTCAATGTGATTGCCTCCGAACATATCAGTACGCCGCTGACTAGGCAGGGGTCATGTTCTATAAGCGCAATGCTGCGCAGATTGTCGACATTTGGCATCAAGCTGTGCGAGATGGTATGGGCACGGCCATCTTATATTGATGCTAACAGACAGCATCGTCAAACAGGAAGCTCAATTTGATATACCTTGCGAATGAGGTTGCTCAGACTTCGCGGGCGAAGAAGCGTCCAGAATATCCGGAAGCTCTTAGTAAAGTCATGCCAGATGCACTGGAGCATGTCTTTAGACAATCTACGACCAGCATCCAAGAAAAACTTAAGCGCGTTGTGGACGTGTGGCGGCAAAGATCAGTCTTTTCGCCGCAGGTGATTGATGAGATTTCACAACGGCTACAGACCAGACGCAAGTCGCCAGTCGCTGCCAAGAATAATGCGCAGTCAGTTCCCGCCGAGCTAGAAGCACTGTCACTTGCATATCGTCGCATCACATCAGCGACTGCAGCTGCATCACTCTCTGCAAGCACAGCAAAGCATATTTACGACAGTGTTATGACAGACGGCCTTCCAGCAAATCCAGGAGTACTGCAAACAAAGCTCAGGCAGCTCCAGAATGCCCTAGAGGCAGCCAAAACTGGGTCGGCGAACTTGGTGGCGATCCGCGAGCAAGTAGCCAGAGAATTGGATGTGCTTGCAGCGGCCAACCAATCCGGTCTGGACGCACTCAGGAGCCAGCTCGAAGCCTTGGCTCAACAGTCCACGGCAGTCATGGTACGTGCTACCGAGATAGACAATGCGGCAGCGCTGTATCCTGAGCAGACTTCGACCACCCCCGAAATGGAGCCGCCGCAAGCTGAAGCACTGACTCCCTCTGAGAAGGAGTTCGATTTGGACACAGTCATGAAGTCAATCACTGGAGCGCAGAATAAGGATTTGCCTGGATCAGCGGGTGATCCAGTGTCAAAGATGGATTTGGACGAGACGATGCTCGAGTTGATGAGTCGAGGCAATAGTACTGCGGCGCCTCAGACAGCGCCGGAGGAAGATGAATATGTTCCATAGCTTTCTGTGCCTGTATAATTTCAGCATGGCCCGCAGGCCTCTTACTAGGCAGCAGGACTCCGACACCAGGAGCAAGGTGAAGTCGCTGCTTTTGGTGCTGATTCATTTTCGACGCGTCCAGAGCGCAACGACCAAAACGCATCCCACGTCATTTTGCAACAACAACACACTTGTGGGCGCTCTGCACTGCTCATAGAACCTCACACAGGCTCATACATCCTCTCTTGGCTTCTTTTGGGCTATCTGGGGTCTCAAGTCGCCTCCCCAATGCTTGTATAAAACCTACTACGCGCCCTGCTTTCATTCTTCACATCAAATCCTTCTCGAGTGCAACTTCCATCATTATCACCATGGCAGACACTGAGAAAAGGCCTACAGTGAACAAGCCCTCGAAGCTCGTCATTCAAATTCACCGCGAAGACACGCCGGAGAAGCTTGCTCCGCCGACTTCGCCCTTTCGCACTCCACTGGAGGGATCCTTTGGTGCGCTTCATCTCTCTGATGGTGCCGCCATTCGTCGCTCAGAGACGAATGACTCATTGTCGGCGCTTGTCAACGGTAGCCCGAATTTGAGCTATGTTGGTGAGCTTGAGCAATTGCCTTCACCTATGGTCAGCGCCGGCCCTCCTGGTGCTCATTTACTCGCTCGTCGTCGATCAAAGACCTGGGCGTCTCGGGAACACAATGGTAGTCTGCCAAACAGTCCGTCACCTGCTGTTGATTTTGCCCGCAAAGAGACCCCCTTACGGCCATCATCGCCCCTGACAGGAGGTGCCAAACCGCGCTTCCCGTCCTCAAAAGCGCTGGCGCATTTGTTCAACGATGACAAAGACCGTCGCGTTTCATTGCAGCTGAGTGAAACACCGTTGAGTGCAATTGAAATTCCCCGTATTCGCCGAGAACGCTCTCAGAGTACGGTGCACCAGATTGCACCGGAGATGCTCAAAGAACTTCAACAGGAGGTAGCTCAGCCAGCTGTGGCCACACAACAATTGCTCTCTATTGAGCAGGAAGTGTACGAAATCGCACTCGAAGGCGACACAACTCTGAAACGTTATCGTCGTCTGCGGACCTTGGGCGGTGGCACATTCAGTAAAGTCGAACTTGTCGAGGCACAAGACTCGCAGCAAGTACAGATGGCAGCACTCAAGGTTGTTGATTTGCAACCAAAGGATATTGACCCAGCAAGGCTACTCACAACCATTCAACGAGAGATTGAGCTGCTACAAACAGTACGACACCCGCTGATCGTGAGTCTCTTGGGTCATCGCATGATGCAAGACCGGGCGCTGCTCTTGCTTCCCTATCATCCTGGTGGGGACTTGTACACACTTGCAGCAGAACACAGAGAAGCTATGACGAATGTGTCACTCGTCAAACGCATCATGGCAGAGTTGGTTGTCGCAGTCAGTCATCTGCATGAGCGGAATATTGTGCACCGCGACTTGAAGCTTGAGAATGTGCTCATTCGGCACAAGCAGGAAAGCATTCTCGAACATCTTGCCCAAGGAACAGCCTTTGAGTCGCCACTCACAGCTCTCACTGACTTTGGCCTTGCTCGATTCATCGATCCGGAGGAACCGGATCTAGTCACGCGCTGCGGTAGTGAAGACTACGCTGCACCGGAAATCATCATGGGTCAACGATATGACGGACGGCAGACGGATGCATGGGCACTGGGTGCCCTATTTTACTCTTTGCTCGAGGGCCGGCTTCCCTTTGATGTGATTCCGGGTCTTGAACATCGGATGAAGGGCAAGGTGTTGCATCGCATTTGCCGGATTGAGTGGCGTTGGGTAACGCTGCGGCAGCCAGGAGAGTATGATGCGGCTTGGGATGGAGCCAAGCGTATTGTTTCAAATCTGCTTAGAAGCAGAACAAAACGCTGGTCGGTCGCCATGCTGCTGGAGGATGAGTGGCTACGCGACGAAGTGGCCATTGTTCAACAGATGAAGGCAACGGCTTGATATATATTGATATGTATAATGTTCGCTATGCTAATTAATCAACTTGGACGATTCTTCTTCGTCCTCAGACTCGTTGGCCAAGACATCTGGATTTGCAGCATGGCCCGTGTCCTCGCCGGAGCTTGAGCGATGTCTGCTGTCTTTGCGTTTGTGCTTTGTTGCAGTCGGAGATGGCGTCTTGACTTGAGAGTGAGCAGCGACATGGGCTGCTTCAGTGTCTACAAGCAAGCCGTGGTGCGGGCGTTCTTCTTCTTTACTCGAACGGCCGTGACTAGATTCTTTGCTCTTGCGGCGTTCTTTACTCAACTTGCGTACTGTAACTTGTTGCTTGACGGGAATTTCCACGCGCGAGAGCATCTCAATCTGGCGTTGTAGCGCAGCAATCTTGTCTTCAGCCTCCTTGAGCGCTGCAGCCTTGTCGTCTTGGGCAGTTGGCTGCGCTGCGTATTGTACCTTGTTAAAGGTGGTAGACGTATCCGCCTCTTCTTCCTCATCATCTGCGTCGTCGATATCTTCATACTCAGAATCACCTTCATCGACAGGATAATCAATGGCTTCGGCACTCCGGTCAGGAAGTGAAAGTTCCGCCGTAGAAAGGTCCTGGTGTTCGATTCCAGCATCGAATAGGAGTGTTCCTTGTCGGTGCTTCAAATCACTCAGCTCGTACTCGTCCTGGAGAGTCGCCTGCCTGGGCCAACCGGTTCGATCGGTCTTTCGCGGTGGCGTTGCATGATCAATCAAATCCGTCTGCGCAATCTCATCGTCACCGGCGCCGTTTTGCAGGGCGTGCAGCGACTTGTGCTGCTCGTCGCCCATGAAGCCAGCATCACGCATCTCAGGGCTACTTTCACCGGCTTGGTCTGCCAAGATGGATTCTTGGAGTCGGGAGGGCTTCCTTGGAGAGTAATTTTTATTCGGCGAAGCGGCCTGCTCAGCAATCTGCGTTGGTGCTCGGCGTTTCTGAGTTGGCGAGCGTTTTGGCTTTGGCGAAGGTGCCACCGCTTTTGCTTTGCCCTTATTCTTTGGTTGTGCCGGCTCCTCTGGCTCTTCTGGTGTCAACTCGCTTTGCTTGATGACATTGACGACTGTCACTTCTCTGATGGCAGGGTAGACTTGCAAGACTGCTTCAAAGGAAACGACACGCTGGTCAAGCACACGTAAACGGCCCTCCTGTACCTCCTTGGCGAGCGTGTTGAGTAGGTCTGCTTTGTGTTGGCCTACTGGTAGTTTGCTCACCGTCAACTTTCGTGTACCACCCCCGAGAAATGCAGGCAGCAGCTGGGCTTTTGTTGCTTGAATTGTGTTGATGGGGTTAATGGAGATGTACTCGGCGGCGCGTGTTGTGAATTGCTCGCAGTAAGCGTACAAGTCCAAATCGCCTGTTGCATCGACAATCACATCGAACGGGTCTGGCTGTTGGCTGAGGTATTCCAGGAAGTTGTCCTCTTCGATGACCGCCGTCTCGCCCACATCGTGCGGCTCACTGGACGTTACAATACACTTCTTTTGCACTGCAATTTGAACAGCAAAGCCAGTCATATCGCCTAGGATAGCAACGCGCTGTCCCATCTCTAGGTTTTGAAGCGCAGCATAGACTGGCGTCGCTGCATAGAGCCGTGCAGCTGCGGCAGGTGACATCTTCGATGGGAGTACAGCCAGATCTTCCGGCTTGACAACGATATATGGTTGCAGTGCTGGTTTTTGCTTGCCGCCAAAGACATAGTCACCGATAGAGTAGGTGTCGACATAATCGCCGATCGCTATGACTTCTCCACAGAAGCCGGCTTCCTCAGCAATCGTAGCGTTATAAACACGAACAATAATCTCATTTGTGTCGATGTATGACTTGCCGGGACACGGCCGTTTTGCATTTAGACCGAGTTCTCCGCCCGTGAAAGTGTAGGCCTGTATGGTGAAAGGCAGCGCATCGCGGACTTGCTTTGTGCCGGACATACCGGATCGTTAGAGGGTGCGCTCGAGCTGTAGAATGTATTTGTTGTACAATGATGAGTAGTGAGGGTTTCCTGGTGGAAGTTGAAGAATAGCCAGCCTTCTTGCTTTGGTCGTAGTGACACAGCTGCAAGTGACTTACGCCGTTGAGTCGTTGACCGTGCGGACTTGACCCACCCGCCCGGTGCTGCTGGCTGCTGCTTCCCTCGCTCGGCTGCTCGCTTGTGGATGCCCGATGCGGGTGCAGAGCGACAGCCAGCCATAGATCTGTTTCTGCGACACACGTGATAAGCAGGTTCTGGTATAGAAGCAGTAGAAGAGCAGTAGAAGAGTTCTATCAGGAGCGTCCTGTAGCTGAACATAGGCGATAGTTTAGCTTGGTCTATGACCTGTCGTTTTGGGCCGTAGTCGTAGCTAAAAGGGGCGCTTATGTAACTTGCCACGTGCTTGTAGCCAAACAATGAAGCAGCTCAAGCTTGAGCCAATAAGCCCTCCGTCTACCAAAGCTACTGCTCCATGCTCAAGACTACATAGCTGCTGACATGTATCCATCTGCTGTAGACATGCAGCGAAAGCTCAGCTTCTTGGACTCTTTCCAGCAGCAAGTCTACCGTGCTGCGACCCAAGCCCCGCATTCTACACTAGATGCATGCGTCTGCTGGTCCTTGATCAGACTGTATCGTCTGTTTGCACTATGCAAAGCACTTTGGACACGGCAGAATGCGCTGCAGCGGGCCATGGCTCATGGTCCACCTGTCTCAGACGACCAACCTCTTGACAAAGCGCTTGCTTTTGAGAGAGGTCGATTGCTGTTTGAAGCTGAGCTGGATCTGTCTACTGACCCAGCCATGTCTTCAGAGTACGCTTCTCTCTGTAGACCAGGGGGTGACATCAAATTGGACGAGGTCAGTCGTCGACTCTGGTATAAATGCTGTTATGAACCCAGCAAAATGCAAGGGCAGTCAGCCATGAACCACTTTACACATATGATGGAGACCATCTCCGCGGCACATACTGGATGTCGCGGGTTGATTGATTTGGCAGGCGAGACGGTGACTTGGCGAGAAGACTGCGACATATTCGCAGCCATGGCGCGTGATTTGCAAATTGCATCGAGTCGCCATGCAGGCTCACAAGGAAGCAACGCGACGCGCGGTAAGCACTGGGATGCACTTGGATTTCAAGGGGAGGATCCAAGTACTGATTTTCGAGCGACCGGTAAGCTGGGCCTTCGCCATGTCTCACATTTTTGCCAAGCACACCCAATCTATGCGACGCGTATGATCAAGGAGTCCGGTACCGCTGCAGTGACTATTGAAGGGCCCTGGTATCCGTTCGCGTTGTGTGCTATTCACATCACGGCTTTGCTGCTAACGGTCGTCAAGCTTGGTAGTATGCAGCGACACTGGCTGCAAGCTGCTGCACGAGATCCTGTTGATGGTGTGGCGGCCTTGTCAGATAAATTGTTCAGCTATCTCTTCGTTCGCTGTCATTTGGACTGGTGTGAGGGTGTTGATAAGAAGGAAATCACCAGCATTCTTGAGTTTGAAGTGTTCTTTGCTGACTTTGCTGCGTATATACAACGCGACTTGCAAACAAGACACCGGGAGAATGATGATTTTCATGTGGCAGCACTCAAGTGGTGGTAGCTAGAACTGAGGGGAGGAGAGGATATACATATGAATGGGGATCAGGCATCGAGCCCTAAGCTATGTCATTACAAATGAATGTTGGCGTGAAGATTGTGAAATGTTTGAACGCTGTCGCTGAAAAGAAGAGGTCATCAAAAGGCTTGACTGATGGCTCAGGCCATGGCGGCTGCCATCGGCGGCGATTCTTGTAGTATCGCTGGCCTGTATTTTTGTTCGCCATGCGCTGACAATTGGAATGCTGACGGCGGTACATTGCAAGACATGTAGAATGTGTGCTTGATACGCTCCTCTTCCGCTTTGGCATCGTCAACTTTCGCGTGCACTTCTTCTGACTCTTCTGTTTCTTCTTGCTCGTCGTCGTCTGACGCAGATGATGATGAGGAGGATGATTCGCCAAAGACATGGCTTGTCTGACGTGAGAGCATGGGCATGTCGTCGTCATACGCCTCATCGTCCATCTCGTAATCTGGTGCGTCGTAGTCTTCGTCAATGTGCCTCAATGGCTTTTCCTCTTCATCCAGCAGCTCAATGACTTGATTCGGGATCTCGCGCTGACCCGTGCCAACCTCGATGGCAGTGCTCATCTGCGCAAGACCGTGGTCGGTCCAGTGTGCGTCCGAGTCCTCCTCATCGTCCGACTCGGCGATGATGGATTCATAGAGTGGGCTGCGCAGTGAGCGTGCGCCTGCTGCAGTGTGTATGCGTGCGCCTGCTGTCTCTTCTGCGTAGATGCGTGCGTTGAGCCTGCCTGCGACGCCTGCGAGCTGGATTGCTTTGAGTGGGCTGCTTGAGTCGTAGATGGAGTCTTCTAGGTTGAGTTTCCTGTGTGTGGCACTGAGGAGGAGCAGTGCGCGCATGACTGAGATGTCTTCCATGATGTGAGGGTGTATGTGGACTGGCGGATGGGGCCTCATGTCTCTTATGTGTGCTGGTGGTGGTTATCGGTTAGAAATCAAGAAAATATTCCGAATCCAAATTGTGCTCAGTCATCAGATTTCATTGACAGCGCACTCACCATGACTCATCTATGCTCATTCTCATCTATACTCATTCTCACTCTCACTCTCATATCTATTCTCACTCTCACGCTCATCTCATTCTATACTATTCTCATACTCATCCTACTTCACACTCATACTCACTCACTCTCACAGCACCACTCTGACCAGTGGCCCCTGCGCATGTGTTGATGTGACTCATGAGGCGGCCCATCGCCGGCCATCGGACCATTTGTTTGCCGCCGGCCTTTGCTGACGTCGACACTTGGCAATAGAATGCCCACTGCCCAGCTCAGCATCATTACCCAAATTCAAAGGCCAAGCGGCTCTGTGCTGTTCTCATAGTCAAACTAGCCACACTGATAAACTCCCTCCTTCCAAGCCTACCAGCATCTACTGTAGCTATTTCGACAGATGCATGTGCTTGCGCGGGTGCGGCGCGGCTCGAAGATCTTCCGACCAGAGGCCGCTGACAATTCCTGGGCGCCAAGTTGCCAAGTTGCCAAGTCAAAGTCGCAGCTTAATTCACGCGGCCAGATTCCGTCCCTTCCGCCTTTCCGACGGCCAGAAACCAACACCGATCGTTCCCTAACCCAGCAACGACGATACAACAACCTACCCCTACGCTTGTGCATATACTGTGTACACACCTTTGCTTTAGCATAGCTACTCCTAAATCTAAAACCTGATCTTGATGCACAGTGCTGATATTGTCAAAGATGGCTGCTCGCCATCCAAGCGCTGTGGTCTCAATACTGGGCCCTGCAAAGCCTCATTTCACAGGTGTGCCGCCCAATGAAGCGTCAGATGTGATTCTCGACGAAGCCAAGGATATCTACATTCCTGCTGAGACGGCTAAATGGCTCAGAGAATACCAGCTCGTTGGTGTTCAGTTTCTCTACGACGCGTACAAGAGCAAATCCGGCGTCATTCTTGGCGATGACATGGGTCTCGGAAAGACAGCACAGTGTATTGTCTTTTTGAATGCCATCTTTGGCAAAAAAGCTCTTCCAGAGGACATGTCTTTGATGCGTGACCGCAGAGACTTGTCTCTTCGTCATCCACGCGTTCTTGTCTTGTGTCCCAAGTCATTGATCTCAAATTGGCTGGCAGAATTTGACATTTGGTCATACACGCACACGCGTACCTACTCTGGCCCGGGCCGGGGTGACACCCTTGCACAAGCAAAGCAAGGGCGTCTCGAGGTCATGCTTGCGACCTATGAAAGTTACAGATCCGATTGTGACCAAATTAACCTAGTCCCCTGGGATCTCGTCATTGCTGATGAGTTTCATTGCATCAAAAACCTCAAATCAGCTCTTCGTTGCGCCTTTTCCAAGATGGACAAGTCTTTGAATGTCAGAATAGGGCTGTCCGGAACACCTATTCAAAATCGGCTCTCTGAACTCTTCTCCCTCTTGTCTTGGCTCCGGCCTGAAACGTTTGACTCTGAGAAAGCATTTGAGAGCAACTATTCGAGACCGATAAAGTTAGCCCGAAGGCAGGATTGTTCCAATGCCGAGCTGGCAGCAGGGGACCAGGCAGCTATGCAATTACGCGATGTCATGCAGCGCATCATGCTCCGTCGCCTCAAATCGCTCCTCGCTGATCAATTGCCAAACAAAACGGATCTCATTCTATTTTGCCCCTTGACGACAGCGCAAGCTGAAGTATACGATCGCATTGCACAGAGTACCGAGGTTCGAAGTCTTTGTCAGACTCTGGAAGCCAGTGACGAAAGCTCTGAGACTCGCGTCAGTGTCAGGGAGAAGATGTTCCTGTACATCACCTTGCTGCGGACGATACCGCAACACTTGGCTCTGCTGTTCCCTGCCAGCGAGGATTCGGCCGAACGGCGCGCAGCCAAGACGAACCTGCTTGATATCGCTCTGCCTGGGACTTGGCAGGCATTAGCTGCTCGTGGTGCCAACTTGAATGAGCGCGATGAGTCGTTTTGCGGCAAGTGGCTGACTCTATGCAAGCTTCTTCGCTTGTGGCACGCTGAGGGAACCAACAAGGTGCTTATCTTTTCATCCTCCGTACGCCTTCTCGACATGCTCGAGTCGTTTCTGCAGATGGAAAGATATACCTTCGAGGTCCTCAACGGACGCATGTCTGCTCAAGAACGAGACGTTGCCGTTGATGCATTCAGCAACGGTGACAGGTTCCTCTTCTTGATCAGCACTGGTGTCGGCTCGGTTGGCATTAACCTGCAGTCGGCGAACAAGGTGGTCATCTACTCGCCGAGCTGGAACCCTTCGTCAGATCTCCAAGCCATGGATCGTGCCTATCGAATTGGCCAACGCCGCGATGTCGAGGTCTATCGCCTCATTGCCGTTGGTACCATTGAAGAGCTAATCTATGCACGCCAGATTTACAAGCAGCAAGTTGCCGACATTGTGTACAATGAAGGACATCAACGGCGCTACTTCACTGGCGTGATGGACGACAAGGAAAGGCATGGCGAGCTGTTTGGCTTGAGGAACCTTTTGACCTATCACGGCGAGAACCACGTCACGCGTGATATCTTCAAGAAGACTTCCGTTGCTGAGCGCAGGTTCGATCTCGACTTGTCCATCTCTGAGTTTCACCTGCCGGATATTCCATCTTCTGATCTTAATGGACCCATCAAGGATGAACGCGCTGAATTGGAAGAGCTCTTGGCTGAAGACGATAAGCCAGCACGCAAGAAGGCTATTTCGAGCACTGCTATGCAGACTATCACCTCAAACAACATTGCCTACATCCAGAGCAATGCGCAGGCACTCGAGTCGTCAGATGTTGCTGCGCGTATGGAGAGCAGAGCAGTTGCGCGTGCAAATGATCCAGACTGGGCGAATCGGCGTGCAGATGGGGCAGACGAGCAGGCCAGCCAAGGACATCAGATTGGGACGATTCCACGGGATGTCTTGCAACGACACTTTGGCAAGCTGGCGGCATTCAAGGGATACAAGGACACGGAGCAATTTGCCTTGAAGGTCACAGAAATGAGCTACAAGGAGAAAGCTGCTTTGTTGAAAGAGTTTTATGCGCATCGCAAGCAACAACAAACGACCTAAAGTATCATGTATGTCATGCGGATTCAGCCATCCATCAACATTCGTCTTCGCTTGCCGTTGCCATTGTCTTGACCTGATAACATTGCATTGTGCCTGTTTCGCACCTCAAGAGCAACCAGTTCTGCCAAGTCGTCCAAGTCTCCGAGCGAGAGGAGTGCCAGCTGCTCCCGCGTGACCGGTAAAATGCCGTCATCCATGTACTGCTGCGAGATGTTACCTGCTGCTGATGCGGGTGGCGTTAGACCGTTTATGTCTGGGCTGCTCCCTTCGTCTCCCAATGTTAGCTTTTCTTGTGACATGTAGAGCGCTACAGTACCCTTAGTAGATGCAGCTCGAGCACGTACAGGATTGTCAGGAGTATGGTCATGGAGATACGTGTTTGCAAATCGATCTTGGTCTCTTGTATGGTCAACAGTACCTGTTCTTGTGCTTCTGGTTTCGGAGTATCGAGGTCCGAAGGGTGGCAAGCGTGGTTGCCTGGATGGCGATACTCGAATGCGCTTGCCAGAAAGAACAGCCCCCATCATGCCACGAAGCGCACTGTCGCGGCCGTCGACTGTGTCGAATGTAATGAGAGCGCATCCACGAGCAAGAAGTCTGATGCGATTGACTGAGCCGTAGCGTGCTGCGCAGCGGTGTAGACTCTCCTCTGAGATGTATGCTTCGAGACCTCCCACAAAGATGTCTGTGTTGATTGCATTCATGGCGGAGGAGGGAGAAGGAGAGTGAGCAAGGTATGGAGCGTTCAAGAAGACGACGACGAAAGAAGTATAACAAGAGAACAGGATGAGCTTGAGCTTGAGCGTGGGTGTTGAGGTGTGGTGGTCGCTCTCAGGGGCAACATTGGAGCGACATCGGGGCAAGGATCAGTGCAACATGGCTCGGGTCTGCGGCTGGATGAACATCTGTCTATCAGTCTACCAGTCTACGAGCGGCTTATCTCACTTATCTGGAAGCGTATCAGACGTAGAGGTAGAATTGTGACTGTTGGCCTCTGCCTAGGAACACGGCCAAGCCCAAGGACTACTGCTAGAACAGGACACAGACTGTCGAGTTCCTTGCTGAGCTCTCTTCTACCTGCTGCACAGTCATCTAATCGAATGACCATCAAATACATCCAAGGCGACCTATTCTCCGCCCCAAGGCCAGTCATCCTGCTGCATGCCTGCAACTGCGAGGGTCTCTGGGGCAGTGGCATCGCTGCTGAGTTCAAGAATCGCTTCGGCGATGCACACAAAGCCTATGTGAAACATTGCGAGCGGTATGGAGAAGAGTTGTTAGGCACAACGGGTATCATCAAAGACTCGAGTGACTCCAATTTATATATCGGCTGTCTATTCACAAGCCGCGCTGGAGGCCGTCAATGTGACCCCCCAAAGAAGATTCTAGTCACTACCTATCATTGTCTGATGGACCTCAAGGCACAACTGCAAGAACCCATGTACAAGAACGTCACCCTAGCCGCATGTCAATTCAACTCTGGTGTTTTTCAGGTTCCGTGGGAATACACAGCACACATGATTGAAGAGGCCGGTCTGGATGTTTCTGTGTATGTCAGGAAATCAGAAGAGGCAGAGTCAGAAGCAGCGTCAGGGTCAGATGCCAGCAAGCCCACCCAGCCTCACAACGCCTGAGAGCTACTTTTTGCCAAATCGTGCCTCAGCAGCCCTCGCCCGTCGCTCTCGCTCAACCTTCTTCTTCATCTCCGGCGTCAGATTGTTCAAATCAGCGCTCGTAGACTGACCCAATACCCCTAAAGCCAATGATCGACCCGGCCCACGCCTTTTCCCTTCTGCAGCCTGACGCTGGGCTTCAGCAGCCTCAGACTCCTTCTTTATTCTCTCAAGCTCCTGCTCGCGACGAGTGGCCTCAATTGCCTCCTGCTCACTGCGCTCTTCTGCCTCTCGCGCCTGGCGAGCCTTGACTTGCTCAAACGTCAAAGCCGCAGGAACACGAGCAGCATCCCAGTCGCAAGTCGCTTCATGCCCAGCACCGCGCCACAATCGAAATGCATCCCGAGTACCTTTACCACTCGATACTTCAAAAGGTGTTTGCTGCTCTGCATTGGTCCGAGTTGGATCCGCGCCGAGATCGAGCAGTAACTTAACAACGGCATCTGCGCCAGCACTCGCAGCGTAGTGCAGCAATGTGGGTGTATGCGCAAATGACTTTTTAGGCTCGAGCAGAAATTTGGTTGCATCCATACTCTCCTCTTGTAGTATTTGCTTGATGGCAGGAATCTTGTTGCGTTTGATGAGAGGCAACAAGCGCTCAGTCAATCCCACCAGGCGCTTATCAGGAATTTCTTCCACAACTTTGGGGAGGGGAGCCGGCGCTGCTCTTGGCTTGACTTCTTCCTTATCATCCAGCACTGAGCCGAGTTGCAGGCGAGTCAGTATGTGAAAGCTGCGGATGATTTCAGCCTGGGTTGCTCTGCGCGTATTGATTGGGAAGCCTCGGACTCTTGGATCTTGCTTGGCCAAGCCTGCATCATGAAGCAACTTTCTACTTGCGGCACCACTTGCTCTGATCAAAATCAGCTCGACATCCTCGAGCATCGCCTTCCACTCTTGAAACAAGCCGGCGATGTCCTCCTTCAGCGCAATCTCATTGTAACGTCGAATCTGTGCACCAGCTGAATTGGCAGCGCCTTTGGCATTATCATTGGCAGACTGAGCGCCACCTTGCTTTCGTCTTGTCGTGTACCGATGAAATCCCTTGGTTGCCTTGATGCTGCACTTGGCAACTGTTGATCCATTGAGAGAAATGATGGCGCCTGCAAAGTGACCACCTCCTACCATGAACATGGCGATTGACCTTGGCTTCGAAGTGTTGCTCATCTGTATACTTGCTATTGAGCTGTCTGCACTTGGTAACATTGTAGAATAGATGCCAAGCTTGGTTGGTGGCGGCACAATAGAGGAAGTGGCCCAAGTGATAGGTGAGCCTTTCGTAGGCTGTACAGGTGCATCATCCACTAAACTTGCTTTGACCTGTAGAACAGCAGACAGGTCCTCTTCTTCGTCAGAGTCGGTGAGAGCAGCGTCATCGTAGTGCTCGTCAGCGTGTATCTGAGAAATATGCGACTGAGTGAGCGGTTTCAATGTCTTTAGCAGCTCTTGGGGAATGTCATAGATGTAGATGGGTTTTTCGATCGCTTGTGAGCTTGGAGTCATGAGATAGATACAAATCAAGCTGGGCCCCTTCCACCCAGCGCTGTAGCTGCGTAACCAACCTAGAGAGCAGGTCGTGGATGAAAGTGAAATTGCTCGTCGTCGCGATTTCAAAATTTGAGCAACGCGTCATGGTAACGACCCCGACCAATACAGCGAAAGCAAGGACAGGATGCTGAAGCTGAGTAGATCCTACGCTGGGCATACACAGGATGTGCGTGGTGTCGCTGCGTCTGGGGACAGCCTTTACAGCTGCTCTAGAGACGGCACAGTCAGAGAATGGGGGCTCAAGGCAAGCAATACCCAATTGACCCAGCATGCGCTTCACAACGGCTTTGTCAATTCAATCGCAACAGATGGCAGGCTCATCATCTCTGGGGGCCAAGATTCAATCATCTATGTGGTTGAGCAAGGGCAGACAGAGCCAATGTACACTTTGGTAGGGCATACGAGCAATGTTTGCGCACTCGCTGTGGGGCCTGATGGCCTCATCATTAGTGGCAGCTGGGACGGTACAGTCAGGCTCTGGAAGAGTGGTGTCTGTCTGGAGACATACGAAGGCCATCAAGGTGCAGTCTGGGCAGTCTTGTACACCCCGCATGGTATCTTAACCGGTGGAGCAGACAGGACAATTCGGTTGTGGAAGGATGGAAAGCAAATCAAGAATCTGCCTGCGGGCAAGGACTGCGTTCGAGCACTTGCCCTTCATCCTGCTGGCTTTGTGTCTGCAGGCAATGATGCGACCATCCGTCTTCATTCATTCGAGGGCGATGTCGTGCAGCAGCTCGAAGGACACGAGTCATTCATCTACAGTCTAGCAGTGACAGATGGTGGCGACATTTACTCTGTCGGCGAAGATGGCACTTTGAGACACTGGAAGGATGGCCAGCAAGCACAGAGTATCAAGCACCCCGCAGTGTCCGTCTGGTGTGTCACACGCTTGTCGAATGGCGATATTGCGACAGGTACCTCGGACGGCGTCGTACGCGTCTTTACAGCGGCCACTGAGAGATTTGCTGCCAAGGACGAGCAAACAGCATTCGATGAAAGTGTCGCTGCATCTCAAAACCCTGCACAGACTACCAATATTCCGAATAATCTACCAGGATTGGAAGCATTGTCTACACCTGGCAGAAAGGAAGGAGAGATCAAGATGATTCGCCTTCCTGGAGGCATTGTTGAAGCGCATCAGTGGTCAGGGGGCGTTTGGACCAAAGTCGGCGAAGTGATGGGGGCGACACCCCAACGAGTGGGTTATAAAGGTCAAGAATATGACTTTGTGTTTGATGTTGACATTGCGGAAGGCGTCCCTCCTCTCAAGCTCCCTTACAATACGGATCAAAATCCTTACGAAGCTGCACAGAAGTTCATCGACAAGTACGAGCTGGACGCTGGATTCCTTCAACAGATTGTCAAATTTATCGAGACCAATACTGGTGGCATTCCACTCGGCGTGCCCAAACAGGAGGATACGGCAAAGAAGGAGTCTGTACCTGTGGCGCAGCAAGAATACCTGGCTATGGTGAGCGGCAACGCGGCATCGATACTCAAGAAGCTTGAGAGCTTTTGTACTGAGATGCAAATCGAAGTGCTGACAACCTTTGAGCCCAGCAGCCCGAGCAATGAACAGATGGCTTCACTTTTGCGGATAGCCAAGAAGCTGCCGCGTGAAAAGCGCTTTCCGGCATTGGACCTTATACGACTGGCTGTTCCTCATGCAACGAATCTGACGGCGTCCTTCATCATGGACGTGCTCGAGTTTGCAGAAATCACATCTGGCGTGTCTACCAAAGACAAGACGCGCGAGACCAACGCAATGCTAGCTTATCGGACACTGGCCAATACCTATGTGAGCGATGTGGCAACAAAAGCGGTGGACGCCATTGAGGCAAGGGCAACGGATGCCATCTCGGGTGGCTTGAGCTGGCCAGACAACCGCAACACAACGCTTGCCCAAATCACATACCTTCTCAATGTTTCAGTCTACAGCCGGAAGCATGATCGCGCAGATATAGCCATGGGCGCCTTGGAGTCTCTTTTGCTGCTTCTTTCCGAAGCGAGTGACGAGGAAGTGCATTACCGAGGCCTCGTCGCGTTGAGCACAGCGATTCAATGCGCCGAGGAAGTCAGCATTACAGCCAAGGAAGTGTACGAGGCTGACAAGATTCTGGCAGAGATGCGTCGCAAGGTGGGGAATGCATCTCGCCTCACGGATGTGCTCGATGGGCTGGACAAACTGCTGCAAGATGCGCCGAAGCAATGAACAATGAGCAATGAGTAGTGATAAGCATATTATGCCTTCTATACACGAACGAGACGTATGCGGCTTATCCATTTAGCCATGATTTACGGATGCGAGCAGTCTAGAGCTTTGCCTCTTCCGAAACGTCGCCAATCTTGAGCTTGGGTGTGTACTTTGCGAGCACTTTGTCGTTGTGGAACTTGTTGAACTGCTTGGTGGCGTCCTTGCCGCATGCACGCAACAGGATCTTTGCGCCGCCGGGGTGCGAGTCGTGGAACTTGGACACGTCAAACACCTGGCCCTGGATGATGACCCATGCCTTTTGGGTGTTAGTGTTTGTATTTGAATTGCGCAATGTAAAAGCTAAAAACTTACGCTGTCTGGGGATGTGTGCTTTGCGACTTCGCTTGCTGTAATTCTCTTGCTCATCTTGGACTGCAGGGTACTTGACGAGTACTTGATGAGTGTGGTTGTCTTTTGTTTGCTGACCTTTCGCCTTTCGTGTTCTGCTTCCCCGCGGATCTCCCAGATCTCGGCGCTCGGAGGTTGCCGGACATGCACGTGAGCCTTTATCTACCTCAACAACTACTTGCAATTGTGACCAGCGTGCTAGATACTTGCTGTATACTCTTGCTGCCATGCTGCTTGTCTCTCTGCTCAACTTGTACTGCATAGCCTCCTACAGTCATGCTGCACACATCAAGTCAGACCAAGCCACCTTTTCTGTACAGAAGAAACACTCATCTGATGACAGGGCCCTGCTCAAGCTGCATCGTACTCTGATTGAAGCTGACTCGACTTCTCAACTGAGCGAACTCTCTGCTGCCAAGGTGCTCGTCAAGCATTTCAAGTCCATCGGTTGGCACTACCAGCTCCTGCCGTGTCGAGGCAATAATCAGAGACCCAACGTGCTCGCATGGCCGGGCAAGACCAACGAGACCAAGCTTCTCGTGACATCACACATTGATACCGTGCCTCCATACATTCCTTATTCCAAGCATGGCAAGTCTATCTGGGGCCGTGGATCAAGTGATGCCAAGGCCAGCGTGGCAACACAAATCATTGCTGTCCAAAGACTGTTGGAAAAGAAGATGATCCACGCCGATGATGTCGCCCTTTTGTACGTGGTAGGAGAGGAAACGGCAGGAGATGGCATGCGTGCCTTCTCAGAACTTGCCGTGACAGAGGGAAAAGTCTACCCAAACATCGTCTTTGGCGAACCTACCGAAAACAAGATTGCAATTGGCCACAAGGGTATGGTGCTCTTCAACGTAACGGCGTCCGGCAAAGCTGCTCACTCGGGGTATCCCGAACTAGGCTCATCTGCAAATGAAAAGCTGATTGATCTGCTCTACGATCTCAAGCACCATACATTCCCGTCTGACGAAACGCTTGGGAATACAACCTTCAACATTGGAGTCATTCAAGGCGGGTCAGCGGCAAACGTTATACCTGCCCACGGAAGTGCCCACTGCGCATTCCGCGTCGCCAAAGACTTGGATGGCATCTTGACTTATTTGCGGGATGCAGTCGCGACAAGTCCCGACATGTCCTTCGATATCGAGCAAGCTGCTCCACCTTCCATCCTGGACTCCCTTGAAGGAACTGAATTTGAAGAGATTGTGGTCAACTATAGCACGGATGTGCCAAACCTTTCTCGAGAGGTGGCTACAGGGAAACGCTTCTTGTTTGGTCCTGGCAGCATCCTCGTGGCCCATGGTGATGATGAGCACATTGAGATTGACAAGCTGCTTGGTACAGCGCATGACTACGAGTTGATCTTCAACAAAATCCTTAGTGCAGCATAGTTATTTGGTAGGCTACTAGAAAAGGATGTACACTACTTTGCAAATCCCATGAAGTGACCTCCAACGCTGCGTAAGGTCTTTGGAGGAAGAGGAACAGCAATATAATCTCATGTGACATGTTGCGAAACACAAAAATCATGACTACACAGCGAAAGTCAACAGCCTGCTCCTGCTTCTGTTGGCACATCTCATCAGCCAGCACTTTCTATCATACTCAGCTATAACGGCTTGAGCGCTGCTGCCCTAGGGTACAAGGATGAACGCAGAGGAGAGAGCTAAAAGGCTTGCACGCCTCACAAATGGCGCACTGAATCAAAGCTTGCCTACTGATACCCAGTCTACGTTACCTGCATCTAGATCAAGCTTAAAAAGGAAACGGTCATCAGAAGCCAATATTATCGAGCATGTGATGAATTCCAAGCTTGACTATGAAGTGATTGACCTCACAACAGACTCAGATAGCGAGCGAACTACAGATGGCGAAAAAGAGGACACAGATCTGGGACCTGTCTCCACGAAGACAACTGCTAGACTGCCAGTTTCACTACAGGAAACCGTTTCATCGAAGTTTTCTGCTCGTGTTGCTCCAGTCTCGCCAAAACCTGCAGATCCAACGCTGCGATTCGACAAGGGCCAAGTCTTGCTCACAACAGCTCCAAACAGACCATTGCCAGGACACATCTCAATCGACGAAATATTTCAGCGCCGCTCATTGAAGACGGCTGTGCTCAGCTCTTTCAGTACCGACACTGCTTGGTTGGCCTCAAAGCTCGACATCGGCAGAACAGAAGTAGTCTTGTGTATGCATGCACACGAACAAGAGGTAAGTCCAAGCCAAGCTCAATTCATCGCTTACGAGATGCAGCACGATCGTCACTTGATGGATTGTCGCAGGCTGCCTAAGTTCTCCCTCGTTTTTCCTTCACTTAAGGGCGGAATTAGCTGCATGCACTCGAAGCTCCAGCTCTTATTTTATGACACCTATCTTCGGATCGCTGTACCCACTGCGAACCTCGTAAGCTTCGACTGGGGTGAGGAGCTATCAGAGTATGGCCCTGGATACCTTGATAACAATGTCTTTGTTCTGGATCTGCCATTCAGGCAGGTACACCATTCAGGGGAATTGCTGAAGACTTTTGAGAAGCGTGGGCACGTCACTTCCAAAAGCCTTCACCACACTGTCAAAGTCCATCATGACATCCCATTCCTATTGAACCTCATCTTGTACGTACTGCGCGCTGGATATCCGGATCGCATTCTTACACAGCTTTTATCGCACGATTTCAGCGGAGCCCGAGGATTCGACTTCGTGGCCACGATCGGCGGCTACCACTATGGAGAAGCCATACATGATTCTGGACGTCTGGCTCTAGCTCGAGCCGTCAAACGGGCAGAATATCCAACTGTGCAGCAACCAAGAATAACTGCGCTTGCTTCCTCTCTTGGCTCCTTAGATTGGCGTTTCGTCAACACCCTGGCGCAAGCTATGATGGGTCAGAGTCTCTCTGGGAAGGAGGCCGTCAGTCCTCATAGCATCGACCAAATTGCTGCAACGTTCCGCATAGCTTTCCCAACAATGCAAGCAGTACATCAAGCGTCCGCTGGAGCTGGCGTCATCTTTTTTGCACGGAAATGTATTGGGGAAAAGAAGGCCAAGAAACAACAGAGTGACCATTTCCCAGAGCCCTGTCTCTACGAATACCATCCAAAGAAAGCAGGAGTACTTTCCCACACCAAAGCTATCGTTTGCGAAGACTTGGATCGGCCCGGACAGGGACTGGCATATCTGGGATCTGCCAATTTGTCTGCGAGCGCCTGGTAACACAATTTATTATGTATTCGTCGCTAACTCTAGGGGCGACAAGGTAACTTTGGATACCAAGACTAAGCAAGAAAAGATATTCCACCGCAACTGGGAGACTGGAGTCCTCCTTCCAGCAAATATGGTGACACAACGCATCCCCATCGACCTTTCGAGGCCATTTAAAGTGAATAAAGACCCATGGGCTACTCCGAGTCGGCAATGGTAAGTGTTCAATGGCTGCGATGGATTATCTTGGGAAGGTCGATGACAGGATCAGGGAAACGCTACCTGGCGGCGCGAAGCACTTTTCTTTTTCGGGAAAGGCGATGAATGGAGGAGGAAGAAAGCGCTCTCATTAATGAAGTTCGATGCGCCGGATCAGAAGAGCGACTTGTACGAACTTGGCTCTAATCATGGTAGCTAAGCTGACAAAGAGCTCACCGGTGCATCTGTCCATGACATGGCATGTCCTAATCTATTCGTGTATCATCAAAGATGACTCTTGCCTGCTAAGCATAGACATCGTCGTTGAAGAGATAGTCGAACTGGCCAGTCAGAACGAAACCTTCAATTCCTCCAAGATAGGTAAAGAAGGTGTTCTCGGATATTTCCTCTGCATACAGCTTGTCGTAAATGTATTTGTGCTTGAAAGACTGCATCTCGTCGGCCATATCGTCGACATTCAACGCTTCCTTGCCATTTTCAATAGCTCGTAGACCATATTGCTCAAATACCGGCCTTTCCAGCAACAGGCCCAGACTCGGAGCTTTCGGTATATTGACTTTAGTTGGACCAAAAGTCTTTTGCATGCGATCGAGCGGGCATCCACTTAACATAACAAGCATGACCATAGCGACCATCTTACGAATCTGGTGTAGCATGAAAGACTGACCATGGATTTTGAGCGAAAACCACTCGGTTCCATCAATGAGGAACGGTTCACTGGCATCGAAGGAGCGAATCACCCTCTTCGAGCTCGCCTGCTTGAACTCCTGACCGATGGTGTAATTGTGGAAGTTTTTGGTCCCCTCATAGATTGCCAGAGTCTGTCGAATAGCAGTCAGACGTTCTGGCGAGATGCGGTATGCGCGCTTATATGCGTGGACTGCTTCGCGAAGCATCTTTTCACGCTTCATCTTGGCCGCAGCTGCAGGCTTCTCTTCGTCTGGAATGGAACGGTCCAGAGCAATATTTCCCAGGTCTGTTGTGTCATCAGTAATCCTGCAGTACGCTTCCGATTGCCGAAGTTGCTGAAGATGCGCATCCAGTTCAGCCCAGAACGTAGAAGCGCTATCTTTCAAGAGTGTATTCTGATTGAACTCGTGTGCCCTGTCTGACAAAGCATCACCAGGCCTTGACGGTATAAATACCGATGTTGGAATCAAATATTCGTATCTCCGAGAGTCACAGCTCGTGCGTGGATTGAAGGAGTTCATGGTTCTAACAATCTTCCAAAGACGTATTTCTGCAGGTAGACAGGAATTGATCTTGTCGAGCATGCCAGCTTCCTCGACGATTAGCTTGAGTGAAATCACATTGCATGCCGCATGAACACCTTTGTCGGTTCGCGCAGCGCGCAACAGAGAGACCTGAGGTTAGCAATACAACGCACAGAGAATCAACTGACCTTTTTAGGGTCATTTGCGTTGTCGGCAGATATCGCACCAGCCTTGACAAAGGCAGCAAACAAAGTTCCTTCAATAGTCTTTTGGGGGGTGTTGAATTGCATGCCTGAATATCCTGTACCACAATAGCCAATCATGCATGCCACTTTGCGTTTCGGCTTTCGGTCTTCCTTCTCACCAGATCCGTCACTGTCTCCATCGAGCTTCTGCTTTTTGCGTGCATGGAATTCTTCTCGACTCTTCTCGTCCCAACCGAGTCTTGCTGCGCCTGTCGTTTGATGTTGAGCTATTTCAGTCGGGAGCGAAGTATCGCAGTCGTTGTGAAGCGTTGTGCTCTCATCAATAACAGAGACTTGAGCCGCTGCCTTCTCAGTAACAGCAGGAATTAAGGCATCGGTTGACATGTATCTAGCTGTCTTGAAGCTCGGTGACGCAGCCAAAAAGGACCTTGAGATCCTTGCAAGACTCGAACGTCTTGAAAGTAAGCTTATGATTGTAGCTGAGAATAAGACAGAGTCAGCTAGGTGGAATTAAGGGGAGCAAATATTGCGATGTATATCCCTGCGAATCGATGCAAGAAAGTCAAATGTCACACGGGCCACGGCGCGTTGACTCAGCCACACCGCTGTCAAACGGCTGCGCGATGAGATCCAGGAACAGAAAGTCCTGATCAAGTGCGTCATTCCCGCATGACAAGCAACGCTGAGTAGAAAGACCAGAAGACAAGGCCTTGAACAGAACTGGTGCACCCATAGTCACATGACAGAACGAGAATATCTTAGTGAGCAGGTATAGGATTCACTTGCAGGCTTCCGAGCTCATGGCTGACTTCAGGACATACAAAAGTTCTTCGAAGAATGCGACAAGGACACAAACGGGAATGTCAGTTATCAAGAGCTTGAGCACGTCCTCGATGACGTTCATCAAGAGCTTGCACCCAACCCGAAGCCTCATCATCTCCATCATCCCAGCAGGGATGATGATGCGCGGCATCGCTTTCTCCGGAGCGCTATGAGCTGCGAAGACAAGGACGCTCTTAGTAAAGAGGAATTTTTGCAAGTCGTTCGTCACCTCAAGATACCCGCTGGAGTCGCCACCAATACGCAAGCAGCCCATGCAAAAGACAAACTCGATGTTTCCAAACTACCGTTCGGACGCAGATTGAGAGCCAAATTTGCTGTGGACGGCGCGCCGTGGACTTTTTTGGCATTTGTCGTCGCTTTGATGCTCATCTTTGGTATTTGGCAGCTCGTGACATACGTGTCTGACACTGACAAGCGTGCTGCTCTTGGCTGGGGTGTGATCATGGCGAAGGTCACAGCTGGTGTCCTCTATCCCACATTGTTCTTCATGATTCTATCCATGTCTCGCTGGCTAGCAACACTAGCCCGCTACAGCTACTGGGTTGCCCGCTTTGTCAACTTTGATCGTGCTCAGTCATTTCACATCAAGATCTCCATATTTGCAATGCTGATGGCAACGCTACATGCAATTGGACACTTAACTGGAACGTTTCTGTACAGCTCACGGCCAGGTAGAGAAGCGACTGTTGAAACTGTGGTCGGCCAAAGTCGAACTTATCGACAATATGTTGCTACGTTGCCAGGTATAACCGGTATCTCCGCCCTGGGATGCTTCTATTTGATGGCCATCTTTGCAATTCCATGGCTGAAACGAAGGAACTACGAAGTCTTTCAGCTCTCTCATCTACTCATGTTTCCGTTCGTCGGCTTGCTCATGGCTCATGGTACCTGGGCTATATTGCAGCCACCGATGCTCGGATACTGGCTAGCCTTCCCTACGCTGTTGGTTATAGTGGAGCGTCTCACTCGCATATGCCGTGGCTTCATCAGGATTCCAGCCAAGTTCTCAATACTTGATGATGATACTGTTGCCATTGAAGTGAGGCACCCGCATGGAAAGGATTGGCCATACGACGCCGGACAGTACATAATGCTTCAAGTCCCGGAGGTGTCCTTCTTTCAGTGGCACCCATTCACGATTTCTCTTTGCCACAAAGACATGCTTTCACTACATATCAAAACAGATGGGAATTGGACCTCAAGGCTGAGATCCGAGAATTTGCGATTCGTCGGCTTGGACGGACCGTATGGCGCTCCTGCGCAACGCTTTTACGACTTTGAGCGATCCGTTTTGATTGGGTCTGGCGTTGGTGTAACGCCATTCAGCTCTATTCTGATGAATCTTGAGAAGCGCCAGGATTTGCCCAAGGCCAGGGGAACCTCGCATTCGCGATCCAGAGCTGCCTCTCGCTCGTCTTCGCCCGGATCAGATGCGACTCGCGTCAAGTCAATTCGAGAAGGAGAAAAGACGCGAGGCAGGGTTTTGGGGTCTCCCCCAAAAGTACGCTGTGACTTTCATTGGGTTGTGCGAGACAAGAACTACTTGCTTTGGTTCAGTGACTTGCTTAATCGCGTGGAAACAGCCGAATCCATTCACAAGGATCTTTCTATTCGCATTTGCACTCATGTTACTGCTAAACGGAAAAAACTGTCGACCTTAATATTTAGGTGGCTTCTAGAGAACCACAGAACTGAGACAGACTTGTCACCACTTACAGGACTTCGCAACAAAACTGAATTTGGTCGACCAGATTTTAGCACCATTTTGTTGGATCACTACAACGAGGCAAAGTCAGAAGGCTTCACGGGGAAGGTGGGCGTCTTTTATTGTGGAGCACCTGTTGTTGGAATGCTGATTGCAGATGCGTGTCATGTTTTGACTGCTCGTGCTTCTGAAGAGCGATACGATTTGAGATATGTTTTCATGCTGGAGGTCTTTGGTTGATACAAGAGATGAGACGGTCTGAGACGATATGGCTTGCTGTGAAGGTCGACAGAAATATAAGCCGGTATGATGAATATAGTACGAATGGTTTCTATTTGCCTTTGTCGACGTCCTTTTCTGTGCATGGCATCTGAATAATTCTTGCCAACGCCGGCTCCGGCCCTCTTTAGAAGCACACCTGCACAAACTTCGCTCAAATTCCTGCCCTTGGATCTATGGCTTTCTTGTTGCTGACGTTGCTATCTCTACTGATGGGAGCTATATCTTATGGGGCAGGTAGTGTGCCTCTTTACCTGAATCTATCAGACCAAAAGATCGATGGAGTGTCCAAATGCGGCACGGGAGTGTTGATCAGCTGTGCTCTATCCATTATAATACCAGAGGGAGTAGAGATTATTTACTCAAGTCTCTTGGCGTCCTCTACTGGCGTATTAGAGGGATCAGAGCATGAGAAACATCTTGATTCGAGTCATCATGTTGGCATTGCTTTGCTGGCTGGCTATGCTCTTATGTTCCTCATTGAACAGCTTTCATCACACAAAGAAGAAAGCAGTCAGTACATTGCAGTGGACAACTTGCATGAAATACACAGCTATCAAGAGCAAGGATTGCAAGTACACAAAGGTCATACCAAGGATACCAGTACAACCTCGATAGGTCTCAATTTACATGCAATCGCGGATGGCATCGCCCTGGGGGCCTCAGCACAAGCCTCGTTCAGTGTCAGTCTCGTTGTGTTTTTCGCCATGGTACTTCACAAGCTGCCTGCGGCCTTTGGGTTGACTGCCGTCCTGCTGCAAAGCAAGTTGTCAAAACGGACAATTCGCATCCATCTGGCTATTTTCAGCGTAGCTGCGCCTGTGGGAGCCATTGTAACAAACGGCTTGATGTCATTGTTGGGAAATGAAGGTTCGGACTCCTCAGCATACCTCACAGGCTTGATCTTGGTATTTTCTGGTGGCACCTTTCTGTTCGTGGCAGTCTCTCACGCACCGAAAGATCCATCCTTGCAGAGCATGTTGCTGATTTGTCTCGGCTTGATGATACCTCCGGTGCTTGGTTCTCTGTTCCGCCACGACCACTGACACAGGCAATTAAACACATCGCCCTGCTATTTGGCAGCTATTCGAATCATCTCTTTGACATCCGTTACTTTGACACTTGGCCTGTCGAGTCTCTGACCGCATTCGAATTCAAATTGCTCGATACGCTTCCAACCATTCCAATCGATGACTGCACAAGACTGGCTCAGACGCTTGACAAAAGCTGAAGAGTTGCCCTCCACTGATCTCGTAAGGCCGGCACGCCAATCCAAAAGAATATTGTCTGCAGTCTCATATGCGTCTCGCATAGTGGATGCGATGACTCCGACCGGACCATTCTTGGCCCATCCTGCGCAATACAGTCCAGCCAATGTGCCGTCCAGAGTCTGCACCCGACCAGCCTCATTCGGAATAATGTTGCGAGTCGTGTCGAAGATGATGCCAATATCAGACATGCCCAAGAGAGGCTCAGCTTTGTAGCCGATGCTAGTGAAGGCGACTTGTGCTTCTTCAATGTACTTTTGGTCGGTCCCAACTGCCACCACACGATCGCCAGATGTCTTGAGATCATTGACCTGAAACTCGACACGCTCCAGCCCGCTACTTCCACAAAATCTCGTGGGAGACAAACGATACCGGAAATCCCATTGTGCTTGACGGTCATTCTCCAGGGTCGGTTGGCTCTTCGCAAGCAGTTCCATGAGACGCTTTTGTGGCCTTGCAAGGGGCTGACTCAAGGCATCGACGTAGAGCTGCCGCTGACTGTTTATGAAGTGTACTTCAGGGAGCTTGATAAGCTCGCGAACTTCTTTGATGGTATAAGAAGCCTCAAGAGGACCGCGTCGACCAACAATAGAGACTGAGTCGATTTTGCTCTCAGAGAGACATTGAAGTGCATCGGCGCTAATGTCGGTCTTCCGTAAACTGTCCACACTTGAAAGCAAAATCCGGGCTATGTCTAATGCCACGTTGCCCTGACCAACAATGACTGCTTGCTTAACCTTTCGTAGGTCTACACCCAATTCAGCCGTTTCGGGTAATCCGTTATACCAACCAACGAACGATCGTGCCGTGACAACACCCGGTAAGTCTTCTCCTGGGACACCTAGCGACCTATTTGAAGACGCGCCATAGGAAAAGACAATACTGTCATAACACGAGGCTAGAGACTTCAATGAGACGTCTTTGCCGACATGAACGTTGCCAAAGAACCGGACGCGTTTAGAGCTAGCTACTTCGTCGAATTTGTGTGTGACATTCTTGACCTCTGGGTGATCGGGTGCCACGCCATACCGAGCTAAACCATATGGCACGGGCAAAGCTTCGTAAATGTCAATACTACAATTTGGGTAATGCGAGAGCAGACGAGAAGCAGTGTAGAAGCCAGCAGGACCGGATCCGATGATTGCACATCTTATTGTCTTGTCAAGACTTGATGTGGACTGTGTCCGGACGAGAGCTCGTACTGGAGTAGGCTTGAAAAGATTCTTGAGCATGCCATAGGCCAGACAGCGGACTGCTGAAGAAGTGGTTTGATGGCTTAAGCAAGTTGAGCTTGCTTGCTTTAAAGCTGCACTTTGGTCAATAAAAATATTTAGCCAATAGAACTAAAAGTCTTCCACGTGATGCGAACCTCCAGATGGAGCGGCACGCTTTCACAAATGAAACACCACAAATACAAAGGCTAGTATTGCGGCCGGTGGTAATTCAAACTGATTCTAAGTCTGCTGGAGCTAAAACTACTGTCTAATCTATCTATAAATATCTGTTTAGAGGCGCTTATGCATTGGTTTCGAACTGAGGCGCCCAGATCGTGTGAAGGTGACATTTCCAGGCTCTGCACTCAAAGTCTTCCCCTCTACCATGAAACCCGCGGCTTCAGTCAATTTCGACCCTGGATTCTCTTCTTGATTGACCACAGCTGACTTGTAAGCCTGATTGGGCTTCTTTTGAGCTTGCTTCACAGCATGGCTGGCCAGAGAAACAGCCTTCTTTTCCGCTGCGGCGGCTTCCTTAGCAACTTTGGCTGCAGCGCGAGCCTCCCGTTTCTGTTGAGCCTCAGCTTCCTTGTCTGCCTTTTTGATAGCCCTGGCTGTCTTTTCAGCCGCCCTTTGCTCGACTAGCATGTCCCGTTCTTGTGCACGCTTAGCTTCAATGTCTCGTGCATGCTGGACCTCGATAGGGCCAACAAATAAAGCGCCTGTCCGTCCATCCGACCTCAGCTGCTCCCCAATCTTCAGCTGTCTTTTCTTCCTTGGCTGATTTCGCTTGGCAACAGCCTTTAGCTGCGAGTTCTCCAGCTTTACGGCTTCATACGCTGTTTGGACCTCAGAAAGCCGGTGCGCCAGGAATTGGAGGGACTTTTGCAATTTTTGATCAGCATTGGCAGTTGTCTGCACCAAGAACCGGCGCATCTTCGTTGGTCTGGACACAGTACATACTCCAGTTGGTTTTCTTGGACTATCGTGCTGTTGTTGGGCTTGAGCGGGTAATGGAGTCGCTGGCCTTTTGCGCAAAGGACCCAGGGCTATCTCCGGATTGAACGGCCAAATGCCAGTCTTTTCCCAGGCAGACTCGATCGTCTTCTTGACAAAGGTCTTCTGATAGGCCAGCCAAAAGATGGGAAAGAAATCTCGCTTCTTGATCGAGCACTGTCCTCCTGAATCTGTGACCATCTGATTAAGGCCTTGGCTATAGTAACTGGCCAAAGGGCTGAAGCAGCCAACATCCAAAGGTTGCAATCTATGCGTCGAGTGAGGCGGATAGAAGGCAAGGTAGATCTTCAGTTCAGTGCACTTGCTGATGAATTTTGTGTTCAGGTGCGAGCCGTGACCATCAAGAAATAAGAGTCTCCAGGAGCGTCTGGATTTGCGTCGCGACTCCTTGTCGAAAATGTCCACGAGCCAGTGCATGGCGAGCTCATCAGATGTCCACCCGTTAGGCGAGCTTGCAAAATAGCAATTGTGCTCATCTGTCTTGAAATCCTCGATCCAGGCATTTTGAATGTCGCCGGAGTCAGCCTTGTAGATAACAGCAGGCGATAAAGTCGTCCCATCAGCACAGATTGTCGCTAGAATAGTGACCCATTCTCGGTTACCATCCTGCCCAGCTCTGGGAAGCTCATCGAGCTCAGATTTCTGCTTAGCGAACACCCGGCGTGTCTTCTGCGAGACTCCAATCATGAACCCTTTCTCGTCCATATTGTACATGTTCTCCGCCGTGATGTTGTTTCTCTGAATAACAGCAGCCAAACCATTGAAGTAAGACTCATAGCTAGTGAGACTATCAGCCTTGTGACGAGCTAAGTCGATATTCTGAAGATATCGGCTGTCCAAAATATTGTTGTGGCGCTGAACAAAGCGGCTTGCCCAATTTTTTGAAAGCGGTCGGCCAGCCAATCTCGAAGCTAGCGAGGTTATAAAAGCTGGTGGGGGTGGAAGGCAAAGATCACTCAATTGCTTGATCTGATCTATGATCATTTTCTCCTGATGGTTGGAGAGCGCCTGCTTGTTTTCCTCCCTGCGGGCTTTGGAGGTGGATAGGCCATGAAATCGACGGCTGAGGGCTGGTCGACTGATTCCATGCTTTCTAGCTATCCTTGCTAATACAGGAGCGTCAGATGCGCGTGCCTCTGCAATTGCAAGCTCCATCTATTCTAAACCATGGATAAAACGCGTAAGTTGTGAGCCTATAATTGACTTTTTGACGCGTGCCGCAACCAATTAAAGTCCGCATCACGTGGAAGACTTTTAGCCAAAATATTGCAGATTGCCTGAGATTGGCAGACGAGCTACAACCTCAACGACCACTGCGACCAGTACCTCACTTGCCATTTTACTAAACATCGTACGAATACAAAGCTTGGGGAGCCTCTCAGCTGTATTCAGAAGATTGCTATCTTCTCATCGTACAGAGTCTTTTCAGTTGCCTGCAGCTACTTAGGTCTCCAAGCTTACGCTGCATCCACTTGCTCTGCTTACATTCATTGGCTTTTGAGGTGAAAACATGGCAGGAGAGGCCCCTCCTATACCTGGTCGCTCGCTGATTGGCAAAGAGCTAGAGGACAGGAGGAGAGAGCTCGCTGATCTCCTTTCATGTGGCAAGGCCTTCCCCGGTGCTCAGCCGGTGTCGTTCTCCCAAGCCCACCTCAAGACTCTGGTTGACAAGGACTATTTCGTATGTGAAAAGTCAGATGGCATTCGCTTACTTATGTACTGTACGACCACAGACGAAGGCCGCGAGCAAGTACTCTTACTCGACAGAAAGCTCTGCTTCTATGCTGTCCCAAGGTTGCACTTCCCACTACCGAATGACGCGTCGTGCAAGCAATTTCACACTCAGACTGTAGTCGACGGCGAGCTTGTCATTGACACAGTCAATGGGGAAAAGAAGTTAGTGTACCTCATGTTTGATATGCTCATGTATCGTGGAAAAGACTTACGCAAGCGCACCCTTGAGGGTAGACTGGGCTATCTCAAGGAACAGTTTCTACGGCCGGTTACCAAGTTCATCAAAGCGAATGCATCGCTTTTGACTGGATCTCGTGCTGCGCCATTCTCTGTGGACTTCAAGCGCATGCAGCTTGGCTATGGCATCACGATGATGTACAAAGAGGTTATTCCGAATTTGAGACACGGGAACGATGGTTTGATCTTCACAAGCATCAATGCACCATACACTTCAGGTACCGACGAGTCACTACTCAAGTGGAAGCCTGCCGAGGAGAACTCGGTAGACTTCCTTCTCGTTGTACACTTTGTCTCACTGCCCAACGGCGAGCCGGACTTCAATGCCATCCCAGGCTTCGAGCTCTTGGCCTATCACGGGGATCGGGACGGTCAAGAAGATTACCGACCATTTGCTCCGCTTCACGTTGATAGCTCCGACTGGGAGATGGTGAAGGCTGAAGGTGAGAGACACAGAGGCTTGCATGACAAAATTGTGGAGTGCCACCTGGACAGTGAGCAACGCTGGCGTTTTATGCGCATAAGGGATGACAAGACGCATGGCAATCACATCTCTATCATCAAGAAGGTTCTCGAAAGCATTCGAGATGGTGTCACAAGGGAACAGCTGGAGCAGAACGCTTTTCATGCTAAAAAGGCTTACAAGGAGCGCCACCAAAAGACGGACGTCCCCGTTAACTCGTGAGTCAACCCAAGAGGCATTACTCGAATCCTCGATATTGCTTGCGCGAGGCCTTCCTGTATCGCTGGTAGCCATACAATCCAGCTGCGCACACTAGCAGGAACAACACTATTTTCGTCAGGAAGCCTAACCAGGATCCCTTTCCAGCGTGGGACGAGCTCTTATACTTGGCAAATCCTATGGGCGCACTGGGCCCACTGCTTGAAGAGAAGACGTTCCTGGACTGGACAGAGATGATGTCGTGGAAGTCGCTCACTTCTCCAGTAATGGCCGTGAAGCCGAGGTAAGCGACGTTGGGAATCTCGACTTTTGGAACCGTGAAGCACTCAGTCCACTCCCCTTCTGACTTGTACTGCAGTTCGAACTTAAGATAGCTGTCCTTGTAATACGTCAGTCGTCCTTTCGTTGGTACTGGCGCATCGCGAATTCCACGAGCGGAGCAGCCGGCAAGCTCAGTTCCCTGGCCGTCATTTTGGACATCATAGGCTGTCTGCCCATTTCCGAGCATAGCACTGATGTACGGAAATGTGACGCCTGAGCGGCCATTCTTGTACGTGTCAATGAAGATGCCTAGGCCTGTAAATTGATCCTTGTTCCCAAAGACAGGGCCCATCTCTCCGCTACTTGTTGTGAGCCACATGGCCATGCCGTCACCAAACAGGCCAGCTCCCCGTCCATGAATCTTGAACTCAAACTCAATCTCATAGTTGGTTGCGGTGATTGGAAGCCTGGACCAAAGCATTCCTGTGCTGTGCTGACGATCATACGTTAGACGGATGTGGTTGGCGGTATCGACGACTGTTGTGCCTCCATAGTCCCACCATCTGGAATGAAAGTCCTGGTCAAGATAGGGCTTCTGCAGCGAGTGTGTGCGCAAGGGAACTTGTCGCACGTCGTCCTGTGCGGTTGCCATGGCAGCCGAAAGCATTGCGGTCAGCAGGACATGGAACATGCTTGCACAATCAAGGGTTAGCTCGGCAACACGCTGTATAGAGCCTGGCTGATGTCTGGCTGGATGTGTGCTGCTGGTGTCTTGTTCGCGTGACGTTTCTTCTTTTTGTTTCGTGTCTCTGACCTCCGAACGAGGCTTCCATCAAGCTGCAGACAGATACTCAGGAAGTAACACAGCTATGGTCTTCGGCTTCGGAGGCAACAAGACACACAAGGCTGCAGATGGTGCAGAGAGCCCGCAGTCTGGTATGACGCCGCTTTCTGAGCTCGGAGGTTCCAATAAAGTCCAGCAGCTCAAGGCCCAGGTGCGGCAAGAGATGTCTGTAGCACATGCCCAAGACCTCGTTTCCAAGATGACAAGCGCATGCTTCGACAAGTGTGTTCCTAATCCCGAGTCTTCCTTGACGGGAGGCCAAATCAAATGCATCTCTCAGTGCAACAGTGTGTTTCATGGCTCATCATCCCCATTACTAACAAGCTAGATCTCTACACACAAGCCTGGGGCGTCATCCGTAAGCGACTCTAATTGCCGCAGTGGAGCGAATGCTAACGAGCCAGAGCGTAGTTACATCGAGCGTGTGCAACAAGAGCAGAGCGCGGGAAACCTTTAGATGTAGCATGAAGGCAATGCCGGGTTATAACGTACTTTCTGCAGACGCACTTACAGCTTTGCTTTGGGCGAGGCAAGCAAACCTTGATTACTCTTCTCAAAGAGCCGAACCATGATGGAGCAGTCGACCTCTCGACATAGCTCCTTCCGCCGGTTCACTGGCAAGCGCGGGAGAAAGTCGAGCCCACTCGCCCTTTCCACGGCATCCAAGGGCACGAGAAAGTCTCCCAACTTGGTACTGTTACTGATGGGCGCATTTGGCAGTACGAAGGCTCCCACTGCGGGCATGTCGGACAGATTGCCTTGATCCGCAACGATTACCTTGAAGAAATGGGTCGGCACTGCTACGCTTGCTGGGTTGCCAATCACTTCGTATGAGACCCTCCACTTGCCGTCAATGTCGCGGCAAGGAAGGTAGAGAGGCCCCGTGATGATGCGGACGGATTGATACTTGCCAGTCAGTCTTCTGCAGAAATCCTCAAAGTGCGCCCAGTAGTCCCGATTGAATCCCTCGCCGACCTGTGGACAGATGTTGCTCAAGGCAAATGTCTCGTCCATAGCTTGTTGCGAGAACTTGCAGTCCGCTGCTGGAACTTGATGCCCACGATCATAGCCACTCCGAGCATAGTCTTTGAGACTGGCTCTATACTTTGCCGGAATGGACTCGTCCTCGACAAAGAGACTCTTGCCACGATTGCCCACACGCTCTGCTAACCTCTCCGGTGTTAAATGTTCCGCAACCCATGCTGGGTTTCTCATTCGCCTGTCATAGCCAGAAACATAAGCAGTGCGGACACTCAAGTCTGAGATAGGCCCTGGCAGCCCGTACTGCAGTATGCTAGCAGGTGAGACTGTCGCTGGAAGTCCGTCTGGTCTTTTCGGGACTAGTTGACTTTCTAAAGCGACGCCTTTCGGTCGCGTGCTGTATAGGATGGCACCTCCAGAGATGACTCCAAGACTAAATATGCCCAGCGCATGTAAGCCCCCCATTCATGTACCAAGCTGCTGTTACTGTCTCACTGCCTATGCGCGAGAGCAACTTGGACGCGACCTGTAGGCTGAGCTGAGGCTGTAGGGGCAACGAGATGGACTGACACGAGGCAGCACATTCACTGGATCATCTGGATACTCTACTTCATTCATTGATAGCAGCTACAAGATCAGTGGCGTACATTCGATGCAGATTCACGCAGTGTTTCCAGCAGCGACGTTGCAGCAGTCCTGACCTTTGGCGAAAAGTGCCTCTGAAACAAGGCCAACTCGTAAGCATTAGTCGTAGATGTGTTTGTCAGCTCCAGACTGTTGGTGGTTCCGTCATACGCACCATCAGCAGCAGTATCATCGGTGTTGTAGAGAGACACTAATCTGCTGTAGCGAGCGGCCAGGCGCTTGATGAGCTCCAAAGACCCAGCAGCCGACTTTTCCGGAAAGTTGGCGGCACAAATGGACAATCGCTTGACGAATGCCGAAAGTCTGGCCTGTGTCGACTGCGCTCTCTGCTTGAAGAACACGGCGTCCAGCGCTCGAATGAGCATCTCTGCTTCCGTCGCCACATTGATAGTTGCCCTTTGCTTACTGTCCATTTGAGCATCTTCACGGAAGTTTTTCTCCACATCCGTATTGAAGCTTAGCTCTAGCATGGTAGAATACAGCTCTTGCAGAAACATAGAAAGGTCAAGTGTCATCGTCTCCTTTGTGCCACTTTGACCTGTTTGTAGAGCAAAAGCAGTTACGATGCACAGCAGAGATGCTCGCGTCGAGAGCGTCTTTTCAGCATCGTCATTGACATCCGCAAGCAATTGCTTCAAGACTTCAAGCAAGTCTCCAAAGAAATCAACATTGATGAGATGTGCAAAGCGCGCCAAGCCTTCAAGAGCAGCACCCATGACTGAGCGATTCCCTGTTTGCAGTATGCGGAAGTAGGCCGCAAACACAAGCTTGAGTGTGTCACTTTGCAGGCGCTCCCTGGTCTCCACATCAACAGTGGCCTCTGCCTCTCGCAGATCCTTTTCTACCTCTTTCTGGGACTTCATGAGCTTCTTGTTCCTCTTATTGATAAATTTGCGCTCAATCTTTGCCTTGCGATCCACCTTCGAAGCAGATGCTCGCACATCCAATTCCCTGAGAAGTCGCAAATGCAGAAAAGCAGCTATTGTGCTCTCGTCGACTTGATATTCTCGGTCCTTCATCTTTTTTGTCAAAAGTCTCACTGCCTCGAATGATGCATCGCCATCCTCGTCGCCAGCAAAAATCTCAATCAGAGTCGAAAGACTCTTCGAGAAAAGTTCATCTATAGTCTTGCGGCATATCTGATTGACCAAGATGGAGAATAGCTCTGTGCGAAAGTTGAAATGAGGGGCAGAGGAGAGCAAAGAACAAGAAGCTATTACAGCTGCACGCTTCAAAGGATGCGAGCTTCCAGCCATAGACGCACGCCTGTTGGTCTTGCAAAACGACATGAGACTGTTGATGAATTGTTGGTAGTTATTTACAAGCCCTTGCTCAAAGTTCCGTGTCTTTTTGATTTCCTTGGTGACCTTTTCCGCCTTTTCCACGTCTGTGAGAGGTCTGATGCGATATCCAGGAATGATGTCCTTATATACTGCAGTCATAGTGAGAAGCGCAAATTGTTGCTCGCGAATATTGCCGTGCAGCAGGACCTCACGAAGCTTGCCCAGCGAGTCAATCTCATCTTCCGGATCTTCAATAATGGACGAGGCAATGCGTGCGAGGGCCTCTTTCGTCTGCGCTAGCTTTTGTGCGGGCGTCAGAGTCGGTTCCGCGACTTGCTCGGTGTCGCTTTCGGCTTCAGTGCTCGACGACGGCGTCTCTACATGTAACAAAAGCTTCGGTAGTTTGTCGAGTTGAGGTTTTTCGTTGTCCATCAAGTGAACTCGACCATCGCGCGATTTGATGGGCAGGCGAAGCGATGCGGATGGTTGGTTCTTGAAACTTCGGTTGAGTGTTTCGTAGTCTGCTTCAATGCCGTCGTCACCACTCGAGTCCTCGCTGTCTATAAGAGAATCCCCTTCAACGAGACCGTCCGAGCCAGAGGTCGATACTATATCATCCAACCCGGTAATGGATAAATCGCCTTCGCTCGCAGTGTCGAGATCGGAGTCGTCGGCTTCCGAATGGGAGTCAGCATGTGAAGGCTTGGACTGCCGCGGATGCGCTTTTACAGGAACAGCCTGGATTGCTCTGTTGAACGTAGGCAAGGTGTCTGCCGTGGCCACGACACGCTTCTGTTTGCTGACTCGTTTGGCCAGCGCATTAGGGTCGATGGAAGACAAGAAGCCGTGGAAATGTTTATACTCGTCGAATGCTTCAACGTCATCTTCGCCCACTTCGCGCGAATTTCCTTGGACCAGCTCCGTCGTGTCATACGTCCGCCGCTTACCCTTCTTGAGCTTTGACCCTAGGTGTTTCTTGGCCTGTGGATGGTTGGCGTCGCCTGAGGACGACATGCGCTTCTGCCTCATTCCTGAGGAGCGCTTTTCCTTGAAGGAACCCATAAGATGCCGTGTCGAACAAGGCCGCTTGGTGGTTGGAGCTGCAGCTGATGGATGCGCTCAAAAAATAAAAAAGCAACCCACGCTCACTGGAACTACCACTGGAAGCAGACTCAAGTTATCTACCATCGTCAAAGCCAAGCTGGCACCTGCTCCAGCTGTCGTGTGCCGCCTATAGACTACCATAGAGGGTATGGCTGCGGCTACCACAGGGCAGTCGAGCTCAGATGCACTTATCCATGTCAAAGCTCTGCTACGGCAAGTTGTTCGTGGCTTCTATCAGCCGAAACACTGTATTCTGCTAGACATCATCCTCAAGCACTCGGCCATCCGTGACGACTACATATCGCTCATCATGGGTCTACAGAATCAAGAGATCCGCAAGCTCTGCGGTCGGCTCCGGGAAGACAGACTCATCACAATGCAGACCAAGGTTGAGTATAAAGACGGGCAAACGAGGCCAATCAATAGGTCTTACTACTACGTGGATTATCGAGATGCGACAGACGCAATCAAGTTCCGGCTACACAAGCTCGTCAGGGTGATCGAGGAGAAGTCAAGGAACGACTTCGACTCAAAGGGCTATGTCTGCCCGTATTGTGCTAGACGGTATGGACCTTTGGACGTCCTCCCGCTTGTTGCGTCAGATGGGCAAGGGTTCAACTGTGCAGACTGTGGAGCATTGCTGGCCGACGACGAAGAGTCGCTTGAAAGTCGAGCGTCACAAGAACGCTTGGGACGGCTTCAAAAACAGACGAGTAAGATTATCAGTACCCTCAAGGAGATTGACGCAAGCTTTGTGCCAAATAACGACTTCAACTCTGCTTTGCAGCAGGCTATCCTGCCATCAGAACTGCTCGATACGGCAGGAAACACAAAAGTCACTAGATCAACCAACTCGATGGCGGCCGAAGTGACGACAACTGCAGCCCTGGGGGTCTCTATTGACTATGATGCTCTTCAAACCGAGTCGCCAGTAGAGAAGGCAAGAAGGCTAGAGCAAGCGCAGAAGAATCAGTTGCCTGACTGGCACATGCAATCTACCATTTCTGGAGAGTCCATCACCGCGCAAGAGCCATCGGCCCTGGAGTCCGACGAAGAGGAGACTAAGTTGACGAGATTGGATGCCTCGACAGAGAACGAAGTGGAGGCTTATTACAGATCACTAAAGGCACAGGCTCTGATCAAGAAGGAGGACTCCGAAGATGACGAGGTGGACCAGGATGACGAGGAAGAAGCATTTGAGGATGTCGGCAGTGCTGCTGCTGTGCAATCTGCACCTGTAGCATCCATGTCTTCAGCGCCTTCCCCCAGCATGAGTAAAGCACCCGGGAGCGACTCAGATGATGATGAATTCGAGGATGTATGAGCACAGCAATGAAGGTGCTGCATAGCTTCTTGAGCTCTCGTTCCGATGCCTGATGCCTTTTTATGCAGACTATGTCTAGTTGATTACTTAGCGATCGACTTTGTGATTTCTTGTACCGAGTGATCAAGCACACCGCCCTCGAGCCAAGTCTTGACACGCTCGTAAATCATGAAGGTGACAGCCTGTCCTGGCGCAACACGCAGAACACGGGGGGTGATGCCTTTGTACAAAGCAGACACACCTTCCTTGGCAACAAGCTCTTTTGTAACGTTGATGATTCGTCGCGCACCAGTGGTACCATCGGTAGATGCGCCACGCTGAATGCGCGTTTTGATGGTATCGATTGGTGCATTGGACATAGGACCCATAGCACCAGAAAGACCACCTAGAACGAAATTTTGGTAGGCTGGCAGGGCAGTGAGGTTCTGGTAGTCCTTTGCCCATTTTTGGAACTCTTGGTAGGCTGTAAAGTTGACAGCTTGGTTGGTCGCTTGCCGAGTAGCAGTCAAGGTGACACCCCTGTACAGCGTCGCGAATCCTTCTTCCCGGACAATTGTGTAGGCTGCGTGGGCAGCATTGCGGTAGCGAGGCACATCCAGAGGATCAGCCATAGAGTGGTGCTGAGCTTGCAAACGGATCTTGATGCACTCCATGGGCGAGACAACTGCCACAGCCTCTGTGATACCTGCACCGAGACCAGCAAGAAAGACGGAGCCTGTCGCAACTTTGCCGGTTACAGGGTCTGCCAGGAGCTTTTTGTACGCCTCGAAGGAACTGAAACGAATGGCCATCTTTGGCACGATACCTGTCACAACGGCACCGAGACCTTTGTACAATGCCAGGGGCGATTCCTTGCGCACAATGTCACGGCCGACTGTAAAGAAGCCTCTCTTTTTCGCCTGTGTCTTGTCAGTTTTCTCCCCTTGAGTAAGCCAGTCGACATACCCCTGGAAGTCTTGCTCGGGTCGAGAGCTGCATCCTGACTTTGATGGTGTCGAGTGGATGGCACGCGAGAGCCTCACAGAGACCTGCGACGCCGCCTGCGACAAGATGCACGGGACCTGCGGTCTTTTTGTCTGTTACTTTGCTCATTGGGTGTCTTGATCAGCAGGGAGAAGACTGTCGAGGGCCGAGATGCTGTGTGAGCTGTAAGGGTGTCTATATGGATGGCTGGGTCGAGGACTGCGATGGCCGCGGAAGACATCGGGACAGTGCGCGGGGGTTCTGGCTCCACAGTGTCCACACTGCGACGAAAACCACTTTTGGCCGAGGCGAGCAGCAGAAGCAGCAGGAGCCACGATCAGATCTCAACTCCAAATTTGATGGAGGCCCCCTGGCGCTGGCTGCACACGGCGCATGTGACGGCAACAACTGCAACGACCACTGCTGACACTGCTCTGCTCTGCTCTCTACCTGCTACATGAAAAACACACTCAACTACTAGCTACACAATATCAGCTCTCTATGTCTCGTCCTGGAAAGGACTCCGAGACAGAAACAAATGCTCCTGACCAGGTCGCTCTGATTGCAGCTGCTCTCGGCACTGTTCTTGGCACATCCTTGACCTGGGCAGTCTTCATCACACCTACACATCCCGAACTGGCCATCTACATTGCATTGCTGGCACTCTTCCATCTGTTGGAATACTGGATCACAGCTCGGTACAACACTGTACGCGTCTCAACAACCTGTAATCAAGTGACTAGAGGTGTGACATCGCTGACCACAGCTTTCCTCCTGACAAGCAACGGAAAGGCGTACTGGATGGCTCTCATTTCAGGTATTTTAGAGCACACAATAATCTCTCGTCGCTATACTGCTACGACATTGGGTCAAGGTCGCGTGCCAGTGGCTTTCTCGCTGGGATTCGTTCTTCTTATGATTGGCCAAGCAGTGAGGTCACTGGCGATGATTCACGCAGGCAAGAGTTTTTCTCATCAACTCGCAGTACAGAAACATGACGAGCATGTCCTCGTGCAGGATGGCATTTACAAGTTAGACTCTCTTCCTCGTCTCCACGCTGACTCAAGATACATGAGACATCCCTCCTACTTTGGCTTCTTTTGGTTTGGCGTTGGTACGCAGATCATGATGTCCAATGTGCTAAGCACATGCATGTTTGCCGTTGTCCTGCATCGCTTCTTTTCCGCACGCATCAGATAAGTGTATGCAATACTTGAAACTATGCTAACATCACGGCAGAAGAATACTGGCTCATCAAGTTCTTCGGCAGTGATTATATCGAATACAAGAAGAAAGTCCCAAGCAGACTCCCATTCATCCCCTAGAGAAATGAATCACGAGCTGAGCATGCGCATTAGAACATCCTCATGCCTGGCCATCCACGCATCAAATCTAGCTGCATTGACTGATTGAAGAACAGACAGGCAACAATGCGCTTCCTCCACCCGATTTCGATTCACCGAAGCAGCTCCACGATTGACGCGATCAGCCAAATCAAGCAAATGCGCTTCTACCACTGGCCAGCCATTCGACGTATTGAACATATTGCGTCCATCATCAGTCGTCACCAGAGCGTCCAGAGCTGGGAAGATCCACGCGCTGTACGCCACCCCAACTTTGGCTTCTAGCGCCAGAAAGGAAAACAACACATCAATGATATGGCTAGCTTGCAGATGGAGGCTCTCATCTTCTTGCAGCCAGAAGCAGAGCGCCCTTGTGCAGGCAATGATACAAGGGGAGCTGGGAAGGGTCTCGTCTGCATTGTTCTCATTTTTGAACGCGGGATCGATACCACTGTAAGAAGAGCGATCCCACCTCTCCCGCAGGTATAAGATGGTCTCGCCGAATGCAGCACTAAAGTCATCGCGAAGCCGTAGGATCTGCTCAGAATCGAATGGCATCTCGTCTGACGTTGCCAGGTAAACGCATATGCAATGCATGAGATCATAGTTGCAAGCCAGATGCATCTCTTCCACTTCTGTAAACTGAACATGATCTGTTTGCCCTCGCGTGCTCGTTGATGATAGCCTTGCACGGATATCTGCAGCAGCAAGACTGCCAAGTACCACGAGAAAAGTCCTTTCTGCAGCATCCTGCAAGTTCAACCACTCCACTCCGTGGCGTTGCAGTATGATTGTCATGAGAAGAAGAGCGTCTGCGTAGCTTGTTCCTTTTGCTGGACAAAGCAGGGCAGATTTCAGAAAGTCCTTCAGCTTCTTGTCATGCTCATCTAGCTTGACAACGACATTGCTTTGCAGTACGATGGCATTGACCAATGGAAGCGCCCTCAAGAACGTGTCGCCTTTCCAAATTTGTCGCTCCATTTGTTCGAGAAGCTCAGTGAAGATCGTTTCAAAGAGCTCGGAGGTCTCCTTTGGTACTGTCGAAGCCTGATTTACACACAAGGCAAGTAATTGCAATCCCAATTGATTCTGAGTATCCGTGATGGCCATAGCAAACTTGGCAAATCGCTTGCTGGTCAAGACATGAATAGCTCCATCTGCTTCGGCGCCAATACTTTGCAACACCGTCAAGGCCTTTGAAAGAGCTTCTCTTTGACTCGAATCTTCTGACCTGAGTCTGCGGCTTATAAATTCCATGACTGCATCGGCGCGTCTGCGAAACGATCTGAGCTGGCTGACAATTTGAAAACCGGCAAAAGCATGCAGGATCGACAGGCCAAGCAGTGCCAAATCTGTAGCTTCACTACCAGAGACACTTGCTGTTTCGACTATTCGTTAGCATTGAGACGACATGGTGTGCTTACTAGAGAGCAGCATTTTGTCCAAGAGCCGCCCGTCTATTTTATGCCAGCACTTTGAAATGACTTGTGGGTCGGAGCTCACTGAAAGAACGTCGAGTAGAATGAAGAGCACAACAAACTTGGAGGCGCGGTCATCTTGTTTTGCCAGCTGATCACATTGAGCAAGTTTGGCTGATATGTCGAGCGGGGAGAGTACGTTCGTGGTAGCGCCAGCTTGGCTCATGCAGTCTAACAAAGGCACTTTTAAATGGCCAGAATGGAGCAGGAGCCAGAAGGCCTTGAGCAGATGACAGATACAGAGTCCGATCCAGCCTGTTGTGATTCACGCGAGCGTGTGTATATTGTGTAGAAGCAGACGATGCCCGTGGCGCTGCTGTGCTCGTGCGCCTCAAGCTCGTCAAATTCATATCTCCCAGATCGCACTTATCGCATATCACCGACCGCGGACGCGCTTCGCCGAGAGCTCTTATAAGAGGCCGTCCTGCACAAAGGTCTTCCTGGTTTATTGCCAACCAACACAATGGCGGAAGTCTACCTCAAGTCGAATCGCTACGGGAAGCAAGAGGTAAAGTTCCTCAAGAAGCTCGTCGACAAGCACGACCCCAAGAAGCAAGAGGTCATCGAGTACACTGTCCTTATTCTGCTTACAGGGGAATTTACCGAGTCATACACCAAGGAGGATAATGCGAGCGTCGTGCCCACCGACACACAAAAGAATACGGTGTACTTGCTGGCCAAGCTGCACGACTTCTCGCAGCCAGAGGTCTTCGCCGCCATTGTTGCCAACCACTTTACTTCGCTTGAGCGTTTCGCCCATGTAAGTGGGGCGCATTGTGAGGTTACGCAGCATCGATGGAGCAAAATGACAATGAGCACTGGCGAAAGACACGCACATTCATTCTACAGGGATGGCGAAGAGCTGAGGACGGCTGTTTGCGATTCCACCCGGAAAGGAGCCTTGAAAGTGCAGTCTGGTATCAAGAATCTCCTCGTTCTCAAGTCGACCGGATCGGCCTTCTATGGCTTCTTCAAGGACGAGTGGACGACACTTCCAGAAGTCCAAGATCGTATTTTCTCCACAAGCGTCGATTGTTCTTACTCTTGGGCCGCTTTTGCAAGCCTTGAGAATGTCAAATCTTATTCAGCTACTTTCGGCAAAGCATTTGATGGTGCCCGTCAAACAACATTCGACATTTTCGCCCGGGATTTTTCTTGCTCTGTTCAAGCAACCATGTACAAGATGTGCTCACAGATTATCTCTCAATTTTCTGGTGTGGCGGAAGTGGAATATGTTTTACCCAACAAGCACTACTTTGAGTGCAATATGGAACCTTTCGGTATCAAGAACAGTGGGCCAGATGCGACCATCTACCTTCCGCAAGCTTGGCCTGCTGGCAGAATCCAGGCCTGCGTGGCTCGCAAGGCACAAGCCAAGTTGTAATGATTGTTGCATGTACATGCTGGTTCTTCGCCTCAGACTTATTCTAGAATCCTTCACTGTATAGAAATGCTGCTACAGCGCGATAGAAGTCGACTACTTGAAACTTGCTGCCCGGAAGACCGCGTCCACGCAGATCCCAATGATCACAATCGACCGTATCGACAAACTTTCCCCATCTGGAGCTGTCGACGCTAACAAGACCGTCATTACTCTTTCCTTCTGCTTCGCTGACTACCAGGTGCGGTAGATACAGCGGATGCCATATTGGAAAAGCAGACGGCGCAGACGCTGCAAATGAGTAGTAAGCTACTTCGTCGCTGTCTGGGGTCAAGGGATTGAAGACCTTTTGACAGTATGCTGTGGTGAGATTCGCATAAGCCGGACAATCTATCATTCTAGCAAGCATGGTCTTTGTCAGAATGGCGGACGACAACGGCACAGCCTTGTCTACTTTTGTTTGCTTCAGAATAAATTCTTCGTGCTCAATCTTGTGATTTGGTGCGGTGACCGTCTCCGTGGAAGATGCCGTTGCTTGAGAAAGCTTTGGGATGACGCGACCGAGACTGAGGTAGTCCCGACACCAGTCCATGAAGGGTGAGCCACGATGCGGACAGGAGAGCGTGATGAGAGAGACAGGTTTGTAGGTCGTTGGCTTGATATGTGTGATCAAATGCCGACAGTCTAGTCCTCCCATGCTGTGAGCCAAGAGATTAACCTGCTGCCCAGGCTCTAGAACGTCCTCTAGCTGACGATGCAATGCCCGTGACCGTTCTGCAATGGTACCTGTAGATGGCACGCGAGCAATGATGACCTCTGTCCCAAGAGCACGTAGAGCATCGACGATGCCGCCCCAGTAGTGCAACTGAAACCGTGGCAGTGCCTCCGGAGTCTTGTCGAAAAACCCAAGCCCATGACAAAGCACGACTGGGTGACGCGGACCCTTCAGTTCTGTCCGATTGGGGAGCCATGGCCAGGAACGGGCCAGTTCCTGGAAAGGCGAAGTTTGCTGCTGTTCTGCCTGCGCTGTCTCTGTTAAATACACAGATCCAATGAGAGACTTGACAGAGTTGGTTCGTGCTAATGCACCCAAACGGTGCAAGATGGGAAGAGCCGACATCTCATCGAATCACAGCAAAGGGCCGACACCAAAGCAGAAGCCGGAGTGTAGAGAGACTTTGTCGCGTCATGGACCAAGTTTTTTTGTTGACTCCCGCATCTGCCCGCGAGCGTGAGAAAAGCAAGACGCGACAAGACGGCCACGCTGGCACTTGCGGCTAGCTAGCATAGACCTAAGCGTGTAGACGGAGAGCCTTGTGACTAGCTGAATGCGTCTAGCAGGTATAGCAGCTGCACTGCTGCTTAGCTGGGATACAGTGCAAGCCGATGAACGCAACTTTATCGACCACGATACCTTCGGTGCGGCAAAGGCCCTATCGGACCAGATCGTCCTCAATCCGTCAATGCCCAACCAAATGGGAGCAGTGTGGGCAAAGAAAACGAATGAATTGAATTCTTGGATGGCGGAGATCAAATATCGAGTAAATGGTCCAGATCATGGAGGAAAAGGCATGGCCATCTGGTACACTCAGAGTAAGCAGACGCATGTTGCGATCAAAGGCTAATGAGAGGTCGCGGGCAGGGTGGTCACATCTATGGAGGGCCAGATAACTGGGATGGCCTCGGATTGTTCCTGACCGCGGAACCCGATGGAACAGGCGCCTTGCGCGGTCATTTAAATGACGGAACCTTTGCGTTTGCCCGTGCAGAAGCTCCTGGTACATCAACCTTTTCCATCGAACGACAGTATGCTAAAACAAACGCAGAGAAGCACGCGTTCGGAGCTTGCAAGATTGCACATCGCAACGTCGGCACCATCAGTTCCATCAAGCTGGTCTACAACGTGGCTACATTCAAGGTTTACCACAATGACGCACTGTGTTTTGAGAATACTCATCTCAGTCTGCCAGAACATTACTATTTTGGCGTCTCGAGTCAGAGTGGAGAGATGCCAGACTCACATGAGCTTTTTAGCTTCAATGTGGGTGCTGTTCCCACAGAACACGCGGCTGCGAACATCAAGCCTGCACAATCGGCGCAGCAGGGAACGTCTCAATCCGAGACAAATCACATTGATCAGTCTGGTGTGCAAACCGCCCTGGACGGATTGCGGCAGGAGCTTGCTCAGCTGAAAACTCAAATGGCGCAAGTCGAGCAACTGAGGCAGAGCTTGAGCTCCATGCAAAGCACTCTGCAGCGCACAGAATCAACAGTCTCGTCTATACAAGCGTCTGCTGTTGGAAATTCTGGTACTGCCCACTTGGAGACCACCTTGAAGGATCTTGCCGCGCAAGTCGCGCGAATGAATGACCGATTCGCTTTGTTGGAGAAGGATGTGCAAAAGCAGCTCGAGCTGCATCAATCTAAGCAATCAAGTGGAGTCTACGTTCTAATTGCCGCCCAGGTGGCCATGTTCGTCCTATATGCCATCTACCGGAAGCGCAGGGAAGAAGCCAAGTCTAAGTTTCTTTAGAAGCAAAGTTGAACAACTAGCGTATTCTGGGTACAACAAATTCTGCGATCATCATTGCGTCGCTACTCTCGTATGCCTTGTCGGTTCTGCGCAGTGAGTTTGTCGTGACCAGCGCACAATGAGCCAACAGCTAGCTGGCCCGACGCGAGACATTCGAATGCAGGCGAGCTTCAATAGAGCAAGAAGAGCAAACCCTGATCATATTGACCTTTGATCTTGGTAAGTTTGAACTTGGAGAGCATTTAAGGATGCGTTGACACTGTTGTCATTGACAATTATCAGGCGTTGGTGTAGTGCTAATAGAGTAAGCTTACTGATGAAATCTGCATATCTGAGCCGTGGTGCCGGCTGGTGTGTTTGTCGCTCTCATAGCCGGCAGGGAGACAATTGAGTCGCGCAGCAAGCCAGTACTTGGCAAGGGCCCCTTTGTCATGCTTGCTGCAGATAAAGAGACAGACAGCGGCGTCAAATTATGTTCGAAAGTCTGGAGGAGCCCTTGCCATTGGCGTTCCTTGTTGTACGGCGAAATTCCATGTACGTGATCATCGTGAGGTCCTCCCTTAACCCTTGGCTTGAATAAAGATAGCGCCAGCAACTGAGCCAGGCGCAGTAGCAGCATGGTAAGCATTAACAGCGCTTCGCAGTAGAGAGCCGCACAGGAGCGGAAGTCGCAGCGAGAGTGATCTGAAGGGAAAAGGCGAGTGCCTCTTCTATGTCCCAGATCATCAACTATGTCGAAGAAGAAGCAGCAGCAGCGGCCTAGCTGCAACCGGGACCAGACTGTCACTATAGCGAACCATTGCCGATCGTATATCTTAGCCCAACCCTTTCTGCGCGGGCGAAGAGCGAATACATGGCAAGACTCGTGGCCATAGCCGGCGAAGGCAGTAGGCAGCGCTTACTTTGCTGTTTAACATAGTCTTGGCTAGACCTCAGTCTAAGACCTCCTCTCGAGTCTCGTGCTCGACGGCGTCAACGCTCGTTGAGCGCCCGCGAGTTTTTACTCACACGGCCTTGTCACGTCGTCGGTTAACTGTCCGCATTGATTGGTGGAGTTCGCGACCCGGAGAAGGCTTCTGAGTTTTAAGCCGCTTCCGAGGACAAGGGTCACGAGTCACGACTCACGAGTCACGACTCACTTCACAAGGCCGACTACCTGGAGAACCAGCCCGCACCAAATGAAGAATAAACCCGCACTTCCCGCGGGATTGAACGACAAGCATCCGGCGGCGGCGCAAATCCACCGTCTTCTTACTTGTGCGCAACCATGAGCTTGACGAAGTTGGCATCGGATCAAGGCAGGGAGATCACGCTGACGGGCGATCAAGGGTATGCAGAGCTCATTGATGATGGATGCTACCATTGCGCGAATTGTCAAAGACCCCTTCTGGATGATAGTAATCGCGAGATAAGCAGAGCTAGGAGTCTTGACTCGTGACTCTCGTGATCTGTAAGTTTTGACATCGGGTCACTTCACATCAAAAGCCGATCAAGGCAAATCGGTGAGTCAGTGAACAGTGGCACTGACCACGGCCTGGTCTACGGCCCTACGAGTCCACAGCCTCCATAGGCAGGATGACTCGATTACTAACCAGTGCAACCACTGGCAACCACACTTGCGCGAAGAGTCGGAACTCGGAAGGCCTTTACTTGGTCCAGCCGGTCCATCTCGGATAATAAGCCCGCACTTCCGGAGAATTGTGTAAGGACTCACAAGTCACGACTCACGAGTGTGTGTGTGCTGGAAACAGGACTCGGGCAGAGATGTGAGCCATGTGTGATGTGGCCCATCATGTGGGTTTAGATGATTGGGTATAAGTTCAAGCTCGAGTGAGAGACAGACAAAGAAGAGGGGCGCAGTCTTCACAGAGCGCAGGCGCCAAAATGGGCTGGTCAGAGCTGCGACGCTGCGAAACGAGAACAATAGTCAAGCAGCGGACACAGTGCAGGGCGAGATGCCATGTGCGCTGGATTATGAGCAGGGGTGACTCTGGTGATTCAGGTGGTGAGACTCGTGATAGCGGACGGACTGACAGTGAAGCCGGCTGGTCGAAGTGGGATATCGGGCTAGTGAGCTGCCGAATGCGGAGACCAAGTCTGCGGATTTGCGGTGAACCGACAATCCGTGTGCTGTCCCAAGCTGCCGGGAACGTGATTGCCTATGCGACATCGGCGCAATCAACGCTCGTGGCCGACGAAGGAGTTCAATCAGCCATGGCTCGCACGATGACAAATGCCACGATAGCTGCTTTACTAATGTCCAATTCTCCGGACAAGCATATAAACCCCACGAGCGCCCAGATATGAAAGTACAGCACTCAGTTGACCTCAAGCACTATCCCGACAACCAAGCATACCAAAGATGGTGAACTTTGTACCAGAGGATGATGAGAAATGGGTTGGTTGGCTTGCACATGACAAAGACGCTGTTGGCAAATTGGAGTTTGGCCGCTTTGAACCCAAGCAATGGACCGAGGATGACATTGAGCTTCAAGTTCACTACTCCGGCATTTGTGCATCTGATTTACACATGCTTGTATGGCTACCTCGTCCAGCTTAACCTTCTCTGACTAACCTTAGCGCACTGGTTACGGATGGTCCCCTGTTACACACCCAGTGGTCGTAGGCCACGAGATCGTTGGCAAGGTGATTCGCATTGGCAGTAATGTCAGCAAAGCAGGCATCAAAATTGGCGCCTTTGCTGGTGTTGGAGCGCAGTCTGGTTCATGTCTTTCTTGCGAGCAGTGCACAAACGATCGTCACCCGTACTGCGATGCTGGCGCAACAAGCACGTATGGCGCAGAGTACCAAGATGGCAGCGGCAAGTCTGCAGGTGGATTTGCCCATCATTGGCGAGGACCAGCTACATTTGCAACACCCATTGAAGGCATTCATCCAGCGGACGCAGCATCTATGCAATGTGCCGGTATTACTGTCCTCAGTCCATTGCTCCAAAATGATGTCAAGCAAGGTTCGAATGTTGGCATCGTCGGTATCGGTGGTCTTGGCCATTTTGGCATCATGTTCGCTCATGCACTTGGCGCGGAAGTCACTGCCATCTCACAAACTCATTCAAAAGAGCAGGATGCCAAACAGATGGGTGCAACACATTTCTTGGCAACAAGCGATGGAGAAAAGGCAATCTCAGCGCACAGGCGCAGCCTCGACTTGATTGTTTGTACAGTCAATGACTTTGAGGAGGGACAACTCGAAGGCTATTTGTCCTTGCTGAAGGTGCACGGTCGGTTCATGTTGGTGGGCGTCCCAGACAAGCCTCTCAACTTTTTGGCCTTTCCCTTGATCGCCAATGGCATCAGTATTGGTGGTTCGGCTATCGGCTCGCCCAAAGAAATTGCCGACATGCTCGAACTGGTCAGGAAGCATGACATCAAGACGTGGAAGAAGATTTGGCCGATGGAGCAAGTCAATGAGGCATTGCTTGATATGGAGAGGGGCAATGCGCGTTACAGGCATGTGCTCAAGACCAAGTATGCTGAATAGAAATTGTAAGAACCAGCAGGGCAAGGCTTGCGAGAGCAAATTCGAATAGAAGCGCTAATATTCGATGATCCAGCTGATAGTTTAGCGGTAGACATTTCTGCAGAGCGCATCTCCTGACTCGCGAAGCGTCTGTCTGATTCTGTCAGTAGCAAATGCCTCGAGTGTGGGCTTTTCTGTGTACGGCGGCGGTGATGCCTCCATGGCAGAGCAAATACACGCTAGCTGTAGGCAGAGGTGTTACACTTGAAAGACTTGTCAGACAAGCGTTGCCGCACTGTAGGAGGCTCTGCTTGGCAAAGGATAAAGAGATATGCTTCATCGAGGCTTCGGAGAGCGAGCAGCCTGGATATCACTTCAAGCACAAAGGCGCAAAGGAAGCAACGCAGGTGCGTAGATTCTGGCGGCCTTTATAGGCGCTGCGAGCACATCTCGTAGCAAATGTGAGTCATTCAGTCTGACTCCCGTCGGCGTTGGTCGTCTGCTTGCTGCAAAGGTTATTCGTTGAACAGGTGAAAGTCGTGATGACCGAAAGTGATCGAAAGTACATTCTAGCGCGACAGGAAATCTCACCTGCAACCTCAGCGATGCGAAGTGCATAATATGGTAAACTCAAGCTCGGGCTGCGCTCACTGTAATAGTGATTCTAACACAGCAGCGATCCGTCTGTAGCGATGCTCACGGTCTCTACAAAGAACCAATGTCCGTGGATCACACCGCTCTACTTCTAGTCGCGGGAAGCGAAGCCAGCTGCGCAACAGAAAGATGGCTGATGAAAGTGCTGGCCTGCCAGCAAGGCAGAACAGTGGGCGTCTCAAACCATGCCGTAGTTGTCATGCTTTTCGAGTGGACATGTGTTGGCAGCAATGGCTCTTTTCCACCTTAGAAGGACTCGATTGGGCCAGGTCGCCTGCCATGGCGCTGACTGTTATACACGGATGGGCGCTTCTTCGTCCTCGACCGGGGTCTGGCTGCGCGAGGCATCGAAGGATGAATCTAATGGTGGCAAAGGGAAAGGCTGGTGCTGACGCAGCGAGATCGCTCCAACATCTCACCCATGGAGAGGGCCATAGCATTCGATGTTGGCTTGAGCTGAACTTGATCTCCGACAGTAAAGCGACCCGTGATCATTTGGTTGCGCTCTGCTTCCAACGTGACGCACATTGGATGTGACATCCTTGCCTTGATCCCAAGCGCGAAGTAGCTGCAACCTTTACTGAAAGCTGCGAGCAAGGCAAAGCACCCTTCCATATGCCAGCGACAGCCAGGGGAAATGCCTCCACTCGAATGTATTTGGCTGGTACCGACTCGATAGGCTTGTCGATGATAACCCTTGAAGATGACGTCGCGCGCCTTCGTCATTTTATGTGTGTCCAAATCCATGAGTCGATATGCCTTGCTGTCCTCGTAATAAGCGACCAAAGCCATTTTATCTGGTGCCAAGACCCGACACCAGTATGGAATGTCGGAGAGGATGCGAACATGTATTCGCTTTTGTTAGCTTTCGTTTTGCCAGAGGTCCTGCCAAAACTAGTCAACTCGTCTGTTCGCTTGACATGGTCAGCGCTTAATAACTTGCTGACATAGTCTGTGTTTCTGGAATAGGCGCAGTTCGGTTGAGGTTGTATCATGAATTGAAAACAAAGCGCAGTCAGGATAAAACCGACCATTGAGATAGAATTGTCCAAGATTTAATCCAAGATTTAAGTTGCCAAGCGAGGACAATCCCTTCTACTCTGACTGCGCTTTGTTCTCGATCGACGATACTGACTCAATCGAATTGCGTCGATTCCAGAAGACAAAGGCAGACAATATCACCAAGTTCGTAAGCCCTAAAGATGTCCAACGGACCGACGTATTGACGATGATCGGCCGAACGTCTGGCAAAACAAAGGCGAACAAGAACGAATACCGGTCCGTATCGTCGATGACACTGCACACTGGTATCGAGTCGAAGCCCTTCTACTCCTGGTCAGTTTGGATCGAGCACTCGGACTTCACTGCCAAAAGTGACAGTGGTGCAATTGTCGTCCGCCAGGAGAAGGAGCTGTATGACAATGCGGCGATTGGGATCGTGGTGGGCGGCACTCGAATGGCCGTTTCTGCAGACCTTAGCAACAGGGAGTGCGATGTCACGTGTTTCCAATCCATCGAAGATGACTGATGTCGGAGCTGAGTAGGAAATACGCGCATCATCTATGCCCACAATACGTAAAGCGAAAGCGAATGCATGGCAAATGCCTGATGAGCAGGGCTTGCGCTGCTAAGACATGGACATATTAAAGGGTGTTGTTACTCTTCGGGTGTTTAGGTGTTTCGCTGTTCAGCTGATACTAGGATTTCTTGAGCGCTGTGATTGGGATTCTGTTTTCGATGTAAACAGCAGTGTTGGTTGCTTCAGCCCACACCTCCTTTGGCAAGCCCTTCTCTTCGAGCAACTATCGCGCGCTCTCCTCACGAGTACGATTGAGGCGCTCTGTCACTCCATTTTGCTGTAACGTGGTGTCGTCTGGTGCCTAATGCTGTGAGATTCCAGATACTTCTGGAAAGCGTCACCGCAGTGCTCGCCACCATTGTCTGATCTGAGCGCCTTGATGCGACAGTCAGCTTGGTTCTCCACCAGAGCCTTGAACTCTTGGAAATTCTCAAAAACTTGCGACTTCTGCCGGATGAAGTAGACCCAAGCCCTTCGCGAGTGGTCGTCGATGAATGCACTTGCACTGGCCCGCTGTCACGCACTGACCTCGTCGCACTGTGGTCTCGTCTTCATCCGGCTACTCAGCCTCGTCTGTCTCACTCGGGATAACGCGCTCCTATCTTTCCGCTATCACGATGGCACCTGCAAGCTCTCAGCGCTACCTCACGTTCCGACGTATCCCTTCCTATTGGTTCCCCATGTCGCATGGCTTCTCTGCGGCATGGTTCGTGCTCAGACACGTTTCGCTCGCTAGCATCACTCGGTCCTCGCCAAGACCTTCATCGGCAACTGCCAGTGTCCTTTTCAGGGTCTTTGCTTTTGAGTTTACTAGTCCTCTACTAGACTAAAGACAGCGCAGCCGCTCTACTTATGTCCTCAACCTGCCAGCGTGTCAGCTTGGGCCCCTGATCGTCGCATCATCAATGAGCTCCTGAAACAATCAACGTCTCAACACAACACTCCACCTAGCTCATTGTCGTCCATGAGGCTAGCTAGTCTTGCGACGAAGGCCGAGCATTGCCATGAACTTTTGCAATTTCTGCCGACCTAGTGCTTTGGTTGTCAGATCTGCAATCATGTCTCCAGTGGCAACGTATCCGAGTGACATGCGAGCACGCCGTACACAGTCTCGCACAAAGTGGTATTTCGTCCGTATGTGCTTGGTGCGGGTGTGGAAGCGAGCATCATTTGCCAAGGCGATAGCACCCTGATTGTCGCCATGGATGTGAAATGTCAAGCGCGCATCGGTGGCTTTGAAGTCGTGCAGTAGGTGTTGCACGATGATCTTGACCCATTCGAGCTCCTTTGTCGCGTTGGCCAGCCCAATGTACTCTGCCTCCGTTGTAGACTGCGCAATGACTTCCTGCTTCCGACTGCTCCAAGAAACGCAGTTTGGGCCAAGCATGACAATGTACCCACTGGTTGACTTGCTGTTGTCAAGGTCGCCGGCATAGTCGGAGTCTGAGTACACATGCACATCCAAGTCGCCCTTCTTGAAGACAAGACCTACATCCTTCGTGTGCTGCACATAGCGTAGGAGTTGCTTCGCTGCCCGCCAATGTTCATAACTCGGCTTTGCCATGAAACGACTTAGGACGCCCATGGAGTGTGCCAAGTCTGGTCGTGTTGCGGTCATAAGGTACATCAAGCTCCCAATGACGGCCATGTACGGCATGGTTGCCATCTCTTCTCGTTCGGCTGGTGTGGGATCACATGTTGCTTGAGAGAGCGATAGGCCGCTCATCATTGGTGTGTGTGTACCATTGCAAGACTCGAGTCCAAAGCGCTTCAAAATCTCCCGACAGTAACATGCTTGACTCAGGGTGATACTGCCATCAGAAGCGTAGGATAGCTCCATGCCACAAAATTGTGTGGCAATACCAAGGTCTGTCATGTCCCACTTTGTTGACAATGCCCGTTTGAAATCAGCCAGGGCGCTGTCGTTCTCAGCAATCATCAATAGATCGTCGACATAGAGGACAAGCCGAATATCTCCACCTCTGAGAACAAACAAGCCTTGCTCATGCTCGCATCGCAGGAATCCATAGGACTGCAGAGCTATAGGCGGATTTGGGTGCTTGCAACTTGATGGTTATCTACGATTCTGATGTGCTGGCCTTTATATATTGCCAGCTGGCAGGTCTTGATGTTCAGATGGTACATCCAGCCCTTCACCGCACAACACTTGACCTGGTTCCATATCCCCTCTTGCCTCTCTACCGACTCCAAGCATCGCTTTGAACTGGCCAAACTTCCTGCTGCCGAGCGCTTTCGTCAGTAAGTCTGCGAGCATCTGGCCAGTAGCGACGTAATCCAAATGCATGAAGCCAAGGCGAAGGCATTCGCGTACATAGTGAAAGCGAGGTAATATGTGCTTGGTTCGCGAATGAAACTTGTTGTCTTTTGCCAGTGCAATAGCGCCTTGATTGTCGCCGTGAAGTTCCACAATGAGTGCCGCGTCTGTGCCTTTGACTGCCGGCGTCATGTGGGCGACGATACACTTGAGCCATTGAAGCTCCTTGGTGGCATTGCTGAGGCCGACATACTCAGCTTCTGTGGTGGAAAGGGCAACCACCTCCTGCTTTCTGCTTGACCAAGAGACACAATTGCCGCTGAGAATGCAAACGTAGCCGCTGGTGGACTTGCCAGTATCTTGGCAGCCGGCATAATTAGCGTCGGAATAGACGTCAAGCTTCATGGGCCCAGGTGCAATGGTGAGCCCGTCATCCCTCGTGCCTTGCATGTAGCGGAGGAGGCGCTTGACGGCTTTCCAGTGATCGTAACTCGGGTGTGCCATGTACTTGCAAAGGATGCTCAGCGGGAATGCGAGGTCCGGGCGAGTGGTCGTCATCACATACATGAGGCATCCCACTGCTTCTTGGTAGGGAATCTTTGCCATTTCCAGTGCTTCTTCTGTGGTTGGCGTGGTGTCTTTGTCTTGAGCGAAGAACTTTGCATTCGGGTCCATTGGAAGTGCGGTCCTTCGACATTCCGGCATACCAAAGCGTCGTAACGTGTCGGAAATGTATCGGGAGCTAGACAGCTTGATTGCTCCGATCCCTGTACGCTGCATCTCGACACCACAAAATTGAGTAGCAATGCCCAAGTCTGACATTGACCACTTCTGCTTGATCGCTGTCTTGAATTTTGCAAGGGCATCTTGATCTCGCGCAACAATGAGTAAGTCGTCGACGTAAACGACCAATCGGATAAGGCCATCTGCTAGCACGAAGAGACCCTGTTCTTGTTCGCACTGGTCGAATCCATAGGCTGTCAGGAAGTTGCATAGCTCGAGGTACCATTCTCGTCCCGATTGCTTGAGACCGTACAATGTCCTGTGTAACTTACATACCCGGCCACTGCCATCGCTGTATCCCTTTGGTTGCTCCATGTAGACAGTCTCCTGGAGTGTGCCGTTCAAGAAGGCAGCAACAACATCGAGATGGTGGACCTCCAACCCTTCGTTGACTGCCATTGTAAGCAAGACCCGTACTGTGGTGAATTTGGCGACTGGTGCAAATGTCTCGTTGAAGTCGATTCCTTCGATTTGGGAAAAGCCTTTGCCGACCAAGCGTGCTTTGAATTTGTCGAGATTCCCGTTGGGCAGTGACTTCACCTTGTATGCCCACTTGCAGCCAATGACAGGGCTGCCAGCCGGTCTATCAACCAACGTCCAGGTCCCCATTTGCCAAAGAGTTGTCATTTGATCGAGCTGGGCTTCTTCCCAGTACTCGCGCTCGGGTAGTCTGATCATCTCGTGCTATGATGTTGGTTGTATAATCTCGGCAGCAGGTCGCAGTAATTTTGGCAGTGGCGGAGCTGGTGCTTTGTGTGGAAGGGCGTTGACGTGTAGCATGTTGATTTCATCTCGATCCTCAATTTCTTCATGCTGATCATC